GATAGAGATATTATACTTAGTTTAATTAAAGTAATATTTCTAAATAAATTTATAATTAATAAGGTCTATCTTTATATAGGTATTAATATCTATATATATCTTAATATTGTTTTAGATATAAATTAGGATATAGAGATAGATAACTATTCCTACTTAAGACTAGAAGTTAGAATTTATAGGAGTTAATTCAATCCTAGTACTTTTCCTAAGTCTCTTAATTAAGTATTATTATAGTAATACTAAAGTCTTAAGTAAGCTTCCTAGATCTTTACCCTTAGGGCTTATAGTAATAGATAATATTTATTTATTTAGTAACCTAATTTACTATAATTAAAATAATTATTTAAAAGGATTCTAGTAGATAGATTAAATAGGTTAGATTAGTTAGTCCCTCTAATAGATATATTATTTAGATTATTCTTATTCTAAGAAAGAAACAATTAGGGTTTATCTCCGGATTAAGAGGGATTTAGATATAACTTAGAGTTATTATAACTTAAATTAGATCTAGAACTATAAGAACCCTTTAAATATAGATTTCTAGGATCCTTTTAGTCTTATTCTATATTATTAGACTAGTTTAAGAATAAATTATTAGATTATAGATATTTTAAGCTTGAATTTAAATCGTTAATAAATAGGTTATATTTATATATCTTTACTTTTGTAAATTCCTAGGTACTCTATATTTCTTCTACTTATTATACTTAAGTTTTAGAAAAAACCTTTATATATTAATAAATATATAGTATTAACCACAACTATAGTTTTAATATATAGTAATATACTTACTTATCCTAAAAGACCTAAGAAAAATAATATTCTAGATCTATAAAATAATAGTAAAAAGCCTTTAATTCCTTATTAGTTTATTAACAATAATACTTTATCTTATTACTAACTTCTCTAGTAAAAGTATTTTTATTATATATTAAAATAAAAGTCTATTTCTTAAAGTATTCCTAGTTACTAAAGTAATTATTATTATTATCTTTAAGATATCTCTTCTCTATAATCTAGTTATTTTTATAGTTAGAGTTAAGATATTTAATTTCTATAAGAATCTTTATCTTTTTATTCTTATAGATCCTAGGGTTATCTTAAAAGATATATCTAAGTTATAAGAGCTAATTTACTTATTCTTAAAGACTAAATAATTTCTTAAACTTATTAACCTTAAAACCCTCTACTTTCTTATATATTTTAATCTTAGTTCCTCTATAAGCTATAGATAGATTATTTAAGAAAGCCCTAGTATTAATTCTAGAGACTTAAGTAGAGAGTTCTTTAAAGTAAATATAAATTATAAGGAACTCTTCTAAGTATTCTAGTTTATATCTCTTCTCTTCTAGGATATTTATAATAATACTTCTAGGTCTACTAATACTTTTAGTTATAAGGTTACTAGTAATTTCTTTAATCTAGTCTAGACTAGATTCAGCTAGGTTTATATACTAATCTAGGACCAATTCAATCTTAGGTTATCTAATAATAAGAGAAAAAGATATAGTAAGCTTAGATTAAGTATTATTATAAGAGAATATAGGGTTTTAGTATATAGAGGGTACTATTATTAATTCTTAGGTAGTTAAGAGAGAAGAATCAGAATTATAATAGTTATTAAATTATTAGGCTAGAGACCTATAACTAAATAAGAATATTAGATAGTAGAGATTAAATAGAATAGTTAATATCTAAAACTAATTCTTGTAGGATAAGAATTGTAGCTATTATTTATATATTTTAATATTACTAGAGCTTACTAGGGTTTAGGGTAGTTATATATTAGTAAGTGTATCGTAGTAGATTCACCCACAGAGTAGCTATAAATCGTACCCGAATCGTACCCGAAGGGATTCAGGAATCCTGTGATATATATAAGGAAAAGTTAAAGGAATAAAAACTTTTTTAAACTAGTAAAATCTAATTTTATTAGAGATCTATCTATTTAGATTAACTTTAAGTTACTAATCCTTTAGAAGACTATTATCTTAATCTTTAATATAGACTTTACTTTTAAAAATAATATATAGAGGAAGTACTTACTCTAATATATCTATATACTTAATTATAGTTATCTATTAGTGATTTCTAGATTATAAAAGTACTTTCTGATTATAGTATTTAGTTTTTATTATAATTCTTATAGTTATAATTAAGCCTATTATAAAACTAGTTTTATCGAAGTTATAGATATTATCTAGATCAATACTATTTTTAAGGATTGATTTTTGAATAAGATTAAACTATTTTTAAATAATCTTTATATTTTTGTATTTTGTACGCTTATAATTATAGTATCTAGAGAATTAGGTTGAAAGCTATGGGTGTCTTTTTATATATTTATTGATCTAATTTTTACTAATTGTTTGAACTGGGGTCGATCTATATATAGATAGTACAGTCAAAGCCCACTAACGGTACGGCGGCCTACGGTACAATCGCGTTTAGGGTACACAATTCGCTTGGATGGACCCACTTTTCTTGATTTTTACATATAAAACGTTCACTTACGGTAAATTCATCTTGGTACACCCCTTTTTATCCTATCTTTGCTGAGTCATTCGCTTGGTCAGCCAAATCAACCAATCAGAATGTCTGAAACCTCTGATCTTCCATCTCTACTATGTATTAGATCAGCTACTAAGGTATCTTCTATACTACCATCACCAAAATATACCCGATTAGGCATATCAGATGCCCAGAAGCAGGTATTATATGCCTTTTGGTCCAATACTTGTCCAAAACCGACACAATCTGCTTGCGCAGCTTAGTTCGAGTCCCAATTTGATCATAAGATTAGTTGTGTATCGGTCTTAAGAATTGTTTCATCCCGATATGATTATCTTGATATACAGTCTAATGGGGCTAGTATACGAAATTCTTTATTATTCTGGCCTATTCTAGACGAAAGGCTATCTAATTAGGTTAGTGGGCATATCAATAACAGGCTTCCAATCACAGGCTCTTTGATCTAGACTAAGGCAAATAAGCTTTAGTCCCGTATCCTAGAATATCAAAATCAATAAAAACCTGCTTTTTTAGATGGATGGCTTGCTCGCTTCAAAAAGCGGCATAATATTTGATATTATACCTTCTATGGAGAAGCTACTTCGGTCCTATCTTCTATACATAATCAGATGAAAGAGATTCGTATAATATGTGACCAATATGAACCATCTGAGATATACAATATGGATGAAACTGGCCTATTTTGGCGACAAATATTAAATGGGGGTCTCTCTGATAGAAAAATTGCTGGAAAAAAGAAAGATAAGACTTGAATCTCTCTTGTTGTAATAATAAATGTAGATGGTTCAGACCGAATACCTTTATGGGTGATTGGAATAGCAAAGACCCCTTGTGTGCTCCGGGGACGTGATTTCCGGGGTTTGGGCTGTATATGGCGCTGGAATAAGAAGGCTTGGATATATTAAGATATTATGAAGGAGTGGTTATGTGCTTTTTATATACGTATTCCTATACATAAGAAAGTATTGTTACTTCTTGATAATGCTTCTCTGTATATTGCTGGTCTTAAGAAAGCCCTGCCACCAAACCATATTAAGGTCCTATTTTTCCTAGTAAATGTAACCTCAATTTACTAGCCTTTAGACCAGGGAATCATCCAGAATATTAAGCATTATAATTAGAAGAAATGGATGAGATGGATGATTGCTATTATTGATTGAGGTCTTGACCCAAAAGTTCGGATGAATATCTCCTATATATTGTTTTGGATCACTCAGGTTTGGAAGAGCTTAGTATTAGATGAAATAATTAAGAATTGTTTTATTAAGAGTTCTTTGATTCGTCCAAAGTAGAAGGATAAGACTGAAAGTAGAGATAGGACCGAAGTTAATTCTTAGCTATTTTTAGAGCCAGGGCTTAGTGATGAGATCAAAGCTTTGTATAATAAATTAATTGAGAGGCTTAGCTGTGATGATATTATACCATTTGATCAATTCTTGAATCCAACAGAGGAAGATATTGTTGAAAATGAGACTGATAGCTAAGATGAGACCGATGGCCAAGATATATATATTGATGCGGAGAGCTCAGAAGTACAAGATCTTGAAGAAAACGGGCCATCATTAGAGATATTATCTAATTCTGAGGTTATGGCTTATATATAGAGTATATTACTATGGGCTGGAAGCAAAGAAATGATCACATTAGACGATACACGTCAGATTGAGAGCTTAATCAGTGTTTTCAGCTGAATTCAGGATGCAGAAAAGCGTCAGGTGACCTTGGAAGATATGGGATGGAAGCCTAAATAGGCAATAGGGCTTAGGGCTATATAGTTTTAATATTATGTCATCATTCATAAACGGTACAATCCATTTACGGTACATAGTTTACTTGGGATGGGAGGGTGTACCGTTAGTGGGCTTTGACTGTAGTAGATTTACTATTTCTTGTATAGTAGTAGGTTGAGGGGCTGCTCTACAATTATCTATTGAAAGTATCTATTTTTGAAGCCATTCTTCCTCAATTTCAGTCAATTTATGACCGTTTGTATATATTTCGCGTCGGTTTTGGTGACTGTGTAGTCGATCGCAGAGGGTTGTATAAAGTACGTTGAAATAGCGTGTTGCTATACTAATAGAGAGCTGTTCTTATTTCTTAATAGCCTGAATAGCTAGTAATATCTGTCCCTCTTGTTCTGTTAATTTTTGACTATTTTGGGTGCGAATTGGTGGCATAGTGGGTGGTTGAAGAAGGAAGGTCTAATTAATTGACGCGTTTCGTGTTAGCCTGGCGGCTCGGTGGTTCTGGCGGCTCGGTAGTGGATTACGTTAGTTAAGTTATTGTCAAGTTACCTGGACAGTATACAACAACCAGCTCAGTTGAACTAAATAGCTCCATCTGTATCGCACCACTACTTATATTTATTCTCGAGTCATAAATCATTTGATATATTTTCAATCATAGTCAGGTTTGTGTTCTATTATTCAGGCCTTAATCATGGCCGATTATCATCATGAGTCGTAGATTCATTCATCTCTTCTTTGGTCCGCTGCCTCACCTCGCAGGAATCTGCCTACTTCCCTCTCTGCCTCGGCCGAGCTGCCATTGCCCTCTTTCTGGGCAGAGCTTCCAAAGAGACACTGCCATAAATCATCCTTCTTCACCAGTTCACCACCAGAAGCACCGCTTGTCATCAGGTTTGTTAGGCTTGCGTCTTGCATCTCCATGGAATTGGCGGAGTCTATGGCTGTTTCGGTAAGATTGTTGATTAATGACTCGTCGACCTCGTCAAGAGGTGCAGAGCGGGCATTCTCTTGTTTCTCTTTCTCGATGATGTGGGCTAGCCGACGAGTTACCGAGAGTTCATATATGGACTCTTCCACCGTTCGAGAAACAAGGTACATCCAAACGGTAGTGGGGCGATGCTGCCCGATTCGATGCACTCGAGCAATGGCTTGGAGTTCAATTGCCGTATTGATCAGCGGTTCACATAGAAACACATGAGTGGCATTGATAAGTGTAAGTCCTGAAGACTGCGCCTTGCCATGTAATAAGAAACATTCGATCTGGGGTGTTTTATTAGCACTTGAAAGGGAACGAATAACAAATTCGAAAGGTAGACTTACCGCTGGATCGTGTTTGAACTTTTCAATGCCGCTGGGGGTGTCAATACTGCTACTGGCAATTTTGAAGCGACCGAAGGCCCGTTGTAAGACTTGCAGGAAGTTTTTGTACTGGGAAAAAACGATCGACTTAGCTCCAGGATCATGCTCTCTCAACCACATGATATGACGAGCAAGAGTATCAATTTTAGTGCCAAATGAGCCATCTAGGTCGATGTTTTGAATTTGATTTAGAACACCTGAGCTGACATCACTGTAGATGGCATTCCTTGAATGATGCTCGTGGTCAAATTTGACAGCCGATTCTTCTTCTTGAGCTATCAGCTCCTGCGGCTTGTACGTGATCTGATGGAAGTCACTGTATTTCAATGATTTCTTGCACATGGGACAGGTTCGATGTTGCCGCCACCACATTTGCAAGCAGTCCTTGCAATATTTGTGGCCACAAACGGTCAAGACTCCTGGAAATAAAGTCAGTTAGGCCATTCAAACCAAGCATGATAAACCGGGTTTTAGAAAATAGTACGTACCAACTTCAAAGCTCGACTGGCAGATAATACAAATTCTTGAACTGTCTTCCGGGCCAGACTCATCCCGTAGATGGATAAGGTATCGCCTTTTGGATTTCAATGATGATATCTTGCCTTCGAGTGTTTCCTCCTGTTTGATCTTGGAGGCAAATAGTTCCTCATTCATGGGTTTCCCGGCGCTTTCTTCATCATATGGGGCAACTGTATCGGAAATTTGCTGCAAATGGCGGTAGTACTCCAGCCTGTTGTTCATTGTGTCGCGGAACATCTCTACCTCCCTCTCCAAGCTTGTTGACGCTTTGAGCTGCTTGCCAATCAGCTGACCCGCGTTTTTCAAAACCTCGGTGACCAATTCAAGTTCAGCCCGAGCTCGCGAGCTCCCTCCACTAGCTTGCCAGTCAAGCGAGGTGACCAAGCTTCTAAGTTCAGTAACAATACCTCGAAGTGAACCTAGCTCATTATCGGGCATGACTTCACTACGGGAGTTCATAATGGAGAGAAACAACTTTGGAGAAGGCCCTTCATCCTTTTGTGCCTGGACAATGCCAGCTTTGACTTCGTGGGAGATGAGGATATTCTTTTGGCCAGTGAGGGCATCATGGCGATCCGCATACATAGCACGAAGAGCTTCCATGTAAACATACATCTCGTCTTGATGTTTGGTCGATCGCTCGTACTCGTTTCCCTCAAGCTCGGCATCCTCCTCCTGATCAATAAGCGATTGGGAGACCAATTTTATCATGACCTCTCTCCATTCATTATACTGCTCCGCATGCTTGTTTAGCGCATTGCACAGATCCTCAAACTTGTTGAAAAGTCGATATGATTCAAGTCCCCTGTCATAAAGATAGGGTTTCATCTTAGGAATTTTGACAAACTCCTTTTTTTGCGTTTTTTCCTTGATCATTTTCATATACCGCTCAACCTTTCGAGATATGTCGGTCAACATCTCTTTACGAATTACCTTCGCGGCCTCGTACCCTTCCTCCTCTTTCTTTTCAAGGGCTTTGAAATCGTCAGAATCGGGTTGAGTTAAAGCTGGGTCTGATTTGATCTGGTAGTAAGCATTTGCAGTGAAGAAGACAGCAATATGCTGAACCTCGAGCGCGGCCCTGAGTCTCAATCGACACTGGCCAACTCGACTATTTTTATCCGTTTCTTCACTCTCATCATCGTCGCTGCTGTCCTCTGAAAGGTCTTTCGAATCATCCTTAGAAGTATCTTTCAAAATACTTTTTGCCAGCCGCAGCTGTGCTCTACTCTCTTCAACAAGACTGGTAGAATGCTTCAAGGCCGATTGCCAGAGATCCGAAGCCTCTTTACGTCGCTTGGCGTTCTCCAAAAGCTGGCCTCGACGAAGTTGTGAAAGAAGCAGGGTTCTCTCTTCAGTGCGAATTGAAGTATCCGTATTTTCAATCATGACTTCCAAGACCTCATCTACAGTGCGTAATGGCCCGTTTCCAGCGCCCAATGCTCTTCGGTTGCTTCCGCTAACCTCGGGATGAAGGCATGTTTGCCGAAGTCGTGTAAGCCAAGTGCGCATTTTTTCAACGATTCCTGGATCTTCAGGGTTCCAGTCACCGCGAAGTGGTGCACCCATCGTATTGAGGCCACATTGTTCAGACATTTCTTCAAAAAGCTGACCATAATGCTGTTCTTCAATCGCTGTGAATGGAATTGTAATGACAACTCTTTTCTGGGGTGGCAAGCGAAGCTCATCGCGGACACGATCTTTGGTGTGCCGAAGAGCAATGGTCTGAATGATTTGCACAAGATTTGACCCAAATCTGGAGTATAGTCGTTTCCACAATGGATTTGAGTAGCAGAAAGGATAGTAATGAAGGAACAGTAGAAGGCCGAAAAGGTCATCGATATTTCGACGAAGCGGCGTACCAGTGACAGCCCAGGCATTGATCCTAGGAATCACTCGAGCAACCTTGGCTGCATTGCTGACCCCACTTTCAATCATTTGGGCTTCATCAAGACAAACTCGCCACCATGAAATTCGGACTAAAGGCGTCTTACGCGGTTCAAACTTTTTCTCGTGGCGCAAACTTCGCTTTGGCAACGCATTAGCATAATGCACCTCTCGAGAAATCACATTGTATGTGGTCAAAACCACATCGTATTCTGCAAGTTCTTCAATCACCAAATCATCTGCTTGTTCTTGGCCGCGCTTTATCCCGGTGTAGTGATGTACCCGGAGATCTGGAGCATGCTGTTCAAGTTCCTGTTTCCATTGCTCTAGGATTGCAGGTGGGGTTATGATCAATGTAGCTCCGGACGGTCTTAATCCATCAGGATCGTGTTTCAACTGGAAAGGCCGTTGGTTCAAGCTCATCAGGGCAATCATCTCAACGGTTTTGCCTAGACCCATTTCCTCAGCAAGAATCCCACCCTTGAGCTGGGATCCTGCGTCATTCAATTGCGAGACATCACTGGCTATTGTCATAAAGAGTTGACTAAAATAGCAAATGTTTCCATCCGCGTCTTTCATCTGCTTGAAAGACGCCGGGAGTTTTTCTGATGGGATTCGCTCTATAGGAGTTACATTTCCATCCGGGTGAAGCTCCATTGATTCCCTCTGCAAAAGCCATCGGACGGCTCTTCTTTGAAATGGGAATAGGTCAGAAACCAACTTTGGACAATTGATATCTGCTGAAGCCTTTTCTGTATTGGGTGGAACATGAACACTGTTGTAAAATTCCCGAGGCGCCCAGGTTCGAGGGTAGCCGAGTATCCTCTCACGAATATCGAGCTTCGTTGAGGCATCTGTTGAAGCTCCATATCTTTCCTGCAGAGCATACTTTCCAAACACACGCAAGAGAGGATCCTGAAGACGGGGGAAATCTGGTATATCCAGTGAATCTTTCCACAATATAGCAACTTCCAGAGAGAATGAGTTACTACCCAATCGAGACACGGCAGCTTGATGACATGTAGTTGGCACACGGGAGGAGTATAGATCTGCGCAAGTAAGTGTACTTGCAAGAGAAAGGTGCTCAAATAATTCGGATGTTTGAGATTGCTTGAACGGAAACGAAAGATAATTCCCCGTATCTTTATTTTCTGCCTTCGCTGGAAATAGCTCAATAATGTGTGAACCGTTATCGGTTGGGTGGTTTTGGGAGGTGTAAAGCGCATCGTCGTCGTCAATAGAGTGAATAGTTTTTAAGGTTAAAACAACAGGAAGCCGAGGAGATGAATCTCTCATATCATAAAAGCCATTTCCGTTGAGGTGAGTGTGGTCTGCGAATATCTAATTGAATGGTGGCAAATGGTTAGCTGCTCTGCATGCACACGGCGCCACTGAATACTTACCATGCGCAACGTCAAACGAGCCAACGGGATGTACCCTAATGGGATGCCAGCTGAAGAAAGACCCATTGTGCGCGCCAAGCTGTTGTAGCTAGATTTGGCGACCTTGCGCCGCTTTATAGCGCGTTCATCGGGGTCAAATTCGGCTTTTTGCTCAAGAGCCGCGAGCAACCACTTGGGGACCGGATCTAGATCGGAGACATGTTAGTGAAATCGAGGTTGTGACTGCAATGGCTGATCACATAAGGCCCTACCCTGAAGAATAACATCCTCTGCGACCACACTCATACTGTTCCCCTGCTTGATATGTGGTTTGCCTTCTCTGCATCAAGAGAGTTGAAAACAAATGGGCGCAAATGCTCGAACTGCCTTATCGTACCTCGTATCATCACGTGGTGATAATGCTGGTCCACACTGATGTCAATGCAGAGACCCACTCAGTATGTAGTCACCCGTAAACATCCATGGATCTATCTAGAAGTAATTTCTAGTCAGCAGGAAAGAGTGAGAGGAAGAAATAGGTAGACTTAGATGAACCATGTATAAATTTCATCTGGCAGTTCAAGGGTATTACGATAGCTCTTCTAATTTCCATTCAATGCTTGTAATGATTTTGATAAGTAACTAGCTAAAAGCATCTATCTGTTCGAGATTAGAAGCGCTGATGCCATCGATAAAATACAGATGCCTATGAGCTGGCTCATTGGAGAGTGCCACGCTTGGCTTTTAGATAGCCTAATGAGCAAATAGACTTAAGCGACAAAAGAAAAGACCCAATGACTGACTCCATGGCCTGTATTTATGAGAAACTTGGAAAAATAGATAAAACAAAACACTCCGTGGCAATGCAGACCGATTTTCAAAACCAAGAAATTTTTTACATGAACAGTCTCCAGGCACCAAGAATCAATGCCGCGGTACCGGTACAGACACCCCTGTAAGAAGATTAGTTAGTATTTGACCATGATGGACGGAGGAATAATAGAGACATACATCAGCCATTGGAGCGTAGAGAACTTGACAGCCTCGACTCGTTCCCTTAAACCAGCCACTTCCTGCTCAATGCGTGTTTCCGTTTCCTTAATTCGCATTTCTTGTCCGTTGGCTTCCTCGCGAATTCGACCCTTTTCAAGATTCAAGTCCAAACGAACTGACGCCTGTGTCCTTCCAATCTCATCCCTCATGCGTGAATTCAGTTTGGCGAGATCGGCTGAGATCTTTTCATGAGAAGAACGAGTGAGCTGAGCCTCGGTTGAGTCGGTATTAAGGAGATCGGAGCGGAGTTTAGCGAAGTCAACTTTTTGGGTGTAGGTTGATCTCTCCGAGTCTATCCAGCCCGGTTGTTAGTTAAAGAGAATTAATCACAAAGTAGAAGTATGAGTTGGCTGACCTTCTCGGAGGACCATAGTTCTTGTGAGATTTTGAATGGACTCCTGGATGATATCATTCAAGACACGCATCATGGCTACGGCTTGTTCCTCGCTGAATCCCTCATCTTGCAGCCGCTTCACAAACTTCAGGGTATCGAAGTGATGGTCATCAGCTCGAACGGGTGTCGCATGGAAGGCCCGCTGAGCTGGTTTGAATGTTGCGACATAGACTCCATTGTGTCGAACGGGGCTACCGAGGGACTCCGGCGATGGGCGTCTCGCGACGGAACCGGAGATGTGACGGACAACTGTGGATGCTGGACGATTGTCCCGGATGGACGTGGAATAGCCTCTTGAAGGCTGATATGATAAATTCAGAGTGTGGACCTGTCGGTTGAGGGGACTCCAGCCTTGAATATATTGCTGTCGTTGTTTGGCTGTGAGCGTGGGGTGGTGTGCGGAGAGGGCGGGGCGAGATGATGAACTGTTCCATGTAAGGCGAGGGAGAATGGTTCGAGGCACCTCAGCGACATGTTTTTGAGACGCCATGGCGTAGAAGAAAGGTCTCTAATGAGGGTGTTGGATTTTCGTTCCTTGAAGGCGACACAGGGAAGAGAATGGATCGGGACCCGAAGATGACTAAAAAGAGAGTCCGGGAAAGATCGACGCTTACGCTTGGCTTCCCCGTGGTTCCCGCATATCTACTTAGCCTGTCCGGGAAACAAACTAGAACCCATCTATGTACTAATTTCAAACACCGGTTTGCTTCGATTTGTTTCTTTTGGTGGGGGTTTACACTAATTTGAACAAGAAACAGTCTAAGATGTCACAAATGAGTTCTTCAAATGCATCAGTTTCGTTAAATCAAGTTAACTCCAGCTTCTAAAGCGATTCGTTAAAGTTCAAAGATCTCCTTCAACTGCTTCATGGTATCATCAGGGCCACAGACCGAGTGACCAATAGTGCGAGGGTCTGAGTAAATCTCATAATCATTGCCTCCGTCAAAGCACTTATCCCCAAAGAAGTGAATATTCTTATACTCAGTGCCAGTGATCTCCTTCTTAGCAGCAACGTGTTGCAAACAGTAGGTCTTGTCCCACCCAGTAGGGAAAACATCAAACGAGATCTGACCACCAATGGAGAAGCTTTATTTAACAAGTTAGACACATGCGTATATAGAAGATATTCTCTGCATTGCCAAGAACTTACCTGAGGCCGTAGCCTGAAAACTGTCTCCTCAGGGCTTCCACCATATCTTTTCGAATATTATAGATCTTGTCATACCTAATAGAGACCATCAGCTAGACAGCTCGATTATGCGCCATAACGTAAAAGAAATCCTTAAGAAAAGTGTAAACTCACTCCTCAAATTCGTTTCGCTCATCCACGCTGGCGTTACGTCCAATAGGGCTAACGTTAATCATGCCGTTGCGGAACTCGACGAATGTTCCACGCTTCATTGGTAGTTTGACCTTGGATATATAACCCAAACAAAAATTTGCCAGCTCCTGGTATTTATCCTCTCCAAGCCATTGTATGAAGCTGTTGCTGGAAAGCGGTTTACCGAGCCGGTACGCAACGAGACCGTTTTCGGGGAAACAGATGTCAAAAAGAGTGGTCACGTCGACGTTGGAAGATCCCAGCTGCTCTTGTTGTTTGACAGAATTCGAACCGCCCACCTGAGGAAAGTTAGGGAAATGGGGCGATGGTCGATATACTGGATGGAAGAATTACAGACGTAGCCTATGGCGCACTTGTGTCGCAGGCGCGAGCGTAGTTCGAGCATATCTGGTGTGACAGTCTAGAGAGACGTATTGCATGTCAGCCGGTTTCAAGTTGATGGTGAGCTACCCCGGATAATTAGACACCATACCCGTCTGGCTTTGGTCAAAGTTTCGTCAACATCGAAGAGCACAATGTTGTCATTAAGTGGACGGGCTTCCAACGGGGGGTAAACACCGGTAGCTGTGGTCATGTTGTTCGATGTAGATAAATAAATACCTAACGGATTGAAGCAACAGTACTACTTGGAATGCTATGGTATGAGCCTTTGAAGCGATGAATTGGTAGAATCGAGTCGTTCAAGTTTTTACCCGGAATTGAGAGGAGCCATAGATCTATGAGAGCCTATTGTGTCACCATGACTGCAATCTCAACTCGCGGGCTAGTACTAGTATAGTTAAGATATCTGTAGTGCACACCAATTTATGTCAATTTATAAATACTACCACATTGTATATTCATTATTTACATTCATAGAACCTACCTAAGAAACCAAAAGCATTAAAATCCATCATATCGCATAAATGTATGCCCAAAATCCCAAATCCCACTTATTCCACATTCCCACCCAGTCCGATTTCTTCAAGAAACCCAACCAAACGCCACAATTCAATCTTCACAGAAACTACAATAACACATTAACTAGCGTCCCATAGTAGTCTGAAATACCTTCGCAGCAAGTTCACTTAAGAGTCTCGTCCGGTCCGGCGTTGGAAGGTCCAAGAAAACCTCATAAACACTTTTGCCCTTCGCATCTCTCACCGCGCCCAGACGATTCCCAGCAACCGCACCCGCCAAAGCTCCAGGAACATTTCCAACAATGAATCCAAGCGCACCACCACTAACACCTCCTAAAACGCCCCAGAAGCGAGAAGTAGGACGGGTCCGTCCACCGTCTTCTTCTGCTAGTCCTTCCTCACGTAGCATTTCTTCGAAGACAGAGCCGAACTGATCTGAGTCGCGCTCTTCACGAGATCCAGATCCGGACCCGGAGCCAAAGAAGCCTGACCATGGGAAACTACCTGCTCCACCGGGGACTTCTTCGTCGACTTCTGACTCTGCTTCCTCGTAGGCTCGGGTCGTATCGTACTCGCGTCGACGTTGGGGATCGGATAGGGTATAGTAGGCATCGTTTATCTCTTGGAATTTGCGGGTTCGAGAGGATCGTTCGGGTGAGTCTGCGGGGACTCGATCGGGGTGGGTTTTCAGTGATTCCCTGTAGGTGGTTAGTTTTATACATTGGGCCGCAAGAATAGTGGGCTGTGGGATATGACTAGGTTAAACTGGTAGTTTTGCTTGTCAGGTATACCTTTTGTACGCAGTACGAATCTGCTGCTGGGTGGCATCTTTAGAGATGTTGAGGATCTTGTCTGTGGCCAAGTCAGCAATTAGCCTCGTTTAAGGTGGGCGTGATCTTCGTCTTACAGTAATCGGGAGTCTCTATAAGTTGAGTCGAAATATATTAGTTATATGAAGAGTATAATTAGAGGTCAAATCAACTTACTCGACATGATTCTCTTGAGGTATTCGAAATCCACAGGCCAGAGTGTGAAAAGTACGAGAAAAGTTGGAACAAGACGGTAAATAGATTAAAGCAATGGCAGTGACGTCGTTGTTGCCTGAGGCGTCAACATTGGAAGCATGTGAACTGACACTTTGGCGCCTTAACTATGAGGTGTCTAATCTAACCCCCTGCAGACACAATAAATCGAGGTGTTTTACTCCCCAGCCACCTTGATTATCATCAGGGGCAGATTCATCTGATTAGTCCCCCTCCCGGTTGTATTTTACTATTTGTCCCCATACTCCATACAGGTACAATCGAATCTTGATTAATTCCAACCTGTCACCGTCATTCCCCATCATCTCGCATTCTTCCTCCTGCAGCAGATCGAGGGTGGAGTAGATGTACGCAACAGTCTAGACCGACAGATTGCGCCTCCTGCAGCTTCTAGCGGCTCACCTGCATCTGTTTTTTTTTCTCTCTCTCACTGAATTGCCACACGGAGGCGAAGAGAAGACATAAATCCGTTCAAAGAAGGCCCAAAGAAATAAACATCCTTCTTGACACCATTTAGAATACTGGACCATAAACTCGGTTGACCACCCCGCAACCTCATCTTGCATCGATCGGTCTGAACAAACGAGACAGACAAGCTTGACATCTGTCGTCTCCCGCAAGAAGGACGCACGAGGCAATACCCACAGCAAGGAACAGAACAGAATACATACAAGATGGGTTGGTTTAGTGGCCCATCATCATCCTCGGTCTCATCGAATGCAAATGGCTATGTCCGTCGCCGCGCGAGCTCTCCGCACCACAAACCAAGCTACTCAACCTATCACCGAGGACACTCCGCACCATCCATCTTTAGCCTAGGTCGTGGAGGAGGTGGAGGAGGACGCTCCAGTCCCTCCGTATTCTCATCCTTCTCCTCATCATCACGTCGGGCCCGACCCCGCGACGGATTCATACAACGTCTCATCCGCTCCATCAAGAAGCTATTCCGTGATATCTACCGCTACGCCAAAAACCACCCTATGAAGGTGTTTATGCTCGTCATCCTCCCACTACTTACAAGCGGTATTCTACCTAAGTTGTTAGCTATGATTGGTGTCCGAATTCCCGGTGGAGTTCTGAGTGCCCTTGGTGGCTCCTCACATGGGGCACGAGGAATTGGGGGAATGGAGAACAAGGGACTCTCGGATAGCGTCAACTCGCTGGTTAGCTTGGCTAAGGCATTCTCCTAAGCGATGCAAAAGGAGACCTGAATGGAATCTGATTTTGCGGCCTTTAATGACTGTGATGATATACTCATAGCACCTCGTTTCCTGTGTTTTCTATGTTTCCTATGTCTGTCAATCTTTGTTTCCTCGGTCTCTTGTCATGAGATGTTTTGTGCGTTGAAGGCTTGCTGGAATTTCTGCCAGTCTGCATTCGTCTTGTTCATAAGAAAAGAAGAAAAGATAAAGGAAAGGAAAATGTGCCATATAGAGAACGAGAGAGAAGATGATTGAATTTATGAATTGAAGAAAGAGTTTTTTCGGAACATTAGGGGTCTGTCTTATGCTTAAATACTCGAGTCGGTCAAGATCAGTACCCAACAGTGGATAATGGCCCCATTGGAGCTCCTATATGGGGCTAGGGGGACTTTGTGGCCGACTATGACTGGTAGTTTCGCAGGATCAAGACTAACAGTGGGGAGGGGACTGGAGAACGATGAACTAGTTCCCACCCCTACAATTACTGCATCTACAAGGGATGCGATCGGTGGACCATAGTTTCTATGAAGCCATCATTGGCTCAATTTGTCTATTCAAACTTTTCTTTTTCTCCAAAGGGGAATCACTATCGTAGCAAAAATGATGTCATGGTAGGCGGCTCAACTTTATATGCGAAGTATTTCACCTTTTCCAGGCTCCTGATTATGATCGCTGGGCCTTCTTACCACGGCGACGGGCTGAGCGCCCATTCGACTTCGAGATTGATGTGGACTCGGTAGCTTCTTCAACAAGATCCTCGAGCTCCTCAAAGGCCTCCTCCTCCTCCTCCTCATACGCTGAAGTGCCAATAATACGACCAACAGTCTTCTGGAAGCACCAGATAGGAAGTTTGCAGACAATGGTATCCCGAATAGAAGGACGCTGGATCTCATCCACATCCAAGAGGAACTCCTTGCGTTCACCTTCTTCCGTCTCTTCCTCTAAGAAGACATTGCCGGTAGCTTCAACGATCAAGACCTTGCCATTCTCCGCGACAACCCTCTTGCGTTCCCCAGTTGAAACAACTCCCTCAGTAGGAGTGGAGGTACCCGAGCTACGTGCCGGTGCTTTACCACCACCCTTTTTCTCCTTGCGATTCTCCTTATCCATCATCCGCTTCTGGCGCCGATTGACCGAAACAGCTGTAGGCTCCGACTCCGAAGAAGGCGCAGGTGCCGACGAACCAGCAGAGTCAATACCAGGGATACCACGAACACCCAATTCATCACCCCATGCCGCACGACGGGCTTGACGAATATACCGATCGACAAATTCACGCTGTCGCTTCCAGCTCAGAATCAAGGCACCGTAATGAGCGCCACCGCCAAACACGAGGAAAAGACCTGTCAGCACCGTACCAAGACCCGGTCGGAAGCGAGTGTAGTAGTATCCTGTTCCTTTCCAGAGGGGAAAACCATTCTTGAGGAAGTGATCGTAGCGTTCACGGGTTGGGCCACGTAGGATATTGGCGACGGTGTTCAGGCGAGCGGCGCGGGCGTTGGCGTCCTTGACGGCGGTCTCGATTTCTCGCTTGGAGGGACTGGAGTTGACATGGACACCTGGCTTGGTAGTTTTGGACTTGCTCTTGTCCTTGGCGTAGTCGGCGATGAAGGAGCGCTTCACCTTGTCCGGGTGGAGGGTTCGGGACTTCTGGCGATGGGCTTTGGTGATTTGATCGTGGTTTGCGTTTGGGCGAATTCCGAGGAAATCTGGAATAAGAAACAATTAGGCGAAATGGTTTTTTATTTTATTTTTTGCTTCAATATCGAAAAGGGGAATCATGTACCGTAGAAAGTGGTATTGGTCCCTTCGGCGGAGGCGACCTCATCCCGCAGACGGAAGATCTCATAGTCTGTTCAAATCAAGTGGTTAGGAATTGAGGCAGCATAATTGTTATAGGCAGATTAATTCATACCTTCTTTCGACCAGGCAGCAGCCAGGCCTATGAAGACCAAGAGGAGGGGGAGGATGATGGGCTTCATGGTTGGGGGAGGTGGAGGGAACAACAAGCGGACCAGAAAAAAAGGACAGAGAAGTACTTAATAGTAGTGGTAGTAGTAGTAGTAGGGGGGGAGAGGTGGCTTGTTAGTACGGGGAAGGGATCAACCACATGTGCACACTAAGTAAATACTACTATATCACTACAAACTCTTATAATGATAATAACAATGAGACTGTAGATACATTATAGTTCTTTATTATATACATATCTAATATTTCGACCCATCATCTCCAAATCAGATACATCATTCAGTCCGAACCAGCGGTGGGGACTTGGTCCCAAGCCCATGCGCGTTGCATAACGGAGTCTTCGCTGGCCCAATGGAACAGATGCATGAAGAGTCTGACTCAACACGAACAAGTGAGGGGAAGACACCGTATTTAATGCGTTGTTCACCTAATTCTACCTGATTCTCTTGTTTTTTTGTTTTTCTCCCTTTGCACCCAGATCAGATTCTATTCATCATGTTCTAGTTCCACCACCATGATGAATCTACTCCGGATTCTGGTATAAGTGTGGATGCCATTTCCGCAAACAAACAAATACAGAATCAAATACACAAAACCAGAGACCAATTCGGAGGAAATACACTGGTACACCAATGATTATGATCTAAGACACCCCTCACTCTTCTGGTCTCTTGGTCCTTTATGATTGTTTCCTGGTCTATTCTTAGCTGAAGGCTGCAATCAAAAAGCGGAGTCTTCTTCTCGAATCAAAAGGGGCAAAAAAAGGCAGAAAAATAAAAAAAAAAGAGAAAGAGTTGTCATCTTCGTGTTTTCCCCCTTTGGCATATCTTGCTACAATCTCGGGTCTTTTCTCACTTTTTAAACATCTCTTGTCTCTCTCTCTCTCTCTCTCTCTCTCTCTTTGTTTTAATTCCACGATATTTCAAATCAATTATACAACCATGGCTATCCAAATCCCCATTGACGCCATCACCTCGCGATTTGGCGATCGCTTTAACAACATCCGCAGCCAGTCCCTGGGAACCCGCTTTGCCAACCTGCGCCCGGTCTCAGAGTTCTTCGATGTAAAGCGCTTGTCAAAGCCCGCCAACTTCGGCGAAATTCAAAGCCGTGTCAACTACAACCTCTCCTACTTCTCCAGCAACTATGCCGTCGTCTTTGTTATGCTCAGCATCTACAGCCTGCTGACCAACTTCGTTCTCCTGTTTGTTATCATCCTCGTTACATGCAGTCTGTACGGAATTGGTAAACTGGAAGGTCGCGATTTGGATGTTGGTTTCCGTCGTTTCAACACTTCTCAGCTCTACACTGCGCTGATCTGTGTCGCCGTACCCCTGGGTCTCTGGGCGTCGCCCTTCGCGACGGTCCTCTGGCTCATCGGCGCAACTGGCGTGACTGTCTTCGGTCACGCTGCATTCATGGATAAACCTATCGAGAATGCTTTTTCCGAGGAGGCGGTCTAGGTGGTCGGCCGCGAGCTCCTTACGATACGCCCCGATGGGGAAGACCACCGGGGGCACGAATGGGGAGACACAATGGGGGACGAGCGCAATGGGAAGATGCACGGGTGGAGGAAATTATAAGCGATAATGAAGATGTGTTTGGGCGGGAGATGATGCGGGGTGGTCGGTACATGCGACAACAGGAATATGGTGGCCGAAGTCCACGCAGACGATTGGAATATGGAGACTTGACCGATGAGACCGAATCGGTCATGGATGGAGGAGACTACGATCTTTATGACCATGAAGATAGTGTGGTGGCCTATGCGGTTCAACTGGCCATGCGAGATAAGGAGGATCAACTGGTGGACCAGGCATTGGAGCGGATTCGCCGCGCACAGGTCCTGGGCAAGAGTAACGTTCGGCTCTCAAAATCAGAACTGGCAGCATTGGAGCGGAAACGACAACAGACGGATACCGCCAGTGCCAGTGGGATGCAGCGCAACAGGAAAGGAAGTGGGAGCAATTCGCGACCATCATCTCGACGGAATGGGCATACAGTTCCATTGGAGCAACAACAACAACAATTTCAACCGCCGCAGATGGGGCCCTATCCACCCTTTGCGCCGCCAGATGCTCAATGGAATCGGACTGCAAGTCGACCATCCAGTTCCTCATCGGCGAATCGACCACGAACCCCGACGATGCAGTCGTTGCGACCGCAGCAATCTATCTCCCCGCTCCGACCTGCTGGTTTTCCATCGTTTCCCGACCGTATGCCTCCCAATGCTCGCCCTCAATCCATGCAACAGCCTCTTGCGTATCCTCGGCCCTTACCGGACGACCCGTCATGGGCACCACCGTATTACAATCCAATGCAAATGAATTCTTATGCGTCGGAGCAACCTCAATACCAGTCACAACTACCTGCGGAACTTCGGGTCGGACCTCAAAGTCGGATGAGTTATCCTGCGGGCATGTCGCCTATTCAAGCTCAACATCGACAGTCAGTGAATGGGCGACGACGATCGTCGGGCACATCGCAACCGCAGGCTACTCCTCCAGAAAGTGAGGAAGAGACCTCGAGTGAAGAAGAGACGGAGGATAGTGATGATTCCGATGTACAGATCGTGCGAGTTGTGGAGCGTCAGGCTGCGGTTCCAGTTCCGGCTCCGGTTCAGGTTCAAGTACCAGCTCCAGTTCAAGTTCAAGCTCAAACCCAAGCCCAACCTTCTCCTGGTCTTCAGAGACGTCGAGTTTCTGGTGGTAAACAGGGTCGTCAACGAACCAAACGGTGATGAGTGAATGTGTGTCCAAGTGTCTCCCCTATTACAAAAATGCCCTCGTGACTTTTTGCTTCTTTTTGGTGTTTCACGGTCTCTGCCTCATCCTTTTTTTCTCTTTCTTTTCTTTTCTATTTCTTCAGTATTCTTTTGCCTCATAGCTTCTTTGTTATAATTATTTCGGCCCTCCATCCTGTCTGTCCTGCACCGGCGTCCGGTAGATCGAGTTCCCATTGAAAATAGATTCCCTTTTCAGTTAAATTTAAAAGTAACATATGACTATCTAAATTGCACTGTTGTTCTTGGCCTGTATATATTGCCACAAGGCTCGTGGCTGTGCTATTGGCTGTATACAGTCACCAGCATTAATTCCTTACAATATCATAAATAGAAACAAAATCCAGCTGATCCCAGTGTTAATATTCGTCAGCACATGCAGAACCACCGAATGAACCTGAAATTCAGATTATTATTGTGGGGCATAATGACCGGAGTACGTAGGATGAATACAGTCTGGAGTGCATGATGCCTTGGCAGACGATGACGTCGGTCGCACTCTTTTTAATTCCGGTCCTTGCTGCTACTCGCGCTACTTGCCTACTTTTCAAAGCTCTGGCAGGGCTTTCCATCCTCTTTTTCACCTATCTTGCACATCCCCCGTCTCTATTGAATTTCCTTTTCTTCTTTCCTTTCCCTTTTCATTCTCAATTCCGTCGCGTACCTGGATTCCATACCGGGCGCGCCACACCCGGCTATTCCTCACGGACTCTTAAAGCCAAATCTTAAATTTAGGCGTGCAGGCGATCCTCTCTTAGCGCATGGAATAACTATACAGCCGTTGGTACATATCGGGTTCTTGAATAATTATCATACGTCAAGAGAGTTCATATTGTTGTGAGTTTTATATCCATCTCCATAGTTGGGGAAAGGGGTTATATGCTGCCCGGCTCTGCACGGAAAAGGCAGATCAAGGACAATGGCTAACATGACGATCTCCCAGACCAAACCCTCACATAGTCCCTCGAACTCTCTCTCCCTCCAGGCCCGCATTCTGCTGTCGCGTCAAGGTCTCGGCATTTCTAAACCGTACTTAATTCTTAATTCTATCCCATCTTCCATCTCGTTAGAGGGAAGAACAAAAACGACAACAATAGAACAGAGTTGGGTATATTTGCAAAGATGTGGATTATTTCCTTTTGGGTCTTTCCGATCATCTCGGCCTGCATGTGGGTTGGTAAGTGGATATAACTTCCCTTATCTTGATCATATTGTTGATCAGGTGGCGATCGCGTCGGAAATCTAACCAGCATGAACTCATAGCGATGTTGATTGCCATGCTTGTTACATGGGTCAGAGATGGCGAACCAATTTACCCTGCTATGCGCAATGCAAATGGAAGCACTGATGGCCAAACTATTGCGTATGATATACCTTCCTTGCTCCTTTTCCCCCTTGCAGACGATTGTCGCGTTCATACAGATCACGATGCTAACAAAGCTATTTCTACAGGTACATTTCTGATGTTGGGGCCTACGGTGCACAGCCTCTATTCATTACTGGTAGTGTGATAACTGTTGTTTTTCTGGACTTGGCCATCTTGTCAGAGCGCTGGCTTCGACATGCTGGCCAATTGGTTCCAAACAAGGGCTGGATCGACAAGACTTGCGCTATCCTCTCGATCTTTTTCGCCATTGCCGGTGCTGCTGGTTTGATCCTCTTGTCTATTTTCAATACTGCCGATTATCCTAACCTACACGATGGGTTCCTAGCCCTGTTCATGTAAGTCATTGTTTCGATCTTGATTTCCCAAGAAACCTACCCTCTCGATGGCCGGTCGCTAAGTGGATATCCTTACACAGTGTCGGATACTTGATCAGTGCTATTCTGATTTGTGTCGAGTATCTGCGAATAGGACTATTCTATCGATCTCAGCACCGCGTTCTCCTGGTCAGCTTTTGTATCAAGCTCTCTTTCGTGATCATTGAGATTGCCCTCGCCATTGCATTCGGCGTCCTCCACCAAAGCAGTAACGGCAAGAACAAAAACCCCGCCGCTGTCATTGAGTGGGTGATTTCATTTGTCTTCACTGGATGGGTTTTGTCCTTTGCTGTCGACCTTCTGCCTTCGGTTCGTACTCGAAAGCACGTTCCTCAGGGTGAGAAGCGTCAAACTATGTCCATGGCCGAAGCACATGATGAGGTACCTACTGCCTCTTTGGAGGAACCCCTGACGACCGACTCAGCCAACTATTACAGAGGTCAACGGGTGTAAAATAATTACATATTCGGAAGTTTTCAAGAAACATTTACATCTCTTGATTCATCATCATTTTCATGAATTTATTATATCTGCAAGCTGATATCTGCTTACACGTGCAACCTGATTCAACGCGTTCCCATACAATCTCCCTTTTTATACAACATACCTGTCATGGCAATATGTAAATTATTTGACCATTAATAATGCTTTGTTCTAACGACATAATGGGAACAAGACAATCGTCTAATACCAAACCAATCCAATTTAATTCAATTTCGTATAATCTGTTATGTTTTCGGGTTCTGGTACCCCATTCAAGTTATTATCGTATCCATGCATATCTACATAAGAATCCCATATCGAGTACAGCCACCGAGAAAAACTCAGTACTAGGTAGTAATATCCCAAAACCATGATAGCAAAAAGAAAAGAAAAACAAAGCCCCACCATATTAAGCAAGTATCTTCTGTCGAATAGTCTCCTGCATGGAATCATTGATCCCAATCCCATTTAAATAACCCCGAACACCATCATAATGCACCCGCAAATACTCAGTGGTATCATTCACAAAACCAGGCGGACAGCGTGTATATTCCTCTCCAAGACCCACGGCACGAATCTCACGCATCCGCTCTTCAAATTCAGGAACAAGCTCCAGCTCCGAGCGCGTATAATCATCAATAACTGCATATGTCAAGACATTATCACCAGCCAACAAGAGCATCATCAAGATGATTAGGCCTGTCCGGTCTTTGCCTTGTGTGCAATGAACTAGAATCGGATATGATTCGTCCTTAGCAAGGAGTTCAAATACAGTGCGCAGCTCTGTCTTGGATGCATCTAGTGTATCTTGCGCGAGTCCTGTTAATCCTCGCGGTTGCATAACTTGTTCTCCAACGATACGGATCGCTTGGCCGCGATACCCGGTTGCTGCCATGGTTATTACTTTTCTGGATTTCGGTTAGCTGGCTGTTTTCGCCCACATCAACATCCACAAACTTGAACCTATGTCTTAGGTTCCAAGTTGAGAAACGGTGGACATACATATAATTCATCCAGTCAAGTCTCCACAGTAATGTGCGCTCCAAGGATTTCCCTGTTAGACTGATCATGCATCGCTGAGACTCTGGGATATCCAAGAGATGCTCATATGCGTTCTCGGGGACTGGGATCTCCATCAGATCCGTCTCGGAACCATTTTCACTCAAGCCGGCATTTTCTGCAACGCGCTTTCGAGTAGCCATTCGATGTTCAGTTCTGTGAAGTGTTAGTCAACATGATTTGTTGAGTTATCATTATCATTAGATAACGTAGCAGATAAGGTAAGAGAAAAAGCATAGCTTACACTGATCGTAGATCTATCACGGTGGCAATGTGTAACTCATCTGCTAGTCGGCGCTTATCTCGTTCTGATGCATCGTCCAGCTATAGTAGTTCAAATCAGCGATTGATATTCCATCATACTCCTCAAGAAGATAAAAAGAAATAGAACTCTATTTACCCTGGCACTGCGGAAAAGCACCCCCTCTTTTAAAATCCTATATTACAGTGTCAGAAAGAAGCGAGATACAGCTGCCTTTAATCCAACGATGAATATCGCAGGAGTAGCAGTCAATCAGGGAGCTTGGAAGACGTACGTTGTGCCGCAAAACTGGTTAATTGTCCTTCCAACATCACGAAAGTTGATAATGTTGTCAAATGGCCGATCCGGCGAATCTAAATCGATACTGGAAGAGCGAGCCATGGAAACGAATACAAAACAATCATTTACAATAGAACAGAAGCAAGAACGAACAAGACAAGACTTGGAATGTTTTTTTTCTTCTTCTCTTTCCCCTTTTTCTTTCTGTTTCCAAAGCAATGAAGGAGAAAGAGAGACGGTAAATGGCGGTGGGAGAGAAACGTTGGGCAGGAAAACCCACATGCACCAAGTTTCTGCTTTCCGCCCTGTTTCTGGCCTGAGCTCTCCCCTGTTTCCCCGGGATCCACTTAAGCTACAACACATCATCATGATTGCCTTGGAAATGGGAAAGGAGTTCATTGGATATTATTCTTTCTTTGAAATCTGCTGATCTGTTGATCTGCTGACCCACAGATACTCTGCAGCTACATATCATGTGATTTTATATTCATCGTCATCCACATCAAGCATACTGACTCCGATCATTCTTCCAACGAGGCTGCAAGTACGACCAATCCTGGTTAAAATCAAATCCAGTACGATAAGCACCATAAGCACTCAGTTCAATCTGGTCAAGCTGAGCTCCTTCCTCTGTCAATGCCCACAAACTAATAGCCAAAGTATTTTCACCCCGATTATTGATAACACCGGGAGGGAACGGAAACAGAGTCTGGGGACCAAGATACGGCAAATAATGACCGAACTGGTAGCCATTCATAAAAATCTGCACAACAGCAGTAGTGTTGTCGGGGGAACCAAGCTGCAGACCTATAGGTACATCCAAGTCTGAATCCAAATCCAGTCTGAAAGTTGTGGTATAGAAACGACCCTCCGCGCCCGAGACACCGTCTAGCGGCGTCTCTTTTCCAGCTGTCTTCGGAGGTGTATAACCAGGAAGATGCCAGCCTAAGCGCTCTCCGTGAAGTCCGCCTTCGTTCATAGGCCCACGCACGGGGTCAATGTTAGCTTCACCGCCAGCGTTGCCTTGGATACGCCATGAAGTGAAAGTGGCGCCAGATAGTGTGGCACCAAGGATTCCTCGGGGGTTCTGTGGACCATCTGGCTTGACACTGGCTTCGTCGTGTCCAGTATAATCCATAATGACTGTTAAGACATTATCAGTGTCAAGAAGGAGAGACTGGTTAAATGAAAGGACAGCCGTGGTCGCTGCTAAAGCAGGATCACCCAAAGCACCACCGACATAGGCTCCGTTAACCCAGGCTGCCCAGCCAGCTCCGGCACCACTTTGCACCGTGACGTTGGCACTTGTCGCATTAGTTCCATCGAATCGGCCGCGGTAGATCTTCGTACCGGGATTGAAGCCGTAGTCGCCAGAATAGAGAACTGGTAATGTAAGTGGTGCGACAGCATTAACGGTCGTCGTCTTGTTGCAAACCACCCAGCGGGAGTCATCGTATTCTCGCTGGATCTCTGGAAGTGCGTCTTGGGATTTCCAGGAAGTTAGAGCTGGAAGTGAGATTTTGGCGGATTCCGCTCCAGGGATAGAGCCTGTTAGACTGCCATATGCCGTCTTCTTTGTCGTTATTGACTTCCCATTCCATTTAATCGTGGTAACCTTGGAATCACCGGCGTATACCCTAGTTTCGGTACATTAGTACTTGAAGGTACATGCATTCACATGGATTCCAGGGCAAGACTTACTCGATAGAGGTTGTATTGGCATTGTCACCAACTAGACTGATAGTCTTTCCGGAGATGGTTGCTTCGCGGACTAAATAAGGGCCCAGAGCAAGGATCTGTTCACTCGGTGACACATAGGGATTGGATGTTGTGGGAACTGCAAAAAAGTTCCATGCTGTTTCGGTTTCCAGGAGATATACAAGAATACCGTTGGAAAATTTGAGAGCTGTTGCGCCTTCTCCTTGAGTATATGTGTACTGTGTCCCAGATCCCGATGTCGTCGAGCTAGTCACGTTGGAGTTTCCATATGTCTTGAACGTTAGATGTGTCGGTGGGTTCTTAAAGGCAAAGCTCGCCTTCTGACCAGCATTCAGGTAGAAGACAATGACGTCTTCGTCCAACGTGGCATAGGTCAGAACCTCTGCAGATGAATAGAGCAGACTTGAAGCCTTGCCAACTTCGTAATCTGTAACTATTATCTTGCTTTGTCGACCATCCAGTTCGATGTCTGGAATTGAAATGGCACCTAGAAACGAGACAGAGTTCAATACTTGGAACTTAGCTTTTGGGGATTGTAAGTGCACATACCAGCAGAAGTATCAACATTCAATGAAAATGTTGTTACATCTCGAGACGAACTTGTGTCATGAGCAAGAACGTAGAACCCAGCCTGAGTATCAGGATTGCGCAAAGCCCAGGTATATATACTATCATCACTTGTGTAACCGGTACCATTTCCTTGCATTTCAGTCTTCAAAAGACCTGACGAAACACGAGTAAAAAGACCCAAAAGTTTCGTTTGTTTAATCTTATCACGGAGTTCACGAGTCTCACGCAAAGGCGCACTGTAGTCGTAGGAAGTATATACAACCGGCGCAGCACTGTGGCCCCAGTTTGTACCTCCAAAAACCATATATAAGTTCTGTAGAGTTACCCGGGAGCCGATATTGTTCTTATAATAAACATCAACAAACTCCGGGGACTGTTCCTCAGTGCATTGATCATAGAAGTATCCACCCCATGGCTGGAAATACCCACCTTCGAACTCGGGCAAGAACTCAGGCTGTGTATACGAGTAGTTCTGAAACCATTGATAGTATGTTCGAACGAGAGTAAATCCCGAGTTCGGATTAGTGCAAGAAAGTCCACCGGGGTAGGAATCCAATCCATATACATTGACAGCACCACCGACATCTTCATAATCAGTAGACCAGCTCTCAGAACGCATACCCTTTTCATTAGAAGTGCTGGGAACAATGACGCCTGCAGCGTCAAAAGCAGCGGTAATCTGCTCCATATACTCGACCAGAGTGTTGGTCGCCGAATGGGTTGTTTCTTGTAGCTCATTCTCGTGTTGAATCAGAATGACTGGTCCACCATTGGTAATTTGATTACGAGCAATGATGGCACCGATCTTTTCGGCCCATGGGTACCATCGATCATAGTATGATGTTGCGCTTGTGCGCGCATCGCCCATTTGTCCATTCGATGCCCATAGCGCAAAGCCACCAGCAGATGTCTCGCCATTTACATAAGGACCTGGCCGAGCAATGATGTACAGACCAGCTTGCTTAGCGTAATCAAAGACGCGCTGGATATCATGGGCTCCCGATTCAAAATCGAAAACGTCCTCTGAAGCCGAATGAAAACTCCAGAAGAAATATACTTGTGAAAAGTTAGAAACAGAATACGATAGGAAATATGCTGGACACTTACTTGAAACAGCGTTGAAGCCATTCGCGCGTAGTTTCTGAAAGACATCAAGCCACATCTCCGGTACCGGAAGTCGCACATAATGAAACTCCCCGGAGAAGATAAATACTCTCTCGCCCTTGACTGTGAGACTGTATTGATCCCAAGTTACCTCAGTCGTCTTGTTGTTGCTAGTCGCATCAACAAGACGACTCGAGAGCCCCAAAAGAAGGAGCGAGATAATTGCAAGAAGACGCATGGTCTTGAAAGAGCCCGGAAAATCTGATCAGCACCATGATTTGAATTGAGCTTCAGTGGTATAAATTAGTTCCTGGGGCCTCGGTACTCGTGGTAGCATTATCCCGGTCGTGATGTCGGATTGGTGGATGTTTTCCAGATCAACCGTTGACACTTTGGGCAATTCTCCAAGCGATGCGGGGTCAATGATGTGACTAGCTTTTTGAGATGTATAACATAAAAACACCATGCAGGCTCGAGAGCTATGGACAATTTCAAGGGGTCTAAGCTGACTTGCTTGATACAACCCTATTTTAATCTAATGGATATTCCTAAGCCTGGGGTGTGAATTTAACCTTGGAAGAGTGTCATGCAATCCACGTGAGTAATGAAGAAGAGACAATATACAATCCAGTTACAGATACCAGCAGTAAAGATTATTTGGAAGCTATTCGATTAAGAGAATCTCAAAATATTGCTTAACTGGATCGTGTATTAATAGGAAACTTTGGAATAGACAAAACACCACCAAGAATCATCATAATGTTCAAAATTCACCCAGTTACCGTTAAAATCATCAAATACAAACCCTCAAATCGCCAGTAAACCTCCTTAATAATAGCACAAAGTGATATAAATAACATGAATATTAGTTAGAGACCAACATGTGATATTATCATGAAAGATCCTCAGAAAATCGCGACTCTCGACCAGTGCTAGTACTTTCCCCCAGGATTGGAGGCACAGGAAGACCCTGGTCCGTAGCACTCTCTCTCAAGTTTGTGAGATCGGTGCCGTGAACCTTAGTCTCAGGCACATCGGAATTTCGCGAAAAGAAACCATGGGATGCGCCGTTGGTCTTGGGCTCATCGGTGCGAGAGGGGCTTCTCAAGAAAGTTTTCCGGAAGCTCATCCTCTTGCTCTTGCGGTTGCCATTTGTTTCAAACTCGAAGCTTCCATTGGAGTCATCGCTGGTACTCTTAGTCTTGTTCACATCTAGACTACCATTGCGAGCGGGCTCACTCTGATCTAGGTCATCGCCGGAGACGGGGTGCGAGCCAAGCGCTGCCCCGCGAGATTCAGGTCTGCCGGTTAGTGCAGCGCCGCCGCTAAATCCAATACTACTTTCGCTGCGATTGTATTCTGGACCAGGCTGGTGGGGGTAAACGCGCACCGGCCCACTGGAACGACGGACAAGTCTATCACGGAACCAGGTCTTCAGCTTAGAGTCTGCTCGAGGACTGGTGATGGGCCGGATAACATGCATAGGTGCTATGCTACCGCCAACAGCAGCAGCATCTCGTGGGGTGGTCAAAGACCTTCCAACCATGCCGGGGCGCCCACTAAATTCAATGGGCTCGGTAATGGTCACTGGGGCTCCAATGTGAGCAGCGGTGACCATAGTAGCTGGGGCAGCTGGGGCAGCTGCTTCGGAGGCTTCGGGGGTTTCCACCGAAGCAGGCTCAGGCTCTGCCTTTGGTTCCTCCTCAGACTCTTCATTCAAAGCTGGACCGGCACCTATAGCAACGGGCTCCTCTGTGGCCACCTCCGGGGCGGTCACCTCTGGCGCGGCCTCGTCCTGCACTACTAGCGCCTGCTCATGGCTCTTTACCTCCGCCGTGGCCTCCTGAGCACCAGTAGCACCGCCTTCTCTCGATGTCGGCCTCCCCTGTCGAGATAGTTTGCTCTTTGTTCTCCATAACAAGAAGCTCATGCCTTTGCTATGACGCTTCTCTTTATCGGCACCACCTGCATAACAAAAAAGTTAATTCACACCCTGACGATAAGTCATTAACCAGGATTACCAACCTTTGTTTTGACCCTCTGTAAGTCTGCTTAAACTAGCCTCGCGCTCCCTCTCTATCGCGGCACGTCTCTGTTGCTCCTCTGCATCAAGGCGGGCTTCTAGTTCTTGAGCCCTCCGCTGCTCTGCGTTGTCGCTGATTTCGTCCAGCGTTGGCTGAAGACGGTTACGTGCAACGGCCTCCACATCAGCCATATCCATGTACTGATTACCTCCGATATTAATTCGGTTCCCATGCGCACTGGCTGCCTCGACAGCTTCAGCCTCTCGGCGGGCACGCTCATGGGCAGCATCATCCCATTCTCTTTGAAGAGATGGCGGAGCACGACCGGTGTCGGCATACATCTTCTTGTCCATGCCCTGCATCGTCGCATTGACATTACGCTGTGCTGCCAACATGAGTAACTCACGATCCTTGGTCCTTTTCTCATCCACTTGGTTCAGTTTACTTCGCAGACTGAACATTTGATTGCGGATACGTCTTGATTGCTCTGCGTCTACCTGAGTTACATCTGCGTCGCTGGATGTTCTCTTTCGACGAGTGGTCAGGCGGGACCGTGGAGGTTGTGGCGCAGTTCCATAGTAATTTTGGAGCTCGGCGTGGTCGTTTTTCATAAGCGCTAGTTTCTCGGCGGCCCGTTTCTGGGCAGCTTCTTGAAGGGTCATCGCTCGTTGAGCAGTAGTGCCCTCAACTCCGCTAATAGTCTTCCGCGACTGAGATCGATCTGAGCCCCTTTGTGCTGCCTGTAGAGCAGAGTCACGGTTGCCTGTATTGTTTTTGGCCTCCGTCACATCATACATATCCTTAGCCATCGAGATAGCTGCAGCGCGAAGGGAGTTTTGTCGGTTCCGTTCTTCAACTTCGCTGGCGACCGGGGGAGCCGAGGTATAAAGTTTGGCATTGGTGTTGGTAATATGACGAATGCGACTCGCTTCCATCGCGCTGTCCAGGTGAGAAAGCGGGCCTTCATCCTGTTCCTCTTCTCTTTTGAGTCTGTGCGATGTGCCAGCCGCCTTGAGGGCATATGCAGAGTCACCAGCAACAGTTGGCTCACTTGGGGCTGAGTCAGATCGCCTACGACCGGTGGCATAGGCCCCTGTGGCCGCCTGGCGCGCCTTATTCTGAAGGTGACGGGAATGTTCCTGCTTCTGAGCGGTTCGGGTTGGCGAAAGACTCGAGTTTCTTTGTTCGCGAACGGCCAGGATCGCGGCACCCAGTCCCTCGGCGCTATACTGGGTGCTGGGTTTGGGTTGCGGAAATTGGGGCGGCGTAAAGTCCTTTACGCGGTAGGCTGCTGTCTCTGCCGCTGGTTGGCGTCCGGGTCGCCATATTTCGACTGGTTTCCGATTTGCATGGGCGAGGGCAGCACCGGCTGATGCGGCGCTAAGATTTGAGGCACCACCGACCGCGCCTTGGTCTATCGCAACAAGCATGCTTGGTTAGTGGTTTGTTTTGTTATCGCATGGGAGGGAGGGGCAAGGGAGAGGCTAGAGGGGGTCACTCACTAGAGCTGGTCACAGTTGTTTCGCGAACAGACGCCTTGCGTCGTGGTTGAACGGCATACAATGCAGCAGTGGCGGCTGTTTCAGGTACCAAGTCAGTGATGAGAGAGGGTCTAGGTGGAGTTCGATGATGATCATCACTAACCGTCGTCACTCAACCGAGCCGACCGTGGACCAGGCATTTGCGCGGTCGCCATTCTCAAGAAGATGGATTAAGGCCGTGAAGCTGCGAACAATGCGAAAGTGAGCAGCATGAGCTAATATAACTCTAAGATCAGCATAAAAGCTGAAAATTGGGACGGAAGCTTTTTCATGGGGCCCTCGTGACGTCGGCATGCAACGGAAGGATGATTGCATCATAGCGAACTCAATGAATCAACGAGCTTTCCAGCTTTTCTTTCTCCCATATTAACGCGGGGAGAGATCTTCACTCTTCCGCATTCAGCGTCGATCTATGATCCTCTTGCGTCAAATTTGTATTTAAGCTCATATTAGGTATTTCCTTTCCCCTCTTGAGAGTTTCATTATCTCCTCTTGTTCTTATCTGTACTCTCCAAGGTTCTTCGTTTCCCCCCAAAAAGTCAGTTTTCAATCAAGGATACGATCGAGCCGATCTTGGCCCCGGTGGTGCTAGTGAGAAAGCACTATTGGTTCAGACCGATCGTCGATTCGGAGTTCGAATCCGGCGATTCCCCATTGAACTCGATGTGACCATGTGGAAATGATGACGAGCACTATATTTTCAGTAGGAGGACTTGAAATCAGGGGTAATATTTTAGATGATAAATATTAGAGACCAAGTTGAAGGACGTAGTTAATCAAGTCAGTCGACCTAGAAGACACTAAGGCATCAATAAGGCATCAATATAAGCCACGCGGTTAAGGCATCAACATATCCCGATCGGGCGGTATTCCATTGCTCTAGATTTATTATAGGCATTAGAACCTTGGATGTACACACATACTCAATCTAGGCTGGAATTGTATAAAATATGTGTACCAATGAGTTCTAGGAAATGCACTTCAGTCTGATGGCCTTGTCCTGAAGCCTTGTTGGTCTCAGTATCTCGGCTTCACTATGTTTTGCCGATTTGTGGATCCGCGTTTGATTTTTGGCCGAGCAATGGCCATCCATAAAACTCCTTAGAATACTCTTCGTAAAAAAAAAGAAAAATCTGTACAGGATCAAGTGCGTACGAGCCTGGAAAGAACCACGCAGATACTCAGTCGATACTTTGAGTACAGAATTGATGGCATCACAATGCCTGACCGGGCTGGCTTCACGCGTGCCCTTAGCCTATGAATTGTTGCGCGCAGGTTCGCGTCGACAGGTTTCTGAGCCGAGCACAAAGCCCCCGATCTTATTTTTTCACGGCTTCTTAGGCTCAAAAAGAGAAAATAGACATGTTAGCAGGTATGTCATGTCATTTCTGAGCCAGGAGTCAATCAATAACATGTACCCCTGCCAAGGCTACTCGCGAAAGACCTGACTCGAGATGTCTATGCTCTGGTAGGAAGCTCTCCACTGTGGACTTGGTCTGCGTCCGATTTGGCAACAGAATTCTCACGATATCATGTAGGATCTGCGAAATCATGGTGACTCTGACCACCATCCACTGCATAATTATACGGAAATGGCTTTGGACGTCAAGTCCTTTATCCAAACTCATCAACTCCAACGCCCAACCGTGATAGGTCATTCCATGTAAGTATTTTCTTTCTTTCTTTCTTTCTGTTTTTCATGTATAGGTATAGTAATACCTGGAGTCAAATAAGCACATGCTAAATCATTATCCCAGGGGCGCGAAAACCGCAATGACACTCGCTTTGGGCTCCCCGGATCTCGTTTCCGACGTCGTCGCCGTCGATAATGGCCCGATTGAACAGCCTCTTTCCCCAGAATTCAAGAAATACCTAGACGCAATGGCAAAGATTGAAAGCGCAGATGTATCAAATCATCTTGAAGCAGACAGAATCCTCGCTGAATCCGTATCAGTCAGTACTCGTGTCTTGCTAAGATGCCCTTTGAAAGTCGTATTGACAGAACTCGAATCTAGGATGCTTCAATACGTCCATGGCTCTTAAGCAATTTTATCAAGGAGAAAGATAGCCCAAGCCTGAAATTACGTCTCTCAGTTGAGATCTTGAAGAAGGCATTAGGGCCATTGGGCGAATTCCCCTATAAATCTGGATCCGCGACATTTTCGAAACCAGTCTTATTTCTCCGTGGCCTTCAAAGCCACTATATCCCAGAGAGCGCTTTGCCCTTAATGTCAGTGTTGTTTCCACGTTCTAAAACCGTGAACATCGATTGTGGGCACTGGATCGTCCAGCAGAAGCCAGATGAATTCAGACAAGGTAAAGATTCCCATCATTCGGGAAACACGTTTGGTCAATTTACTAACAATGTCACTGCATTAGAGGTCGTCCAGTTTTTACAGCAAAATGAGTGAAGGCAAAGACATTCAGTCTGAAAATAATACATCCTCATAAAGCTCTACACGTCCTTGGGGAAGTTAATAGTCAACGACATTTAAGGAAATTTCCGAGGAGTTCCTTTACCATTAGCAAAATTAGTAAATCATGGTGCTTAAACAACTCTTGCAGTATCTGGATTGCAGTGGACGAATTATGCGGGTCCTTTCTGTGGAGCAAATAGTCACTATGTATGCAACTATCAAAAGACCACATTTTTGGATATACTCTATACCCTCGTCATCTCTTTTGTCACCTGGTTCTCCTTTGAGAGCAAAGCACACTGAATTAAATCCGGCCACGTTTTGAAGTTCAACGATACCTTTCTAGATATGTTCCAAGAAGTCTTTCCAAGGATTTTTATATATGCTTTTCTACTAAACATTCTTCAAATATTTTCTATATGTCTTTCTCAATGTCCTTTCAAAGGTCCATTCGCAAATGTAATTTACTACCCATTGAATTAAGAGAGATCTATCTATGTTGATACTATATCGATAAAGTGTAAACTGCTATCTTAGACTTGACGCTCTAGTAAAGCAATATCCTTTTAAGAGTGAATGAAACGGCCCTCATTCGCAAGCCAAGATGCCATATAATCAAAGGTTGTAGTACTACACATCGTGATACTATATCGTAGAAGCAGAAGAGAAAAAATCTCTTTGTCTGCCATTTTCACTTGATTGCACTGCTCGCTCAGAGGACTAAGTCTCCATTTATCCCCACCTTCTGAATTTGGGTTTCAGCTGGAGTGGCTCGTCCACTAGTTAAACTAGCCGATGCGCGAACCCAAACGCGAACCCAAGTGGTTTGCTTGGAAGACACCCAGCCCGTATATCAGTTATTTTGAGATTCTTTTACCAATCTATATTAAATAATTGTTGAGCCCCTAAAAGGTTCTGTAGGGGGCCTTCGTGTTTAACAACCTATCAAGACGTCCAAGGAGATCATCCTATGTATGAAAAGCTCAAAGTCGGCCATTGTGTGACAGGTCTCTATAATGACTCGTTTGCTACCTCTCTTCGTGCCTCGTGTCCAAAAAAATAGCCTTGAAACAATCAAGCCATCGCCTCCAAGCTTAATGTATTTGACTAATTTTTTGATAGAATGAGCTACGCTAGGCTCCGTCTATTTGATGTGAGTAGGCTCGGATGGTTCTAGAAGGGTATCAAGACCCTTCGAAGCGGTGGATGCATTTGCCATTGTAGTAGCAAAGGGAAACAGGAAGAGGTATAGCTGTCGAGCCAAAGAAAAGAGAAAACGATGGTGAGGGTTCTCTCACGTGCAATTGCCGGTTCGATGTTTACATTTTACCTCGCTGATAGCAAATCACGCCTATTCTATCTGCGAACTAAGACTGCCTCTGAGGGATAGTAGGAATTCTAAGATAGAGACTAGTGGAGTAGTCTAAAGGTAGAAGAGGTCTCATTTACTCGTTGACTGACAAAAAAGCTCCACACTCCACATTGACCTGACAGCGTCCGTGCGGCTGGACCACTCAAAGCTTAGCCATCCTCCTCAGTCACTGACACAACGCGTGTAATGACAAGAGAAAAATGCCCCGAAATGCTCAATTCCAACCAGACCGGGAGCCTCTCCAAAACCACCCTAGCCTTAAACTACAAAGAAGCCATGTTACAGGACCATTACATTTTTTGAATCCCACTCGGGCTCGGTACCGTCCAGCCGCAGTCCCAACCCAAACCCCCTCAGAACATGACGCGGCAGAGCAGCCCCTAAAACCAGAAACCAAAATCACTGCCCAGCCAACATATACAGAACATCTCTGGCGGTCGCGCGATAATCGCAAAGGTCGACATGCTTTACGGGTGGATTATCAGGTAGCCGGACAGAACGCTGGAAATACTTTGCCACCACCGACATCTTCGCTGCGGGCGGTGCTTAAAGGTGTTCTGCGGATGGCTACATGTGTCCCTTACTGGGACGTTTCATATCTCGTTGCTGTGACGTTTACTCTGGGATCAGCTATTTGGATTATCAATGCTTTTTTCGCTTGGCAGCCTTTAGTGGAGCCATCGACGGAGTTCGCGGGGGAGTCGCTAGTTGGCGGAGGTGTGACGGGGTTCATTGGCGCGACTGTGTTTGAAATCGGGAGTGTCTTACTACTTCTGGAAGCTGTGAATGCTAATAAAACGGGATGTTTTGGATGGGCGCTTGAAACAGAGTTGACGAAGGTTAATGGGGAAGTGTCTCATACTGTTACTGCTGAGGCGAAGCCTATCAATGAGGATTGCCAGCATCATCATGCGAACAAGCGCAATCTAGTCGGAGCTGGAAAGCTAGAAGCTCATCGTCGCTCATTCTCTGGTGAAGGCTACTCGACTGCATCATCGGATGGTAGGTCTTTTCGCTGGGTACCGTCGGTTTCAGAGCTTCGGAAGCATTACCTTCATGAGCTGGGGTTTCTAGCATCGCTGATCCAGTTCTTCGCTGCGAGTATATTTTGGATTGCTGGATTGACTGGATTACCGGGAATCATTGATCATATGAGCCAAGGGCTGACTGATGGAATCTACTGGGTTCCACAGATGGTGGGCGGTGTTGGATTCATTATTAGCGGGCTTTTGTTCACCATCGAAACGCAGAAAAGATGGTACCAGCCAGCATTTCACATCCTGGGTTGGCATATTGGGGCATGGAATTTTATCGGTGGGATAGGATTCACTCTTTGTGGTGCACTGGGCCCAGCAGCTAGTGCCTCTGGGGTGGAATATCAAGCTACATTAGCTACTTTCTGGGGCTCGTGGGCTTTTATGATTGGATCTACTATACAATGGTATGAAAGCCTGTCAAAGTATCCTGTTGAGAAGAAGAGAATGGTGATCGCAGAACCGAAAGGTGGAAATTGAGCATTTGGATATACATACAGCACAAACATTACTACATATACCTAACTCATATTTATCACAATTCTCCCTTTACAAGTTTGAGAAACCGCAGCGCAAATCGTACACTTAATAATTTTTCATCCGGATTGAGCTACCAGAGGTGGAGCATCTCCAGGATATCGTGACGGGCAAAGAAGGAGCGATTCCATTTCCCAAACACATCTAGAGATAATGTTAGTTTCATCATATGAACTCCATTCGCTTCTAAAAAATTGGTTGAACATACACATGGGAATACTCAGCAGACAAATCCCCACTTGAATGCTACCAACGACAATCATGGTGTGCTTGACACCCCCATGGGCAAACCATTTGTAGGCGTAGAAAGTTAGCACGAAGCTAAACATGTTTTTGAAAACAAGTAGACAAGTAAAAGCTTCAACAGCAATCTCCCCTGTAATGGTCAGCCGGCCCCCAGAAAAGTCGATTAGGGAAAAAATTGTACGTACTGTGTGCATCAACAATGTACAGGGCGGAAGCTACCGCGCCCATAACCATACCGATGATCAAGAATGCAAAGAACACGTCGGGTAAGAGCCAGTGGTATCTCTCGACATCAGAAGCTGTATAACCGAATCCATAGAGCCCCATGCCACTGAATACAAGCTGGAATATGACCAGCAGAATACGAAACTCGGGCTCGTATTTGCCATGGTTGAGTCGGATCATCGTTTTGTTCATCGTATCGCTGAGAAATCCAGCAAGGATCAAGCCAATTATTGCTCCGATGAAGGCACCGGTGTATAAATAACCTGTCTTATCTTCTTGGAACCACAAAGGCGGACCCAAAAACACAATTGCTAAGATCACACCAATGAAGACGGCCCAACCAATCACAACGCCCTGAATCAAGCAAGCCTTCATAGGACACAAGTTAGCATTATTCTCCTAAGCGAACAGCTCCAGTAAGAAACCAAGTAGTACGTACCCAAAAGATCCCAGGGTGAAAAAACAATGGGAAGGGACGAAGAAATAGCTTGAAAAAGTTATCATCCGTCTTTCTTCCATTGAAAAGTCTCATAGATTGCCAAAATGAGTCTTTCTGCGGCATCGGCACAGCCGACACCTCTGTTCTTAATGTGCTGCGAGTAGCCAAGTCCTCTGGTGTGAAATCATTGTCTTTGGTCTCTTCATTAGAAGGATCGCTGAGCTGCCAGCTGGATTCATTTGAATCGGATCCGTTATTTTTGTGTCTGAAGTCGGTATTCAAGTAATTGGGCCGTCGAAAGGCAGTCTCGGGCACAAACATAATCATGAATGGAAGAGCTGCTCCGAGAAAAATTGCCACAAAATAGAAAGACCATGGCCAACCGAGAGACTTGGTAATTTTTCCAACGAACACGGGAGCCAGGAAGGCAGCGCCAAAGAGGGAGACATTAGAAACGGCCATGCGCTTTCCTCTTTCCTTTTGATAATGATGCATCATTAGTAACGTGGTGCTTATAGACTTATTCAAAGTGGTACTCACATGGACATAATATAGATCACCAACGCAAGCATTGACCAAAGCTTCAAATGGAGCTAATGCGACACCTTGGAAGACCCGTGCCCATAACAGGCTTTTGTGGTTACGTCCACTCGCACCGGCCCAAATGCAGCTGACAATCATCAAGACGTGCCCGATTATGAACAGATGTCGCTTGCCCCAGACTCTGGCAGTAGGGACGATCAAAACTCCAGCTACTCCTACACCACATAGATGATATCCGGTGAGAAGAGCAGCCTGTACAAAGGTGATCTCCTCATATTCCGCAATTGTAACCGTGTTTGCCGCCATGATGGAACTGAGGGTAGTGCAAAGGATCGTGACAAAGGACAGGATAGCGAGGATCAGATCACGTCTCCATAGTGGCCAGTTCTAGAGTCGCGCAAAGCCATTAGTACCAGAACCATCCGTTTGACATTCAATATGACTGTTTTAAAGCCTACCAGTGGGTCATTGGGATCATCACTCGGTTGTGGGACGAGAATTGTCGGCTTGCTGGTGGTCCTGTCATATTTCAGACTCACGCCGTGAAGAGTGTGATCATTTGTGCTCGTCTCCTCAGGCTCCTCGTAGATATTTGAAGTCCCTGTAGCAGTGTCATCAGCATCCGACACTTCGTCTCAAGTGCTGTTAGCCAGAGGTCGACTGTATATGTACCTGGAACCCGCCCAAGCTTACGATCCTCCAAAACCCCGAGGCCCATGATAGCGACTCCGAATAAATCAAGTCTGGGGCAGAATACTGTCGCGAACAGCGGGAGAGAGGAAGCTCGAAGGCAGCGGAAATAGGCAAGAGGGGTAAAAGCGTGCCTCCCTAAAGTGTTGACAAACCCATTCGGCAACCAAAACCTAATGAAACCAGATCGAGACAAGTAGTGCTTCCAGCAAGTCTATATAGACGGTGACATCGTGCTTCCAAATATTCATGGATCGCGGAGTTGAAAAACCTGAATGAATTCGAGGTACCGTCCGAGTCCAAAAGCCAGTCCGAGATCTAACGGCAAAGCCGTCACGCTCTCCCGGTTTCAGGTGGATGCCCCTGTCCTTGCAGTGTTCCTGTAAGTCTGATATGATTGGAAGAAACAGATCAGTGTGACTGGTGGATCTACATTCTGGGTGAACTACGGACTACTGACCGCGGACAACAGAGTAGATCTTACACACATGCCAGGAGAATTAACCATCAGATCTCTTGATTGCACACTTATTTATCAAACAAGCATTAATATGCGTAGCTTAATCTAAATGTGGCCGAATCCTACCCAGCGTTTATTATTCCTCTTTGTCTTGCTCGTCGCTTCAACTATCAATTTTATCAACGGACCAGTACAAAATGAACCGGGAACTAACAGCAGTCGGGGCCGAGGCACCAGGACCCTCATCAAATACAAAATACATCTGACTTTGCTTTTTGGGTTTGGGTTTTGGGTTTCCCCTCATTTCTCTTCTTCATGCAACTGTCCAGATGGTATAGCTCTCCCTTGAGATATATGCTGGTGTCCCTTGATATGAGACTTTTATAAACCTCCAGAGTCAGGATACTGGGGTAATCTTCATTGTGAAACCCTTTGTACAGGAGTTCCCAAGTAGAGAAAAGTCGATGGATTCAGATTGGGCGGGGACACCCCACAGCAGGCTAATTAGCTAGTTAGTTGCCCGTGTAGGCTTAGGTTTAACTGTGGAGTCAATCTAGAGGCCCCGAGCGCACGCCAGCCTGTACTGTCTCTGTATGGTAAGTTGGAAGTATTCGAAGGGCCTACGAAAATTAACAAATAATTTGTTATTGGCAAGTGTGGCCGATCTGGTGAAAATAGTGGCTCCAATTTCTATATAAAAAATTGGAGGCATTTATGCATATAATTTTTGATCATCTAGAGTACCAAATTATGAACATGAACATGACACTTGAAACCTTAGAACTTAGATATCTCCTGACTCCCCTCCTATGCATCGTCAAATTCACCATCATCGTTTCCACAAGGAATAACACTATGACTACAATGATTAACCTCAGATAACCACTCTTCTTTCGTCCAAGGGGGAGCCGTATATTCCAACGTTAACCCGTATCGCTGGATTTGGCCCCCAAGTTTATCCATTCGATCCCAAGGGTATACATACTCCCAGTCGGGATAAATCCCCTGCTTGAGATTAGGATACGGACTCACAGGAGAGAAAGTGATCTCGATGGTTTTCAACGCTGCCTTTCGCTTCCACGCCGCCTTAGCCAGCTGTCGAATCCATTCTTCCTCTTTATGTCCCCAATTGTTGATTAAACTGTGACCCATGACTCCAAACACGAGACCAAAAGTATTTAAGTTAGGTCCCAGAAGAAGGTCCGCGTAGACTGGTTCCCATTCAAACTTGCGATTCCAGGGATCCTCGCAGATCTGGGTTCGTGATAACCGAAGCACCTCCAGCTGGGGGAAATTGGCGGCGTTAAAGGATAGCCCATGTGGGAAACCCAGTAGGTCTATATAGATTGACTTCAGGGTATCTTTATGAATAGAAAGACACATGCCAATATCATGCAGATTCATATCCGAAACGAAGCTTCCAGAGGTGTTGATAGTGAAATGAACTAGTTCCTTAGGCCAATGGATCAGAGCTGCAATTGCCTTGGGATAATCTTTACATCCCATTAATCTCACAGAAGTAAACGATGCAGATCGAGATGTCTAATATTTATCAGCATTGTTGGCATTGTTTTCTGGGCACTCGAAATTACCTGAGGAACAAGCATATCTGGAATACTAGAGGGTTTAGAAAGCCCAGCCGCAGATATCTCCAATGTTTGTAGAGAGTGGGAATTGGCATATTTCACAGTCTCTGCTAAAGAGACCCCTCCAATCTCATCCCACATGTTCCCTTCAATCTTAAACTCTTTGAGTTGCTTTAGACTTTGGGTGCGATGAATCAAAGACAGAGTTCTCTCTCGGACCTTTTCTGGCCCCTTTGAGAAAAAGCCACCCACGATCACTAGCGACCGAAGCCTTGTAAACCAGGAGACCATATCATCAAGAACTTGAAAGTTCTCCTCTGTGTTTGCGCCTGAATCATCGATATCGATATACAACGAAACGCATAGCGGTCGTAGTGTTGGATTGAGCTGAAGTAGTTGATGGAGCTTTCGTGCTTTCGCCATTGGAGGCACCATGCAACGTTGACAAAGAGTTGGATGGGCAAATCTAATCTCTTCATACAGAAATGGCGTCACAACGCGGTGAAAGCGCTGGCTCACTCGTGACAATGACTGTACAGTGTCATAATCGCGTTTCCGAGGTCTAAGTTGAGCAGCGTGGCCGGTCAGCGTCGCCCAATTTAGGATCTCAGCAAGAAGCTCGTCGGGCAGTAGTGTTAGATGATGCATGATATGTGGTATGAGGATTTCAAAAGATTTCAAAGTGTTCTATCATCAGAATCAGGACATGATTGAGCTCAAAAGGTCCCTCTTTAGAGTAAGGACCTTGGTGGACTGTAAGTACCATGATAGACAATGGCGCTTGCAGCCCCACCTGGGAATTATTATCGATGATAATCAATCAAGATCTTCAATATGGAATAAACTTGAGGAATATGTCTCATTCTTAGAATACCCATGGGATATCAAATGAAGAAGCATCACGGGTGACCCTAGTATAGAAGTGGCCTATAGTGGACCTAATACCACGGCCACTTTAATCCTTATATCCACCCACCTCTACTAGTACAGACAACGAATGCCGTGGTAAATACGCCGTACAGCCAACGCCACCAAATCTGACTAGTAAAACATACTCGCACTACACAGCCATTCAGAGAACATGTCTAATTTATCCATGGTTTCACAGCAGGGCCAGGGTTCAGTCTTGGCTAAAACACCAATTTTATAGCTGTAGGTTTAAAAGCAAAGCGGGGAGGGAAAGCATCCTAAGCTCACCTTCCTTCTGCAGCTTCCCTTTTTCTTCCTCTTGGAATTCCCTCGAGACCTTTCAAGTTTCATAATCAATTCAATTCCAATCCATACAATGAAGGTCTCTCCAGTCGTTCTGGCTCTGGCCAACCTGATCTCGGCGGCGACAGCCCAGCTGAGTGACTTGCCCACATGTGCCGTACGTGATAACTGAAGTCTCAGACTAGTCAGTGCAGTGATCTTTTTGACGACTAATCATTTCATACAGCAAAGCTGTGCAACCAACGCAATCCCCAGCAACTGTGGCATTGATGTCGCCTGCATTTGCAACAGTAGCTCATTCTTAGCCAGCATCGCTTGCTGCATTGCAGGCAAATGTGACGAGGCAGACCAAGAGAGTATGTTCTTCTGCCATCTGCCAACAATGTTGACACCTGAAAGCAACAAACAGATCGCCAATCTAATGTTGTGATAATACAGAGACCCTCAAGGCAGCCAAGGGAATATGCGCTGCAGGCGGCGTGACCGACATTCCCACGACTGTCGCCTGCACAACTGGATCAGCAGCTAGCGCCGCAAGCACTGCAAGCACCACAAGCACCGATAATTCAAATTCTACTATCACCAGCTCCTCAGCCTCGAAGACCACAGGTTCAAGCTCAGCCACATCGGCCTCGGCCTCCACCTCCACTGCTGGTGCTATTCTTGGCCAAGCCACAGACGTGTCTCTCATGGCTGCCGCTGGAGTCGCCGCCGCTTTCGCCATATTTGTTTAAGTGAACGGAGTTGTGATCACGCAATGGGGTTGTGTTCACTCGATACAATGATCAATGACCGAGGACAAGCAAGAAGATCGGAAAGAGGATAGAAACGAAGAGTCAGTTTGCGAATAATTTAAAATTACCCCAAGGAGGCGAGCTATGTATGTAATATTGGAAACAGTTTTAGCATAATTAAAACGAGGCAAATGCTTGCAAGATACATTTTATTGTTCAAGGCATTTAGTTATCCTTGGCATCTTCCAGTAGCTTGGTCAATCGTTCTTGTCGCTCCTCACGGAGAGTGACGAAAGTCTGTTGCAACGTTAACACAATTCAAGCTTGGACAAAGGGAATGAAACTCGTAAAGGGTCAGTCCAACTTACCCAAAACCAAACCATCATCTCCATGAATGCGAACGTAAACACCACGCGGCTCTTCAACCGGTCAAGGCCGGACGCAGCAGCAGCAGCGGTGTATGTGGATGCGATAAAAGAATCCTTAGCCTGATAAATAAAGATGGCCAGACCGGCATACAGAGCAATACGAGCTGCGGCAACGCTGACCCATACGTTCCAGTACATGGTCAAGTTTGTCGTGATATATTCGGGCAGCTTCTCCAGCGCGCGGAGATCCTCCGATGGAAGATTTGAGTTGCGGAGAGGTCGGATATAAGGGAGAGCTTCATCCAATGCATTCCGGAAAGGAAGACTAGCTAGGAGGACAATGTCGACAAGGGCTTCGGCGGCGAGCAAGACAGCACAAAAGACGAAGGGGGATGTCAGAGGACTTGTTTCGGGAGGGAAATCCTGAATGAGAAAGAATATGTTAGTCAATTGGCCTCTTCAATGGCTCAGAGATGCGCAATGGGGTTTAATCGGTGTATTTCGTACGATTTTCAAGGTTTCTCCCATCATAAACACGATGTTCGAATCCGTAATCACCTCGGGGCTCTTGATGAGGTACCCAGCAATGACGATTAGAAGCACGGCATGTGCCTGAATGAGTGTTTTGGACGAAATTAGGACCATGATGGATGTCTGGATACCCGCGGACCAAAATTGACAAGGGGGTGGATGAAGAGGTCGAAGGAGAGAATCTCAAATCTTTTTGGTGGCCGAAGGGGAGAGTGGACCGCGTGTTTCGGAGATCCAGCACATGTGGGGAAAGGCGCAGCTCCGATATTCGATTTCCCAACACCCCCACCAAACATCGATGGGCGCAATCGCTATGTTTTCGCCATAGATACAGCATCCGAAGATTCTTTACAAAGACCTCGATAAGGCCGACTGGAAAGATCTATATATTGCACACAACTCCTAAGCTCGACTTTGTGACTCTCATTAACGAATCAGGATGGCAGCGCCTTTCAACACCGAGCGCCACGTGAAATATTACCTCCGCTGCCTCAAGACCTTCCTACCGTCGGCTTATACATCCAATGACTCAAATCGCATGCTCCTAGCCTTCTTTACGATCTCGGGGTTGGATATTCTGGGTGTTCTTCAGGAGAAAACGACATTAGAAGAGAGACAAGGATATATCAACTGGCTGTACCACTGTCAGGTCCCTACAGGTGGATTCCGGGGATTTACAGGAACAGATTTCGGGGCAGCGAGACATACGGAAGGAAATAGCATCTGGGACCCGGCTAATGGGCCAGCTACATTCTTTGCGCTGGTGAATTTACTTATCCTGGGCGATGATCTATCCCGGGTCAAACGAAGAGAATGTCTTGAGTGGTTACCGAAGCTCCAGCGATCGGACGGAAGTTTTGGCGAAGTCCTTGGACCTGGCGACAGTATTGCGGGTGATCGTGACCTTCGATATTGTATGTGTGCCGCTGGTATTCGATATATGCTACGAGGGGGTGTGAGCAAAGGTGTCGAGGATATAAAAGATATCGATGTGCCAAGGTTTATCTCATTTATCGAGGCCTGCCAGGTGGGTTTCACTTTTTTTTCAATTTTGACCCTCGGTATTAGGAGAAAGAAAGATATGGTATATTATATTGTATTTGATCTGACTAACTCATGTTCTGAACTAGGCTTACGATGGCGGAATGGCCGAATCACCGTTTCGTGAACCCCATAGTTTGTACCACCCGTATTTGCCTTCTCCTTGATCTTTCTGACAGCGCGACCTAGGTGGACATACATATTGTGCAGTTGGATCTCTAGAATTTCTGCGTCGGGGAAAAGGAGACATCCACTCGGTTCCGATGCTGTCCCCGGGCTCGAGGAAGTATGAGACATTGGTGGGCTGGTTGGCATCGCGGCAGACAGGCGACCTCGGCGAAGAAGATGAAGATGAAGACGAAGACGAAGACGAAGAAGAGGAGGGCGATGATACGAGTGCAGAGAATATCCAGGATACAGAGCCGAATCCAGAGAACGAGAGCACTATAGACGAAAAGATCGGTGCGCTGGCTGAACTTCCTGCATTGACGACCGATTCAATACCTTGCGCTGGGTTCAATGGCCGGTATAATAAATCCGCGGATACTTGCTATTCCTTTTGGAACGGGGCGACACTGATGGTAAGCGTCGCATAGGGTGCGAGGTTAAGGGGTTGTTTCTGACCCTTTTATAGATGCTCGACCGATATTCCGTGATTGATGATGTGCGGAATCGAAAATACCTAATTGAAAAGGTTCAACATTTAATAGGTGGATTTGGCAAAACAGTTGGCGATCCTCCAGGTATGACGAAAAGACTTTCTCTCCATTTCCTCACTGTTACCGAGCGGCGAATTCCCAAGGTTACTAACCCAACGCTTTCTCCAGATCTTCTTCACTCATATTTTGGTATGGTGTCATTGGCTTTTCAAGGCGAAGAGGGACTTGCTCGTGTCGACCCTTTGTTAGTTACAACCGAACGAGTTGTGCAGCATCTTGAATCTCTCCCGTGGAGGTCCTAAAAATTATAACATTGTGTATTTGGAATGTCTGACAGTCCACGAATTGGAGGGGGGACAATGTGGTGGCCACTATGCGGGAGATGATGACATGGGCCAATGGAAGTCCACATATAAATTGGAATGGCTGAGTGAACCGTGACCTTTTTACAATACCAGGATTTCCTTGGCTAAAGGGGAAATAAGCAGTCAGACATGGATTTGGAAGAGAGAAGCCATTCATTATACTAGTAAATATGATCATAACTCTCTCAAACGGTGGAACCCCGGAGTGTTGGATGAATTCTTGCAAACTTGGAAGACAAAGGGAAAAAATAAATAAATATAAATAAATAAAAGCAAATATCAACCATATTAATTCCAATCCATTATATCCAGTCAGAAATACCTAGGCAATTCACAGTATTTGTGAAACGGGAACAATTTCCACTCAGGGGCTTTTTGTGATATAATGTTCGAATTATTTTAAACAAGCCGTTGCGAGTCCACAACTTAACTTACTCCACACGGTCCAGGTTTCCCCGACGTTGACTCCTCCTTTTTCTCTCCTTCAATACCCTGTATTTTCGACATTCCAACGTGTTTGGCATTTGGTCTCTCTCTTTTTTTCTTCTCCCCCGGAACCCCAGTCCCCCCGCCCGGCGGTCTTCTTGAATGGCAATATCGCGCACTCTACTCCACCACCACCCCCTACCCAATACCGAATACGCGCAAAGATCTCCGCGGCCAACGACAACCCTGGAGATCGAATATAACACATGCCGCCCAGGACGAGAGCGGGGGTTCAAAGCCAAAAACAAAAGGAGAAGGTGTGTGTCTACTAGACCTGGGAGACTTGTTTCGTCCAAAGCCGACAGGACTTCGGTGGATGATTCAGGCCCACGATAACCTGGTTGCGCAAGGACATATGGGACATATGGGCTAACATGAAGACCTCTGAATTGTCGTCGCGTACCTTTAGCTTGCCAACTCCTACAATGAACTACTTGAGTATGCTCCTCCTCGCCCTCGACTGCAATTCCAGTGTCGTTATTTTGACTGACGCGCGGCCCTTTTCCAGAGAGTTCTCGTCTAAAGATCTTCGGAGCGTGGGAAATTACACTTTAGGACGGCTGATTGGGAAAGGATCCTTCGGAAAGGTGTATCTTGCTACTCACAAGCTCACCAATGGCTCCAAGGTACGGATTGGGAACCTGCTAGAAAGATCGAGTCTAGGCCTCGGAACTAACACTCGCCCGCAGGTGGTCCTCAAGTCTTCGAGTAAAGAGGACACGAACCTGGCACGCGAAATCCACCATCATCGTCAATTCCTCCACCCCCATATCGCACGTCTCTACGAGGTTGTTGTCACGGAAAGTCTAGTATGGCTGGTACTCGAGTATTGTCCTGGTACGGTTGATTTGTTTGAGCTCTCAAAGTGAGATAAATGGATCGCATACTAACCTACTGCGATTGAAATACAGGTGACGAACTTTATAACTATTTACTACACCATGGTCCATTGCCGGTCGAGAAAGTCAAGCGAATTTTTACCCAGCTGGTGGGTGCGGTCGCCTATGTTCATAGCAAATCTTGCGTGCATCGAGACCTCAAGTTGGAAAACATTCTTTTGGACAAACATGAAAACGTCAAACTCTGCGATTTTGGTTTTACGCGCGAATATGAAGGGAAGGCAAGCTACTTGCAGACATTCTGTGGAACGATCTGCTATAGCGCACCGGAAATGCTGAAGGGAGAGAAATATGCCGGGGAGAAGGTTGATGTTTGGAGCCTGGGTATCATCCTGTATGCGCTTCTCGCTGGCGAACTTCCGTACGATGACGACGACGACCAAATCACCAAAAATCGCATTCTTTCGGAGGAGCCCATCTATAACGACAAGTTCCCAGAGGATGCTAAGGTCTTGATCAATCTTCTCTTATCCAAGCGTCCATTGATCCGACCAAGTTTGGATGATATTCTCGCCCACCCTTTCCTTGCTGAACATGCCCCTGACCAATTAGCCATTCTGAAAATCCCACGGCCCTCGCCATTCACAACCCCGCTGGAGAAAACAACATTACAACGAATGAAAAGCGCAGGCGTCAATATCGACGAAGTCATTGAGAATGTTCTGGCCCAACGATGTGATCCTCTGGCTGGGTGGTGGGCTCTATTGATCGAGAAGGAACAGCGGAAGGAACAAAAACGAGAGCGCAAGCGTCGAGAACGAGAATTTGAAGCTAAGAATCTTCGTCGCCTAAGCGCTGCGAGTAGTCGGCTAGAGAAACTCTCATCGGCATTGGTGGAGGTAGACGAAGAAGGCCAGGTCAACTCGGATGGACAGTTACAAGATCGTGGCCGGCGTGACAGGCGGAGTCTACCATCCCAACTTGCAGTCCCGGAGCTTCCTGCGTTACCTGAACCTTTGCCTGTACAAACTCCAGACCAGAGGAGTGCTCCTCCTACACCCCTTGATAAGGATTCCATGTACTCAGGCACCTCTGGTCGACGCCGCCCTGTTCCTCCGCCGAAGGACAAACGTCGATCGCGACCTAGTATGTTGCATGTCAGCGCATCGCAGCCGGAACTAGCGCAGCATCACAGCATTTTCCGTCGCCGCCCCACGACCCGGCGCCATAATCCAATTATCAGTCAGCTGGCCTCTTTGAAGCACTGGTTCGTGGAATCCGCCAAAAGAACCAAGTCGCCAAACTCCAAATCAGCTACATCTCGCAAATTCACGGAAAAGTTTAGTCCCGCAAAAAGTCAAGATAACAACAAGAAGGCTACTCAGGGCCCTACATCCGTGCAACCGGCTGGAGAAGAAGTCGTCACACCAACCCAGATAAAACGGATCTCAAATGCTAGTAGCCTTGCTCCTAGTAGCGCGTCTTATCGCCAGAATCGACATTCCTATCCTCGCCAGCCTCGAGCACTAAATACTGGCCATTCAAGCCATCGGAATTCGCTCTCGCCATCACCCATCACTCCACGTGGGTCATACCGGCGCTCATCGGTTGGTTTGCGTGGCCGTAAGTCAACATCATCATCCGTTTCCTCCATTCGCAGCATCCACCACACTCGCGCCCACTCCAAGGCTTCTTCAATCTCCTCCAATAGCATCGACACGGTTTCTACCCCTACAGCTAGAATATCGAAGTCGCCTCATTCTTCTATCAAAGTACTGCCTACTACACCAGGTGCCTCGGCCCGCTTCCCGAGCAACATTCGGCTTGTACGCGGCCCCAGCGGTGCAACGAGAGACTTCAGTGATCACCTCGCACCAGGACCATCAACCTTCAATGAAGCCGCACCTACACCAATGCTTTACTCGCCCTCATCAAGCCTAGTGTTTGCTCGACGTAAACGATCAGCCTTCAAGGGTCCCATGCTTAATACATCTAATCTCATGACGCCCAGCGGAATGGTACACTCGCCTATACCAGGTCAGCCGGAGGAAGCTGCTGAGCCCATCCCAGTAGGCCGGCCTGTTGCTCGGAAGAGCCAGATCATTGAAGAAGAGGAAGATGACGAAGACATTGAGGAGGTTGATGGATTTGATGATGATGAGCCTGGTGAACCAGCGGATGCTATTCATGAGAGCAATGATCCTGAGACGGAGGCATTTGGAGACTCAAGTCTTCAGAATCGGGTTACGGAGACTAATTCACCAGTGTCAATCCGAAAGCTAGCCCTTGAGCCTGCTCCAGAGTTAGAATCCAGTCCAATCCGCCCTCCCCGCTCATCCTCCCTGCGCTCACCACCACCGGAAGCCGCGGCAGCCATTGCTGTGGTGACCGGAGCCACTGATCTTGACCAAGGAGCAGACATTACAACCACCGAAAACGCCAATAATGCTAGTAATGCTGCGGCTCAAAAAGTTGACGGTCATACTCAATAACGCCCGAATTATAACTGATAAATGGGCGTTTCGGTCGGTATTCTTTCTCATGATCCCCATTACTTTACCCCAATCTGTTAGACGATAGACTTGTTTTGTGATTCCTTTTATACCCCTCGTGTTTGTGTTTGTGTTTGTGTTTGTGATTCTATACACCCTTGATTTTGTCTGCATGCATTTTATACTTTTCATCTACGCATAATCTTTGCAACTGCAATGCACGCCCAAGCTGATCTATTGACTCTGTAACAACCTACTCTCATTCTATTTTCCTTCCTCTTGTCTTACCCCGACCCCTCTGTCATCCTCTGTCAACATTTCCTAAGCCTTTTGTCCTCGCTGGCTCGCCTCTCCCTACTACTCAAATACCTTTTTCATAATGTTTTTGATATCCGTCATCACATCCAATCCTTCTCCATAGACTATTGATCAATTTCAAAATATCTGCATTATGACTCTTTATCTTGTTCAGCATAGCAACCCCAGTTACAAAATTTATCAATACGATCATAGCCGGATTACTTTGATTTTATTTTATGATTTCCCCTTCAAGTTTCTAACTTTTTTTTTATAAATACTTCTGCTTCTATTTCACCAAGATGACACCAAACACTACTAGCCGCATTTGAATTTACCCTGGCGCGAATAGGTGTCCAGACCGTAGGGTAAGGCACGGCTAGTACATTATTTGGAAAAACGTGGCGGAAATTTGAAGCAGCGTACAACTTGGACTAACTATTAGTAGTACTATTATTGGCTCGCCTCTCCCTACCATCTTCAAGTTGGCACTATCTCCTGATCTCGCTGAAAAATTGAATAACATCTGAAGGATCATTTGATTTCATTGGCAGTCTTTCGTCTAAGATAAATTCTGCATCTTATTTCTAGGCTCTCCAAGCCTAGTTCTTGGGTTCCACCGTAGCATCTATCTCTATTTCAAGCCAAGGCTACCCTCCCTGTTTCTTTATATGCTAGAACATTCAATCATCTCCTTACTTTTTTGCACTTATGCCCGCTTTGGCTTCCCAGCGGCACCATTCTGGGCAAGTGGAGCGTGCGAGACGTGGTTGTTATACAGGCGACGCTCCGCATATTTGAGGATCTCATCGATCAAACTGAAGGAAATAGTTAGCAGCTAGAACGACGATGAAAATGAACGGAAATGGACTTGAAACTCACATTACAGGCGCGCTGATAGCTAAGACAGCCTTCCATTCCATCCAGTTCAAGGGCAGAATGGCGAACAGGGTCTGGAGGAAAGGAATGTAGAGGATGGCGAAGTGAAGAGCCATTGACAAAGTAATGGCGTAGATCAGCATTGGGTTGTTGTGGAGGAAGAAGGTGAAGAGAGATTCGCTGGATGATAGGGCGTTCATCGCGTTCAACATCTCAATGACCACAAGGATGGAAAGTGACACTGTTGAAGCGGACTTGGCCATGTCGTTGCTGAACATCTCACAGCCAATTTCGGGGAATTGCGACGAGCAGCGGTGGAAGTGGGACTAAAGACAAGAGTTGTTAGAGGATTTGCCGAGGAAATAATCAGGGAATGATACTAACCAAGTGCCAGAAAGTGATCTGAGGTCCTTCCGGATTGTACAGGAACCACCAAACATAGCCAAACACAGTTGCGGCACCCACGTAGATACCAATGACCATGTAGCGGAACAACAACCAACCGCCAACAAGGGGCTCGTCACGACGACGAGGAGCGCGTCTCATGACATCATGGTCAGGTGGGTTGAAAGATAGAGCAGTAGCTGGGAGACCGTCGGTAACAAGGTTGACCCACAGGAGTTGAACAGGAACCAGGGCCTCGGGCATGCCGAGGGCAGCAGTCAAGAAGATAGACACGACTTCACCGATGTTGGACGAGATCAAGTACCGGATGAATTGCTGAGTGTTGCTGTAGATCGATCGACCTTCCTCCACGGCAACAGTGATAGTAGCGAAATTGTCGTCGGCGAGAACCATATCGGCAGCGAGCTTGGCCACATCGGTACCAGTACCCATAGCGACACCAATGTCAGACTTTTTGAGTGCGGGAGCATCGTTGACACCGTCACCAGTCATGGCGACCACGTGGTTCATGGACTGAAGAAGATCAACCAATTTAGACTTGTGAGAAGGCTCGGTACGTGAGAAGAGAGAAGCAGTCTGAACGGCCTTGATTTGCTCGGCCTCGCTCAAATCATCAAATTCGCGACCAGTGAAGCTCTTACCCGTGAGATCCTCGTCGGCACCGAAAACACCAATTTGGCGACAGATAGACTCGGCAGTGTTGGGGTTATCACCAGTGATGACAATGACGCGAATACCAGCATCCCGACATTTCCTGATGGAACCGGCGACTTCAGGGCGTGGGGGATCGAGCATACCAACGAGACCAATCAGAGTCATATTCTGCTCGAGCTTGGCATAATCCTCAGTTGACGATGCATTCTTCAGCAGCTTGTTTCCAGAAACATCGCTAACACTTGCGATAGCCATGACACGGAGACCTCTTTTACCGTATTCGACGACCTCTTCAGAAAGCAGCTTGGCGTGCTTCTTGGTCATAGACACTCGGGATCCTTCAGCACCTTGCAAAACGTGAGAGCAGCGTTCCAGAACATTTTCGGGGGCACCCTTGACCAGCAGCTTTTGCTCCTTTCCCTTGCCAACAAGAACCGACATACTCTTGCGGTCGCGGGAAAACTCGTATGTAGCCTGAAGGGGTAGACGGGATTCGTAGTGGGCACTGGCGAGGTGAAGTCTCTCGGAGGAAGGCAGACTGAAAAGCTTCTTGTTCTCAGCGGCATCACTGGTGCCGATCTTCTCAGTCAAGGCACGCAGGGCTGCCTCTGTCGGCTCGCCAATGTTCGAGAACACACCAGTTTTAGCGTCGTGGGAAAGGGTGGCAGCGTTGCAGATAGCGGTAACTTCGGTTAATTGACGGATAGTGGATGAAGTAACAGCCAGGTTCTCAACCACTTTGCCGTTCTGGGACAACTTGCCCTCTGGAGCAAATGTAGTACCTTCGATATCGATCTCCTCGAGCCTGTCCCCGAGGCTTGTCACGTAAACAATCTTCTCCACGCTCATTTGGTTGGTAGTCAAAGTTCCTGTCTTATCGGAGCAGATTACACTGCAGCTTCCCAGGGTTTCCACGGAGGGCAAGGATCGGACAACGGCGTTTTTTTGGGCCATCTTGCGGGTTCCCAAAGCCAAACATGTGGTAATGACAACGGCAAGACCTTCGGGGATAGCGGCAACACCGAGAGAGACGGCGATCTTCAGATAGTAGATCGCACCCTTAGTCCAGGAGCCACCAAAGGACGGATCGTTAAAGTGTTCGATATTAATGACCCAGACGAGGATGCAAATGACCGTGATAACCTTTGCCAGCATATCACCGAAGTCATTCAACTTTTGCTTCAATGGAGTTGGCTCGGAGATCTGAGAAGTGATGCTGTCGTGGATATCACCAATAGCAGTGGAGCTACCAGTCAGAACAACCAGCGCAGTAGCATGACCATTGACGACGGTAGTACCGGAGAAAAGCATGTTGGTTTGTTCCTGCTTAACAGCCTGACGATCCTTGATGATGCCAGTTTCCTTGCTAACACTCTCACTCTCACCAGTCAAGATTGCCTGATCAACCCGGAAGCTATTGCTGTGAATAGAGAGCAGTCGGCAGTCGGCGGGGACACGGTCACCAACAGCGATGTGGATAACATCACCAGGTACCAGATCTTCTGCCTTGACGCGCTGAGCCTTCCCGTTACGTACAACCTTGGCCTCGTTGGCCGAGTATTCCTGAAGCGCCGCAATCGCCTTCTCTGCGCTGCTCTCTTGAGTCACGCCCACCACCGCGTTGAGAATTAAGATAGTCAAGATCTGCGGAATTGAGAATGTTAGTCTAAAAATCACGGTGGGCCCTCGAATGAGAGGGGCCATGGAAAAGAGACACATACCACAGCTGGGTCGACAAAGGCGGTCCAGTCATCACTTTCTTCGAAAAGGGCCAAAACAAAGGATACCGCAGCAGATCCCAACAGGATAAGAACCAGCTGGTCCTTGAACTGCTCCAGAATCATTTCCCAGAGAGGAGTCGGGGGTTCCTCAGCAATAGCTAGAATGAAAGTCAGTTCCCCGCAACGCAATGACTTTTTGCAAAAAAACCGCGAGATTTACGAACCATTGGGGCCATGCTCCTGTCTGGATTTCAAGACCGCGTCTTGAGACAAACCAGCGCTTTCGGATACATCGAAATGATCCAGCGCTTCCGCTGGGGTGTGAATAAAAGAGTTATCCATTGCAGGTCACTCAAGCCAGGTCACCACTAAAATAGTCGGAGGCCGGGGGAGAGATGCGGAGAGCTGGGGTAAAGACCAGAAAGAAAGGGAAAAAAAGAATGGGCGTGCTAGATAGAACACATGGGTATTGGCGAATGGCCTGTCGAATCCGGAAGTCGGGACTTAAGGAAGAGCAAGGGAGCGAAGAAGTACCCTTTTTAGTTCTTCCAGTGAGAAAAAGCGCGCGACGTAAAAAGTGGAGAGGCGGAGCAACAACGTGTTCTCATCCAGTTGATTCCATTCCCGATCGGGCAATGCTGAATCAGCGTAAATCGCGGTTACAAGTCACAGGGCTGAAATCATAATCTTGCTCTGGGCTCCACACCTTCATTTCAAATGAGATTGTACCAGTCAATGTTTCTTCTAGCTTAGTTCGGACTTTATGCAATCCGGCGCCGGACATGATTAAGTACGAAAAGGGGTTCTTTTTCTAATCCAAAATCATCCCCAACCAATCTACCTATTCTCTTCGAAAATAGAAAGCTCTTCCTCTTCCTCTTCCATGCAAGCCCGAATACCAGGGGTCTCCGGTGTCCTTGCCGAGAGCTGCGGTGGAATTATGGGTCTATTTTTTCTTTTTCCCTGCTAGGCTGCATCATTTCTACACAGTATACCTATCGGATCCCACTAATGGCTTTAGTGGAGCTTTTGTTCCTTCTTCCTCAACGGATTGACCTGGTCCAAGTCCGAATTCTGCAAAGAGCAGTGGATCCTGCCCTACCGTGATGGGTCAGGTGCGGGCTTTGGTCCATTGCCATCTACGCAAGTCATCTTGGCTCCCAGTTCAAGCGTTACCATTGCCCCGTCTCCTCGATTGGAATGGTCCTACGGCAAGCTGCGTCATTTTACAGAGTTTACCTACAATTGATTCGACAAGGTCCTATTTAGTGCGTTTAGGCCAACGCTCCATGATGCCAGTGGATGAGATTAGATTCAGCCCTACAGGCAAAGAGCAAATCGCATGCGTATACGAGTCGCCACTGATAGAAGATCGACCGGTGACGGAGGGCTTGAACCCACTTGGCTTGAGACGATCCCCGGATCAAATTCACGGTGATTGAGTACGAGAGTGCTCTTCAGGCTACATATACCCATGAACAGTCATGGAAACCCGTCTCTAGTAACTGGGACTCTTTAGGTGAAGATATGGAGATACACATTTGATAGATTGTGTGTGAAGGACACACATAACAATGAGTATTTACACCTGGGCAGGACGCATATGTGCAGCGAGAATTGTATAATGGGACTCATGTCGACTATGAGAGATCAGAAATTGACAGAAACTTGAATGGACTGACATCATGATATACAATTCATCCCCGCCTGCCAATGTGGTTTGGTGTACAGTGTGTTTTAATTAATTCGTCCTCCAGGGCTTGCAATAAAAATAGCACACTGCGGGATCCATAGATCGAACAGCCTAGCGGGTGTTTTTCGTCAACTGGTCAGTACATACCCGAACTATAGGGTTTTTCTGGTCACTGTGATATAATACATACCTACCCATGACCCTAAGCGCCAAGAAACCACGTGGCTTATCAGTCGCATGAGTGAAGAAGTTGGAGCCATGGAAGGGATGGGATAATTGGCACAATAATCAGGATATAGTAGTGATTATAGCTGAACAGATAAAGTTATACAAAGGAGGATAGATTAAAATAGCTGTTTGTAATTATTTCACTTTTAGCTTTGCAAGTTTCGTTCTTTCCCATGTCTTGTGCTTTGAGACTGAGCGATCACAAGACAAACCGGACAGTATCTCATCGCAGAATGGCCTGGTTGACTTTGTAGTAGTTTAAAGCTATAGAGGGCTACCATTAGTGTGGCGTATGGTATCGATAGAACGGTAAAGTGTCTTGCCTAGAGCAACCCCAGTACAAAGAATCGGACATTGGATTCCTAGCCTCCTAATTTTTCACATTGAATAAAGTCAAACGCAATAGCAAGAAGGCCGGTTAGGGGGAGTTCTTCAGATATAACGGTAGTAATATCTGCTGTTACAAACTTGAAAGTAGGGACTTTTCGTTCCAAGGAAATATCCTTTAATGGATCCAGATGTCTTATAAGTCATGATTGCCGACAATTGTGCATATCCGCGTTGCCATAACAGCAGTCACTCCCCACTCTGATCTGTAAATCTACTTTGGCCGAGGTTAACGGGCTTGTCCGAATTAAACTTTGAAAGAACGCGAATACATATCTCCAGGTGAGGCCCAGTGTGTTCTTATATTGACGTAAAGGCCCCCTAGACGCTATAATGTATACTTGAGCGTAACAATACGCGCCAAATCAAAGACTTTTTGTCGGTCGCGTTTTTTATCCACGGAAGCTTCTAGCGAAGAACTGACTGTATATTGACCTGTCACACAACGGCCGACTATAAGCTTTTCACACGTAGAATGATCTCCTTGGACGTCTTGATAGGTTGCTAAACACTAAAGTCCCCTGCAGAACCTTTTAGTGGCTATATAACTATCCAATATAGATTGGAAATTTCTACAATCCAAGCTATTAACGTCCTCAACTGTACAAATAATGCGAATAATTTCTGTGAACCACCTGAGCAGTCCATCTAATGGCGTACCCTCGCCAGGCTCTCGATGCAGAGAGTTTTAGCAGGTTATGAACGCCTCTACGTTTCCCTGCCACTAGTGATACAATCATTCTTCTTTTCTCTTTAAGGACAAAGCAAGTCAAGGACAAATCCAGTCAAAGATTAAGCTAGTCAAATACAAGACAATTTATTTCATCGTATCAAATATTATGAATCGTAATGGTGGCCGATGGATGGTAATCGATTCGTTATATCGGCCTTGGGGTGGCAATCGACGTGGTGTACCAAAGATACTTGACAAAAATAAGAACTTGGTCAGTGTGAAGTAGTAGGCTTCAAAGGCGATACTAGGACTCGTGCAAGTCTTAGCCTATCTCTGGCATGAAGCCGCTTACATATCATTGTATTAGTCAAGGAAGTCGAAAAATTTTACTTTTGTTAGTATCCTGTACTACTACATAAGCTATTACTGTGTACATACTAGCTTGAAGTAGTATATGCCTACCCGGGCCTCATAATGGGACAAAGTACTGCCAGTGCATCAGTAGTGCTTATAGTTTATATTTGAACCAATGGGATCTACAGAAACCTTGGAAATCTCCATTCAAGAAAATAATCCGAAGGGTCATGAAGGAATATATATTAGTATATATAGTACATCTCGATATCTCCAGGGTTGACATGCTCTCTTTAATATGTGGAGCCTCCCGAAGGTGTAAATCTGGAGCGATTTAGTTCTCTGCTGGGATCACTACATCACAGTTGGTTCTCTTGTTAATATGCTGGAAGATTCTATGCGTTGCATCATGGTCACCTGTAGACCTTTTTTTCTCCGTCCACACCGCATATGTACCCCTTTTGCCTGAATGGGTCGATGGGTTGACCACGTCATTCGTCTCAAGACCTGCTATGTTCAGATCGGAAATATCTATAGTGTAAGTAATGTAGAATTACCATGGCCCAGAATCTCTTAGAGGGTCCACTGTCATTTTAAATGATCTTCGTGACAGTACCACCTTGGCCATGTCCCTGGTACCGTCAATACCGTAGCAAGAGTGATGTGCCACAGTATTGGCCTGGAAGCTATCTGGTACTTTGGGATCATTGGGATGTATCAATCAACATGGGCAGTACATGCGTATATGTAGAATTTATCTATAAGATCAAAGTCAGTAAGAGCCTCGAATAAGTTACAGTAGGAAGATGGGCAGCCACGACCTTGAAGGGGTACCGGGGTACATGTGAATAGTAAGGAACCACGGCGGGAAGCCAGGTACCCGGTACAGTGATACGCTGTATTGTTATAATTCTTCCTGTTCCCCCCCAAACTTCCACCTCCCTCTCACTCTTCCCACCCCCACTTGATCCTCCTCACCTTCTTCCTCTGCATCTCCGCTTCCATCTCTCCAGTTTTCACCCCCCCTCCCCTTTCTCTGCCTAGTTAAACCTTTTCAATACTATTCTATCCACACATTCAACCATGGGTTCTGAGGTATGTTCAACTCCCCTCTCCGTCTTCTCCATCCCCCACAAATTAGCCCCTCCATCGGGCGCGTGCTGAGCCCGTCACCGCCATCGCAATCCTACGCTTGCCCGTTTCCCCTCTGCTGGTTGATATTTTGGCCTTGACCATCGTGCTAACACGTTTCCTTCTATCATGCAGCGTGAGAAGTAAGGATGCTTCAAATTAAAGAGCATATCCATCTTGACCTGATACTGACCTCCTCACCAGCAAGACGTTCCTCGCGCGGCTCTGCGAGCAAGCTGAGCGCTACGATGGTAAGAGTTATAAGGATATTTTGTGCTTGCGGGTGCCCTCAGTTCCGGCTAACATGAGACGCTTGTCCCTTTCTAGAAATGGTTCTATTCATGAAGGTCGGTCGCATCTGGTGATTTATGTTTATTATCGATAGGCTTAGCTAACCGTCGCTTACAGGAAGTCGCCAACGTATGACATGACCCCCTTCGACCCCCTCGATGACCTATCATGTGAGAGTTGATACTAATCCAATCTTAGATTGGCGGCGAACTCACTGTCGATGAGCGAAACCTCCTCTCCGTAGCTTACAAGAACGTTGTTGGTACTCGTCGTGCCTCGTGGCGCATTATCTCCTCCATCGAGCAGAAGGAGGAATCCAAGGGCTCCGACGAGCATGTGACCATCATCCGTGATTACCGTCAGAAGATTGAGACAGAGTTGGAGCAAGTGTGCCAGGACGTTTTGGATGTCCTTGACGAGGCCTTGATCCCCAAGGCCGAGACTGGCGAGTCTAAGGTGTTCTATTACAAGATGTGGGTGATATCCTGAAATCCGCGATGTGAATAAATCCACCCGATGACTGACTCATTCTAATAGGAAGGGCGACTACCACCGTTATCTGGCTGAGTTCGCTTCTGGTAACAAACGCAAGGTTGCCGCCACTGCTGCCCACGAGGCTTACAAGGTATTTTGATGTTCCGCTCTCTTCATCCCACGCGTCCACTTGCTCATCAAATATTCAAATAGAACGCTACCGATGTTGCCCAAACTGATCTCACTCCTACCCACCCCATCCGCCTTGGTCTTGCTCTGAACTTCTCCGTTTTCTACTACGAGATCCTCAACTCTCCCGATCGTGCATGCCATCTCGCTAAGCAGGCATTCGATGACGCCATTGCCGAGCTGGACTCACTTTCCGAAGAGAGCTACCGTGACAGCACTCTTATCATGCAACTCCTGCGGGACAACCTGACCCTCTGGACCTCGTCAGAGGGCAACGAGGGTGAGAGCGCTGCTCCCAAGGAGGAGAAGACCGAGGAGGCCGCTGCCGCTCCTACCGAGGAACAACCTGAGGAGGCTAAGCCTGCTGAGACTGAGTCCTAGATAGCTAATGGGCGCGACGAGCCGATTTGATCAGGGCGGGCGTTCGCATTTCTTCCTGGAACGTGATTTGTAGTCGCTTTTATTTTCCCCGCAGCGTGGCTGGGTTGGGACCGGCACTGAGCCTTTACACGTGTTCCACACCCGTGTGGGCTGGCCGGTGGAGTTTGATATTCGGTTGACGCGAGCGAAGAAAAGGGGCTGAGTGGAATTTCTCTCTCTTTTACTGTCTCTATTCCCACTCCAGCACAATTCAATGTGTTTATTTTCCAATTCAACCTCTTGAATTTCCATCAGCTACCTTTAACCCTTTGGGCTTACTTTTGATACTTATCCAATATCAGCTCGTGGGACAACGTAGAACTTCCAACTATTAAAAATATTTGACTTTAGATCACATGTTGAGTTTTAATATTGTAACTACATACTACATGCGTACCCATAGCCCACATGTTGATCGAGGATTCCCCTGCATGGATGATGTTCACCAGTGTTTCCGAAACTGGAGAGGCCCAAATATTCACATGTGATATAAATACATACATAGTACATAGCACTGGGAGAAGAGTCGACTGTCAGAATTCATCATGACATCCACACCCAGTCTTTGCCCAGGGACCATGAGGCTCAGCCGGTAAGTAACCGAGATCATGTCCACCAACATTCAAGACCCCTAAATAAAGCCACGCATCCACAATGGCGCAATCGCCCACAAATAAACGTGAAGAAATCCCTGTATTCTTATTTTTGAACTATATAAGGTCTACAGTAGACATAACTTGAAGTTAACCTTCCCTTGCAGACCTCCGACCCTGCATAAGCCAAAAAACAACTTGACCCTGATTTCTCCTCTAAACAAAGTTAAAACTAAATCAGGCCTCCCGGAAATAGGGGGCTTAGCTGGTGGGGGTCATCCACTGTCCCTAAAGAACCTGCTTCTATACGAGGACAACGAATTAGGATCAACATATTTGGAGCAGCAATTCAGATGGCAACTATTTGGCCCAACGCGGGCTGGATATTGACAGGGGGATTAGATGGTTTTTCCATTCAACGAACCCGTCACTGTCGGATCTCTCCATATCCACCATACGAAGTGGAGCGTGATTAATGTCCGTGCCAACATTTCTGCACTAAAACATGATGACCTCACACTGTAGCACTGTCGATAGGGTTACTAAAATGCGAACGCTTTTTACTTCGCAATTTCTATGTCGGGCTCTTACTATTACCAGAAGAATATAGGAGGATTAGGGGGAGAATTCAAAGAAGCACCAGAAAGAGGACTAGAAAGAGGACTAGAAAGAGGACTAGAAAGAGGACTAGAAAGAGGACTAGAAAGAGGACTAGAAAGAGGACTAGGAAGAGGACTAGAAAGAGGATTAGGGTAACCTCCCTGTCAATGCGGAAGAGCAGCAGAGCCCTGCCGTGGAGACTGGGCTCGAGCCACGGCTTGTTAGTTCTTACTTCCCACTAAGGGTCTAGTGGGGGTCTTTGCTTGCTACCTCGTACCCAGAACACTCGCCCCTGACATGGTCAACTCTCGTATCAGGGACAAAACCAGATCGATGGGTCTTGTGCTGAAAAGAGTCTCTTCGGTATGCATGCAACGTATGCATATTTGTGTCTCCTAGAGGCTAGCATTGTGCTTGGTTCCTGTAAGTATCCTGTCACAATGTGAAGGATGATTCGCGATCTAACAGTCTTTCTCTCTGTAGCATGCAATGGCGGGACAATCAACTCACAATCCGACGCGGATGCAATGAGCTCCTGCTCGATAATATCAGGCGACATCACAGTAATCGATTACGACGATACCAGCCTCAACATAAGCGGACCAGCGAATATAACAGGAAATTTCAATGTCACCGATGCCCCGAACCTGACAGAACTATATGCTTCTGACCTGGAGACCATCAGTGGCGAGCTTTACATCGGCGGGACTGTGGCCAAGTTAGCGACATTGGATTTGAGCTCAATGTTCAGCGTTGGCTCTCTGGACTGGGAAGATCTACCAAAACTCACCAATCCTAATCTGCCTGCCTCGGGAATAAACTCAAGTGATAGCATCAGGCTTGTGAACACCGGTTTACGCGGTATCTCTTGGGTCAACATGGACACCATCGATGATGTCTACATCGCTAATAACCCTCTGTTGATCGACGATATAAACCTTCAATTCAGTTCATTCACAGGCAGTGTCGAGGTATCGGGCAATGGGAATGAAAAACAGAGGCCTGGGTTTGGCATGACTCATGCTACTTCTGGTGGCTCTATCAAGTTGTCAAATGTTAGCTCAGTGCAGCTGGGAAACATAATTACTCTTTCTGGAGATCTGGAGCTTGTCGGGAGCACGAACGGGGTGGTCAGAATACCGAATTTGGAAAGAGTGGATGGGAGTTTGAGCATCCAAGATAATCCTGATACACATCAACTCTTTTTCAATCAGCTTCGATATATTGTGGGAAACGTCACCATCACGGGAAACGCCAATTTACACAACTATAGCATCATGGCTCTTGAGGAAGTAGGCGGAGACGTAACATTTCAAGGATCCTATGACCTGTAAGTGACCTCTTCTTGTAGTATCTAACAAACATTTCAATGAGCTCAAGCTAACTCGACTCAGCCTTCGAATGCCATCAGTCACGTACATCGGTGGCACGCTTTCTGTCAACGGGATCAGCGGGGGGTTAACCTGTGAGCAGATCAGAGCTAGAAGCTTTGCAGAATCGGCCAAAGAGTACACATGTCAGATTGGAGTGAAATCAGCTGGTACAACATCTTTGTCAACGGCCTCAGCTACTCACTCCATCCCAGTCCCATCAGACTTATATGCCACTTCAACGAATCCTGCTGGCTCGACTTCTTCCAGCGGCCCCAGCTCTTCTTCATCCAGCTCTAACGACATGCCAGCCAGAGAAAAGATAGGACTTGGAGTGGGCATCGGAGTTGGCGTGCCAATAATCTTTGGCGCTGCATTGTTTTTCATTCTCACGAGGCGAAAAGGCACGAAGAATAACAGTAACAGCCAACCGGTTCCTGAAGCAGGAGGAAATGAAAGATATGAAGCACCAGCAAATGAGGTTCGAGGCATAAATGAAATAGCAGGGGAGGAAAGCAACAAGGGAATTGCTTCTAAAAACAAAGCGCCCGTCGAACTTCCTGTTCCCGAGGAATACAAATAATATTCACCATTCTTCACGGGGCTGTGAGGAAGACCCTGAAAACGTCCAATTGAAGGTGTCTGCAGAGCCGCGATGGTGACAGTCGACGCTTTCGAAATCTTGTAATAATGCATTGTGCAGATGAATTGATACCCATTCTTATAGCGTGACCAGTTCGGGATCCCGGCTACCCATATAGAGTTTTGCTATTAAAGTTGGCCCATTCAAATAAATCCAATAAGACATACATCAGTAAATGAATACTATAGATCTACATAGCTATCAATCGGACTGACCCACCGTGACGTATCCTGACCATTCCTCGAAATAGTCCATCTAAGACCCTTCCAATCAACAACCCAGTAAACAAGCCCTATGTACGTCTTCAACAATCAATGGCAAGGGTAGACCCCTCTATCCAAAAACAGACAATGCAGAAATGTCCCTCATGTACAGTCCATCACAACCCACTATGAACTTAAACGAATCAAACAAAGACAAGCAACCTTGGTAGCTTGAGATGAAGACTTCAATCGGGGGAAACAACGACCGGCGCACCGCATCACTCCAGAGAACCCGTATAATCGCCGCGCGTCAAGCAGCAAACATGAAGCAGCACGCTAGATGAGGTTGGACCTTCTGGGCATCTGACAGGTGTCAAGGTGGCTTATTGGATGTGTTTTAGTTGGTGCATAGGCTGCATGTTCGAATTATAGAATGAACCGGGTTTGTGTTGTTAGTAGACGGGAAAGTCGGTGACAGTGACCAACTGGAAAGCCGGAGAGTTTAGGATGCCTAGGATGCCTAGGATGCCTAGGAAACTTGCTTTAAGAGCCGCCTCTGGGAGACATGCCCGGAAATGTCTACATCTAGGCTGCTTACTGTGACTTTGCGGGGATGCCGGCGGTCTTGGTCCGCGACTCCACGTTGGATACGTATCTTTATTTAGTTTAAAATGAGACCGGATGACGTGCAGAGTTAGCGTGGAAAGATAAATAAGGTTGAAGAGAAAGAAGGAAAAGTACAACACGATGTCATGTTGGGAAGATATGGTAATTATGGGCATCGCGGTAATTGATCTAGATAATTCAGGTACAGGCACGAGTAGAAGTAAAAAAAAAGGATACATATATGTGTTTTTTTCTCTAGAAGGCAGTGCTAAAAGTCTACATTTTATCATCGAGTTTTCAAGATCCCTCAAGTTCAACGAACAGCCACGTTTCCGATAGTCAACTAATCCCTGTCCACCACACTATAGCGTGCCTAATAGCGACTGCAAAGCAATGCGAGCATGAATTGGGCAGATACATACAGTTGTAATGGGTATTCAGACCCGAGCCGGAATGAGAAGAGCCAATATCAAGGCGAGAAAAAATACGCTAGGGGCATTCGCGAATCACATCGTAACCACAAGGACCGTCTCCACGGCTTTCTTCATACCAAGACCGTGTTGCCGGGTCACTTCGCAGGAGCCACAATACTCAACTAATACTCAACTTAGAGAGTGATGGAGGCATATATAGCATTTAGAGTATCAACAGGCAGTGTTGTAGTGCTATACTGAATTCTCGTACCACTATCTCGTTTCAATCAAAATGGCAGCTGTGACCCCATTGATTTTTGAAACCAATTCCTTATATGTCGTTCTTCTTGAGCGCGGCGATACATACCTGTTTCACTGGGAGTTATATCTTGCAACTTCCCAGCGGAGGGCGTCATATTCCACATAACCGACGATACCGGCCCTTCTATTTGGGAATACAGCCGAGTGCCAACCAACGAAATGCCCAATCTCCGCCGACTATTACTAGTGCTGAAGATCGGCTCCGTGGAGCCAATGCTGCATAATGCATTATCTGACCGACTTGCTCTGCTTCCTTTAAATCGATTTTCGACGCGGTTTTCCGAGCAGCTGAACTGTAGAGTTTGGGTAAAGGAGGCGCTTTTTGTCATGGATGATGAAGGTTATGTTCATTTGAACAAAGGAACAAAAGAAATCGAGGAAGAGGCTAGGTACCATGCTATGGTTAATAAGTCCAAGTCTGAGCGGAAGGTTGTGCGGAGCAGGATGTTTACATCTTAATCTGTAATGTAATTAGTCAGACGGTCTTATCGAAGATTACCTAGGGATTAGGGAAAGCAGTAAAGATGCTGCATTAATGAAATTGGAAATTTGGAGATTCCGCAGACCAAAGCCAATGTATTTGTTCTATTGATGTTCATGCAGTGTAGCCAGGGTGTGTATGGGGATGTACATTGGATGTAGAAGTATTTGATATAAGCGGAGGTTCCAAAGAGAGTTCAAAGTTCAGAGACTAATATGAACCACCCAGAATGGGATTCTCGCAATTGAGAGAAATCTCAAAAAGGAAAATAGATTTCCTTTTTTATGAGCCATAACCGAGAATTTTCAATAGGGGCAGTGGCGCAAAGGGTCAAGAAGAAAGAAAGAAAGAAAATTGAAATGGAAGTCGTTTCTTTACATGAAGTCATCATCACCGAGACCATCACCGCCATCGTAGTTATTGCTGTCAAGTTGGTTGTCACGGTTTGCGACCAGAGAAACCTTGGTCTTAGCAGCCTTGGTCTTCTTGTTGCCCTTGTCAGCAGCACGCTCCTCACGCATCTTCTCGTTACTAGCAGTGGTCAATGCGCTAGCAATCTTCTTGATCTCTGAGCTGGGAAGTTCCTTGACCAAACGGCGGGTAAAGTCCTGCGCCCAGATGGCGTACTGGGGCTTCTTCGAGTGTGGTGTAATGAGGGGAATGAGGGCATCGGACAGGCGAGTGAATTGGTCCTTGGTGGTAGGCTTGAACAGAGGCATCGAAGAGAGATCAACGGACTTGGTAGGATCAACATTGTCGCTAATGACGATAGCCTTGGGGGCACCACGGTTGCGCTTTGTGTCGACCTCTCCGAAGAGGTCATTGGCGTGAGACAGATCGGAGTCGATCTCTTGGCGGCGCATGCGCTCACGGCGCTCAGCCTCAGTTTCTTCCTCGTCGAAGTCGCTTTCATCGGCATCTTTCCTCCGTTGCTCACGGTGCTCTTCAATACGCTGAGCCTTGGTCTTCTTGTTGGCGGCAGCCTTGGCCTTAGCAGCAGCATCGGCTTCTGCGGCCTTCTTCGCCTTCTCGCGCTCTACCTCAGAGTCTTCCGCGGCGTCCCAGGAGTCAAGGACCTATTATTTCGAAAAGATATATCGGTTAGATGACCGTATTATTGTGGGAGGGGAAAAAAAACTCCGGGATGTTCATGGCTCGGGAAACCTTACATCCTCTTCTTCCTCGTCATCGAATCTGCGACGGGGTGCGACAGGGGGAGGTGGGGAGCTATCCTCCTCCTCTTCGTCTAATTAGTGAGAGCAGAGTGTTAGCAACAGCATATGGTGCTCAATTCACAGAATAGGCAAAGGGTGGGCGGGGATAAAAAGATTCTCCCCGCATATCAGATGAGACGGAGAGGTGATCTTGATAGTCGCAAAAGATTAGAACTTACCCCACTTTGAAGGCGGCATATTGGCGAAAAGAGTGTGTTTGAGCGATAATTAAGAGAGTGAAAAGACTTCCGCAGTGATTCCACTGGTAGATATAACAGACGAGGACGAGCCTGCAATCGAAACCTTGTCTCAACAAAGGAATGGAGGGGATCAAATTTTATGTGGGACACAACTTCTCATAGAGTGGGATGTGCACGTGATCTCCGGGTCCTTGGTGCCCGACCAGCGTGATGTACATTACCTCTTGTTATATACTGCTGAGTACTCTCAGTGATGATCAGGAGTGTTTTATAATCTTCTACTTGGATACTTAGATATCAAGGTGGTTTATTTGAAAAATTTCTTTCATTCAGAAGAGCTTATTAAATTCATAATCATAACAGAGGGGCTTTTCGCCACGAGATACTAGGCCACCTCTTTTTTCTTTTTAGTATTTATGAGGTCACGAAAGTCCCTGCATTTACAGGTTGACCGAGGTGCGGAAGTTCTTTCCAGCGTAGACAGCGTTCTCACCGAGCTCCTCCTCGATACGGAGGATCTGGTTAAGCTTAGCCAGACGCTCGGAACGAGCGGGGGCACCAGTCTTGATCTGGCCGGCACGCAGACCGACAGCAATGTCGGCAATGGTGACATCCTCGGTCTCACCGGAGCGGTGAGAGACCATGACGCCCCAGCCGTCAGCGTAGGAGTCCTTGGCAGCCTGGATAGACTCGGTCAGGGTACCGATCTGGTTGACCTTCAGGAGGAGAGCATTGCAAGACTTGAGCTCGATGGCCTTCTTGATGCGCAGAGGGTTGGTGACAGTCAGGTCATCTCCGACGATCTGGAAGTCGGAGGTCTTGTAGAAGTAGCTCCAGGCCTCCCAATCATCCTCAGCGAAGGGGTCCTCGATACTGACAATGGGGTACTTGGAAGCCAGGGACTTGTAAAGGTCGGCCAGCTGCTCGTAGGTGAGCCACTTGGACTTGTCGCTGTCGGGGTTCTTGAAGTCGAGATCGTACTTCTTCTCCTCGGTCTTGTAGAACTCGCTGGAAGCAACATCCATGGCAATGTTGATCTTGCCGGTGTAGCCAGCCTCGGCGATAGCCTCGGTGATCAGGTCCAGAGCCTCCTCGGCGGTCTGAATATCGGGAGCAACACCACCCTCATCACCAACGTTGCCAGCGGACTGACCGTACTTCTTCTTAGCCAGAGACTTGAGCTTCTGGTAGACCTCAGCACCCTGACGGAGACCCTCGGAGAAGGTAGGAGCGGAGCTATAAGATAATGCTGTTAGCTTTCTGTTTGATGATGTATATTGATTCCAGCACTGGAAGCTGCAGGGACACATACTCAGGAACAATCATGAACTCCTGGAAGGCCAGACGGCCACCGGCGTGGGAGCCACCGTTCAGGACGTTCTGGAAGGGGACGGGAAGGACGTAAGGCTTCTTGGTTCCGGCAAGGTCGGAAACGTGAACGTAGAGAGGGACACCCTTCTCAGCGGCGGCAGCCTTGGCAACAGCCAAGCTGACACCGAGGATGGCGTTAGCACCAAGGCTGGCCTTGTTGGGGGTACCGTCGAGCTTGTTGAGGAACTCGTCGACCTTGGCCTGGTCCTTGACGTCGACGTTCTCCTTGATGAGAGCGGGGCCAATGATCTCATTGACGTTCTTCACGGCCTTGAGGACACCTGAATGCGAAACCAATGTTAACCATGAAGTCCTTTTGGGGTAGGAAGAGAGAAAAGAGGAAGCTGTTTACTTACCCTTGCCGCCCCACTTGGCCTTGTCACCATCACGGAGCTCAACGGCCTCGTGCTGACCTAGATTATCTTCATTAGTATCATTTGGCCTGGGTAATAGATACCTGGTTAGAGACGAGAGACTTACCGGTAGAAGCACCAGAGGGAACAATGGCACGGTGAAGGCCAGTCTCGGTGACGATGTCGACCTCAACGGTAGGGTTACCGCGAGAGTCGTAGACGGAACGGGCGTGAACCTTAGCGATAGGCATTTTGAAAGGTAGTCTGGACAGATGGTTCAAGAATGAAAATCAGTTCAGTTGCAAGAGAAAAGGAGAAAAACAAGAGGACCACTGGGGGTTTATGGCAAGAAGCAGCGTGTGACTAACGGCGGGGTGGCAGGTTCACCGATGACCCAAAAAGAATGGCCGGACACGGGGATATGATTGGGAAGGGGCTGATGTGCTTGAGCTCACGCAGGTACGATTGGCTACAGCAATGGACTCCAGTATGAATCCGGTAGGATCACTCTTTTGCTATAGTGGATTGGGTAACCCGGTGTATAGCAAAGGGGGAAGTAAAGTAGAAAGCAAGTAAAGGAAGAGGGGCAGAGGAGAGGAGGGGAAGGTGTAATGTATGGCGGGGTACTGTGATGTAGATGCACCAATTTAACTTACCTTGGGAGCAAAAAAAAGTCAATAGAGACAGAGAATAAGAACAGCTATCAAATCAAACCTTTAAAAAGAACGGAAAAACCCGATTTCTTAAATACTTGACTCCCCAGTCTGACCCCGGGAAAGGTCAACCTGGGCCTCCGATTCTTTCCAATGCGGTGGTGGGGCTCCACGGCTTTCTCCAATGCTTGCTGGCTGATCCCGACCGTCTGCGGATGCTACAGCTTGCGAGATCTTCCGTCCCTCGGGACAGTTCAGTATGATGTTATCGTTAGTCGACTCGGCGCGACTAAGCTCTTCCATTGTATGACGAAATCGTTTTGAATTGATCCCATTCGCCCCTCCAATGCCCCTCCATATGCCCCTCTACAATCCCAAATTACGTACACTGTCTATTCCCTCTGTTGAGCTATGAACTCCTAATTAAAGCGGGTGGAGAGGGACGAGAGAAATCTTCAGTCATGTATTTCAAGGGATCCTGGCCAATGATAGCTTCTTCAGGACATTCCTTGGCTCAAGACGGTGGTTCTATGGTTCTATGTTGCATTGGGACCTGGTGTACATCCGTACATAGTCTGTGCTGTAGAGATCGGATTAGGAATGGCGCCAGCTGTGTTTACCTTATGGCCTTGTGGCCTTATTGCCTTAGTTAATATTCCCCTTGATGCCTTACTGCCCTACTGCCTTGGAGCCTTGGAGCCTGAGGATTAGATGATTAGTTAACGTGTTCGGTAAGCGAGTGACACATGTAAGCGAGTGACGCACCTACCATACAATATCTATTTTAAATGCATTTTTCTTAACCAAAACGCCATTAAATTAATTTAACTAGCTATGTTCTCTATCTGGGCATATTTCTCTTCTATATCCTGGCTTCCTACATATTCCACATCCTCGCTAGCCCCGCGTAGGTGGCTGTAAACCCTCTAAAACCTACTCACAATAGGTATTAATACAGGCTACTTGGGCCTCAAATGGCTCCGCACGTAGCTCACGAACTTCTTAAACTGAAATATCGCCTTCGTGAGCTATCTACCTAGTCGACCGAGTCCGCTTTTACTTCTACTTCTCATTAGCAGCACGTAATTCTTTAATTTCTTACGCTTATAGAATATGACTTTGTATCTGGAGTTAGAAGCCTTTCACAAGCTAGTTTAATACACAATCTGACGGGCTAGGCGGACTATAAGACTATATACAAAGTAAAGCTTTAATTAATAAAGCCTATCGACGTAGTTTTTTCTCTATATAGGGAGTTTTTAGTATAAAATTTCAGCTTAATTCGCTACCCCGGCTCACCGGGAGTATTAGGATTCAAAGATAAATATTAAGCTTTAAAAGTACTCAATCGGATAAAAAAGGTATTAGACTAACTACCCTAAAGCTATTTTTAATAGTCTTAGGTTTAAAAGCCTTAATTCAGGTATACAGATATACCTCAAGAAAATCAAGTTTATCGATATAGTTAATCCTAAGGCACATCTTTATTTCAATAAGCCGATTGTACAAGCACTTTAACACTATAAAACAGCCAATATTAAGAGGCTATAAAAGATATAACGAATATATAGATATATAAATTAATATAATATCGTTTTTTTCATAAATTTCATCAAACCTCAGGGTTAAATAGCTTCTATAGCCATTAAGTATTAAAAGTCAATACCAACCTTTTAACCATAAAGAAGTCGACAAAATAAAGAGCTTTTCAAGCCAATAAAGACTAATTTTATTGGAAATCTAGCCGTTTAGGCTTACTTCGAATCGCTAATTATCTAGAAGATTATTGAACTAAGATTTAATAAAAACCTTACCTTTAAAAATTATATACAGAGATAAAACCTAACCTAAAGTATTTATATATTTAATTATAGTTATTTACTTATAATTTCCAGATTATAAAAGCGATCGCTGACTATAGTATTTAGTTTTTATAACGACTTTCGTAGTTGTTATTAATCCTATTGCGAAACCAATCTCGTCAAAGTTATAAACGTTGTTAGGATCGATACTATATTAAAGTATAGTTTTTTAAACAAGATTAAACCATTCACCAATAATTTTTAGGTCTTCACACTTTATATATTTATAATTATAGCGTCTCAAGAACCGGTTTAATAGTTCAAGATACCTTTTTATAAAGTTATAAACCCATTTTTCCCCAACTATTTAAATAGGGGTTGTTTTGTAAGCCTTAAGAAGAATATTCGCAGTTTCTCATACAGTAGTCAGCCGGGGTACTACTCCACGATTATTAAGCAATAGGATCCATTTTCGAAGCGTTTCCTCTTCGATTTCTATCAATTTATATAAGTTGGCGCGTGAATTCGCACGGTTTTGAACACCGCGGAGGCGGCAGCGAAGTATCGGCTCCGACACATTAAAACGACGTGCTGCTTCACGAACAGCGCTGATTTCTTGGTTCTTTATAGCCTGAATAGCTAATAAGATCCTACCCTCTTGCTCGATTAAGTTTCTCGAGGTTTGGAGGCAAATTGGTGGCATAATAGGTGGTTGAATTAATTAAGTGCTAATTCATAGACGCGTTTTGGGCGGGGTGCGTCACTCGCTTACATGCGTCACTCGCTTACCGAATACGTTAGATAAACTCGACAATGATGTCAGTCACGTGATACAGAACGCGGTATCATGTGATCTGGCAGCTCCCTCGCCCGGTGCTTGGGATGATGACCTAGAAGCTTCCCCAAGATCGCATCTGTTTACTTGTGTCCTTCGATTCGTCTTTTCTATCACCAAAGACCTGCAATATCGGTTGCATTTTGATTTGGAGAACCGATTTATCCCTCTTTTTGATTTCCTTCCCTCGTTGCTCCTGTGGATCCTACCCATAGGTCACCATGGACAGCGCCAGCGACCCCGAACGGGATCAGTCCCTCGAAGATTATAAAAAGAGCTTGCTTGAGCTACGAGAATGGGAGACAAAGTTGAGGACCTTGCGCCTGGGGATTAAAGATCTCCAACGCGAGTTCGACATCTCTGAAGAGAACATCAAGGCACTACAAAGTGTTGGTCAGATCATCGGCGAGGTGCTTAAGCAGCTAGATGAAGAGCGATGTAGGCTACCGCTATCCAAACAGTCAACCCTCCTACCAGAAGAATCGGTTTCTAACTCATTCTCCAATGTCTTTTAGTCATCGTCAAAGCATCTTCCGGGCCGCGATACGTTGTCGGCTGTCGCTCGAAGGTCGACAAGGCCAAGATGAAGCAGGGTACCCGTGTGGCCCTGGATATGACAACGCTCACTATCATGCGAATGCTTCCTCGCGAGGTTGACCCCATGGTTTACAACATGTCCTTAGAAGATCCCGGTCAGGTGAACTTTGCTGGAATTGGTGGTCTCAACGACCAAATCAGAGAGCTCCGAGAAGTCATCGAATTGCCATTGAAGAACCCAGAACTGTTCCAACGAGTTGGAATCAAACCTCCTAAGGGTGTTTTGCTCTATGGTCCTCCCGGTACTGGTAAAACACTGCTTGCCCGAGCAGTGGCCAGCTCCATTGAAACCAACTTCTTGAAAGGTGCGTTTTCTTCTCTCGAGACTCTTTCGCCATGACGTATCTAACATTTATCCTTTTTTCTGCTTATAGTCGTCTCTTCCGCCATCGTTGATAAATATATCGGTGAATCCGCTCGACTGATTCGAGAGATGTTCGGTTATGCTAAAGAACACGAGCCTTGCATTATCTTCATGGACGAAATTGATGCCATCGGAGGTCGTCGATTTTCGGAAGGTACATCAGCGGATCGTGAAATTCAACGAACACTGATGGAGCTGCTGAATCAACTGGATGGATTCGACTACTTGGGCAAGACGAAGATCATCATGGCTACCAACCGACCGGATACTCTTGATCCGGCTTTACTGCGTGCCGGTCGTTTGGACCGCAAGATTGAGATTCCTCTTCCCAATGAGGTCGGCCGTTTAGAGATTTTGAAGATTCATTCCAGCACAGTTCAACTGGAGGGAGATATCGACTTCGAGAGTGTGGTCAAGATGAGCGATGGCCTCAACGGTGCCGATCTGCGTAACGTGGTCACTGAAGCGTAAGTTTTCACATAGGAGAGCCTATAATTGATTAAAATCGTCAACTGACATTCATTAGTGGTCTGTTTACCATCAAGGATTATCGTGATGCCCTGAACCAAGATGACTTCAACAAGGCAGTACGGAAGGTGGCAGAGGCCAAGAAGTTGGAAGGCAAGCTGGAATACCAGAAGCTGTAATTTTATCTACCTTCAAGTAAATCTTGAATTGACTATGTGATCGATGGTACTTGATAGAAATCTGTTATAGAATTCTCACCATTATTCAAGACCACTCGTCCGCAACATTGAGCTTGTCAGCTCCCACCTAGTACTAGCAGATGGGGACCATGTAGGCTGATTTTATTACAATGATTGCTAATCACTTGAGGCGAACCTAAAGTAGAGTATCCCTTGCATATAGTTATCAAGGTATTTATTGTTGTCTTCTACAAACACATAGCTTCGACAGTGGGTGATAAGCGGGATCATTAACTTGGACGGAGTACCTTGAAGTTCTCCACTTCCCCAGTCGGGGGTTTTGCACCGGTTCACTCCTCAGTCATTTTACCCCCCCCCCCCCCAAGTTCACGGATTGTCTAAACCAAATTGTTAGACTGTTTGGAATTCATACTGGATTCTATCTACTTGCCTCCTATTTGCCCGCGGTTTCGACATTGTGAATAAAGAGACGCGCGTGTTTTGGGAAGCTCTTCTGCAAAGCACACGTAGGCCTATTTGAAGCTCAATTTCGAATCCACCACACGTGCACTGGCTGCAACATTGACTCGACGATCACTATTAGTCCGAAACATCTATTCGCCAGCGTGGTATGTGTAGTCGAAGCCAGTGTTTACTCATCCAGATATCGGCGCATGTCGCAACACAATTTACTAACACCTGCATGTTTACCAGAACGAGAGACACCAACGCTTCCGACGTCAAACGCTCCACGAGACTACCATTGAACCGATCCCCTGGTCACGCTCCCATGATTTTCTATTAGCCAATTGCACGACCGGTATCTATTCGGATACAAAGAACGTGAGGGGTCACACAGGATAACAATGTCGTTCCAGGCACGACAGGCGCATTCGCCCCTCGGCCAGCAGCGGGGTGGCCTTGTTGCACCGGGCTTCTCGACAAGTAAAGTGGGCAGCTTTTTTGAGAGTGAGCGCACGTTGCCAATGTATAAAGATAAACCATACTTCACACCTAGACGAACAGCACCGAGACGACGATGGCGATACATCGGTGCCGTCTTCGGCTTGTGTGTTTTATTATTATTCTGGTATACCACATCATCCCCTAAACTGCCTCCGGGCTCGGTGTCTGGCTCGGACAGTAAGGGGTATGAGCTTTGGAAATGGATGCAGACACTGGATGATGAACCCTCTGCGGAGGTGGATTGGGAAGCATGCCGGGATAGAGTGCGAGATGCCTTCCTTGTTAGCTTCGACAGCTATGAAAAGGAAGCATGGGGTAATAAATTCTTGAAAGGCCGGTTGAGATCATTCTCGCTAACGTGAACTCGAACTAGGCTTCGACGAATACCACCCGAAGACCGGCAATCACAGAAATATGGTGCCGGGTGGCCTAGGATGGATGATAGTGGATGCTCTGGATACCATGATGATCATGAATCTAACATCCCAGGTTCGACATGCCCGACAGTGGATATCTACATCATTGAAGCATGACCAAGACCACGACGTGAGCACGTTCGAAACAACAATTCGCATGTTAGGTGGCTTGCTATCTGCACACTACCTATCTACACAGTATCCCACACTTGCGCCCATTGCAGACGATGACATTGGTGCTCCTGAAGAAGATTTGTACATTGAAAAAGCAACTGACCTTGCCAATCGACTACTTGGGGCATTCGAGACCAGTTCTGGGATTCCATATTCTAGTGTTAACCTAAATACATCGATGGGTCTAAAATCACACGCCGATGGCGGTGCTGCATCAACGGCCGAAGCAACATCTGTGCAGCTGGAATTCAAGTATCTGGCCAAGCTGACTGGAGAGGCGGAGTACTGGACGACTGTGGAAAAAGTGATGGAGGTTGTAGACAAGCAACATCCCCGCGATGGTCTTGTTCCGATCTATATTCACCCGAACACAGGACAGTTCCAGGGCGAAAATATCCGCCTGGGAAGTCGGGGTGATTCCTACTACGGTTCGTGCCTACTTTTTTAACTTCCTTTGCTAGAGTCTTGCTGATGTTTCCTGGTAGAATATACGATCAAACAATATCTACAGACATCCGAGCAAGAGCCCATTTACAAAGAGCTTTGGGATGAATCCATGCAAGGAATTCGCAAGAACCTCTTGGCTTTTTCTAAGAATGCGCAACTGATGGTCTTGGGTGAACGACCTGCAGGCCTGGATGGCAAACTCTCCCCCAAGATGGATCATCTCGCATGCTTCATGCCAGGCACAATTGCGCTCGGTGCAACTGGTGGTCAGCTTCTATCCAAAGCTAGACAATCTCCTGATTGGTCTCAGCAACGCGAGGAAGAGATTCTGATCTCTCGTGAGCTCATGAAGACTTGCTGGGCAACATACCGGAACACCGCGACTGGTCTTGCCCCTGAAATCTCACATTTTGTCCTTGACGATCCGCCAGTCATGATGAGCGATAAATACCCACAACCCGCTGTATTCGCTGGCTCATCGCCACAAGAATTGGAAGGCATTTCCCTTCCTTTGGCTCTCCAGGCCGATGGCTCCGAGCCATGGCGTCAAGATATTGATATTCACGCAATGGATCGCCATAACTTGCAACGCCCAGAAACAGTCGAGTCCCTTTTTTACATGTATCGTGTTACTGGTGATGAGACGTATCGCCAATGGGGATGGGAATTGTTCAAGTCTTTTGTCAAACATACGGCAGTGGTCGAGATAATCGCACCAGCGCTGAATGAACCAGGGGGCGCTCCCACACAGCGAATCAAGAGCTTCACATCCCTCAGTAATGCCGACACTATTCCACCCGAGAGCCGTGATAATATGGAGAGTTTTTGGATGGCCGAAACTCTGAAGTACTTCTATCTGTTGTTTTCGGATCGTGATTTTATTTCCATTGAGGACCATGTGTTCAATACCGAGGCCCATCCCATGCCACGATTCAAGCTTGGTGGAGAGTTGAAGACAGGTTGGGAGAGGAAACCTCGTCAATAGAGCATCTAAATCGTTTAATCTATTGTTTTTCCAAGTCTTGGTCACAAGAGAAACATAACATTTGGCTCTAATTACCCTTTTTGGAAAAGAACTCCTTACAATTCGCCTTCTTTAGGGCCTGTTCACAACTGAGATACAATAAAATAAAAAGAACAAAAAAGGGTTTCTTTCACTTCTAATGAAATGCAAGTGCACACATGCATAAATTGATGCACGTAGACCGCAAAGATCGCTTTGGGAATTCACAATGACCCGAAAATAATATAGTCGTGGAACTATTATCATTAACCCAAGTAATTTAGTCTCTTTCCAAAGCAGCATCAATCAGTTTCTTGAAACCTTCCACAGCATCATTCAGATTGCGCACAGTGAGAGCTTCATTATCACCGTGAGCGACAAAGATGCTCCCAGGTCCATACAGGTAGCGCTTCACGCCGTCCCGAACCGACAGATTTGGTACATCAGTACCATAGTTGACAGGAACAATATCAAAACCAGGAACATCCGTATCAAGGTCCTGAGGTCCATACGATTCCAGATGATTAGAGAAATCCACAACAACCTCCGCATCGACCTCCTTTGCAGCCTCGGCAACAGCGCGAACGACAATTTCCCTCGCCTCCTCCGGAGTACCAGCTGCCAATCGCACAGCAACATCAGCACGGGCCTCGGCAGGAACAACGTTATTCGCAACGCCACCCTGCACAGTTCCGATGTTCAGCGTTGTACGACCATACTTCGAGGACGTGGGAAGACCGCCATCGCTAACGGGGATTTCACCCAGCTTATCGACGCGAGCAAGTGCCGGAAGTATTCCGGAGACGGCACTATAGCCTAACCAGGGGTATCCTGAATGGGCTGCCTTGCCGTGGGAGAGGACCTCGAAGCCCACCATGCCCTTGTGGCCGGAGACGAGAGCAGCCTCGGTAGGTTCACCGAAAATAAGAGTGTGATATGCGCTGTTTGTGTTTAGATTTGAGTCTGAGAAAGTCTTCATGCCGTCTCCGCCGATCTCTTCGCCGACGACGAAGAGCAAGCCGAGCTTTGCGTCGGGAGTCTTCTCGAGAGTTTCGAGGGTAGCGAAGACTTGTGCAGCGACACTGCCCTTAGCATCGACGCTTCCGCGGCCAGAAATGACGGTATCCGCAAAGCTAGATGTGGATTCCGATTCGGGCTCACGGACAGAGTATGGAATAAAGGGTGGGACGGTGTCGATGTGGCTGGTGAGGAGGATAGAGGGTTGCTCGGAAAGGGAAGCCGGGTAGGCGTAGATGTTATAACGAGTCTTGGGAGCCGGGCTATCGTCGTCATTGCCCTGTTGCCTCTTCACGGGAGGGACCTCTTGCTTGACCACGGTGAAGTTCTTGGATTCGAGGAACTCGGCAACGAAGATACCAATGTCGTGCTCATTGCCGGAGATGGACTCAATTTCGATCATATCCCGGTGGAAAGACAAGAAAGGAGATCCATTAATGACGCCCTCAACGTTTGATAGCTCATGGCTAGGATTGTTGGGCTGTTCAGGCAAGAGAGACACATCCAGTGGTTGTTGTTGCCATGGTGCGGGGTGCGGAGAAGCTTGAGCGACGGTGAGGGCCGTGGCGACGCCCAGGTACCAGGTGAGCTGCATTGAGTATGGTCTGTGGAGATATGGATCTATTTTGGCACACGTGAGTATGTGTGTCGGTCGAAATTTAACATTGATGGGCTTGGAAGAACACACCTATCACTCTAGAGATCTCAGAGCCCTCGGTGACTGTGACACTGAAGCGGAGTTGCAGCGGAGTAGGAAGGGACAAACAGCCCAGCGGGTCCGCCCGCTTGCCATGACTAATATACTATGTGGTGCCGCGCTTTGGCCCCCAAGCTGTTACTAGGTACTGTGTGTATAAAAATGTGTTATTGTGCTTGTAATTGATTGGAAATATTGACGATGATAGTAGATGATCGATACAAGAAAGAAAGTAGAATTATGAAAAAAATAAATTATGAAGTCTGTCCGTCTAGCGATTTCAGGCAAAATTACTACATATACTACTTACAAGTAGGCTAATCTTAAATATGATAATCAAAATCAAACATTACTAAACCATTAGTAGTTTGAATTCTACATAGAAAGTTGATGTAACACCTAGTATTCTAGTAAATCAATAACCCCATGGAATGCTACCCTCTCTCCAAATCTTGTCTTTCAATCTATGTAGAGCTTACGGTACAGATGGCGGTATACTAGTAGGTGATAAAGGTTAATTGTATAGGGCCGGACAGTCTTCGGACAAACAGCCAATGGGACCGCCCGCTTGCCATGCCTAATGTACCATATAATGCACATGTGCCGCAGAAGAGTCTTGATATCAAGACACTATAAATTCAGATCCAGATTCAGATCGACGATCCACAAATCAACGTTGAATCTTGATCTCAAAGTGGAGACCACTGGGTAGTATGTATGTAGTAGCTTTGTAAAAGAAGTATGAATGAAGTATACATACACTTGTCTGAGTGTATTACCAGCAAGCTATTTAGCAAATTATAGTAGAGAAGTAATATGACTCGAGTAAAAGTATAACTGTCTTAGGTTAAGCTGATGATTTATAATTTGCGCGTTTCCGCCCTACAAGTACAATGCTGTATCTCCCGCTAGATAGAGTAAGTGTTTCGGGGATGTCTTGTCTTAGGTTAAGCTGACGATTTTATAATTTGCGCGTTTCCGCCTGCCCCCAAGTACAATGCTGTATCTCCAGCTAGATAGAGTAAGTGTTTCGGGGATGTCTTGTCTTACCGCTTCTCCTTCCCCTCAGGAGACCAAAGTACCCTACTGTATTACTATATTTCTATCAATAGATAGGCACCTATGATATGATAAAATCTTTACAATCCGAATTTGGCCCCCAAGTTGTATTGTGAATGTACTGTATATGGACACCTGCCCAGGTGGTCTGGATACAAATGTGTTATTACGCTTGTTAAAAATTGGAGATATTGGATGATCGATGCAAGAAAGACAATAAAATTGCAAAAAATATACATAGTATGATGCCCAGTCCACTTAACTCGCAATTGTATGCAAAACTACGTATAAGGCTGCTTTCAAAGGTGGGCTGGGTGGATACTGCCAAGATTGTGTAATATTGTGGCTTGAACATTTAGTATCAAAATCGTCGAAATAGAGGGTTTTCATTACTTCGAGAAGACCTCGGAATTGCCAGTTACATTAGCTATCTCAATAATGTCTTCAAAAATCTTGACAAAAGTTGAACCCTGGTCGCTTTTACCCAATAATTGAGGCTAGATCAATCCCTATGTAATTTCAGGGGTATATACTGACTGCCCAGGTGGTACAATGATGAGGGGCAATGGGCTTAGAGGGGTACATGCATGTGTCCGATAAGAGAAAACAGAGCAAGAGACCAATAAAAACCATGTGTGGAATAACGCGCAGTTGATTCTCTTGATTTTTTTTCTTTCGCGTTACGAAGCTTCCTGGTGGGTAATGCCCGTTGCTTGGTGCCAGGTGGGTTGACCCGAATCTTTTCCCGGTTTCGGGACATCATCGGAACGGGATGCGGGCCATGAATTTAAAGACTATTTATTCTGTGCTGAATTTTCTTTCATGGGGAAGCTTGTTGGTAGCAAAATTTGATTTCTTAGTTTTTTGAAGGGTGACAATCCATCTTATGTCTATGAAGAGGAAGGCAAAGTAAATTGGAGCGGCAATAATTTGAAGTAAGAAATAAAACTGTGAGATCGAGGCAGCGAACGGATTACCACGGAAGCGATGTCTGTATAGGTAACAATACATAAGACAAATTATGGAGCATGTATTTGCATTATTTCAACATCGGTCTTGCATAGGTGCACCAATTCCCGGTTCCTGTTCAAGAACACCCACTAGGGTATGTACTAATGCAACACTAAGGGGGTGCCCCCCCCTCGACTAAAACCAATGATGATCTTATTACTAGGTCCAACAGGCAAACATATGGAAATTAGATATCAACAGGAGAAAACCGTTAGAGATTCTCCGTGATCTGCACACTGAGACGATTTAGTATAAGCCAATTTTTCACGTTCAAGCAAGGGACTTGGAAAAACCTGGAAATCACTTTAATTGTATTGATACCAAGGCCAAACATACTCTAGAAATACCGCCCCGTAGTGGGTATTGAGTGGGTATGATAGCTTGATAGGATAGGGGTGCTAGACGAACGATCGGCAAAGGTCTGATGGACGATGACCCACAATATGAGTCTAGAGAGAGCGAAAGGGAAGGTATCTAAGCGTTTAGTTCGGAATACCGGCCCAAGCCCAAGTGCTTACTTTCGGGGTCGGAGGGGCACACAGTAAAGTGGCTCCACGATACTACATAAATCAATCCTGCCCATGTGTGTTGTAGCTTTCAGGATTTAATACTCCATCTTTGCCTGTGCGCATCCCGTCAAACACATACCTCCCGAGGTCTTGATTTGGATAAAACCACTTCATAGATATCATGGCAGTACCACGGACAAGGTTGCTGGCCAATGTGGTCGACCAGGCAGCCGAGCAAGACCCGGACAGACCGTTTGCTGTTATCCCGCAGGGGTTGGAGGTTGCTGATGGGGTCCAAAAAATGTCAATGAGGGACCTTGCTAACGCTGTGAACTCTCTATGCCGATGGATTGACAATGAAATCGGGTCATCTAGCCCCCGAGAAGTCTTGGCCTACATGGGAAGCAATGATGTGCGATACTGTGTTTTCATTATAGCCTGTCAGAAAACTGGACATAAGGTATGGACGTTCTTCAATAGTCTTGACTATTGCAGTCTTTAGCTCGATGACGTTGACAAAGAATACTAGGCTTTTCTCCCCTCCACAAGAAACTCAGATGAGGCTCATATCCATCTCTTGAAGACCATCAAGTGCAACAAGTTTTTCTTCAATGAAGACAGGAGTGCGCGAGTTATGGAATTAAAAGCTCTCCACCCAGAGCTTCAAACTTTCCAAATACCGCCAATGAAGACAATCCTGACCCGCGAGAGCAGAGTCAGCCCATATCCTTATAACAAGTCCTACCATGAGATGGAAGAAAGCACAGCCTGCTTCATCCACAGTTCTGGAACCACTGGTAAGAGCTAGAGATGTAATGATAGTGATATGAAACAGAATCCCATGCCGTTACTAACACCTAGCCTCCCAGGAATGCCTAAACCGGTACCTCTCACAAATGGTTTCTGGGGTGCCATGGATAATATCGTCAACATGGGTTGGCCTACAGGCCGTAGGCCATCTCCCTACTTTAATATGACCCACGAAGATCTTATCCTGGCGACAGTACCTCTATTCCATATGATGGGTCTTATTGCCTTTGGATTTTCTGTCTTCCATGGTGTTCCCTTCTTGCTTGGACCTGACAGGCCATTGTCAGTTGAATATCTCACTGAGCTTATGCAAATCGCTCATCCAACATCTGCAATGTACCCACCATCAATTCTAGACGACATGTGCCACTCAGATGAAGCCTTAAAATGTATCAAGGCCATGAAAACCGTATTTTACGGTGGTGCTCCACTTGGCCCTGAGACAGGCGGGAAGATACGTGAATGCGCCGAAGTGATTCCTATCATTGGAAGTAGTGAGATCGGGTGGATCCCTACTCTTGTACCCGAAGCCACAGAAGATCAAAGTTTCTTCGAATGGAATCCCAATTTTGGAATCGATATGCAGAAAGTGGATGAAGGACTTTATGAGATGGTTCTTGTTCGTGACGCGAAGTCCCATTCATTCCAAGGGATCTTCCATACCTTCCCAGACCTTGACACTTACCGAACAAAGGACATCTTTACTCCACACCCGACAAAGCCTTATCTTTGGAAGTTCAATGGCCGTATTGACGATGTCATTGTTCTCAGCAACGGTGAAAAGTTCAACCCAACCACAATGGAGACGATTATTGAAGGACATCCCCTGGTCGCCAAAGCAATCATCTCTGGCCAGTCTAAATTCCAGGCTTGCTTGCTGATAGAGCCAAATGTTGGAATTGCCGAAATGGATTTGAAATTGTTTATCGAACAAATATGGCCGACGGTCGAACTCGCAAATAATACCATGGCTGCACATGGTCGAGTTACGAAGAATATGATCGGACTTGCTCCAAAGGGAATGATGTTCCAGAGAACGCCAAAAGGAAGTGTACAGAGACGAGCAGTTCTCAAAGACTTTGCAGATGAAATCAATAATATCTATGACGCTGTCCTGGAAGACGACCTCGTTGAGTGTCTCCCTGAAGTTCTTACTCAGGCTACTATCTTGGAATACACTCACCGGGTTGTTTCTTTAACCTTGCAGAAACCAGATATTTCAATGGATCAAGATCTATACAAGATTGGTCTTGACTCGCTCATGACAATCCAGATTGCCAAAAATTTGCAACGCGGGATTCTACAACGCCTCCCTGGGTTGAAGTCCGGAGGCATCGATGCTCAAACAATTTACTCCAACCCAACTGTTAAGCTTTTAGCTCAATTTATTGTAAACTTGACCGAAGGCAAAGAACAGTGGGGTGTTCCAAGAGAGGAAAAAATCCAAAAATTGGTGGATAAACACACCTCTGATCTCCCCAAACGCGGGTTAGCTACTCGGGAGGGAGCTTCTTCGCCATCGACAGTGATATTGACAGGATCCACTGGCTCGCTGGGAACATACATCCTGCACAGTCTGTTAAGCTCCGGATCAGTATCGAAAGTGTACTGTTTCAACCGCTCAGATGCAGAACAAAGGCAGAAGAAAAGCTTCAGAGAGAAAAGATTGGCCTTAGATCTCAAGGACTGGAAGTCCAGGGTCGAATTCTTACAAGTCTCACTTGGAGATGTTCGGTTTGGTCTGACCGAACTCAAGTACGCCGAGCTTTTAGAATCAGTTGACGCCATTATTCACAATGCTTGGATGGTTGACTTTAATCACCCGGTTGAGTCATTCGAGGAAACTCACATTCAAAGTGTGCGCCGTTTCGTCGACTTTAGTCTGGACAGTAAACAAAATGCCCATATCCACTTTGTGTCTTCCATCAGCACTGTTGGCGCGTGGTCACTGAAAATGGGGCCTTTGGTCCCAGAAACTCCCATGGGGTCCGCTTCAGTTGTTCTATCCCAGGGATACGGAGAGTCCAAGCATATCGCAGAAAGGATATGCCTGGAGGCATCTCGTAAGTCTGGAGTTCCAACATCTGTTTACCGTGTTGGACAGATTGCGGGGCCGACAACCACAGATGGAGAGTGGAACCCACATGAGTGGCTTCCAACAATCATTGCTACCTCGAAGTCCATTAGCAAGATCCCCGATAGTCTGGGGTCTATGGCTGTTGATTGGATCCCTGTGGTAAGTTTTTTTGCCTCGTCATTGCCCTTTTACAAAAAGAAAAATTTCACTTTTACTTACCTAACCGTCTTAGGATACACTCTCCTCCATCATGACTGAAATAGTTCACACAAGACATGGCGCTTCTTCTGGGGTCCCACACGCCGTGTTCCACCTCACCAACCCGAAAACGACTCCTTGGTCATCCCTACTCCCGCCAATTCAGCAAAAATACAGTCTTGAGACGGTTGATTTCAGTACCTGGTTGGCGGATCTTGAGAGCATTCAAAACCCCACAAGCGCGGATGTCATCGAAAAGCCCGCTCTCAAATTGCTGGATTTCTATCGCGGACTAAGCGACGAGACATCGGCAGCCATGTCTGTGGGCTTGGATGTGACAAGATCAAAGGAGGCGAGCAGGACCATGAAGTTCCTTGAGCCGATTTCTTCCCACATGATGTCAAACTGGCTACAGCAGTGGAACTTTTAAGTGACGAATTTTTACTTGCGGACGAGTGGGCGAAATCCAAGAATGTGATTGAACTGCGTAGGACTGCATGAATAGCGGGCATGGAAGATTCAAATATTGCATAATTCACAGAACTTCAAACTTATCTTTCTCGATTTCTTCCATCTTCGTTTCCCTCCTTACCCTGCAGCCTGAATTGGAAAATTTCACTCTGGTCCCCATAGACCTCGTTGACTGTGCAATACTATGAGTAATCAGGTGCAACCTTAAATGCCTCGATGCGACCGGCCAATTTAGTGTTTATCGTAGTATTTTGTCATTATTAAACCGACTGACTAGTGTTGTAGGCTATGCTTGCTTCTCAAGTTACTTGGTTTCATTAGCAGGCCTGCGAGAAGGACTTGCATACTAGCCTTTGGAGAGTATATGTGAGTAGTATATTATATTTCAAATGTTGATCCACCTGCATATTAACTTTACTAGTTTGGGTAAGGTAAATTACAGATCTTAAGGCTCGTTTTAGCAGTATAACATACAGAGACAAGAACACTAACCCGATCAAGTTACTACCTAGCTACTTTCTCTGCTGTAGTATATGTGTAAACCTAGGAGGTGCTTGCTAGATGTAATAGCGTGACATGTTCTACACCAAACCAACTTAGGAAGGAGTCTCACTAAATGCTCAGGTGGATCAAATGTAATTGTATGCAGCTCAGCTGCTTTCTATTGCAGAGCATCTATCCATCTCCGGAAGAACAACTAGAGATCTTAAGATCTTATTGATATATGCCATCCCTGCACATCAACTTCAAGACCGAACATTGACAATCTGGCATATCTCAATAGACTCCTGGTATCATTGTGATATTTATGACCTGCAAAGGACCAAATCATGCCAGTAAGTTGTTTGAAATCGTCAGATCAGTAATGTACGGCGTGAAGGTGATAGCATCAAGCGACCCCTCAATTAAGCGCTCGAACAACAACATCCTTGCCGCCACCACATACCAGTCGTTAACCTTAACCATTACTCGCGGAATCAGAGGCCGACTCCAGTATATAAAGCTAATGTGCGGGGTATTTCGTCGAAAAGCAAACAAATGTAGTATTTGGAATATCCCAAATTGCAACTATTTAAGTAATTGTAATATCCCATATTGGAAAGACCTCTATCTATTGGAAACTTGAGCACTTTCAGAGTTTTTAATATCAATTTCCAACCTACACTTTGAACAAACCCATTCCATTTATCTTATAATATACGATAATGGCTAACGAGATCCCATTGACCTCCTCAGGTCTAAATTTCAAGCATAATTTCGTTCAAATTATCGATGGCATTGCCGCACCGACAAAAGAAACACGCCATGGGTTAAACCCAGCAAACCTACAGCCTAACGCAGAAGTACCCGTCGCCCCTAGTCAAGATTTTGATCAAGCAGTCGACTCCGCGAAGCAAGCCTTCAAAACATGGTCCAAAGTTCCATATGAAGAACGGAAGGGTGCAGTAATGGCCTTTGCCAATGCGGCATCTCAACTGTCCACAGACTTCCGTGACCTTCTTGTCCAGGAAAATGGAAAGCCTGTATGTCAGTAAGACCTAATATTTTTCAATTTCGTTCTCGAAAGAGTGATGTATTCTAATCGCGATTGTGCAGATGGCCCAAGCCGAAATTGAGACGAGCGCAGCTATCGCATGGATGCGTGCCATGGCCAATATTCCATTACCAGATGAGATAGTTGAAGACACTGAGATTCTTCGCATTATAACTCGATATACCCCCGTCGGGGTGGTTGCTGCGATTGTTCCTTGGAATTTCCCCCTTCTTCTAGCCGCAACTAAAATCGCGCCGGCAGTTCTGACGGGAAATGTGGTTATCGTCAAACCCTCGTAAGTCAATAAGAAAAGCACATGTCACTCAATACTGAAAGAAATCATAGAACTTTCACTCCCTATTGTGGATTAAAGTTGGTTGAGTTGGCCCAGCGTTTTTTCCCTCGAGGTGTAGTCCAATCCCTGAGCGGCGACGATAACTTAGGTCCATAAATTACCAGCCACCCCTACATTGACAAGATTAGCTTCACCGGATCAACAGCTACCGGAAAAGCTGTTTTGCAAAGCGCTAGCAAGACACTCAAACGTGTGACATTCGAACTGTAAGAGAACTCGCCTTGAATCCTCCGATCTCCTGACTTGTTCATATTTGACCGAGATTACAGCGGTGGCAATGATGCCGCGATCGTCTTTCCCGACGTTAATATTGAGAAAGTAGCCGAAAAAGTACTCTATGAAATGCCATGCTTAATATTATTACTGTGTATAGAGGCGCACCTGACTAATTACCTTAGGTGGCGCTCTTCTCATTCATCAACTCGGGCCAGGTACGTCGCACATTCTTACCCGAGGCTAGGAAGGGAAAAATGGTCAAAATAAAGTACTGAACAAGAGATATGAACATGAAAAGAGTTGTCTCAATGTAAAGCGTATATACGTTCACGAATCTATCTTCGATGAGTTCAAAGCTGCCCTGGTGAAGGTCATCCAGGGTTACACGATTGGTGATAGTTCGCAACACGGCATCAGCCATGGACCCGTCCAAAACTCTATGCAGTACGAACGAGTAAAGACTTTTTTTAGCGACATTAAATCACAGGGCTGGGAAGTTGCTGTTGGGGGAGATATCGGGCCTTCCACTGGTTATTTTATCACACCAACGGTTATTGACCGACCACCGGAAGACTCGCGTATAGTTATCGAGGAGCCATTCGGTATGTTTCCTTTGGCATGTCCGGTCGTCTTTTATCATTCGCCATAATTGATTGACCCGATTTTACTGACGAACCGCTTGTAAAGGACCCAGGCTAGGGGCACTTGGTGTCCCCATATTATCCTAACCTACAATGAGTCAACGGGTCATCTTGTCTGATATAACATAACTCTTCTTTTGTCTATCGAATATTTATAACCACAGAGCTCCAATTTGTGCAGCAGCTCAGTTAAAAATAAGTGTATACACTCGATCCTATATAATCACGTGGCCACGGTGGCCATACAAAACCGCCAGATCGGCCGTGCATGTTTAGCGTTCCCCGCAGTTTCGTGAGGGGTCGGCGTCCCGAGACTTTGAATCGTTCTCTTGTCTAGATCCCTTATCAACCCTCCATATACTATTGGTGGAACGGTACATTGAATAGATAAGAGGAAACCATAGCTATGCCTAAAGCTGTTGCATCGGCTCGCCGGAGTCGGTTTACCCCATTCGCGCGGGCTTCCCGAACCCCAGTGATCGCCAATGAAGACACCATGCTCCCATCATTTGACAATTTCCCAGCTTATTTGTTTGAGGTAAATTACTTTCCAACAAAATCTACTGTATTTACTTTCTGATATTGACCTATAGACTTAGGATGAGAACCCAATCATTGAATATGACCAATCGGCGGTTTTAGCTAGTTTGTCTGAACTCAGTGCTACTTCAAATATCTTCTTCGACTTTACCACAGGCCAGAATTATGGATCATCTCAAACATCAAGTTCTCCCAGCTCAACTGCGACACAGTCCCGTGCTTCAGTGGCACAGATATTCATCAACAACAAGGCCGTGATGTCCAAATCAAAAGACTGGACCAGTATTCTTGATCCGGTCAGCACATTCGAATTCCCGATATAGAAGGATAATTCCTTCTCGAAGAATATTACCGTCAGCTGACTCAATATCAAAAAGTCCACACAAAGCCTTCTTTCCAGAGTTCCGTGTTGCACACACCAAGAAGTTCAAATGGCGGTGAATGCTGCAAATTCCGCCCAGGAAGACTGGGAAGGCATAGGCTTCCATGCTCGTCGAGAACATTTGTTGAGGTTGATAGACATGTTCAAAGAGATGTCGCCGCTCATAGTAAGACTCAAATGAAGGGGGAGGATTCACCGTTGAGATGAAGCCTGCTCGTATGCTTACCAACACACCCAGGTATCGAGTCTCTGCTCCGAAGTGGGGAAGACAATTGAAGATGCTGAATCCGAAGTCAACAGAGGTCTGGATTGTATTCATGCAGCTTGTTCAATTGGCCCTGAGATGGCGGGTATGTTTCTTGGGAATGACCCGACGATGCTCCAAACTTTCTACGAACCAGTTGTAAGTAGTACGAGGCCTTTGACTAAACAACAGTAACGATACTAATTCAATTCTCCAAGGGCGTTTGCACTACGATAACACCATTCAGTTTCCCTTTCATGACCCCTCTGTGGTCGATTCCTTATGCACTAATTACAGGCAACACAGTCGTTTTAAAGCCATCCGAGAGAACCGTCGCTGTTCCATCTCTTATTGCCGATGCCGTTACTAAGGCCGAATTCCCGCCAGGTGTTTTTAACATTGTGCACGGTGGCCATTCAGTATCACAAATGCTGATTTTACAGCCTTTGGTGCGAGCAATCAGCTTTGTGGGATCAGAGTCCGCTGCCAAGCAAGTTCATGATCTTGCACGAAAAGCAGGGAAGAGGGTCCAAGCCGAATGCGGAGGCAAAAACCATGGGGTCATTTTAGAAGACGCTGAAATGATGCCAACTTTGTTTGCTATTGCGGGTAGTGCTTTTGGAGCTGCAGGGCAGCGGTGCATGTCTCTCAGTGTCGCAATTTTTGTCGGAAACACAGCACGATGGATACCAAAACTTGTTGATATTGCCAAAACCATGACAGTGGGCAATGGCAGTGATCCGGAGACCAAAATTGGGCCATTGATAGACAAAGAAGCAAAGTCGAAGATTTCAGGTATTATCGAGCGGTCGACTGAAGAGGGTGCGATTCTCTTATGTGACGGGAGGGATGTGACGGTTCCCAGATATCCCAATGGGAATTTCCTCGGGCCAACGATTCTTTCTGGCATTGAGACATATATGGAATGCTACCAAACTGAAATTTTTGGACCTGTACTCATCTGTATGCAAGTTGATACATTGGAGGAAGCAATTGATATAATCAACCAAAATAAATGTGAGAGCAAGCCCAATATACCCACAATCACATTACTTGAACTAATAATGCTAGATGGTAACGGCTGCTCGATTTTCACAACAAGTGGAAAACATGCAAAGACCTTTCAGCGTCAGGTAAATGTGGGACAGATTGGCATCAACATCCCATTGATTGGTATGATCTCTTGACTATATTGCTACTTCCAGTTCGTTACTAATTGCACTAGCTCCTTACGGCACGGCCGTCCGCACAAGCAACAAAGCGTCTTTCATGGGAGGTTAGTATAGACCCATGCTCCCATATGAGCTATCACTAGTATGAAGTTCCTGGTTGAATCATAATGGCTAATTTTACTCTCCCATCGCAGACCGACATTGCCCAGGCAAAACATATTGGCCCTTTTTCACCTCTACAAAAACAGTCTCCGCTCGATGGGACCAATAATTAGCCTCCAGGATATTGATGACTTATCCTCATGGAAACTGAAAATTAATGGTGTTGTTTTGGGCATAATTAGGAGTATGTAGACCCATTTTCCATAGCAGAGCTGAATATAGCACAATTATATTGAACCGCTCTCGTGTCATGATATGGTAGAGCAAGCAAATTATTCGGGATGCCGATTTCAAATTAATCCAAATCAGATAATAAGAGGGCAATGGTAAACTAGCGGATTAGTTCCGTGGACAGATAACGGAAATGCCATCTGTTTATTAAAATTTCCAAGTTGCGAGGGCTTCTTTTGCCATCGGCGAATGCCAGCACAGTAAGTAATCCACACAGCGAAAATAAGCTGATAAGTATTTGCGCTAAGTGGAGGCGGAAATGGGCCTGGCAACGGAAGCCGACAAGTACAAGTGGAGCCCGCAGCAAACTGCGAATGCTACCATCGTGAACGGGGTAGTACAAAGGATCATTCCTTCCCCCTCTTTGCCTTCTTGGAGTCTTCGGGTCGCGTGTCTCAGTACATACGCCGTCGAACTTTACAAGGAGTAGCGGGGATGATGATTGGATCAACTGCACGACTCTTGCCACTAACTAGTCTTATCATTTGCGACCGTGCAGGGATCCACTAGGATTATCAGTAGCCACTTCTTACCCCATATTCTTAGGCCAAATCTAATGCTCCGGAGATAAGCGGCTGAGGCCTTCCAGCGTTTCGGTAAATTTCCTTTTTCTGGCGATAGACGTTCCTAACCTTGTTCTCTCATCTTTCATGATTAATCTCTCATTCTATTTTGCGTTCCACCCCCTCCACCAAAGATGTCCGGACACCTCAAATGGTTACAGGAGAGCATCCGGCTCAAGGATGTCGATGGATCGCTTGAACATTCGCGCTGGGTCAATGAAGGTAATTTGACACTGATTTCCCCAAGACCTGATCTCACTGGTCCCATATCTGACTGTACCACCTTCTAGATCTCTTACCTACACCACCCGAAAAGCGAAGTGAGCACTCATAATCGAAGTTTTGACCGGACGGCGTGACTGAGCAGAAACAGCATGGCGATGGTGGAATTATGTGACTTTTTATTGGTCGATTTCTTTCACCAATTGGACCTTGGGATCTGTAAGTGATCCATGTCTTCATGAGCATTGGAGACGCCCAAGATCTAACTACCACGAAGTCAATGATCGGCATTGGTCTTAATTGGTGGCAAGCTATCGTCGTGATTTTTGTGTCGCAAATGATCTCATCTGTTGCTATGGCATTCAACTCGCGCTCAGCTAGCGTTTACAACATCGGATTTCCTTGCGTCGCTCGAAGCGTTTTTGGAATGTGGGGAAGCTACTATTTCGTCGGCGCTCGAGCAGTTTTGGCGGTCATCTGGTACTCAGTACAAAGTAAGTTGAACTCTGGCAGATCTCCCCTGTTTAACAGCTTACTAATGTTGGAAATATTACAGTGTACTACGGTGGTCAATACATGTACAACATGCTTCGCGCGATATTCGGACATAACTTCGTCAACATACCAAATCATATCCCAACTAGCGCAGGAATCACTACGAATGTCATGCTGGCCTTCTTTCTCAGTTGGCTCGTTCATCTCCCCTTTTGCTACTTCCGACCATATCAGCTACGACAGTTTTTCTGGTTCAAGACAATTGTCTCCTTACCAGCTATGTTTGGACTCTTCATCTGGGCGATGGTAAATACCAGTGGTCATATTGGGAAACTCTATACCGCGAGTTCAACGTCTACAAGTACTACTGCTTGGTTGATTCTTGCTGGTATCAATAGTGGCATGGGGTGCGTGATAAAACTCCTCTTGTTTTCATTTTATGTTGCATGATTATCTTACTTACGCCAATCTCAGAAATACTGCGACCCTGATCACCAACCAGCCCGATTACGCTCGCTGGTCTAAGTCACGCGGAGCGCCTATCTGGACCCAACTTGTGAGCTAGCTTTATTCGAATGAAAATTTGAAGGGGTATGAATGCTGATGAATTATAGGTGGTCAACCCAATTGCAGTGACAATTTCGGCCGCTCTGGGAATTCTATCGACCAGCGCTGTGAATCTGAAATACGGCACTGATATCTGGTATGAAAACGCCATCCAGAGCTTTGCGTTAAAGAAGAAAGCTGATAGTAGTAATATAGGAATCAATGGGATATGATGAACTTGATTTTGGACAATTACTGGACCTCGAAATCCAGATTTGCTGTCTTCTTGTGTGCCTTTGCATGGTTTGTCCAGATTCTTGGCACAAACATTGCCGCCAACATGATGTCCTTTGGTGCCGACTCATCAATGATATTTCCGTCCTTTATCAATATCCGGCGTGGTCAATTCATTGTCGAGTTTCTCGCATGGGCAGCTGTTCCTTGGAAGATCGTCGCGTCCGCCGCCAAGTTTACGACTTTCCTTAGTGGATATGGCCTGTTTATGGTAAGGTTTTGGAGTTTCATTTTTTTTCAAATTGAATAATATACTTATTGATATTCCTCATAAACAGGCTAGTGTGGTTGCAATCATGGTCTGCGACTGTAAGTTCTGGAAATTTAGTCGTTTTTGAAATAGCAAACTTGCTAACTCATTCAGATTTCTGTCTTACCAAAGGAAATGTCACAATCCGGTCGCTTTACGTTCCCACTAAAGCTAACAGGAATTACTGGTATCATGGCGGAGTAAATATCCAAGCAGTAATAGCATACTGTATTGGTATTGCTCTGCCTTTCCCAGGGTTCTGTGGAGAGCTCGGTGCTTCCGTCTCACAATCTGCGGCGCACATTATGGATATTGCCTGGATAACCGCGTTTGTGGTATCCTTTGTCAGCTATTATGTGATCTGCAGAATTTGGCCGACTGCAAGCATGAGGGAAATAAGGGAGATGGAGTTGACATGGGAGCAACTTGGATCGGAGAGTGAATTCTACGACTCCACCGGTCCCAAAGATGAGGAATTCTCTGCTAAGGAAGAGAGCCACTTTACCAAGGCATTCTCGAACGAGAAGAATTTTTAATCGGGCAATTTGAAGAGAAGAGAAATAAATTAGCGAGTCAAACATTTATTATATTCTACAATCTATCAGCCCAGGCTAGTTCCAAACAAACGATCTCCAATATCTCCAACGCCCGGTTTCACATATCCCTTATCATCAAGGTCCTTATCAATCGCTCCAACAAACACGTCTGTATGCTCTGGCCACACGCCAGCGACCTTCTTCAGACCCTGTTCACTACCCAATAACGCAAACAAAGTGATATGCTCCACACCCCAGTCCCTGAATAAAAATGTTAGATTACTAGCCGTGTGTTGTTCACCAAATAGTTAAGCTCACTTTAAAATATCGATCGCCGCCTTTGCAGTTCCACCGGTAGCTACAAGCGGATCAAGAATATATGCGCGCTTGATTTTTGGACTCTTCGCAGGAAGCTTATTATAGTATTCGACGGGACGCAAAGATTCCTTCTCACGGAATAGACCAAGGTGATATGTTGCTGTGTCTGCATCGTCCGGGAAAGCTGCGAGAAAAGGATCGGCCATTGCCAATCCAGAACGCAAAACGACAATTACAGCGACTTTTTCGTCGGGCGCAGGAGTTTTCAAGACATGCTTGGTTAAATTGGCTGTCAATTCTTTTACCAAGCGGCGGACAGCTGCTGAAGTCAAGGATAGATCGCGCAGTTGAGAGAGAATTAGGGATGCCTCGGCATTCTCGATGACGTTGATATTTGACATGTTGTCAAATGATAAATGACTGATACCAATATGCTGAAATGAATGTGTCTCTGTGAAGAACCGAACTTCTGAGTATTATATCGTCGAAATATAATTCAAACAAACGGCATGCGGGTCGGATCACCTCCGGTTTCCATGGTTCAAACCGATGGAGTAGATTAACTCTTATCGGTTATCGATAAGACCAAGACCATATCTTATCGTCCTTATCAATGTCTTATCTATATGATGGTATCTTATCAGTCGACCTTATCGAGTTCTCACCCTTTGTTTGCTTCTTATCGGATCCGAGGGGATCGAAAGGGCGGAAAGCGGAGAAGCGGAGGCCAGTCACGGTTGCATGCCCAGTACGTAACACAAACGCAGAGAGAACATGACCCAAGACGATTATGCGGTGAAGGCCCTATCTTCTATTTATTTATGCTCTTCTTTTAGGTGAAAAGCATATCTTACCGTTATCAAAGGCTGAGAAATTGCGCCACCTCTTCAAGCTTTCTTTTTATCATAGAAGCAGTAAAAGGCACGATGGCAGATATTGAGTATCTGAAGAGCTTACAAGCAGTTCGTGAGCGGGCCAATCTGGTTCTCGCAGCTGCAGAACGGAATGAGCTCACTCACTTCTCCTATCATCCTGACAAGATGAGCGAAGTCACCGACTATGTGGCTGGTATTATCAATGTGAGTATATATAACAGTCAACATCGACGAGGAAACCAGAAAGCTAATAAGCCCGTGTTTAGCGAGACTTTGGCCCCTCGAGCTTCGATAAAATTCCTCCCCATGGCCGATGGCAACACTTTAATGTTGGCGCAGTCCCTCGAGTAGAGCAGCTCATTCAACGTTGGGAGGAAGGGGGTTGCGATAAACTTGAAGTTACGCGTCGACTTGTTGACCTGTTCTTCGTTGCAGTCCTGCTCGATGCAGGTGCTGGTGACTTTTGGAAATTCACTGAACCAGGAACTGAGGCCTTGTACGGCCGGAGCGAAGGAATTGCAGTGGCCGCGTTATACATGTTCAAGGCTAGTTCCTTTTCCAGTGCCACAGATAAGAGCAGCGAGATCGTCGATGGTAAGTTCTTTGCAGAGAATTGCTGGTAAAAGAGCCTAAATTGACTTTGTTCCTTTTCTTTCTTTTCATAGGCCAAGGTCTCGCAGCCCTGAGTATCGAAACATTTCGAACTTATTTCCAGATCAGTCCCGAGAACGAAATCATCGGTGATACCTCTCGCGTCAGTCTGTTGAATAGTGTTGGTCAATCTCTCTTGAGACTGCCTGAAGTCTTTGGTGAAGTGGGCCGACCCGGAAACCTCGTTGGTACGTTTCGATGTGTCTTGATATTTCCTGGCGATATTGCTAACAGCCCGAGGCAGATTACCTACTAGATCATCGGGATGGCAAAAAGGAGTTACAATATGAGGTCCTGTGGGATGTTCTTCAAAAGACCCTTCTTCCTTCCTGGCCAAAGAACCGTACCCAAGTAGAGGGCGTTCCAATCGGGGACGCCTGGCCGCTTGAAGTCCTGGCCAAGATCAATAAGGAAAATACAAGCGAAAACAACACTAAGAATATACAACCCTTTCACAAGCTTACACAATGGCTTGCCTACTCTCTGTCAGTTCCTTTCATTCGAGTGCTCGACCTTGAGTGGAAAAATGTTGAACTGGGAACGGGTCTTCCAGAATACCGAAACGGCGGTTTATTTGTGGACATAGAAGTTCTTTCATTGAGAGAAGATGTCCTGAAGCAGGGTCGGGAAAGTTCCCAGCAGGAGACACCAAGCTTCCCTGCAACTAGTGATGTTATTGTGGAGTGGAGGGCCATGACTGTTGCCTTGCTAGACAAACTCCATGAGTCCGTTCAGAAGCACTTCTCTAAACAAGGCGTCCAGATAACTATGGCTCAGATGCTGGAAGCTGGTGCCTGGAAAGGAGGACGAGAGCTAGCAGCAAAGTATCGTCCTTCGACCAAATCCAGTCCTATAGTGATTCAAGGAGACGGAACCTTGTTTTAGATAGCCACGCACATTTTTGAATGGCTGGGGCTATGCTAGATGATTGGAACGGGTTTATGATTAGATATCCTTTTATGAAGCCTAATTTCTAAGGTTCTAAAAGTGGCAAGTTATTATCTGCCGTTGTCTCGTCTTAATACCAATAAAGAATCGTCAAATTCATCTATGTAAAACTGAAAAGCTGTGCCGGCAGCTCGGCTTGAAAAATGCTCCTCCGGACTGTTCTCTATGCGATACAAAAATGTGGAAGTTTTGCGAGTGTGCTCAGTTCAACTGAGGAGAGACGTGCCACCGGGGCTAGTCGACTCGTCGCGGCGTTGTAATTTAGTGAGGGACACAGGTGCCGGAGTAGTAGTCGTTGTAGCCAGCACAGAAGGCGTACTCATCGTTGCAGACACCATTGTCGCAGCAGGCGCGGTAGTCTGAAGATCTAAGGTTAGCAAGGTATTTCTTAATGTTTTATAGTAGAGAGGAAATCGTACTGGCACCACACTCGGCGGCGGCGAAAGTGCTGAGGGCAACAAAGACGATGGCGGTGATGAACTTCATTTTTTGGGTTGGTGGTTTCGGAGTCTTAAAGACAAGAAAGGTTTGAAAGTTGGATTGTTTGGTTGGAAGGTTGGAAGGTTGTTTGGATGATTGGAAGCTGTTGTTGATGATTTCGAAATTGACGAGGAATTGACCTGCTATTTATGCATTTTCGAATCTATAATCGAATCTCTACGTTTCCTATCTGGGAAACTTAACTACTGTTACATTTCTATGTCTACAGTTAAACGATACGATGCAGTCAGGTTTCAGAATGTCTATACGCTTTACGGTTCGGGTATACTGAATGATCGTCCGGCCCCGGATTACATATGATGCTATCCCGTCAGCCAGCCCCCACCGGCACTTACCGCAAGTAGTAAAGCCAAGAAAATCATCACCAGAGTCTTACTGAATAAACAGCCCAATCGAGTAACGTGGGACCCCTTTGTAGTTTGCGTGTGGCGGTACTTCGCGGAATATGCCTGTTTCACCGTCGAACACTGGAGACGCCAAGAGCTTGACGATAACTCAGGTAGCCATGAAACAAATGCCAAGGCACAGTTTTGGAAGGGCTTATTTGGGGTATTTTATTTGATTGAGCAAATCGACTAGAACAATTGAACATCGAGTTTGTGCGAGTTTGTTTCGTCAAACTAGAACATTGAACGACTATATGCTATTAAATGTACAGAGCCTCAGTGTATGTACGCTGGATGAAAGAAAGTCAACCTAGGCATGCGTCCCGTAAAATCGATCACCAAAGTCACCCAGACCGGGACTAATATGACTGTACTTTGTTATTTCAACTCCACATGATCAGGAGGGTTACTATCATGACGTACTATTTTGGTGTGAGCTCTTCATCCACAGCCGCTGTGACCAATCGAATAGAAGGAAATCGATCAAATAGTGTTTTCACTCCACACCTTGACGCCAAGATGTTGACAAAAATAATATTCTCTTCCGGGACACCGTTCTGCATGAGGGTTTCAATTGCTGCACAAGCTGAGCCCCCAGTAGCCAGCATAGGTTCCAAAATCAATACAGCTAACCCAATGTTAGTCATGCTCTTTCTCTTGAGATTCTCTCACGTCTAAATCGCAAACCTTTCGAAGAGATCCCAGCTGGGAACTTGGAGTAATATAGTGTAGGAAGACTGGTTGACTCGTCTCGTTGAACCAGAATTTTCCCAAAGCTGAGAGGACCACTTTATAATGAAGAATCAAGTTCTGCTCTTCTATGCTATTCAAGAAAGACTTACGTATATCCTCGGCGCATGGAATTCTCAAGGCTCGCCCCTGCCCGAAGAATGCTCACTCCGCATACCTCCACAGCCTCACGTGCACCTTGATATTCGACCCCAGTTGGGCTGAGGACATTTGTCTCTTGAATAGGAAGTAGGTCGAGCGCTAGGCAAGAATACATCAATGAAATGAAGAAGCCCAGTAGTTGCAAAGTTACACACCGGCACTTATAAGTTGATCACCCACTCTTTCCGTAACCTCAGCAAATGTTGCGACACTTGTCTTCGAATCACGGAGGATAGTCATCAGACTCAACAAGTGATTGCCCTGCGGTAAGATATGCAATCGTGAGGCATGGTGGCTTGTTTCAGAAGCGAGACATGTTTGTCTTGATCCCAAATCGCGATTGCTAGTACTCATGGCTTCGACGTAGGTACTAGTAGTTGTTTGTCTGATATATCTTCAATGATGGGGGGCCAAAAGGAAATAGACAATGGCCAAACTGCGTAAAACTAGATATACAACGGCATCTCTCTCTATATACAACTTTGGCACTTCGCAGATCAAGCGACCTTGGACCTTTCCCCTCGGCCTCGAGCCTATTTTCGATTATACTCCACTTCCAGTCTGGGGTGATTGATGTTGATCCGGTGTAAGAAATCTAATCTATAGATTGCCATTATCGCTGCTGATAAGAGTGCTATATGGCGATAAGATAACGGATAAGATAAGAATCATTTATCTATACGATAAGATAGCATCTCCTCCTTATCCGCCTGATCAAGTTATGAATGCCATCCAATCTCCCCTCTAATTAGTCTCCATGAATTGTTTGACATTGATTTGAGTATCTACCCCAAGAGGTCTCAGCCCTATGCTTGCATCCTACCGAGAAGAATATGAAAAGCATGGGTTGCCTAAATGATACATCACGTGTAATTCAATTCCCTCGTCCAACAATTTATTTGCCTTGACCCTTAATGCTGTATGAGCCGGGCGCTTTTTGTTCAGTGGAGAGCTTGAATTTGTTTTTCATCATATGATTGAGCTCTCTTGGAATGATACAATCGTTTAGAAAGACATTGGACAACATCGGTTTTCCAGATGCGAGAAACTAAAATGTAATAACAATCTTCATGTGGTTTTCGCCCCTAATATGTCCTATCCACTTTACCTTCTAGGGAATAGTGCGGGGACGGGGCACTTCGCGTTTTCGGCTCGTGTCTTTTTCTTTTGCTCGACTTCAATGTTTCTCATTTCAATAAACCAAATACACCCGAAGTTATTTGAGAATGCCTGGATTGCCGCATTTATCAAAACGCTGCGATGAGTGTAAGAGAATGAAGAAGAAAGTAAAAATATGTATATCACGCTATCATCCGCTAATAGCTCGGATATTGACACTCAAAGTGCGACCTGCCAGAGCCTAGCTGTTCTACGTGTCTCAAACAAGGCATCAAATGTTCAGGGGTACTCAAGGGGTTTGTTCATTTCTCATATAATCGATTTAGAGAGACGAATTCGATTTGCGAGACTAGAGACAAAACCAGAAGCATAAAAAGATACTACTAGTACTCCTTCCTGGCCATCGAATCTGTCGAGGGTCAACCCGATACCTCAGTCCCTTTCAGCAGGATCATTGATTCATAGTCAACTATTTTCATTTTACTTGGCGACACCGAGAAGCGAACATGAGATCAAGCATTCATATTTGGGACTTTATCATCTCGAACATTATGGATCTTCCCTCAAAAAGCCAAATGCTGGAAAACGCCTGTTCTGCGCTACCATGCATTTTCTTGGGCAAAGTTAACCATGATGCGAGGCTATTTCAACATGGCCTTCGTCTTTTCAATCATGCAAGTCGACTCCCGTCAAATATGGTTAGTCGCGGCTCTTATACCGACGAGGTCGTTCATACTGCGGTCATATGTCATGAAATGCAGGTAAATGAAATCTCTATAAAGGTGAAAGAGCTGGAGCTCATGCCAATTTAGGCTTATTATTGTCCGATAACATCACCCAAGTACTTGCCCATGTAGAGGGACTAACTGCGATTGTGAGAATCCATGGTCCCAGAGTTCTGAAAAACCCTACCATTTATGCTATGTATAATCAAAATCAAAAATGGAGCATAGTAAGTTAACCCTTTAGAATATCCACTCCAGTTAAGTGAACATTTACTGAAAGCCATGCAGGTATTTGCAATGTTCATGGAGATGACGAGAGAAGAGATTGAGTTCCTTCAAGAGCCTGGCAAGGACACACCATTGGATGGACTGCTCAGGTGTTTCACGGAGACCACCCGAATCACTTGTGTAATTGAGGAATTTGATCAATCGAATCGTGAGATTTGCCAATCTCTGTTGGACAGCTGCATAGCCTTGGAGAAATTACACGAGGGACTTTATCCAAAAATCCATCAAGGTGTCCATGCAGATCCTCCTACGTACCAGGCAGGTGATCTAGACACCGAATTTCCAGCGACAGACAATATATTTGGTCCTGCATACCGATTCTCTTCTCTGGATGATGCTAGGTTGCATATGTTCTTCTGGCTATCACTATCCTTCTTCTATCCGGTGTTTTATAAATGCCAGATACTTGTGATGGAAAGTCAGCCCGGTTTTGTACCTACAGTTTTACAGGGGAAACGCTGGCAAAGTGATGAACATCGACTATCTGAGCTGTACGCTTATAAAGTCGCTAGGTCTTTCCCCTACTGTGGGCAAAAGGGTATGGGCACATGTGGCTTATATTATGGACTACAATGCACAATTCAAATATCACGGACATGCCCTCACGTTAGGAACTGGGAAGGATTTGTGTGGGCCACAGCGTTCTTGAACACATTGAGAAATTAGGCTTTGATACCGCGGCTCGGGTCCGTCAATATTGGTGGCAATATTGGTTTAACACCGATCAACATATTTTTCACAAATGTTTGACTGGCAGAGGCCTTGGAAGAGCAGGAAGATATCTGTTTTGCTTTTTGTACGACGTACGGTGAGAGGAGCCTACAGAGTGACGGAAAGCACTGATAAACCTTTCATTTTTGTATGATAAGAAATCTGGAGTGGTCAGTAGCCTTTGAGGATAACCATTAAAGCATCGATAAGCCCATTTAAAGCACCTAGGAGTGTGTAGGCATCGAGAGAGTATTCTTTGTAGGCTGATCATCCCGACCTGCCCACTTGGACGTCACAGTCTTCAACTGTGTGTAAAAGTTGACACCAGGTCTTCCGTAGAAAGTATTCGCTCCCCCTCCTGCAACACTTTTTTTATTGCCAGTAAAGGAAAACATTGGAAGTGGCACGGGAATAGGGACGTTGACACCAACTTGACCAGCCTGAATATTCTTTCGGAATCTTTCAGCTGAGACACCAGAAGATGTAAAAACAGCAGTGCCATTTCCGTACGGGTTATCATTGACGAGTTGAATAGCCTCGTCAAGAGACTGAACCTGGAGACAAACCAGGACTGGACCGAATATTTCTTCCTTGTAGCATTCCATGGTTGGGTTTAATTCACTGATGATTGTTGGGGCAACCCAGTTTCCATTAGGATATGCCGCCGGTTTGAATCCACGCCCATCGCAAAGGATCTTCGCACCCTCGGCTTCTGCGCTTTTAATCAAGCCCTCAATCCTAGCCTTGCTTTGTGGCGTCACGACTGGACCGAGATCAGCATTGGCCTCAAAGCCACCATTCACAGACAGTGCCTGTGCTCGCTTGACTAGCTCAGGAAGCCAACTCTGGGTTTCTCCGACAAGGACTATTGCAGAAAGAGCCATACAGCGCTGACCAGCTGCACCGAATGCCGCGGCAATAATAGCATCCAATGTTGAATCTTTATCGCAATCAGGTAAGACCACAGCGTGATTCTTTGCTCCGAGATTTGCTTGGACCCGCTTCCCGTTCTCTGAGCCTTTGGTGAATATGTACTCGCCAGCCTTGTTGCTTCCAACAAAGCTAATGGCTTTGATAGCAGGGGAATCAAGCAAGAAGTTCACTGTATCATGTGCGCCGTGTACCACATTGATCACTCCTTTGGGGAATCCGGCTTTCTCGGCAAGCTCCGCCAGAATCATCGCTGCGCCGGGGGCTCGCTCAGACGGCTTGAGAACGACAGTGTTGCCAGTTATGGTGGCAATCGGTATACACCATAATGGAATCATGGCAGGGAAATCTATCCTGGTTGTTAAAATATTTCTCTCTGGTGACCAGCAACAGATTTCAGCTCGGTATACTCACTGAATGGACAAATCACGGCAACCACACCGAGGGGTTCTCGGTAAGTTCTAGTCTCCATGTCTTTGGCTACCTCAAGAACCTCTCCTTTCATGTATTCTGGACCCGCACAAGCTGCTTCCGCAACTTGTAATCCCCTGAGAACATCGCCCTTTGAGTCGGCAACGGTTTTGCCTTGTTCCAAGGTGATGACCGCCGCTAGCCGATCCCAGTGCTCTCGAATGAGGCCAACATATCGGAACATAATTTGCTGCCTGGCAATTGTAGACATGCTTTGCCATCCTGGAAAAGCTTTCTCCGCAGATAGCACTGCTTCCTCCAGCTCGGTGTTGCTCAGCTTTGGGACCCGCGAAACGAGGTTATTGGTCGCAGGATCATGGACATCAATGAAATCCTTTGTGCTTGAAAATCGGAATTCATTGTCAACGAAAAAGGGCGTATCCTTTGGCGCAGATATCTTGTCGTGTGATCTCGGGAATGAGCTGGCGGAGCTTCCTAGCACGCTTTCTTTTGTAGAGCTATTATCCATTTCTTGACCGTGTTGTATCTTTATTTTGTCTGGTCCTTGTGAGATTGGAGGTGGATTTCAGAATCTTCTAATATTAACTGGCGGGGTTCTGTTTTGTGGGGAAATCAGCTGACTCGGGACAGAATCGTATACCCATGATTTCACCGCACTCCAACTGACTTCATTCCGAGAAAGTGGGGGAATCAACTCCAACTCCAATTGCGGGGACAAACAACCATACACGTGTGGAACCTTGATAAGAGCCCAGCCGATAAGAACCTTTGGATCTTGATCTTGGTACGATAAAGGATAAGATAGGCGATAAGGGACGATCAAGGCGATAGCGGCGATAAGCGGGATATCTTATCTTTGTTATCGGTCATCTCTTATCGCATCTCCCTACATCTACGGAGGGATAGTGCTTGGTGAGCAAAAATGTCACCTTCCAGGGATTAGTGGAAATCTTCTTTAAGTGTTGATTCATGCAGGCTACCTGAGCTATAAAGTCTCTCACAAGGCTCTAGAAGAAAATCACGTTCGCTGTGCTTCACCTCGTTTATTTTCGCATACCGTCAATTCGTGTTTCGAAGCAGCTTCAGCTAACGACAAGCCACAATGACTAGAGATTCATCTCGAGATGGGGAGCGCATAATTGTGAGACACCTAGCAAATTATATTCAAACCCAATGGTGGAAGACAAACAGCTAATACCGAAGGAACAGTTGACGACATATCCTGGACAAAGTGTGGTCAACCCTGTGTCTTTAGAATGGGGCAAGATTAATCCCGAGGAGCGAGGCCCCGTTTTGGTCTCAAGAAACAAAAGAACCATATCTCGCCGCAACGCAATTGGAGCCCACGGTGGAAGCTACTCTGTCTATAATGCATTGGCGATAGCTGCCGGCGACCTACCTCCCGACTTCAAGCCAAGCTTCGAGAACACTCAGCCTATATTTAATTTTCCACCCCAGGCTGCCTGGGGGGATAAAAAGAAGATTGTCTCGATGGACCCATTTGGCCACGACGTCGTGAAGCATTTCAAACAACACCTAGATGATGGTCTCGACGTGCGCCCCACTATTGCTGTGACGCGAGCAACGATGCGACTATCTGAGATTACAGATTCTATCCGTGAAAACCGACTACAAGTCGATGGAGATATTATCATCAGCAAGGAAGGCGACGTTCGTGTTACCAAAGCTGCGGTAGAACCAGTTTGGTATCTTCCTGGGGTGGCTGAGCGCTTTGGAATTGACGAAGGCAGTCTCCGCCGCACGCTTTTTGAGCAATGTGGTGGGAGCTTCCCAGAATTGATCACCCGCCCTGATATAAAGGTCTTTTTACCTCCTATCGGCGGTCTGACAGTCTATATCTTTGGAGCGCCCGAGAAAGTGTCTGATCCCAATGTCAAGCTGGCTCTTCGTATCCATGATGAATGCAACGGTTCAGACGTTTTTCAATCCGATATTTGTACTTGTCGACCATACTTGGCTTTTGGAATCGAGGAAGCTATCAAAGAGGCTCAAAATGGTGGCTCTGGTGTTGTGATTTATTTTAGAAAGGAGGGACGCGCTCTGGGCGAAGTCGTGAAATATTTGGTATATAATGCACGCAAACGTGGAGGTGATACAGCCGACAAATATTTCGCTAGAACCGAAAATATTGCAGGAGTAAGAGACGTAAGTGAAGCCATTGAATTCCTAGGAGAGGGAGATGAAGCTGACACTTATTTCAAACCAGATGCGTTTCCAAGCTTTAATGCCGGATATTCTCCAATGGCTAGGAATCAAGAAGATCGATCGCATGCTTTCGATGTCCAATATGAAGCATGATGCAATTGTGGATCAAGGAATTCCCATCCTAGAGCGGATCCCTATCCCAGATGGTAAGCTCAGATTCTTTTGAAAGTTTGCTTGGCTCTATTTGCTAATCTTCGCCTGAAGATATGATTCCTGAAGATTCTCGCGTTGAGATAGATGCCAAGATTAATGCTGGCTATTTCACTACCGGGAAGAAGTATACCGAGGCAGAGTTGGCTCAAGTCAAGGGTCGTGGATGGCAAAATTGGGAGGACGTTGAACACTAATGGAAGTATCATACACTATTGTTTGAAGTTTGGGGATCTCATTACTAGATCATTGAAATTGGTTACAATTTCCATATTTTCATATAATTAACCATTTCCAATACATCTTATTAGTATCTCAATACTTTTCATAAAGTGACCAATAACATAAAGTACTACTAGTACTAGTACTCGGTCCAAAAATAGATTCATGTTTGAACTTCAAATGTTTACGAAGGCTGGTCATTAAAATAGGAGAGTCTTATGCCGTACTTAAAATATATATATATATATGTTGCTTTAGGTTGGGAAGCTGTAAGAACCATCTAGACACGCTACATTATACTAAATGAAACGAAAATTGTGGATCATGCCGAATCACCCGGTCTATCACGCTCCATTTTGACGTGATAGAATATCTCCCATTTTGTATGGGGGGCAATATTGATCACCGGGGGGGAAAGAAACCCCTTGGCTATATCACCTGTGCCATTTATTATACCAGTACCTGTACTGTAGGCTCTACATGGACAGAAAGACTAATGGAAAGACATGGAAAAGTAAATGGAGAAATGTCTTTTTTCCAAATACTTTGGATTATGCTACTAAGTTCATTGAGGGAAAAAAGGAACACTACATCTCGAAGATAAATCTGAAGATAGCAGGATTGAAGCGCAACTTGGCGAGATCATGATTTTCTGCTGGCCAAAAATAGGCAAAAATGGGGATTTTCCAAATGATCACTATCCCGTACACTATGATTGGGTGCCCCGCCAGCTGTACGCATTCTTCACAACTCAAAGTGGATCTTTTCTTCCCGCCCCGTTGTCATCATGATAATTCTAGGTTTCAGGTTGTTGGGTGCTAACAATATCTGGATCGCGACCTAGACCTCTTGTCACACAGCTATGTTCCATTGAATTCGATTGGAAAATGACAGCACAGCAATATTCAATGAACTAGTCATCAAGTGCCCAGGGAAACCCGAGCCTAATGCACCTATGCAATCATACCTATACCATCTTACCCATACAAGCGGAGATTTTGTGCGTAATAATCAACCCCAAAAAATTTAGTGCGCTGATGTAAATTTGGGTACGGGCCGAGAAACAAAGTGCTGGTGTCAGCAGGATAAATTATCTTGAAGGCTGGCTGTATACCTCCACAAAATAAGTCTTCTGACATAACTGTGCAACCGACATAACCGAACTTGTGAACATTATGCAGACGTTTTCTACATAACTATGCATGAAATGTCTCCAAAATGTCGCTACTACATTCCACTATTCTAACTATGCATATTCATTTATGCCATTTATGACATATGTGAAACACGAGCTTGGGGCCCGGCATCTATACCCCTCCCCGGTAGCACCAAAAACGTCAACAGTGAGGGGTAGGTAGAAAGGAAAATATCCCACGATTCGCATATATTTCAAGCTTTTCATCTGGTTGCAAAAGATTTACATTCTGGCATATCTGATCTCGTCTGTGAAAAAAGTTTGTTCCAGGGGAGTTACCGGCAAAATGTTTTCCCAGTCTATCTATCGAGTTCTTTATGAACATTGCATATTGAGTATCTTGACCTTAGTATGATTTCTGGTCTATTTTATTTTATTAAGCCGATGAAAGTTGCTAACGTTTATCACCACCTGGCAGTTCCTTTCGGCAGCGGCTGCCAATGCATTCTATGAGCTTGCCATCAACCCCTTGAAGAAATACAAAGGCCCCAAGCTCGCAGCGATTACTCGAATCCCATTCTTTTATCACTCCATGAGAGGGAATTTCAACAAATGGATCTCCAACATTCACGTTCAATACGGAGATGTAGTCAGAGTTGCCCCTGACGAGTTGAGCTATTCATCAGGTGAAGCATGGAAAGATATCTACGGACACGGGGCTGCTGGGAAGAAGTCAACTAACAAGGACTTGCGTTTCTATGGGCCAACCTTCAATGGAGCACCAGACATCATCCGAGCAAATGGTCCAGACCATGCGCGCTTTCGTCGTAACTTCTCCAATGCTTTCTCCGACAAAGCCCTTCGCGAGCAGCAACCTCTCATCGGTCAATACGTGGATATGTTCATCGATTGCCTCAATACTATTACCCAGCAGGATCCCGATCGGAAGATTGAGATGGTGCGTCTCTTTAATCTTACGACGTTTGACATCATGGGAGACTTGACATTTGGAGAGTCTCTAGACCTGTTGGCTGGGACTGGTGATGATAATTGGGTGACTGCAATCTTCGCTAGTGTTAAAGCAAGCTCTCTACGAAGGATGGGACGATATGCTACCTGGATGGCATTCTTTGTTCAAAAGTCCATTCCAGAGACTCTCAAGATCAAAAGTTTGATGCACTATAGCTCTTGCATGAAGCGTGTCGACAAACGAATTGACGCTTCTCATAAGGCCGAAAGGCCCGATATTTGGGGGCTTGTGATGAATCAAAAGGAGGAACTTCAGTTAAGTAAGGCAGAGATGTACGCAAACTCACAGATATTCATGCTCGCTGGAACGGAGACAACAGCCACCGCCCTAAGTGGCCTAACATATCAACTTCTGATGAACCCAGAGAAATTAGAGACCATCACAAAGGAAATAAGGGAAACATTCCAAAAGGATTCTGATATCGGATTGATTGCTTTGGGTCAAATGAAGTACTTAAATGCATGCATTGATGAAGGCTTGCGTATTTATCCGCCTGTGCCCATTGGACTACCTCGCCTTGCGCCGTCAGGGGGCATGGTAGTTTGTGAGCAATTTGTCCCTGAAAAGGTTAATATACCCTCTTGGATAAACTTGAGTCACCAAACCTGGCTATTTTATTATTTTATCGCTGACACAATTTACTCCTGCTTAGACTGCAGTTTCCGTCAACCATTGGGCAACCTACCGCAATCCTCGAAACTTTCAACGACCAAATGAATTCCTCCCCGAGAGATGGCTTAGTAGCGAATTTGTCAGCGACAATAAGTCTGCTTTCCAACCATTTTCATTCGGACCACGCAACTGTCTGGGCAAAAAGTTAGCACCTTCCTGGAATTATCATCTTGGCCCTTTGAAGCATTAGCTAACTGGATATACTTCATAATCTACAGTCTAGCATATCATGAAATGCGGATTATTCTTGCAAAGTTCTTATACAACTTCGACCTTACGCTTACACCTGAGTCCGTTGGATGGGCCGAGCAAAAGGTATACGGGCTATGGCAGAAGAATAAGTTGATGGTACAGCTCAAGCCAAGGGCAACATGATAATGCTGAGTAGAGTGACATTTTTCTCCACTTGTCAGACAATCTTGTTTTAGTTCTGGTCTGAGAGCCCGGTGCAATGACATATTTCCAGTTCAAAGACAAGTATTTGGAATTTGAATATAAGTTCCGAGTCTGCGTTATTCTTGACAGCTCAATCTAAGAAGGGTCATTAGTGCATACTAGCTCTACTGTAAGCAAGGGGAACTAAAGCGTCCAGCAGGGAAACCTATTTGGTCACATGGTAGTGCTTACTATATTGTTCTCTGTACTATTTTAAGCTGTGTATGGATATAGTGTAGAAAAGAGGTAGAAACACATGTCAAAAGATAAGTAGAAAATTATATTTTAAACCGTTCTACAATTACTCATCCTAGAATAATACCATGAAGCCCAATTTTGCAAAACTACCTGCAACTTATTCTCCCAACTTTAGAATCTTCGAAGTATCCTGTATTACAGGTACTGTAGTTCTCTGCGAGTCTGAAAAAAGGATTTTCTCGAGTGGTATGCATTGAAAACAAGCATGGCCGTTATAGCCTTACGCAGTCCGTTCATTTGCGGCTAGAAAACGTCTTAGATCATACACTTATAGGCAGATTGTATACAAATGCTTAGATGTCTCAATCTACCATGCCAGCTCAGGCTTGCTCATACAGCTAGTAGCCTCCAGCTTTGAGCAGAATTGATCTTCTTCCATAAACTTTCGTGTCATGCCTTCAGCAAGCTTCGGTACAGCAGGCCAAATCTCTAAGCCCCCTTGCAGTTCCTCTTTCTTTCGATGCTCCATGACCATCTCTCGTACACTATTCTGAAAATAGATTGGACCCTATCAGCCATGATTAGTTAATGATATGATGCGTCTTGAATTGGGCTGTACTTTTTCCTTGTTTGGATGAAGTTCCCCATTTGTGAAAACTCCACCGTTGATATTATTCTGTGAACCAACGCATAGGTCTTTATCCTCATCCAAAACTTGTTTATAAAATGCGTTTATATTCTCAAACTCCTCGTCTGAGGCGTCTTTATGCCGGTACACTTCATTTTCAACCTTACTCGTTGTCGCGGTTAGTGGAATCATGCGTTGAATATAAAAGAACTTGTCGCTATTTCCTTGTCAGCTGGTGTCTCTCCAGTATGTCTGCTTTACTTACGTTACGGTAATAGAAGTGGTAGGGAAGAAGTATGTGATAGCTCGACGAAACTGACTATCAATCTGCTCCTTATTGAAGATATGGTGTTCCATATATCCGGCGTTTGGCTCGACGCGATATCGCGGTAAATCCGACACTCCACTAATAAGCGGATGTGATGTGGCGCAATGATAGCATTCGTTATAGTTTTCAATCAGTCCCTTCCAATTTGCATCAACATCCATCTCCCAGACATGATCGAAGGTATATTCCCCAGCAAAATCAAAGTCTTGCATTCTCGGCTGCTCATCGATTCGTTGGTACTCGTCTTCCCATTTTATCTCCGGCTCGCCTGCTTGCAGATTGACCCAAACAAATCCAGCTTTATCTATGTGTACATTTATTGGGAGAAGCCCCTGTTGGCTTTTGTCAAACTCCGGAACGGCCTCAAAGCGAGGTGCCTTTGCGAGGTTTCCTTTGAGACCATAAGACCAGCCATGGTATTGACAGCTTAAGATTGAAGCTGATCCCGAGCTCGATTGGACCACAGGGAACGCACGGTGCCGACATAAATTATGGAATCCATTGATATTCCCGTCGCGGTCTTGGACTAAAAAGAACGATATTTTTGCGACAGTGAACGAAAGGAAGTCGCCGGCTTTTGAGAACCGACTAGAATGGGTAAGGAGAAGCCATCTTTTTGAAAATATGGCTCGTCGCTCCAGCTGGTACATGGCTTCAGAGCGATACCATGATGCAGGTAGACCCCTTGGGGATTGTTTCTCTGTTGTACTGGCGGACCAGTTGAATAGTCGCCACATGTTGGTTGACAAGAGCAATTGGATGCGAAAGATGATACAATGTTAATTATTCCGGGCAGACAACCAACAGGCTCTCCATTTTACAATTTTCCATAATAATATATAACTCATCTCCGTGCGGGGAACTTACGATAACCAATAATAGTAGCTTCAAGAATGGGGAGGCGGGGAAATTCTCGAATTGATAAGCTTCCGTGACACTTTCTTTCGCCTAGTCACCGGGCTATACAAGAATGGGGGCAGTAGGGGTAACAACGCAGCCAAGAATAATTAGCGAAATTAATTGGGGACAAAACGAGATTCATTTGGATTTTTAATTTGTAATAGCTATCTACAGACGAGACTCTATGACATCAGCAGCGGCCTGAGAAAGCCCCCAACACCGATCAACCTATTAATCAATAATGTCAGTCAAATTCCACGGAGAAGATGAATGCAGAACGTACATCTGCAATATGATCGTAGCCCAAAAGCATGGGAGCTAGACTGGGGTCTCTCCAGGCCAATGCCTCCCCTTCTGGCGTGGGCACCATCTGCATCTTTCGATCCCTTTCTTGTTGCTCTGGACCATCGTGGAGGTGATATAGGTATTGCTGAAGGTTGCCACGTTCAACAACCATTTTTGTGCGCTGTTTGCGACATTCTTGGAAAACAGACAGGGCATGCCGTTTTGCGCTGAGAAATTCAGAGGACAATTTGGTAATTTGAGGCCTGTTGGGGAGTCGTGAGAGACATTCACCGAGAACTGCGCCATCTTCGAAGGCCATTCCCGCGCTATTGCCATTAGTATGTTTCTATGAAAGTCAGTAGGCAAAACATACCCCGATGCTAGATATGGCAAAGTAGCATGTACTGCGTCACCTATCATGACCCATGCCCCAGACGGATGTGCCCAATCAAAGTCTCCGAACCGGATACAAAGACGCCATTTTTGTACAGATTGACAGAGCTTCAATAATTTTTGAATCCTATAATCATCGGTTACTATGTCTCACTCAAAAGCCAAATAGAGTACTGACGTTGGGTCCCAACCAGCAAACAATGCACACATCTCCTCCACATTTCCTTCGATTGTAGAAGCTAGCGACTCCTCCGGAATGTCGTCGGGCACAAGTAGGACCATGTTGAAGAGATCGCCTCCACGGAGAACATAGTTCACTATTAAATCAATACACAAGCGATGAGAATGAGGGAAGTAGATACATACCAGCATGAGCATCGGGACCCAGCCAATAATTAACTTGGGGGTCGTTCACGAACGGCGCAAGCTCAGGATCCTTGCGCATTTCATCCGTAGATAAAAGTAGACGGTATGCAAGGTCACCCGTTTTTACGGGCGGATCACTACGCCCAAGCAGCTCTTCTGTCAGTTTTCCAAATACTCCGTCTGCCCCGAGCACTAGATCTCCTTCCCATCGTCTTCCACTCGTGGCGATAACAGTTGCAGTTGCTCCATCTGGGCTAACGTGAACATTGACGATTTTTGAGTTGCACGTTATCTTAACACCGAGCTCTAAAGCCCGATTGACAAGGCATTTCTGCAGGTCTGCACGATGAAAGTCCCGGTACCAGGTACCTGGGTAGTTCTGCTCGGATTGATGAAAGTCCAGGAAGGAAATGGGGTTTCCTTTCCATCCGATGAAATTACAGACTCTCGGTAGTGTCATGTGGGGTGTCAATGCCTTTTCCAGGCCCCAGTGTTGAAGGACACGAGAACTGTTAGGCAAAACCTGAATTCCAGCTCCGACTTCTTTGATTTCCGAGGCGGCTTCGAGGATGTGCACTTTATGTCCGGATAAGGCACAGCTAATTGCAGACCCAAGCCCGGCAAGACCTGCGCCAATCACCACGATCTCGAGTTGACATGACGGGTGACGAGTTTCCTGTTGCTTGATGTGAATACGAGGGGCCATAATGAAGCAAGTATAACTGTATGAGATTGTGTATCGGAATTGTTGGAATATTCCGTGGGTATGTGTCGCGTAGATATTTAAGATCCCCATGTTGGATACGGAGCTTCATGTGTGACAAAGATGGGGGTTAGTCCCCGTATCTACAACTTGAATGCCGATATCCGATCATGATGTCTATAAATGTCACTACATATGAGGGGCTAAAAGGTACAAGCCTTGGTCATTTTATTCAGTTACAAGGTACGAATCGATTCTCTTCGATCTCAAAATCTACATTTCTGTTTATTCGACATGTCGAAGGTATGTGACTTTCCTATCGCGCAATTATTTTATCTAACAGCTCCAGTTCTCTCTCCAAGGCCGAACCGCATTAGTTACTGGGGGCGCTCGAGGATGCGGTCTTGCTTTCGCACGAGGGCTAGCAGAAGCAGGCGCGAATGTTGCAATTTTCGACGTCATCTTGCCAGACGAATCATTTGGATTACTGGAGAAAGAATTCGGCGTTAAGGCCGCCTACTACAAGTTAGTTAACTATACCCACATCTGTCCGACTACTTAAATTCCCGCCTACTGACGTGAAAAGAGTCGATGTCTCGTCAGAAGAATCTCTTCAACATGGATTCGAGCAATTACAGAAGGACTTCAATAACAAACTTGATATCTGTGTTCCCTGCGCTGGTATCAATCGCCATATCCCGTTCCTAGAGTTCACCTACAAAGACCATCAAGATTTACTCTCTATCAACGTGCTCGGACTTTACTTCACGGCTCAATTAGCGGCAAAGCAGATGATATTCAATGGTACAAAACACGGAAGCATTGTTTTGGTAGCTAGTATGGCTAGTCACATCGCGGTGCGCAGCCAATTGTGCAGCGCATACTGTGGGACAAAAGGCGCAGTTCGGTCTATGTGTCCTGCAATAGCCAAGGAGATGGCAGAATATGTGCGCCAGTGATCTCATCTCTTGAAAACCTCATTACTAATTCATCTTAGAATATTCGCGTAAATTCAATCTCTCCGGGATACGTTCGGACTGAGATGACTGCATCTGTAAGCTTTGGAGAACCCCCAACTCCCAGAATACTTGGACTGCAAGCTAATAGACAGTTCCCCCATCTTATCGAAAGCTGGAAAGCAGACGCAATGAACGGTCGGATTGCCGAGCCAGAGGATATAATGGGGGCCTGCGTTTTCCTAGCAAGTGACGCGAGTTCCTACATGACGGGACAGGACATTATTGTAGATGGGGGAGTGACGCGGTGGTAATTGAGATAGGCTGTGCAAGAGTGGGGGTATACTTCTCCGCATCTCCAAAGGAGAGCTAGTTTATAACTCATGAACTACATCAGAATGAAGAGATCCTGCAATTTCACTGAATCCGTTGTAAAGCGACCCGCAATTATGACTCCAAGTGCAAATAATGAAGGATTCGCACTTGGCGGCCCTGTGGATGCGACTACAACGGTTGTCGTGGTCGGAGCAGGACCATCCGGCTTGATGCTCGCGTAAGGATTCCAATGGCTCTAATGACCTCTCAAAAATGACTGTTAATATTATTGAAGATGTAATCTCGCTCGGTTTGGAATTGATGTTGTCATTCTCGATGATCATGCCGATAAGACCTCGACAGGCAAGGCGGATGGCATGCAACCCAAGACTATTGAGACATTCAAGCAAATGCGACTGGCCGAACCTTTACTCAAGAACGCAGCTCGTGTATATGACATTTCGTTTTGGGTAAGTTTTGGAATTTCGCCACTCAGCACCAATTGAGTTGTGGCTCACCTTCTGTAGCAATCAACAGCAGATCAGTCACTTCACCGAACCGGACGCCAGACACACTACCCCGAGCACCTTGTGGGAGCCTCCGATCCCTATATCCTATTGGCTCATCAAGGAATGATTGAAGAGGCCTTGATTGACGATATAGAAGCAAGAGGGGTTTTCGTTACAAGAAATGCGCGCTTCTCGTCTTGCTCGAGGGTCGCAGGGACTGGTCAGCTGGATGTTGTATATGAAGATTTATCAAACAATGCAGTCAAGAAAATCCGGGCCGATTATCTTGTCGGTTGTGATGGCGCGCGATCAAAAGTTCGAACATTTATCCCGGATGCTGAGCTAGTGGGTGAAATGACCAATGCCTCGTGGGGTGTCCTGGATGGTGAGTTTAAAAGATACCCTCTCCTTCAAATGATCTCTCACTGACAACCCGCGGTAAAAACAGGTGTCATCGAGACCGATTTCCCTGACCTATGGAGTAAAGTTGCTGTACGGTCTCATAAAGCAGGATCGATTCTTTGGATTCCTCGAGAACGAAATATGACACGGTTATACGTTGAATTAAGTGCGACAGACGGAGAGCGAGTGGATAAATCCAAGGCTACTATTGAGTACGTCATGCAGCGAGCCAGAGATTCAATGCACCCTTTCAGTCTAGAATGGAAGAGTATAGAATGGTTTGGGAATTACGTGGTCGGTCAGCGAGTTGCAAAGCACTTCATGGACCCAGAATCACGAATCTTCATTGCTGGTGATGTTTGTTCCTCGATTCTACCCCTTGTGTACATCTTTCTGACAATAATCAGGCCGGTCATTGCCACTCGGCTCTAGCGGCTCAAGGTGCCAACACAAGTATGCATGACAGTTTCAACCTTGCCTGGAAGCTGAACCTTGTTATCCGTGGTCTAGCCAAGCCAGATCTACTATCCACGTACGAGGAAGAGAGACGGAAGATTGCCAATGATCTAATCAACTTCGACACAGAGCACTGCAAGGCATTTGAGCAAGGCGAAGAAGCTCTGGCCAAGAACTTCGATGAAAATATTCGATTTATCTCTGGTGTTGGAGCTGAGTATTCTGCAGGCGTGCTGAGTTGCTGGAACGACAGCAATTCTACTCCCTTGCGACCGGGTGAATTACAACTTCCAGCCAAAGCCACCAGATATATCGACGCAAATCCAGTGGATGTTCAACTTGATATTCCACTGCTGGGACAATTTCGAATTTACTTTTTTGTTCCAGATGTTCAGCTATCATTGACAACACTGGGGGCACTTTGCCAAGGTTTGATTGATCCTAATGGGCTTGGTAGGATTGACAGTAGCGCAAATCAATCATATATCAAGAGACCTCGGGGAACGGCACCAGCCGATGATTTTATCTCGCCGCATCGATACTCCGCAATTTCTGAGGCTTTCACGTACGCGATGGTGACTCGGTCTGCAAGGTCGGATTTCGAAATTGCAGATCTTCCCAAGCCGCTACAAGACAGCCGCTGGACATTGTATCTGGATGATATAGACTCCGATCCCTGGACTAGCAAGTGGTTCGGTAATCTAGAGAAGGAACAGTTTGGTGTTTCCATTATACGCCCAGATGGCTACTGTGGGGGAATTGAGACTTGGAGTTTGGACAATGCAGATCAAGCAAGACAATGGGTGGAAAACTACTTTTCATTTATGATTTGATAGACGTGAATAAACTTGAATATTATGTGCCATATTGGAAAATTAATTTACTACTCAACCTTACTTTCCGTATCAATCGCGGTGCTGTCAGTAAAAAGTAGTACTACTAGTAGGCCGTACACTAGAGCAGTATATTCAACGAGGTCTCCAGCCTCGGTCTCGCATAGGGCATAGGTATCTGCGGAGCACCTTGTGAACTGGAAGCTAGTTGAATACGAAAATTAATTTGCGATACACTTTGCTTGGACCCTCCGCAGCTTCGAATTACACTGTATATTCCTCATCCCGAGGGTGGGGGCACTAAAGATTTCCTCCGAGTCTGCAAGTCAAATGGTGGGGGTCTAGCTATCTTAATATCGGGCACTGGGCAGCCCATGCATATTCTATGCATAATATCCCACTATTATCCCACTTTCGCACAATGTCAGATATGGGAGCTCAGTTATCAGTTAATCACATTCTTAAATAGCACCTTACCTGGTCAATTCTTAAAAGCAAAATCAATTTCCATTGACATTCTTCATTATGGGCTCAATCGATTCTATCGGACCACTTTTTGAACCCCTTCGCTTGGGGGCTCTGTCCCTCAAACACCGTGTCATTCAGGCTCCTTGTACTCGCATGCGTGCTACGAAAGAGTCTGAGGGTATTTTTGTCCCAAATGATCTCAACGTGGAGTATTACTCCCAGCGTGCTTCAGACGGTGGTCTGATGCTCACGGAGGCAACTCCAATCAGCAGACTTGTATGTATCCAGCTCTTTATCCACATGCAATAATACTAACAGTTCAGGCTGCTGGTTATCCAGGTGTTCCCGGAATTTTTACCGAATCCCAAATCGCCGGCTGGAAGCGGGTCACCGATGCGGTTCATGCCAAAGGTGCATTGATTCTTTGTCAGTTATGGCACGTCGGTAGAGCGACTACACCCTCTTTGCTCGGAGGACAACAGCCCATCAGCTCCAGTGATATTCCCATCAGCGGCGATGCATTGGATGGAACTGCATATGCTGCATCTCCTCCGAGACCAATGACTATGGAGGAGATCCAAGATCTTGTCAAGGAGTATGGAGCTGCATCGAAAAGAGCAATGGAAGCTGGGTTTGACGGCGTTGAGATCCATGGTGAGAAACCCCAAATTCATGGTCGAAGAAAATGCAAGTATTAACCAATTTCTAGGTGCTAACGGCTACATCCTGGATCAATTCCTTCACGACAACGTTAACAAGCGTACTGATGAGTACGGCGGATCCATTGAGAATCGATCACGTATCATTCTTGAGGTCATCAAGGAAGTCACTTCAGCTATCGGTGCTGATCGTGTTGGCATCCGCTTGTCTCCTTATAACTATTTTCAGGATACTCGTGATTCTAGTCCCAATACCCACTGGCTTAAAGTATGCTCGTCAATTGCTAGTTTATCCGATGAGTCTAAGCCCATATATGTCCATATGGTGGAGCCTCGTTTTGATGAGGTACTGGATGAGAAGGCTAAGATTGATTCCTTGCCTTCGGAAAAGCCATCCCTGGATGTCTTCCGACCGACATTGAAGAAAGGGGGCATCGCACTCATGGTAAATGGAAATTTCAATGCGAGCAACTCCGGGTCGAAGCTGCTTAATGATGGAGCTGATGCGGTAGCATTTGGGCGATACTTCATCTCTAATCCGGATCTGCCTCGACGTTTGAAGGAAGGTCTGCCATTGAACAAATATGATCGGTCGACCTTCTACGGGGCGAGCCTTCCTGAGAAGGGATACACTGATTATCCATTCTACAGTGAATAGGGAGCAACATCTTGGGAGGACTGAGAAATATCAAACATTCAAGTACATAAATGACACATTCAACACTATTCAGACAGACAATATGATTACAAACTTAAGACAACCTTACTAAAACTTTCATTGCATCGTGCACCACCGCCCATCGTACCGTAGCCAATTGCTGTGCCATTGCAGCTGCTAGTGGCTTAGGATCGTATTTTCCTGACAACGCAGCCAGTTCTGTCTCACTGGGACAATTTGTCATCATCACAATTAACGAAGATAGATCCGTAGTCATGCGATGCTCTGATGACGAAAGGTCCATTCCACGATGGAAAACCCAGCAAGCTAAAGTCGCCAAGTACAAGCACCATGGAAAGTGAAATGCATCAGTCTGGTCCCAGTCATGAAGACTGAGAACAGCATCCTGAAGTAGAGTAGACGAATGTCGTGCAGCAGCGGATGATGCCCCGGAGTCTTCATGTAGCCAACGAAGAATATTACGCTGAGATCGCGATTGATCAGCTGGGGTAATAGTGCGCCCGAGTATCTGGTCTGCACCTGCAACGATCTGTAAATCTAACACTTCCACGTTCAAGGCAAGACATGCGGCATGGTAGAGGGAATTTGCGGCCATCTTAAGGCCAGTAAAACGCCGGGGATCTGCTGTTTGGGCCAACTTCATAGAAAGACAATCAGCGTCAAAGTCCACCTTCCAAAGATCATACGAGCGACTCATGCGAGGAGTCCAAGCTCCAACTCTTTCGGGTGTTTCCGATCGAAGTGTAGTTTGATCACGACGTTTAAGGTCTGCTGAAACAGACATCAAACCATGCAAGATGACCGTGCGACCGAGTGCATTGAGATCACGAGGACGAGGCAAAGCTTGTGGTGTGATATATCCCTTCAAAACAGGCAGGAATGGGCGACTTTTTTCGCGAATGGCTAACTGGGCCCATTCTCGGGCCGACGATGCCTCCCATGCGGCACTACTACAAGGTAGTGACGATCTGATCTCAAAAGCAGACATGCAGAGTGACTGTGAAAATAAGACCGCATGTTGCGTATCCCACATGAAACAAATCATGCCAAGTCGCTTCCTTTGTTCAAGCTCCATGGCCTGCCTCCATGCTTGCTCTAAGTCTTCTAATTGAGCCAAATGGGACGAGTCTTGAATATTGCAGCAGCTACTACGACGAATGAGTTTGATCAAAACACAGTGGAAAAGCTGGGCCTTTTCTCTCTGTTTCGGACCCGCTCTCATCTTTCCAAAACAGTCAATTAGAAGCATTGTCTGTATTACCCAAAGGTCGGGCTGGGTCGAAAAATCTGGATGACCGAGAAGTTGGATTCGAAGTTTATCGTGAACCCCCACAGCCAGTTGATGTGCCTCGCGACTGCTATAAGTCGCCCCCATAAAAATAATTGATGCGAGTAGAATAGGATCGACCATACTTGGATTGAATGTTGGCTGGTGAATAAGCGGGTAGGTCACATTGAAACGGGTAAAGAATAAATCGCTGTAATTCTGCAGTGCGCCCAGAGTAAGCAATGGTGAATGCAATGTCATCGGCTGTCCATCAATACCCATAGGATCTGTTTGAATCACAATGGATAGGATCCCTGTTCTAGCATCTTCGCTCAGTCGTGGTAGGCGCTGGGGTGGGTTGGACCCCAAGTAAGATGATCCTGACATCCAATCCATCTCCACAAGGTCCGGCAGAACATTTGTTAATACCTCTTCTGCGTTGTGATTTTTGTTCATCATGGAGGCAACCTCCAATAGAGCTGAAGGACCGTCGTATTTGTCATTTCCGGGGGTATTAAATGATTCCATTCCGTCTGAGAATGGCCCAGTGTCAAATCCCAAGGGGAAATCGAAATGATGGAAAGCATCGTCAAGAGAGGCGACATCAAACAACCAGTTATAGTTACAGGTTGCGGCAAAAGGAAGATTGAAATCGGTTGCTAGGGAAATTAGAATTATTTTCGTGGACTCTAGCGTGAGAGGGTATATCTTACCTGTATCCATTCCAAAGAAGTCTCCCATGCCGTCCAGGCCAACACTGAAAGATCCATCTGCTGCATCAAATTGCCCAGGCATTGGCTCAACGTATGGCTCAAATGGCCCTGCTGGCATCATCGGTGCAAGGAATGGATCATTCTCATCGATGGAGAGGGAAGTTGGATCCGTGCCAGAAACAGGGGGTGACAGAGGTTCCTGGTCCGCAAAATCTTCACCATCTTCAGTCATTCCCCGATCGGAGCTTGCAGTGGAGTTTGCAGATAGTGCCGCTGATCTGATCTCTCGCTGTGATGGGCGAACAACAATCGTGCCATCGCCAGCCCTTCGAGTACGTTTGCGCGTCTTCAAAATTCCTAGACCGGGACCACCCGCTTCTTCGTCTCGTTTATCATGACGAAGCATGTGTCGTTCTTAGATATTCAGCCTTAATTCGAATCTTAAGGATTCCCGACGGCCTACCTAGCAAGTCTGGTCGCTGAAAATGCACCGAGCAACGTTCACAACTGAATCCATGTCGCGGCTGCTCGTGATTTAAGGCATGTCGACGAAGATGTTCAGCGCGGGTGAAGCTTTTGGTACAGTTAGGGTACTGGCAGGCGTGGTTCTTCATGATAGAGTAATTTCATTGCAAAGAAGTGAAATCCAAGGTCGATAGCTATTGGGGAGAGAATAATAACATGGGGGTTTTCGGAGCAAAACCCGATGTCACTGATAAGAATGCGGGGGAAAGCTACCTTATTGGCCTTGTGTTGATTCACTTGGCTGATAGTAACAGGATCGCTAGCCAATAATAATTCTCAACTGCTAAAAGATCAAGTCCTCAGAGAAGTCAAGTGGGGTCTCATATCGTACGGTACAGTATAGGTACATTAAATCTCTTTCGCTCCAGAATACCCTTTGTGTGGACCTAGCTTTATTATTGTCATGCCTCCGGATGTAGGTAGCTCCATACTAAGCTCAAATAAAACCCCTATCCATAAGTATATACATTTAAAGAAAGAAGAAAATCTCTCTCTTTATTTCACCGTATCCCTCTTTGAACTCACTAGTGTTGATTTGATTATCTCGCAATCGAAAACTAGTGTTTGACCTCGGCCTCGACAGTGATTCTCACCCAACATCCATAAACTCAATCTGATTACAAAAACAATTCAAAAAACATTGCCGCTGCTGACAGGCATACTTATATTACCAGAGATCTTCCAACCGTATGTGGAAAGGGTTTGTAAAACATACTTGGGCGCATATTGAGTCCGAGATGTGGTCGCGCTCAAAACACCAGCCAAGGTGCCCACCATACTAAAACATGACATTTACTGTGTGGAAGCTCTCATCGATATTTTATTATTATTATAAGCACAAGCAAAGCAAAATAAGGTATATGACCCTGCGGTCATCAGAAAGCAAGCGAAATAGACGACCCCCTCGCTGTGTAGAACGTCTATGACGGGCCAGTATTACCATTCCGACCAAGCAAATGGCCAAGGGGGAAGTTATATGGTATTACTGTCCTCTTACGGAAGAAACGAGTCTGTTTTCCAACGCATATAGTCGTACTACCGCACCGACTAGGTTTTTGAACTTTTTACAAAGGCCATAACATTGGGTGCCGCACGTTGGCAATATCAACATTGAGGAAATGGCGATAGAGATAGGAGAAGGTGAGTCGATTTGCTTATATCCATGCATGTAGCTGGGCATGCGATTTGGTTACATCATTGCTGCTGAAACGTTAGTCAGCTCGAGTAAGTTTCCACAACTTCTGATAAGATTAATGATTGATTGTAACTATCTCTATAGATAGTAATGTAGTAATTAACTACTACGTCTAGCTGACTGGGGTCTCCTTTTAGATCGGGGTGTGCGCTTCAAGCGCGCTCCACACTCCCTCCTCAAGATAAATGAGATCTTGTGCTTCTAGAATATTCAGAGTCTCAAGCACTGCCATTTGACAATTTCCATGGACGGGCATAGTCCTGGCGAGCTCATAGATACGTGCGAAGTGTTTGAGCGGCCACCTGACGAATCAGTATGACCCCGTAATGAATGTCATGGGGGTTTATGTAAATGGCGCCTGACTCGAAAAACTCGTCTGGCGCTAGAAGTATAAGTCAATGCCAGTGGTGGTGGCTATCTGGAGCGTGCTTCCAGATAGCCACCTGATTGTAGGTATGAGTTCGACAGGCTTTTTGGTGGATGGCCTGTTGGAGCGCAGGACGTGCAGCGGTGGGTGGCTTCAAATTGAAGCGGTGGACAGGAAATGTCGTGGAAAAGTGATTTCTGGCAGGATGAGGAATAACGAGACAGTATAAATAGCCAGATAGATCCTTAAATAACGTGTTCGATGTCTGCGGTTTTATATTCAGTATCTGTTTGATTCACCTTATCATATAGGGACTCCTGGAAGTATATAAGTCTCAGATTATTGAATATTGTCATGATCTACTACCGTGCAGCTTCGGGCTCCATCTTTTGCGAATGACGTCTCGGTACTATCCGTTTGCTGCGGCATTTTACTTACTACCCAATAAACTAGCGAGCAGCGAAGGTTATTAAGGAGAATAATCAAGAGTACATACCTGATAATATCAACTATTATTCGTAAACAATCTGTCATAACCTTTGAAAATGGACAAGAGTCAACTTGTCCACAATACAATCTCTTACCTTCTTAATTAAGGTAGATAGCGCTCTCACGTATCTACCTTTGAGCAGTGACTATATTGTACAAGACGAATTCACAGTCTTTATCAAGTTTACAAGGGTTCCTCCTAGCTACCCTGCATCTTGTATACCTGTTAAAACAATTGCTGACCATCTACCTCGTATCTACTGAATATATTCAATTTCCTTCTGATTATAAACACATTCACTCCCCTTGTCCCTCCAGCCAATCAGCTATAGACTAGATAAGAACTCCCGTCAGTTTAGCTCTAATCCCGCTTCCCCGCAGATCACCTTGTCAAAGCGCCGGGGCGGGAGTAAGCTATCACCCCATTGTTGATATGACCCCCACCCTTGAAGCTTGGTCTTGAGACAGTCGAGATTATTTGACGATGGCTCCAATATTTCGGCCTTCTGTCCGATCGAGTAATGGCGATGAGGAGTCGTCATTCACATTTAGGTGGTTATATTCACGTCAATTTGCTCGACACGATACACAGGTTCCAAACGAGACAGAATTATTGAATCAGTACTCTTGAAAACATCAAATATGCATTCACCAGCAGCTCCCCCAATTTTGGATATCTCTCCAATTTATGGAGCGGATAGCGAAACAAAATCCAGGCTGGTAGAGGAAGTTCGCAAGTGTTGCCATTACAATGGGTTCTTTCAAATCACGGGCCATCGCGTGCCATTGGAGTTACAACGTCGCGTTATGGACTGCTCCAAGAGATTTTTTGATCTTCCCTTGGATGAGAAGCTACAGATTGATAAAAGTGAGTTACCGACACTTCTTTCGCATTTTCAATATCCTAACATGAAAATTGAATAGATCGAAATACTTTCAATCGCGGCTACGAACTCCTTAGATCGCAGATGCTAGAAGTGGGCACCGGCCCTGAGCTAAAAGAAGGACTCTACATCGGCGAAGAAATCCCCGAAGATCATCCTTATTTTCTCCAGAAAAAGCTGAACAGCGGACCCAACCAATGGCCTCAGACTGTCTCCGAGAAAGAAGAATTCCAGAAGACAACAATGGAATACTATCATGCGGTGTTCAAGTTGGCAAAGGATGTGCTTGCTGTTCTAGCCTTGACTCTGGGGGTTGAATCCAACTATTTTGATCCTCTTACAGAGGGGGCCGTTGCAACAATGCGATTTCTACATTATCCCGCGCAGCCGAAAGATGAGGATGAAAAATTGAATCGCGGCATCGGGGCTCACACGGACTTTGGCTGTGTCACTCTACTTCTTCAGGATGAAGTAGATGGGCTGCAAGTCTTAGACTCTCCAACTGGACAGTGGCTTGATGTTAGTTGCCATACTCTATGTTTGAGATTCATGCCCATAGCTAACCAATCTCGATATTAGGTTAAGCCAGTACCAGGAGCCTACGTGGTGAATTTGGGAGACCTTTTCATGCGCATGGCGAATGATAAGTATAAATCGAACACGCATCGTGTGATCAACAAGTCCGGTCGTGAGAGATACTCTATTCCCTTCTTCTTTAGCGGAAACCCAGATTATTCTTGCCAGTGTCTGCCAAATTGTCGCGAACAAGACGAGGCAGCGAAATATCCGCCTATTACCGTGCAGGAAATGGTAACAGCTTCGTACAAAGAAAGCTACGGTCGGGCAGAGAAGTACAAGGAGGGGCTTAAATTGAAGAAACCGGATCCAGCACCTACAGTTGCTCCAGTTGGTGCATAGAGTGAGGATCATGGAACTCGAGGCTGTAACACCAACGCCTATATGTATTTATTGTTAACTTAATTGAATATTCTATGTAAGTTTTTATTTGTGGATATAGAAATGCGCTCTTGGTATTATTGGTAGCCATATAATCTAGATTCTCACATCTTTTGCAAAATGGAAATTATAATATCTCCCATGTTTCATTCCGTGGCACGGTAGACCTGGTAAAAATAGTCAAACCACCTTAACATCTAGGCACTAAGAATAGCAACCAGTAGCTAATCATACCATGCGTATGTCCCTTGACCCCACATATCATCTCGTGTTAATCCCATTGAATTAAGTTTTCCAGTGCCAATGCTCTTATTATTGGTCCAAGCTCAAGAATGTCAAGTAATGCCAACATTATTCTCCCCTGAAACCACCAAAAGTGGGGGATAAGACATCATATCACTAATCACCCACCTTTGCTATCATATAGGGCTTTATGACAGCCCTACATGAGATATTAACGGGTCAGGAGTAAGTATGGGCAGATTCCACTGGTCTCTACCCTTCATATATGAGTGACCTATTCTGGACATAGCTTGTGTTCCTGGGGATAATTTGAAGCCGTTTAACAAAATGGATGAAATTCATGCAAATGAGAAGCGCCCCTCGAGTCCAGAGCAGATACCTGATGAGGGTGCTGGGAAATTTATCGCTCTGGATGACAATGAAGTTGAGCAATTCTATGGCTCGTCAACTACTCAAGCGTACCGTCTCAAATCTGAGCTGGTAGGAAAATGCATGGAAGAGATTGGAATGGGAAAGTGAGATATTCGTTCTCTCCTACATAAATGGATCTACTTTGCTGACAAGACTTAGATTCCAATGGAAACTATTTGTGGTCACTGGATTTGGCTGGATAGTAGACAACGTAATGTTTATCCAACTTTGATCTTCTTCATCCAACTAACACGTCGATGGGTCATTAAGTTTGCATCACAAGGAATAGGCAGTGTTCAGCCTCCTATTCAGCTGGAATTTTCAGACGTGACTAAAGTCAGCTACAGCTCTGTTGCATATTATGTGGGCTTGATTATCGGTGCATCATTCTGGGGCTTGTCTAGCGACCTAATTGGTCGTAAGCCAGCTTTCAACTGTACGCTTCTCATCGCTGGTATATTTCTTTGCGGCCTTGCAGGCTCGATGAATTTTATTGCTTTTAGTGCATTCTGGGCAGTTATCGGTACTGCAGCTGGAGGAAATGTCCCAGTTGACTCGATGATATTCTTAGAATTTGTCCCGGGAAGGTGAGATCCTCACCCTTAGACTCTGAAGTATGTTATAAAGTGCTCATTCTCACTAGTCATCAATACCTCTTGACTGCTCTTTCGGCATGGTGGAATCTGGGGCAACTTATCATCTCGTTACTTGCATGGGTCTTCTTGGCCAATTTCAGCTGCCCAACTGATTCTACTCCTGCGACCTGCTCACGTCGTGATAATATGGGATGGTAAGAAAGTCTCCATTTCTTCTATATCTCAAATTTCTAACATCACATCTTTTAGGAGATACACAATGATTACAGTTGGCGCCCTTTCGTTAGCATTCACTTTCATCCGCATCTTTGCCTTCAAACTTCCCGAGACCCCACGATATCTACTCTCCCAAGGACGAGATCAAGGTGCCGTGGATGCTGTGAACTACGTCGCAAGACAGAACGGCAAACCAGAACCCCTGACAATTGGCATGCTTCGTGATATTGATGCTCGGCTAGGCATGATAGTGAATGAGGAGGAGCCACGGACAAAGCTCTCGGTGAAAGAAATTATTTCCGAGAATATGGAAGCTTTCCGAGGTGGCCACTATCGGGCCTTGTTTGCGACAAAGAAGCTCGCTAGACAAACTCTTATCATTTGGGCTATTTGGTTAACCGTTGGTATGTTAAACTCTCATTGGATCTTAACTGAGTTTTACGAGCACGAGCAGTACTAATCGATAATATCTATCCAGGCATCGCATATCCACTCTATTTCAATTTCCTTCCATCCTACCTAGCCACCAAATTTACCTCCAGTTCCTCTCTATACACGACATACCGAGACTATTGCATTGAATCAGCCGTCGGAATCGTCGGTCCATTAACCGCCGCCGTTTCAGTTAACACCCGTCTCGGAAGACGGTGGATGATGGGTCTTTCAGCCGTGGTAGCAGCTGTATTCCTTTTTGCCTATGTTGGCGTAACCAACCCGACGACAAGTCTGGCATTTGCTTGTATAACTATTCTTCTAGCTAATTTTGGTAAGTCTGTCACAATTTTGTGAGATACAGGCTGGTGCTTTAACTAACAAATGTCAGAGTATGCGATCATGTATGCCTTTACGCCAGAGTCTTTCCCTGCGCCTCATCGTGGAACTGGGACTGGTACTGCGGCTGCTTTGTTGCGGTTTGGTGGCCTTATAGCTAGTTTGATCTCGTCGCAGACTGGATTTACCAGTGCGCCTATTTATGCTAGTGCCTCTTTGTGGGTACTTGTTGGTGTCTATTGTCTAGGACTGCCGTTTGAGACTCATGGGCATGGTGCATTGTGAGGCTTCACTTTGGAAAGAATGTTCTGTATGTATACTGTGAGAATAGCATGAATAGCTATTTGAGGAATATCTGTATCTCTTTGGGTCAACTTAATAGTTTATCTAGTATATAACTGTTGGATATTCAAACAATGAGGGCCGGCAAGTACGATTCCGGGTCTCTCATATAGATCACCAGTTATAATAAGATAAAAAATTGCCTATTGGAAACTACTAGCTGAATTTCTTTAATTCCGTCGTAAATGTAAACATTAGTACTAACAACCATCCCCATACGAAAGCAATGTATGTCTTGATGTCTCCTTGGCATTATCACTGCCGATATTGAGGATTCGAGATCATGATTCTATCACCAGGCCTACCTATTTTAGTTAGATTGCGGGGATTCCATTCATTCGGATAGCTACTAGCTAGAAAACTAATAATTAGGACAGAGGAGAGCTAAATGTGGAAATCGTACGTATACACTCTTTACCAACCCCCACCCTTGATATCACATCTCAATGATGGGGGAGCTCGATAACAGACAATTCCCCTCACCCTTGGCCCCTCTTTAATCAGTGACTCCAATTATTTCTAGGATTCAAAACGTTCAAAATCTTCTGTGTGCTGTTCAATTCATCTAAGGAACTACTACATCGTACTCATTGAATCTCTATAAGAATCTTCGTCTACAACTATCTTGATCAGAATTGGTCGAGTGAAGCTAAAACAATAATAGAACTGTCAAGAAAGAAGAAGAAGGAGAAGAAGAAGAAAGAAACCCGTACCAAAGAACCAAAATGGGCAAAAAGCGCATCCTTGTCGGGTACGGTGTCGACATTGATGCCGTAGCAGGTTGGCTCGGTTCATACGGTGGCGAAGACAGCGTCAGTGACATCAGCCGAGGTAGGCTAGCCCCCAAATGAAGTCAAGACATGAAAGCAATTCATTCAAAAACTCAATTAACTTCAATTCAATCAAGAAAGCCCCGCTAATTGGATCAAACAGGTCTCTGGGCCGGCCACATCGGCACAACCCGACTCCTAAAGCTCTTTTCCAAATATAACATCAAAGCCACCTGGTTCATACCAGGGCACTCCCCTCGAAACATTCCCAGAAGAATGCGCTCAAGTACGAGATGCAGGACACGAAATCGGACTCCACGGGTACACGCACGAGAACCCAACATGCATGAGCGAGGAACAACAGCGAGACATCCTCGACAAGACATACAAGCTACTTACTGATTTCTGTGGAAAGCCACCGCGCGGCGTTGTTGCGCCATGGTGGGAAGCCTCTGCGGAGATGGTGGATCAATTGCTTGCGTATGGGATTGAGTATGATCATTCTATGTCTCATGAGGATTGTCAGATGTATTGGTTGCGGACTGGGGATACGTGGACGAAGATTGATTATAGTCAGAAGGCGGAGACGTGGATGAAACCTCTTGAAAGGGGAAAGACTACGGGACTGGTTGAGATACCGGGGAGTTGGTATATTGATGATTTGCCGCCGATGATGTTTATTAAGAATTCGGCGAACAGTCATGGGTGGGTGAATCCGAGGGATGTGGAGGATATTTGGAAGGTAAGCCATGTCAAGCGAGGGCTTGTGAATGTTGAATGTTGAATGTTGAATTCATGTTGAATGCATTACCCATTACCCGTCTAGATGGGTCTTTTTGGGGGGATGTCTTCTATTCATTCTGACATAGTACATATTTTATTGATGTGGCTGCTGACTTGCGTGCTTACAAGGACCATTTTGATTACTTTTACCGTGAATACGACGAATTTGTCTTTCCGATGACGATTCATCCCGACGTCTCTGGTCGGCCCCATGTATTGCTTATGCATGAAAGGTGAGACATGAGAGGGGGTGTATTATAGCTAGGGACATGAGCTGACTGGCCTTAACGCAGGATTATCGAGCATATCAACAAGCATGAAGGGGTGGAATGGGTGACATTTGAACAGATGTGCGATGAGTTCAAGAGTAAGAATCAACCACCTGAGGGGGCAGTGATGCCTGCAGCGCCGGGGAGTATTCTTCAATAATGCAATTATGCGTGTCTAGGAAGTATTCAAGTTTAATCAGGAATTGATGTTGAAGAGTTTGTTCTCATACAGTAAAAGTTTTGACAAAAATAGATTATATATTGTCTAGTACGTATGCAGTTCTTGATCCATGGTAGTAACCTCGAAAAGTCCCAATATTAGAAACAGTATAGATTGACCCTTGGAAGCGAGTCCAAAATAATGATCAAGAATTAAGTTAAGTTAGAACTTGAAGTGTATTCTTCTCTTTTTTTGAGATGCCTTTTCTTCCAAGCTGTACAGTATCGTGTGACAAGTACATTCAGGATCAGGATTCTCTTTCTCCCTTTCTCTCCAATTCTATCTGTACATAAACCCTTGGCATTGATCCAAGTCCACCCCACTTATATTCAAGATAGATTTGGATCCTAACCAGCTCTGAATCATACTACAATCTTTTTCTCTCGAATCCCGTACTCCGTCCTGCGTGCATAAGTGCCCGCATAATGTCCATGTACAATGAGAGCTGGAGCTGAAAGAGCTGAGCGTTTTGACCCACCGGTGCCGACGATTAAGTTTGGGATTTTTGTGGCCGATCAATTCTCCTCCTTTGTCCCGAAGCCTTTCATTGGTAGCGGAAGCGACTAGAATTTGATCCGGAGTCTATCTTGCCTTGAAACAGGATGGGATCGAGGAAGGAATAGAGGAAGGATTGACAGGATTGATTCTAAAATAAAAACGATCTATCCAATAACCAATTCTGTAGAGACGCGGTTCTGTTGGATTATTAATATTTTTCCTTTGTGCGTATTTCCGTTTTACTGGGATTTCCATTTTCTTTTCTCTGTGGCCAAAGGCAAGGACATCCGAGAGTGTTTCCCGACCGGAGCGAGAACCGGAGACCCGAATAGACATTCCACGGCTCAACATCCTTTTGCCCCTTCGCCTTCCGCTGGGGGCCTCCAATTAGAGATCAGAGGAATGAGAAGTGGGGGGAGATACATCATTCCCCGAAAAAAAAGAAGACGGGAAGAACATTTGAAGAAAAAAAAAAAGAGGAAAAACCGTTTGTGGTTCTCCGCCATGTGGATCTGACGTCGAGGGTTTCGCTGTTACCACCCATGAGAGGGGATTTCGGAGAACACAGAATACAGAGTACAGAGGAGAAACAATGAACAGTTACGGCAGGAATGTTACCATCTGTCTGGTCGGATAGTGGGGAGGGAGTACAAGGTCCGACTATGGATCGGACTACTACGTTACGAGTTTAAGAGAGTGGGAGAGTAGGATAGCGAGGGGAGAGAGGGGGAGAGGGGAGAGAGGGGAGAGAGGGGAGAGAGGGGAGAGAGGAGCCGTGCGACCTCCGCTTTAATTTCTATTTTTTCTTTTCTTTTTCAGCGTAGATCGCATTCCAATGGATTCGGGAGAGAGTGTTAGGTTCTTTGTATAGAGTAGCGGCAGTTGATTTATGTTTCTATTTCTAATCTCTTCGTACTTTGTCCTCGGAGTAAGGTTCTGGCAAGTATTTAAGAAAGGTGACTATGATTGCTCACCCGCACTTGTACAACTCAATGAACTGTTGGATGTGGATGATTGTTGTCATCTGTTTCTTTTCGGGAGAGTGCATCACACAGTGTGGGCCAGGTATTAATGAACATGTTATGATTCTGATCAGTATGTTATAATCATATACTGATCATATCATAATAAACATAATAATCTCTGTCTTAATTCAATCAAGGCCAAGACGGTTATGGCATCATAGGTAGAGAGGATGTACCTCCACTATTGTCTAGATGCTGCCGATCTCGCACTCAGCTAAACTATGACTAACTGGGAATGGTTCAACAGTTCCCAGTTCCAAGGGCTTCGATGTTCTCCCTTGGGGTTAAGAAGCCCTAGTAAGGCGGGAAATGATCCACTCTACTCATCTTCTCCAGTTCATTCAGGGTCTACAGATAAATGTAGCAAGAAAATATTGGAAGTCACACAGAGTAGCTGTGTAGCCGTTGGGGATGGAATCATCGGCAAGATGTTTACATGTATGTGTATCAGAAGAACCCACCAGATCCCACAGAATCACTCTCCATTCTCATAAGTTTTTCTTAATTTCTGTTAAGAAACCATCGGGTCCATGGATCAGTTCGCCTGTCAACCACCGGAACTGAGCGGAGTTGTTGGAAGCGGGAAAGCGAATAGAATTGACGAGAGGGAAGAACAAACAGAAATGGGGGGGGGAAGAAGAAAAAAAGGAAAGAAAAATTAAATAATAATAATAATAATAATACTAATAAATCCATTTAACCATCGGGTACTAAACTCGGTGCTAATCCTAGCGTGTGACTGATTTCTCTGGTTGATAGTGGAGTCTACACTGTGTGACATGGTTCTAGCCTTTTCACTCTCCTAGAGCCTTCTCTCTCTCTTCTTTCTCTTTTGACTCTGACCTCTTTTTCTCTCTTTCATCTCGACTTCTCATCACAGTCAAGGGTCTAAAGGGTCCTGGAAGACTATCGCCAACGAAGCCAACAAACAACAAACCAGAATCCTTCGTCGAACGAACCTGAATTTTCTAGCGGGGATTACCCTGTCAGGCGCATCACCACACCCGCCCGTTTGCTGATTCACCATTCCTGCCCAGCCAACTCACTGTTCATTCCGCGCCCTCTGATTCCTTTCTTTTTGGACCTCGACTTTCTATTCGATGAAAAGACAGAATCAGAGAGAGTATTTCCCAAAAGAAAGAAATAATAAGAAAAAAGACAATCGCCTTTTCTCTTAACCCCCATCACACCGCCCTTCCCCAAGGACATACTCTTTCCCTCAAATTGCGCCGAAATTCCTAGATGCTGCTGCTGCAACAATCCCACTCGATACCCAGCCTCTCCAACGTTTGGCGAATTTGTCGTCATGCGTAAAATGTCTCAAATCGTCGACGCGCGAGACTCGTTCGACGCGTTAGAGTCGCCCCATCTGCCTTACCCACTGGCCGTCAATACTTCAGCTCCGGCCTCGCCGGCTATTTCTCTATTCTCTACGACAGGTCACAATCGCATCTCGAGCTCGGTCTCTTCCCTCGTGCCCTCTTTAGGAAACTCCATGGATAGCCCCAGAAATCACCTTACAGGTGTCAAGGAAGAGGAGCTTGCTCCTCGTGACTCACTGGAAGATCAATATTTCCGTAAGTTTACTGACCAACATCGGCGCATTCGAATCCACTAAACTGACTTTTTTACTTCTGCTGTATTAGAACACTTTGAAATCGGCGGATCAACCACTGAGGAACCATACTTTCCCATGGACCTTCACGATAGCTACGATCTAAGCGACGCCACCGTGGACATCCTCCACTCGCCCAAGAAACGTCGCTCGGACAGCCTATCAACGAAGGGAGTGTCTCGCATCGGATCACACATCTCAACAATGTCAACAAGATGGAAATCAAAACGTACATCCGGTTCTCCCGAGCGAGATTTCTTCCCGGACGATCTGTGCTCGCGTGTCAACTCCACAGCTTCCTCCGCGCTAGCCAGTCCCATCGTGAGCCCGATCAGTCGCATCGACTCGATCCCTCCATCTCCCGCACGAACTATCTTCGAAGAGCGCATGAGCGACTCTGGTGCCCGTCCAATCGACATCACCCGCGCCAACAGCTTAAGTCAAGATGACAACGACACGCAACAAGCCACAACCCCACTCTTACCTCCATTCATGGGTGATGATTCCACAAGCGCGATCGCATGTCGCGTGCAATCACCACTTCAATCTCCCTCCGTCGCGGATGTGAGTGTAACCGACTCTCCAAAGTACGTGGTGGCATCCGAGTCTCGTTTCGCAGGCATCCCTTCGCCTCCCTTATCATCGCGACCATCCATCGCTTCAATGAGCCGGCCCCGAGCAAGCACCACCTCTCGCACGGTATCTGGTGAAGTCGCCCCATTCATGTTGTCAGATCCAAACGATGAATGGGCCAACAAACTAGGCCATGCCAACTTCACCATTCAGCCGGAACCTTACGAGCCGACAAGATGCGATATGGACGCCTTCAACCAGCTACGCGATGACTGGGATATCGCCCGGTGCAATTTTGCGAAGCATCTTGTGCGCACAGGCGAACATTACGGTACAACCTCCAATATTTTCAAGCTTACGGGTGAGAAATGGGAGTTTATCAATCGCCAATGGCGAGTTCAGTATGATGCCTTGATGACTCAACTTGGTGCCATTGACGGTGTGGCTCTTACGCTTACGCAATCGAATCTTCATCGCTGTGAACAAGAAGTTCGGATTCCGCGCTTACACGACAATGACAAGTTCCCCGAGATGGGTGATGAAGACATTGTTGGACCCATGACTGTTGCACCTGCTACAACACTCGCCGGACCCTGTCGAACCAAGTCTCTGAAGAAGCGCAACTTTTTCAAGTTCTTCCAAGATCTCGTCTCGCGTCCATAAACAACGCCTCATACTTTGACTCGGCTCAGTTAGCCTCGCGCTTTCCTGCTCTCGTTTCCACCCTTTCCTTCTGTCTTTGACTTCCGAGCGAACATTTCCACGATAATGATCCCCCCATAGACTACTACACGGCGGCGTCCAAAAAAAAAAACACAACATCCATTCACACATGGACTTCGGACCATCAAAACCGCCATTATGACTAATGTCTCTCATCTCTTTCGTTTCATTTTTCATTTTCTTATCTTTCCTCTTCCTTCCATGTCATTTGTTATGATTATGACTCACGACTCACGATCTAAGCGACTACTTTCTCGCACGATCATGCCTTTCCTTCGTCTCTATTCTGAGTCATCTGTTCTGCGTTGTCAGTGGGTCTTTTCCCTACAGCACATCAACCAACAATTGACATCATCAATTTGGTTCGAGTTGCAGAAAGAAAAAGGTCCCGACAGCTGGGCTTGGCCCGTCCTTTCCTTGTTTTACGATATACCCATCTATCTGCATTTATCGTGTACCACATAGACTTGATTTGATTTGACTTGACTTACTACTGTCACCTTCATCCTTCAAAGACAAAAGCATAAAAGCATGTCTGTATTCAATCGTTCATCTGTATATACATATGCCTTCTGTCTAGACAGTTAATGATGCATCCTGTACACAATACATCTCTTTTTCTTGATGATTACAGCATATCAGTCCACTATTACCTAGAGAGATAATGGACTCACTGTACTTCTCCTGAGAAGTGGGGCGTACTTAATTAGGTGGGCGCTTAGGCTCAGGCTCGGGCAGGTACTAGTGTGTTCTTCAGGCTCAGGCTTGCTGGGCATGTAGTGACAGGTCACTATCACTCAGCGCTCACCTAGACACATGCAATGTTCCTAATCCTGCCAGTGATCGCTCGCTGTCTTATTTCATTGATTCCGGTACCAAGGCATTCACATGTATCTGACGCCCATATCAAAAATAGTATGTATCAGTTCTCCACAATGCTGATGATTTTTCTACGGGCTTTTTGGTGGCGTTTCATTTCTGCTGGGTCGGTATCTTAACATCTTCTCTATATCATTAGATCTAGAAGATGGTAAACCTACCATCGTTTCAAATGTGCTTTGAGACTCGCAGTTTTAAGATGCCTTATTAAATTTCTGACTAACAATTACCTACGGAACCCTTTTTATATAGTATATGAAAATACCGAAATCCATCCATATATCCTTTGGCCTCAAACAAAAAGCCTATGACTCGGAATCTGGTATTCAGTATAATATCTTCTTTCAACGGAGATAACCGATTTATCAAGTCATAAACACTACTATAATAGGACCAATCCATATAGCACTGAGCATTCCAAATTTCAAGTACGAGGCTCAAACCCCGTAAATGCCATCTTCTCAAGAATCGATGGTCTTTTGGTCTTTCCAGTCCGTCCAACCAGTTCTGAATCAACAACAACTGAAACGCTTTATACAACCGAAACTAGTATTGTTCTTCGGTGCCCTAAGACAGAACTCGACTGTCCGTTAACCGATCTTGTTCCACATACAACCACCCGGCCATTGTCAAAGGCACAACTGTTGTTCCATTGACTACATGGACGGTGTATTCAATAACGACCCATAGCATTACTGGATGTCCGCCTTGGATCAAGAGGTGCTCTTGCCACTGAGACTATTCCTGTTCGCACGACGGTATACCCAGTCGTCCCAGTCGTCACAGCACTAGTCACGGTGGAGGTAACAGAAACGGCATCTCCTGTCTTCAACTTCTCGACGGTCTACGTCACTTCAATCGCGACCATACTCGCCTGTCCCGCTCAAAAGTCTTTTCTTTCTGTTCTTGCGATGAATTATAATGTACATATACTAGTATATTTACAAGTAATACTACATATACGAGTCTTGACGTTCTGAATCTATCATGGAATCTTTTTAAAAAAAGAATCTAGGGTAAACAGAATATGATATGTATCAAGTGGTATATTGCACCATGTTCAGATTAGATGAATCTATGAGGCGTAATTAAACCCAGAACTGACCCCAAATCTTCCTCGCTTCCTCATCTCCCCGAAATCGAAACTCAACAGTCGTAACATCAAAGAACCCCTCCTCAACATTCGGCTCCTTGAACCTCCTCGCAAAATCCCCAAATGCAATACCAGGGAGAGAGGTTCTAGCCTCGGGATTCTAACCAAATGAGTCATTAGCATATCACACAAATACCAAAACATAAGAAAAAGTACGAAGTACAAAAAAGCTGAACCAGCTTTCCTAGCAATAAAGATAAGGTAGACACGAACCAGCTCTTTATTCGCGGCGCGAACAGCGTTATTGTGCCTGCATACTTCGGGCGGAGAAAGGAAGTGCACACAGCGAATCGGAACGTTCAATTCCTTCGCTAGCGTTATCCACACAAGCCTTGTTTCGGGATCGGCATTCGTGTTGTCTGCGTTGTTAAGTTGTTAGTGGAGAATGGTTTGCGGTGTGGAAGGTTTGCTTGGTGTGGTGGTGAATTGGTGCCCAACATGGTCTAATGCCCAGCACCTTCACGTATGCATCGCCTAGTCTGGCTAGAACCGAGGCAGATACGGTGTAGTGCGGAATTGAAGATTGGGTAAGGTAGATAGTGTGACTTACCGACAGCAACGGAGTTCTTAGCTTCAAGGTGTTCACGTGCTACCTTGAGGCATTTTGGGCGCTGGGTGTGATATGATGAGTCAGATTCGGTTCGTGAGAACATTTACATGAAAATTCCAGCCCAAGCTGTTCCTGATCGTCGGTTTGAAAGCTAAGTTCAGTCGTGTTAGGTACTCACCGTCTTGAGGATATCCTGATTGACACGTTCGAAGCCCAGTGGTGCGAGGTTATCCCGGAAATAGGTCGATTTTCCTGATGCCGGGCTGCCACAGAAGATCACTAGCTCGAGGGGGTGTTTGCGAGCAAATGGCACTGAGACTGATGATTGGAATCGTTAGTCACGTCTGTATACTCTATACAAGCAATAACTCATATATCCAGTGTGGGCATCGGTATCACATACGAAGTTCGCTGGACTCTGTGTTGATGTACGTAGCGGGATTAAACAGTTCCGTAGGCACAGGCTGGGCGATACCAGTGAAGAATTCCTCTGGCGTTTTGAAGGGTAGACCGGCGTTGACGGCAAATCCTCTACATTGGAAATTAGAGCCATGTCTTCCTGGCCAATGTAAGAGACGTGAGTGAGCTGGACTTACAAATCTGTAGCAGAGTGATCCTTTGGTCGTCCCGCAGCATCACCGATAAAGAAAGATTTCTTAAGATCTATTCCAGTCACGTCAAGGTCATAGTCATCAATAAGCTCACGCCACATGCCGAGGCGAGGTTTTCGATACTCTGCATCCTGGGTAGCTGCATAAACACATAATGGAAGATCTAAGACACTCATAATCGCGGTAAGTTTCTCCTTGAAGATTGCCAGACTCTTAGAGTCGCTCTTTCCGGCTTTGATATCTTTCTGGATGCTGATCTTTTTCTGGTTGGAAAAGATGACCAGTTGGTATCTAGAAGAAGTCAGTCGTGATACTTGACTTCCTTTCGAGCGGAGAGCAGATGATACCCTTCTTTGTGTAAATTGCCCAGTTTCGGGACAACAGAGCTATCCCACCATTTCCAATCATCTGCTGATCGAGGAAACACATTTCCTGACTTTGTCTTGATCAAAGTTGAATCCTGTCACTCAGTCATCCGAGTTAGCGATAGTACCTACAATAATGGCGATGTATACCCAGAAGACATTCTTGCGAATATTTCAATATATCAAAGATGATGCGATGTGACTAACAAGATCAAATGCCGCAATTTTGCGATTCTTGTCTGGCAGTGTACTGCTCTTTCCCTCAGGTGTATATTTCCCTATAACTAGGTCTGACCCGATAATACGCCATGTGATTGGCTTTGGCTTCTTCTGCGAGGTAGGGGCAAAGAACGAAGCAGCCGAAGCCTCTATAAATGAAATTGTGATCAGAATTTACTCGATTTTGTTCAATTGGCAATTAAGCTCTCACTGTTGATACTTGATTCCACCTTGCGCCGAAGTGGAGGCGGAGAAATGGTCCGAGTCGGGGAAGCGGTTCGCTTGACTCCCCCGTCCGCCATTCTGAGGGCTCTTGTAAGAGATAACGTGGTGATGATTGTTTGCCGTCCAGCGGTAATGAGTTATCAATTCGGCTTCGCTCAGTATAAGGATGGTGGTGATGATGTCAGTGGTGAGAAAAAGGACGCGTTCAATCTCCGAAGCGGACGCGAACCTTCGCGAAGTCACATGGTTGACCACCCGAAAATGGCAGAATTGGTTCGATTTTGGGTCTCGCATCAATATTTTGGAGGAAGGGGGAGACAGTAATGTAAGCTGGTATTCATAGAGAATTTTCTCTTTTATTTGGCTTTTAACTCTATATACTTTCGTTGAAACGAAATCACTAAACTCGATTGGAGGTTGCCTCTCCGGGTATTCATGACAACCAGGCAAAACTAAATAAGCATCAACATATAGAAACCACAGTATCCCTCCCATTCAGCGAGTAATTATCTCTGACCTCCCCTGTCCTTGACCCTTGTATCAAGAGACAACCGATCTGCTTGTTCCAGCTTCACAGCAGACTTGAGTTGTTCCCGCAGGCCAAAGAGGTGTTGGGATGCCGTCTTCATCGTCTCCTGATTACTCCCGTCCTGCACGTTTATAAACGCCTGCAGTACATAGCCCATTGTCGCCTGCGATGCTTTCATACTCTGCATCTGAGTTTCCATCTCCTTTAATGCAGGAAGCGTTTGCCGAGGCAGACTGGAACCCTGTTGCTGGCTCACCGGGTAATGAAGCACACGGTGCAAGAAAATGGTGATGTCGTTATGAATGAAGATATCACCCTCGACTACATACTCGGTCATAAAGCTAGAGTGGAGTAATTAGCATCTGATAATCAAAGTCATCGATCATATGATCCACTGCTAAGATCCACATGTATAAGACGATGCTTTAATCACGCCACAAACGTACCGATAACCCCATGCATTCATGGACGGGGCAATATCGCCCCGTGGCAGCGTGGCGCTCGCCATGACACGGGCTGTGACAGCGGAACGAGTACCTGCCTCGGGGATATCTCTAAACTCCAGTTTCCAGGGCTGTTGGTCATAATCATATGACGACGGCAATTGTCCCTGGGGGCTAGACTGAGAGTCATCCGCGCCATCCATTTGGGTGTCATGATCAGGGGCCGGGTTGGACCCGAAATCCGCTTCCGAAACGGGGCCGACAACCTGCGTGTAGAACATGCCACCATTAAGCATCTTATTCAGCTTTTGCATGTCGCCCGCTTGTACATCTTGGCTACCTCCGGTGCGAACCGCGGTCTGTCCTGGCGCCCGGTAGGCTTTGAAAATCAACCGACGCTCTAGGGCGTGGCGAGGCTGCATAGCCGTCAACCCGGCAAGCTGCTGAAGGAGCTCATGATGCTGGTGGTCAGGGACCGAGGCGAACAATGAGAGCTCGTGCATGGTTTGAGATGGAGGGTAGAAACGGGGGAAACCGGAAAGGTGTTTAGTCAGGGTCCAAGCTTCCAAGTGGCGCAGATCCAAGCCTTATCAGTTCAGATCACATAAAACTGTTTGGGGAATTGAGTAATAAGATTTCCTACCAACCCCAGACCCTGTAGAAAGAGAAAGACAACCCGAATATTGGATGGGGGGAAAATAAATAAAAAAGAAAAAGAAAAGAAAAGAAAATTTGTGAAATAGTCGCCCCTTGCCTTAACCCTAAAGTGAAGATCTTCGCCCTCGATGTAGTTGTAGCCTATTGAATGAGAAAACAGGCCACAAAACAAAACAATATTGGTTTTTTTTTTTGCAGTACAAAAACCAACTTCTAAATCGCCTGAAAATTTTCAAAGAAAAAAAGAAGGTGATCGGCCCAAGGGAGATGGAATGTTAAACTGTGTGGGGTGGGGGGGGTGAGGGACCACACAAGCTGGGGGATTGCAGAAGATACAACGTTCGTCGAAAACCCTATGTTGTGGTGAGGAGAATGAGGAGAACGCAGTAGACTGGAGCAGCGAGAATGATTGGCACATGCAGTCAACCACCCGCCAAGGCAGGTAGATCCTGTGCAGGGACGGGGAAGCTTCACCGGAGATGCGAATTGGGGAAAGGATCGGAAATGCTCGTGAATGATTTGTATGCTGGATGTGAATCAGCCCCCATCGGATGCAGGACGTGATGCGGGGGAAAGAAGAAAAATGGCAAGATTCAGAAGCGAAACTCGGGCTCCACGGCGCCGTCTGCCAATAGTGTTCGAGCGATAAAGAACGATGGAGAGCGATCAATAACATAAATCAGTTTATTGCGTGACAGTTTGATGTTTGAGGCTGCTGACTCAGTGATTCTTATGTAATTTTGCCCGTTTCAGACGATTCTGCCGGTGCAAACCATGCAAATACACTCGGGTTTGTGTCGGGTCCGGCTCCGAGGCGGCGACAGCGGGCCTGCCTAATGTAGTAACCATACCCCAATTGCACCACGACTTTTATTCCTCCACGTCCTACTTCTATCACCCCTCTTCTCCTCTAATTTAGATTCTTTCTTTTCCTTAAATTACTTCAATCACTGTCCAAATCACCAAATACACCCTCCCTTTCATAATCTGAAAGCTTCGTCAAAAGCAACTTATACAAACAACACTCACCAGTCCACTACTTTTCGCGTCCCCGGGTCGGTTCGGATACTACCGGGCCCCATTGGATTTCGCACACTCTGTGGAATTGACCATCCTTCTCTCCTACACACCACTCCACACCACATATCTACCACCAAAACCGCCATAATGCGTGCCACCATGTCTCTCTTCCGATCTCCCTCCATCCGCTTCATTGGAAAGCGTTCCATTCCCAGTATGTGATTCCCAGCAATTCAACCAACCTTGGAGCTCCCCCGAAGCTAGCTACCCCCGAATTCACGCTAATCCGATTTCCCCTTGACAGAGTCCGTGGACCACTCCCCCCGCGTTCACCCTGCTTCTCCTGAGACCAGTCTCCCCGATTCCTTTGCTTCCTACCGCGCGAAGGCCCAGCAGCACGGCCCTCTGGGTCGCGCCCAGTTCACCAGCGGTGGCCTCGGTGGCCGCGCGGGTGCCTCGCTCGGCCCCATCCGCCCCAGCGAGGGACAGTTCTTCGACCGCGCTGAGCTGCCTACTCGCTTCGGCCGTCTCCCCTGGAGCCAGGCTGAGATCGAGGCCATTGAGACCGGCGGTGCCAGCATGTACGCGTAAAATGAGATCAACGCCTTGATCTTATTTCTGCCGGCAGAGATTTTCTTTTTCCTTTTTGTTATTGATAACAAGTTATAACCATGAAGCAATGGAGTACGACACTTCTGTACGATGGAGGCTGTGGTGGAGTAATGATACCTGCTGGTGTCACGGTGTCAACACCAGCAACTGTTGTTGAATTTACGGGGTCATGACTCGTCGGGTCGAGTCTGCACTTAAGACTGCTATTCAACAAACCTCGCGCCCCTGGCCAGTCATCTGTCCCCATCAACATTTTGATATCCTGCAAGATTCGACGCCTTTTCGAGGATAATTGGCATCTTCTTGCAACCTTTCTTTATTTTTTTCACATTCGGGGTTCTTACCTGTATTCTTCCCGAACCAGGCGCTGGTGGTTTCTTTTCGGTGTTCTTTGTATCTTTTTGCAGCGCAACATACAATTCTTGTCTGGACATCGATAAAAGCGGCGAGTCCCTCTATAGATGTTGGATTCGGGTTTGGAGAACGTTCTTTTTTAGGTTCACTGTGATATTATCTTAGCTCCGAGAGCACTTGAAACGGACAATGGAGAACCTCCACTTGTTCATATCCAATGAAATTTTTTTCCAATCAATATCCATTTCATATCTTGATCTAGTTTTAAGTTTAAATGTATAGATCTATCGTTATAGGGGCCTCATATTTGGGCTGATAAAAGAAACGCGTGCTTTCCCCGCACGTGCCCCAGGCACTCAACTTGCCGGATTCGTAGATCTAACTTCCCCTTCTTCATCAATCTCGTCCACGATGTCTGGCCATTTAAATGATCGATTGACTTTTCGCGAGATAGATGAAGCAGATAAGCCGACGGCGACCTACGTCTTCTCTGAACAAACTGCGCCGACCCCAGACTCATTTCCTGGAGGCCGAGTGGATGTGATAGTAAGTGATCTTTTCCATCATGATATTCCACAGTAAGATACTGCAAAGTTCCAATTGAACCATCCCAGCACCTGCAAACTAATAATATGTGGGATTTATCTTGTTTCAACCCACGAGCATGGCCACTATTATTAGTTTCTTGAACGCGTTTCCCCATGTTGCCACATGGCCCCAAGGAACTATTCCAGTCCTACTCTGCCCTTCACTGTTTTCAACACAGATCGATATTCCTTCCATTATGAATTCACATAACAAGTCTAATTTCATGATATAGCCGGATTTTCCTTCATCTTCGTCATGGTCTACCAAGCCACTTATCGCAACCCTAGGTGACATCTTTTTACCTTCTGGGTACCCACAAAGCGTGAGCGATGATTACCTACCGTCAGTATCTATACCACAGCTCGAAACTTTCGGTGCTTTGAATTACATTAAATAAACTGACATTTCTAAAGATACCAAATATTCGTAAGAAACCCGATGAATATGCAATATAAGCGTCCCTTTGCATTTGGATGCTGGGTTCAACATTCCCATCGAACACAGACTTACATGTCACTATCACAACCAAATAGGACTCTTTACAAGCCTTCTGCAGCTCCATCGCCGGACTTCTCTCCTCCAGAGCAGTCCTACAAGGTCCGCATCACACCTCAACTCACAACATCTCCAACAGATAAATTACCAATACTAACTATTAACATTCCAGGGGTGGGCGTGGGTAATGCCGATGCCTCACCAACATCCGCTCTATTATTGCACATCTTACAAGATACATCAGGACGCCTGGCGACAATTTTCTTCGCTCATCGAGTCGGCACAGCCCTAGAACCAGAATGTAAAACATACAGACTGGCAGCTGATGTATTCAATGACATTGCCATGGTCCTCGATTGTCTTTCGCCTGCGGTACCAGCCGGATTCATGCGGATATCTATACTCAGCACAGCTGGTGTTCTACGTGCTCTATGCGGTGTTGCGGGTGGAAGTTCGAAAGCAAGCCTAAGTGCTCATTTTGCACGTTGGGGAAATTTAGCCGAACTAAATGCTGTATGTGATCTTACTCTTCCTTTCATTTTCTTGTCTTTGTTCTGGGTCTAAATAAAACTGAACTAAACTCACACTGCTACAGAAAGACTCCTCCCAAGAAACTGTGATATCCCTTTTCGGCATGCTTGTAAGTTTTCAGCGAGCCCTCATTTATATCCATAATTGCGTTTTTTTTGTATCTAATATTATATACTAGGTTGGCTCTGTCGTCATATCCCATATCTCAGGATTCAAAACTACATGGATAGCACTCATCGCCCTCCTGACAACCCATCTAGCCATGAACTACAAAGCCGTCCGCGCCGTCCAAATGACAAGTATAAACAGACAACGTGCAAATATCATCTTCTCAACTATACTCTCCCAAGAATACGAAAACCAATCCACTGCAATCCTAGAAGGCAACGCTAAGCCTCAAACCAAATCCAAACTCCAAGAAACCCCATTGACAATCCCGACCCCAGCCCAAGTTGCTTATCAAGAACGTATCTTCCACACTGCCAATGCCCTGGAATGGATACCTATCACTTCAAAGTCGATAAAACGGACAAATCTCGGCACGGCCGAAATAGGTATCTCAATACCTACTTTCTTGCAAAATGCACGGGGAAGCAAGAAAACCAGCAACTCATACCAGATACGCGTGCCTATCAAAGAATTACATACCCTCTTCGCGGAGGAGGATTACAATCTCTTTCTATCTCCACGTGGAGACTCTACATCGATTAAATGGCATGCATCCATCCTGTTGAAAAAGGGTTGTGATATTCGATCACAGTTGAAGGCGTGGGCGCATGCTCTCCTTGCAGCACGTGTCTTGTCGCAGAGTAATATTGGTATTGGCATTGATATTGGGGGAAATCATGGAAGTGTCGAGGCATCAGTGCTAGGCATTTTGGTGAAAACGCTTGGTTTTCTGAATGGCGAATGGAGGATTGAACGGTACCTCGGGGCGATAGTTGCGGAGGGGTGGGAGGTTGATATTGCTGCATTAGAGACTAAGAGTGGACGGAGGATTATTTGTGATTAAAGCTGTATTTTTATCTCTGGTTAATGATATCATGAGTTGTTTTGTTGACTACTAGTGTGAGGTCTTGAGTTGATAGTTTCGAATGTTGGTTGTAGACCACTGGCAGCTGGCCGTTGACCAATTAATTGCCCAATTGCCCAATTTTTACTTAACCTCGTACTGAATACACCTGAAGCACACAACACTCCACTAATAATTTAACCTGGATATTTCAAACATTGGATTATCAAACTTAAAAAGCTTGTTGTATATTTCCTTCTCTACTTTAAATCCTAAACCTCATTAGCGTAAACTGTTTAATCGACCCGAAGACACTTACCACCACCTCGTTCCTATACCCTAGAAAACTTATTGTTGAGCAGCGAAGTTTATAAGCATTTTTACAATTTACTAGGAAATATTCATGGGGGTATCAAGTCTATTGATTTCAGAAGCACGCCTATCGTGACATAGTAAGACAGTGAGTCCACCGTGCAGAAAAGATAAGAGAATCATAAATAAAGAAAACGCCTGGCCCATCCAATCAATCTATATGTAGGAAAGGAATCATTTTTCCAGGGCCTTATGACAACATGAACAGAGAACATAAAAAATGACAAGAGTCGACATGAAATGCTCGCTGCATATGTTCAAACATGAATGGAAGATGAACTGTCCAAGTCAAATAAATAAGAAAATAAAAGAAAATAAAACGCCGTGTTGGTATGCTGGATGCATCGTTTCTCATACACCGCCAATATAACGCTAACAAAGTTGTGATCGAAGGGTCATGCGAAGGTCGATGTTGATGAAGTCGTGAGGTGAGAGGAAAGTAGATCGTAATCATTTTGTCGGAGGTGCGTGTATGTATGTGATATGTATGTATAAAGTTGAGGGGTGTGAAATTCAGACTCGTTTTTTTTTCTTAGTCGTCTAGACCAAGAATTTTAGGATCACGAGTAGTACCAGCACCACCGGACCGCTTTTTGAAGCCCAGCTTCATACCCATCTTCTTCCAGGGGTTTTCGGTACGCAGCTTGGGGCTGTGCATGGGAAGATGAGGTTCGCTGGCTGGAGGGGTGGTAGGTGGTGTCATGGGTTCCTCTGCTGTCGGACTAGACAAGGGGCTTGAGTCGTCGGTTAAGGCTGCACCAATGAGGTCGCTGCTCGTACTGAGGAGAGCACCCGAAGTACGTTTGCTGATAGCATGTAACGCACCGAGGGAGTTCGTTCCACGGCTCAGGGTTCCGGGGAGATCCTTTGTCGATGATTGGGGCGAGATACGCTTTGCTCGAGAAAGTACTCGCTTCATTGGGTGCTCGTCCAGGCTTGTAGTGGACAGGTTCAATTCATCGGCAGGGAAGGGTGGCTCAGTGGGATACACGGACGGAGAGGTGGTGTGGCTGTTAAGAAAGGGAAGGAAGATTGACTCCTCCATCAGTTCGTGGATACGCTTGACAGCGGAGTCAAGAGTCTCGGGAACTGGCGGAATAGAGCCCTCGGTATAGTTGAGAAGAGGATCCCGGACTTCACTGGAGAGGTTGATCTCTCGGGGTGCACCGGGGTAGATATACGCCATTAACAATCGCTGCCATAACATCTGCAAGTGTTGAGCTTCGGTAGTATTGGTTGTCACGGCGGTGGGGCCCAGTCGATCGACCAGCGCGGTATATGTTTCACGGTAGCGCTTCGCCTCCATGGTGAATTCGAGGGTCTCGAGACAGTGATTTTGAGAGAGGTAGGCCATGAAGGCGCTCAGGGTATATGGGGGCGGGGCGGTATTTGCCAATACATCGTTCAGAGTCGGGCGCATCGGACAAAAGGCTCCCGCCGGAACGGCCAGGCTGACCGGTCGGGAGCCAGAAGAATCCATATCCTCGTCGGAGTCACTGTCCGACGAGGTTGGGGACAGTTCAGGCGTGGTGGTCGGGGAAAAGTTCCAGAAGAAGGCAGGCGCCAAGGTCTTCTTCTTCAGCATTGCGGATAGAGTGCGGCGGGGTCCTTGAAACCGTCGTTTTCTCACCGGCCCTCCCCTAGGTGGTAGACGAGGCTCCAGCTTGGACCGGAGAGAAGAGGATGTTATTGAGAAGTGACGGGGAGTGGAAGACACATGGGAGTGTATAGTGATGGTGGTGGTAGCCAAGGCGGAGGAGAAAGGGAGTGTAGAGAGAGTGTGTAGTGTGTGTAGAGTGTAATGATCTGAGATGAACCGAGAAAGTAATTAAAGAAGATGGAGCAGAACTGAAAGTATAAATTAGGACCTTTTCGAAGGGCGAACCTCGTCCAGATAAGTGGAAAAAGGAAAAGAATAAAATAAAATAAAATAAAATGATTTAAATCAAATCAAATAAAATAATAAAATAATTCAAAAAGGAAAAAGAAAAGGGAAAAGTGACTCCACTCGCACTTCTGGAATCATTCTAGGTCGATCATGACGATACGGGAAATAACATGATCAGCAAATCATAGTGATTAAATCATCATTAAATACGGAATGATGAAAATATCTGTAATTCGCTGTAATAATACGGATTTCTCAACTCTGAATCCTTGACTATTACCTGGATTGAGCGCCCTGGTGGAGCCATGAGCCATCGAACGATCCCAAGTGGCGTAATATTACATGTACCACTCTTTCTCTTTCTCTTTCTCTCTCTCTCTCTCTCTTCCAGAACCGGGGGGAGAGAGAGAGAAACTTGAGATAAAGTCTCCATATTCAGATTCAATTACGCAAGGGATGCTGCAGGGGGAACAGAAGGAAACCCATCCTTCCAGAACATTATGATTCCTTTTTTTCTCATCTCTTCTAGTGCGTGTGTCCATCAACGCCGCGTGGCGATTCCCTCGTGAGCTGTCCCTGTTGGACACCAAAATCATTGTGAGATAACGAATAGTAACTGCGAACGCGAGAATTGAAAGAACTGGGCGAAACGACCGAAAACCCAATCTCCAGCCTGGACGGGCCCACGATGTCACGCAACGACGCTAAGCACGCCATTATCCGGTCTCGGAATGTCAATCCTCCTTAGAGACCCACGGTTCAGTATGGACACTCACCAATGAGATACAATCAAGTGGGGAATTACATGTTTTTTCTTTTTTTTTTTTCCCTTCTTTTTTTCAGTGACACGCACATCCCCCTTGCGTTTCGAAGTCCTGAGTCCTTGGTTCGGGGTAACGTCATTCACTGTACAGAGATAGGGATATCATGATAACACCTCCTCCCCGATCATTCCACATAAACACTAATCATTAGATAGTTGTACAACGTACAGATTTAAACTCACTTCATATGTGATCGACGAGCAGGAATAGAAATAGGGTATAGGGTATAGAATTCCTTATGGATGGGGTGGCAAGACATCCTTCGTGCCCTGTGCCCTGTGCCCTGTGCCCGATCGTACCCTCTAGTAATACAAGACCCTGTCAATCCTCCAGAGGTCGGAGATCCCCGTTTACTCACCACTCCTGAGAGTTAAGTAAAAGGGGGTTTCTTGGTTGAACCATTCAGCTACAGGGATATTCAGCCTTCTCCCCGAAAGCAAAAAAGCAATAAACGCCAGATGGAACTTGGAAATATGTATTATTGTACTCCGTAACATTATTTCATGTTTCAATTACGACATCAACCAAGGAGTAAAGTAAACCTTCTAGAATTCTAGAATTCCCACCGAAGCACCCTAGTTTATCCTTCCTTATCCACGATCGCCACACCCGGTCCGACCTCCAATGTGACAGGTTCTTCATCTTGAACATTGGCCAGGGAAACAAACTCCCTGGTGCCTGAATAGTAAGAGGAAATACGATGGAACACAGCCCACAATCAAATTTTGTAAATGTAGGCTTGCAGGGATTGCTCTTTTCGTCTTGCCACTCCCTTTATATCCGGTGCCAAGCCTTCAATTTCTACTTCTGCCTGTTCACCTACTAGTACTATTCTGGGAATGACATCTGGTATTTACTGCACTGTTCGTAGTGTACTGTACTGTAGAATGATGTTAATTCATTTTATTTACCCAAGTAAATACTATCTCTATCACCCCCCTTCATCCAACTCCGACCATCTCCTCAAAGCCGACAGAAACCGAGTGCCAAGACACTCGGGACCCATAATCTTCGATTCAGGAGAGAAAGCGGCGCCAGAGAGAGCCTCCCAAGGTGGAAAGAAAAAGGGAAAAAAGGGGAGATCCACCCTGAGTCAGAGCGCCTGATAAGCACGTCACGATCGCCCGACAGCGGAGTTGGGGTTCTGTCCAAAGATAGGCTATCGGTATCGTTAATCGTGAAGTATTGATAGCCTTTGTTTTGGTCTTCGGCAACACACAAACCCGACCTGTTTCAATCAGGCCAAATAATAAGGTTAGAGATGAAGGGAGTCTAAGATATCGATGCAGAAGTGTATCTGACTTCAGGTGCCGGGGGTTCTGTTGTAGCGTGACCTGGCCTTGTACATTAAACCACGCTAACCTGAAAACAAGTACCTAGACCTACAGTAATATTAACAATGTTAACTACGAACTACGAGGTACCCATCACTCACGCCATATTGTACTAGCCACGACCGAAATAAAACTGCTCGTCGTATATGTGCCTGTTCGTGGATTTAGATTTGGAGCTGGAAAGCTGTAGGTACCTTGTGCAGGACACTAGTCCATAACCTGTTGGACCTAACCAATACCAATCCATTAACCCTGCTAAAAAAAAAACCCACACTAGAAATACTGATTAAAATACAACGAACAAGCAAAAGCAAATCCCAACTTCGACCCTTCTCAACGGCCAATTTCCCTGTGGAACCAACAACGAGGTTCATTCTAGCATCTCCCTTGCGTGAGCTTCCAAACCTACAATGCTGTGAGACCATCACTGCGTTATCTCAACACACGCCGTCCAATACGGAGTACAGAGCTCCCCCAAACACGAGAAAAAGAAACCAAAAAGAAGAAGGTTAACCGGCACAAAAATACATCCTCCCCTGCTGCACTGTCAAATGCGCCGAGAAGAGCTCTCCTGTCCTCGGCAACTGATTCCCTCTAAATCCCCCAAAATCCCTATCAGGAACCAATCCAACCCCCATGCACCTTACCAATCGACATTATAGTGCCAAAGCTCGGAGTCCACCTACTGCACGACTATCTCCCCATTCCTCCATAAGTTTCACTCCTCTACTCCGTATTCCGTAAAGGAATGGAATGCTAAAGCCAAAGCTAAACTCTTTTTTCAATTTTAATTTTTTTACTTTTCTTTTCTTACCACTCCTTTTTCTTTCTTCCCCCCGTGAGATCCACAATTTCCCCGACCCTAAGACCTCGACCATCAGCAAGGATTCCCCACATCGTGCGCACGGGATCACAACACTTTCCCTAGCTGGTCGACGTGCATACCATAGTGCCTCACACAGCCCATCTTCACCTGCGCTAACTCGGCAACCAGCAAATCGCCGCAATGTATGGGGTACCTTAGCCTAGCCAACCCAAGCAGCTAACGACATCTGGGATCTGGGCAAGGTGTCCTGATTTTGAGCTGAGCTGATACATCCTACGGGCTATACTCGGTACATGTGCTTCGTACCGTACTTGTGCACTGACTCCCTTTTCCTTCCTCCCCCTCTCCCCTTTATCCATCCTAGGTCTCGTGTGCAGTGGCTGTAGTGGCTGGTCTAGTAAGAAATACGGGGTATGCATGGCATGCACTCCATATGGAATCGGACTTTGTGGACGTGGGGGATTGGCAACCAGGCCCGTCGCCATGCCTATTTCTATCTAGGGTTAACCACCATGCAGTGTAGAGCCGAGGACGAGGAAGGATTGGATGCATTGCACAGGTTTAATTGACGCAGACGCGGGATTTGTTTATCATCGTGATTTCTACTGCTCTTTACTGCCTGGGTAGGTGTTTTTCCTTTGTTCTTCCTTTCCCACTAGTTACCGTTACACAAATGAGTTATTTTCCATGACTGGTTCCAGATTCATATCAAATAACGCGATCATCTTGATTTTGTACCGCGGAAATTTGTCCGCTCTTGATCGCTCTACATTATGTAGAAATTCAAAGTTTTTATGGAGCCCGCAGATCACGTATTACGATAATACGACAACAGTATTTCAAATGCTAATCTCTGTACATCGCAAGACCCTGCTACAAAAACGTCATTTCTCTATGAAAAAATAAAAAAATAAAAGAAAAAACCTCGAAAGAGTACCATGGTATCCCCAGATGACGTACATCGACATTGTCATGTACGGCAATGATTTTTCCCGATCGCAAAAAGCACACGATCGAGACTGAAGAATCAGTCTGCAGAGATCAACAAAAATAAATAAAATATAATTATAGTATAGTATAGTTTACGTAGTAGTCTATCAAAGAAAAGAAAGAAAAAAACAAAAAACAAGAAACAACAACGATCAACCCCCCACCACGGCACGATCAGAGAAACCCGAAAGTGTTCCAGACTTCCGCAAATCTTCCAACGCTCCACACAATTCAATCCCTTCCACACCTTTCGAACCCGCGTCCAAACTCACCATTCCCAAAGTAGAGCAGTCGATCAAACGAAGCACGGCAGAAGCCGCGAATGACCTCATTGCCCCACAAACAATCAGCCAAAATCTTGATTTTCGATGGGACTAGGCAGGCAGACCAACGAGAAAATTGAAAAAAAAAAAGAAAGTGGGGAGAAAACAAAACCTACAACGGGATGAAAAGGGAAATGAGAAGAAAAAAAATTTAAAATCGATGTCGATAGCGATATGCAGTATGTATGGATGGATGTGTGGATTTCGGTTTGGCCTCAATATCATCATGCTTCTGTTTCTGTTTCACGGCGGGATGGGAATGGGGATTTTCGAGGGTTTGTGGAGCCAATGGTTAAATACAGGGGATTACAGGGTTAGAGGAAGCGCTGAGCTATTTTGTTGATCTTGATCTCCTTTTTTTCTTTTTGACGGCGCTACTTGAAACAATGCAAAACCCTGCCTGAAATAGATTTGGCAGAGTACAGTATGATAAGCCAAAGAGATAGTAGAACGTTCTTACAGTCTACAGGCTGCAGAAAAGAAAAGGATCAATATGGCAGTACCTAATGGTTATCATTGATGTCTCTGTGCTGCAGGTCTAGGTAGTACTCCGTGTATATCAATATTCTGTACAACCTTCGCCTAAATGTATGCCAAGATAGATCAATTCCACTTATCTCCATACTAATTTATCATGGTCCAGAACTAGAATCAATAAACAAAGTAAAACTTGATTCAATTCACTCCCCAAAACCAGTTACACCACCCGTGTTCAATCGTCTCCGTCGACTGTACTAAATCTAAGTGGAGAAACGAGAAACTTTCTTGCATTCACCCACGGGTAAGACGAAGATCAGGGCGCTAGACTCTGTGTATTTTTTCTTCTTTCTTCTCAATCCGGAACCCTCTACGCCCACTGTGACATAGATGGGTTCTGTCTCAAAAGTAAACTTTACATATAGCAGTAACAGTAGCAGTGAACTTGAAGGTGATATCAGTCTTCACGCTAATCGAATTTAGTTCAAGTTCTAGTACTAGTTCCCACCCGTCGTTCCTTTTCATTCCTCATGTTTCAACGGCGGGTTCCTAGACTATGCGCCCTTTGCACGGTACCTACGCTAGCGCCAGGCGGGCCGGCGTAGTTTCTTATTCAAGAGATTGGACTCCGTCGTATGGATGTTGATTGAAGATGATCATTTTTTAGCCCGGAGGATCTCGCCCCCTTGTTTGATATAGCCGCTGGCATGATGCAGTTGTTTCATGTTAATGGGTTTGGGGGAATTTCCAGCATGACGATCTGATCCCGGGAGGATCTAGACCTTGTCAGTGGTGAAATTTATGCCCGATGTGGAGTCTACTCCAAATATATCTAGTTATCTTAGGCTGTTATGATGTTGATGCTTGTATTTTCAAGGATGTATTTTGATAGTATTTGACCAATCGACTCTGTTAGCGCCCATAATCTTGTCGAGTTTCAACATATGCAAGATATGTATGTACAGTAATTGATCATACCAATTGCCTAATTGGGCAGTATTAATGTCTGAACAATTAAGTAAGAGGTCAATTGATGACGAAATCTCTTATATCATAACCTTCAGCCCGAGCATACATCTCTAAGTAGGGCTGTTCCAGATAACACCCAAACTAAGGCGAATCCCGGAGCTAATTCTTTGCCCAAACACTGGCATCATACTCATCCATCCACTCGGTGTATTCTGTCCCGGATGCAGCCCACCCTTTGATTCCGCCTTCAAGCACTAGGCTTTGCAGGGTGGTATCATTTTGCCTCTCTAAGTAATCCGCAAACCACGCGGCTGCGCGAGGTCCGCGTCCTCCGCATGAGCCTAAACGAAGTTAAGAAAATTTCATGATGGAAGTATCTAGACCCAACTAAGACAAAAAGGGCTAGATAGATAGGTAGGTAGAAGCCACTAACCGCAATACCAGACTACCTGTTTGACATTGCCACTGCCACTGCCACTTGAAAGGAGAGAATGGAGAGTGGGTATGGAAGGGTACAGACTCTGTGCTGGGAGATTCAACGATCCACGAATAGTACCGCCCTGTATGACAAGGATGTGGTCAGCTAAAGTCGGAGTTAACTTACCAAAGACAAGCCACAGTGTATAGTCTCGGGAATATATCGGGTTTTCCGGAGTCTCACTGGCACTCGCAGCTGCCAGCTAGCCTATGGTATTTCGTACTTACCTCATGATCGGTTCGTCTCACGTCCACAAGTACAAAGTCTTTACCAGACTGTCTACCGTCCCGCAACCAATTCAAAACTTCCGCTCTTGAGACGGAAGGAACGGTAGATTTAGGATCAGGATATGCCGCATGCCAGGGTTGGACGGCTGCATCGGTGGTGGCATTTTTAGAAGGATCAGACATGGTGAGGCGAGGCGAGTCGTTCAATCAGGATTTAAGGATATAAACTAGCGATTTTATGGGGGAAATTGACCTGGGGTAATTCAGCGCCGCAGATTAGCTGTCAGTCGACACAGTCTGTACCTGGTGCACAGTTGTCGTTTTTTTTTTCTTTGTATACTTTTCTTTTGTTGCTATTAAGAGGTCGGTGCATCCGTGGATCGTGGTTGGTACTGGGGTCAGTGATGTGATTGGTTCAGAAGAAAAGGTCCCAAACATCCGTGCATCGAAAAGGTCACCTGGTCTACGTAGCGTCATATCGCTAGTAGCTTATTGGCTGGACATGGATAACCCGGTCGATTCTACGGGATTCTATGCTAGTAACCTATTTTTCTGGAGGGTTTACAAGTCTGCTTTCAGCTTAGTGCGTGCTGATGCTGTACCGGCCTGGTGGTTGAGGTTGTCTTGGGTCTTAAGGTAGCCATGGGAAGGAAGCATGGGAGCATGGACGTTGACAGGGATTATGACTTATGATTGACCCGAGCTGAAGACATGAACGGAAAACATTCTTTTTTGGGAGTCTATGGCGTCAAATGACTTACTAGTATCGTCTAGCAATTTTTTTTTGATCATTAAATAGTTTCAGTTATAGGTAGAATTGTCATAAGCCAGGTCTAGAGCTTCAATAGTGATACAGAGCGGTTCAATTATAGGTCAATCCAAGCTACATGTTCCGTTAGACAGTGACAACTTGAATGACGATGAGCTCTGCACAATGATGTTGTCCAATGGGGTTAATCTCAGCCTAACATCAACAGAGTACCATTTACAAGCGTTACAACCGTCCCTCTTTTTGAGTCTTGCATTCCGCATTCCGTCATGCCAGCTAGTCAGTCTATACATGAGAGACGGCACTTGCATTATGCTGCCTAGCGATGCTTCCTTATCAAGACCAATCACCTTGTCAATAGCATTTCAAGGGTCCCCCTATAGGTCCCATGGATTTTACTGCTACCCAAGCAACAGTATTATGCTTCAGCACAGTCCATCCTGCATAATGCATAACGGGAAGAACTTAGGTCTCGAACTTAGAAGCAGAAATTATACATGTTGATGTATGATGCAGGAAGGGAAGGGAGACTCTCGGACCCCATCGTATTCACGAAAGTTTTCAATTAACCAGCGATCCTCATATGCGGATCGACATCCGTTTAATACCCCATACTACCGAGTATATGGTCATCCAGTGATATACAAGCTCAAGATCCGAGCAAGGTCTCCCCAGGTCCTGTCCCGTCCCCTGAAAAAAAATGCCGACGAAGGGCAACTTAGTTACTTACTGTAGTACCTACAAGGGAGCATCCCCAGGATACATGAATAATGAATAATGAATGCCGTATCCTCGATGCATCAAGTACCTACTCATCAGTATGCAGTACAGTAAGCCACACTCGAAAATGGCCAAAGCCCACGCACCAAATTCTCACCTAAATCAAGTCGATCTCCCCAGTTCTGCAGAACTTCCGACCCACCCTGCCCCAGACAAACCGACATGACACACGACACGACGATCATCAAATAGGTACAGTAGTCAACCCACATATGCATAGCTACGTTTACGTCTATATACGTACTTAGTACATAAGTTTTAAAATGCAACTCCCAAAAAAAGAAACCAAAAACTTTCTCGGATTACCCAAAGCCATATGGGAACACGCAACGCCAAGAAAATCACCAACGCGAAATGCGGGGGCAGGAAGAGCTGAGTGGTCAACTCACCAAAGTCAATCACGAATCATGCAACTGGGGCAGCACCACAGCCGAGGAGGAAGGATTAGCTTGGATCCGGTCTCAAGGCTGAGAGCCTAGTGACTAAGAGGATGGAGGGGGAGGGGATAGGATTAACCAACGAGATCATGGTACTGTACATGGATTCGAATCGTGCCGGATTAGGATGATGTATCCTGATCCCTGCTTACGCTCAGATTCCTGTACATTACATATCTTTCTGTGTGGTTTATTCCTGTTTGGGATGGACTTTGTGTTTGTTCTGTACCGGGGGGGTTGCAGTATTGAGTTTTACGGTGGCTGTTGTACACTGGTATTATGTAGGTGGTGTAGATCGTTGTGGAGGTTATTTAGGTTTCTATAATGAAATTACTATTTATGCTTCTTCTCCTACTGAGTGGCGATTGGTATATCGTGATGATTATTTGAATATTGTGGTGACTCAGGTATGTTTCATGATGCCCGGAAGCTTTACTTGTGTACCCTAAATCATACTACAGAAGCTAAGCCGGGTGGCGTGGAATATTTTCTGAGTCCAGAGCTTCTTTTCTTGGTGACCTGCGCTTGGAGTGGAAGTCAATGGGTATGTATCTTCTTCTGCATGCTATGATGTAGGGATTGGTGTTGTCTGGAAGCATGATGACGATCATGAGAAATGAGCAATTGATTGACCCTACTCTGAATGACCGTTTAATATCATCGATTGGTCGCCACTTGATTCAAATGACATGTACACTAGAAGCTAGGTGGTCTAGAATGGCTCCTGGAGCTAAGACTCGTCTTAGTGCTAACTGTATATGTGATTGATGTCGTTGAAAAGCGGGAACTTGCAGAGACATGTGGGCGGAGATGCATGCTATCACCCTTCACGTATATGAAAATGATATCATAGCCGCAAAAAGGAGAAAGACATTTCCAGCCAATTGATTCTCTTTCATTGAGACCCGTGGACATCCATGTCTCGTAGTTGAGCTAGGTAGGCAAGACTATGGGCAAGTTAAACCGAGAGACATATCTACGAACTTAGGGGAATATCGAAATGTCAGCCTCGTGCAATTGATTGAAATACTTACTATTCCTATCCCAAAGCCCTTGAGTATCTATGACCTACATATATTTGAGAACCATCTGCAGATAAGCACGTAAATTTATTAGTGGCCCACTTCAAAAAGCAGGTATTATGTACGGCTCAGACGCGTGTACTGTATAAGCTCCCGGCCGAGGCATTAGAGAACCAAAAGAGAAGAGCGGGAGAAGAACAAGGAAGAACAATGCTATCTTATGCCAAAAAAAAAGAAAGAAACTACCGGAAACAAGACAAGGACGAAAAAGGATTCGCTTCTGAAACGGAGCAAGAGACAAAACAAGGCACAATTATAGACATGGGCAATAGATTCGACAAGGGGGGTGGATGTAAAACAATCGGACACAAGAGGGGATAAGGGAATCGGAGGACCAAAATGAATATATGCATGCGTCCTTCCGGCAAGTTAAGCAAAGCGGGCTCCTGTCGCCACGCAAATTCATAAGCCGAGACGAAAAGGGCGAGGACGAGATGGAGGTTGTGCACAGCAGTCCAGCGGAGAGGAGCCCGAGAAGAAGAGGAGAAATGCCAAGGGTCATCTTGCTTTAGTGGCCGGGCAAGCTGAAAGCCAAAGCTGTCACGAAGTATCCATGGAGGCAAAACACTGGGTCTGTGTTCGGCAGTCTGTACGTGTCGTTCTCGACGTAACAGGGAATTGAATTTGCCAGATATAGAGAGAAGGGGGCCATCTGGTAGAAAGTCGTTTTCTAAACACAAGCGAAGTGCAGAAAGTCACAAGATCCCAGGTCTATAACGATTCCCAAAGTGACAGACCGCAGATAAGCAAGGAAGTCGATTGAAAGTCAACCTCTCAGCCCGCTCAACAATTGCAATGAGGTTCTGGTATTAGACGGTGAAGGTCGAATATAGGGTGTATGCAAATTGAACAACATAAGGCAAGGAAAAAATCTCAAAAGTTCGCCGTTCCCAGCCGTAGCACCATGAAAAAGAAAAGGGAAAAAAGGAAATGATCGAGACGTAGACATCAATGAAAAGGAGGCCGTTTTACCCACAGGGTAAATATAGGCTGAAGCATCGAATGAGAAGTATTGGAAGAGTGTCAAGAGAGAACCATAGTGCATATAATCGGCATCCACTTGTATGAAACGAAGTGTGACCAGATATAAACACAGAATGATCAAGACAAAAGAAACCAAACAAATGGACGTATACCGATTTGTTCTTTTTTTATTTTCGGCGACTGTATTCGAATGCTGTAGCCAGATGGAGCAGATGAAAAAAAGGCCGAGTTCAATCCCAAACGTGCAGCAGCATCATTTAATTGAGCTCAGCCTGGATCTCGAAAATGAGCGAGCTGAACGGAGCTGGATTGGATCAAGGCCAGATCACCTACCGCAACAGAGAGCCTTCATGACTTTTTGGACGAAAGTAGGCTGCGGGTCATTGTTTCCTTGAGCGCCACCAAGTTGTTGACTGCTCAAGCCAGGATTTCCGGGGCTTCCCATACGGCCTGGGAGATGAGCATTAGAGTTCTGGAACTGAGCTGTTGTCGACCCGGCTGGAGTCCCCGTCTCGATGCCCGCGCTCTGGCGTTTCTGTGAGGGCATTCCACCTCCGCCGCTTGGACGCTCGCCGCGGGTCTTCCCAGCTCCGGGTTTCGCTGGAGAGGGTGGCGGAGGCTGCGCGGCGTTTAAACGGTCGGCGGTGACACCAGGTCGTTGGCTGTGGCGCATCTGGTTCGAATGGAGATCGCGGCCGGAAGAACCTTGCTGCTGGTTGTGGAGATGAGGTTGTGTCGAATATGACTTGTAGTCCCATCCGCGTCCATTGTTCAGCTTCATCCAATCGTATTCGCCATCCTCCACCTCACCGGCGTTCTTCAGAGCCTGGCTCAAAATATCGCGAAGATAGTCGTAGTCAGGTGTGTCCTCAAATCCAAGGTTGCGCACGTAACTCAAGTACTTGTTGAATTCTTCTGAGACGCCAAGTTAGTTTTTCTGTCGATTTTACCCCAGACAAAGTGCACTGGTGTCAACGTACCTGGATATCCATCGCAGAGATCCTTAATCGCGGTTGTCTGCTTCTTCTCGCCAATCTTCTCGTACTTCTGCTTGTTGGTGGCAGCCTTCAATCCCTGCCAGGGAAGGCCTCCTCTCAAGAAGTACATGAAGACATGTCCCAAAGCTTCCAGGTCGTCACGTCGAGACTGCTCACGGCCCAAATGCGTGTTGATAGACATATAACGAGCAGTACCGGACAAAGACTTTCGCTCACGGTATGGGATGTGCTGCTTGGTCTTGGGGTCACGGTATTGCTTGGCCATACCGAAGTCGACCACGTGAATTACGTTGGCAGACTTGGTTGATGGACGGCCGATGAGGAAGTTATCGGGCTTGATATCACGATAAATGAGGTTCTTTTCGTGAATGGTTTGTACTCGCGACAGCTAAAAGTCATTAGGGGCAGGTTCTGATAGCTAATAGTTTGTTTTCAAGACGTACCATCTGCTTAGCGACCATCACTACAGTCTTGGTGGAGAATCTGCGGTTGCAGTGATCGAAGAGATCCTCCAGACTAGGACCAAGGAGATCGATCACAAGGATGTTGTGCAGACCCTCTTGGCCAAAGTAGTATACGTTCGGAATTCCGGCTGTAAGAACAAGGGTTAGTCCAAACCATAGAAATAGAATATAACAGCCTCGCTTCAAGACTTACGACATCCGACCAGAATTTTATAGGTTCGGTACTCATCACGCAACTGAGGAGCATCACTCTTTCGGGGTTCCTGTTGCGGTCAGTTCAGCTGTCTTTCTGGTGACATTTAATCCTTGGTAAGACGCACGAATTTGATAGCCACTTGTTGGTTGTTGAGAAGGTTGGTACCCTCGAAAATAACTCCGAAGGATCCCTCTCCAATCTTCTTGCCGACACGATAGTGGACACCCACTACGTTTGAGGATGACGACGCCATGGCGGTTAAGTGTAAAGATCGCGGTCAACGAAACTTTCGATCACAAGGGGGTGATCACAGGGGAGGCGAGCGGCACGTGACGAGACGGTCTGGACTGCAGTCAGTATACCTATCAAACGCAACATATAGACAGAAGCACCCGATGGGGGCCTACTGAATGAACATACCCTGCCAAAATACCTGCTCGTCAATCGAAACAATCTCGGACGTCTCAATGGATAGACAGCTCGGTCAATGGCACCGATTCGCGGAGGATCCTATTGCCGAGGCAGGTCGATTGAGGTCTCGAGGAGTAGTGCGAAGGTTGTTGGTAGCTTTGCAGAAGTGAAAAGCATAGAATTGGGCGAGCTGGCACCGGAATTGGAGAAACCTGGTAGGTCTTGGAGATTTAGACGGGGCAACGGCGAACTGGGGGCGAATCCCAGGCTAAGCGCAGATACGGAACGGTGGCGAAACTCGAAAGGGGCACAACGCTGAGCAAAAAAAGACAAAGCGAGCCAAGAACGAGCACGCTGGGTACTCGAGATCGAGTACGAGCCGCACTGGTTAGAAGAGTTGGGGTACAGGAGAGGAGGGAGGGTTTTGTGGATGAGGAGGAAGAGAAGAGAGGGAGAAGTTGAGAGAAAGGGAGCGGAGGGTATTGCCCGTGTATTTGATACAGGAAACGGCGAAAAGTTCGAGCTGCCGCGGCTAGAATTTGGTAAGATTAGCGGTCACTCGGTGGTAAATTACGGTACAGCCGTGACCGCCAATCTCGCGGTGTTCAGGCGTTGGGGGGAGGAGCTACTCCTCTTCGTTCCCGAACACACTAAATCTACTAGCGAGACTCTATCAGAGTACAACACTTCCAAACCCAGAAGAATTGGGTGGGGTGGGATCTTCCCTCTGAATTTTCTCTCATTGAAAAGCGGAAAACTTGTTTTCTAGTCATTGCTTCGCTAGGCTATGTGGGAAACAACGATTTGACCCGACTTCGAGTTTAGTTGCCTCACATAGGGCTCGTGAAACGCTCAAGAGCAAGAATTAAGTACCCAATGCTTCCCGGCCGATTGCTGGTCCTGCCCTGCATCCCAGATCCTGCAGGCACCCACTGGGACACCGGAAGAAGGTTTACAAAGAATTAAGCCTCTGGGGAGTAACAAAAACCCTACGATATATCGGGTGCTAACGGGGGAAAGAAGAAACTAGAGAAACTACTCCATACTGTAGAGAGATCCATTTTCTGGGATTTGCTGGGATTACCTAGGTCCACGGACATCATTGGAAGCTAGCGTCAATCAAGACATACAAGTTAATTTCCTGATATTTTTTCTTTTTTTCTCTCTCTTTTTTTCCTGTGCTTTTTCCCGCATATTTAGTCTGTTCTCCCTTTACCGCTCTCAGGGGGATCGGGTTGTCTGGACTCGGTCTGGAATGCGCTTAATCAAGCGGTAAGATTGCGGTCTTGGCATGGAGGCTTCATCGCTTCCAAGTTGTGGGAGTCTACATTCAATGCTGCATTATTAATTGAATTAATTCATGTATAGACAAGGTAGATCTACTATAGACAAATCTCTCACCACATAAGCAGACTGTGCCTTATTTGAAATAAATACAAATACTGGACCCGCCAAGCCAATAAATGTACTCTGTAATGCATCTCAATTGACACCTGCAATAGTACGGAGTACATTCGCATTTGACACGTCTGCGACCCACAAGGCCGATCGTTCAGTCCTAGTAGGTCGCGATAATGCACATACGATGTGGAAGCTCGTAGTGAAGGAACAGAGCAATACTTAAATTTATTCCGTCCTGTGTATGGGCCAGGATTCCAGCTCCCCCTGGGAATTCGAGAGAGTAATAAAACAACAAACATATATGTGCCCTCCACAAATACACTAACCAAGCCAAAGTCCCAAGAAGTGCTCAATAATGCTACCAGATCGTCATTAGGAATGCTACTCATTACCGGCCCCCCGTTTGATGAGATCCTCATCGCCATCCGCATCTTGATCGGCGTCTTCCTCCTCGTCCTCTTCATCTTCGTCATCGTCGTCGTCGGAATCTTCATCGCTACTCGCGCCGCTTCCTCCGCTGTCATCCCCGCTACCAGGGTCGTAGTCTTCCTCATCCTCTGAGTCTTCCTCCTGATCTAGGAGCTCACGTTGGGCTTTTTGTAATTCACTCTCTTCGTCTTCAGCACCAGCATTGGCCGCGGCCGCAGCAGCTGGATCCTGATTCTTGCCGCCATTGACATTATATACCTTAGCGCGTCGGGCATCAGCCAGACTTGCGTCCTGCAAGCCGTGCCGTTTAATATAGGTATCAATCCCATCAAAATCAGCCTGGTCAATCATGGAAAATTCGAGTTCCATCTGATCTTCTTCAGACCCGTTCTGTGGCCGGGCTAGAACATTGAGGTTAAATGTTCGCTGAAGGACAGAGGTATAAGAGATCGATTCAATCGTATCGAATGAAAAGAATAGCAAGGGCTTCTTGAAGGCAAACAAGATTCCAGTAGATAGTAAGAAAAGATATCCTAATAAGGTACTGTTTAGTTCAAATAAAACCATTAAAGAAGACGACGTTCAACCATCTCAGTCAGAACGTTCGAGAGTGTACATACCTTCTTTGCTACCTCTGAATGCCTTGACATGGAAAGCCTTCTCGCCCTTTCGGTGGGCCTCTGGCGTAGCGCTCACAAATTGCCTCTCATCGGGCTTCACCACATTTGTGTTTGGCAGATAGTCATTTAGAATCTTACGAATGAAACCTTCCGCAGTCTCCCCCTCATTATGTCCGACTTGTTGTCCTGATCCAGAGAACGCAGCTTTAGCAGGACCATCGGCCACTGTGAAAACCATACAATCAGAGGCAGTCATGCCCTCCGGTGGCGGTGTGATTCCATCAGCAAACTCAGGAATAATGCAAAAGTTGAATTGTTTCTGCGTTTTCTCCGGCACGGGGAGACACAAAGCGTGACCTAGATAGCAAACAAGGACAACAGATTAGTATTCATGCTTCAAGAAACAACAATTCAAAACATATAGATCCATTCCATAGAAAACTCACGAATTCGGTCCATAGGCACTCCAAATTCAATCTCCTTTGTAGCCTGATTCCTTGCACGAAGATAACCGCCCCCGGCGGTTACCTCAAGCATGAGCTTTTTGCGCAGCGGTATGGCGAAAGAAACATCTTGCACATAGAATTGAAGCGGGGCGTTAGGGTCTTTCATATCGACAGACACTTGCGCCGGCACCAACGGCTGTCCATTTTCAACTTTGCGCTTCTTTGCCGCTGGTCCATCGCTGGGCGGCTGCACGAACGGGAGGGATGATGTATTGGCGGTCCTGGCCAGCAGGGAAGAGGTATGTCGAGCAAGATCTTCAAACAAAGGTGTATGGTGCGGTGTATTTCCTATATGAATCGTATCGATGGAGGGTCAGTTTTCGTGGTCGAATAGGGAGTATTGTCATAAACATCTGGTGGGCGTAGGTGCGCCGCTGGCTACGCACCGATCGCCTCGTAGACTCGTTTCTTTAAAGATGGTTCGGTCGCAAAGGCCTCTTCGATGGCGGTTATAGGGGCGCTGGCTGGAGCACCAGCAGAATTAATTGCCGCGAATGCCATATTCTATACAGCTGCCCAGTGGTTGGAGCTGTGCTAAAAACAAAAAAGCAGGAAAGCCCGGGAAGAAGTTGGAGCAAGAATAATTATCCCAGGGCGCGGAACTCTCGATCTCCCTCCCTGTCGCGGCCCGGGTATCGTCATCTGAGCAATGAAAAAACTAAAATCACATACATAGTAATATAAATTTCGCTTCTCTGGTATGAAACATGTATATTATAATGAATTTAATGCTCCATATTATAAACAATGATTATTTAATGGGGGGAATTAACATATTTGAGGAAATAAAAGGTGAATAGTGGCTGCACTGAAGGATATACATACAGACACAAAGTTCCATGCTAGAATACATTTAGGTTTATACAAATCGCTATCTTAAAAACAAAGACAAGCCCACAGGTCATCAAGCTATCCTTGACATCCCTCAAGCGGACGATTGATCCTGGGGAGGGTTGATTGTCTTGAAGTACTTCTTGATGAAGGTCCGTGTCTCCTTATCCATCAGGACGTTTCCGTTCTTATCCAACTTGGCCTTCTTGGCCTCGGAATTGCTAGTAGCACTAAGCTGTCTAGCCTCTCCCTTAGGAGTCAATAGAGATTGACTCTTCAAATACTCTTGTCGGTATTCCTCCATGACCATCTTCTTCACATAGTCGGCGTCGTGACGTGTACGGAACCTGGAGTACTTGTTGCGCAGTTCATCAATGACTGTAGATGGAAAAGGTGGGTTATCCAAAGAGGGAACCCAAGATACGTCTGAAACTTCATTTCCTCTTGTGTCGTATTCGCCAACTTCGAAACCGGGTTCGGGCTCGGCAGGCCATGGGATTTCAATGTCCAATCCGGAGACATAGCGAGAGAATCGTGGGAGTTTGCTGCCAGCGGCTCGTTCGAGGAACGGTGCACCAGCGTAGGCGTGCTGTACGATGTGATCTTTTGTTGTGTTGGTCAAATCGAGGGCAATAACATGTCGGATATGATCCATAGGGACTGGCATGGGCTGAACGATGGTGTCGGTCTGAATGCCCATGGTAATTTTGGCGAACTCAGGAACTGCAACGTCGGCCTGAAAGAGAGACATGGAATTAGTGAACCCGTCCGGGGAAGATTAGAGTGGACCGTTGAGGTCTGCAACATACCACATTGACGTCTTTAATAATAACAGTCTCACTATCAACATTGATCTGAGTGATCTCGTTGATCTTTCCCTTGTCCCGACCGCGAACGACACACACTCGGTCTCCTTCAGCGAATAGAATCTCCTTTCGACGCAGATGTTGAGGGAGAGCTGGGGGGTGCATCAGAGCAACGTCCACCGCACCGAATGCGGTAGCATTAGGTCCAACATGACGCATTGGTGCTAATTCTCCCTTTTCCCAGTCTTCCCAGCGGGCCTTCCGGGCTTCCTTGAGGTTGGTGATTAGGGACTTGTTGTAGTCCTGCTTCGTTTTCAGAACCTGTTGACGATCGACCATTTTTGTGGCTTGTTTGTGTCTGTAAATTTTCTTTTGCCCTTGCTTGCGGGCCGTCGCGGCCCTTTGAATGACTTTTTGCATTTTGGCGATTTGGTTGTCCAGCAATGGCTGAACTGTGCTGCTCGTCAACACTGGACTTCAAATGCGCGGACGGAAAATTGCGGCCGAATTTCATGACACGTGATCATCGCTCGACCTCTGCTTAGGTAATGCGGCTTGAAGTCATGAACTAAATAACCTTGAAATAGTAATTGGGTTTTTATTTTCACTATTATTCATGTTGTATCTCTACTTCCTTGCCTCGATGGTAAAGTATTTCGGTTTACTCATTGATTCTGAATTATTGCTCGAGATGGATGGATCTGCGATCCAAGCTGATCTCGGCTGAATGTATCTATAGCTCTCAAATATATAACTTGAACCTTGGAATTTGCTACTAGTAATAGGTAGAACTTCAAGTTCAAGGTAGTAATAGAAATAAATTGTTCTGATCTAGCTAATATCTTCATAAGAGTAACGAAATGAAATTTGATAAATGCAATCCAGTCAGCGGAATGCGAAAATGACGTCCTGCGTCCAGGTAACGTAAATGGGGAAGTCCAAGTCCCGCTGGGACCTCCACACAAGTAAATCAATCACCACTGTGAGAATGTAGAAGCGCATTGAAAGAAAAGTAACCAAGTCACAAAGTGCCAGAAACAAAACAACTTGAACGTGCTCAACGCAAATTTGTGTTCGTAAAAATCGTCAAATCGTTCCGTGGAAAGTATGTCAAGACGCTGATCAAGCAATTGACAACAAATCACACAAAATTTCTTCAGCATGCATATTGATCGTATAGTGCGTATCTCCTTCATATATCTTCAATTCTGAACTTGGGAGATGTTCATTAAGATAGTGCCCCATGAACAAAGGTACATTCTTATCCTCTGTACCATTCCATAGGACAATGTTCTGGTCTTGGATATCCTCTAGCTCGAATCCCCAGTCTGACGATAACATGGCTTTCTCGATAATGTAAGTCTCGAAACCTTGTGAGAAGGTCTGCTGGACAGATATAGGAAAAATAGGAGCAATTTCGGGGCTCCCACAGAGAAATTCCTGATCAGCAAGTGGTATGTTCTTCATGAACGTGTCTATCATCTTGTCTTGGTCTTTACCCTCTTCGAAGTCGATGAATCCCTGGTGCACAAAGCGTTGAGCCAACCGGGGCATGTAGTATGAGAAGTTGTAGATCATACGCTGAGACCATGTCTTTCCAGCAATGGCAGATTCATAAGGCCCCATGCCTGCCAGAATCCCAACGCCGAGTAGCTCTGATTTTGGCAAAGCGTGAGCACATGCAAGAGCATAGGGACCTCCAGCAGAATATCCAATAATGTAGTATTGACTTATGCCGAGTAGTTTCGCCATTTCACTTAAGTCGGCAGGCCAGTCAAGGACCTTGCGATTGTATTTTTGTGTGGAAACGCCGAAACCTGGACGGTCGACTGCGATGATGCGTACGTTCATGTCGTATGCGGCTTCGTCGAACCACGCGGCATGGAGCCTGGAGCCAGGACGTCCATGAAGAAAGAAAAGGGGGATTGCGTCTTCATCGAAGGAGCCAAACTCTGCGTAGCCGAGACTACGGCCATCTGAGAGTGTGACAGTTTGCTCGAGTTCGGCTTGTCGTGACGGGTCTTGGAGGATGCAGATACCAGGCATGGTTGTTGATAGGCCGGGAGGGTGTGTGGACGAGGTTTTTAGGTACTAGTAGAGCTAGACAAAAGAGTGATGATTTTGAGTAAATGAATAGATTAGAAGCTCGAAGGGCTAATGAATGTGATTTGTAGATGGATATTTCACGTGAAAATAAGCATTGAAGCAAGGGGAAAAGAGGAAATATATATACTTGGCACTGCCTAGTATATCATGATGGATGTACATGCTGATGTACATACTTATGTACATACTGATGAACTACCTATAGTAGTAGTAGTAGCATAGAGGGATACGCGTTGATAAACATTTGAAACAAATGCCAAGCAGTAGATCTTCGTGTTTCGAGTTATGCTGCACAATTGCCTCTTAGGCCCGCGGTGAGGTTACTGCGCAGATAATTATCTTCATACCATTTACCGTAGAAGGTGTGGGGCGGAAAATGCGTAATGTACAACCACCTTGGAGGCCTCGCAGGATGATGGCAAACTATACGAGCGGAGTTTCTGGCCCGGGCGCAAACGAGAGGCAATTTTACGGCTCCACGTCGGGAGTTGACTTCACTCTTGGAGAGATAGAGAGTTTATCATTATCCATCGTCAGCACTTTTTTCTTGGCTTACGGTCAGCACTTTCTCTTAAGGGCACTGGGCCCATATTCCATACCGGCGTGGGCATTTGATAGGCATACAACGAACACACCGTAGTTCGAGTTAACTCGAGTTAACTCGGCCAGCTGTTGCATATCGACGCCCGGGGCAACTGTTAGATGAATTAATTTTGACAACAAAAGGATTAGGTTGTTTCCTTAATGGGACAAAACCGATCCAGCTGCATGCTTTATCTGAGTCTATCATATGATCTGGACAAGAACATAGCCCCATGCTTCCCAGGTTGGGCTGGCGTTCTTCACACAAGTAGCGTGTTGCAGCATAGTACAACAACTTGAAACTAGATACAGGTGATATGCAAGTGGCAAGCATGCAGGGTTTCGCCCGATTTGGTGCCTCAGGATCATTCCTTGTCCAATATGGACCAAAGGATGGATCGAGATAGATGAAGAGGCCAAAAAAAAAAGTGAAAGGAATACATAAACACCTATCTACATGTTGTAATGAGTAGCTCGTTCTCAATGAAAAATTGAAGATGGAGGGAAAAAATGGCCGTCGGCTTTCAGTGGTGGTGCGGGTCCTGAAGGCAATGTTGCTATATCAGGTACGGAATGCTCATCACCAATACTTTCTTCGTATGTGCCGGGAGCTTCGGTGGGCTGAGTGGGGAAAGCGGCACTAATAAGAAGCATTTCATCTCCGGGGGGCTTCGTTTCAAGGGGTAACGGAGATAGATAGGGTTGGAAGCCGGTACGAAGTACGGGGTCAATCATGTACATGTACATCTCCTTCCCAAAAGATAAATTGGGGAACACTACTTTTTTTTTTCTTTTCTTTCTCCCTATGATATCACATCCTGAGAATGTCCTTCCATATTGAGTGCCTGGTGTCCTTGCCCACAGCCACGGTGGCTGTGTTATCGGAACGGACCAGTTGGTCAATTTTAATGTGGATCAGTGACGCGGATGCTGGGCTCGGCTCAGCCACACATGAGCTCCAGCGCTCCAGTGCGGATGCCTAGGGCTGCTAGCGTAATACTAGCAATGCCTCCTCTCTCCCCTTTTTCATTGTGACCCAAAGAAATCCACGGAGAGCGGAAGTGAGAACAGCCATAGGAATCATAGATGAGACATTCACGTCCAAGCCCTGGAGGATATTGTCACAGCCCCCTGTACCTTATATTCTCTCAATACAAGCAAGAAGCAGAAAGAGATCAGTCGGACTTTGGAGATTCTGCTATTGATGTATAATTTGAATAGCGTGATAGCGTGATTCTAGTTCCGAACCGAGTCATTGTGATTTTGTACATCCACGGGGGATGAAGTGGTGCATTTCTGGTACTTCCTGTTGGCGTTGGTAGTTTAGGGGGAAGAAAACAAAGGCCAGACAATAATAATTTCCTTAGCCCAAGGAGACTGAGAAAAAAACAACAACGTAATTACAATACACCGCTGGGAACTGGCCAGGTGCAAGCCTCAACCACAGTAATCTTGAGGAATCATGACCTGGACAGGCGGCATCATAACAAATACCGATACACTGATACACCACCAATACAGCCACCGCCCGGGCAAGTCTGGCCTTCTATCTTCCTCCACCTCCAAGTCATCAAATATTCTCCTCCTCCATCCCATATCTTCTTTTCACCATCCCCTTATAACCTGCTGCGACGTGGGTTCTTTCTTGTTCACCTTTGAAACTCACTTTCTATTCTTTGAATTTTCACAGTATGACCATCCTACTTACCCCCTCTTTAACCCACTGATCCCCCCCGTAACTTACTTGGTCCCTTTCCCATCCCTCACATCTCTCCTTTCTCCCCCTCTGTCCCCCCTCCCCTCAACGTCCTTCTATCTTCAAAAAACCACTGCCGAGCAACAGCTGGGTGGAATATTCGTGTTTGGTTGGATTCTAGAGTTGCTAACTTCGATTCCCTGAAGATGGCCGAGATCCGTCGCAAGCTCGTCATCGTAGGCGATGGTGCCTGTGGTAAGACCTGTCTACTCATGTAAGCTTCTAAACCCCAGAAATCGGCTCCTCCACAGTCGCCCCTTGATTTTATTCAACTGAAACTGACGACCCGCGTGATAGTGTTTTCTCAAAGGGTACCTTCCCTGAGGTAAGTTCCTATCTGACCCAGATCCTGATCACATGCCCTATCTCTGGGATTGCCGACAACGACCACAATCCAGCCTACTCCTCTCAGCACCTTCAGATCACTTATACCTTCATTTGATCGCAGGTCTACGTCCCCACTGTCTTCGAGAACTATGTTGCCGATGTCGAGGTCGATGGCAAGCACGTCGAGCTTGCTCTTTGGGATACTGCTGGCCAAGAAGATTACGATCGCCTGCGTCCTTTGTCATACCCCGACTCGCACGTCATTTTGATTTGTTTCGCCGTCGACTCTCCCGATTCCCTTGACAACGTCCAGGAGAAGGTGCGTTTATCTATCCGATGACCCCCCATTGAATCCCTATTTGATACCCGAATCATCCGGGGAACGTCTAAAAAAAGTCTTTGCTGACATCCTTTTATAGTGGATCTCCGAGGTTCTCCACTTCTGCCAGGGCTTGCCCATCATTCTGGTCGGCTGCAAGCAGGATTTGCGCCACGACCCCAAGACCATTGAGGAGCTGAATAAGACTTCCCAGAGCCCCGTCACTGCTGAGCAGGTAAGATGATCATGTCCTGACTCAAACAAACCAAGTGACGGCTACTAACAGTCTCAAACAGGGTGAGGAGGTCCGCAGGAAGATCGGCGCTTACAAGTACCTGGAGTGCTCTGCCCGTACAAACGAGGGTGTCAAGGAGGTCTTCGAGTCCGCCACGCGCGCGGCCTTGCTGAAGTTCAAGAATAACACCGGCAAGTCCCATAAGAAGAAGTGCTCCATCCTGTAAACTACATGCAGCCTATGAGATGGTCCGCCGCGAGCACACATTCTCGTCAGGGACCCGGGCAGGCATGGTTCTCGACAAGATGGGGGCGGTGCTCTGGGGCCTTTCTTGATTTACAGGATTCGTGAATAATATCGAGCTCGGATGTCTGAGTTATGGAATCATCTTTTTTCTCTTCCCCCCCCCCCCCCTGCAGTTGGTCGACCTTGTTTTTCTCTCCTTTTTGCCTTTATTTTGCAGAATTTGTCTAGGGAGGCGTTGTCTTCATCATAACCCTGTGGGATTTTCTCTTTTTCTCTTTCCTTCCCTACACCCCCTCTTCTTTTCTCTCATCCGACTTCCGTGGATCACAATGACAATGTTGCCTGTTTCGTGGGCATATAAAACATCTAAGAAATCCGACCCCAATTATCGGAGAGGAGAAGAAGTCCCTGGATAGTAGCGCCAGTTGTGAATTTGGGCAGTGCCAAGGCTGGCTTATAGTTCATGGTTGTCTTCCCGTGTGATGATAGATGATTCCTGTTTCTCCCTTCGGATTTCTCTCCCCCTCAGCGAAGAGCTCGAACCTCTTTTTTGTGTCTTATCTTCTTTACTATACTGATTTCTGTTAAAGCTAATGCATGGAGCATTGGGTCTCATCGGGCCTGTGCTCCAGTTTATCTATAATTGACTGTCATTCCCACCCGCATGGGTCTTGTAACACGCCGTAGTACTCAAGCTTCGTCGTATCTTAAACCCTGTGTAGAGATGTACTGTATATACATACACTGGACTCTATAGCCTCTAGCAGATTATGTACTAATAGTTGTATCAAACGTATATCTTCAGCTCAATTGATTGACCTTGCCACCAATAATGCATCCGTATACGAAACTCCAGTAATGCAATAAATAGATACAAAAAGTTGAGCATATGTACCCAAGGGCCAAGACGCTGCACTGGCCCATAAACCAGAAGAAAACAGAAGAAATAGAGAGCCAATGAAAGAGAGAAAAGGGAATCATCGATTAAATCGAAGCAAACCCTCCACATAACGACGGGCATCCAGTCCGATGCCCTCCACCAGTTTCGACGGCGTTGTCTCTGCCCGCGCGACCGAAAACTTAGATGAGGCACCGCCCAAGTCTCGAAAGAAGCGCGCTCCACTGCTCATACGACCATGACTAGCCGGGGAGACATAGTCACTCGCTTTGCGCACCAGAAAAGCTTCCTGGGGTCGCGAAGATGGCGCAGGTATCAAGGTACACGAAGGGGAACTTTGTGTTTCGGTCTGATCCACAGAAGAAAGAGCTACAGATGAAGACACAGAAGAGAGGGCTTGTAGCTGTGGCGAAAAGGTGGTGGATTGCGGAACGCGGACCCAGAGAATCCACCAGCCACGGGATGTTTTGCAGGTACGTTCAAGTTCTTGGGGGCGGGAACGTGTATCTAAATATGTAGTTAGGAGGCGGTGATGAATTGCGAGACTTTCTATTCTGCTCCATTGTTGCGTTGTTTGTGGTCGTGTTGGGGAAGGAGAAGGTGTACGGGCAGAGTGGCCTATCTCGGGCGATTGTGAGAAAGAGACTAATCTGGGAACATTGGGAATAGAAGATCGGATGGTGAGATTGGATGGATCGTAGACAAGATCGAAGGCAGCTTGAGTTTGGGTGGAGAAGTGTTTTTTGGGGTCCGTGGCGGGATCGGCGGAGATGCGAGTAGCAGCTGTTGTTGGGGAGGTTGATGAAAGTAATGGTTTCTGGAGAGGGCCCAGTTGATGGTGGATACTGGAGTAAAGAGATGGAGATGATATAGGTGCAGTATCTGCATCGAAGAGAAATGTGAACATAAATGGTTGATGCTATAGAATTGCCATGTTAGTTAGTGAAATCTGATATGCAATCGGAAAGTTTACTTACAACGTATATCACGGCTTGAAGCTTTCGTGATTCACCTTCATCACATGAAGGGCCTGCTAGTTGGAGATGAAGAGTCCGTTGCACTATCTGGGTTTTCGGTTTGCTCAAATCCGACTCGGATGCTGGACTAGTTTCTTCTAGGTCGTCCAGTGTATCCAAATCGTCACGAGGGCCTAGAACAAAACGACCCGAGACATGCTCTTTTGATACGTCTTTGCTTCCATTCTTTTTCTTTGGTGTTGGTGTACTTGGCGGTTGGGGAACGCTGGTAACGTGGTCATTCTGTTCTGCGATGCCAGTGGATGATTTATCGACTTCCGGAACATGAGCAGGTGAGCCTACAGGTGATGGTGTTGACAAGCTTGAAAGACTCCACGCTGAGCCATACCCCAGTGTCAGATATTTCATAACCGTATCGGTCCCAAAGGGTAAGGTATCGCTCTTGGGATCGCTTGTTGAATTGTCGTTATCATCCTTTGAAGCATTCCCTTCATGAGTTTCCGGGACAGATTGCGGTGCGGCAATGACAAGAGGACGAGGTATACCGGGTGTATGACTTCGCTCTGGAGATGAAGGGTGCACATCATCTGGACGACTGCTACTGTTTCGGGCTCTAGAGGGAAATCGATGCCTCCGAGGTTTGCGTCGGCGCAAAGAAGTCGGATCTCGTCCTATGCCGTAGGTTTTATCTCCATATCGATAAATCCATTCCATCCAGTGCGACACACGGGCTACGGAGCTCCGGGAAATGGAATTGATACCAGAAAAAATGACACCATCAGCTGGTCGAGGATCGATGTCCAGCCCCAGCCAAGAGTTTTCATCATTATATTCAGGTGCCGCCAGAGCGTCTCCGGGGAGCTTTGATGACTCGCCGAATCTAGAAACAACCAGATCGACTAAGCCGTCTGTCCGAGTCACAAAATCTTCAAGGACCTCTCGTTCTCCACTTCCCCATTCCTCTTCTCCAACACCAATTCCCAACTCACCGCCAGCAGCGAGTTTAATTCCATTGTAGACGTCAACAATAGGGTTTCCGGTCAAGAGCAGTTCCCAGTTCCATGCGAACTTCTCCCAGAACCGCTCAAGGAAGAGGCAAAATGAGCCTCGGCCAACACGTTCGTAAAGGCCGCTTAAGGAGAGGTCGTGGAGAATAAGGAATATAGAATGGGCGCGGCGCAACTGTTGAATGAGGAGATGGGGGTGCCCCATCTCCCTCGCCGAGTATTGAAACTTCTGGGTATCGGGAGAATTGTTGGAAGCAGACTGGAATTGCTCAGTTGGCAAACGAGTCAGGTCGATAGACTAGACTAGGTATTAGTGAAGGTCTCCAAAGCTATCGTTGTGGCAATCCCTGCTGAACTCACAGCGACGAGCCACCAGTCTTTCTCCAGCTCAAGGAGAACAACTCGAGTCTTTTCGGTCTCGACATATTCCAATTTCTGTTCTGGCGAGAAATTGCTACAACAAAACAATACGTAATGAGCAATATGTTATATGCACGTTTGGAGCTAGTTATCCCCACCTAGCAAAATGCACCATCCCTTGCGCCAGACCTATCTGGCGCAGCCTCCCGTTCTTGCCCTCCTCAGAAGGCTTGTCATCTTTCACGCCATCGGGAGAGCCCTCGGCACGCTGTAGATAGTCCGATTTCGAGGTGTAGAACACGATCTGGTCTTCGATCGTCTCGTCTGTGGGTCCGAGGGTCGGGTTGTAGATGGCGAGGAAGGACAACTGGGCGGGAATCACTGAGACAGTATCGCTTTCCGGCATGGCATCGCTAATGGTCGCAAGTCACATCCAGTGATTGCATCGTACCTAGTCTTATCGAGTTGACGTCGTTGCAACCGCATGTGCACAAGTGGGGATCGATGATGTTGACATCACGTGTCTCTTATCGATAAGTCGCGAGTTTCTTGGAGCTTTCAACTTGTCAATTCCCCGGATTCCTGAGAAGCTTGAGATTATAGATATGTGGATCATACGAGGGCCAGGCGCGTTTGCATCTTGCCGGTACTTGTACGCCTCTCAAAGGCCAATTCATCGTTTCTACACCACTAAATCCTATGATCCTCTCCGCATTCTTTTTTGCGGCTCCGACGAGTTTAGTATTGCTTCCTTGAAAGCTCTCCATGCCTACCATCTGAAACAACCCGGTCGAATTGCCTCTATAGACGTGGTGTGTCGACCAGGCAAGCGAGTGGGAAGAGGTCTCAAAAAGATGCGAGAAGGTTCGTGCAATAAAAGAGCTTGTTTTAAACTTCACTGGTATTGACTTGCACCTTTTACTAGTACCCATTAAGGAGATAGCATCAAGCCTTTCTCTCCCAATCCACGAGATTGATACGTTCACAGGATGGGCGGTAAGAACAAATATCCCAAATTCGTTGGCTGTCTTTCTAATCGGATATCCTAGCCTCCCGTCACAGCAAATGGGCCCATTAATTTGATTATTGCTGTTTCGTTCGGGCTTTTCGTACCCCCACGTATCCTTAATGCTGCCAGCTACGGAGGACTTAACGTACATCCTTCGCTTCTTCCAGAGTAAGTGCCTAGACGACCTGATTGAACCATAGGGAAATGGGAGAACTAATATAGTCATTCAGTTTTCGTGGTCCAGCACCGCTACACCACACTCTCCTGACTGGGCGAACTACCACTGGTGTCTCATTGCAAACACTTCATCACAAGAGTTTTGACCATGGAACAATTCTCTCACAGACTCCAGCCCCGGGCTTTGAAATCCCCAATCCCAATTCTTATACTGTGCCTGAGCTGGTGAATCTAGTTGCTCCCAAGGGCGCTCAATTATTGGTGGATGGTATCGACAACGGACTATTTGTACCACCAATAAAAGATGCTGGCTGGCGAGCTACAGAAAGCACCGATGATCTCGTCCATGCCGCCAAGATCAAGCCGGAAAATCGACACCTGGACTGGAAAAATTGCAAATTACTCGATATCAACAGACGAAACCGTGTTATTGGCCCACTCTGGAGCAAGGCTCTTGTCCCAGAAACCCTCGCGGACCCACAAACTTCATTCAAATATAAGCGTGTGATCTTGACAGATATTGAGGAAGTTGAACCGCCAAAGGGAAGCGATTCATTTGCGGTTGTTCCAGGTCTGCCCTTTGCGAATGCTGCTTATCCCGTTGGACCAAAGAAGGGCAGGGCTCTTTACGTTTTTACTAGCGATGGGAAAGCGCTACGCATCAATAAGATGAAGGTTGAGGGCGAGCAAGATGCTGAAGGGCTTCGTGCTGCGATCAAGGCTCACATGTTTGGTGATCGGTCCTTCCAGTCTGCAGCGGCTGAATTCACCCCTTTCCGCAATCCTCTTTCGTGAGCAAGATGTGGATTTGTACAATAATGTTCTTTAAATTCGATCTATCAACATGGTATCTGATACCTCTAATGATAATTATGGGACCTCTTGCAAGATATTGCTATTCCCACACCCGCCAATCCCATGTTTATTTGATTGCAAACCCGCAATCTGAGATGTTAGCGCTAAGATCAGCGTCAGGAGAAGAATAAAGTTGCATACCAATCTGAACAGATTGCCCCGTCATTGAAGAATTCTTCGCGATTGAGATGAACGCTTCGGCGGCATCATCGACTTCGGGCTATAAAGATATTAGCAATTGAGACGAGCGAGGCTAAACAGTCTAGTTGAATAACGTACCAGCTTCTTCAGCACCATCTTGTCTGTCATGGCATCGATCTTCTCCTGGGAGAACTGCTGACCCTATAAAATAGTCAGATATCTGATTTACAGCGGGGTTTTCAAGAAACAAACCCATTCAGTAAGCATCAGGCCAGGTGACACGGCATTGACGCGAACTTTAGTGCCTTGAGACTGCGCAAGACATTTCATGAGATGTAGCACCGCAGCCTTGGTCACGGCATAAGGCAAACTACTACCACTTGGGGCCACGCCCTAGGTAGTAAAATGGTATTAGCAGGGAATCTGTGTGCGATCCTTGATAGATTGCTGGATGCATATCACTTACAGCAGTTGAGGCAGTAATGATGAATGCGCCACCCTCGGGGTTAGCATCGAATGTGGGCTTGGCAGCCTTGAATAAGTAAAAGCTGCTTTTGACATTGATGTTCCAGCACTGTAACCGATTTAGCCTAGAAGATCACGAAACGAATTGAGAACAGCATACCTTATCCCAGTCCTCATCATCCATAGCATCTAGGTCACCGAAGTTGGTCATTTTTGTCCAGCCCTGACAATTTCATCAGAAACGACTAGACAAAGGTCACAGAATGTATAACCTACAGCATTCGAAATGACAACATCCAATCCCCCCAGTTGTTCAATGGCCGCTTTGACAGTATTGGTGGCTTCACTTTGCTTTCCAGCATCCTAAATCGAGACCATAAAGATAACTGTCAGCTTGATTTCATTGCCGTCGGAGCCAGAAAACCATCATACGCCTTGAATCGTGACCGTCTTCACATTATATTTACTGGCCAGCTCTTTGGCAACCTTGTCTGCCGTTTGCTTGCTGGACATGTAATTAATGGCAATGTTGCTCCCCTCAGCGGCAAATTTATCAGCCACAAGAGCACCTAGGCCACTATGAGTAGTAGTTAGTGGAAATCTAGTGAAAATAAGACGATGTATTTCCCTGCTTGAGGGGATTCGCACCGAGAGCCGCCGATAACCAGGACATTTCGACCCTTGAGTGAGTATGGCATGATGGATCTATAGTCAACAATTCTCCAGCTTTATATTTTCCTTTTTTCGTTTGAGAGAGACGAGAGGTTTATAATTTATAAAGAGATAAGAAGAGCAAGAAAGTATTCGCAGGTTCCCAATTACCGACCACTACCGAAATAACGATGTCGGGCGGTCCGACTCCGATCGGGTGTTATGCGGGGTGAGGGGTCGATCAATGTTTACGTTGAATTTATGGAAGAATCTTGTGAAATTGAATTCGAATAGTCTAATCTCTTATATCGTATACAATTCAAATATTACTCAACGCCCAATTCACCACAACGACAGTGATAATTCACAGGAGGCACCTTCAATGTGTACATTTGGACTTCCCCGGAGCAGAATAGAAGACACAAGGCAGTCCCCACATCGGTATGTGGAGGGAATCACAGCGGAATTCAGTCTCGCTTTACAGGTGGGCATAATTGAAATCAATTTTTCATTGTTTGAGTAACTATGTGCTATCAATGGCTCAAATGGATTTTTAACATGAAAGCGCCATGAAAAAAGCTCATAGCACGACCCAGCCAGCATACACAGTCTTTTTCATTCCCCACCAGGCTCTACGTCCCGCCAGATCAGGCCATTGAACCAGAAACTGATCAGCCAGAGGAAGCAAGATCGTACCAGACATACTGAGCCTGGAGATCCGCGCCCACGACTCTACGAAAATTGTTCGAAGTCGGGAGATTTCAGGTTGCCCCCGGGCTTGCACAGAGGCCAAGCGAGACACGAATATGAAGCCCCGGAGGAGCTTAGCTGCAAGAACCATGCACACAGATACCGCAGGACCATTGGTTATAATGAGATCTGGGTATACTGATGGGTACTTCCAGGGCAGCTTTTTTTGATTGGGGTATCGACCACACAGAACAAGAAGACAAGCCCAGATGGCCTGAAGGGTGGTGAAAGGTGTGGACCAGTAGGATTGATGGACCCTGCGTGCTCGTGGAATAGTCACGATATCAAAGGCACCTATGTCAGTATCGCACTTAGTCTTTTTGCGCTGCTTCTCGGCGAGTTGGGCTTCGAAGCGTTCGGCTTTCGTGGCGCTGAACTGATCACCAGAGGTCACGACATAGGTTCGGTATGTGTAGATAGATGGCTCGAGGTTGTCATGTTTTTCGAGGAGATAGCACATTTCAGTGGTATGACCTCCACTGCCAAGGACGATCAAGATGTGGACGGGTGTACCTCGTCGACGGACCCGGGGAATTGATGCATTTTGTGAATAGGTGAGGACGGCGATAAGAGTCTGGAGCAAGTCTTAAATTAGAGATATGGAGTGGATATTTCAAGGCGACCATGGAAAGACTTACTAGTACCGCGAAGATTGCAGTGGTTGCCGCGGGAATAAGCAGCTTGAAGAAAAGAACACAGAGAGAAATAATGAGAGATGCCATGATGTCACTGTCTGCAAAGGGCCGTAGAAAATCAATTGATCGGTTGCGCTTTAGCAGAACTTCATAGTAGATAGAAGGAAGGAATGAAATAGAATAAATGGCAACCCCCAATAGCAACAACAAATAAATGACAAATAAGAAGTGGTCAGAAACTAGTCATTCACTTTGCGGAGAAGTTTGAAGCTGTCGCGTTCGCGCACAACACGTGCTATGGCCAATTTCAGGCACTCCGCCTTACTTTTCTTCCCCAATGCTCTCCCTCGCATACCAGTGTCAACAATAACATCAACAAAAGACAACCTTCTTCAAAACCACCCTTTCTTGCTTGTCTTTTCCATATGGTATTGTTCCACCATGGCGCTCTTTTCGAAGCGTCTAACCTGCTTTTATTGTGGGGGACGTTCCTCCAAACATATTCACGGCCCAACCGCCAAATTTCATTGTGAACATTGCGATGCCGATAACTATCTCGACCAGGTACGACACGCTTCCCCATGAGGCCAAGTACCCTAGGAAAGAAACACAGCTAATTAACTGTTTAGAATGGCGAGATAACTGATCCTCCTACCGAAGCCACCAACCCACCTAACGCATCGAATGCGCGCTTTGAATCGTCGGAATTCTCCGAGACTGATTTATTTTGTTCCCGGTGTCTCCGCAACCAACACTTGTATACCAGCTCTCTTGCAGCCTACTTCCCAGACGACGATGAGACTGTGAATACCGAGCAAACTTCGAAGTATGAAAACTACCGCCGAGAACTTGAGGCCCGATATCCCCAAGTTTGTGAGAAATGTGAACCTCGCGTCAAGCAACAAATCCGGCAGGCCGGGTATGAAGCCAAGGCGGATAACCTTCGTCGCATGATGGACCGGAGTCGTGCATCCAAAGCCGCACAGCGAGCTCGAGAGCATAGCTGGCAGAGCTTGGTTGTATACCTTGGTGCTCTGGGTTTTTGGGCTAGCATTATTGGCCAGCTTGCATGGGATATTATGGGTGCACTCACTGTGAACATTCCAATTCCTGACCTGTCTTTCGATGAGCCCGTGTCATTTATGTCCTGTACAAACCAAATAATTGAGACCCGAGGAATCCCACAGGGATGCTCTTCTGATCTAGCGCCTACAGCAGGTATTGCCCTTGTGGTGGGGTGTCTTTCACTTTGGTGGAACCCTAAACTGCGCATGAAGGTCCTTGGAAGAACTGGCAAATTTTCTGGACTCGTTGAATACTATGAGGTGCAGCTCATTTTCTTGGTGGCGCGAGGTGTATTCTGGTCCCTTTTTAAAGACCCCTCTGCAAGTGGAATTGACGCCGAGAAAGCTGTCGTTGGCCACATCTTTATGTTAATTTTCACTGCCATGGTAAGTCTTGACGGTACTTTCCGTGTCAAAGCACAAAGATCTATAAAATTTGGCAGAAGCTAACGAAACTAAAGTGTGTTTTGATTTCTCGTCGTGTGATCGACTACAAAATTCGAGCTTTGGTGGACTGGTCCGACAACTCTTGGGAAAAAGCACCCATGCGTAGTCCTACCACGTCTCCTCGACCGACAGGTCCCGAGCTGACGCCCAGAGGAATTAATCGAGATGCCCGTGAACGATTCCCACTCGAAAGGCTGGGCTCTTCTTCTCGCCCTGCCCCAACGCAACCTCCCGCTTTCCCCACTCCTCCTCCTGAATCTGATGACATGGACTGGACTCCCTCTCGACCACAACAAATTCAACCAACGGTTAGCGTTTATCAGCGAGACAGACCGTCTGTTTTCGATGGTCCATCTCCGTTCTATGGCAACCTCCCCGCAGCTCCTCAACCTCCCTCATGGGGCCTTCGTACACGTCCATCCAATAGATCTCCTGCACAAGTTGTGGAAGGTAACCCGTTCCACCGAAGCCCAAATAATTCGCAGACTCCGTGGTCCAATAGGGTTGACAGCCCGGAACCAGTCTTCAAAGCACCGAGGTTTTTCCCTAATAGTGACTATCAAAATGCAACTGGCTTGGAGACTATGTTTGATCAAGCCTTCAGCATTGAACCAAATAACGGGCCCCAAGCTGAACAGCCACCAACCGCGAATCCTAAGCCTTCCAAGTCATTCTACACTAATAGTCGCCTGAAATTTCAGATCTTCCGATTCTTCCTCCTTCTGGGTGCCATTGGAGCTTGGACATTTTCACAAAACCACATGTTCCCGATACCCGGCAACTACATTGAAACACTAGCCCTCGGAAGCGCAAGCCTTATCGCGGGTCTTGCTCTTCTTGACGTTGTCAAGAGACCCCTCGCCGACTGGAGCGGACTCGAAATATTAGTCAATATGACTGAACTCGGGGTGTCCGTCCATCTCGGAGGATACTTGCCTCAGGACTCTCTTGAAAGAGAATACTTTGATCGATATGGCAAACTGCTTCTTATTTTCATGGCCGTGCAAGAGAGCATGGGCCTATTAGCGTCTTATCGGAACTTGAGGATCTCTACCATGTCACAAGAAGACCGACAGAGCATGCAATTGACTCGCCGACCTTCTCCGGTTGGGTCACCTCGGTACAGTGAACATGAATTTCCTGCACCAGTACATTCTCCCACAGAGTCTACGACCACTTTATCTCCTACCAACAGCCACTACCCATCTGCACCGCCACTTTCCTTTGGAACCAGTGCTGGTTCAGCAAGTTTTTCGTCCGCACTACCTTCTGCATCCAACTACCAGCTTTCCTCATCTCAAAGCCTCCAATCATTCAACCCAAAATCCAGTTACAACCCAACATCCAGCTACAATCCGTCACCCAGCTACAACCCACACAGTTTCACAATGCAATCGCTTAAAGAGGCCGAACCCTCTGACTATGAGCAAGACTCAGATGGCGAAACTGTAGCCACTACAGCTACGGCCTGGACCAATGCCACCAACCATAATATACGATACGGACGGCGACCAAGCACGGCTTACACCAATGATCTTTCATTCTCTCCTCGGCGAAATGAACTTGGCCCTGGAATCGGGGGTCTGAGTTTGGATGACCGACCGACCACGCGTCGTTTGACACGAAGCCAGACCCAGCAAGGCCTGACAGGAAGAACACTTTCTTCTCGCACCTATCGCTGATATTACCCTTCTACCCCTTTAGCCTGATATCAGTATTGATAACTACCATATCATGTTATTCCCCTTTCTTCCCATGTTTTTTCGAGCGGTCATTTCAGCGCACATATCTTATTTTTCTTTTCGTTATTGTTTGTTACTCATAGCGGTGGCTTGAATCTGTTCCTGCGAAGCCGGGCAAGACCATGTACATATGCCCACTGGCCTTTAACGAGATAAACTGAATGACATGAATGATCACATATAGCAAAGTATCCACTAGTTATCTATAGGTATCTCAATAGGCTTCTCCTAAGCCATGGAGCACAAATGTATCACTAGTTACATTAGAAGTGGTAAATCTTTGGGTTGACTATTTGAATAAGAATCTGTCTACTGCAGCCACTCGCGAATCCACTTGTCAGTCCACTCCGACTGAACTGCACTGACAGCCTGAAGTTTCTCAGATCGCTGTGCAGTAAGTTGAGTATCGAGCACATTCCAAGCTTCAATCTCACTCGTAGCTTCGCGCATGATTTGGCCAAAGAACTCCAACAGCTTAGCCGCCGGGTTCTTAGCCAAAAGCTCTTGAAGCTCATTCTCTCCAATAGCCTTATCACGTCCACTTCCAGCTGTCTCAACATCCCGCCGGACACGAAGCAACCACTCATGAGAGGGGATTGTCTCAACTGTTTCCTCCGTCGCCTTATGCAGAGCACTTGCGACAGCAGGTCTGATGTCATCCCAGCCAAGTGAGTTCAGGTAGACAGGGTGATGAACTTTCACAGCTCCAGCTGAAGTCTTGTACATGCTGGAAAGCTTCAGGTTGAAGACCGAAGTCTGATCTGGAGAGGTCGGCAGTCCAAAAGGTCACTCGCGAGGTATCAATGTTTAAGCTATAAGGCGAGCTCTTCTGAGTTTGGACTTCGCTTCCATCTCCTCTCCTGTTTAGGTAGTAAACGTGTCTCACAAATCGTTCTTCAGAAGGGCGTCTAGAATGAAAGTACCCAAATTGCCCGTGGAACCGGTCAATATCACGCTTTGTTCGGAGTTCTCTTTTCCAACATGGGACTTAGTCCTTGAAGAAACATCCATTTGACCAACAAGCCCTCGAAGAAGTTTCTCTCTTTCTTGGAGCTGTGCCTTATTATAGGCCTTGGAAGACTGCTCTCCTTCCTGATGTAGCCAAAGGACTGCTTCGGTTAAATCTTTGACTGTGGGGTGCAAGTATATAATGCTTGGGTTGAGGTCTGGTAGATTGAGACCCTGTCTAAGGATACGAGTGGCCGTGATTATCTGTAGAGAATCTAGACCACGAGCAAGACAGTTCTCAGTGTCAGAGAGTTCATCTGTCCACCCGGCAATCTCCAATAGAGATTCCCGGATATACTGAGATAGCACGTCTGGATTGTTACTAAAACCACGTTTATCAAAGCTGGCAGTATGCCCTGATACCTTTTCCACATCTGCGTAGAGGTCCTCTAGCTCCTGGTGGTATTGTGCTAATGTCCCAGCGCGCTGCATAGTTCCTTTTGCAGTACGAAGCATTGGTTTCTCTTGTGTAGAAAAAAAAATATGAGTCTTCGCAATACGTGCATGAGCCGGACAGACCGCATTGGCCTCTTGAATACTTGGCCAAAGCTTCTCAATCATAACAGCGCGTTCGTCCAGAGCCAGATCCTTACTCGAATTCAGCGATATCATAAGAGGAGCCTGGAAACGCCGTGCACCTACCACCAAAGCGGCAGTACCTCTGGGTAAGAGGCCACAATGTGCTGTTCCATAGATATAGGGTTTGTTTTCTCGCCATTGAGGAACAAAATCACATCGTCAGCTCTCGCTGACCACCGCCACAAGTCCGACTTTGATGGATTCGGGTGCCGAACAAAAGATCCGAGGTGTGATAATCTGCCTGTTGGAAGATAGTAAAAGCGACCTGGTGCTTTTCAAACTCCGAGTTACGGACCAAGGCTAGCTCGTATTGGTAATAAATCAAGATGTAAAATAGCTGGGCCCCTTCGTGATATTCAAGTCCATGTTCATCAATTTCCATCATGATCAGCCTTAAGCCTCATATTTAGAACAAAGAAGACCAAAACCTATAAGATATCGCTGGCCCAAGCAATGCACTAGTCATGATTCAGAGCTCTACGGTGCACGTCTTCAAACAGCAAAGCTCTTCTCGAGATTGGCCACCATGGCTCCTCAGCGTTCACCAGACCCTGTCGAATCTGCTGCCCATTCAAACAGACTGTTTCTCGAGTTTTTGGAGGGAGGGGTCGACCGTATAAGTCCACAAAGAATTGATTCTCCGGCGGCAGACTAAGAGTATCCAGAGAGAGACAGGCGACTAGATAATAATACTGCATTGTAAAATACCCAGATAGGTGTGACTTATTACCGAATTTTTTCAATGCGTCCTCGACAATAAGGTCGATCAGAGCTAAGAATTCAAGAGAAGATTAGTACACGACTAGGACTATAAGAAAGACTAAAACCAAGGAGAATAAAATTGAAGGAGACATCCACGCTATATCTTACCATCCAAATAGAACAACCGCTTTAGAAATCGACATCATATAGTAGTATACAAGAATGTGTTCGTCGAGAAACTCAATTCCGAGAGATCCATATACCAGCAACTCGAGGGAACAAGCATAACCCCGGGGGCATATAGAGATACAGGAGGCATCACCAGTCTATATCCTAACCAACCTAGGGGCTTAACCGTAGCATCCTTATCCACATATACATCACAGCCGCGGGAAACCTAGAATCCCTACTAAAGAACGATAGTGAAGACAGCTTCAAGTTGGCTGTCTGCGATCGCAAGATAAAAGTCGTAAATAACCAACAGATAGCCGAGAGTCGCAATAATAGCATCACTAGCGATACAGTATCTAATACTATATTCCTCAAGACATTCTAATAGGCGGAAGAGGAACCATAAGAGTAATTCTTAAAGAACGTTATCGGCTATGTAATCAGCCATATCTTAGTAGGGAAGGTTATAAGGAAATCTATAAGAAATAAGATTCGGGTTCTTATGCAAGTAAATCGCCCCATTGCTCCGTATAGAAGCCTCAACCAGCTAGTTTCGCCATATCCGGTTTAGCTCCCGGGTTTATACCATATTTGGTTAGATCAATGAATCCCCACATACCCATATTCTGTGGAGCTTGACGCCTTCTGCTAACCCCTCTGCGAATCAAGTTTCAGTTACTATGTCGATCCACTCAGAGAAGATTATTGCGTGCATCAATGAAGGAATGGGCACGATACGATATCGCAAGATTTTTGTATTATCGTTATCGTTATCGTTATTGTTGTGTATATAAGTAAACATATTATATGTTATATAGGACTAGTTCTAATTAGGGAGTGATACGATCTTGTAATAACGATAAAAAAAGCTATTGAAAAAGTGGAATACTTATTATGATGAGATGCTTTATATAGTAGCAGCAGTACGAGATTATCTTGCTATCCCTACCTCTGAGGTTAGTATTGGGTGTCTATTTAGTCAAGGGTGTGCACGATCTTTTAGGCCTCCGGAGGGGTAGAATAAACAGTAAGACGATGCGGATAATGATGTTGATAGATGATCATAATCTTTAGGTTGGGAGTAATAAGACTAGGGATAAGGAGGAGGATGAGGAGGAAGAGGAATAGCTTAGATTTTACTATAATTGATATTACTATCTGCCTATACTGCCTAGGTGGTATTCCGAAGAGATTTTATAGCTATATCTATAGATATATAGTACCTTAATAGTATATATATAATTACAGCATAGCACTTGTATAGCATTTTATTTTAATCACAACCAAAGACATGCGATAAACGATATTGCGCCCATCCCTACATCAATGCTTTGCGGGATGTAATGCCCACCCTCGGGTGTGTTTGAACCGATTGGATCTGGTTGCTGAATTATAGATGAGCTATATAGAGGGATCTTCTGCAACAGCCTGCTTTAAAAGCAATCATTGTATTCCTGTAATACATTTATAAATGGACTCAAACTCGAAAGATAACACTATCCAGCTCGTTCGATATGAGTTTCAATAGCTTTATCCGCGCGACCGGCGTCGATATTGTTCTCAATATCCGTCTTTTGTTGAACCAATTCAGTTATTCCAAATAGATCATCCATCTTTTCAAGTGACATGCCTACAGAGACTCAAAGTCAGCAATGCAATAACTTAGAATTATGGTCAATTTCAAGTTGTAACTCACCCTTAGTTTCGGGAATGAAGAACCACACAAAGATAAACATCGAGAAACAGAAGCAAGCAAATATGATGTATGTTCTATTATTTCGAGATAGGGATAATTAGTATCAATATTTAGAATGCTTACCCAGGCGCAAACTTGAAAGACAGAGATAACTTACCCATATCCATTAGAGCCGACCGTAGCCAACATATTCGGAACAGCTCGTGCAACAACAAAGTTGAACAACCATTGTGTTGCCGCTCCAAATGCAACATTCAAAGAACGTAATCTTGCACTCGGGATTTCTGAGACGTAGATCCAGCAAACAGGTCCCCAGCCAAATTGAAAGAAAGCTGCAAAGAGGAAAATGCAGACGAGAGCGACATAACCAGCTGGAATCACAGGAGCACCCTCAACAGGGGGAGCAATTCGGACATACAATCCAATGTAGAGCATAGCAAGACCTTGTCCAATCGATGTCCATAGAAGGGAACGTCGTCGACCAAGGGAGTCAGCGACGAATACCAGGAAAACACCACAGCTGATCATCTTCACAATGCCGTAGACACCAGTTGCAAAGAGATTGGTCGCGTTACCAGTTACTCCTAGCTAGATTAAAAGTTAGACTTCTCAAGGGCAAGATAAATTGTTTTCATGGGATAAAGCTCACGTTTTTAACTGTGTTGAATTAGCTGGAATGTCACACCATGAGATCTCGGAAGCTAAAACATGGAAAACTTACATATCTGTGGACTATAATAGTTGATAGCATTTGTCCCTGTCATCTGCTGGCAAACCATCAAAGATATGGAAATGATAGCTCGCTTTCGATTTCCATGAATCAACCACATCTCCTTCATGAGGTCCCAGAATCCCGAGCCCCCAACCAATGCTCGTTCTTGTTCCAATTGTAAAGAAATAGCCTGGAATTCCTCTTGCAAATAGGGATGATCAACTGGCAGTGCACGAACTTTACTCAGAGTTGCGCGTGCCTCTTCCCATCTATCTTGCTTGGCGAGCCATCGCGGAGACTCGTTGCAGAGAAACATTCCCACGAAAAGAAGAACAGCAGGGAGACCTTGCATTGCAAGAGGAACGAGATACATGGCCGACCCGGTGATATGAAGGAGGGAGCCATAGTTGATCCAAAATGCCAGCATAATACCCATGGTGATAAACAATTGATAAAGGCCCGTTAATCCGCCGCGGATTGCGCGAGGTGCGTTTTCAGAAACGTAGAGGGGGTTGATCATTGAAGCAGCGCCGACTCCAAAGCCAGTTATCAATCTAAAATGAAGAGCAAAATAAAACATCAGTTTATATAACTCGATATAATAGTGATCATGTTGGATGGTTCGAAAGGAATTTAAAAGCTTACCGTCCAATGTACATTACAGGCAAATGTCCACTCGCCGAAGCTTGCATGATAACACCAACGGCGCTGACCAAAGCCGAGCCTATCAAAGAGATGCGTCTACCCCATTTGTCTGCTATGGGAGAGGCTATCAAAGCCCCGAAAAAGCATCCCGCTTGAAGCGTGGAAACAATATTGGCTGACAGGTTTGCCTGGGCGACACTGTCGAGATTCTCCAACCCGTATGTTCTAGGAGAGGTAAGTCGGTTAGCCATTATGGCACACAAGGGGTTGCAAAAGACGTAGCTTGTAGAACTCACTCCATGAAGGGAGGCATGGTTAGAACGCCGCCAATGATTCCTGAATCCATGCCAAATAGCATCCCGCCACAACATGCCTGCTCCGAATTTAGTATATCAATGTCTCTTCCCACGAGTTTAAGTCACCAACCGAGCACGCCAACATGTAAACCCTCCACCCATAAATCTCCTTGGGATCATTCTTCATCGCCTCATTGTGGACGATTTTCTGTAGAAACCGCGACATCCTGCCGATTTGAATGCAATGGTTTCAGTTGCAGTCGAGGGGATGAGAAGAGACGCGTGGGAAATGAAAGTAAGTCCCCAGAAGAAGCAGAATTTTAGGGGGTTTTATTTATGTCCCATGCGAGAATACCTATATTCTAATTCTATCTCAGGTGTCACTCGAGCTCAACATTTCCTTGGCTAGGCTCCCCCGCCTCTCAAAAATACGACAAGAACCAAACAACCTTCGAAAACAAGTCGAAGCGGGGGAATTAATTCCACGAGTCCGGACGCAGTAATACACGCGGACCTAGCGTAGCCTCGATGTCACCAGGTATTTTCTTGTATTTAAATTAGACCTTATAAATCGATGCATATGCCCCTGGCCTTCGACAAGCTTGAGCTCTTCGAGCGGGGGTGTGGGGGTTCGATATTTAAGGTTCAGAATGTCACCCGTGGGCAGGCTGATTCCCCCATGGGGTCAAGCTAGGATACTACATTACAAAGTATTCCAGGATGGAGAGGGTCAATTTAGCCGGGATGGCAGTCGATCTTTGCTGACTGCGGGTTTGTTTGCGGGGGAAGGTTAGGGCTTGTCTTGGCACCTCGGAGTGATGGAAGTTGGCCAGAACATGGGCAAATGAACACGAGTATGTATTTAAGGAAGGTTGGGAACGAGAAAGAGAGAGTACAGAAGGTGGAGGAGGAGTCTGACTATGGCTAGCTCCGGGGATAGGCATATCCAGATACCCAGGTGATGGATGTATAGAGCGATACCCCTATCGAGCTTGAATCTTGATGAGATACAAGTGTAAGGTGTCAACTCCACACTACCTTCACGTTGCTAGCAAGAAGAAGTTCGGACCCTGAAGGTATGTGGTGAAAATTAGGAGCACTGCTGGCAGCGCTTTTATACATAGACCTGTAGTTTACACATTAATTATAATACATGATCCCATCGGAGCCCATCAATGCCCCCCTAGCATGTCTGCTAGATATTTGGCCAAGGCTTGAATCGAGCTTTCATCTACGCCATCAGTGGCGCCCAAGCCTTGTTGTAGGACATCTGCCCAACGTTCAACAGTCATCTCATGTAGCTTCTGCCCATTCAAAAGTTCGTGAACCTGGCTTGCTTGAACAGAAGCAACGGATGCCTCCGATGAGATGGAAATGTTGCTCTCAATGACTGCGCCATGTTTCAGGCGAAGGAATGCACGAGTCTGGAAGAAAGAATTGTTAGTTACCGTCGATAACGAGGAGGGAAAAGAACGGAAAAAGACAATAAATCCAACATACCGACGCAGAGAGCGATGGAGGTAAAGGCGGACGCTCTCGAGGATCCTCCTCGGTAGGATAAGTCGAAAAGGTAAATTGTGGAGTCTGTGTGTACTTCCAGTCCAGAGACTAATGCTACGTTAGTGATGGTTACCTCGGGGAACAAGCAAGCCACTTACTCGCAACTCTGCAATGCCTTTAGCGATGGCAGGTTCCTCGTCCCCGTGAATATCTCCAACCGTCCCTGAAACCCAATTCTCGCCGGCGAAAATCTCCGGCTCAACCGCATGGGCTCGGCGTGCGCGTCGCACGGCATCGGAATCAACATTATACAGCCGGGCAAATTCCTCCACCACGTTGTCCATAACTGCTTGCATAGAGAAGAACGAGTCCGCCAGCGCACTCGAGACATTCCCCACGGGTGATCTGACACTATCGACACCTCTAGCCTTGATCAACCCACGCGCCGGAGAACGCAGGAACCGGCCCAAATCATGGATGTTCGGCGAATCAAGCAAACACGTACCATGGTGTAGCGCCCGATGTCGGGTCAGCTTGAATGCGGATCCGGAGACCTTCCGGAATGGCGGTTCATTTCTGTCAGCTTGTGTCACATCTGAAGGCGTCATGACAATATCGTGTCGATCATTGACGCTCGTGTTGATTGCGCCGACGCGGTGCAGAGCGAGAACCACCATCTCGGCATGCTTATTGCGCGTGAAAGTTGTCCGGGGCGAGATCACGCTATAATTGAGATTGCCTTCATCGTGAAAGACCGCTCCGCCGCCAGATCGTCTTCGAACAAAAACAGCACTATCGTCTCCGGGCGTGTTTTCGCGACGATCATTATAAAGCGTGTGGAGGGCTGTCTCAAGCCAAGGATTTTGATTACGACCAACTACCACACAAGGTTTGTTGATGTAAAGAAAGAGAATGCTCGAGTCGTCGGGGGCATTTTCTAGTAAGAAGTGCTCGATCGATAAATTGACGTAAGGGTCCGTCGATAATGACTGATAAATCTGGTGCTGGGAAGCCGGACGACGAGCGAATTCGGCGAACCGGTGGACGGGAAAGGAAGAGTTATGTCGGATCCATTGCCTTGTGCTACTGCACCTTGTCGATAGGAGGCATCTCTGAAGCATTTGGGAGTAAGGGAGAGGTCGCGAAGCACGGATTCTCAATCAATCAATTATTGATCATCGTCAACTTTTGTTTTTGAGGGGCCGATAGTCGGATGCGCTAGTCCCAGATAGGAAGCGCTGGATGAGTCGATTTTACGTTTTTGCTTTCGGCCAAAATCAATACTTCTTCTTCTTCTCCTGCAGATTTGAGTGTCGAATACTTTTCTCTTCGGTTTTATTTCAATTGCTGAACTGGGACCTTGCTCTCTAAATTTTCACTTTCAATTACCCCATTTTCTCCAAGTCCCGCGTTGCGCAAATAAACCGATCATCATGTCGACGTGGGGTGAACATTTCCGAGTCACGACGTAAGTTGGGAAATCCAATGTCACAACCACACCCACCACTTTTGCTAACATACAGCTTCTAGTTATGGCGAGTCTCACTGCCGCTCTGTCGGCTGTATCGTCGACGGTGTCCCACCAGGCATGCAACTCACCGAAACCGACATTCAACCCCAGATGACTCGCCGCCGCCCTGGACAGAGCGCCCTGACAACCCCACGAGACGAGAAGGATCGCGTTGAGATCCAGTCAGGCACAGAGTTCGGTGTGACCTTGGGTACTCCCATTGGAATGATCGTCCGCAACGAGGACCAGCGACCCAAGGACTACGGTGGCAGCACCATGGACATGTACCCCCGCCCCAGCCATGCCGACTTCACCTACCTCGAGAAGTACGGCGTCAAGGCTAGCAGCGGCGGTGGTCGCAGCAGTGCCCGTGAAACAATTGGTATGTAGACTGAACATACACTGCAATTCTACATTGGGAACTCATGGGAACTAATGACTCATTCCGCAGGTCGTGTCGCTGCTGGTGCCATTGCTGAGAAGTACCTTAAGTTGTCGCACAACGTCGAGATTGTCGCTTTCGTCTCTTCTGTTGGAAACGAGCACCTCTTCCCCCCAACCCCCGAACACCCTACCGCCTCCACCGACCCCGAATACCTGAAGCTCCTGGAAACCATCGACCGTGAGACCGTGGACAAGTTCATCCCAGTCCGCTGCCCACACGCGGAAGCAGGTGCACGCATGGAGAAGGCCATCGAGAAATTCCGCGACAACCACGATAGCATTGGCGGAACAGTGACATGCGTGATCCGTAACGTACCCGTTGGTCTGGGTGAGCCCTGCTTCGACAAGCTGGAGGCCAAGCTCGCGCACGCGATGCTCAGCATCCCCGCCACGAAGGGCTTCGAGATCGGCTCTGGCTTCGGTGGTTGTGAAGTTGCTGGCTCTATCCACAACGATCCCTTCGTCGTCTCTAGCTCTGCGGACGGTACCCAGCGTCTCTCTACCAAGACTAATAACTCTGGTGGTATCCAGGGTGGTATCTCCAATGGTGCCAACATTTACTTCCGCGTCGCTTTCAAGCCTCCTGCCACCATTGGTCAGGCCCAGAACACCGCTACCTACGCTTTTGAGGAGGGTGTCCTTGAGGCTAAGGGTCGTCATGACCCATGTGTTGTTCCTCGTGCTGTCCCCATCGTCGAGGCTATGTCATCACTTGTTGTGATGGATGCTCTGATGGCCCAGTACGCGCGTGAGAGTGCGAAGAACCTCCTTCCTCCTCTGCCCAACACTATCCCCACCAAGCCGGCTACTGCTCCTAAGGCTGCTCCCTCTTCGTAAAATGAGATTGGAAGAGTTAAAGAATAACAACTATCACGGGGTCATGAAAATTTTATAGATGTCTTTTATTTTTTTGGGATTATTGATTTTTGGAGACTCTGCATCTTGAGGCGTGTTATATATCCTCGATGCATGTGCTAGGTACAAAAATTGTTGAATGAAATATGCATGAGCTATGATTCCATGAATTCGGTGTCTTTTATTTGCATAGTAAAGAACATAGGCCGAGCGAAGACCCCAAAGCTATCTTATAGTAAGTATGTGTAAATTACAATCTCTTTTTTTTTATCAAGCGCCTTTGCTCCAGATTTATCACTAGTCAATTCCATCTAATCTTATTAATACTACATTCTGACAGTTTATCTGGATAAATCAATTGATGAATTGGGGTTTAATTTGTATTCAAATAGCTAGATCTATAGGTATCTCAAGCCTCGACATGAGGTAACAGAACATATCTCCCCAAACGTATTCAAACGTTAATTTCCAGAATGAAGCAGATCGCAATGAATTTTCCTTTTTCCTTCCATACTCCATACGTCGTTATAGGTTTCTTTTAAATGGCTGGGATATCAACCACATCCAAACCGAGGCCTTGCAGCTGCATCCTCCTCAAATGCGTTCCCCTTCTAATGATCTCGATCCAGATCCGGAATATACTGCTCGGGCAATGTAGCAGATGTTTTGTGAGCCGGGAAACAAAGAGGATTGTCGAGATTGATTATCTGATGCATCGAGATTGTTATAGAGGCTTCATAATCTTGTTGCATTGGTATGATAACGCCGATAAAAATAGCCTTTAAGGAATACCCCCAAAAAGATGTGTATAACAACTCCACCAAGTGAATAACACAAATAGGTAAGGCTAAGTTTTTCAAGCTTCAAGTTGCACTCTTCCTCACAGGATAACATTTTGTAGCGAGGTTGATAGCCGGGTTGATCTTGAAGGTGGATGATGTGCTCTACCATTAGAGATTGACAAATGTGAAAATTTGAACTTGAAAACAATAGGCAAAGAACTACGCAGCACGTCATGATGTTACTGGGTATGATTCACTCTATTGTCGGCGACTGTTATGGCTTAAGTTGAAAGTAAATTGAGCTTGAACCAAAAACTCTAAAACCTTGAGCTAAAAGTCTTGTTTGTATTTGTGGTATAAGATGGGATATCAAACTAAGCCTAAAAAATGTGTGATTCATTTTGTAAAATAGGGACAAAGTATCTAGCCACAAGCGCCAGTCCTTTCACTCCAGATGTCCGCACCCACACAGATCAGATGAGCATGCTCCGAAGCCCACATGCAGTTTACACGAAAAAGTCTAGCAAAGACAACGAATAGAAAAAGCGCTCTCGTTATCATATCCGCCGGAAAGAAAACATCAAAAGCACCTCATGGATATCAAGCGAGTGAAAGCAACAAAAAACAGGAAGAAATCAACGACAAATCAGAATGTTTCAACGCCAAAAAAACCAGCGGTCGTTAAACCATGGGCACATAAAGCCTTGTGTACAATCTTTTCCCATAGAGAAAAGTCCATCATAAATTTATGAGTGATCAGAAGGACGAACGGGACACCCTAGACATCACTTGAAAAGTGTCTATTTGCTTACCCTTCGAGCAGTAGCGTTTCCACTGAAATTGCGACTGGTGCTTCGCACGGAGAGGTTATCCGCAGCAGAAGCATTGACGACTCGTAGCTTTTCACGAGGGACGGTGAAGGTTGTTTGTACCCTGCGGGTCTCCGCAGCACCCTCGACATCCCAGTCGTCTTCGTCTACAGTATCGTCGTCACCAAGGTATCCAGGGGCGCCGATAAACAGGTCATCGCGAGTTGAACGGGCCATTGTAAAATTGTCAGACATGCGCTTTTTGGCGTTCCAGTCTTTTGCGCCTTGCTTCCTTCGGAAAAGCTCTGCAGAGGCCGAGACAGCGCGACGGGGTGTGCTGGCACCGCCGTTATTCGGGAGTGTACCTGGTCCAATCACAGTACTACGACGGTCAATGCCGGAGACATGCTGCGCCGTTTCAGTTTCATCTGCTGCTGCTGCTGCTGAAGGGCCACGTCGGGTGAGGGTAAGGGCACGGCGAACAGTTTGTAACATCCAATCTGATGTCCTTGGTTTTTGTGATGGTGGAAGTTTGGAGGGTGAGGTTTCGGTAGGCGTGGTAGCATAGTCGTCTAAAAGAAGAGAAATATTCTCCGCATGGCGATCAGCAATGGTGGTTTGAGCAGTGGAGTAGGAATCCGCTGAGTATGACTTCTCTGAAGGTGCAGTCATACCATCCATATCACTATGGATCGATGCCGCTGCGATTCCTCCAAGAGAATGACCCCCGCTGCTAGCCCAACTCAGAGGCCGATCAACATGAACGTTTCTGATTTGTCCAACTTGACCAGTAAGCCCGGATGAGAAGGAAAGTGCAGAGGCCTCGGATAGATTCGTAGACGTTCGGTCACTCCGCGTTGGTGAAGAACGGCCATCTGATGCAGGATATTTCCTCTTCGTATAGAAAGGACCGAGTCCAACACCGAATATCGTACTTCGAGGTGTTGCGTATGGAGTCTCTGTGAAAGGATCTTCTGGGTCATGGATATGCGGCTTTTCTTCATTAGGGACAGTTGCCATCAAACGCTCTCGGAAGATCGCCTCGTCCTCTTCTCGTTCATCAATCGGATGGATTTCACTGGTATTGTCACTGCGGCGCCAGTCCGCGTATCCGGCCGATATTCTGTACGGCTTTGTTGGGCTAGATAGACGACTTTCCGGGCGATCAGTTTTGGTCGGGCTAGATGTATCTGTGAGAAGGCCCGTTTTTTCAGTCCCCTCAATATGTTGCTCTTTCGAAGGAGGTCGTGTGGTGGTATTGCGATTTCCTGCCCATGGATACATTAAAGCTGGGTCAAGCTTCTCGCTCATTTGAGAGCTTCGGATGCTGCTTGCCTGATGCGGGTCATCACGACCCCAGAAATGGGCACGCTCAGCCCCCAAGGCTAGTTCACGGAGTTGTGAGTCTCGGTAGCCCTTGACACGGCGCTTTTGATAATATCTCCATGCCCACCACATAAGAAGTATGGCAAGGGGAATTCCAAGACCCAGACCCACACCGAGACCGGTCTTCTGTGATGATGAGAGGCCATGGGATCGATGCGCAGAGGCTGTTGAATTGTGCGATGATGGGTTGGTATAGGATGTTACCCAATCACCAGACGTCGAGTTGTAGAGATACATCTTCGAGTTTCTTTCAGTAGATGACCGTTTCGAAGACAACTTTGGAATGGTATATCCTCCAGCAACCATCAGAATACCACCTGGGAGCATAGCAGCTGAATGTCCATACAAACCAGTTCCCTCAGCAATACCAGCTGCAGCTGATGATGAAGATGGCACGGTCCATTTCCATTGCCCAGATCCACCATAGCCGTCTCCAACCTCTAAAACCGCGAACTGGGGATCGGCGGCCTCAGATGTATCGCCTACCCATCCTCCAATAACAAAGATCTTCTTGCCATCTTCGGACAGAACAGCCGCATGACCGGATCGAGGTGTCACGAGAGGTTGATCGCGAATAGCTAGTTCGGTTCTAAGCTTCTGTACCGAGTTGACCGTAACGAAGCTCCAACTTTGTTGCGGCAGAGAAAATATAGCAAGTTGAGACATGTTGAGAAAGGCCTCCCGTGTATGTCCACCAACCATAAGAAAGTCCTGTTGTACTTCTGTTTTTGAAAATGTGGGAGACAGCGGAATAATAGCCATTCCAGCTTCAGGGACTGGGGGTGCTCGGTCGCCGGTAATTGTCGCATCATATCGAAACTTACTCTGGTCGGAACCAGGGTGTAGCATGACCATTGAATGAGAGTAGTTTGCATTCGACAACCAAGTTTGATCGGTGCTATTCTCGAACGGACACATCCCACCGAATGAGTAGACGGAGCTTGCACTTGTGTTTTTAGAAGTAAATGCAAATCCCGCAGCAAGATAATTTGGCCTTGTCTTCTCTGCGTCACTCTTAAGTGAAAGCTGAGCCCATGTTCCATTCCCTATAGCGCTGGTATTGTCCGGGTGAAACTGCCATATTTCCTGCTTATCGACCGAGCTATGGCAATTGCCTGTGTAGACCGTGATGACACCGTGGTCGTCGATGACGGGGAGGTACGTGGAATTTTTCTCGGCATCTTGGAACGGGGTCTCCTCTAGGAGTGTATCAAACGATGCTTTGCTGGTATCGATAGTGGTAGAGACGTTCAACGATAGGAACTCGGTTTTGCCCGCATTGGAGCTGCTCGGCTGGAGGAGATACGCCAGCGAGTCATTGTAAAGCGGAGAAAGAAATATGGATGAGGGCGTGTATGGGATCGCAGCGGCGACAGGATTGAGGAGAGCTAGAAGAAAAGGTGAAATGCGGAGAAGACTGCATCTTGGGCGGAGTCGGGGCTCCATGATGCCTGCAATCGCAATCTGAGACACTCGGAATTAAAGAAAGGGATGCATTCCACGATCGACGAGCATGGTGCCACGCGGATGACAAGGAAGGAGAAATATCTATTTCAATGTAATAGACATCTCCAGCATATGTGTTCCCAGTTGTAAGTGTATAGTTGAATGACAAGAATACAATTTGGCGGGGAGAAAATTGTGGCGATGTGGGATGATGATGTTTGTAGATGCCTCCGCCAAGATGGTTCTCAGTGTAAACATTGGCCGATCGGGGCCGAGGAAATCTGGAATATCTTTTACTGAACAAGGAAAACTAGTAGAGTGGATCCTCACTTTATTCCCAGATAACTTCTCAACGCTAAGAGGCTCGCAATACCCAAACACGGAAGCTAAATAGATTATGTCGAGCTAAGATCGGCTGGAGATCAACATGGTCGCGGGGGCAACGGACAATCACGGTGGGCTCGATTGCGTGGATTGCATCAACCCACTTTGATGTGCTTGGTTCTTTCAGCAAATCCATATGAATAAGTGGATTCCATCTAGAATCTCAGTAAAGTGCCTTGCAGAGTAATTCGGACTATATGTACTAGGCTAACCGTCTTCCTGCTAGCTACCTAGCATTATCATGATCAATACTCCAGAGTGGGGGTGCAAAACTGCCGATATGCATTGACCTTGATTTCTTCTCTCACAATCACGCCTTGACGTCGTTTTTAATCTAAATTTAATATAAAGCCGTTTAGAAGGTTGGCTAACTCGTGGTTCCTGGGCACTTGAAACGAAGGAGAAGATAATATTCCCTAATTATACGACAGTCCATGTCGGTTACTTCGCAGAAACAACTCCATAGTAGTAACTGGGTTGCATCTGGCGCGGCAGGATTTTGACATTTGAGAAGTTCAACTCAATAAAGCATCGTGAGTGGCTATGATATGAAATGAGAGTCAGCAATTCGCATATTGAGGAGGTCATTTCTCAACGTATCTATGTTCACCATATTCGTGCGTACAAAGCCACGTACAGTAGGTAGTACTGATTCGAAACTCCGACATCAGGATAGCCTTGTTGATAGTATAGTTACAGGAATTGATTACGTCTACAGAAAATATCAATGGTTGCTGTGAGTTAGTACGGAAAATATACTCCCCTGGCTGGGATGAAAAGGCTTTCGTACAATAATTCATTTTCGGGAAATACACAGCCAAGATGGTGTATATTTGAATATGAGAATGAAAAGATTAAAATAGTATATTGATACATCGATTTTGAAGGACGCATAAAAGAAAGAACTAATCTCTAACACTTCTAGCCATCAAATCCTTGCGGACAAAGAGAAAGCGAGACTATAGCTAGACGTTGAATAGATCGGCTATCCTGCCTCAAACTCGCATAGCCAAGAGATAGGAGCCATTGATCTTTTTCAATTGGCTCTTCCAAGCCAAAATGTGCCAAGTTATTTCACAGCATCACCATTTCTAAGATGCCCCTATTCGGGACGTCAATGACTACGGGTCCTTGTATTGTGGGCCCATGGCTGACAGTGATCCATGGAAGAGGCCTCGGGCTGGCCTGGGTTGTCACGCCAACCCCACGCCACGGGAGTTCTAGCCTCTCCTCTCAAACTCCCAAATCATCCGCCTTCTCATCTATCTACTATACAGTGGCAAGAGAACAATCATACCGCAAGGTATCAGTGGACGGACCCAAATCCTACGGCGCCGAGTGCTGTGTAGCCGGTTCGCAGCATAGCCAAAATCCCAACGATACGGCGCCTAGCTGATCTCCATCTGGTCCAAAGTTCGACGGACCAATCTGCAAAAGGCGCATAGGTAACACTGTAACAGTGCTTGTCTACATTACAGTGAGGCCGAGAAACCGACTTAATTAATACTGCAGAGCTTTTTCCATAAAGATTAAGGACAAGAAAAAAGTCTAAGGCCGATCTCGGGGAGGCAACAATATTTTTTCCAATAGGAACTTGAGGAAATCCAAGAGCGATTAGAAAAAACCTTGTCAAGCTACATACATATTATATTAAGCCACGTCGCCGGCCGGACCAATCATTTCAAAAAGTTCCTTTAAGGGTACACTTTAGGGCCCATGCATAGCGTCGCATCTTCTGTGATGTGTCAATGTACCCGCCCATCGCAAGCAAGGGTTATCTAGCCGGCCATGCATGTCAAATCCTAGGTCGAGCCACATAAATCCTGGTGCTTTTAGACCAGCCGCTAAGAAGGACTGTCAATCCTAGCGCCATGCCATGCTGACAAGGCTCTGTGCGGAGTGGCAGCCTGTCAGGGGCTTTGCATGTTCATGCACTGATGTTTTTTGCTTTTTCCATATTATGAACGCTGATCAGAGGCTCTAGCAAAATGCGTGAAGATGAGGTCGAAGAAAAACCCTGTTCGATGTCAGCTACTCACGAGCTGAGAAGGAAAAAGCATCCTTGTCTCGTTTTCCATGAGGTCGGGTCAGCCACCCGCCGCATCTGTGACGGCGTGCCGAATATCCTGGTCTAATATTGCGTTTTAGGACAAGGTCTGAATGCACCAATACCAAACGGTCTTGTTTCTGCTTAGGAATGTCCCGTTTCAAATGCTTTGACCGTTTGTTCGGCCTGTCTAGCTTATTTGAGCTAGATGCATTTCACATCACTTGTATGACTTGCCACTATTGATTGAATTTTTCGTTCTATTTGACTTAGGTAGATCAGGCCACTGATTGAAATTTTCTTTACTTTCTCGCCGTATATTGAAATATATGCCGGATAATTTGTTTGCGAGCGTGTCGTTCGTATAAGTTAGAAGTACACGATGAAATGCATGAGCATATGCTGATTGATCATTAATAATGTACACCAATTGTGAAATATCATATGTCTGTCCATTACAGGGTACTTCTTGACTAGAAGGTTCAAGTTACTACCTATTAGTGCCGAGAAAATAAATCGTTGATGCTGAATTATAATATTCCACTGGCAGAAGATACTAGACCGTTAAGTAACGAATTAAAATTATCACCTCAATGAGCATATTTTCGTATTGGAGGAGACTCGAAGCTAACATATGTGACATTCAAGTTTTGCAAAGCAAGGGTTCCCAACATATTCCCACTGGAAGAAGGGCACCTCCTTCCGTATGCGGATCTAATACAAAGACTACTAGTACTCCCGAGGTCTCCAAGGATGATGAGGATGATAAAGAGAAACTCGAGAAGGAAACTGATGTTGGTACATGTTGCCACAACAGTTCTCGAATAATAATATGCCAAGTTACAACAATCAAAAATGCCAAATACTTCAAATCCTCCAGTCGATATGCTCTGATTATATTCAATACTGCTTCTCGGATATTTTAGCCTTCAAAACCTCAGTATTGGGCACAGAGAAGATTTAGGCAAGATGCCTATTACAGGCATTTCACATGGAACGGGAAGCAAGGCGAGCTGTGAATCCTTGGCCATGCATCATAATCCAAATCCGTAACGCAACAGGCTCACATATCAAATGCCCGATTCTTTTTCTAGTGTAACCTGAAACGTATAAGAAGAGTAACTATAACCTTGAGGTAAGGATGAATCAGACATCAAAATCGTATCCAGCCCAGCTAATACTTAAACGCACACCGACAACATCATGATCTATGTACTTGTTACGCGCATATATAACATTTGAAATATACGTACTATACTATGTATCACTGTCTTATGCATATGCATACACATGCTACACATGTACTAGAATATTAGTTCAGCCATAGGGTGAGCTTAGCGCTGATGTCGACATTTCAGCCACCAGTCAATTTTTAAAATTTTACTTCTATTTCTATTTCTATAAGGCGGGGTGAAGGTTAGCACATGCTTTGCTTCTATTTGCATCTATTACACCTCTTGGTGATGGATAAAGAACAGTAACACCGTGCCTGCGGCATTGTACTCCCTGTCAGGTTGTGAATTGGTCTCAAGACGTTAACACAGAGTATTAAGCAAGAGAGGAATGTGGCACGCCCAAAGACACGGGATTGAGGCAAGACGCGCGCCGCTTATGTCACACGGCAGACGGGCTAACGAGCCAGGGACCCCGAAAGGGAAAAGCCTCGAGACTGTTCAGTTCAGTACATCCATAGTAGGTCAAGTCGGGGTTAAAAATTCACATTTTGTGCACTGATCGCCTCGGTGCGTATGAGGCGCGCGGGGGCTCAGGGCGCTGGGGCGAAGAGAGAAAGTATAGCGATGTAAGGTGGTATACATATTAAGTTTAGTGTTACTGTCATTTCCGGGGTCAATGTTATTTTTAACAAATAACAAGAGAAAGGGAGAGAAAAGAAATCATTTGAGTTAAGTTGAATTATGGACGCTAAGTCGAGGGAGGTGTTGGGGCCCAGATCGGTTAGAATGTTGTTAGCGCTATGTTAGTCTGTCACGGAGCTATGGTCCTGGGCCTGAAACCGCAGAGGTATCCAGTCCGTATTCGCACATTATAACCAATAGGCATTGCCACAACTAGTCCTGCTGGGGAAATGGGACATTGTACTTGGTACTAGTAGAGACTAATGAGGGAGGAGTCGTGTGTCGGATCAACCGACCGAGCACCCAATGCGGGGTTGCCATCAAAGTCGCAGGAAATTAAAATGAGGAAGATTTTAGCGGGCGGGCTAAAGTCAAGCGCCAAGGGGTTGACTTTGCGGTTTTTTCTATTTCTATTGTGTGGAGTCGCAGGAGAGAGGAGAGGGGGGGCAAATATCTCCTGCCCAGGTGGATGTGGATGGAACAGGCAAGCTCCGAGAATGAATGCGCCCGCCTGCACATTATTTTGGGGGTTAGTACATAGATACTGTGTTATTATGGTCTCCCCATATCCTCTTCTTGAGTGTTGTAACTTGTGGTATACTTGTCCGGTTGAAATGAATGGACATTGGACATTGGGCACTGACCATTGTCGGCTTCCAAGACTGTATCGGGCTACTGGATATGCACGACTTCGGGTACTGTTGACTAAATGTACGCCGTACAGCTGATCTTTTATGGCTGATGGATAGATCCGCTACTAAGATAATTTGGGGTCAATGATCGTACACATGATAATACGGTAATATTAAAAGAAGAGGAAGAAAATAACGAGGGCCAAGCTGGTTAAGAAAGAATGATGGATTCAGATTTGCACGCCACAGAACAGAAGTGAAGAAGAAAAATGCGGGTCGTTGGAGTTGGACAGTGCGTTCAAAGTATAATTAATGTAAATCATTGATATTCATCCTAGTCGGAAATTACTCTCCTGCACTCCTGGACTGGGATAAGGGCATGCCGTGGTCGCATCCAAGCTAGTGCATCGATGGTATGTATACAGCTTACAGTATCATGATCATCTCCGTTATATCTCCGCACTTGCAATATCCAGATCAACTCTTGACTTTCCGGAGAAATTCTGAAGCAAGAAATGAAGAGAGAGCGAAGAAGTAAGTTGGTTAATTAAGGGGCCCAGACCCTGTGCATGACGTAAGTATCGCTCCATCCGGCTTTGCAACTCTCGATGCGCACGGACTCGCGCTCGGGCGTCGAGGATATTTCGAGGCTAAGGAGCTGGTGAGTTTGCTTGTGAGATCAGACGAAACAAGAAGAGCGACGGACAGGAAGAATGTCCCAGTCTCGACGGATTATAAAATGGACACATATAGCCTAGGTATATGATATTATGAAACGAGCGAGGAAAATGGGGGGAAATCAAATCCCACTCCATTTAGTTAGGCCTTGGTGTTTGATCGAAAGGTGATCCAACGGCCTCCGCATCATTGGGGCCACCCCCACGAACCAACGCTAGTGTGGCCGCGCAGTGGCAGACTATGTACGCATCGTGCATCCCGATTCCTACGCCCCCCGGCTCGCCGCCATGTCCGGGGCGAAAGCGAAACAGCGAAACAGCGAAACATTAGCGAGGGTTACAGGTTTGCCCTGGCCCATCAGATGGCGAAAAATGTACCAGAATTTTTTATTTTAAAAAAGAGTAAAGATTAAAAAGAATGATTAAATAAAAAGCCGGGGTATCGGACCCACGAACACCTGAAGTGAGCAAGTAATGATGGGAATACATTCCTCGTCTCCAGATGCCCGGGTTCTTACCAGAAGTTGGTTTACACGTTAAATAAGCTGAGCCATCGCTGCGCCGAGGAGGGAACAGATGCGATTGGCGGGATGAGACAATCTGGATGGCAGGCTCGTTCGCCGAAAGGCAGGCAATACGGGGAAAGAAAGTCAGACCTAGGAAGTCCAATGTTGGATTGTATGGAACGCGCGTAGATGCAAGTATTTATGAAGTATATGGTCGAGTCATCCGATGCCCTCTTTGGGTCGAGACACATTGAGGATAGAATAAGAAACCGGTCTTTATATTCCAGGGATGCATGGTCCATGGTTAACCGTCAAATGTATAGATGAGCAGGTCAAGAGTCTAAGCCACATTTGATCCGGGAGTAGAGTGTAGTCTGAATGCAATTCGGCGACTCGGGACCAGGCGAGCATAGCCCATGGGTGTTAGATACTATCAGAGCCCGGTGGACACCCATCTATAGGTCGAGCCCTTAAATTAAAAGAGAAAGGGAAAAAAAAATGAAAAAGCAGAAGATCGCCACGCCGGAGTGTCGGCCGAAGAAGCCAAGCAGTCACAGTGTCAACCATAAATACCAAATATACCAAATATACCAGGTCAGTACGGGCCCATTACCGCTCCAACCAGACCTATGTACCTCTGATGTACCGGACCCTCTTTTAGTGGCTGTTTAGTACTGTCTAAGCCTATTTATTACATGAGCACCGACACCGACAATCATCTTAATCCCCATTACCAGTACTTATTAGTAGTTAATTATGATTCGAGGCAAATAAGAATAATGAAGTAAAAATGCAGTACATCGTATTCTTTTCATTGTTATAATCAAATTTTTTTTTCTTTAAAATTGATTTATTTGAATTTACTGGGTCTTTTTTTTTAGGATTTTTTCCCATTCATTTTGACCCATTTTCTCCATCGTCATTAACTGATTTTCCTCTCTCGCTGTTCCCTTGGCATCCGACCTTCGCTCTGCCTTATTACCCACTCCCCAATCCAACTCTCCCTCCTTTCTACCTGTTTCCCATCTTCAATCGTGGAGGACTCTCTTCTTCTTTTTCTTTCATCTCCGCCGTTCATTTGGAACTTTCCTTACCTGCATTGTGTCCGGTCCCTAACCTCCGATCTCGCTCGGCCGCTTCCCCCCCCCTCTTCTTGTGGCCCGTTCGACAACACCGATTTCGACACCGAGTATATTATATAGTCGCATCTCCCATTGACCGCGCTCTCTTTTTTCGCCCGTCGTATCAAAATTCCCGTCCACGTGTCTACGTGTTTAGTATCGTCCGATTCCCTCGTGCAGTAGCAGGCCTACCTCGATCTTCATCCCTTTGGCGGCCCGTTGTCCGGTACACGGTTTCCTCGTGCCAAATCTGCCCTTCAGATCCAACGCCGAAAGTAATGCGGGTTCATTCCATCGTGCAATTCGAGCTATTCACCAGCTCTTAGATATACTCCACATTGACACGAAATTCAAGGGGAAAATACCACCGTGAGAAGGATGCTCAACTGGATTATTGGCACCGTTGGCACGCACGCCTAAATCTTCCTCCTCCTTTCAAAAACTACGTTTAAAAATATACGGGAGGACTGAATATGTCGGAACACGAGTCCTCGGTCCCTGGTTATGAGGAGCCAGAGCAGTCGGCTTCTCAAAATGGCCATGGCGGGGACTCCAAGCCGCCAATGTATCGGTCTGAAGAGACGCTGCAGGCCCTATCATTACTGAATACAAATGACAAACCGGAGCCTCGACAAACAACCACCAAACAAGCACCTATACCTGTACCCTCCTCCGCCGAGATATCCGAGGCCCAAGCGACTCTCCGTCAGGCCTACCCTCACGTTTACCCATCCTCCCGAGCCCCCTCGACTCGCTCTTCATCAAGCTCACTACAAGCCCTTAACGAGGATATCGTGGTCGATGTACGATCGGACAAGGGCAATGGCAGTGTTGGACGCAGCCCTCGCAGAACATCTCGACACTCGGAACATACGCCCGAATATCCAGTCTACCCCGACCAGTCCTATGCCTCTTTACAATCCCAGATCCATCCGACTTCGCAACCGCCGCATGTACGGTCCCGCAGCTCTTACCCTTCACAGGCCGAGCCGGCCCCTCGGTTTTCACGGCCGGTTCGTACTGCTGGGAATACCCCGATGTCGAGTCCAGGTCTTTTCTCGATGAGGAGCCCCAGAAATACCCCACCATTGGCTTCCAACGAAGAAGGTTTCATCGAAAGTCCAGGTCTACATCCTAGCCATCTTCAGCCTCCAAAGGAAACACACACGGCGGAAGTGGATCGGGACTTGGTGACGGGGAACAAACTAATTAACCAATACGAGATTTTGGAAGAACTTGGACGAGGTGAGCATGGCAAAGTTAAGCTAGGCTGCCATGTCACAACCAAACAAAAAGTTGCTATCAAAATTGTACAGCGCTACTCCAAACGACGTCGACTTGGCAAGCTCGGAGACGCAGAGGACAAAGTGAAAAAAGAGGTTGCCATCTTGAAGAAAGCCCGACACCCCAATGTTGTTAGTTTACTGGAGGTCATTGATGACCCTAATCGACAAAAGGTTTACATAGTGTTAGAGTATGTGGAGAAAGGTGAAATCGTCTGGCGCAAAAGGGGACTTCGAGAAATCGTGCACGTTGACAAGTTACGACTTGATCGTGAGATGGCTGGGATCCCTGATACCCCTGCCTTTGTGGAAGAGAGTCAACAATTTATTCGCACTGCTCAACATTTACGTCGTCAGCGAGAGAAGGCCAGAGAACGAGTTGAAGCGCAGGCCGCAGATGCACAGCAAGGGCCAATCCCCGCTTGGAGTCTCGAGCACGGCGCAGAGTCAGACGAGGAAGAAGAAGAAGAAGGCGGGGAAGGGTTAGCCATTGCAATGAGACGATCATCAACTAGATCTGCGGCTGTCACAGATGGATCTCCCAGCCAGTCCTCCAGCCACGAATCATCTTTGGCGGCGGTCGAAGGCACCATGTATGGTGCCTACACAGACTATCCCTTCGAACGACGCTTCAGCACAGCATCCAGCAGCTTTGGATATGCTCCATCTGAACCAGAGTGGTCCGCTGATAGGGATGACATGTCTTATGTTCCTTGCCTGACTATCGATGAGGCACGCACCGCTTTTCGAGACTCCGTCCTTGGGTTAGAGTATCTTCACTTCCAAGGTATCATCCATCGTGATATCAAGCCAGCGAACCTCCTGGTCACTAGTAATTACCGTGTCAAAATTTCCGATTTTGGCGTGTCATACTTAGGACGGCCCATGCGCGATGAAGAGGAAGAAGATTTGCGCGAGACCGACGCAACAGAATTGGACGATGCTCGAGAATTATCAAAGACCGTCGGCACTCCTGCTTTCTACGCCCCTGAGCTGTGCTACACCGGTGAAGATTTCCTGGAGATTATCGGGTCAGTGCCTAAGATTACCGGAGCCATCGATGTCTGGTCCCTGGGTGTGACTCTCTACGGAATGATCTTTGGTCGGCTTCCATTTGTTTCAGATGATGAGTACAGCATGTTTCAAACTATTGTGAAAAAAGAAGTTTTCATCCCACGCAAGCGTCTAGTCCCTATCAAAGATGAATTGCTAGGTGACGATCAGATGAATTGTCGCAATAGTGATGAGCTTGTTTATGAGGACATTGATGATGAGGTGTATGATCTACTACGCCGCTTATTGACGAAAGATCCTTTCAAGCGCATTACCTTGAAGGAAATTAAACACCATCCATGGACTCTACGCGGTCTTCCCAACCCACGAGCATGGGTTGAAGAAAGTGACCCAGGCTTCCAAAGCAAGGGCAAGAGAATTGAGGTTTCCAATGAAGAAGTCACAAGTGCCGTCAGCAAGGTCCCGTTCATCCAACGCGTTCGCTCTAATGTGGCAAAATGGTTTGGTGGTCGCTCTTCCAAGGAAAAGGAACCCCGCAAGCGATCAAACAATTCGTCAGATACTTTATCTTCGGCTTCCAGCATGAGTACGTTTGGGAAAACGCCAGTTGCTAGTCGCCGTTCGAGTTTGAAAGGCGATGAAGATATTCGAGCGTCCAAGTTTAGCTCCCAAGGAGAACATCCTCTCGCTCAGAGCGTTACAGCAAGCCCAGTAGAGGAGCAATCCTGGGGTCATTATTTCGAATCCGCATTGACGCCTGACAGCAAGCCTACTGTTCTTATTTCAACTGGCAAAGCACGCCCTGCCCCTCCTCGACGAGCAAAGTCTTCTCTGTCTACAGCAGAATCTATTAAAACAGTGAGGCAGTCGAGTTTCGATTCTCCAACAATCATCCGACCACGGACCGGCACACCATCAATCATTGAGGCTTTAGGGACTACCAGTTTTGGCAGTCTTTTTACCGGTGCCCACCGCCGCTCTTCGCGTGGAGCACAAAATGGCAGTCGAAGCCGACGTACATCACCTTCCGCAGATGCAGTTTCTCTAGATGGCGATCGCCGTTCTGAGCCCAGCCTTGCTTTTAGTAGCGCTTCTGCATTAGGTCAGGTACGCATACCTGGTCTTTGGCATGCCCAGGCTCCTCCCCCTTCCTCCCGCAACTCCGCTATGGCATCCGCGCACCGACGCAACCGCTCCCAGCAGCTCGCTGGTAAATCCTCCGCAGAGTCGTTCAACCTAACCAAGGAAGCTCTCTTGCGCCGCCGGAGAAGTGATGTTGAGCCCAGCGCAGATAATGCATTGGTGTCGCACACTGAAAGTGCGATGGTCTCAACCGACTCCCTTCATTTGCCCACAATTGTTTCACCGGATACTGGCTGTCCTGTCAACCCTCCCAGCAATGGTCTCACTACATCTGCCCCATCCGCCATCACTATCTCTTCGTCCTCCGCTGAAGACTTTACTAGCGGCATGTCTCAAAGCGCGTCTCATCCTAGCATTCCGTCTGTCGTATCTGGTGCTTCCTCTCTCTCTGGTGACGGAATGTGCTCTCAGTCCAAGGATTCCGATGACTCATCGTCTGTGCCTTCGATTCTACGAACAGGCGAGACCGTCAAAGCTTATCCTCAACCATCACCTCGCCCCTCTGAGGAAGATGAATCTCGGTACTATTGTGATGACGAAGACGAATTTGATGAATCTGAAGATGAAGGCCTTGTGATTGGAAAGAAGAAGCCATCGACCAAAGCGCCAATTCCCACAGGCAGAAAGGCTGCTGCGGAATAACTTTTCCTGTCACACTGAAGTCGTTGTATATCATTTTGATTGCTTTTCCCACAGGGTTTGTCTCTGGAACTTGTGGCATCCTAGAGTTTGTTGACATACATTTTACATTGAAATGGCTTGTACATATACACAATTCCCATCGGCGACACATTTCCCCGCTATGATACGAGGATTTTTGCTCATACCTGTCCCGATGCGCGAGACATTACCAGTCCTGGTAGTGTGATGCCATACCCGCGCTATTTTTTTTCCTTCTTTACTTTCTTATTTCTTCTGATGATCTGCTAGCTTCTGGTATGGATGCGTTCAGATCTCCTTTTGAACACTAGCTGTATGTAATGTTGACACTGAGTAGCGGTCTGTGATTTCTTTCTGGATTTCAAGGATGCCTGCATGATACATGAAGCTTAAGAGGCGTGGTGACGCCTGTTGCAATGACAACAATCGACGATATGATTAATGGAAACAGTGCTTAGCGCTATTATTTTTCTGTGCATAATCTTTTACTAGATCCTGAAACTGTAGCTTTTAGCATGAAGTACACAAGCCCGGTGTCGAAAATAGTGACACGTTTGAGATAGATAAAGACGAAACAGAATTTTCTTACACCTCACATAATTGTTCACCTCCTTCATCTCTGGGCGGTCTCACATACAGAGCCCCAAGGGCATTTCACCGTAAGGAGGGTCCTCTTGGCATTTATGAAACAGTCATCGTCCTGATATGAGCACCTCCCCCGAACTAGACTCTCCAATCAACCCGTGTTTTACATCTTAATCTTCTCACGTGAAATGGACATTTTAGTATAAATACTCCATGTTGGTGAGAAAATACAATATAACTGTAAAACCCTTAAGTTGAGTAACGGCCAATGGGCATCGTCGACTCTTCAAAATGCACGTCAAGTTCATCATCTCGGCACTCTCCATGCTACTAGGTAGCACCGCCGCCCTTACCGAATCAAATCTTACAACCCACGTCGATGTATTAACACTCGACTATGCCTTCAACCCCGTCAAGGCCGCCTACTGGACCGGGTACCCTCACCACCGACGAACTCCATTCGCTGTCTCCCCCAACGGAAAATCAGCATACATCGCCTACCTCGACTCCACCGAGACAGACGTCCATGTCCAACAACTAGACCCAACCACCTTCAAAGCAACCGGCACCTCTATCACCATTACCGGAGGAAAAGAAGGTATGTCAATGATCCCACCCCATCACATCAACCCCTACCCCATAGGACATTATATACTAACACATCCCAGCCGGAGGCCTAGTCGCTCACAACGATGGTTTCGCCGTCCTAGTCAACGAAGCAATGCCATCAGGCACCACGAACGCACCACCAGATAACACCCCCGTCGCAGTAATCTACAGATACACAAACGGCAATGAAACATGGAAGACCTGGCTCGGTGGCCCAAACCTCCACGCAGCTGATGGTCTCTCCGCATCCCCCGATATGAACGGGGACCTGGTCTATTCCTTGAAATCCGAGACATACGGCGCATACTTCGTTGTAACCGATTACTCTGGCGACGCATCAGGACACTACGGCGATAGTATCCAGTACGTTAACACGAGTGGAGATGTGGTTGATATTGAAGGCGCAAGTAGTTCTTGGGGATGTAGCCATAACACCGGAATTGCATTTAAAGAGACTGTTAAGGCTCCGTTCGCAAGTATCTGTGCCGAAGACCAGGGTGCTATCTGGTTGAATACGAAAACGCAGGGAATGACGAATGACGGAGTCAAGATCTCGAATGAGAATACCACTAATGGTGCCTCAGGGGAACCTATGGGTGGAATGTCGGGGAGCTATAGTGCTTTGGATCGATTTTATAACAGTACCAGGTTTATTTTTGCATGGGTTTCGAGAGGTGCTATTGATGTTACTGAGAATACGTGGATGGGAGATGGTTATACGCATGTTAATAATCGGACGAATGGGAGGAATGTGGCGATTGCGTTGTTCTCAGATAAGTATACTTTGGTTGGGGATCAGGCGACATCTACCGTTGGCGAAGAGGATGGGGATAGCCAGGTGAATTGGATTACGAACGGGTCGAATGATTGCTCGAATGCTCATGTTGCTGTATTTGATGGGGATTCTGCCCTGGTTACTTGGGAAGAGATCTCGGGTCCAACCTGTGATTTCATTGCAATGGGATGTCGGGGTGAGTTTGCTGGGTCTTTCTTTCAAGAGGTGAACTCGAAGGGTGTGAATGTTGGAGAGGCGGTTAAGACCACTGATGTCTACGTTGCTGGTGATATGGTTACTATGGGTGATGGGCGTATTTGTTGGCCATATGTTAGTATGAAGTGGGATCTTTCACAAGCAGTTGGGTATGGATCATCAGATACTTACAAGAAGATGTCCATAGCTTGTATGGCTGTGTGAAAATGATATAAGGGAGAAGGGGCTATTTGAGAAGTTTAAGAAGTTTGAAAATTTGATAGAATTTATTGTTCCAATTTCATAGCGCCATTCATATATCAATTAAGTCCGAAATTAAATTTCGAGTTAAGGGGGAAAATGAGTCCATGGGCGTCTTCAGAAGCGAGTTAGCTCTTAATAGGTGCTACCTCCCCGATTTTCCATACAATTTCCGAGTGAAAAGACCGTACAATCTCCTGCAACCAATGAGGGAAAGCCCTCAGATACCCAGCTATTCCCATAGTTCGAGGCAAGATGATTTGATCCCCCCTCCGCAATACGATTTGTTCAACAACAGCATCTGAGACGGCCTGCGGACTCATAACAGGTTGGCGGAAATGTGTTTGGTCATCAGTCAAGCTTTTGATCATCGGTGTATCGACCCAAAGAGGATGAATAATACTAATATGCAAAGAAATTTCAGTCAAATCACACTTTACTAACTCGTCTTTGGACTCTTATCATGCCTTTCTTCAAGACTAACCTTGTTTTCACATTAGAAGCTTTATACCAAGCTTTAAGCTCTTGTCTGATTCCTTCATGAAAGGCCACTGCACTGGCCTTGGTGCAACAATAATCTACCATGCCACCGACTGTCACGAAGCTCGCAACACTCGCAACAGTGATTATGTGGCCGTGATTCTTCTGAATCATAGAAGGTAGGAAGGCCTTGGCGATAAGAAAGTGTGAGATAGTATTTACCTCAAAGGTGTCGCGGATGGCCTGTTCTGATTTCTCAAGTAGAGGGGCGATATGACAAACGCCAGCGTTATTGACGATGACAGCAGGGTCCCCTTGAGACTCCCGAATTTGAGTTGCTACTTGCATAATGGACTCTGATGATCTCAAGTCGACTTCATGGAAGGTCATGCCAGGCGGAAGTTCGAATGCAGGCTTCTTGACGTCGAGGATTATAACTCGAGCTTGTCTCTTGTGAAGATCTTCGACGATTTGTTTTCCTATACCACCGCTTCCTCCAGTAACTAGGATAATTTCATCTTTCAAGTTATATTCCTGCCTGTTTGTGGAATTCTTCTGCAGCCATGTTGAAATCCGTGAGATGACTTGGTAGAGAACGAGGCAAGCTGCCACGACAGTTAAGAGCTTTGTGAAATACATCTGGAGCAAACTGATTCGGATTGACTCGGAAGCAAATTTGTCTACCAATCTCGTGGTTTATAAAAAGAATACAAGGAAATGCTCTCCTATTCAAAAAGGTCCTCCCTGTAGACTCGAGAGTTTTTAATAAGATAATGGTCGCCAGAACTTGCCGAAAATTCACCATGACAGCAGATGAATTTTATTCAGCTGGCGTCTTTACTCTATACGACTTACCCCAAATGCTCTTGTGTGACCTCAGCTGAGTTTAAAGAGAGCTTATTGGTGTATACTCCGTGCGATGTTGATCTCTGAAGTCACCCTCGGCTAGTAAGGGTAACCTCCTTTCTTTTACGGAGGTTGTCTACTGTTTCTAGCCAGCTACATTACGAGATCTTCATGTGTCTCTAATATGATAGGCTACATTTGATCTGAAATTGGATAAATAACTCCATAAAATATTATTAGCCTCTACACAGGTTCTTTAGCATCAAATAGGCTGCCTAGTGATGTTGGTTTTCATGCGTTAAATTATTGGTGTACTGAAGCCAATAACCATGGATATACGCTTGGCTCGCGTAAGGGTACAGTGCATACAAGAAGGGTTGGAACGTATTCTTATTTGTCGGGGGAACTTGTGGCTGCAGTGAATAGACAGAAAGGAGGGAGCAGGAGGGGGTGGCTGCATTTTGTGACAATGCTCACCTAGCTGCATGAGATATGGCGAATGTGATCTAGCCTGAGATGGCCTTAAGTTCGTATACTACCATGTATAGTGCGTCGGCAATGGAAGAAAAATTATTAACCCCGTGTCATTGCAGTGGCATAAAGGGCCAAAATTGGCGAAGCATAAACACTAGATTGAAAAGGAGCATATCAACAACAAATTTGACATCTATACAAGTGAGGGATGCTATTTATGTTTGCTAAACGATCGGCTCTATTAACCCCTTAAGCTACCAGTTGCCAAGACTCGCTAGCTTACTACTGATGGCGGCCTTTACTAGTCGATAGTGGTCACGGTCTTTACCACGCCTGGACACTGTTTACTCTAAATATAGAAATAAAAATATCGGTGGACAATGATGACTCGTTATATCAATATAAGTATACCCATTCGGATCTTCATGCTTATCTGACGTTTCTAATGTATACTATGGTATTTCGTCTCTCACTAGAAAGACTTGGGAGTTTACATTCTAGGATGGTCGAAGTAGACCCACCAACTGTTTGAGCACCAATTAGAGTGGTTCTTATGCTCTTACTCCACTCCGTCCCGGCCTGCCCAAGGGGATAGAATCTCCTACCAATTAAGATGCCTAGTCTTGCTACTGGCGCTCAAGTGTTGCTTTAACTTCAAATGTTGGCTGTATGGTTATCTGAATAGGTTTAGCGCTACTGACTACCTACGGTGCAGCGCACGGATAGAGTCTCCCTTCGAGGATACACAGAGGACAAGGCGCGGTCTTATTGAGATCTAAACCTTTATTTGAGCAATGTCGTTGAATTGAAACGGCTCCGTAGATCTCGATTCTTGAACAGTGCGCCATATGGACAACGGTTTAAACTTAAAATACTTGATCATGATTACCGCAGAAAGCGCGAACGACGCTCCATAATATGGCTTCATGATTTTGGGGGTCATCACACTATCTCAAGTCATTGTTTGCGTTGCCTTGCATTAGTGAGCAGAAGCTAGAATGGAGAATCTCCATTATAATTAAAGAGCCAACCCCTCTTGCAAGCACGTTCTCTCTTTTTCATCACTCAAGTAAAACATCTCTTTACCTTTGAAAAATGTCTCCAAATGGAACAGCAAACGGGTATCGTACCGCCGAATCTTCGGCAAGCCGAGTTGTAAACGACGAGTTTCCGCAGAATTGGGTCCCTTTTTCAGATAAGCCCGCATACACTAGACGCAAGCTTCAGATGGTATGTATTGGGGCTGGCTTTGCTGGTTTAACATTGGCTCATAAGATATACCACGAGCTTAAAATAAACGACACAATCGACTTGGTGATTTATGACAAGAACCCTGGAGTCGGTGGGGTATGGTTTGTGAACACTTACCCAGAACTGTCATGGTAAGTCAAGGCATGCCGTTAGTTCATATGCGATATTGGGCAACAAGCTAAATATTTGCATAGTGATGTACCTTACCGTATGGCTTCAATTATAAATGCCTTTCATGTTGAATTTGGATTCTAATCTCCCTTTAGATATCTATACTTTCCTATTTGAACCAAACCCCAATTGGTCTCATTTCCTTGGCCCCGGAGCAGAGATACAGGACTACATTCAGCGCACGACGAGAAAGTGGAATCTTGACAAAGACATTCAATTTAATTCCCAGGTCAAGAGTACCGTGTGGAATAACGAGTCGGGAAAATGGAATATCGAGATCGACCAACTAGGATCACTCCAGCATGATGAGGCTGATATCCTAGTAAACGCAAGCGGGCGGGATAGGTAGATTCCCTTTATGTGGCTAAAATATGATCATCAGAAAAGCTTACACAAACATTCTTTTCTAGCAAATATACATTGCCAGAAATCGAGGGGTTGTCGGACTTCAAAGGCAAACTTGTCCACACTTCGAAATGGTAAGTCATCCAAATGACAACAGTGAGGTTTGATTTCGATAACCTAAATTTTCTAGGGACCATGATTATGACTGGACCGACAGGAATATTGCGTTTATAGGGAACGGCTCCTCGGATATTCAATGTGTGACAAGATTGCAACCAAAAGCAAAAAGTCTGGTTAATTTCGTTCGTAGTCCGACTTGGATCTCCAGCAACTTCCTTGCGGAAAAAACGCCAAATGGCCTAAATTTTGCATACACCGAAGAGCAGAAAAAAGAATCTCGGAGTCCCCGGAGGCTCACTTCAAATATCGAAGGGAGTTAGAAGCTGAGTAGGTATATCACAACCCCACTGTAAGCGCCCAAGTTACTAACGCCATTACTTCAAGCAGTGTCAATATCACCTATCATGCAGTGAGAACTGTCAACCCAATTCATTCTATGATGGTGAATGATCTTAAGCAAAAGATGGAACAGCGAGTGCGAGGTATCAAAGATCCCGAAGTTGTATCCAAGATGCTTTCTATAGGTTTCACTGCCGGCTGTCGGCGCTTGACACTGGGAGATGGTTATTTAGAGGCACTTCATAACTCAAATGCGACCATGAGCTTTACACCCATCGAGCAAATCACGGAAAATTGAATGAAGACTAACGGCGGACGCGAACATCAGTTTGATTGGATTGTTTGTGCCACCGGGTCTGATGTAAACTGGATTCTTTTTGGAAACAGATTGGTCTGAATGGTAAAAGATTAGACGAGCGCTGGAAAAACAACACAGAGGCCTTCTTTTCTGTCCATGTGGATACAATGCCGAACTACGTCATGATAAATGGACCCAACGGCACATACATTGATGTCGTGGACGTGTGACTATACTTGCGATGGGTAAATAAGATTTCCAGTGAAGATATCAAGTAGGTTTTCCTGATTCTTCATGAGGCGGTAAGGTCTAGCCTAATCACTTATTCAACAGATACATCAATGTCAAGTACGACGCTTTAGAGGACTACAATGTATACGCACAGGAGCTTCTAAAGCGTACAGCCTGGTCCTATGGGTGCCGTTCTTGGTATAAGAACGAAAAAAAACCCCGCCTTGATCACAGGTTTATACCCGGGATCTTTGTTGCATTACAAGGAATCCCTCGAAAACATCGGTGGGGAGCATTTCAATATCGAATATCGCTCTAAGAACCGATTCAACTTCCTGGCAACGGAGAAAGTGTCCGTGATGAGCATGGTATGGGAGATTTGGCATATTACATGGATGAAGGGAGGATTTAGACAGTCAATGGCTTATACTCTGCATATAAAGGTGCATGTGGGTGATTACGTCGGTATCTTGGCTTTTCCGTTACGTGGACTGGCAATTTAGCGTCACGGGTGATCATGTACTTTCTTTAATTTGGTATATTATGCAGTGCGTGGCACTCAATGTATGTCTAGAGAAAGGCATGGCATGCGCACGCCTCATCACGCGATGAAAGATTGTCTATTCGCTCATTGGTTGGGGAACAACTTCCATCCCCCAGTTTTTCCTCCGGCGGGGGAAGTCCTTGATGTTTTCTCTCTTAAACATACGTCAGTCTCTGATCTCGCTTATAGAACCGATCCAGCCTGAATATCATATTCCACCAATAATCCTCATCGACAGATCATCTCACAAGATAATGTGGGGTATAGAGTTAAGCTACGAACGGGGATCGGCAAAGGCGTCCAAGAGAAAACAAGCACGAGCGAAATAATCCGTGGGCATTCTCCGGCCACTTCCATTGCCGGATTTTTGAAAAGTATCATAGAGTGAGCTGTCAGAGATATAGGGAGAATGAGCAAAAGTCCAAGTCATCTTGAGATGAAGGGTGGGGCACAGCTCCACAAGCGCAAGATATTTCCTTCAGAAATCCCGGAATCCCCACCTGCCGCACCATCCCATGGGTGTTTCACCGTGTGTGCTAGTCCGCAAAGAGAAGCGTCTCCGGACAAATATTCGACAGAAGGGAAATAGCCTCATACTCAATGGAGAATCTCTCTTCTTTCGTCAATGAGTGACAAGGAGGAGCTCCTGCCAAGCGAAATAATATAAAAGGAGCCTCCCAGATTCTCCTCACACTGTCTCCAGGCATTATATCACCAAGCTCCGAAGTTCTGAAGAATACCTTAGCAAGTATCAAGGCAGTCTTTCATTGTCAAACAGGTCGAGCTGAAGCAACCATCATGCTTTCTCTATTCCTTCTCGCCTCCCAACTCCTAGCTCCTGCTTACGCGGAGCTTTCTCTTCGCGGTGCTGATGTCTCATCACTGATCATCGAAAATGACGCCGGGATAACGTACAAGAATTCAGCTGGCACAACTGAGGCGCTGGAAGTTATCCTCGCCGACGCAGGTATCAACTCAGTTCGCCAACGCATCTGGGTAAACCCAAGCTCTGGTGACTATGATCTGGATTACAATATCGAGCTCGCGAAAAGAATCCAGGCACAAGGGATGACCACCTACCTTGATTTACATCTAAGTGACACATGGGCGGACCCAAGTGATCAGGTGAGTGAGACTTCAGGATTTGTTCATTATTCCCATATAATGTCATTTTCATACTAAATCCAATTATTCAAGACAACTCCCTCAGGATGGTCAACTACTTCCATCGACACCCTGGCATGGCAACTATACAACTATACGTTGTTGGTCTGCAACACCTTCGCTGAAAATGACCTCACTGTCGACATCGTTTCAATCGGCAATGAAATTACCGCTGGACTCCTCTGGCCTCTCGGCGAAACACCCAACTACGACAATATCGCCAGTCTTCTCCACTCCGGAGCTTGGGGTGTCAAAGATTCAAACCTAGCAACAACACCTAAGATCATGATCCACTTGGACAACGGCTGGGACTGGGCTACTCAGGAATACTTCTACAACGAGGTTCTTGCCTCCAGCACGGATCTCGTCTCATCGGACTTCGACTACATGGGAGTGTCATATTACCCATTCTACAGCTCAAGTGCTACGCTCTCGGCATTGAAGACCAGTCTGACAAACATGTACTCGGCCTATGGCAAGGATCTCGTTGTTGTAGAGACTAACTGGCCTGTCTCATGCCCTGATCCGGCGTACACATTCCCATCGGATTTAAAGAGCATTCCGTTCTCTGTTGCTGGACAGACAGAGTTTTTGGAGCAGCTGGCTGATGTGATTGAAGCGGTCACTGGAGGACTGGGTATTTATTATTGGGAGCCTGCTTGGATCGATAATGCGGGCTTGGGAAGTAGTTGCTCGGATAACTTGTTGGTCAACACAGCAAACGATGAGGCTTATGCGAGTCTTACTACACTGGGAGAGTTGTAGGAAGTTTAATTATGGAAAGGTAGTTGAAGCGGACGAAATTGAATGTCTTCGCGCCTATGATATCATGAATGTCATTTGAATATCATCTCTGTTGGGTCTTATGACCTATGAACTGGTCGTTAATAACGTCAACACTGCCAAAAATGAATTACTCCTTACAACAGGCGGCGCACACGTAGGCTTATATCGCGATCATGCCATCTTACTAGGCCCAAAGTACGCCATTATCCCACAAGTCTGTTTAGTATCATACTAACACTCAATGAGCAGCTCATTCATGGTATAGATCTCGCCACAACTGTTGTTAAATAACCCCAAAAAACACGAGGAATGCTACATTTTTCGGAAAGTCCCAGCCCTCCGTACATACTGTGCCACCGAACAATTTCATAGCGCTGGTTTCAATTGTCGGTCTAGGTCTACTCCACCCTCCGCAATTCCAGACCTACAGCACCAAGCATTAGGCAAAATTGAGAACCTATTCTGATTGCTGGTGTTGGTTACCGACGACGTATACCTTGCCGTTCCACAGATAACGATTAGAATTGGCCGATAAATGGTGGGTCGCAACGCTTTGGTGTAGATAAATAGTCTCAAAAAACAGAAGGCTCATTCCTTATTGGATGATGAAATCAAGAATTCTGAGATTAAAGACGGTGAAAAAGACTACATGCCAATACATCTGGATCCAGTCCATAGGGCACCCACATACTGTAAATAAGAAGAATGACGATATTGGCCGAGAGAGCAGCGGTTGTATAACTTGAACTTTGAGTATAGATCTGCAACCTTTTCGGTCCACGTACATTTTGAGACCCACAAATCCCGTGTTAGGATAAGTAGGGTAGTACAGAAGGGATGTTACGCTTTTGAGCATATGCAGGTAATCAGCGACCGCACTCTTTAGCCGGTTTCTCCCTATCATTCTTTTAATCTCTACAATGAGCAATGAATCATCGTCTATAGAATAGTAAGGAGTGGCTTTATCGGGATATACGTTAGGATGAGGGCAGTATATGAGATTCCAGAGACCTGCATCTGGTCGATACATGGTAAAGCTGCGTAATCACTCATTTTGGCATTCTTCAAGGGATCAAAGGTGGTACAGAAGGGATGATTTGTTCAGAATATACATGAATGACTACCAATCATCACCGTCAAAGTTCAATGCAGCACATCGCTATGACTCAAATTCCCCATATCAACCCTCAATGGTGGACCTTTGGTTGGTTTATGCGATAATTTTGAAGTACGAATCGCAGCTGTTCGATAATATGGCATGCCACCCGTGCAGATAACCACATGCTGGGCACGAGGGAAAGGTTTCCACGGCGTGTTAGATCTAATGTTAAGTCCTGTGATGGATTGCGAAATTCGGCTGGCAAATGAAATAAGCTCATCTTGCCCCGGGGCATGGAATGTTCAACTCGGAGGCGAATACTGAGTTCGATCGAAGTTGGGAGGTGTACTTCGCAGGAACTTTCATCGGCCACGAATAACCATATACATTGATTAGTATGAAAGATCCACGGGTATAAATACATGGATGTCAACCCATGAAGCTACAGTTGACTTTGTTGAAAAGGGCATGAGCAAGTCTCACCAAGAACACTAAATCTCCAAATATACTATTCTTACGATGGCGACTACCCTTTCAGCCCCAAAGATAAAGGTTTTCCAGCTCTTGTGGGCAACAGACGACTCACAAAATGAGGTTGAAAACTTCATTGATTCCCATGCTGAAACATCTGCCCTTCGCAAAAATCTTAAATACACCGAGTCAAGACCCCACCTCACCATACCCCAGGAACTGAGACCCCAAAACCTTCTCACGGGGGCCCTGGCCGGACCTAAGAAGATAACCGTGGCGCCTTACGTGTTTTCCGATCCTGGAAAGAGCTTGGTTATGATCATACATCTTGGCAAAGAGACGTGCAGCCATGATGGGATTGTTCATGGAGGCCTTCTAGCCACCTTATTAGACGAATGTCTAACGCGATGCTGTTGTCCTGCCTTTTCGAAGAAAGTGGCCGTCACTGCCAATCTCAACATTGACTATCGCAATCCTGCGATGGCGAACTCTTATTTTGTTTTGACGGCAAACATAACGAAACTAGAAGGCCGAAAGGCTTGGATGGATGGTCGCATTGAGACATTGCCGAGCAATGAAGAGAAATCCTCTGTAATTGCTGAAGCAAAGAGTCTTTTTATTGAGCCAAAAGAGGGTGCCGTACGTAATTTTTGATTTTTCTTTCGAGGCCTGAACCCAGAGCTGATACTTCTTAGGGATTGAATGGTCCTTACAAGGCAGAGGCAACGGGTGATAAACGCTACTTCCAGCTTTAGGATTGAGTAAAATCTGAATGGTTTGAACGTCTTAGAATAGAAGCTTGAATTTGTATGATTTCTCATGAAGATCCATGTATTCTCCAATTAGAAACCCCAACATCTGAATCTAAACCGTCACGCCAGATATCTCGAATGTTTGAACAGTATCCTTCGCAATTGAGAGCGAGATAATCCCCTTTTCAATGGTGACACTATCACCAGTAGCATAAAGCTTGTCACCAGCAGTATCAGTTAACCAACTACTAACTTTGGTTCCATCAGCCGGAACCTTAGAAAATGCCGTCAAATCAAAGTTAAATTCCTGCTCGTCATCCCAGTTTGCCGCAACAATCACAAGCGTTCCACTTTCCTCATCGATAGCCGAGACAACATTGCTTGAGGTGCCGTTAAGAATACGCATTCCTGAACGAATATGTCGACTAAATTGTGCCAGCATATAGTATTTTGTTGTGGCACCATCGAGAGTGTTCGATGAAATGTCGCCATCTATGAGGCCCCAACCACCGCCATCGATGATCTGCCAGTATACCCAGGCATTAGGCTGCAGCGTTGTGAGATCGGCCATGATGACTCGTACCATTGTAGCACCGGTGCCATCGCTATCACCGTATTCACTGTCCCAGAGCAATTGTCCTGCCTCGGTAGCCGCTGCGCGAAGATCGGATCGAGGACCAGAGAGGGCTTGATAGCCGTGTGTGTTTACTCGTCCGACGTATGATTTCTCAGTTGCCTCGGTGATAGTGTCCCAGCCATCCAATGCAAGCTCAAATGAGTTCTCGTCTGACGCAGCGATAATTGTTTGATCCAGACCACGAGACTGCATCTCCTGGTGGAGAATGGGGATAAGAGACGCCTGGGAAGAAGCGTCGAAATGGCAACCTTCCTGAGTTCCCGTAGATACCCACCAGGATGAGGCAGGCTCATTAAATGCTTCAATAGAAGTGAAAGTAAGACCCCAATTATCCTGAGAATATTTCGCAATCGCAGAAAGGTAAATAGCATGATTCTGATACTGCGATGCTGGCAGATTACTTCCACCACCAGAAGCACCACTAGGATTCAAATTGCTGAGTTGCCACCACATTGGCGAGTTGGAAAAGAGTTCAAAGGTATCGGCGCCTCTTGTCTGTGCATTAAGCATCATGGTGCGTTGGTTAGCATCCACAGTCCAGTTCCAGCTAGAGGAACTAGGATCGGTGCTTAATCCATCCAACCAGTACCCCTCCATTTGTTTCGCAGCGGGGATATTTGCCGAAGGGACCATCTTGACAGTGCCATTGATTGTATTCCACGAGCAAGCACCTGCGTTGTATCTTAAGATGTTCAACCCCAGACCAGGAAGAGTCGTGCCGTTCGGGCTCCAATAGGTCGAATCTCTGGTGAAAACAATATCTGCCAAGTCTTCTCGGTCTCCAAATATATTAGCCCACCAGGCCAGAGATACACCCCAGCCATTCCAAATCTCGGATTGAAGATCAGTTGTGAATTTCGTTGTTTGATCTGCGTAGGTAAAAGGTAGGTTGAACGCGCAAAGAAGAGCCGCCGGGGCTGCCAGACGAGAAAGTACGCCAGGCATGGTGATAGGTTGATAATGATAAAAGAAGGGGGCGATGAGGAGGAAGAGGGCGACTTATTTAATAGTCGGGATTGTCTTTCGAGATTCTTAGAAGTAATTTCACAGTACCATATGGAGGTATTTAACATCCATTACGGTTAATTTTCGGCAAAGAAGTATGTAGCATAAGTGGACGGTTAATTACTTTTACAACCTGGAAGTGAAATGTTAAGCTGGTGAGACACACGCATAAACTTGGAAATGATGTACATCCTGTCAATAGACCTTATTATGGGGATGTATTTGACCGGAGATAATGTGGAGTAAAAATGGGTCATGCAGTCGCACGGAGCGATTCTCGGGAGGGACTTGCAGCGAGGCCCCGGAGGACCGAGATGACGATTGGTGCCCGCCTTCTTCAGCAAATTAAGCATTTTTTGTGGAAGTGCTCCGGAATTATTAGTTGGAGGTATTAAGGCCGATAGTCATGATGGTAAGAGTTAATAAAGCCTTAGATGTCACGAGTGCATTGTGGGAACATGCCAAAACGGGACCTCGGAGGCATTCTCCGCGGTAGTGACAACATTGAACCTTCAAATTATTGTGTAAATAAACCTGCTGAAGAGACTCTGCTCATCTGATGGTAGGTAGTGGCTTGCGTATTCAAGTTCTCATATAGCCAAGTTCCTTCAACTTTCTTTCTTTCTTTCTTTTTTCCCCCAGGATTCAGACCTGAGGTCGGAGCTACATAGGCTCAGATCCATACTATATCTTCCGGCTGTGGCTGTGATTAATACGAGTGCACCAAACTCCGAATCCATCATGATCCTTGCAAAATCGTAAGGCATCAATTATCCGCAAACTTAGAAGCGATGATGATAAGTAAACAAATTTGATTTCACGGATATTTACTAGTATATACCCCTGTTTACTAGTACGCACGAGCAGCTCCAGTTGGCTACTGCGCATAAAGACTATATGTATGGGGCGGAAAACCACTTAGTAGCCGTTATGTACTAGGCATGCTATTTCCAAGCTATAAAGATCAGACATATCCAGCTCCTTAGTATTATCCTCGTATCAGAAGTCTGTTGGTTGGGGTTCAAGAATTTTGGGAGGATGTCTATACTTCTCCACTGATTCCGTGCCAAGTACGAACTTGGAACACCTTGGGCCGTATTTTTATATAGTCAAGCAGTGATAAGGCTGAAACTGGTCAGCATTCAAAGCGACGTCTCACCCGAGCAGTCCGAACGTTTGGGGTTAGCCAGGTTATTTTCCCCTGTGGCTATTTCATAATACGAGGTGGAGTACGGAGAAGGTAGAAAGTAGATCTAGATTGTGAATTATGATTCAACTCTCAATTCTTCACGGAGGCAGACACGTTTCTGACCTAGATATTTTTGGGATCTATAGGCTTGCAATAGAAAGTTGAAACACGTCACAAGGCAGACTGTTGTATGGTCGCATGGTCGCAGTCTGCCTTGAGCGGCCCCTAACTCAACCCCTCCAACGTCAGCCGCTCACTAGCCTCGATTGGGTATTGATCTGATCCAATGTCAACCATGGATTTCAGCTGCGTGGCTGTGCAAGAGAGAACTAGAACTTGATTGTATTAGTCTGTCACCTTCTCCCCACCAAGAAATTCTGAAGAACTACGAGGACAAGATTGACGAACCTTTTTCTGTAAACATTAGAGAAACGAGTCTACCTAGACCCAGCTAGATTTAAAAATAGTGATCGCAAGTCCGTATCTTCTATCTGTTATCAGAAGATGTGGGGGAATTAGACTGTGGACTATCACCATTCGATATAGTACGAGACATATGCACAGTCTTATAACCCTCTTTTTAAGGGGATTGTTTTTTTTTATTATCTGTATTATCTGCATGATTACTTAGGCTTGAAACAGCAGAAATCTTCAATTTCCCCAAGTGGGCCATAAACAATCCAACCAGACGATCAGGGCCACAACGAAGAAGAAATTCAAAATTTCACGAAATTCAAATCATCCCTAGACCGCCTTGTGCACGTGAAATCACCATTTAATCCCATTTCTTGTTGCATTGTCCGCCTGGGCATCATTAAGGATATAAGCATCGCTGCTGACATTGCGCGCGTGTGTGTATTGCTCCTCGTCTTTCTGCGAATGTCCCGCCTATCTTTCCCATCCCCGCTCCTCCCTGCGTTCCCTGTCCGCCGCCCTCCACTCTAACACCTCACACCGACTTGAGAACGCGCTGGACAGCACCCTTGGCCCTTTTGATCTACTTGGACATCACCCTTTCTATCCGGCGCCTGATCGCTTAGTTGGGCACTGTCTCTGTCTGGCCATCATGGCGTCTCACGATCATTCTCAGGGTCATGGTGCCTCGTCTGCGGACTCCAAGCATCGCAGCGTGAGCCCATCACCCCACTCTCAGCAGTACCTAGATCCGACGGCTGGCCTCGGTCTCGACCCATCCATGTCCGCTACCTTTACGACAAACCCTGCCTTCAATAATGTCAATCCCGATGCTGCGATGGGAGGTCCGGAATCTTATGGTTATCCCTCCGCATATCTCTCTGCTGCCCCGCCCGGCGACCAATCGTTCCCCCCAAACATGAACCCTGGCAACATCCCCAATTCGCAGTCATTCGACGCAAGTCTGGTCGGCCAGCTGGACCCTTCATCGGGGGGTTACCGACCACCTCAGCCGGAGGATAACTATAATATGCTCAACACTGCTACCGCCGATATGGACTTCTCCGCCTACCAAAACCATAGTCCGAACAGTGTCAACGCTTCAGAGTATGACTCGTCATTGTTACTGGATCCTCAGATGCACCAGCGACCACAATCCATACACCAAGCTGTCAACCCCGCTGATTTGGTCAGCCCCATCTCCAACCCCTCCGCGTCCTCCCATCCATCGTCGCAAGACCCGCAGCAGTCGTCGCCTGGCCCTATGTCACCCCCTGGCTCCACGCCAGGCACATATTACACGCCTCAGCATTCGCGACACGCTTCCTTGGATCCAGCCACTGCCGCCTATCTTGGTGTGCAATCCAATCAAGAATGGCAGTCCGTGATGAACCATTCGGCTTTTCATGGCCATCGCAGAGCGCCATCTGAAGTGTCCGAAGTATCCTCAGCCAACCACTCGCCATACTTATCCCAGCACGAGTACGAAGGCATTGAGAACAATGCGTCTCCTTCACTGGTACCTCAGAATGACCCGGCGCTTTATGACAATGCGCTGGGCATTGAATCTTTCACACTTTCGGAACAACAACAGCAGCAGGGAATAAGCCCGCTTCATAGTCCTTATATATCGCCGCAGCTTATGCCTCAACAAGGAGGTGAAATGATTCCAAATGCACCTTATTTGTCCCCTAACCTCAATAATCAATTCCCCAATGCTCCAACGGAGATGTATGGGATGGCTCCGGACGACATAATGAACGCAATCAACAATGGGTCCGACATTGGACAAGCATCACAGATGGCTCCGCCATCAATCAATGTGGAATTTGCTCCTCCGTCACGAAATCCCAGCTTTGGACCTTCAAAACCGGCTGCCGACTTTGACTCTTTGAGCCCCCCGGCGATGCGTGAGTGTTTTATATCCGCTTTAATCGCTTATCAATCCACTAATCTATTATTCTTGCAGGATCTCGTGTCCGCAGTAAATCTGACCCATATGCGCATCCTGCTTCTCGCTCACGGTCTCCCGCAACCTCAGCAACTAGTCTTGAGGCTCATGCCGCGACTTCACCGCGATCATTATCTCCTCACTCTAGGAGCAGTCCTGGCTCGCGGGAAGCTTCACCCTCCCGATCAAATCGACGCCTTTCAACGTCCTCGATTGAAAGCCGAAATTACATTCTGGACTTAGCAGATCCCCAGCGCCCCGGGGCCATCCCTGGTGATTCAAAGCGCGTCCAAAAGCACCCAGCCACTTTCCAATGCACCTTGTGTCCGAAACGGTTCACTCGCGCGTATAACTTGCGCTCCCACCTTCGAACTCATACAGATGAAAGGCCGTTTGTTTGTACTGTTTGTGGTAAAGCCTTCGCTCGACAGCATGATCGGAAGCGGCACGAAGGTCTCCATTCAGGCGAAAAGAAGTTCGTTTGTCGGGGTGACCTCTCAAGAGGAGGTCAATGGGGTTGCAACCGCCGATTCGCACGTGCCGATGCCCTAGGTCGCCATTTCCGTTCTGAGGCAGGGCGTGTTTGTATCAAACCGTTGCTGGACGAGGAATCTCAAGAAAGAGAAAGAGTTCTCATGGAGCAACAACAGCAACAGCAACCCTCTGGTCATCTACAGCCCGTCCCACAGCCCTTGGTTATGCCTAGTGTTCCTGGCATGGATGGACAGTCTTCAGGCAACTTTGTCCTGCCTGCAGCATTGCTCGCTCAATACCCTGCTCTCCAAACTCTGCAGTGGGACCAAATTGCACCTGGCGGCGATGACCCGGGTGACATTGGTGGCCGCAGTAGCTTCGATGCCAGCTCTGGCGGCGAATATGGTTTTGACGAAGACGAGTCGGGCATGAGTAGTGTATCTGGCATGAGCGGTGGCTATGGAAATAACCAGGCTGAAATGTATGGAGTCAATAACTCTTGGGGCCAATAACATGACCTGCATCCAAGCGACTCTGGATACCCCGATCAAAAATGCGCTGGATAGCAGAGAAGGTATCATCCTTAGGGGTTGCGTGCGTGCCTTGACACAATCATTAATATGCTAAACCGCTCCATGATATTTTTCATTGACTTGACTTGACTTGACTTATGCTTGAAACTGGCTCTTTCAGTTTCCTTCTGTGGCCTTTGTGCTCTATAGAGAAGGGGTTGGCGTTGATCTACAGGTTTCGAGACTGGGTTGGATCCTTTGTTTTTGAGTTTCTTCCATTTTATTTTCATTTATGCGTTTTCTTCAATCGTCTCCGCCCGTCAACGGGTGGCATGGGGTTTCTGGCTCTCTTTTATTTGATACACCGACGACATTCGTTGCAAGTACGCAATTGTCTTTCTTCTTCATGGCCCATCATGACCATATTTTCTTTCTCTGGCCTACGATTAGGTTCGGTATCTCTTATTTCTATATTCATCTGCGAAAAGGGAGTATTGTTAAGCTTTGCATCCTTCCACTCCCATCATACCCGTGTGCTACTTTTGGATGTTTGTCTATTTTCTTGATATACCTCGGGGGATTTATCCACCCTTCCAATATGAACAATTTGCGATTTACTTCTCTTCAAATGTCAAGTCCCCTCACCTCTACCGGAAATTTCCATCTCTGGGGACATATTAAACTAGATTGACGGATACCTACAAACCCCATATAAATCAAAACACTATGCCATTAGAATAGAGGACCATTGATCAGATAAAAGACTTATATGGATTAAAGGGTATATTATGCAAGGAACAGACAGACAAAGCCACCAAACAACATCAGATCAGATATTTACAAGATGCTGACCAAAAGAGGGTATTAGATATTCATCTATGGCAAAGGAAAGAAAAAGCAAGCAAGTAAAAGGTTGACTGAAGACAACTCAGAGTGTGAGAAAAAAATACAAGTTGCGGTATGCGTGTATCTACCGCGACGCCTGAACCAACTTCTCAACCTGAGTCAACCACTTCTTACCAAACTCTTCCTCTGTAAAACGCAACGCCGATCGTCTCGCTCTCTGTCGCATAGCAATCTTCTCCTCAACCGGAAGTGCAAGCGCCGCTTCAAACGCAGCAGCGAACTGTTCCTCTGTCTCGGCTCTGAATCCAGTCGCTCCATCACCGAGATCAATCACGATGTCCTCACGTGGACCACCAGAATCATGAGTCACACAAATAAGGCCAGCGGCCTGGTACTCGACGACACAGATACCGAAATGCTCATTCCACATGCCGTTCACGCCGATCGAAGCCGTTCCCAAGTGTGAAAGAACAGCGGGCCAGCTTGCATCGCAGAGGAAGGTGGTATGGTCGCGTATCTTTAGTTCATGAGCCAAGAGCCTTAGATTGTAGATATGTGTTTCATCGGGGCTGTTTTGGCGGACTGAGCCGATGAGAACGAGCCGCGGGGGCGGGGTATTGGCGAAAACAGGGTTACGGGTGCGCTCCTGCAGGAAGCGTGCGAAAGAACGCAATACCAGTGGGTGGTTCTTCTCTGGTCGAAACTGTGCGATGTAGAGCAGGACTGGTTGACGGGTTCGCTCACTTTCCGCATCGACGGTGATTGTCGACTGGAGTTCTGAGACTGCTGTTGGAGGGAAAACAACCGCTGGGGAGGAAGGGGTTCCATCACCTTCACTGGTGTTGATGCTCTTCCCGTTGCCCCAGAGCGAGCGGATATGCGCTGATGTCCATGAGGAGTTGCACATGACTACATCGACCTGGCGTCCCACCCAACCATACAGTTGTGCGAAAAGTTGCCAGTATCGACGCTTCACGGTTCCTTTAAATCCCTTTCCGGCACCTGAGTTGATACCTTGCACGCCTGTGTGGTCGTCAAGGGAGGCCAACATGTCTGTTGAGATAGTCGGATAATGCACGTATGCACCAACGGGTACTGTAGGGAAGAGCCACTTGGACAGAGCCAGCGTAAAGGCATAACCCATTGTATCAACGAATACATCAGGTACAAGTAGTGTAAATGCATCATAAGCCACAACCAGAGAACCAAGTGACTGGCCTAGCAACGTCATATACGGATACGAGTTGCTGACCACGTACTTCCGTGTGGTGAGATAGAGCAAAACAACCCTTGGGGGATGCAAGTGGATGTTGAATCGATTTTCCACCCTCTCCAACATAGTGGTCTTGTTAGCTTCATGGTCACCAGTGTAAATGGCACAGATTGCCTTTGGCCAACGCTTCTGTGTAGCGCGAACAGCCTCCCAAAGTACTCGTTCTCCACCCCCGCCGGCGTTGCTATCGATAGTGTAAGTAAACAAAGAGCCCCGTGTAGATAGGCGATGAAGGCACAACATACCAAAATGGGTGGAAGAACCCAATAATGCCATCCCAGTCATCAGAACTGACGCCTTCGTTCTTAGATCCTTCCCCGCTCTCACTGCTACTTGAAGTCTTCGCCCCACCAGAGCTATCAACCTTCTCCCAATCCTCATCCTCGGCCTGGCTCCGAGCTAGGGAGTTCGTAGAACGCTTTGCCCGTGGAGCCCGGTAATCATCTTCTTCAATTCGCGCCCGCGCGATAACATATTCCCGACGCGATCGTGTCCGTCGGCGGATCAGCCAGCCTGCACTGCGAAACACTAACCCGAGCAAAGTCCCCGCTAACCGTGGAAGAAGGAGAGCGGAGGTGGCAAGGACCACGAGGGCGATGATGGCATTTGACAGAAAGGCCATAGTCACAGTTGTCACCAGTGTCCTCGCATACTACTATAAAGTAGTAAGATGTGAGGAAGTGCAAACGGATCTATCTGTTTCACTGGAGAAGTTGACGTGTTGCTAGAAAGCGTAACTTACATACGTGTCACATGACGTGGAGTCTGTTTTTCCCTTTCCGAATTAACTGCAACATCAATTCAGTCAATTCCAGTGAGTGCGCCAATTCGTTTCGAATCGCCTGGGATTCGATTCGGTCCACTGGTGGCCATGAACTCGTTACGAACCTCTCCCCTAAAAGCATTGAGGTCATCACGAATCTCTGGGCTTCAAATAGCTCCGTCGCATATCCGATACTTCCACCCGACCAAACCAGCGCCGAATCTCATCAATGTAGCATTAGATGCCTCTACGGGTCTAATCCATGGTGTACACAATTTCACCGGTCTCCCATGGGCCGCCTCTATTCCCCTGACAGCGTTGCTTGTCCGAACAGCCGTTGGATTACCAATACAATTCCATACACGAGTCCACGCACGCCGACAACGAGATCTCGTACCGCTAGTGAAAGCCTGGAAACAAGTTTACGACAAGGGTGCAAGGAATAGAAACCGACCTGAAGGCGAAGCATGGAAAGCTACACAAAAACAGACGAAATATTTGCAACAAAGGTGGCATGTCAAATCCTGGGCTAAGGTCATACCGATCTTACAGGTACCGGTCTGGATCTCACTTATGGAGGGCATCCGTGGAATGTGCGGGAATAACAGCGGACTCGTGCCATGGCTACTTTCACTATTCAGGCCAACAAAAGAGTCAGCCGATGAAGCTATTCAGTCTCTTAATATGACCGTGGAGCCGTCACTTGCCAGCGAAGGTGCACTGTGGTTTCCCGATTTATTAGCGAGTGATCCAACAGGAGCACTACCTGTTATGCTCACAGCATCCATTCTACTGAATGTAAACACGGGTTGGAAGAAAAACACACTTTCAGAAATGTCTGATATGCCAAAGCTGCAGATGTATCAGAGTGTCTTTTTCAATGGCCTTCGAATGTTCATCCAAGTTCTTGCTCTTAATGTTGGGATCTCGGGGTGGTATTACGAAATGCCGGCCGCTCTTATGATATATTGGATTGCCAGTACCAATATTGCGACTTTGCAGAGTTGGTGGTTGGGCAAGTACATGTATTCGAGGCCACCGCTTCCTACTTACAACACGAAGCATATAAAGTTCCAGGGTCCAGGTGATCCTTTCAAACTCAACTTGAAATAGACTCTTAGGAAGCTGCCGCTGCTTTCTATCTGGTTCTTCTCGTGCAACCCCCCCCCCACCACCACCACCACCACCAGATCCTCGTCAAGCCTTTTTTAATTCGGCAGGCACATCGCGCCGCAACTCGCTGTTTAGAGGGACTGGCCATGGCAGCCTCTGTTAGCGGCTAATGGAAATCTTCTGATCAGCCCAACTAATCCAGCGGTTATGCCATTCAGGATAAGGGCTACAGAGGAAGAGTCATTTTGTATAACTAACACCTTGTATAAATGTATATTATTGGATAGGGACTAGAAGAATCTTGAATTCCATTTCAATGGACTTGTTTACAGAGATATCGTCATTGTGATTGTCTTTAGTTATTATTTCCCTTAAAAATGGGTTACTTATTCGTCTATCCGGATGTTCCTGTCTATCATTTTGATGACTGTGGCCTCCTTCAAAGGTTTTATCTGCTAGTAATCTACGGAGTTGGCTTTGAGCATAGAAAAGCACCGAGATGGTATGCAGCAAACAAGTTTGATTTCTTGTTATTAAGGACGCGCTTGTAGATAGGATATCAAAATTGGACGAAACCTCCGTTGATCATCTTTCAGCATTGCAATACCAGCAGAAGACATGTATGTAGAGACTTGTAAACTTGTAAATGTGAAGATAGAGTAGAAGATAGAGTGGATGTTCAACGGCCTGAAAGTTCCATCGTGGGAAAAAGGCGATTTTCACAGGAGAGTCATAGGATGAGCCTAGAATGGAAGGAATACGCGAAGAAGATGATTGACTCGGGGTTTAAAGCTTGGCCTTGGGGGTCTCTTCTGGGGCGCAGGCTTCCTCGTTGCGTTCGACAGTGCGAGAATCGGGGCCCTGGCCGAAAAAAATAACCTCGACGGTGATATCGTCACTGAGAAGAGGGGAAGTTAGTGTGTAACTCTTTGGATTGAGCACGTCATCTGATTCCTGGAATCAAGACATACCGGTAACGGCGGGAATAAGGAGCAGGAAGCGTCAACAAGGCAGTAATCATTTCCTTGTCTTTGCCTCCCATAGCATTGCGGACAAGATGCGTGGCAGCATTCTTATCTTCAACTACGAAGCGGCTTTCAGCGGGGGGGGATATCATATTGCTGTTGGCGGATTGGGCGTCGCTGGCCTGCAGTAGAGGCTTCACCAGCTGCCTCAACTGGCAATTGCTTCTTGCCACCGAAAGAGAACCAGCTTTGCAACCAAGCTGTGCTGGATGTTCCAGACTGCTGCTGCTCGAGCCATTGACCAACCAAGCCAACGACTTCCTCATTGCTCAGCATCTCCCATAGACCATCAGTAGCCATGACAACGAAATCTCCTTTAGATGGGTCAATCTTGGTAGTGGTGACGACAGGCTCGGCTGTGACATAAGGAGGAGTCTTGAGTAGTGGAGAGGGAGTGCGACCAAAGAATTGGCCCTTGATCTTGTCTTGGACGTCCTTGGTCCATTTGTAAACAGCATCTCCAAATGCACGACTAGGCTCCAAGTTTCCTAGGATTCGGCCATTGCGGGTCACATAGGGTTCACCAGGATGCTCCTCTTGCAGGCGCTTGATCTCTGAAGGTGTTCCACCAGTAAGATCTTCCGAGAGTGCCTTGGCGGTCCATTTGCCGCTAGGGCCGCGACGGCCAAGAACAGCGCGGGAGTCACCAGCAACCGCAACCTTGAGGCTTTGAGACTGAGAGTCATAGAAGCTGAGAAGAGCGCAAGATCCTGAGAGGGCAGGCGCAAGGAGTTCTGCAGCCATGCGTCGTGACTTAGACTTGAGAACCTTGTTGACACTCTCGTTCACAATATCGTGGTCTAAACGGAGGAATCCTTGCTTAATAGCAGAGTCAATAGCTTCAGATGAAGGGATCAATACTGAAGGATCAGCAGCGGCAGATTTATAGGTGGCATTGAGTTCTCTGGCGACGTATGAAATGAGCACATTTCTCAACTTGGCAGATGTTGTCCAGCCCCTATGCATGTTATGAGTAAATCCTTAACCTATTATGAGTATGAAGCGGCGAAAAAAGCACTTACGAGTGGCCATCAAACACTCCCCAAAATGACCAATCACTGCTAGGTTCTCCATTCTGATTAGCCGCTACGGATGCAGGTACTTCAACGATAAGTTCGGCGTGGTCATCCTCAATCGGCGAGTTGCTGGGAACCTGAACTATATCGTATCGAACCACTCCTTTACCCCGATTAACCAGATAAGATTCCTCATTCTTGCGCAGCTTTTCTGTTGCTTGTTCCGGAGTCAACATGTTCAACATGCGGCGGTCTGAGTCGTCGGTTTCTTTCGTTAACGGCTGGTCCTGGGAAAGGGTCGCGGTGTAGAACTGGTCGTTGCTGACGAGAAGGCCACGGCGCGTGGAGTCTGGGGGGCCCTCGGCGTGGGCAGATGCGATTGCGCTTGAGGCGAATGCTCGAACCTGTGTTGCTAATGACTGAGCGCTACCGTCACCCTGGTACGCATACCAAGCTCCGGAGGCGACCACAGTCGAAATCGCAGCAAGGCCAAAGTTGCGAAAATACATGGATGATTGCGAACGCGCTTGGAGGAAAGACGAGTGACGGCCTCCGGAGTATTGGCGTAGGCTTCGTACCTGGTTTTGGTTGAAGTAGAGCGGGCTTGGCCGTTTACCGGCAACTTTCCATACTGGGAGTCGCCTAGCAGTACGGAAAGTCTGGACGAATGCCCGACGCATTTGCTCAGGTGAAAATTTGTGAAACGATAAAAGTCTCAGCAGTGCCGGACTTCAGTTTCTGGATATGTCCCGTAGAGTAACACTCCTGGAACAACGGAGAACAACAAGTGAGCAGCGCGGCGATAAATGATAAGAGACATCACGTGCCTCCGGAGCAACGCTAGCTAAAATGGGCAAGTGTCGTCATTCCCCGCGCAAGTAAATCTTGAAGCTTTTTCTACATCACGTTGTGTTGAATTCTGTGTGGTTGTTGGCGCTTGACGTTATTCATTCAAAATGTCGTCGCGCGCAATTCGCAAACTACAGAAGCTGCGCGAACAGGAACTGCACGAAGCCGAGCAGCAAGATGACTCAAGCGACGATGATGCCCCGCGTCCCACGAAATCCAAGTTCAACGCCTTCGATCTCCTAAATGCCGGGAACGATGATGACGATAATGATGAGGAGGAGCCTGATGAGGAGCTAGCAGCGCCGGAAGTCCAAACCCCCGAGCCTACACCTGAGCCAACAACCCCCAAAAGCGCGAACAAGAAGAAAAAGAAGAAGAAGGCCAAGAAGGCACCGGCCGTTACGGAATTAGCAAAAGGGAAAAAGGAGGCTGAACTGGATGAGATTGACCGAGCTCTGAAAGATCTCGCCGTCAAGGGATCGTCTTCGAATGGAAATGACCCTTCAGTCTCACTTACTTCCAGCCAAGGCGTCTCCTTCCCCAAAACTACCGACGAGCTTTTGTCGATCGAATCCAAATTCCTGAATCCAACGAATGAAATGCGAAGGCTATTCGGCAATGTTGCACTAGAAAATTTTGACGACGATGCAGGGTCCGGTCGCCGTCGAGATCGAAATCGGGAAGAAACCGTTGATTTGGGCCGCGCTTTAACAGGGCGATACAGCCCAGCTAGCAGGGGTCAGAGTCTAGCAGGCGTCACTTTACGACGGAATGTACTTATGCAAGGAAAGGATGAATGGCCCCGAGCTCCAAGTGGGGGACTGGGTATGGAAGTAACAGAAAAGCTTTCTTCAGGCGATGTACTCTACAAGATCCTTCGCAATGCAGCGTACACGGATATCCAAAACCAATTTGATCTCTGCGTTGAGTCTATGGACCCTCAAAGATTGATTCAGCATCTTCAGTACAATCCCTACCACATTTCTACTCTTCTACAGGTCTCTGAGATTGCTAAACATCAAGGAGACCATGCTGTTTCTGCCGATCTTCTGGAAAGAGCTCTTTTCAACATCGGGCGTTCGGCGCACTCTTCCTTTGGTAGCCGGCTGAAGGAAGGCCAGGCTAGGCTTGACTTTAAACAAGGAGAAAACCGAGAACTATGGCTTGTGGGATGGAGATATATTGCAAATCTCGGCATGAAAGGCACATGGCGAACCGCTTATGAATGGGCCAAATTGCTTCTGAGCCTCAATGACACGGATCCCTATTGCATCAAATTAATGATCGACTCGCTTGCTCTGCGTGGCAGAGAATACGCACAGTTCGTAGAGCTGTGCACGCAAACACGCTTTAGCCGCGACTGGGCTGATCTTCCTAATATCCAATGTTCCTTGGTCATGGCCTACATTCGCTTGAAGAAACCCCAAGAAACTCGGCAGCAACTCCGTCATGCTATGTCTCGTTACCCATGGATTTTCAATAGACTGGCTCAAGAGCTGGATCTTCAACACATCCCCAAGCATATTTGGGGTAAAATGCCCCCGACTGGATCCCACGAACTTTTCACCGAACTCTATATGAATCGAGCTAAAGACCTTTGGAACACTCCGGAGGCTGTGTCCTTGATCATGGAGGTTGCAGAGTCTCTCTCCGGGGAGCCTGAGCCAATCGAACCACCCGAGATCACTTTGGATATTGCTCGCCATGTCATTCTATCCGACATCCCTAGCGTAACGACCCATCTCCCCAACCGCTTTGTGTCAGGGCGCCTCTCAGCATCAGACCCTCTTCCTCCATATGATTCAGAAGCCTTCCGTCAGCAGTCTGACCCTACCCCGTCCTACCTCTCACGGATACCCGAAGCCGGACGCCCGCAATGGCTCCGTGATCTTCTGGGCCAGATGAATGATGGAGGGATTCATTTCCCTGGCTTGGGCGCGGGGGCTGATGGACAAGACGAGAATGCATCGGCTGATGGGGACGATGATAATACAGGTGGTCGGCCGCGGGGGCTAACAGGAGATCAACAAGTTCTCGAGCAATGGATTCTGCAGGATGGATTAGAGTCTCTGCAGATGTTCCTGACTCAGCATGGTGTAGACCGAGGCAATTGGGGCGATGTCGTGGATTATGCCCCATTGACTGACTATCTGGAAGCCCTTACGGAGATTCAACCAGACACATCTCGACAAGGATTGCTTCATGGTCCTATTCAAGAGATCATTGGGGATTTTGCGGTCACTATGCTTGAAGATGAGCTTGAGATGATGCAAGAGGAAATCTCTAATCCTAGTGATTTGGACTGAGTTGAAATTGGCAAACTCTTTTCCAGCGGCATCACAGTTGGGAAGGGAAGTGTATTTGTTACATACATAGGGATCCATTGGTGTACCCAACTGGACTTATTAATCATTATTGAAGCCATTGATATACCTGGATAAAACTCCTATTCATAGACTTGGAGTCACGCAGTTGCCCGCATTGCTGAATGTCTGGAGGCTTTCACCCGGGCAATCGAGAGCAATGCCGGCTAGAATTAATGAAAAACATATAGGCCATATTTATTGTCACTTTTACTCCCCCGTAAACAAATAGCGAAGAATGATATTACTTATTGTGACATGTCACATTCAGTGTTTCAAGGTGGTCATATACTAGGCATACTCAATGGTCCCCAATCGCGCCTGTATCATAACGATAACGTAGAAGATCTCCTTCCGTGTCCATCAGATCACCTACACTGGGGTCAAAAGGCAGGATACCACCATAATCGAGCAAATCAGTGAGACTTGCTTCCTCATTGGTGTCATATCTAGCTGGCCCATTATACTGCAAGAATCGATTTCCCGAGTATTTTTGCCAACTCCACCAAAGGCGATCTATCTGAGCATGATGTAGGAAAAATACTGGATCTGTTAAGAAACAATCATAGTCAGAACCTATTAAGTTGACAATTGCAAAATAAACGTGAACTCACCATTTGATGCCGTGATTCTCCGGAAATCGCCATGAACAAGATAGGGGACTGTTATATGAGACACATCCTCGATATTCATTGTGAATCTAAAGAAATCAGTCTCTTTGGCAATGACTGCCTCCAAGATTTCAGGCTTGACTGTCGTCCTGCTTCTCTCTTCTGCCTCGGCCTTTTCAAAGAAGCCACGAGAAAGGCAATGTGGCCGGTAATCTCCCTGGTAGTAAGCTGGAGTCCATTTGGCAAAGGAACCATTTCTGACGCAATGTCCATGTGAAACACCCTCTGGGCCTGTCATATCGCCGTTCGGACCAAACCCGGGATCAATATCCCATATCGGGGATTCCAGGACGTTTTTATAATCTTTCGACCAGTCCCAATATCTAACTATGCGTTGAGTTGAATGGAAGACTATCACAAGAGCAAGAATGTTTCACTCACGGTAGGGTCCCCTTGAAGCCGCAGTGGTCTTTCAATGCCTTTTCGTATGAATGAATGAAGTAGCGATGCCAGGGGAGGAAAGGAGCCGCGTTGTGCGCTAGATTATCGTCTTTAGATTCGATTCCTCGTCTGCCAAGTAAAAGACATCTTCACTTACAGTAGTTCCCAATGCGACCATGTAGATAGGAAAAATCATCGTGAATAGTGACCCGAGGGTCCCTTCGCGACGGTGTCTGTGTCAAACAGACTGCTGCATCTATATACAATTCTTTCTCTGTTTTGGTGAGTGTCCTCCACTCTCGACGCAATCGTAAGCTTTTAGACTCTTCTGTGTTTGAGAGAGAAGAAACGATTATAGGGACCGATAATCCAATTAAAGTTAGAATGACCATAACAACCATAATGACTCCTAAAAGGTAGGATCGACGTAGTGTTTTAGTAACGGGTGTGGATTGAACGGAAGTTTCATTGTCGAAATCATGACTACTATCATGATCTTTTAGTAAAGAATACGGAGTAGTCTCTGCTTTGAAAAGAAACCGCATCTTGGTATGATGGTGATGGGACGACAGTTTAGATCATGGCTTTTCCATACAGAGGAGTTTCACATTATGCAAGATCCCTATCCAGGTAGAATTTCGTCAACGTCGGCTAAAAAGAAACCAAGATTATATTGTAGCGTGCTAACTTAGCACATGTTTGCTGATGAGGGGGGCTCTGCTCCGAGCAATGTCCGTTGGGACATACTGCAGCATGGTGGTCAGCTAATGTACTAGCGCTGAATCATTGCTCAGGTGGCGGTACAACCGTATGGTAAGTCCTGGAAATACGGCATTACATTATGTGTGGATCCTGTATACATTTGTTTTTCATAACTAAATTGCCTAACGCCTTTCCTAGATTGGGTTTATGAATCCACAATCCCGAATTCCGCGCTTCGCACTTCGCACCTAGTGTAAGCTGTGTTGATCTTCCCCACTCATTAACTCATTCCCATCCAGGCAGACCTTTGTCTCCCCCATACCTTCGATATACCACTCGAGGTCTGACAATCGAGACTAAATCTTGAATTTTCCATAATTTAAACCAAAATCGACCATGGCCGCCAATCAGTTAGCCACTGTTGAAGCTTTCTTGCAAGGCCACCCGACCATCAAGTTTATCCCACCCTCATCTACTGAGTTTGCGACCGCACGCGAGGTCTGGAATGGCTCGCGACCTGATACTCCTCTGGCAATTGTTCAGCCACACTCATCTGAAGATGTTGCAACCTTGATCAAATTTGTCAAGTCTAATACAATCTCATTCTCTATCCGTTCAGGTGGACATAATCTAGAAGGCCGCGCTCTTGTGCAAGATGCCTTGCTGATTGACATACGGGCCTTGGATTCTGTCACTGTCGCGGACGATCGACAGTCCGCGACATTAGGTGGTGGTATTCTCCAGGGTGACGTGGTCAAAACGCTCTGGAGTGAAGGTGTGGCTACTGCCACGGGAACTATCCCCCATGTGGGATATTTTGGTTGGGCCTCTTACGGTGGATATGGCCCGTTCTCCTCTAAGTGGGGTCTCGGGGTCGATCAGATTATTGGCGCGACTGTGGTGGACCCTAACGGGAGCCTCGTTAAGATCGGTGCCAACAATGATCTTCTGAAAGGTATCCGAGGTGCAGGTGGCGTGTTTGGTGTCATTGTTGATGTGACTGTTAGGGTTTACCCTGCTCCTTCTGTAAGATCTAATCCTACTTCCCAAAATAACCGAAGTTTGATAAATTTCTAACTGTTCATGTCATTCGCAGTTACTTGCGGGGCCTATCATTTTTGATACGAGCGATATAGCAAAGTCGTATACCGACATCAATACCGCCTACAATAATCTGCTTGATACCGAGACGCTGCCGCCACAACTCACTCTCCAACGAGTGACGTTTAACTCTCCTCGTGGTCTTGCCTTCGCCTTCCTCTTTGCTTGGAGCGGCACTGCAGACGAGTTGGAAGAGGGCCAAAAATGGAGCGAAAAGATTGCCTCCCTAGGTCCCGCAAAGATGAACATGGTTAAGCCTACCACCATCCCGGAATGGATCTCTGGTGCGGGTGCCCATGTTCCTCGCGTTGTCTATGGCTCTTCAAGAACATACAATGTGTCCAGGATTACACCCAAAGTTGCCGAGGCAATTGGCTCTAACCTGGCGCATTTGCCTGCCGATCCCGGCGCAATGTTTTCTCTTCATCAGCTTCGTGGTTCTTCTGCAACACCGCATATTCATACTTCCGTATTCGAGCCTCGAGAGCCTCATTTCATGCTTGAAATTCTTGGATACTCAGTCACATCGGAAAAGCAGAATGACTCCGAGGCTTGGGCTGAGAAATTTGCCGCGGAGGTAGAAGAGGCTGCTTCGAGTTCTGCAGTGTTATTGCCCACGTCGTATGTGTCTATTTATAGCTCTTCTCATTCCGTCTCGACGGACGAGTGGGTGAACAGGGTTTACGGGGATTCAGCTCGTGAACTGCGTGCTTTGAAATCGTCATTTGACCCTGAAAATGTTTTCAAATACACAGTTCCGTCTTTGGAGTAGACAGGTCATGTCTTAACCGGGGATCCACGTTGTGTGGGACCTGGGGCTACTGCACTGCAATGATCGATCTCATTGTATGAATATAATGGTCTCTTTTTACTTGTATATTGTCTTCCTTGTAACATCTGGAGTATTATTTCGTACGTGGTGGTGATATCATGACCGCATTTATGTACCCATAACAGCAAATTGGTTCCCTCCATCTGACAGGCTGCTTTATTTAACCTCTCAGATACGCTAAGGATACGCTTAAATACGATCAACCTCAAATACCAAGAATTTTTTATGCAAGATACTTTGGAGCTCTTGATACCCCTGTCTAAGGATAAGCCTAAATCCCACATGAAAATGCATAATGATTTGTTATAAGGCAGTAAATGAATCGGTCAAGGAGCGGCGAAGGAAATTCAAAGTCGGCATAGCTTCAAATCCCAAATCCTTTGTCTTCAAATTGCGAGGGACAAGACACAAGCGGCTTGGCCCCAAACGCTCGAGCCAATAACCCGAAAGTACCCCTGTATAGGTGCAGCCACCGGACTTAATCAAAAGAATTGGTAATCAGGAATTCTTTCTGCTCTCCTTTTCCTCATTGCCTCCGCCCGTATCATTGGGGTTGGTTCACAGGATCCTTGCAAAAAGTGGGAAACCTGGGGGCTGGATCATACAACTGTCGTTATATTGGCTGTCTCAGCAAGCCTCGCCCCACGGCAAGCATGTCTTTTATGCCCAAGAGCCTAAGTGCCTAAGTGCCTAAGTGCCTAAGTGCCTAAGTGACAACTTTTAAAAATAGATACTGTACATTGCGGTAATCTGATGTTTCTGTTCTACTTTTTACCTTTGAAATTTCATGGATTGTTGTAGCATTGGAAGACTACATGGGTATACCACATCCCATGCTCATTAGCTTCGGAAGGCTTCAAAGCTACTCAGCTAAGCATGAAGCCAGGAATAAAGGGCATTCCAAGATCCAGGGCTCACGGATTATTCAAAGTAAAAGGTCGTGTATTCATGGCTAGATGTCTCACGGACTATGTTAAGAGACCCATGGGAGGTTTGCTATGGTCTCTGAAAGCCATTCCCGTGAGCGCCAGGGGCTTAAGCGTACCACGAGAAAAAGTCCTTGTGCCGACAGTGACCTTTTCTTTTTTGTGGGCTTCGATCAATGCGGTTAGGGGCATGCAGGGTGAAGCCGCCATTATTGATCCTTCCGGGCGCATCTTACAAGTTCATCCCGAGATTCTGGAATGGACCGTGGTGGGTCTCTAGAGGCGGCTATTTACTGGGTTTCATTTTCTAAGTTCAAGTAGACTCACTCATCTGAGAAGTATATTTGTACAAGCTCCACGATATGGGTAAGGGTCCACTTCGGTCTGAAATATGATCCCTGACCCACGAAAGGATGAAGTCATTCGTATACATTGTGGCCCATCTAAGCAGACTTGGTTGACACCGAGATTGAAGGATTGCTCACCTATTTTCTTTCATAAGCCTCGAGTTACGCTAAAGCGAGATGCAGTGGCCGCATGTCCTGCCCCATTGGGTGGGAATTCACCCCCGTTCCGTCTGCCGTTGGGCAAATATCTTGGCAACACTATTTCCTTTTCTGTTTTTCTCCTCCTTTGTTTTTAGAAATGGAAAATCTCCGAGATATCACCTTGCATTGATAAGCTCTAACCGAAGTCGAGCTAACTCAAGATAGATCAAACTCCGTGCAATCTATAGTATCTCTTTGTTCGGCAGTATGACATATCTGGGCTACGGTATTTGAGTGCGAGTACACTGTACTTCAATGATGAACTTCGTCAGAAAAGTAAAGTTTTTGCAACATAAACAGTATATTTTGGAATAAATGATATATTTGGAGTTAAAACAAATGGAGCTCGCTTCGGCTTGAACATAAATTTGAATACATCATGGGCATAGTATACATAGTACTAGTAGTTTCCATTCAAGTTGTAGATCATATATTTTCTACTTTTTAAATAAACAAGGACTAAATACAGGTACCGCAGGAATATTATTTCAACAAAAACGCATCAAAGTCGTGTTTGCATCAAAGTATCTAACAATCATGACCATATCACTGGGGCTTTGGGCTGCTGCATTTCGGATTTGTCTTCTCAGTCAACTACTTTCACATGAAGCCTGGAAATGTATTTGCAGCATTGATGATTACTCGTCCTCCGGTATAGCCCAAGTATAGGCGACCTTGTCATCGCTGTCCTCCCTTTTGCGTGATTCGGGAAGGGCCCAAGTATAGGCAACTTTATCATCGCTATCAGTCGACTTCAACTCGCTGGCGGCTGGATTATATTATTAATATATGCCTTCAAAGGTAGCCATATGCATTTTGCTCACACTTTTCAACTGGCATTGCATTTGCCAGCATCGCACCCACAATATAAGGCAGTATGGTAGTGGTGAATTTCATTTCGGCGAGAGGATATAGGTTGCGTAGGAGGACTTCTTTGCTTGGTTCTCTTCAGCGTAAGGAAGGAAAGTTATAGGTGGCAGTCAGGCTCCAAGGTAGTGTGTTCAAATTGTCAAAAGCAACCTGAGATGGAATACTTTTTGAGAAAGCCGTCTTATCTCCCGCCGGGCTTTCTTTATGGCATGCTCATTGAATAAGCTCATTAAAGGCTCTAGTAAGATTGAGAGTCACGGAGTGACAAGCTTGGTCCAGCCACCAAAATTGAAAACGTCCGGCCGTTGTTGCACTTTGAGGCAAGTATACATCTTAAGCGATGTAAATATGCAAGCCACGCATTGATTGTGTCATTCGCCTTAGTATTAATACTTTGGCTGTATTGTATTTCTATTTCGGAATATTCCACTTGGTTGATGGACGAAGGGTCCAAATGAGCCTGGTCCAGTGCGTACTTATCAGCTTGCCTTGATGACGAAATAAATCGACCAGTCCTATTTTGCAATTTCTACCAAGCTAAACGTTCGCTTTTAATGCGCAATGCCGATAGTCCCATCGTCTCAACACGCACATTAGACTCATTTGGCTATTATGTCTTCTCATTCATATTCCAAGGTCGATGAGCCTCTCATGAGCGGCGAAGATGGCTATTCAGAAATATCAAAAAACAAAAAATCGGCATACTCCCTGCTCAAGAAAAGTTCTCTTTGGGACGTAGCATTTGCCATGCTTGGGACTTTGTTGATCTTTGCATTGGGAGTGGTAACTGGGCAGAACCTGCCAGTAAAACATGAGACACGAACACTATTAGGTATATGAATCCTTGAATGCTCAAAAATGCCTATTGCTGTTTGGCTCACTGACAATTCCAACTTTACAGCCCCAGTGGGAGACGTGAAATTTTTTATGGAATATAACAGCACTTTTACGATTCATCCATCTCCCGAAACTGAAGCTGCGTGGGCCTCTTTATTCCCCAAAGGCAAAGGGTTCGTCCGTCATGAGACAATAGCGCCTGAAACTTCAGGGTTGGTCGTTTATCACGGCTTACACTGTTTGAAATCACTTCATGAGGTGTACTATGCTGCTTTAGATGGAAAACTCTCCCATGATATACCTAAAGAGCACGCTCATCTAACTTCCCCTCACCATGTGCGTCACTGTTTCGACTATCTGCGACAAAGTTTGATGTGTTCCGCAGACACAAACCTTGAGCCTGTGTCAAAAGATCTGAAGGGTGTGACTGGGTGGGGATTCACTCGGACATGTCGTGATTTGGATAGTGTCAAGGCCTGGGCGGAGGCTAATTGGTCGAATGATGTTTGATTACGATGTTTCTCAACTTATTTGAAGGTTCCAAATTAGTTAGTAAACTTCAAATATATCTTTTCTTACATGTGATATTTATAAAAGGTTTCATTGCAAATTACTAGTATGGCCAAAAGTGTTCATTCATTTACATAATGGCCGGAGAAAAACAATAGAAGACGTAGCTTTTAGTCTACTTATTGATTTTTGTTGCTATAAATTTCTTGTTCGGCATACATAACGGCTCACTATAATTCATCAAGACCAACCAAGGCACCCGGCTCAAATGGATCTACCGCCTGCTCATCATTCCACACTTGCAGCTTTTCCCAATTCACACAAGTATGCCACCCCGGCGCATCCACCGTTAAGTGTGGATCACCCTCACGGTTTGGATTAACCCAGCGAAACGAACTGAGGGTTGGATCACCACGACATAAAATTGTCTCGCGCATGAGTTCAATGCAGTGATCAATGTGGGCCTCTTCCTCGATGAGCTGCTCGTCTGTGAAGTTGGCCAGATAGTGCGAGCGATAAATCCAATGTCGAATGCGTTTCAAACAGTGTAGCTCGTGGAACACGCCCATCTGCGCTACATAGTATCCACCATTCCCGTGTAGGTTCGTCATTAGTAGAGAGCTCACGTTGTAGTAGTCGAGGTCTTCCTTGTGGACGCGAATGTTGGTGTGTCTGAACATGTCGTGCCATGACTCCTCGAGCTCTGGACGAGGTTTGCCCGCGTATGGATTGTTGTGAATGGTCACTGGTAAGGTGGATGGTTGATATTCTAGTACCCTGGCTGAATTCAACGAGGGAAATGGATTGACGACAGACCAGTGGATAGGCGAATCTGCTGGATCTGACGAGGGACACTGGGAAGGCTTCATGAAGGAGATGAAGTACAGGACAACGAGGAAGAGGTAGGCAAACGAAATAAGGGTCATATGGACCTTCAACCATCTTTCCCTTCGCCTCAAATTGGGGTCATTCAGCTTTTCATTTTGTATCGATTCTTCATCGTCCTCAGATGGTGCAAGATGGTAGATTTCTTTGCCTCGAGCCATGTTTGCAGGGAGAGCAATTCTGATTCAACAGATAATATGAAAGTTCAGGTAGTGCATTTTGAACACCTGAGAGCGTTTCATGATATTTGTTAACCTAACTATCCAAGGTCTACATGGTACGTATTGTTACCTCCAAACTAACAGTATTGTCTGCGAAAAACAGCGACAGGCGCTTGGCATCACTAGCCCCTAGATGGCCAATGCATGCAGAAACTAAAACTGCCTAGGTTGCTCAAGTATCTGCAGTGATCACACTAGAACACGCTAAGTGACGCTCCGATGGAGACTAATGCATGTGACTGTCCATATACATCAAGCTCCGTGCGCCACTCATTCCATTTACTCCTACGGGGTAAGTTCTCGTCATTGTCAGCTGTTATGCATGCTTATTTGTGGTTCATTTAGATTGGGTATATTTGCTTATTTTATGCATGGTGATTATTTATCATCCTTCGCCCGTCGCATGCCTCTCAGCATGGCCCCCCACCAAACTACGAGATGCAACTTGAGCCGATGAATGTAGACGTCGGATGGGGGGCTACAATCTCTGGACAATTTATGCGATGTAAACGATTTGGTCTTTGTGATCTTCTTCATCGCTATTATTCATTCATCTTGAGCTCATTGTTTTTGGTTGCCAAGACCCACCAAGGCAAGATGGGGTATTCTAAGGGTGAGATGATAGCCTTGGGCTTCGTTTTTGTGGTTTTGGCTACAGTGTTTGTTGCTCTTCGTATTTGGGCACGAAGACTCCGTCATGCCAGTCTTGGAGCGGACGATTATGCGATTTTTGCGGGATGGGTGAGTCGAAGATGTTGAGTCGCAAGCATTCAAAAGTCATTATTTTAGGGGTACAAGCCACTCGCTAACAACATTACCAGGCTTTTACCATTGCAGTTTGTGCTGTTCATTTAGAGGCATCCATCCATGGACAGCTTGGACAGCACCAGGCGACGTACCCCGACGGGGAGCCTATTCTAGATGATCCACGATTCATAGTATATGAAAAGGTATGTCTGTTTTAATCCTTCATTTCTCACCTCCTAAAAAGAGACCAATCGATGGAAGTTCTCGAATGACCAACCATGGCTTTACGCAGTGTAAATTTGCCTTGCATATGTTGTCTGTGCTTGGATTGGGATTCACCAAGATCTCAGTGGTCTTGCTTTACCGCCGCATCTTTCAAACGCCAGGTTTCCAACGAGTTTGTCTGGTCTACATTTATGTTGTGGTTGCGTGGACTATCAGCTTCTTCTTTGCCTGTCTATTTCAATGCACGCCGGTCACCCCTTTCGTGGAAGGCTTCTATGGAAACAAGTGCACCAATGTTATTGTGCTTTACAACGTGGTGAGCGGCTCTGACGTTGCTCTCGACGTCTTGATCATCATTCTTCCCATTCAACCTGTTATTAAGGTGAACATGAGCCTCAAACAACGTCTGATGGTACTGGGAATGTTTCTTCTGGGTTTACTGGCGGTCGCATGCAGTATTGCACGCCTCGTCTCTTTTGTGCAGTGCGATACGGTCCTCATCGAACATTACAACGACGAAACATACTATACATCGGGGGTATTTGTCTGGACTGTTGTTGAGTTGGTAATGGCGGTTATTAGTGCTTGTCTCCCCACGTTACGACCGTTGTTTATGATCGGGAAGAAGGATAGCAATTCCTCTGGTCAATACAGATCGAGCTATGGTTCCGAAAGGGAACAGAAGAAGGGGTACATGCGAAGTACAGGTTCACGCGATGACGATTATGAGATCCCTGTCCTCGCTTCTCGAAACGTACCAAGTGTACAATGTCAGACCACACCACCCTCGACATCCCATGCGCGCCCTCGATCTAGCGACGAGGGCATCTATGTTCAGCAAAGCTTCAGTTGGACCAACCAAGACACTCTGGGTCGTCATGAACGGAATGTTTGAGTTAAATTGTGCTCTTCCTTTGTTGTTCTCAATACCTAGATCGCGTTGAATTATTGACTTTTACTTTCTACTCATAATTGTTTGCAGGGATCGGGCAGGGATCTATATCGGCTATTCTATAGCGACCTGGGAGGATGCATATTATGGAGGGAAATTGCTAAAAGGAGATACAGCATTTGCGAAGTTATGTACGGGGTTAAATAAAGTTTACTACTGCTAATATAATTTCAAGTTGGCTGGACTGGTGATCCACCGAGCGTGTTCAAGTTGCTCGGTTTCCCAAACTCTGGCTCTCTTCCATGTATATTAAGGCCGAGTCGCACTGAACTATAACTCGACCACTATAATCTTACGTCAATCAATGAATAAACGCCACAAGCCTGTAACCACGCCATATGCTTCAAATCTGTGCATTCCACGCGAGATATTAAACGAAACCAGGACTCGTGATGTTATGATTGGGGGAACCGGACGGCGGATCCCAGCGGGTCTTAGCGGGTCCCGCAGGATGCATCAAAGGAACGGCTCCATACAGCGTAATCTCGCGTGGTTTTGAAGGTAAAATGTGCGCCCTGCTTTTTATTTAGAGGAAAAGGGGGATCCGGGGTGGTCGGGGCGCCATTCTACCAGGCTGAAACATATGAAGCCATAATAAAGACCTTGGAACCCGGCGTTCTTTTGTCTCCCCAGGGGTAACATCTTGTTTACTTTCTTGTTTCTTCCAATCTCCTCATACTGCCTTTCTCTGCGCCATTTTGCTTTGACAGGCACCAGGGGTACAAGAATGCCTCCTATGTACTCTTTATCATGTTTTTTGGGGATATTCTTGGCTACAGCCACGCATTGTGTGACTGCAAGTAGCTTTGAAGCTTGTCTGCGACCGCAGCTATCCCCCGCAGCAACCTTGATAACAGGCCAGTCGAGCAATGTGGCCCCTCGCTGGACAGAATACAAAGAATTCAGCACCAATAATGTCGTAAATGCTTCTACTGAGGCAGACGTACAAGCTGCGGTATGTACATTCACCCTCGTCTTCTACCTAATCTCTCCTTGGCGTTGATAAAGACTGATATAATTCCCTGCAGGTGCGATGCGCTAATAAGGCTGGAGTGAAATTCTTCGCACAATCCGGCGGCAATGCTTGGGCGACGACCTGGAGCCTTGGAGAAAATGATGTGGTTATAAATCTTCGGAATATGAATCAGATCAACATCAACGCAGCACGAACCTCGATAGAAGTCGGAGGAGGTGCGATTGTCTCCGAAGTGATTGATGCCGCCTACAAAAAGAATACACAAGTTGTGACTCCTAATTGCAACTGTGTGGGCATCATGGGCGCAATGCTCGGGGCTGGTTATTCCCGTTTCATGGGTGATAGCGGATTTGTGATCGACAATGTTTTGTCATTTCGCGTAGTGCTGGCTTCTGGGGAAAGTGTCACAGTTTCCCCTTCTTCCCACCCGGACCTATGGTGGGCTATGAGAGGTGCTGGTGGGAATTTCGGAATTGTTGTTTCTGCTACTTTCAAAGCATATCCGACCCTCGAGGCGCAGAATGGTGCTTGGGTGGGCAATCTGGTTTTCTCTGATGAGAAGATCGAGCAAGTCGTTTCAGCTGTGAACAACTTGAAGTTGACTTCCAAGATGGCCATCTTCTTTTACTTTGCTAACATTGGTGCGCCCAATTACACACCAATATTCATGGTTACTCCCTTTTATCTGAGTGGAGGCAATACAACGGCTGCAATGGCTGAGGCTCGTCGAGCCTTTGCCTCGGTGTTGAACCTAGGGCCTCTGGAAGACACCACGACTTGGACCCCTTATAACGAAGTCAATGCCGGCAGCGATACTTTCTGCGTCAGTGGTAGTCGCAAGGTGAGCTACGGAGCAGGACTGGCGCAACTCGACCCGGCCACTTGGCGCACTATTTACACAAATTATTCAAACTTTCTTATTGATAATGGCGGAGACAATGTCGCCAACTCGCTTGTGCTCATGGAAGCTTACAGTCTCCAAGCCGCCGAAGAAAATGGGGACTTTAGCTCTGCTTACGCGTGGCGGTCTACAAACCGTTTCAATACAGTTGCGATTGCGTGGTATACAGATGATAGCTTAGATGAAGCAGCTAATGCGTGGGCGGGTGAAGTTCGTGACAATTGGCGTGCAACTAGTGGCCTAAGGAGTAACTCGACGTGAGTAACGACCCTTTGGTTTTCCATTTTCCATTTTCCATTTTTAATTTTTAATTTTTGAAATACTGACGATCAACAGCTACATTAATTTTGCGTTCGGTGACGAGACTCTTGAAGATATATATGGCTCAAATGTGCCCTTGCTTCGTGGTCTAAAGACTCTGTATGATCCAAAGAATAAGTTCGGCCAGTTTTTTCCTCTGTATGAATGAACAGTTGGAAAGTATATTCAATATGTCTAGTCACCTGCTACTAGACTTCAACAGTCTACATACGTTTTATATATTAATATATAACCTTAGAAGTGACTACTGAGTTTGTTGCCTCCTCAAGACAGGAAGTTTGCATTCCATTTGATATGATACTAGCTGCAGTATAACTAGAGCGGTACAATGTGTGATTCAAAGGTTCTTAATACGTTCTTAGCCATCCAACTGGCTGTTTCCCGGGTTGTTTGTTTTGTAAAATTTAATATAACAGAGATTCGTCTGCAGTCGGAGGATACCATCTTGAATATGGTGTCTATGCCTCCACCTGGGCATTAAGGGTTATGTTCAGGCACCAATAAGGCACAAATCAGGCATCACTTTCTAACGTTAATGTGACCTCCGGCATCTATGCCCAGGTTCCACACGAAGACAAAACACTAAATCCATCGATTGATGCAAGTGATACAAATGCATACACGACTTTTGAACAACTTTTGGTATAGATCACGTAATATCTAATGGAGATAATCGACATGATAATTCATAGTCAATTTCTCTTATTTTTTCTCAAGCAGCCTTGAAATATTTTCTTTATCTTTGTGAGACTCAACAGCCAATTAAGTCCCGAAGCCAAATCGATTGTGTCATAGCGCAGCCCGTACCCGCCAGTTTCAGGTGTGGCCCCCGCGGAAAAATCTTTATGTGTGTCGTGACGCACCTCCAAATGCAAAAAGCTCATTCTCACGCGCAAACACGATTGCCATGTCTTTGGCGCACATTTTTAGCAGGATGGCCATGGAGGACTCGGTATCTCTTACGCCTCGCGAGGCAGCATCTGGACTACTGGGTTCCGTGTCTATGACCTGCTGGATTTTCCTATTGGTATGTCTGCTGTTTCCGTACGTCATGGGCCTATCTCGATCGCGGTTTTACCAAGCAAGATTGGGGCGAGATATGCCTATGATACTATCTCCTCTCCACGATATATCGCATAAGATAAAATACAAAATGAATAGAAGGAGGAGTTTACTAACAGTCTCGCGCGACAGGTCCCCCAATTGATTGAGAACTATCGCAACGGAAACTCGGAAGCAATTTCCCTTCTCTTTGTCCTTGTTTGGTTCCTGGGCGACATTACCAACCTTCTTGGCGGGTTACTAGCAGGCCTAGTACCTGTCATTATCGCTATTGCCGTGTACTTCTGTTTCGCGGATGGTGTTTTGATCGCGCAATGTCTGTACTACAAGGCGCGTAACACCCGCCCGGATGAGGAGCATCATCGCCGGCGCTCATCAGTCGAGACACCCGATCCCACAACACCATTGCTTGGTCGCCGATTTAGCGATTCGCTAGAAACACCGAATGGGCGGCGGCGACGGTCGTCAGGTTCTTTGCGCGGCTACCAGAATGCTGGGCGACGAGGAAGCCAAGCCGAGGACCCATTGGCGAAGATCTTGGAAGAGAGCGAGTATGGACGGAAGGCTTGGATGAAGAATGTCATCAGCATCCTGGGAATCATTGTCGTGGGTATGGCTGGTTGGACTATCGCTTGGCAGACTGGCGTGTGGGCGCCGGCGCCGGCACCCCAGATGAACGCGGACTCTCTAGATATGGCTGCTAGTGGTCAGGCTCTGGGGTACTTCAGTGCTGTATGCTACTTGGGGTAGGTTTGCATCGTATCTTCATTGCGATTTGGCTTGGTACTGACTATGAAATAGGGCTAGGTTACCTCAGATCTATAAGAACTACAGCGAGAAGTCCTGCGAAGGTATGATTCTTTAACGACCTCATGCGAACTATGACATGTATTAATGTTGTTTCATGATTTTAGGCTTGTCACTGCTATTCTTCATCTTGTCTCTCCTGGGCAATCTGACCTATGGCGCCGGGGTATGTAGCTGTCAGCCACATCCTTTATCCTTCACTTCATGGCTAATATTTACGACAGATCATCGCCCATTCAACGGATGCTGGATATATCACGACAAACTTGCCATGGTTGATCGGGTCTTTGGGGACAGTGGTTGAAGATGTTGTCATCTTTGCACAATTCCGGATCTATGCGATGCAGGAACCTCCGCTGGCAGTGGCTTGATCAATGCTCTTTTTGCTCGTGGCTTTCTTCCATCTGGACTGGCAGATGGCACTCTAATTGCTTGAGATCGCCATATCCATTATAACTACAAGGTTACTGTTATAAATAACTGAGAAGCAATAAGGGCTTAGTATGTTGGACTAGGACATGGCGTTGAGTAGCGAATCTTTGTAAGTTATCGGGAGTTTCATGCATGTATGCAAAAATTGAAAACGATTGGCTACATAATTTGCTTTACCCAATACCCAAGTATATGGAACCCCTAGACACCACGCACTGTCACGCACTGTCACGTACTGGTAAGTGACAAGGTAAATGCCATGGTAGAAAGATTATATACTCCATCTTACGTGTACGTATCAAAATATTACGAGCTACATCCAGACCAAGATCGGAAAGTGATCTTCTGGTCAATGTATGTCGCATGGGATCACGAGCGGAGCAAGTCGTTCTTCATAAAAGTTGAACAGAGCATACGGCTACGTTCCAGGCCATGCATTGGCCAAATGCAAAAACGTGAGCAAAGAGATAAAATGGTGTGCCAAACGTCTTTCTTCAATTCCCCTTGATAAACTGGAAGCAATAATAATTTCGGAATCAAATCGGCATCCGATCGATTCAACCTCCGGCACTCGAGGCGAAGGTAGACCGAGCATCCAGTCTCCATTGAATGTCCATGTCCGTTTGAATCTTTTGCTATTTTCTTTTTTTTCTTCCCCGTGATCTAGGTCTTCGTAGCAGGGGTCGTGGTGTATCGAGTACAAGAGAGAATCGTCGAGGGAGCCGCAAGGCGGCAGCGGGATAAAAGGTAAGGGAAAGAGCAAATAGGAAACGACTTCAAATTCGTGACGGTTAAACCGCTTAATCGAACAGACCGAAGCCCATGTCCTCGTCGGACTCCTCCTTCTCTGTTTGGGAGTTAGTCACCTGTCTAAATTCGGTACGAGCGTCGCATGGTTGTATGACTTACCCTCCTCCTTCTCCTCAGCAGCCTCAGCGGGGGCAGCAGCACCACCGGCAGCGGCAGCGGCGGGAGCGGCAGGGCCAGCGGAGCCGACGTTGGTCAGGAGATCCTTGATGTCCTTACCCTCGAGGGCCTAGTGGAGAATTGTGTAAGCCCTTGATCCACATGTTCCAATTGCGCAATTCCACCAGTCACGCGACTCGAGCGGCGTACGAATATCGACAGGGCGGGTTTCAAAAATTTACCTTGGCGAAGATAGAAGTCCAGATGGGCTCGACCTCCTGGACGTTGGCGGCGGTCAGAAGAGTCTGGATCTTGTCGGCCTATGATGTAGAATTTCAGGTTAGCCTTGGCCACGGAAACTGTCTGGATTGGTGTTTCGAGCGTCTGCCAGTCCTGTTTTCTTCGCGCTTTGCACAATACACGCAGAAAACATCCTGGCTCGAGCCTCTAATCACTTCCTCCAATATCGCTCGATTTTCCAAGGATATACGTACGGTGATCTCAAGGCCATCGTCGGCGAGGATCAGAGCGGCGTAAGAGCAGGCGAGCTCGGGGGTAGACATGGCGACTGGTGATGACCGGACTGGGTTGAAGTTGGAGATGGGGAGAAAAGAAGAGAGGATGGTATCAGAAGCCTATCCGAACATGGCAACCGCTTGGCGTGTGTGGGAAAAAGCCCTCGCTTAGGGCTTGGCCTAATAAGGACTAGTGTAGCCCCTCTTCCCGTGACTCGATGGGATATACGCTATGCCCAATACGGATGATGACATAATCTCGGAGTAATCAGCCCGTATCGCGGTGCATAGTTATCAGTCCCGAACTGACATCACACCTTGTGGGGTTTCTGTGAACTCATTTCCACTTTGGTTAGTACGCAAAAGAAATATACGTCTCAGATCTTATTACCTCGCAACTTCCCATCTCATCTTCAATTCTGCCACCTATCCGACCTCTCCCGATCCTCCGACCATGGAGTCCCCCGCCGTGCCGGTCCCGCTAGATCCGCATGAGCAGCCCATTCTCGAGCATCTGCTCCGCGCCCGTGACGCCCTTCTGCTCCTCAAGCAAGACAAATCCTCTTACATCAAGTCTCGTGATGTTCTTCCACTCTACGAGGAGGTGATCGGCGAAGTTGAAAAGCTCAATGCAGCTCGAAAGGAGCAGGATCGCCGCTTGATACACAATCGATGTAAGTAACAAACTACATGGGCCGTGCGTTCCTCGATGTCCATGACTGACCACCAACCATCTTGATAGTGGACTATGTTCTAGATGACTGCTTTCAGTTAATCTCCTTGCTCTTCTTGACGGTAGGCAGGAATAACGAGGCGCCAGCAGTGTAATTTCTTCCCTCTACCCCGCAGCAGCGTCGCCTTTGTGCTGACATCTTTGTCTAGGTACTCTCTTGCAACAACCATTCAGGTATGTCTTTGAAACATTATCTCCAACTCTATCAAAGGCTCAGTACTGATTCTTGTTATTAGCGTTTGCTCGACCATCTCGAAGAGGCCGGATTCTACAGTGCGAAAGATCTGAATTCTATTACGAAAACCCTCGAATCGACACAAGAAACCCTTGATCGCGGCCGCAACACATACTCCCCGGCTCTTCTGCTTTTACTTGAAAGCAGATTAGAACAATGCCAAATTTCTCTGAAGAGACTGCAAGAAGGACTGAATGTCCTATCCCCCTCCCTGGCACAAACCCACGAAACTCTGGTGTCTATTCTGCGTTCCACATCTGCTGTTAATACTCGACCGAAGGTAATTACGAATCTTCTTTATTCAAATTATCATACTGATCAATTTTCACTCGATCTTAGTTTTCGACTTCGGAGGTAAACGGCCTGCGAGATCAATTGAAAAAGATTGAGAGCCATATGAAGGACGGTAACTTTGTTGATGCCGATGGCAATGCTCTTCCTTCACAAGAGAACGTTAAGACTCTAATGGATCGCTGTTGGCGATGGACTGAAATTGTCCTTGAACGGTAAGTCATAAGTCATTCAATTCACCCCGGAGAAAATACGAGGCTAATCCCAATACAGCCAAGGGAAGATTCATGAGGCATTCCAGGAGCAATATGAGCGCCTGCTTGAGATTCGTAACCAGCTAGACCGTCTTTCCGTCACCCAGGCTTGGTCGCTCCGTGAAACAGATTTATTCGGATATCAGCGAAAACTTGACCGAATAGATGAGGCTCGTGTCAATGGCAACTTTGTTGATTTTGAGGGACACACTGCCGATCTTCACGCACAAAGGGTATAATCAATGTTGACCTGACTATCAAATTACTGCGCTAACAGTTACTCTTCTAGACGTTGCTGTACCTCATTCGACGAAGCTATGGGTACATATATGCACTTCTAATCTCTTCCGAGCCTGTTTCCGAGGCTTTGCTACCTGTTTACAACCAGCTACAAACACTTCGTCGCTGTTTGATCGAAGTGAAAGAGTCTGGCGGGGTATCTAACTCTAGAGAACTGTATCCCTACAGTATGAAGGTATGTTTGTTGATAGTATCGTCATTATCCGACCGTTAGCAATTTTTTACTAACGACAATAGCTCAATTCAATCGACAACATGCGCGTCGACGGGAAGTTTTACATTGGCCCCGATATCCCGGAAGGCCAGGGAAGTGTGAACGCTCTGCTTGCCGAATGCTATGATCTTGTTTGGGATCTTCGCGCAGCTGTTGCTGACGAAGAGAGTCAACCTTAGAGCAGTCCGATTCACAGGATGAGGTCTCTTTTTTCTTCCCCTTCCATCTATTTTCGATATGTGTTATTTCTACCTACGTCGATACCGACGATGAAACATCCCGATGCCTTGCCCCTGTACTTTTTTGGAATTTACCTAATGACTTCTTTTCTTCATTTAACGAGGCGTTTGATCTGTGACAGTCTTGAGCCCCATATGGGCACTGGCATTACTTACGAGATAGGGGCCTGCAGTTGAAGAAATATTGAATCTTGAAATAATTTACTCCGAAATCATTCCAATATCCATTTCCAAGGTCTCCTGTTATAACCACGTATCAAATATAAATAAACTTTTCAAAAGACATGTTGAAAGTCGTAGTTCTCAATATCGAGAACACATTCCATACTTCCCGACGTACAGAGTAGATCATAGGCAAGAGGACTTCCCCACAATTTTAAACATCCGGTATCGGCACATCATTCAGCCAATCAGCGACAAGATAAATAACGACGCCTCCGACGAAAAAAAAGCCCTTGGAACCTCAACTCTGACTCCTTCCCCAGTTCCCACCCCTCCACAATTGAAGATGGTGAGTCAGCTAGTTTGGAAGCGGGCTGCTGCCTCTCGCAGGGTAAGTCATGAACTAATATACATTGTGGTGAATACTTGGAGCAATTGACCACTAACTCCTTTGAGCAGTTGGCAGCACGTCTGTCTCCGCAACCACTTGCCCGTGGCCTGGCCACCGAGGCCTCCTCCTCACGAATGCCGCCCTACGCCAAAATTGTTCGAAACCTCGAGCAGGTCCGCAAGGTTCTGGGCTCTGAGCGTACTCTCACACTGGCCGAGAAGATTCTGTATTCTCACTTGGCCAACCCTGAAGAGTCATTGCTCACCGGCACCAACAATGGCCGCGATATTCGCGGTAAGGCCAACTTGAAGCTGAAGCCCGATCGTGTGGCCATGCAGGATGCCTCTGCCCAGATGGCTCTGCTTCAGTTCATGTCTTGTGGTCTGCCCTCCACTGCCGTGCCTGCCAGTATTCACTGCGACCATATGATTGTTGGTGAGCGTGGTGCCGATACCGACCTTCCTGCCTCGATCAAGGGTAACAGCGAGGTGTTCGACTTCCTGGAGAGTGCCGCGAAGCGGTATGGTATTGAGTTCTGGCCTCCAGGTGCCGGTATCATTCACCAGAGTGTGTTGGAGAACTATGCCGCCCCTGGTTTGATGATGCTTGGTACTGACAGCCACACTCCTAATGGAGGTGGTCTGGGCGCTATCGCTATCGGTGTGGGTGGTGCGGATGCCGTGGATGCCATGGTTGATGCTCCTTGGGAGCTCAAGGCGCCTAAGGTTCTGGGTGTGCGTCTTGAGGGCAAGCTGAGCGGCTGGGCCTCTCCCAAGGATATCATTCTCCACCTTGCCGGCAAGCTGACGGTGCGCGGTGGCACTGGTTTTGTGGTCGAATACCACGGCCCTGGTGTCGAGACCCTGTCTTGCACAGGTATGGCGACTTGCTGTAACATGGGTGCTGAAGTCGGCGCTACTACCTCGCTGTTCCCTTTCTCTCCCAGCATGGTGCCATATCTCGAGTCTACCCACCGTGGTCATGTCGCTCAGGCTGCTGCTGAGATTGCTGCATCTGGCCCTCAGAACCTACTGCGTGCTGATACCGGCGCTGAGTATGATCAGCTGATTACCATCAATCTATCCGAGCTGGAGCCTCACATTAACGGCCCATTCACTCCCGACTTCTCGGTTCCTCTATCCAAGTTCGCCGATACAGTCCGTGAGAAGAAGTGGCCCGAGACCTTCGGTGCCGGTCTCATTGGTAGCTGCACCAACTCCTCTTATGAGGATATGACCCGTGCCGAGAACCTGGTTAAGCAGGCCGCCGCCGCCGGACTGAAGCCCAAGTCAGACTTCTTCATCACACCCGGCAGTGAGCAAATTCGCGCCACTCTGGAACGTGACCAGACGCTGTCTACTTTCTCTGAGGCTGGTGGTATCGTGCTGGCTAATGCTTGCGGTCCCTGCATTGGCCAGTGGACCCGCACTGACGAGGTTCCCAAGGGTGAAGACAACGCCATTTTCACTTCTTACAACCGTAACTTCCCCGGTCGTAACGATGGTAACCGTCGCACTATGAACTTCCTGGCTTCTCCCGAGCTGGTCACCGCTCTCTCCTACTCCGGTAGCACTACTTTCAACCCAATGACCGACTCATTGACCACTCCTAGCGGCGAGAGCTTCAAATTCCAGCCTCCCCAAGGCTTTGACCTTCCCAGCGCTGGTTTCGAGGCCGGTAACCCCAACTTCCAACCCACAGCCGCCGTTCCCGATGCTAGCGTCGACGTCGCTGTTTCCCCCACCTCAGACCGTCTCGCCCTGCTGGAACCATTCGCTCCCTTCCCCAAGTCCGACTTGTCTGGACTGAAGGTTCTGTACAAGGTCAAGGGCCAGTGCACAACTGACACCATTTCGGCCGCTGGACCTTGGTTGAAGTACAAGGGTCATTTGCCCAACATCTCAGCCAACACTCTTATTGGGGCCGTTAACGCTGCTACTGGTGAGACCAACGTCGCCTACGACGAGGCTGGTAACAAATTCGGCATTCCTGAACTCGCCGAGCAGTGGAAGGTGAAGGGTCTTGAGTGGCTCGTCGTTGCTGAAGACAACTATGGCGAGGGCTCTGCCCGTGAGCACGCCGCTCTCCAGCCCCGTTTCCTGGGTGGCCGCGTGATCGTTACCAAGAGTTTTGCCCGTATCCACGAGACCAACCTGAAGAAGCAGGGCGTTGTCCCTCTCACTTTCGCTAACCGAGAGGACTATGACCGTATCGATGCTTGTGATGTTGTTGACACTATTGGCTTGTATGATGTCCTGGAGGCTGGTGGCCAGGGTGAGGTTCAACTGCGCGTTACCAAGGCCAAGACTGGCGAGACCTTCACCGTCCCCACCAACCACACTCTGAGCAAGGACCAGTGTGGCTTCATTCTTGCCGGTAGTGCCCTGAACCTTCTGGCCAAAAAGGCTCAAGGCAACTAAGCGAGACAAAATTTATTGCTCCTGTTCATACAGGGAGGATAGAAGAGAACACCAAAAGTCGGTTTCAATCCGGAGTTGAACGATTCGGGGCACGGGATGCATGTATAGCACTGCCTTTTGTTTTCAGTCGTATATTTGTGAAATTTTAGATTTCTGTAATACTTTTTTTTTGCGGGCTAGATGATATCCAATGTGATCTGTATTTTTGAATTTCTTACGATCTACTAAACTAAATGGCCCCCAGAGCTATAATAAACAATTTTCACCTTTGTATACTTCAGGATAAAAGATAGTCTATATTCCATATCCACCATTATACTCGGGTGCCCATAGTCATCAGTGTTTTGGGACATGTCGAACATCCTGCAGGATAACACACCGTAGCCTATGTTGATAGCCCTCGAATGTATATACCAGGCGAAAGGGACGGTGGCCAGGGTGCTCAAGGCTCTCAGGTACGCTTCCAAGGTGGGTATGGGTGGCAATGAGCTAAACCGAATCGGGAAAGGGAAGCCGTTGGCTCACTTGTGCCTTCAACACGCCCTACGAACTACAACCTGCGGGGACTTTCCTTAATTTCAGTGAGAGCAAGAGAGAAAAATAAAACTTAACCTTTCTCACTCACCAGCTATTCAGCTCACAAACACTTCCCACCATAACAATGGATGTGCTCACACCTGAACGGACGAAGCCTTGGATCAATACCCCGCTCATTGAGTCGGCGACGCTCTCCCAGCAAGCAGGATGGTAGGGAATTTCTTCTCCATTGAGTCTCCTCTCAGTGACCGGCATCTTTTTTCAACAAGAATTCCAAATATCTAACTTTCATTGCAGTAGAATATTCCTCAAGCTTGAACTTCTCCAGCCATCAGGCTCTTTCAAGTCACGGTGAGTCCTTTGGACATAAAATTTCATTTTACCATCTTAAGGTAGCTTGGAGGCTACCAGCTTTCTATTTCAAGAGCATCCACTTACGAAATTATCAGGGGAATTGGCAATTTTATCCTTTCATCGCTGAAGAATCCAGCCCACAAAAACAAGACACTGCACTTCTACATTTCCTCTGGCGGAAATGCCGGGTTGGCAGCCATCCGCGCAGCCTGTGATCTTGGCTACGCCTGCACGGTCGTCGTGCCACACAGCACAAAGCCATTCATGGTTGAGAAGCTACATGCCTTGGGAGCAGCAGATGTGATCCAGCACGGAGCAAGTTGGTTCGATGCAGACTCATATCTGAGAGAGAATTTCATCGATAACCAAGGCAATACTGCTGAGAAGGACACTGTCAACATCTACATTCCTCCATTTGATCATCCAGATGTGTGGGCCGGAGCGTCAACTATGATTGATGAGATTGCAGTGCAGCTCCCATCACGGCCCCGAGAGCAGTTCATGACTGTAGCGGGAGGGTTTCCTGCGGATGCGGTGGTCTGCAGTGTTGGAGGCGGAGGTCTTTTCAATGGAATTGTTTCTGGATTGGAGAAGCACATGGATGAATTTGGGTGCGGTGCTGATGTGGCTAATACGAAGAACGTACATGTTCTTGCGACTGAGACGAACGGAGCGGACTCGCTTGCTCATTCTCTGCGCGAGGGCAGATTGAGCTCTTTGTCTGCTATTACTTCGCAGGCTTCTTCACTTGGTGCTCTCTGTGTGGCTTCAAAGGCATTTTCCAATGCTAAATTTCCTCCGCGTGGTGTGCAGGTTACCAGCGTTGTTGGCTCGGATGCTGATGCCGCGAGAGGTGTTGTGCGACTTGCGGATGAGACACGCCTGCAGGTTGAGCTCGCTTGTGGAATTAGCGTAGATGTTGCTGTTGCTGGGAAGCTGAAAGAGGTGGTGCCTGGTCTGACTCCTGATAGTCGGGTTGTGATTATTGTTTGTGGAGGCAGTAACATCACGGCCGAGATTATTGCCGAGTACAGAAAACAGTTGAGCGAGGGGTGGCAATAGATTGGAAGTTGAAGAGCAGACATATTAAATAGATCGCTGCAGAACTCTTAAGTAGCAATGTAGATTAAGGTGGAGATATTCAACAATAACAGCATCTTGGAAAACAAAATTCCGGATTATTTTCCCCACTTTAGCCCATTAACCACTCCATTGAGTCTTTCTGCCGCGCTCTTCTTCTTCTTCTTCCTCATGTTCGGTGTCACTGGCGTACCGATGTTCCTGAAATTCATTGCGGAGTCCTCTTCAATCTCAAGGTAATCCCCAATTTCACCAGGGCCATCCATTGGATCGAGATGTTCAATTCCATAATAGAGGGTCTCTTTAATCACGGGGGTCCGCTAATCGCTCTAACCTTGCCTTCGATACTCTCACTCTCGATTTCTCCATAATCGAATCGATATCGCATCATAGCAAATAAAGTCTTTACGACCTTCTACAGTATCTGCATAACCTCTCGCAGTATGCGCTAGACGGAATATTTCTCTCTTCTGGGAGCGTTGATGAATGAAGATGTTCGACTGTTTCATTGGCTTGCTTGCACACTGAATTCTCAGAACCTTCGCCGCATACGTGCACCAGGAAAATTGCTATAAGATCCGCTCTGGCAAAACACCGAGTAGGTATTATGAAATACTAATCCCGTGCGTGTTTGCAGATTCCATTCCTATCCTCGGGTATTCATGATCGCCTGGGGTAATCGCCTACTCCACAAATTATAAATAGAAGACCATAAGTGTTTCCTTACTTCTATTCCTTTCCTTCTCTTAATCAAGGGAGACTATCTTGAGATATAAAGTAGTAATGGCTGGTAACTATTATATATCTATATAGTATCTCTACCAGTAGTAGTATAATAGTAGTATACGAGGTATGTCCTTTACTCGAAGAGCCAGCAGTCTATTTGACAAAGACAAATTCCTAACATTCCATGAACGGACTGCTGCGACCCTAAAAATGCTGAGAGCGTACTACAAGAATGCCCTTGTCTGGAAATACATACTCCCAAATCTGGTTGATGACGATGTTTTTCATTTTATGTGTGTTGGAACTTTCCCTTTGTCCGATCCCCATCGGTTTATTTATCTCCAATTTTCCTTCAGGCTGCAATGGCCAGCTCTCAAGAAGGCACCAACTGGGCGAGATGGCGCATACTACACTAAAGATCCATTGGACTTTGTTACTCTGTACTTCAAGCAGAAGAAACCGCAAGCAACTTGAGCATGTACAGCGTGCCATGAAACCATGCATAACACACGAATCCCAATGCTTAATCTAATTGCGGGTGGATGCAAGAGAGCTACACACGAGAAAATTGCCCAGATATCGAATGTTAGCGATGTCACGAACACGGCCATTTGAGTTGGAAAACATAGGTAAGCTCAACCCTCCTGTTTCCTTCACTTACATCACTCCATTACATCGACTAAGACGCATTCTTTTCTTCCAGCCGATGAATCCACAACATCTGTCTATTCATTCCGCCTCATTTCTCATGATAAGTTCAGATGTCCCACGTGAGGTCAGAAGAAAGCAACGTAACGCTTTCAATCTGGCTCAACACGCTTTGACCCACTTCATAGGCACCGCGGAGGTCAATTGAAAGGAATACACGGGAGGGTTCGCCAAATAGTCAAAGGCGCAGCATACTAGGCTAGGCCTTCATCATTGGGTCTACAATCAAAAGCGAGATATAAATTCTGCGATTTCTTCCATGAAAATTCCAATATAGGATATCAGAATGGCGAATAGTTCAGTCAACGTGGGGGGGATGGGACACAGCCTTTCAATCTTGTTTTACATGTCATGAAAAGGTATGACAAGGTATGACAGCGAACTGAAGGTCCAATATTGGCGTTGAGGTTATTAAGACTATATGGCGATAAAACTAATTCAATTTAGGCCAAACTAGCCGTATGTATTGGACCCATTCTCCTCATCGTACCTCGTCGGGCCATAAACTAACAAAGTAACAAAACAAATCCAGTAGAACATATTCTATCCCTTCCAAGGTGGTTCATGGTGATCGCTACAAACGCAACTCGGTTTTATACATTGACCCGAAAAGGAGTAAACTTGAAAGGAAAGGAGCATTTCGCAAAAGTGTGGGCAAGGACATCAGGAACGAGTTCACTCGAATACAAAAGATTTTGATAATGCTTTCTAGATAGCTGAGCCTTAAGAACCAGACTAGCTTCTCCTTATTGGGAAACTGCGCTATGTTCTTTCCGTTCGCATGTTCGGCAGCAACTTGAACTTGTGAGTGATAATGGCAATACTAAAGCCTCACAAGTTGAAGAGATATTAAATACTTCGGTCGTAATCGTGTATTCATTGTACCAGTATATAGAGATGTAGGGATATAGACAATCTAAGCATCATGTGTAAGAAAGTCAAAGCTTGGAGAATGTTTCCCAAACCACTGAGGCATTTGACGAGAAACATAGGCAAAGATAAAATCAAAAATACATATCAACAGCTTGCAATTTATTCGCTGTCGCTGGCACTGTCATGTTCTGAGCCATGGTCGTTGGTTTGAATCCCCTCGGCCAGGATGTATTCGGCTTGTTGAAGCGTCTGTTTTATTTCAGGCTTGTTGTAAACAAGCTCCGCAGGCTTCTGGCCATGCTTGTTTCGAACCCTGGGATCGCAGCCTGCTTCACACATCATGTTCACCATCGCTGCGCCTAACTCTGCATCTTTGTCATTGGCAAATCGTACGGCGATGTGTAGTGGCGTATCTTTATCCATGCGAGTCAGGGGGTCGCACTCGAAAAATTCGATGTCGAATAAGGAATCCATAACGTCATCTTCAGCAATTGTTGGGTTAGCTTCTTTCGTCCCCTATGCATCATCGAATATCAAACTGGGCATAAACATACAACTTCCGTACATGGCGCAAATGTGCAGCGCATGATTTCCGAGGGCATCTGTTACTCCGTTGAAGAACTGTGCCACCTCCTCATTTGTCTTCTCGTCCATGCTACCCAGAGCCTGCTCAATCAGGTGGGGCTGGTCTCGGCGACACGCCTCTACGACCAGCTCGCGGGGGGAAGCGCCCTGGAAGTTTTGGGTCAGCGGAATGGTTCAGCGGGGCTCAGCAGTGCAGTCTTGATCAATTTATACCTCGTCATCGGCCATGATGAATTAATACGGATATCGTTATTCTCTCTTGCTGCAGAACGAATCGCGAAAGCTGTCTCGCGGTCTCGCGGTCTCAAGGCAAAACAATGACTGCGGAAGTTCTGCCGAAATGGGGTTGCCTAGTCACGGGGTTGAGAGGTCTCAAGTTTTGTGATATGCTGAATTGCGAGTGCAATGGGTTATTTGGGTATGAGGGTGTTAAATTGTAAGAAAATGTAGAAAAATGCAACTGTTGAAACTTGTTGATTAGGGACGCTACTTTAGCCAGGGACATCCCACGTCCGGATCATGTGACTTTCCGATTCCCCCGCCACAATCTAGCCGCGCGCCTAGTCCCGCCCGCCAGTGATTGCCTCATGATCCACAATGACGGATCCAGCTGCAAGGGCAGAGTGGTTACCAGGCATTTGAACTGTTGATAAGCTCCAGGTGGGGTATAACATGCACATTCTTGTGTTTCCTTGTCGAACAGACTGTAAGAAAAGAAAAAGTACAGAAAAAATAAGTATATAGGAAATCTTGGAAAATTGGATCTGACAGGCAATTTTGTCGGTATGAAATGGCAGAATAATAAATAAGGCAAGCGGTAGCAACAGGGCGGTCTCTACAGCTAGCTGTGATTGGCCATTAAAAATGATGCTTCACAAACCCATCTTGACCTGGTGATGATTCGGGATGATATGAGACAGGTTCATATCGGCTTCTAACACATCTACCTGACGCGCCGCCCGCTAGATTACCGATCCTGATCTTTCTGAATCCTATCCGCGACCATGCCTCTCGTTTGTCCGTCACCCTTCGCATCCGAACCTATCCTGAAAAGCCTTCAAAGCGATAGCGACTAACTGTTTTTTCCACCTCTAGTTTGTCCCAACTGCTCTAATGCGCTGACTATCGCCCGTGCGGACTCCACAAACACACATCCAATGGGCGTGAATCGATTTGAATGCCGAACCTGTCCTTACGAGTGGGCTCTGGAGAATAAGTGGTACGATCGGGTCAACGTGAAGGAGAAAGAGGTTGAACAAGCACTGGGCGGCAAGGATGAGTGGAAGAACGCCGATAGCATAGGCAGTAAGTTCTCTTGTGGGACACTTTTTGGAAAACATGGAATTTTTAAGCTGACGGTTGTGATGCAGCGCAATGTCCGAACGAAGGCTGCAACGGCGAGCGTGCATACTTCTACCAGCTGCAGATTCGCAGTGCAGACGAGCCGATGACTACATTCTTACGGGTAGGTTTTCCATTTTCTTGCCTCTTCATACGCCGGCATTTCGGAAATCTGACATAATATGGATAGTGTACAACTTGCGCGACACAATGGAGAGAGAACTAGCTCTCGATTTTGTCGAGGGTGTTTCCAGTGTTTCCCCAGTTGCTCATCGCTGGATTTTGGGGGCGTTTTTTTTACTTCTTTTGTCTTACACCGTACTCCGTAATTGTTGTTTAAAGATCCCGCCCCCCTCATTTCAATATTGATACGAGTGGAGCAGGGATGATGGATTTTGCTTCGCATTCAAAAATGGCGCATCTACGAGGCATTGGCGTTATGGATCATAACAAAGCGAGCTAGATACCCAAATTTGATCGACGTCAGACGCACAGATTCCTCGGCGGTCTGTAATAGGAAGAGCGTATAAAAAAAATTGGGTTTGCTATCACCCATGGGTCCCACCTAGTATGTACGAACTAGAAAAGAAAATCTCTTTGACCTTTTTTTAGCTTTGTAGGCCGTAGCGGTATAAGCCATTGGGTCACAGTACTATTCCTATTAGAGACTCCGATGCCAGGGTAATACGTAGAGAGCGTCTCAGTCTCTATCAAGTTTATCAAATTACACACGACGTGTTTCGGTGTGGCAAAAAAAATTAAAAAATTCTCGCGCCAGCTGGCTGCATGTCATGCCTGAATGCGGTGGGTCTGCATATTTGGCGGTGACGGGCTCTGCCCCGCGGGTGAGGGGCATGGTGGGATGTATTACGATTAGAAACGGAGAGGTAGAAAATAACCCAACCCACTGTTGGATAAACGAAAAAAAATGATGAGTATCAAAATTTAAAATGACCAGTAAATCAAAACAATAATACCAACCTAGGGCCCGACGGACTGCGTTGCTGCCCAGTCGGCCCAGTCGTAACGTAGAGAGTGGACTGGAAGGAGGGCGGGCGTGAAAAAAAATTCTACCGAGTGGAGACAGAGGGAGAGGGAACCAGGGAAACAGAGGGAGCTGGGAAGATTGAATTGGTACTGGATACGTAGGCTTTGGAAGATAATAGTGGAAGGATATGTGTGAATGTATAGAAGAGTAAGTACCTGGTACATAAACAGCCCACCATGAAGATTCTGCGTTGGTCCCGCCAAAGTGGGGGCGGCGACTCTGTTTGTAGCCAATCAAACAACAGAATTGGAAAGGGCTTGAACCCGCCCACGACTCGCCTCTCTCGCTTGCCCCTCCATATAAGGGATTCCCCCTCCTCGCTCCCACAGAATTTTTCTTTCTTTCCCTCGTCCGCATCAGTACGTATATCTTCCCTCCCCCTACCTTTCTCCCTTTTTCTCTTTTTCATCCTCCTAACTCTGCCTGCTCAGTACCTTTACGCACGCCGTAAAATCTGAGCATATCCACAGGATCCTTCTAGTATCTTACAAAGAACTTCAAGAATTCATTCTTCATAACCGTCACCATGGGGTACGTCTCTCATCTCACGATCGCTGTCATCTATCCACCATGACAAGCCATCCAACTACCAATCCATCGATCATCTACTAACCTATCTCGCTTTACAGTAAGGAAGAGCGCAGCCACATCAACATCGTCGTTATCGGCCACGTCGATTCCGGCAAGTCCACCACCACCGGTCACTTGATCTACAAGTGTGGTGGTATCGACTCTCGTACCATCGAGAAGTTCGAGAAGGAAGCCGCCGAGCTCGGTAAGGGTTCCTTCAAGTACGCTTGGGTTCTTGACAAGCTCAAGGCCGAGCGTGAGCGTGGTATCACCATCGATATCGCTCTCTGGAAGTTCCAGACCGCCAAGTATGAGGTCACCGTCATTGGTAAGTTCGCTTCTATATAACATTTATCTCATTCATTGTTCTCAATTACTAACCCTCAATAGATGCCCCCGGTCACCGTGATTTCATCAAGAACATGATCACTGGTACCTCCCAGGCTGATTGCGCCATTCTCATCATTGCCTCCGGTACTGGTGAGTTCGAGGCTGGTATCTCCAAGGATGGCCAGACCCGTGAGCACGCTCTGCTTGCTTTCACCCTTGGTGTCCGCCAGCTCATCGTTGCCCTCAACAAGATGGACACCTGCAAGTGGTCCGAGGACCGTTACAACGAGATTGTCAAGGAGACCTCCAACTTCATCAAGAAGGTCGGCTACAACCCCAAGAACGTTCCCTTCGTTCCTATCTCCGGTTTCAACGGTGACAACATGCTTGAGGCTTCCCCCAACTGCCCCTGGTACAAGGGTTGGGAGAAGGAGATCAAGGGTGGTGTCAAGGTTAAGGGTGTTACTCTTCTCGAGGCCATCGATGCCATTGAGACCCCTGTCCGTCCCTCCAACAAGCCCCTCCGTCTGCCCCTCCAGGATGTCTACAAGATCTCCGGTATTGGCACGGTGCCCGTCGGTCGTGTCGAGACTGGTATCATCTCCCCTGGTATGCTGGTTACCTTCGCTCCTGCCAACGTCACCACTGAGGTGAAGTCCGTTGAGATGCACCACACCCAGCTCAAGGAGGGTGTCCCCGGTGACAACGTTGGTTTCAACGTCAAGAACGTTTCCGTCAAGGAGGTTCGCCGGTAAGTTTGCTCTTATAAACCCTTACCCTTCGTTGATTCCCATTACTAACATTTTATTCCTAGTGGTAACGTCGCTGGTGACTCCAAGAACGACCCCCCTATGGCCTGTGCTTCCTTCAACGCCCAGGTTATCGTCCTGAACCACCCCGGTCAGGTCGGTGCCGGATACGCACCCGTTCTGGACTGCCACACTGCCCACATTGCTTGCAAGTTCTCCGAGCTGCTTGAGAAGATTGACCGCCGTACTGGTAAGTCCGTTGAGGACTCTCCTAAGTTCATCAAGTCCGGTGATGCCGCCATCGTCAAGATGATTCCCTCCAAGCCCATGTGTGTTGAGGCTTTCACCGACTACCCTCCCCTCGGTCGTTTCGCTGTCCGTGACATGCGTCAGACCGTCGCCGTTGGTGTCATCAAGTCCGTCGACAAGTCCGCTGGTGGTGCCGGTAAGGTCACCAAGGCCGCCCAGAAGGCTGGCAAGAAATAAGCGCTTTACGGATGAAATCAGAAATGCCGTGATGACTTTTTTTCTTAAAAATGCTTTTATGGATGGAGCTAGATTTTGCTGTGTGATTTGAAAAAGAATCACATACAGATTTATGACTCGAGTCAATTCAATATTTTTTCCATCGTGCTTTGTCCTCTCATTGTAGATTTGTAGTTGTCTTAGTAGTGTATGAAAAAAAAACTCAGTAATGTCATTAAATTCGCCAAGTGCCGCTAGAAGACAGCTGGGCAATTTTGAGCCTTGCAAGTACGCATGGTGACATACCCCTCGTTGAGTTATTGCATTGGGCTTCCCAAGGTTTCCCATGTGTCCATAGAGCCTCCGATGTACATACTTGGATCCCATTCATGAACCAAATGTGTGTCGAATGCGCTGGATACCTGAATATTATGTTACACCATTGGTTGATTCATTAAATTATTGGGTCCTTGCGGTTTGAAAAGCCCCAAGGTTCCAGCAAGAACTTATATCGTGCCAGTGGTGACTGCTTTTCTTTGATCAGTCCTTCGCACAGATAGATTAGGTGGGAAATACCAAAACCTCCACATGAGCACCAACTCATGACAAATTTTTCGAAAATTCTGTTAAAACGAATCCTTGAATTTAAAGCGTAAGTCAAAGACTCACGGAGGTCCTAATGTAATGCCAGTGTTGTCCCCATAAGAGGAAAGACTGATTTGAACTAAGGTTGTATATATCCTTTGAATTAGATGCCCAGGTGCTAACCTTGGTTGGAAGCCGGAGAGATGGTCACATCCTTCGACATCAGGAGCCTCATCTACGCTACATATTTCAGGTTGAGGGTCTCACTGTCTCAATCGGTTGCTTTACGTGCTGTGGTTGTTCAAGTGTATTTGCTGAGGTTAGTTGGATGTAGATGTACATTCATGCACGATGCGGGCCACGATCCACCTCAAGTGCCCCAAGGCTGACACTCCAGGGCTCTGACAACCTTGAAGATCCATCACCTGGGCATGACAGTACCTAGGTAGTCCTAAGTAGATTCTTAGAGTCAAACGGAATATGAAATTCAACATTGTTTCCAAACCCCGAGATCTTATTGTTTAATGTTTAACTATGGGAGGCATTCGGATCTCCATAGTTTTTGCATTTTCGATGAATGTTCAAGTTTATATGCATTTCCTCTCAGGCTTTTCAGCCACCTCAGACATTGAAAACTATATACATCATGATTCCACCAGCACAACCCAAAACAAAAATAATAACAAGACCACATGTATCATGATGGCTGGAATCTTAATTACTCTAGATACTAGTCTTCGAGTTTTCCCGGGTATCAACAGCACTAGACGATAGTAACCTACACTAAAAAAAAGATCTCAATCACTCTCATCCGACTCAGACTGAGCAGCAGGTCTCCGCGAAGACCTCCTCCGCCCCTCATTCTCATCAGCACCAGCACCAGCACCAGCATCAACCCCATTAGCATCAGCCGCCCTCCTATCCCTCAACGGCTGCATCCCCAAAGTCCTCCTCAACCTCATCTCAAAGTCCTTCTTTACACTCTGCTCAACCTGCGTAGGTCTAATCCCACCCTCCCCATCATCCTCCAAATCCGAATCCCCAATCTCCTGCCCAAATCCATAAACCTCTCTAACCAATCCCGCAACACTTCCCGAACCAACCTCCACCTTCCCCCGCGGGCCAACCGTGTACTCGATTATTTCCTCGCCACCATCTACTTCTCGGGTTCGAACTAGATAGCCCTCCTTGCAGACTCTTTGGAGAAATTTGTCTGTTTTCCCGAGAGGTGTTTGGGTATCCACGTTCATGCGGGCGAGATAGCGTTCCAGTTTTTGTTCTGCGAGGGAGCCGCCGTTAAGAGAGATAACGGCTATGGCGAAGGAGTATAGAGCTGTGTATGTGCTTTCGGCTTTGGATGAGGGGGCTTTTGCTGGGGATAGGATCGAGGGAATTCGATAAGCTTGTGGGAGGGTAGTTGAGAGGACCCAGGATTTGCTGGATGTGGATGGCTTTTCCGTTTTTTGAGCGGCTGAGAACCAATTTTGTTAGCTTCTTGGTCCTGTTTCTCTTGAGTCGTCTCGCCTTGTCGTATGTTTCTTTAGTCTAGGGTTCAGAGTAATAAAAGACTCACCTCGTCGCTGTGTGATAGTCAATTTCTCCCGAGCAGGTAACTCCACCATTTCCATCCCAAATCTCCTCTTCAACTCGCGTTGCGCCTGCTCAAAAACAACCTTGAATTGTTTCGATCCTCGCTCCCCAAGAACCTTATTGCTGATGTCTGCTCGACGAATAGGAACGCGCGCATACTCGCTCGACAGCGCAAGCCGCACCATATCTTTAACCATCGCGTCGAAATTCGTCGGTGCGCCTCCGGCTTCTAGCTCTTCGGCAGCGGACATATCGTCTTGAGACGGTGAGCTTCGTTGATGGATCCGACGTTGTTTTTGGGTAGGTATTGAGTCTGCTTCGGGCTGGAGTTTCAATTTTGATCTGTTAGTTGGTGGGTAGTTTTCATCTTAGTTTGGACTAGACTGGATGGGTAGGTACCGCTAGGCGTTTTCGTGTTGGAGGCATTATAATTATTTAAGGTTGACTGGTAAGGGTGGTTTTTCTCTTTTGGTATTTATTCCTGGTGGAAGGCGACGAGGAGATTCAATGTTGTGGATTGAAGTTGTTTGCTTTGCGGTGCGGAGTGAGAGTGCTTGACGCGACGCGAGATCCGATAAAGAGGAACACTGATTTTACCATATCGGGACGGTCGAGATGGTCTGTGCACGATGCTTATCATTTGTTGATTAAGAATGAACTCAAGTACTTTAAATAGATTCAACTTTCTTGCTTTTTGCAAAGAGGTATTTACATGAGATAAATTTGAAGGGACTGATAACAATTTTAATTATTTGATGAGCAAATACATCTGTATACATCAAAATCACTAACGAAGCGCTCAAGCGACAAGGTATTGTTTCTTTTTTCTCTCTAAAATCATCACAGAAAAAGAAAAACAGCGCTGAACTCAATACAGGCAAAAAAATAAATAGAAAACAAGAGAATTAAGAGGGAAAATCTATCAGTGGTTGGTTTTTTCGTGGACAGCCTCTTTCACCTCTTCCTTGGTTCTCTGAACAAGTCCATACACCCAACCCAACGACTCCTGCGACAGCAGCAAGCTAGTGGTGAAAGCGGCTTTCCCTGTGTTCACGAGGCCAGCGCCTCCAGCTTTCTTATACTCGGTGCCATAGGTGTCAAAGACATGGGTTTTGATGTCACCTGCAAAGCGGACAGGGTAAGAAGCATGGTTGTAGATTGTGCCACGGATCTTCTGAGCATCTTCACGGATGATAGGGAAGCGAGTGTCGATCTGGCTTAGACCCTTGTCACCCAGTGAATCGGCACGAGTCACATAGGGAGCGATGTAGCTGTATGGAGTAGAGAAGTATGGTAGAACGGGCTTGGCGAGGCGAGTATAACCTTGGTCTGCGAATTCGAGAGACTTGGCGCCGTATGGGTTGGTCTTGAAGAGGGTGATAGTGTCTGAGACGACGGGGTAGGAAGTCAGGTGCTGGGGTTTGAGAAAGGTTAGTTCTATCTGAATCTGGATCTGGATGCAAATGCAAGTGAGATCATCTGATGGAGTGTTGGGAATGCCTACATCGATGAATTGAGAATGGACCTTCTCGCCGTTGACGACAGGTTCAGCCATAGTGTCAGAATCAGCGTGGGGCATGTGGGAGATGGGGGGGAGAGTGGGAAGGTTCGAGAGCAAGAGTTTATTTAAATAGATAGAGTCTGCAGATATTAGGGGGAGAAAGAGAGTAGGACAAGACAAGAAGAAAAGCAGTGAGCAGAGAGAAAGTGGGCTTAGTATATAGACCCATTTCACATGTGATTTCACGCAGGTTATGCAATTGGCCTCTGGAGGGTCAGAGCGCAATCGCACCATCTGTGCACTCATAGATTCATTGGCTATGTTAGTAGCAGGGAGAATTGAATTCTAGAAAGTTAGTCTTTTATTTTATTTTATTATAATTATTTATTAAGATTTATTTCTCGCCTCAAGTTATGCATTTCTGCCTGCTCATGGCCTCATCCTTCCTCGCCATGCAGACGGTCGTGACGCCATAGTGATTTGACTTTCTATGGCAAATTCCCATCTCTTCCAATCTCTTAATCTAGAATTTCAAATTGATCCTTACGACCAAGTTGTCCAACCATCCAAATCATGGAAGATCAGAACTTTCTCCTGCATCTTCCAAGTCCATTTGGCGACAATTTTTTTTGATAAGCTCCCATTTTCACATGTGATTGCGGGTCCCAACGTCGACGCATTCGGATCCACTTGGGTTTGTTTCTTCCCCCTCCAGGACTGGATCAACTCTGGAATACACTGTGTCCACCCTGGGAGACTTGACAATTTTCCGCCATCAAATATGGCTTCTATTCTTTCCCATTCTTTCCTAGGGAGTTGCACTTACCCGTAGACAATGTTGGGATCTTATCAAATCCAAAATACACATCATGACGCCCTCGAGTCCACCCCCGTTCCCCCCCCGTACCCCCACTCTCGTTCTCGTGTCCAGAATTGACCTTAAGGCGCAGTCCTTATCAGCCATTCAACTGCACAGCTTGGCTTGAGTTTCCGTCGCCGCATCTAGGCCGTGACACCTGCATCCCATTCCGGAGTTGACCTGCTTCATCCTCATATCCCGCCCAGCCTCGCATCTGCAACCAGGATCCACTGCCCTGGCCTGAGCGCCCGCCCGAACACAACTATGCATCGCATCGCCCTTTTTCTACGGACTAATCTCCCCCTCTTCTCCCTCCCAACACATCCCAATCCCCCCAATATGTAGCTAATCCCGTACCCGGTTCCATTCTACTTGTGAACGTTCGGTGTCGTAAATCTGTTCCTTCCTGATAACCCCGACATAAGTGAATTGCTCGGAAAGCTACTTCGCAATGGCGTACAAGGTTCTGGCCTTGTTTGCGATAATCGCTTGTCGGCTCTATGTGCCCCGGGCGTCGTGCGACTGCCTCAATGAGTGATTCGTTGAGAGTCGTTGTCCGATCCTCGGCGATTGGAGGTGCGGCGTTGACAAAGATGAAACAAATGAATCTCTTTATTGGAGGTAAATCTTTATCTATCAGTAGTTGTTGTTTGTATATTTGGCTGGTAAATGTGTCCTCAGAGACCTTTCACCGAAAGGATAAGAGTTACAAACAGAATCTCTACTTGGCATGCTAACTTATTGACCCTAACAACTGCGCTATACCATGCCTTCCAGTATGAATCGGAATAAACGGAAGCTTCCAAGACGTTGCCGAGACTTCCAGGGTTGTGCAAGGGTTTGTGTCGTATTATGTATTCTTTATGAAGCCCGCGAAAGGCCAAGCCTAAAGATGAGACTTTTATTGTCATAGCTTTGAATTCGAGTTATATTGCAGCTCAACCTCCATCCGCTTCGTACTTTTAGATAGATCGACCGTACTAAGATTAGCATCGGAAAGTAATTTGAACTCCAGAACTATGCGAGCAAAAGAACGGAAAGTACCTCTGTCGATCATGGTGGCAATCCACCACGGCCAGGTTCGGTCATGTAGATCTCCCAGCGCAATGACTCCAAACCAAAGAACCAGAACACGATCTCATAAAGACGCAAGGAATCAGAACAAAATATCCAGTATCCAATATCCACATACCTATCTAGGAAGGCATCAGTGTATGGTCCGAACGTGATACAAAAACGGTTTACCCCAGTCTTAGCCTGCAGCAACGTTTATCACGCAACTCATGTAAGTGCAAAAAGTACCTCTGCCGTTTCCCTCCAGGGCTACTAGGCACATGCAGTTTTCTCCGCCCCCAATGGCTAATCGAGGTCCTGGTCTGATTTAGTCTAGTTTGGTCTGGTCCGTTGTCATTTCGGACCCCTGTTCATGTACAGTACATATGCGTCGCTAAGCCCATAGTCAAGACTATCAACTACAATAAGGTTCGAAAAAGTTGCGCCACCTATCTAACTGATTGAGACATTAAGGCAGTTTTGAAAAAAAAAATTGGGTCTAGAATGCTACTTACCTGCACATGTGCTTAAGTTGTATAGAAGTAGATTGGAATTGAACTTGATGCGCGTGTAGAAGATCTTATTGGATCGCAACTTCAAATTAGTGGCAAGATCGAGGGTTACCTAGTCATCTCGGTGCGAAAGGATTTTGAACCGCGGATGCTCATGATTTCTATGACTTTGAGAAAAGGTGTGGCGATTCACATGCGCTAGTGGTATGTTAGTACATAGATTGGAGGAGAGGATCCGTTTGGAAGGTTATGATAAGGTGATTTTCGATGTGGTTCAGATAAGAATAATCACATGGAATCGGTTACAAGTTGACCTCCGAGCTAAAAGATCCTTCTAAGGCCAGTGTTTGTTCATAGATAGGAGACTAGCTGACGTGTAACTACGCTCGCTCCAAAAACTGGAACATGCACGGACGACTCGGTTGGCCCATATGTATGTCGATGTCATAAAGTGTATGTATATACATTCTTACCCTTGAATTGGCCACACAACATCTACAGACAAGAGACTGACAACCTGGGGCAGTTCTTGTGACGTCGCTGGTCTGATTGTCGCGTGGGAACGGATCGAAATCGTTGTTGAAAGTGGTACATATTGGGTAATAGGGTAATAGTAGTCAAACAAGAAAAAGAATTGTTGTTCATATTTTCCATTTCATTTAAAGGCCCCATAATCTTAGTGGAAACCCTCATTTCAAACTGGACATCGATACATTGCCTCATCTGTTTCCAGCTCTGGTATATGCCTTTCCATCCCACTACAGGGACCGAATGCGCTCGATGCTTTTTTCTCCGCCTTCCCTAGAACCGCGCGCTCATAAACGACAAAACGCCGAAGTAACCGTTTAGAAACCTGTAAGAAGAAAAATCAATTAGTACATTGTAAGTCTAGAGCCGGGTCAATGGTCATGGGAAACATACGCAGAGGGGTGAAGAACCAGCGGTTCTTGCCGCTAGTGTAGCGGTCCTCAAGGGCCTTCTTGATGTTCTTCTTGGCGTCCTCGCGCTGCGAGACCTCCTTGAAAGTCTCAGCAGAGACGGCGCCCTTCAGACCCTCGAGCTCAAGGGTGTAACGGGTGGGCATAAGGTGGTTGTAGTTGACGACCTTGATGAAAGGCTTGACCTTGGAGCGGCGGTCGACGAGCTTCTTACCCATGCGGCGGGTAACCTTCTGGGGGTAGCGCTCGATACCGGCGACGATGGCGAAGGGGAAGGGGTGAGCCTTAGAGCCAGAGTCCTGAGGCTGGACAATGACGACCTATTTGAAGCGAAAATGCGCTGTCAGTCTCATGCTAATTCCTTTCCATCTAATGATCGATCATCGATTGATTCCATCTAGTGATTTCCCCGAACTTCAACTCGTTCAATTTCAATGCCACTGCTTCCTTGCGTCCACGACACAACGGTGTTCCTCCTCTTCATATCACTGTATCTGGCTTGCTTCGAATCTCTCTTCTTTCTATGTTTTCTCGGGGGAGGAGCGTCGGATTGTCGTACCTTCTTACCGGCGTAACGGCCACGGGTGATGATGGCCACACGGCCCACTTTCATGACTATATCGCATTCTCGTCAGTATGGATTTCGTAGGAGATGATCGTAGGGCATTCGAATACGCACACTTCATTCTGAAGGTCCCGGTGAGCGGCGAATTTGTCGGGTTGGTTGTCGGAGTACGGAACAGTCAAGATCGAAGTGTTCAGGTTTTCGCTTGGGTAAAGAGGGTTCAGGGCAAATGGGATTTGTGTGCGATGCGATGATTGGTTATCTTACCGACAATAGACCACTAGACCTAGTATAGTGAATTACCCCATTCAGATTAATCCCGGAGCCCGGATCAATTACATAAGGAAAGCGCCAAGCATTATGTAAGAAATCTAGTTCCCCGTTCCCCGGTTGATCGTGGATCGGGCGCTCTTGCCTGGGTCTCACCGCCCTAGAGTTTGTTTACATGACGACGCAACTGCCCCGGTTGCTATGGTCGCCGATGATGTGTGATGTGTACGCCGCGTAGTAGTTCTTCTCCTCCATCTCCACTTCCAGACTTTCCTCTTATCAAGCTGATCTCCCGGCGTTTGATGCTTGTCACACACCGTCTTTTTCCACTGCTCTTGTTTTCTAGCGACCTGTGGTTTTGATATGCATTGACGACCCTTGTTTTGAGATTTACAACGCAATTCCCAACAATACCCTACATTCCAATACCCTTATTCTTGTCAATACCTCTCTGAGACATCCTGATTATCCATTCTCCTACACACACAAAACATCATGCCAGGCCAAGATCGGGATACCTCTTCCCGCGATCGGGAACTGGTCCGGCATCAACCAACTCAGAGCGAATCGAGTCGGTCTTTAGTCCCAATGTACGTTTCACCCTAATGCGCATCAGTTGAGAAAAAAAAGCAGCATGCATGACTGGAAATCAATACTAAAGCGCCGTTCACGCAGGTGGGATAGCTCTGACCCCGAGCGTGCACCTCCTCCATTGCCTTTGAATCCTCGTTCAATGAGCCCCGCCACAAGGAGTCACGTCTCGCCCGGCATCCAGGCCGTGGCAGCCAAATTCACCGATAAACCCAGTGACCATGCTCCTAGCTCTTACACAACAAATCCCATGCCAAAGTCTGGATCACCGGAAAGGTCCTTGGTCAAGGGACATCATCATAAGCGCATGCAATCTTTGCAGCCCAGCGACACCAAGGGTGACGCACGTTCTGAATTTCTAAATTACCTTGAGAATCGATCTCCCGAAAGACCTCTCAGAGCTACGATTCTTGATCCAACGACCCAGCCGCAGGATACGAGCAAATGTCTTGGTTCTCCGCCTCGTCCGTCCGAGAGGGAAATCCCTAGCTATGTATCCAGTCGTTACTTATCGAAGCCCATTCTGGGCGAGAGCACACCTCCCTCCGCAACAATGTTAGCACTGCAGAATATGCAAATTCCTGCCGACGAGCCTCCATCACCCTCGAAACCACCTAAGATGATTGCAGCGCCAAAACTCGAAGAACCCACCCACACCATGGATACCCTCGCAACGCAAATCTATAGCCTTACCGATATCGCCAGCAGCTTGCAGCGCGAGATGTCTAATTTGAGTCGACGAAGTAAAGATAATGCTACTGATCTGGTCAGCTTGAAGGCTGCGACCAATGCACGAGATGAAGATATTCGTAAGAGCTTGAAGGATATAACCTCCAACCTCTCAGCGAAGTACTTGGAGGGTGATTTTTCAAGGTTTGATCTAGCCTCACTCCTAAAGCCTGATAATGGGCCTAACCAAACTGAATCGGATAGTTCTCCAAACTCCAAGAGAAGCTACTCTGCACCGCGAATGCCGAGCCCTAACCCGTTCTCCTTTGATCGCGATATATGTGGTTCGCCTGCACCGATCTCCGATGGATCCGCCAGTATTGCTTTGCTCGAAAAAGTGCTGCGTGAGATGGCCACAAAGGAAGGTGAGGAGAGGCTTCTGGAACTCATGGATGAAATCAAGTCACGCCCCGCAGCGACTGCCTCCGACAAAGATGCCGACAAGAAGATTACCAATATGCTGGAGGAAATTCTCAACCTTGTCAAAGAGGACCCATCCAGCAGAGCTCTTGTTCGCTCAATGACCGCCGAAAGCCTTCGACCACCTAATAATGCCAATGCGGAAGGGACAAGATCCACATCACTCGGCTCGATCGATGAAACGGCTACTGTTCGTGCACTGGATGTTCCAAAGAGCGATAAGCTTCAGCGCTCGAGCGCAAACAGTGACGAAGTTTTGACAATCCTTCGCAGTGTCAAGAACAGCGTGGTTGAAGGCGGTGGTATGACCAATGGCGTGAAGGCCTTGGTGCGGGAACTGCGCGGCGAGGTACTGGGTATGGGCCGTGACCTTGCAAGCAGGCTGCAAGCCGTTGAAAAGAACGTTACCGATGAAGCAGAGCATCGGCGGGAATCCGACCTTCCTAACGCAGATGATATCTCTGCCATCGTCCAGGACAGTCTTCATGACCTTCAAGAGCAGCTGGCTGCTACTATGAACGAGAGCCGACACCACTCAAATGCGCTGTCGCAATTTCAATCTACCATGAATAGCGCTGAGATCTATTCTATCGTCAAAAAAGCGTTGGAAGAAATGGAATTTCCACAGCCACATCAAGAACTTGAAGGTTCTCGGATGGAAAAGGAAGATATTCTAGACACAGTGCGCGAGGCTTGGGAGACCTACAAACCCGAGATTGAGTTGCAAACCATTGGTTTGGAGCGAGACGAGATTTTGGATTGTCTGGCCGAGGGACTGAAGTCTTACCAGCCCCAGAATGAACAAGCCCTCTCGTATGATCAAGTACTAGCTGCCGTCCAGAATGGATTGCAGCACTTTACTCCACCCCCAGTCGAACAGCCTCCGAGCATTACCAGAGACGAAATCATCCTCACTATCCGCGAATGTCTTGAGAAGCCAGAGCCAACTTCAAGAGGCTTGGATGAAGACCAAGTCAATCATCTGAACTCGATGCGGGATGACATTCTCCATGCCGTATCAGAGAAGCTTCAACCCCATTCAAGGGGGCTGGATGAGGATCACATTCAGCATCTCAGTTCCATGCGAGACGAGATTCTTCATGCCGTTTCCCAGGTTGCTCAGCCAGATCAAAGAGGCTTGGATGAAGATCACGTTCATCACCTCGCCTCTATGCGAGACGAGATTCTTCATGCCGTTTCTCTGGTTTCTCAGTCAGACCACAGGGGCTTGGACGAGGAGCACATCAACTATTTCAATAGCATTCGCGATGATCTTCTACAGGCCTTGGCCGACCGACCGGCATCATCTGAAAGGTCCTTGGATGATGAACACATCCACTACTTGAACTCTATCCGTGATGATATCTTGAACGCTGTCGCTGAAAGACAGGTGGCCGAGTCAACTGCGCCCAGGTCTCTCGAAGATGGTAGTCAATTTGAGCACCTCAACAACCTCCGCGATGAGATACTTGACGCTGTAACCAGATCTGTTGCCACCCAGAGTATGGTCAGCAAGGAGTCCTTCGACTCTGGTTTGGGTCGTGATGAAATTGTCAGCGCTGTCTCCGACGGTCTTGAGGCTCATTTCACTACTGCCAAGGAGATGGAAGAGCCTCGTGTTTCTCGTGAGGATGTCGTGAGTGCCATTAATGATGCATTCAATGCCCAGCAATCTGCTTTGGCTGCTCCCATTCAACCGACCGTCTCACGTGAAGAGATCATGAATGCTATTGTGGATGGTATTGAGATCGCCAACCAGGCCAAGGATTCGGCAGTTAGCACCGATGTTCAGGTACCCTCATTATCTCGAGAGGAGATATTGGAGGCTATTTCGGAAGGACTGGAGAGGTCAAACGAGTCGCCAAAGTCAGCATTGAGTACCGAGGTTCAGCAAACATCTATAACCCGCGAGGAAGTTTTCACTGCTATCGTCGATGGTTTTGAAAGTGCAAACACCATGACTCGTGAAATTGAGCTGAACAAAGATGATCTGATGGAAGCAATCACCGCTGGCCTCCACGAGGCGACCAATTCTGCCAACATGAACGTTGGCGACCAAGTTCTTGTACGCCTCCAAGAAGTTGTCGATGGCATGAAGGAGGAATTCAAGCAGTACTCGGCCGCAAATGGCAGAGATACTGAGCAAGTGCTGGATTCCATTAAGGATGGTCTCGCTGTTGTCAGACAAGAAATCGAGTCTTACGTTGCTACCTCCCAAGATGTGTCAGGGAAACTTGAGATCATCGACACGGTTAAGGACGGCTTCCGACTTCTTCAAGCTGATATGGAGAAGACTATTACGGATACAGCTGTTTCCAACGCGCCTCGTAGCAGCCCCGATACGCCTGAGCTTCTGGATGCCATGGAAAAAGAATTCGAGCATTTGCGGGCCACAATGAGTAATCTCCTTCTGGACAGCCACCGAGCCAGTGACAAGGACGATATCATGGACGCTATTCGTGACTTAGGCGATCATCAAAAGGGCGCCTCCAATGACGAAGCAATCGTGAAGTCTATCAGAGAGGAGTTTGAAAACCTGCGCGAACGAATGGAAATGAGCGTTGTCCGCTCTGAGCCACCCGCGTCTGAGAAGGACGAAATCTTGGCTGCTCTCCGCGAACAATTTGATGCTTTCCGTGATGAGTCGTCACAGAACAAAGACGGCGGCGAGAGTATCTTGGCTGCTACCAGCGAGCTACTTGATGCCTTCCATGGTGGCATTGACTCCATTCGTGGTGATGTCCAGAAGGTTCTTGAGAAGCCGGCAGAGTTTGACAGTTCCGAAATCCTCGAAACTATTAAGGAAGGACTGTCTGAATTGCGATTTGATATTGAGGCCCTTCGACAAGCCCAAAAAGATAGGGACGATAAGGAAGCAGCCGATGTTGAAACAACTCGAGGCGGCGAAGTTGTCCTCGCCAATGAGTCTCCTCTTGACACCCACATGGAGGGACTAAAAACCCTCATTACACAGCTGTCAGACCGGGTTGAGTCTATTGATTCGACTCCTCGCTCAGCCGAGCCCGCTGAACCTGCCGAGCCTGCTCCAGATGCATTGAACCGAGGTCATCTCGATGAAGTCCTGATGGCTCTTCAAGAAATCCAGCTTGCTGTGGGCGAGATGAGTGCCAGTCGGGAGATCCCTGAAGGTGGAGCTCGTAAGGAAGATACTGATACCATTGAGCATCTCCTCATGAGCACAAAGGCTCAGATTGATGAAATCCACTTTCCATCGCCTGAAGAGCTTGCCACCTCTGAGCAAATCGGTGCCTTAGAAGTTATGGTGCGCGAGGCAAAAGATTCGATTGCCGATTTCGCCGCGCGACTGGAGGCCGAAGGAACTACCAAATCTGACATCGGAACTCTCGAAGGGCTCATAAAGGATGTTTGGGTTGCTCTTGACGAGATGAAGGGCAAGACCAAGGAAGGGGAAGAGGGTGAGGGTGACGAGGAAGGAGATGAGAACGGTCAAATCCGCAGATCCGATCTTCAGACGGTGGAGGCTATGATTTTCGAGGTTAAGTCTCAAATTGATGAGCTTAAACTCCCCGATGTTGAGACCCTCCCCACCAAGGACGAAATTCAAGAATTGTCGTCGCTGGTCACCGAGTTCCGTGACAAGATGGAGGCTTCCAACGATCTTACCGCTCAAGGATTTGACGCGCGGAAGGTCGAGCATGGCGGCCTTGCTGAGAAGATTGATGAGGCTAAGTTCACTGTCAATGAACTTGGCGAGGAGCTCAAGAGCAAACTTGATGGCAGCAGCGAAGGGCTCACTGAGCTTAAGCAACTGCTCGAAGGCCTTGCGATCTCCGCTGAAAACTTCACGACTGTTGACAATATCAAGGAACTTACTGATCTCATCAACCGTGAATTCGAACGTGCTCGTGGGGAAGAGGATGCCGGCAAGCTGGACAAAGAGGAGCGAGATGCCGCAGCCATGGTCAAACACGATGAGACTCGTGCTGCTGTCATTGTTGAGATTGGTGCCAAGATCGACGAAAAGATTGGCGAAATCATGTCCAAATACGACGATGCACACACTTCTCTCCATTCAAAATTCACCGAAACCGAGGAGCGAGACATAGCTCACGCTGAGATGGTTACGAGTACCAAGTCACTGGCCGAAGATATCAAGCTCGTCATTGGTGCCATGGGTACCACTGTTACTGAAACATGTGAGCGCATGGTTGATGAGACCAAGGCTCTCGCGGAGAAGGTTGATGAGTCGCACCTCCGCATGGAAGAAATTCACAGCGAGACCAAATCTCACCAAGATCAGTCTCGAGGCGAAAACGAGCGAGCTGTTGCCGCTACTGAGCGTGTGGAGAGCAAGCTACTTGAATTCCATCCTCAGATTCTTGAGACAGTCCAAGAGATCTTGTCAGTCGTGAGCCAGCATTACGATCACTCCCAGAAGTCAGCGGAAGAAGTCAAGGCCGAGTTATCTTCTCTACCAGCCGCCATCCCTACCATGTTACCTGCTTTGCCTCCTCCTGAATCATCACGTGCGATTGAAGACGACCCTGTCCATAACAAGTTGGATGATCTCTTGGCACACACCAGGAATAATCCAGTACAGGAGGTTCTCACTACGCTTCTGGACCATTCTAAGAATGAACAGCTCCACAGCAAGCTTGATCGCGCCCTTGAGCACAGTGCCGCATCTAACAGTGACATCTACGAAAAGCTCAATCAAATACTTGATCAAGCGACCAGTGGCAGTGGCTCTGTGCACGAGAAACTTGATTCCTTGCTGAACCGTCCAGTTCAAACGGTTGACCCTGAACACTCTGTCACCCAAATGATGAAGTTGGATGAAATGCACAAAGATATCATGGAGAACACTCGCAAGATGAATGAGATGTTCGCCGTTCAGTCCACTCTTGTTGCGGAAGACACCGAACGTAAGCGTCGCGAGGCCGAAGAAGCTGCAATTGCCTTGGAACGCAGAGTCGCCCAGCGTGAGAGTGTAGAGGCTGAACTCGTCGGTCTACACGAAGAGAAGGATTCCTTGCTGAAGATGCTCCACACTTTGAAGACGGAGAAGGACGAATTTGCCAAACAAAACGCGAAGATGAGCAAGGAGCTCTCTGGTCTTGAGACTGCTTTAGAAATTCGCCACGAAGAGATGCAACACATGGAAGAGCGCGCTGACGGGCTGGAGAAGCGTATCCTAGAAGGCGTCCTTGACCATGCCCGAAGTGTGCTTTTGAGCAGATCCGGCAGCCTCAGCAGCATGAATCTTAAGCGCAACCGGAGCACACGTACATCTCGCACCGGCGCTCGCAGCCCCAGTGTGACCAGCATTACTACGGCTAGCACTGCTCGCGAGTCAAAGGACGCCCGGAGCCTTCTCGGCAATGGTGTAGGCATGGCACTTAAGCGCCGTACCGCGAACAGCCTTCATCCTGGACCGACAGCTGTCCAGCCTAACATTGGCAAGGAGCGCCGAATTCTCAGCTTGAGCCATGTCACTGGCAATCGTGACGCCGGTCGCCCGGTGGGAGCCAATAGTGGCCTCACAAGCCTGAAGCGCAGCCACTCAGTGAAATCGAACTTTGCTCTTCGTAAGACCTCGTGGGCTGGACCCAACTCTACTGCAAATAAGGAGAACGAGTCATTCCCCGAAGAAGAAGAGCCCGAGAGTGAGACTGAAACAGACCTTGGTCCCGATCGGAGATCTAGCTATGCAGGTACCGAAAGGAAATCCAGCTATGCCGGAACCGATCGCAAGACCAGCTATACCGGCACTTGCACTGATAGTGTCGTCTCGGCCGACCGCCGCACCAGTGGCATGAGCTATTCCACGGACGGACTGACTGACCTGGCGGAGAGCTCTATTGTTAGTGGTGATCATCACGCCGAAGAACATGAACATGAAGGCTCTGAGGTATCTTCTGGGTCAGATGACGATGCCCAGACAGCTCGTGAGGATGACGAGGAATCTGACTCCAAGACTGAACATGGAGAAAAAGATGAATCAGAAGACTTGAATGATGACGTGGACGATCATTTCGAGGAGACTGCGTCTGCAATGGAGGCGGAGGTGATGAAGCTACTAGAAGCTCCTGCTGACAGTGGACTGGGGACTGAAATGACAGTGTCGTGAAGGATGATAATTTGACCTGTTGCATGATTATTGTATTGCGAGGAGCGTTGGTCTTCCTCGACTTTTGGAGTTACGGTTTTCTTGTCTATGGATTTTTTTGGTTTCATTTTTCCTTTGTGTTTTCCCTTCATATACCACTCTTCTGTTGATTTTTGTTATGGGCCTGTATGAATTCCCTATGTGCTGATTAATGATATTCTTTCCCAACTTTGATATGTCAAAACATAATCCTTTCAAGTAGCCGGTAAAATAGTAGAGAGCGACTTTAGAATGTACACCTGCTTGATCAATATCTATAAATGACCAGGTCATGTTCCATCATGAACTTGGTAAATATCCACCTGGGCATATCAGCTGGCCCGATAAGGCAAACAGTCATGTGACATATCACCCTGATGCCTCAGGCAAAGCCTCGGCCGCGGCCCCCGACAACTGTAACTTTCAACGATTCCAATCCACTCTTCCTTGATGCTGTGCATGGTGCTCTATTGTAAAGAAAGAGTGCTGCCCTTTCCCTTCAGCTGAATGGTAAATATCTGAGGATTACGCCCTCGGCTATTTATAATTCACCCTTTAATCCGACCAAAACCGTCTTCCTTCCAAGTACCTTCAAGCTTCCCCCACATTGGGTGATAAGCTGTCAGCTCAGGGTCTTTGACGATGTTAGATCCTCTCGGTCCCTCTCCAGCATGGCTGCGAGAGCTAGTCGAGCCTTACAAATTATTAATCAACAGCCCGACACTCCCCGCGCACATCCACGAGGTAATCCTCGCCTTTGTGTTCTACCAACTCATCCACTCGGTTATCTCTCCGTGGCTATCGCCGATCCTCTTTCCGAAATCCTATCCTAAATTGTCCGCTCGCACCAAACTGAACTGGGATATTCATGTCGTCTCCTTCGTTCAGAGTGTCCTGATAAATACTCTGGCGCTATGGATTATCTTCGTCGATACCGAGCGAGGCTCCATGTCCTCTCTTGAGCGTGTGTTCGGATATACGGGTGCCTGCGGCTTCATCCAAGCACTGGCGGTGGGATACTTCGTCTATGATTTGATTGTGAGCGCCTTTTACGTGAAAATGTTTGGCATCGGCACACTTTTTCACGCTATCAGCGCCCTATGGGTATTCAGTCTCGGTTTCGTAAGTTGACATCATGCATACCCGTTGGTCTTTTTAGCAATATAGCCAGACTAACATATCCTCCCGCCCCTCTTTCCAGAGGCCATTCCTGAACTACTATGCTCCAGTATTCATCCTTTACGAGCTTTCGACCCCTTTTCTCAATATTCACTGGTTCCTCGACAAAGTCAACATGACCGGCAGCAAAGCCCAATGGTATAACGGTATGCTGCTTCTCTCGGTATTCTTCTCCTGCCGACTTATCTGGGGAACCTGGCAATCTGCCATCGTCTACAACGACATGTGGACCGCTCTTCAACATACTTGGTCTGCTTCTTCCAATCCTCTCTCGGGACCTGTCAACATTAGTGCGCAGGTCTTCCGTCCAACCCGGGACGGAAGCATGTGCATTGACGAGACATGCGCGCGAGCCAATGCCGAGATCGCCAGTTACAAGGATTACACCTCTGCCGGTGTAGCGACATGGCTGGTCGTAACATATGTGACTTCTAACCTGATTTTGAATTTCCTTAATTATTTCTGGTTCTTCAAGATGGTCGAGACGGTTCTCAAGCGGTTCCGCACCCCCGTTCCAGACGAGAAAGCCGCTTCTAAGAAGGAAGAGGCCGCGAGGTTAGAGGATCTCGCGCAGGAGATTATCCTTGAGGCGGCGAAGGAGTTGGAGCAGGCGGAGGGGTCGCCTTTGCGCGAGGTGGGTGAGACTTCAGCTGCAGATGCGGTTAACAAGCAGGAGTCGAGGAGACGGAGGGCCGATCTTGCTTCCAAAGTTCCCCTTCCTGGGTCATGAGGTGTAAGTTCCTTTTTTATCCTCTTGCTTGGTAGAGATCCCGTACAGTAGACAGATCGGTGATTACGTACTTTTCGCTCTTTTGTTGCTGTGTTTTGGACATTGTGGAATTTGGGGAAGGGTTGCATTGTATAGTTTTCCTCTGTGAGGATATCTGCTTGCTATTTGCTGCTGATTGGTAGCAGTATTGCACATCTCGAGAGGTTAGATGGTGTCCATTGTATTATGAGTTATTATTTCTGCCTTTACATACTTTGCGTCTTTGACATAATGCATGCCCAGGTGGTTGACTTCTTGCTTCAGTATATATGCCATTTCCATGACCAGAACTTGAAGTAGGTAAATTATAGTATGCCTCTTCATTGCGACTACTTCGAATTTTGTGCAAGATGCCCACCTCCTTAGCCTTCTTATACCCGTAATATGAGCTCCAGGCATCTCATACGCCTGTACCTAACATTCAACCACTTCACTTCGTCATTCGAATCCAACTCGGAACCACTACATTATGGTAATTCCATCATGCCAGTGATCTGAGCAGCCCCTTCTATAGGAGCCAACCAATCTAATCGATTCTCAGTGTATAACTCCGCCCCAGGCTTTTGGGTGTTCAAAAGCTCGGGATTATCAAATATCCCCGCTCGAAGAATGATTGTATCTCCATCAGGCTCATCACCCTTGACCCTTCGTCCGAAAAGTGGCGTCCCTACTACCGTGTCAGCTACTTTGGTCTAGATACAATGAAATAATTGGATACAAACCACAGTCAGGACAGAAATAGTTCTTTATAGCGTTTCCACTATCGGCGGTTTTGGGCACCCCTTTCGGAGTTCCAGTGACCTTCAAGTCTGCACTGTTGATCGCAAAACTATAGCTGAAGATTGACCCGGTCAATTTTCGACAATCCTGACAGTGGCATATTCCCTGGAAGTAAAATTAGTTTCAAAATGATCAATAAGGGAATCTTTAACAAGGTTTAGGTTTACTAACCGCCATCACGGACTTGCCATTATATTCGATTCGAATATTTCCGCAGAAGCAGCCTCCAGCAGCCATTGGTGATCGTTATCGGTGTGTACTTGGTTTATGAAGGTCCAGGAGTATTCAAAGTCTGAATAAGATTGTCCGTCGTATCTTGAAGTACTTAAGCTTAATGTGATTATGCTGATTACATATCCATCCATATCCTCATGACTAATCTTTTGTTGGCTGAGCCCCAACAACGCAACATTGGGCAAGCCCCCTCAACCATCGTGACAAATGGCTGACTATATCCTCCATCGTAATTAGTAATTATTGCGCAGCTTCAATTCGATGTTGCGACCTCGAGGGGAGTGGGTATATATCTGAATAGTTCTCTCCAAATTGCTTCATGTGCTTCTCATGGATGCAATTGATGTCTCTATAAACTCTGTCCGATATATAAAGACGTTTGACTACAAGCTTGAGCATAACGACTACAAAATACGTAAACTATGAAATGGTTACGAATCAAGAGTTTTACTTCCAACTTGAACCTTGGAAGGTTGTTATGGACAAGATGTAGTAGAGAAGATATAGGAATTTGGAAGTGAATTATCCCCATCTTACATGTCCTAGCTGCACCGAACCAAACACCACATAAGCGCCACCTAGTCAACAAATTCAAAAGTACAGTGAAAAAGACGCGAGCTCCAAAATAATATCATAAGGGCTTAATGGAAGCTCATCGAGCAATCGTAGCATCAGGCTTGGCCAGCATGTACCGAACAGCTTCTTGTGCCACGGCAGAATCCCAGACACTATTAGCACCACCGCGGCGGAACTCTGGCCCACTAGCGTCACCACCAGAGTTGACGTCACCAAGGATTGTCTCAAGATCACGGCGCTGAGAGTTGACCCAACGGTTCACAAAGGTAGCTGGATCCTTGCTCAGGGCAGTGAAGAAGGAATGGCGTGCACAAGAGTGGGTAAGAGCTTGAACAATCAGAGCAACCTGGTCGTCCAGAGTAGCGATTTGGCGCAGGCCAGATGTGTACTGCTGATTCTGCATGTAGGCCATCATCTTAACACGCAGAGGGTCTTCGACAGCAACCTGGATATCGTAAATAGTTGGGGTTGGGTCTTTGTGGAAGTCCTCATCGACACGGATGGTGTAAGGTAATTTGATTGGATCAATGGGACTGGTATGTGACGCAATACTTTCAGGGATTCGAGGGAAGAACATCTGCTCACAGCCGAAGATCTGGAAACCAGTGTTAGTCAGGAAACTGCTAAGCTAGAAGCTTTATAAAAAAAAGGTCACATACCGAGCGTAAGCGGTGGTCACAGCGTACTGTGCGCTTCTCTTCATCTTCTTGCAAGTCCATGGCCTGAATGTAATCCCAAATTCCAAGCACAATGCCGCTTCGAGTTTCCTCTTCAACATCCAGCACCTCAGCTAGCTCCTTGCTCAGCTTGAAACGCTCTTGAGCTTCATCTTGCACCAAGCTAACAGTCACATTCAGGTTGTCCTGCGAGGCGCGTGCGAATTGGATACTGTCAAACTCGGCATTTGGCGGGGCTGATGTCGCATTTGGTGGGACCTGCGGTTTGGACCAGTGGACTGATTTGACTTCATCCGGTACCGCATTGGCGGGCTTATCAAAGTCAATTGTAACGGACTTGAAAAAGTGCGAGAAGCGTTCAGATGACTTCTTGGGGGCAGACTTCTTGCTCTCCTCCTCCTCGCTCTTGTCCTGATCCATCGCGTCATCTCCAGCTGCCTCGCTCTCGCCATTATCTCCTTCATTTTGTGAGGTGGGATCGTTGTTGTCATCCAGCAATCGCCCTTCAATGCGTACTTTGTATCGACCCGAGCCGGGGTTGTTTCCAGGTCCCTGCCAGGGTTGGTTCTCGACAGTATTGGTGATCCAGATGCGCATGGTTCGATATTTTTTCACGGTTCTGCTGATCGAATCCTGAATATCCAGGCGCTTTCGCACAACCGCGGCGTCTAGGCGCTTCTCCATATCGCGAAGGCTCTTGTATTGTTGCACACCCTCCCCGATAACTGCATCTTCAATCCCCTCCGGGAGGTTCTTGTCTGTCGGCTTACGAGCACGGCGGGGAGCCTCGGGAATATGCTGCATTGGACGTTGGGCAGCCATATACTGGGGAGCCATGGCGTGCTGGGGCATTGCGACGGGCATTTGGCCTGGGGGTGGAATTAGATGCGCGCAGGAGCTAGACTGAAAAAGAAAGGGGACAAACCTGGTCCGGGTGCACGACGGGGAGTGGCTGGAGACCGCTGGGCGGTCGGGGGGAAGCCCCGGGCAAAATTAGGCTGCATTGGAGCATTCATTGCGGATCCAGTGGACGGTAGGGGCTCCAGTCGGGATGGAGTGGGTGGATGATGAGGACGAGCGAAGTCGCGATTCTTTTGCCGTCGCGCTTTACCCGATTCGGAATGTCGCGACCATCACGCAAAAACGACACAACATCTATGAACTTGACCACGCCTGTTAATTTTTAAAAGGGAAAATTTAGATAAATAAATAAATACAGCTACAAGAACATTTTAGTCTAGTAAGTCATGCATACCATCGATTATTTCCTAAAAATCAACATAATTGCATTGCCATGAATCCGTTCCCTCTCTACTCCAGTAGCGATGCCTGGTTAGTATACAGACCCTCCACCACATTGCTCAACTTCTCAATGGTGTCTAGTGCAGCATCATAAGCTTGGTCACGCTCAGTCTCATCGAAAACGATCAGACATCCCGAACCTTGGTCCAGTACACCAATGATCACCTTGTCCAAAATCATCTGCGACAGCTTGCGTTCCACTTGCTGGGTATCGAGACCAACCATCTTGGCGATGTGGTCTAGCTCCACACGGCTGAACGGCTCGATCACCTTGATTAAATTCTGCTCCAACATAGCATCGTACAAACGGCGGAGATGGTTTCGAATAAAGGTGTCGCTGCCAAGTTCATATCGGTAATCGGAGAGAGCCTTTTCATATTCCTCCAGAGACCGGTTTGAGTGAGCCTTGGCCACCGCCTTCATGGCCTCCAGGCGTGGGCTGGCATACTTTTGGGCTTGCTTGGACCCCAAAAGTTGTGTGACATCATCCACCAAGTTCAACATAATCTTGCACAGCAGCATGTATTGCAAAGCTGCTGTGGCAAGCTCTCCCTCGTCAAGTGAGTTATATCCTTCCAGAGCCTCAATGAAATACGAGAAAGCAGTGTTGAAGTCCTTGTCCTCGGCGTGGAGCATACCACTTTGCATGTCCAAGCCAGCCTGCAGATTGGGAGGTGTGTAAACGGAAGCTGCGGACGTTCGTGCGGCGGTCAAAGCAGCTCGTGCCTTCGCCTGGTTACCCAAAGCATGGTATACACGGGACTCGAGCAGCTGAACCTCCACTAACATAAGTTTGTCATCCAGACGCTTCAGCTCGCGGAGAAGGGAGTTGATGAGAGTGAGGGCATCGTAGTAGGCTTGCTTCTGCATGTGAATTGCGACCAATCTTGCTTGGAGGTTTTGTCGAAGGAAAGACCGTCGCTCTGAAACAGCCCATTCTATGCATGATTGGATGACACTTGCTTGAAGATCGAGAGTATTAGGGATTTCGCTGATGAGGTCGAGAAGTTGACGGACTAAACAAAGAACATATTAGTAAAGACAAAAATAAGGATTATCACAATGACCGACCTAGCTTAGCAGTCTTCGCTTTAGCGAATGACGAAAAGGTGTCTCGGCTGGTCTTAATGAGCTCTGCAATGTCCTGAGGCTTCTTTGCATCCCGATGCAGCTCTCCCAGTCCGATCAAAGCTTGCTCATATTCTCGCGACGAGGCCTCTGTGGATCCTGGGCCTTCGGAGAGAATCTTCTGATAACTCTTGAGGGCTTTCGAAGGGTCCTGCTTCGCCAGGTCCCGGACTTCCTGTATCCGAGGCGAGACCTGGGACGGTGTGGGCATTATGAACAGTTTCCGAGATTAAGAATTGAACAGAGAGCCTGATTGAAGGGAATTTCGGTAATGAATAGACGCAGTCCGTAGGAGAGTATAAGCGAGTGGTTGATAGTAAGGCGAAGCGTGAGCCGGGGAGCTTGAAGCTGGCAGCTGCGGGCTCACCGCCTGCTTAGCAAATCATCCCATCAACAGAAAAAAAAAAAGTTCACTCCGCCTTGAACTTTTTCTTCTGTACGAACGTCAATAGCCAACCATGGTGAGTTTTTTGGTCTAAATAAAAAAAGGCTCGGCCCTTTGAATCAAATACTAATTCTTTACAGAAAATTAAAGCCCTTTCTCGCCCGACAGCGTCGCAACAGGCCCCCGGGTCTGCTACTGTCCGCCAATCTCGGAATCTCGATCCGGCCCAGCATCCTTTCGAGCGGGCTAGAGAATATACTCGAGCCCTCAATGCCGTCAAGATGGAGCGCATGTTTGCTGCACCTTTCCTAGGTCAAATGGGCGACGGCCACGTTGATGGTGTGTACAGTATGGCTAAAGACCCTGGCTCGCTTGACCGCTTTGCCAGTGGCAGTGGCGATGGAGTAGTCAAGGTGTGGGATCTTCCAACTCGGAATGAAGTATTCCAAACTCAAGCGCACGAGGGTATTGTGAAGGGCATGTGCTGGACTCAAGATAGGAAACTACTCTCTTGCGCCAGCGACAAAACCATTAAGCTGTGGGATCCATATAATTCGACTTCTGAGGCTCCTCCGGCGGCAAGCTGGTTAGGCTCAAGCGCTTTTACTAGTGTTTCACAGCATTACACACAGCCTGCATTTGCTGCTGCGTCATCTCAAATTTCTATTTATGACCTTTCGCGCTCCTCCTCCTCTCCCTCGCAAACTTTGCACTGGCCAACCAGCGTCGACACTATCACTTCCCTTGCTTTTAACCCATCTGAGACCTCAGTCCTGGGATCCACCGCACTTGATCGATCAGTCATTCTATACGATTTGCGTACTTCCTCGCCAGTGCACAAGATGGTCCTCAGATTGGCATCTAACAAAATTTGTTTCAACATGATGGAACCAATGAACTTTGCTGTGGCCAACGAGGATCACAACGTCTACTTGTTTGATATGAGAAGGACCGATCGCGCTCTGAACGTCCTCAAGGACCATGTCGCTGCTGTTATGGATGTTGAGTTTAGTCCAACTGGCGAGGAACTGGTAACTGCATCATATGATCGTACAGTCCGTCTCTGGTCAAGATCCAAGGGCGCGAGTCTTGATATCTATTTCGGCAAACGTCAGCAGAGAGTCTTTTCTGCCATGTTCACACCTGATAACAGCTATGTCCTATCCGGATCAGACGACGGAAACGTTCGTCTTTGGCGCGCTAAGGCATCCGACAGAAGCGGAATCAAGAGCGCCCGCCAACGCAGCAAGTTGGAGTATGATCAAGCTCTTATCAAGAGATACTCGCATATGCCTGAAATTCGCCGCATCAAGCGCCAGCGCCATGTTCCCAAGTCCATTAAGAAGGCTGGTGAAATCAAGCGCGAGGAGCTGGCTGCTATTAAGAGACGTGAAGAAAATGTTCGGAAGCATACAAGCAAGAAGGATCTGAAGCCAAGACAGAGTGAACGTGAGAAGATGATTCTGGCTCGGGAGCAATAAACGAGAATTGCCCCCGGTCATGGCCATATTTCAATTCGGCTGGATCATGGACTGGGTTATTTACAGGGATTGACGAAACAAAACCGAAATGGCTTGGCTTTAATTACATATAGAGTATTTGCTCAATCGGTCCGTTTTTTTGAACTTCTTAAGACTCGACCCGCACGATTGCTGGGTATCTCACGACTCTGGAGGCTAGAAGACACCACAGCATCGATCCCACTCAGATATCTTGCGACGACCTGCAACGCGCCAGGAAATACAGCATACCAATTTATCAGCTTTGCGAATGCTGGCAATCGAAGCACACCGCCATGGCCACTATCAACTGTAGCCACGATCTCTTTAGCGACCTCAACCGGCTCCAGGACTGGCGAAAAGAAATGACTCGGGTTTCGGATCCAGTTGAACAGTGGTGTTGACATCTGACCCGTCTCCACCAGTAACGTCTTGATATTCTCATTACCGCGCAATTCCGCTTCCATTGTCCGGTGCAGTGCACTCAGCCCAGCCTTGCTAGCGGAATAATCCGTCAACCCAGCCGGGCCTAACTGGCCTAGTACAGAGCTGACGGTCACAAGGGTGCCTCCATTCTCTGCATTTCCCAGAATACCGGGGAGAAAAGCCTGGTATAGATGGAAAGCAGCTGTCAGATTGGTGCGCAGTGTCTTCTCAAAATCATCCGGTGATAATTCCAGCAGGGGTTTTCCATTGATCCTCGCTGCGGCGCAGTTTATCACGATTGTGGGTGTTCCAAGCTGTATAGTACCATAGCATGCATGATTAGCGAAAATGAAACCCTTTATCTCAAATCCAAATTAGACCAACAAAGAGCAAGAATAGACTCACCTCCTTGCAAATATCCTTCTTGGCAATCTCTAATTCTTTCCTATCCCCGACATCACACTTAAAATACCTTAAATCCACCCCCTCCCCGAAAACCTCCTCTACCTCTTCCTCTACAATATCCTTCACATCCAGCACAGCGACAGCGACCCCCCTCTTCCCGTAAATTTGCGCGATAAGTAGTCCCAACCCGCTTGCACCCCCCGTGACAAGTACAACTTCCCGTTCAGGCTCCACGTTCCGCGGAAGGCCATACGCGACGCGATGGCTGATGGTTCCCAATATGAAAAGTAGGCTTATGATTATGGCGTAACTAACGCTGAATATCCAGGCCGGGTGTGTAGGGGGTGTGACTTGCGCGCGCAGACAAAGTACAAGGATCCAGGCAAGAAAAGGGTTGAAGGCTGTTCGGTAGAGGACTTTGAGAATGGTATCGATGTTTAGGTGGTGGAACCATGGCTTCGGGGGTGTGGAATTCGGTAGAACGCTCTTTGAGATTATTCTTGGGGCTGAAGCCATGTTGAAATATTTCCAGTCGTGTTAGGGAGGGTTTGGTGTTGCGATCTGGTTTGTTTCTCGATGTTTGGGGTTGTGCTTATGTGGTTGAAATTGTTGTGTCACGCTCTGCCAATCAATTACCCAGCTCTATTATCCAGGGTATTATGAGGTTGTATTCATCCTCTCATAGTCTGGGTGGCTAGAAAATTCATGAAATCAATCAGTGGTGGGCATCGGAGAATAAGAATTTGGAAATGTCGATGAATTGCAGATGCCGGGGACTTTTAGCGCGTAGGTGGGGCTGATAAAACAACTATCGGCTCGCTCCACTGTTGGATCCGAGGCGTCTACTTCAGATGCTTGGGAATCCGCGGAATGAGTGAACTGAACTGCATTGAAAATATTGTCATTGATTTCGAGCCCGAAATAAGGAGTGAAGCTATGATGTATCCTGATTTTATAATGATCCAATTTATTTCTGTCGAATTGTTCTGATCAAGCATAATTGCAAGAGTCTAAGCCACAGTTGAGCATTACAACATTAGCCATAAAAAGCATATTGGCGTGAGAAATTTTCTGATAAGATAGGTCAAAGTACAGTCATCTAGAGAAAAGAAACACTAAAGCTCCTTTAATGGGGTATAAGCAAAGCAATAACACCGAACACCGTCCGCCCTCAAGTCCTCCAACTTCCACCTCGGGGACAGAAGCTTCATTTCCGTAGATGGATAATCATCTTCGTAAACTCCACGTGCGCCTAGGAGGGGGAGAAGTCTTGGTAGGGATGGGCTTCCTCACTAATCCATGGACACTATGACTGAAAGTTGGATAGTCGACTTGCTCTTGAAGAATATCGAGATCCGCAGGATGTGTTGACGTATTGAACCCATTTCCAGGTCGCGGATAAAGACGGTGTTCTCCCGCTGACTCAAACGCATCGGAAGAAGAATCGGTTTCTGTTTCAGGTGACTGAGATATATCACGCGGCTCGGAGGTCTCAGGGGAGGATTCACGATCGGTCACACTTGGTGTTTCGATTTCAGGATCAACAGGTAGCGTCTTTGAAGAACGTTCAAAGGGGACGTCAAATTGTCGAGCATAATCGACTTTTGTTCGTAAACTAGCTCGACGAGCTTGCATTTCAAGCGACTGTGGGCCATCTAGAGGTTCAGAGGCCGGAGGTTCAAAGGTGGATAATATGGAACAAGCCGGGGCAGAGTTAAGACGAGATCTCTTATGAGGTGTAGACATTTTAAGCGGTTCCCCATTCACAGCCAACGACTCTGATTTTCTCTTCGTTTTACTTGTCAAATTCTTAAAGTTCACAGGCTTGACTGGCGCAGAGGTGGTGCGAGCTCTTTTCGGCGGATCCATGGGCTCGATATGTTCTTCCGCGGCGGACGTTGACCGGGTTATCTCATTTGATATATAGTTTGGCGCAGATTGGTTGGGCTGAGTTGAGAAAAACGCAGAGGCAGGAAGCCTAGTCATTTTAGCCGGAAACATGGCTACCTCTGGGTACTTAGTTGTCACTTTCATGGCAAGTTCAACCAGCTCGGCATGTGAAAGCTGAGATAGGTATGCCCGGCGCTTAGCCTCTGTGAATCGCTTCCCCGGGGCCTCAAGCTGCGAATTCGTCTTTAAGCGTGGGTGGATGGCACGCTTTGGCTTTTTTACCTTGGTAGATGGAACTGGCGTCGAACGTCGCACGGGCTTACAGCTGCGGCAGTGCCACTCAGCGTCCTGCTCCAACACTACCTGATCTTCAATTACTGGATCATGACAGTTTTGATGCCAGGTAGCGTTGCACCCATCACAGAACACGATCATGTTTGTGCTCGGGGAATGACCCCGGTGGCAGTGTACACAAACGATGGCGTCCTTCTTCCGAGAGGAGCGTTTACCAGTAATAGTACCAGATGGTACTGGTGCGTATGCCGTTGGAGCCTTGATGATACGCCCAGCTCTGCTGGTACGAGACTCAGAGGCTGACATTGGCATCTCTGGAGAGCTTAGTTCACGCTTACTGGTCCGTTTAGCAAGAGAGACCTCATTCCCGTAGGTCACTCGTTCTGAGGTGTCCATGTTATCTGGCGAAGCACAACAGGGTGACAATAATTTGAAGTGTTTTCAGATCGACGAGAAAGAGTAGAGAAAAGAAAAGGGCAGCTTGGAAGCAAAAGAGGAGAAGAAGGAAGAGGAAAGAAGTGAGAGAGGGGTTCGGAATTTTGACACCCTCTCAGGGCTGCGAGGATGACTACAGTTGATTCAAATTGAGGAAATGCAACCTTTCTTAGGCACCAGGCCAGCTTGGTAGACTTGACGCCCAATTGAAGTGAGTATTTGGCTGTGCCTGAAACGGAATGACAATCATCTCAACCAGAGATCTGTATAGACTCACGTGATTGGGTTCCACTGATGATACCCCGCCAATCACCGCCCGTCGGCCATCTATAGCACATGTGGGCTTGAATGATCTATAGTTGCACACTTCTCAATGATTGCTCACTTAAAAAAGAACAAAAATTTATTCGGATGACGTCTGGTCGAAAAGCTTCGGCTCTGTGTATTTATTCGCAGTGCCGCCTGGGGCACTCTCAAAGGAAAGAAAATCTGATTCATGCAGCTGGAGAATCTTCAACATGTCTTGTGCAGCAGATTCGAAACCAATCAAACTCCAAGAATAATTCCAGATTAAAAACCCTGATTTATCTTCAAATGGATATATGTGCACTATGGTGAGGAGCTTCAATGACAATATCTCCTTGGTAGAAAGCTACCATGGAGACGGACATATACAAAATTTTATACAGGCTCTTAAAGATACACGCTCTCTGGGTCACGGTACGTTGAGAACTTCTCCCCTGATTCGAGGATCTTAATATGCACTGGAATATGTGCCAATAGCAAAACGGCCCAAAGCGCCTTGGAGTAGCGAACATACAGTTAGGATATGTGGATATTCAACCGAATCAATGAAGCTCAACTTACTTGGAAAACTGTCGCCAGAACAATAACGTCTCCATCCTCAATCGATAATAACCATGATTCCCAACGATTTCCCCAAAATTGATTTGGGCATCGCTTGAGAGCCATTGGATTGACTTCATCATATGCCTGTGCCGTACAGCTTTTCGCCAACGCTTCGAAAACATTTCTCCCCTGGGGTCGTCAAGGTGCGACAAGGTAATTATGGCATGGTTTATCTAAAAGCCTGTTACTGAAGCACTCGCTTGGTGATGGGCAAAATTTTGGCACCTCTTTCTCTTGGCTCAAAATCGGCAATTTCTCAAATTCGATGCATGGGCGGCTGGGTCGCTCCGTCTGTCGCCGTCTCTCCCTTAGTGTGTCTACGGAATGTTTGTCACTCTTTCAAGCCATGATCCCCCTTTTATAGATGAGCAAGAAGCAAAAAAAAAGTAACCTTCCAATTAATTCTAGTATGCAAGGTGATGATGCCGCATGTCGCTGAGAAGTACAATCTTGACGTCCGAAGTTTGGAGCAGCTAGCACTGGTTTCCAAAAAAGGCGATAGCTCGGTAAATATGGCCATACTTGTTATACAGGCTGGCAGTGACCCAGCTAGTGAGGTATTTGCTCGGGTGTGGTGCTGTCACACAGGTACCAATGCTGTAATTTGGAAGCAGGATCATGGAGGAGAGTGTTGCTTCACAGTGCACTGATGATTGCATCTACAGAAGAATTGGCGACCGGTGTCTTTATCTCTATATGATGGCCTTATGTTGTGATTTTATACAGGTCCTTTTGCCTACCCACAGTAGGATGAAATGAAACTGCCATATGAGATCGACTAGGACGGGCACAATGCATATGCCATATGTGTGATTCTAAGAATAACGATCTGTTCTCAACGATCTGTACATTTGTGAATCGATTTTCATGTTCGTCATTGGGGTTTCATATCATTCTTTTCGGGCTATATACATCCTTCCATAAGTATAGTTGAAGTCATCGGTACTTCTCTAAATCTATCTGTCAGAAATCTTATGCGATGACACCTTCTTCCTTTAGGCGAGCAATATCCGCCTCCTCATAATCAAGAACACGTCCCAAAATCTCATCTGTATGCTGCCCAAGGGTAGGAGGAGGTGAACGAACACCTGGTGTCGCCTCCGAATACTTGATTGGAGTATTGACCAACTTGATTGGACCACAAGCCGGATGTTCGACTTCAGTAACCATGTTTCGTGCCAAGACTATCATCAAAGTAAGTATTTGCGGAAATTAAATAGTGCTATCTTCGACAATTTACCATGTTCGTGGTTCAGGGTCCCCTGAATATCATTTACAGCGGCATAGGGCATTCCGCTGCCTTCAAATACTTCCAACCATTCCTTTGTTGTTTTCTTCTGAGTGATATCTTCAATTAATCCATCAATGTCTGCGCGGTGCTTCACACGGTCGCTGTTAGTCACAAAGCGTGCATCGGTCGCCCATTCTGGAAAGCCGAGTCGATCACAAAGCACACCGAACAGTCTGTCGTTTCCGCCACCAAAAAGGATATCCCCGTCAAGGGTCTTATAGCTGCGGTAGGGAACAATAGATGCTACAACAAAGCATTAGCTCCAGTGAAGATATTTCTCCGGTCAGTTAGATATCCACTTACGGTGTGCTGTACCCCATCTACCAGAATCCTTCTGGCCACTGATCAATGCAGAGCTAGCTAGGTTTGACAACGTTGCAACTTGACAGTCACTCAAGCATGCATCGATATGCTGTCCCTTTCCTGTTCGGCCTCGTGCAATTAGAGCCGCCATGATCGCATTGGATGTGTATAAGCCAGTCGTCAAGTCGGTCACAGCAACACCCACTTTCACTGGAGCTCCATCCCTAGCTCCGGTGATATGCATCAATCCCATCTCTGCCTCGACCATGACATCGTAACCGGCCCGGTTGCTGTAAGGTCCTGTCTGGCCATATCCTGTAATGCTCGCGTAGATTAATTTGGGGTTTATTTTATGCAGTGTCTCATAATCCATTCCGTATTTTGCAAGGCCTCCCGGCAGGTAGTTCTCGACCAAGACGTCACATTCCTTGGCGAGCTTGTGGAGAATCTCAACGCCAGACTTGTGTTGGAAGGAGAGTCCAAGAGACTTTTTGTTGCGATTGACCTATATGTGAATTAGTCATCCTGATAACCCCATATATATCTTCGTTCCATGAGCATTCATACAGCTAGGTAATAAGCACTCTCGCCAGGGCCTTTCTTAGATTCGTCCGCATACTTCGCGTAAGGCGGACCCCAGGCGCGAGTGTCGTCACCTCGGACGGGGTGTTCGACCTTGATCACATCCGCTCTGTGGGGAAAAGGTGTTAACAAATGCAGTAAAGCTTCGACTGAAAGCGAATGGGTCCGAATAGAAGCTTGTTGTCATTACATACCCTAAATCGCCCAAGATCTGCGTACAGTACGGCTTTGCAATAAAAATGTTAGCGAAACCTTGACTAAGAAGTCATGAATAAGGAGACCAACCCCTGCTAGAACTCGCGTCATATCAAGGACCCTGATACCAGCTAAGGGTAGCGTGCCATCTGCGGTAGTAGCGGCACTGGAATAATATCGCCAGGACGGAGTGAAACGCAGTGCATTGCCAAAGGCGGCTAGTTTCGACTTTCTAGCAAGTGTATTTAACTGAGCTGTGAGCGCCATTGTGAAATATCAAACAACAAAAAGCAGAAATCAATTGCTTCGCAGTTCCCCTCAGCAGCGTAGTCTGTGAGGTTTAGAGGCGTAGCGAGATACATTGGAATCTCCGCTGAAACGCCGACATCGCTCGGCGTTGACATCTTGGCCGAGGTTGACCGATCCCCCACAATTATTTTACCTTGCAGATCTGCACACGCGCAACAATGTTTACCGGTCTAGTTGAGACAATTGGGAGTGAGTGTTTACTACGGTGATTTCAAGATGATATTCTATCAAGACTGACGGCTTTGTTCCTTTCCTACCAGCCGTCACGGCCCTTGAGCCTCTCGATACCTCGTCGAGCGGGGGCGGGGGAACCTCACTCACCATCTCCGACTGTGAGGAGATCTTGGGGGACGCAAACTTGGGCGATAGTATTAGTGTCAATGGTAAGTATTTACCGAATGCCATACTGCTATGTTGATGAAGCTCGGTACTAACACATTGTTCGTCTAGGAACATGTCTGACTGTTACCGCGTTCGATAAAACCTGGTTTAAGGTCGGTGTCGCGCCGGAGACGCTGCGTCGCACGAACCTTGGGTCTTTGCAAAAGGATTCACGCGTCAACCTCGAGCGTGCTGTCTCGGCTGATACTCGCATGGGTGGTCATTTCGTTCAGGGTCATGTTGATACCGTCGCGAACATCCTGTCTGTCACGCCGGACGGGAACGCCCTGACCTTCCGGCTCCAGCCGCGTGATAAGGACGTGCTGCGCTACGTTGTAGAAAAGGGATATGTGACTCTGGATGGTACTAGCTTGACTGTCACCAAGGTCGTCGATGGAGACGACGGCTACTGGGAGGTCATGATCATTGCCTACACCCAAGAGAAGGTAGTCACAGCCGCGAAGAAGCCTGGCGAAGAGGTCAACGTTGAGATTGACATTGTGGGCAAATACGTTGAGAAGAGTGTACAGGGATACTTTGCTGGCACTGCCGGAGGAGACTTTGCTGTCCTCGAAAAGATGGTTTCTCGCATGGTCGATGAGAAACTCAGCAAGAAATAAGCTTTTATAAGATCCATAACCTTGAAAGCATAGAAGACTAGTTACGCCTGTGACGACGATTGAAAATTTAAAAAAGAAATGATTATGCATATTTTTCCAGTTTAACCTAAATATCGTAATACTCCATGTACATGTACACCGAAAACCACCGTGAGGCTCGTGGGTATATTGAATAGGGATCATTCTGTGATAGTCAACATGTCGCAACTCTTATTCCTCCATGGATTCATCAGAATCCTCCTCCTCTTCACCGAAATCATCACTAAGCCAATCAGCCTCATCGTCCATATCGACATCCTCATCATCATCATCTTCAACCTTCTCGCCTCTGGATCGAGCCTTGGCTTTCTCTGCCTTCTTCTTTTCGATATTCGCTTTCTGCAGCTTCTTTCTAGCCTCCTTCTCCTTCCGTCGGACAGCCCAGTTCTGGTCCAATGCTCTGATCTCTTTCTCGGTCTTTTTAATGAAATCGTGCCACATAATCTTTCCATCGCAGACACCATCCTCAACCTTCATCAAGCGCAGCTTCATTCGGGGGCCCAGTTCGACAAGTTTGACTGCCCTCTTCTCCACGCCGGGTGTAGCGGCAGATGGCTTTTCGCCTTTCTCTGCAGCCTTCTGGCGTTGTTGCTCCCGCTTGTTGAGAACTCTGCGGGTTGTGCTCTCGAGAATCTCCACCTCGGCATCCGTATCCAACTCAGTTTCACTAGCAGATGTGTAACCAGCAGCAGATGTATCAAGCAAGTAGTCAGCGGCGTCCTCTAATTTTCCAAGGTTTGGAACTGCGGCCTTCTTCTTCTCCCTGTTTCGAATTTCCTTTGGATCCAGGCGACGAATCCGTTTTGATACACCAGTCTTCTTTGTAGCAATAGCGTAGTGTCGTAGACTCAGAACGTAAGAACCATCGGCTTCGGAAGGCTCTCTGTTCAACAACATAACACGGCGGATGGAATGAAGAGGTGTGGCTTGCGGGTTGATTGGGGGGAAGAGGGACTGGAAGATTGTTGTAGTGAGAGCCTCAAGGCGCTTGGGAATCTTGGAGTCTTCTGTCGCATCTGTATTGAAGTTGTTCATCACCAGAAGAGGGGGTGTCTTGTGATCCTGGCCTCCGCTTTGAGGGCGCTTCATAGCTCGCTCAACGTCTTTGCAGAGTGAGTAGTTCTCAACTTGGAAATGCATTGTAGGGCCTCGAGGCGTAACGGCAAGACGCATGTTAGTGTTGCCGGTCTTGGACTTAGAGAAGAGCATCAAATGTGTAACGCCGAGAGGGCCGGCCATGACAGTATAATCGCGCAGTCGATTAGATTTGCGTTCCTAGATATGCTGTTAGAATTTGAGATAATAAAATAAATCTGCCATTATATAACTGTCTTACCTTCAATCGCACTGCTGTTTCGGGCTCCATCATATGACGAACATCTTTAACAAGCTGAGTGACACTGGTACCGACTTGTGAGCCGCCTACTCGAATGACCATAGATTTGGGAGTCTTGTTCATCGCAGCAGCGCTGGCCTTGTTGGGAGCCGCGGAGGCATTTTGCGGCCGAAGATGGGTGCGCTTCTTAACACGTGCTTTAGCCATTGTGGTATATGCGAGACTAAAACTCGGTGAATAAGGGTAATAGGTAGCAATAAATGTGAACGACTGGAGCTCTGGATCCTTAGCCCGAAGTTTTTTTTTGTCTCCAAAAAAATCCCGGCGGAGAAAATTGCGGATCAACAGTTATTGCGGACCCACTTAAATTATTCGAGATCATTGCGATTTTTCTCCGACAACATCACGGTTTTTACATACAGCCACGATGCCTCCGATTAAAAAGAGAAAGGGTGAAGATGCGGCCGTGCCCGTCGATGACGTGGACACAAAGTCCGAGCCTGAAGTCAACGAAGAGAACGAAGAGAACCAGGAACAGGATGAAGAGACACCATCTACGTTCAAGGACCTCGGACTGATCGAGGAACTATGCACAGCGTGTGAAACGCTAGGGTTGGTTCTCCCACATATTGGTGAAAGAACACATGCTTACTTTATCTTCGACTAGTTATAAAAAACCTACTCCCATCCAAGTATCCAGCATACCTTCAGTCATTTCCGGGCGGGATATTATGTGAGCTTCGAAAACTACCGGGTAATCTGTATTTTGCTAACGCCCTCCAAGAGGACTTGCAGAGACAGGTTCCGGAAAATCTGCTGCGTTCAGTCTGCCTATGCTCCAGGGTTTAATGTCAAAGCCCCAGCCGTTCTATGGTCTCGTATTGGCCCCGACACGAGAGTTGGCATATCAGTTATCGGCCGCAATCGAGAGTCTAGGGTCCACCATCGGCGTACGAGTTGTCACCATTACCGGAGGAATGGACATGGTCCCACAATCTATCGCATTGGGCAAGAAACCGCACTTTGTCGTTGGTAAGAAAGTCTTCACTTGACCCTTTCATGACCTTCTACTGACAATATTTAGCCACTCCTGGCAGACTCCTCGACCACCTAGAGAATACAAGGGGTTTCAGCTTAAAACAACTTAAGGTCCTGGTCATGGATGAGGCAGACAGATTGTTGGATATGGACTTCGGGCCACTGCTCACAAAAATTCTTAATGCCATTCCCTCGCAGAGACAAACACTGCTTTTCTCAGCAACTATGAGCAACAAAGTTGAGAGTCTCCAGCGTGCCTCGCTCTCGAATCCCCTGCGAGTCTCCGTCGCCTCAAATAATCGAACAACCCCAACCACCCTCAAACAATCCTTCTGTCTGATCCCCGCTAAGAACAAAGATATATATCTCTCTTACCTTTGCACGGAGATGACCGGAAAATCGATAATCATCTTCTGTCGTACCGTTCACGGAGCCCAGCAGCTTTCCTATTTCTTAAGAGCATTAGGCTTTGGAGCAATTCCCATTCACGGTATGTAATATGACTTCTGAACACCAGTGTGAACTAGAAGCTAACGTTCACAGGACAAATGAGCCAAAGCTCTCGATTGGGTGCCCTCGGTAAGTTCAGAGGTGGAAGCCGCTCTATCCTTGTTGCAACAGATGTAGCAGCTCGTGGTCTTGATCTTCCAGCCGTTGACATGGTTATCAACTATGATCTACCGGGAGACAGCAAGACATATATTCATAGAGTTGGACGAACTGCTCGTTCCGGCCGCGCCGGTCTCGCCTGCTCGCTCGTTAGTCAGTACGATGTCGAGGTTTGGATGAGAATTGAGGGAAGTCTTGGCAAGAAGCTTCCAGAACATGACGCACCTAAGGATGAAGTGATGATTTTTGCGGCGCGTGTGAACGAGGCACAAAGACAGGCTGTTATGCAGATGAAGGATTACGATGAGAAGAAGGGCAATAAGCCTGGAAAGAAGTTTGGGAAGACTTTTGGTGCCAAGAGGGGTCGTGAGCAGATGGATCAAGAGGAAGGTTAAATGTGATCTTTGCTTTTTTTGATGATCCATGATGAAAGGGTTAATGGCTGGTCCATCGAGGCTAAGGCTGCTTAGCTAGGGCTTTGCTCCATATGTGTACAAATTTAATATTCTAAGGGATACACAAAAGTATGAATACAAATATCAAAAGTCATTTTACATGGGAAATTGATTTAAGAGGACATGGTACTGTCAATAGTCATGTCAAATGAGTTTCATTACTGCATCAAAGTGATATGGAGAGTATTTTACTGGGGTTATGGCTGCCTTTTCATAGGACTCCCAGCTGTAAAAAAAAAAAAAAAAAAAAAAAAAGGACTGTCGTGATAATAGGTTGTGAACAATATCTCCAAGATTGTTCTTTTTTCTTTACTGCTGACCATCAGCACTACGAGCCTCGCTGACTGCGTTGGCAACTCGAGTAGCGAGGTCATCAGCCTCAGACCGGCTGGCAGCCTCGGCGTAGACACGGACAGCATCTTCAGTACCACTAGCACGGGCAAAGCTGCGGCCCTTGTTGTAACGGGACTGCAGGGACTCGACCTTTTCTTGGAGACCAGCAGGAGACTCCAGTTTGCGCTCAGCATCGTAGGCCTTGAAGATCGAACGATCTTTGACCACAACACGCACAAGACGAGAGGGCAGATCGGTGTAGGTTCCCAGCCACTCCTTGGGGCTCCAGCCCTTGTGTGCAAGGATGGCCTCGACAAGCAGCATATCGGAAAGAGCATCACCGACGGCTTGGTTGATCAGATCGGTCAGAGCCCGCAGGGACTCGAGAGCGTGCTGCTGGGCCGGCGATTGCGGCTCGGCGTTCCTGATGACCTTCATAGCGTTCTCGGAGAAGGTGACAGTGCCGTGGCCATTGGCCTCAAAGTAGACACCGACGTCGAAGCGGAGGGCGGCGTGGTGGAGGTGCTTAACACCGGTGTTGGTGCAAATGATGGGGAGCTTCAAGACCTTTTCTATGTAGTCGGTGGAGGCACCATTGGCATAGGCAGTCTGAACGACACCAATCTTCAACTTCTGGGCGATTCCAGCATTTCGGGCAAGGTCGCCAATGAATGAGGCGGCCAAAGTGGCGATGCGGTCACCATCCAGCAGGCGGAAAACGTTGCTCTCATCAACAAAATAGTAAACAAGACGGTCAGCGTCACCATCCAATGACGCGCATCTATCGAGAGCACCAGCCTTAGAAGATGGCGGGGCACGTTGCTTTGTCTTGACATAGTCGGCACCACACTAAGGAAAGAAAGTTAGTGGAATTATGCTCACTGCTTATGTGGGGGAAAATTCCAACCTCGTAGTTCAAGCTATCAGGGTTGATCACATCATCATTGATGACCTTGATATCCACAGCTGAATCCAAGTACTTAATGAGTTCCCATAACTTAGGGCCTCCAACACCGTTGGCACAATCAACTGTCAAGGATCCCTGAACCTTAACACCTCGCATGACCTTCTTAAAGGATTGGGCAAGCTTTTCGTAGTAACCTTGCTCAGATGGCTCTCCATACTGATATGGTGTTCCGAGTGTGTTCTTGCAGCGCACAACATAGTGAAGCTGAGGAGTGGTCATATACTTGAAGTCGATGAAGTCGGTCTCAGTCGCGGTCAAGGCGGCATTGAGAACACCCACGAGGCGAGAACCAGAGGCACGAGTATCACGGGCAAACACCACACGGGCCGGGTTGGTCATCTTCACATCGATTTCCTTCACAAGTTCGTCGTAGACATCGGCAATGGACTCCAGTGGCGCATTGGCCAGTTTTGTTGCATATGCCTCCCACTCGGCCTAGATAAAATAGTGAGCTTGAAAATTTATTCGATTTAAGCGGTGTTGGTCTTACTTCAAGCATCTCGCCCTAATTTGTTCAAGGTATGTTAGAAATGGTTTCTTTATAGCTTCAATAGCCAACATGACTATTCATAATTTGCTTACCATAGGATCAACCAGCTTCACACCATTATCCTCCGCGGGGTTGTGACTCGCGGTCACCATAACACCGATCCATTGGCCGCTAAGCTTCTTGGAGCGCAAGCTGGCAAGCAAACCAACAGCAAATACGACGGTGTTCAAAAGGTCTCTGGAACGTGCGGGTGGTCAGCGACAACCGATGTCAACAAAAAAACGACGATCGCGGGGGTGTGTGTGGGGATCGATCGATCGTTGAGCGGACTCACGCCTTCATGCGAAACTATCCCGAGATAAAATGTTAGTTCAAGCTCAGGTTCAAATTCATGGAGTCGCGCGACCTACCCCTGCAGTACCATACTCAAAGACCTTTCCTTGGGGCTTTGTATACTGCAGCGCCGCCTCGGAGATTGCCTTCTTAACAGCCGGAGAGGCCATTGTGCCGCAGATAAGTTGTGATCGAACCGGGATGGGGACTGAGGAGTTGAAAAGTATTGAGAAGATGCGCGACAGGTCTGGATGAATTTTTGGGCTCAGAAGACGAGAAGTGGGAGAAGAAGTGACTTTTGAAACCAAAAAAAGAAACAAGAAACGAGGGGCTCAGCACCGGCACCGAGTGAGACACGGCTTAATGCAACGGCCTTAGAGGGTCTTAGCGGTGAGCCAATGGCGGGGAACCAAGGTACCACGCATTCTGGCATATTCCAACGTCCTGTTCCTATTAGGTCATGGCATGCTCCATACTACAATGGGGAAGGCACCTCCCGCTCCTTATTATCCGGCCGTGGCAATACAATCTCGGCGTTAAGAAGGTTGTGGAAATTACAAGGAGCGCGCTAATATAAAAGACCAGTGGAGTAGATGTGCCTTGGCTGATATATGATTACTACTGTAGCAATGGGTCACCGGGACCTCCATCGGCTGTTGTACATATCTGACATGATAGAAAAATTGGTCCTCACCGAATTTTGGGGGTATAGATAGTATAGGAGATTCTATTCCGTCACCAACCGGTTCTTTTCATGCCTTCAACCGGTGACCTGCAATGTCGTCCTGCGTGTCCTTGATGAGAAACCTGTCGGGCAGAAGCGATGCATTAGTTAATGCACAACGAAAATAAAAAACGAGGCAAAGAAAAAGCAAGAAAAGTTTAATAGAAAAATTTTCTCAAGCGAGGGACTTACGAATACCACCACACGGCTGGGACCACAGTGCCCAGATGCCACAGGCTATGTGCATCAATCAATCCATGCCAAGGAGGGAAATCAAGCAGCTCCAGGCTCATGGCCAGGATGATCCATGCCACAATCATACCAGGCCAAGCGGTCCATGATTTAAGATATTTCTGGTAACGAACAATACTGAAGCCGGTCCACAGTAAATTCTGGACAATTCCAACTGCGACATTGGCAGCCATGTTGTACGTATAATCCCACGACCAAAAGGTGAGGTAACAGACATGCATGGTGTACAGCAGGATACAGATGGCTGTCCACAGCCGACGCAAGGTAGGTCGGTACTGCGGGCTCTCCAAGTCCAGACGCAGGACTCGGACCACAGCGAGGTAGAGGCCGTACAACACATTGGCGCCAGCTGCCCAGTAGTCCAACTTCTCTGTGAGAGGGAAATCCCTAGTGTGGAAGAGCATACTGAATGTCCAACTTGCCAGCCCAATATACCCAAACATCATGTAGTAGGGTCGGAGCGAATGCCAGGTGGGGATGGCCTCTTGAATCCGGGACATGCCATGCCAATGGGCGACGAAGTTGAAGAAGGAGAAGAGTACTGAAAAGGGCTCCTGGATACCCAACAGTCGACGGAAAGGCCACTTCCCATGGAATTGAACTACCGGGGCCAGCATGGGCGGGTCGCGCGAGACTCGACGATCGGTAATGACATGTTGACATGTATAGTCGCACTCAGCCGGGCAGGTCCATAATAGCAAACGGTGGTGCAAAGCTGTAAAGGGTCAGAGGAGGAGTAAAGAACACGGGGTGGATCGAGAGGGGGCGGGTGTCGTACGAAGCACCGAATTTCCGTTCTGACAATTCTCCGTTTTACAAACCTGGGGAAATGTGTTAGCCGTGTAAGTGTTTCACCTCCATTATGGAGATGGGCCAACTGCGAAAGGGTTACCTGGACACATTCTCTGAAATCAGGGAGGTGGTCGCCCAAGGATGCAGAGGATTGGCCAATAAGACAGGCCAAAAGAATAATGGCAAAAAGAGTGGAAAATTCCACTCGGTAGATGCCCAGATTCATGATGACCTGTAGCTTCAGGGCGTGATACGCGTCAGCATAGAGAATGGACAGTTGAGCGGAGCTGCGGGCGGTCCTGGAGAGCACTCGCGCCTTGGTCTTGGCAAATGGCAGCTTGGGCCAGGACTCCGAATCGACCATGGGTTGCTACTTTGTGGGCTAGGCACTCTTCTATTAGGAACTATATATTTTTCATATGCTCGCTAGTTGTGGAGCCTACAAATTATAATTGAACTATTCTTATCTATACAGGGTTGCCTCTCAATTGTCCATTTTGACATAGTTTCATGTGTAGATTGATCCTCAGGCACCAACCCATTGCCAGCCTGAATAAACAAACTTACTAGTTAGTTATTAATGTTATATATGTGTAGATCTTATTGGATGTTGATGCAAATCAATCAATTATTCATTTCCCTCGCGTCTAAATGTGGAGTCACCTGGGCATCTAATCTTGATTAAAGCCCTGGAATGCTCCATCCATCGGGTACTATGTGCATGCGTTTGTATTCAAGTTGCAGAAAAACGACAATATATAGTATACGGACCTCGGGAGCAACATTGAAAGATTTACTAATTCAAGGCGTTATCAAGTACTAATTAGGAACTGATATTGAATAAATTGATACGCAGGCTTAACAGATTTATTGTCCACTTATCACTTCTACCTTAAGTTATATGTTCATCCCATTCCAATGTCTCAAGATGATCAACTATATATTGACCAGTTGACTGTATAAAAAGAGCCCTAAGGGTATCACGTGCAGGGGCTGTACAAATCAGGTGATATATTCCCAAAACAGCCTAGCGTTTTTCAGGCGGGGAGATTTTTTGGAGTTAAGCTTGGCGTTGAGACCCAGAAAAAAAAAAGTCGAGGCGTAACTTGCTTGACCTTTTCATTTGAACATCCTTCTTCCTTCGGGAATTTTAAATTTATTTCAATTCACTTTTTGTATTTCACTTATCAGAATGAGTGGATCAGGAACTCCCGCCTCTGGCGTTATCACCAGCAGCGCCGATCGCATGGTTGGCATGGAGCATGCTGAAGTTCGTTACTTTACTAGGTATGTCCTGTTGACCGTTATCTTTGGATGATTAGAAAATTTGGATTGGGTTCAAGGCGCTAACCATTTGATAGCTACGACCACCACGGTAAATTTATTCACAAGGCGTTGGGAAGAGTATGGTGGCGGATTTGACTGACAATCATTGTTCTATGTGTTTGCAGGTATTCACGAGGAGATGCTGGTAAGTAAATCTTTACAATGAGGCTCTGCTTCCTTCAAACAAACAGATGATTCGAATTATTCACTGACAGCGATTGGCCTATATAGAAAGACGATGTCCGTACCCGCTCCTACCGCGACTCGATCTACCAAAACCGCCACATCTTCAAGGACAAGGTCGTCTTGGATGTCGGCTGTGGTACTGGTATTCTGAGCATGTATGTGTATAAAATATAACTTTGATTTGAATCAGAGAAACTAATTCTTCGCCCCCAGGTTCGCTGCTCGCGCTGGTGCCAAGCACGTCATTGGTGTGGACATGTCCTCCATCATTGAGAAGGCCAAGGAGATTGTTGCCGTCAATGGCCTCTCTGACAAGATCACCCTTCTTCAGGGCAAGATGGAGGAGGTAAATCTCCCATTCCCTAAGGTTGATATCATCATCTCAGAGTGGATGGGCTACTTCCTTCTTTACGAGTCCATGCTGGACACTGTCCTGTATGCCCGTGACACCTACCTTCAACAGGGTGGTCTCATCTTCCCCGATAAGGCTACTATGTATGTCGCTGCTATCGAGGATGGCGAGTACAAGGATGACAAGATTGGATGTAAGTTGAACTATTCTTCTTCACGACCTTCGCACTGCATACTTACCCTCGATATAGTCTGGGACAACGTCTATGGCTTCGACTACAGCCCAATGAAGGACATTGCTCTCACCGAGCCCCTCGTTGACACTGTCGAAATGAAGGCTCTTGTCACTGACCCCTGCCCGATCATCACCTTTGACTTGAACACTGTCACCGCCGCCGATCTTGCCTTCCGCGTACCCTATAACCTCACTGCCAAGCGCAGTGACTTCATCCATGCGCTCATCTCCTGGTTTGATATTGAGTTCAGCGCCTGCCACAAGCCCGTCTACTTCTCCACTGGTCCCCATGCCAAATATACCCACTGGAAGCAGACTGTCTTCTACCTCCCCGATGTCCTTACCATTGAGGAGAATGAGCGCGTTTCTGGCTGGCTCGAAAACCGCCCCAACGATAAGAACAAGCGTGATCTCGACATCAACCTCACATACAAGTTCGAGACTGATGACCCTACTCGCGTCGCTGACGGCAGCTGCTCTTACCGCATGTAAGTTGTTGACAAACATCCACGGTTCTCATTCTATAAACACGTACTGACATTGATCCAGGTGCTAAATATGAAATTTTTGATTTTTTTTGCTTCTTCTTTTCAATGACCATTCGACGCAGTTGCACGTTTTCAGGGAACCTATTTCGTCACCAATGCAACACAGCATACTATGGGCAGGGATCTGCACAGGGCTATTTAACATGGTTCCGGCCTCGTTTATTTCACTGGCGTTTATCATCTGGGTGGCAGGTAAAAAGGCATTACTACATGGCGCGATACGGAGGGATGACTATGAAGCTCCTCGAATTTTCCAAGTAGATACCCCGAGTCGATGCTTAATTTTTAAAATAAAACTCCGACGCTTTTCTCATGTCTAAAAAGAATTTGAACTTCTTCAATGTTTTATTTCCTTCCCGTTTGTATCTACCTTAAAACTCCTCACACAAGACCACGGCAATAGTACGCAAGTGCCAAGCAGCTGGTGTGTGTCTTCGGCAATTACGGGAGCAAATCATTATCAGATCCTCGGCCCAGGGTCGCCCCGCAATTGCTCAATCCTACTTTAGCTTCGTCTTGTCTCCGCTACCTCTTCCCGCTCCTTGTTTTTTCTTCTTTTGAGTCTTGTCTTTATTTTTCTCCTTTGCATAAAACATACCAATTATTCACATATCCATATAATCATGTCTGCTCCCGGAGCTGGTCACGAATTCCCTGCCCAGGAGGTGTCGTGGCAGAAGCGCGACGTCTTACTGTTTGCCAACAGCATTGGCTGCAAGGCCGATGAGCTCCAGTTTCTCTACGTGGGTCAATTCGACCAATTCCCTCGCTGGTCACTTTCTAACGATCCCAAATAGGAGCTGCACCCTAACTTCTCTGTCTTCCCGACTTATCCACTCATCCTTCGTATGTGATCCATCGGATGATGCTTGGTCTGATACAATGACAGCAGTAGATACACTAACATACCTGTGACTCTTTAGCTTTTAAGCTCACCGACCAGGAGGTGACTGATTTCTATGCCCGTCAAAAGGCTACCCACATTCCCGGTGTCCCCAAACTGGATCACCGCCATGGAGTTGATGGCCAGCGTAAGCTTACCGTCCTGAAGCCACTGCCTCCTACTAGCGCTGGGCGAAAGTTCGAATTGCGCAACAAGGTCATCGGTGTTTATGATAAGGGTAAACCCGGCACTGTCGTTGAGACCGAACAGTCTATCGTGGATAAGACGACTGGGGAGGTTTACTCAAAGGTGCTGTCTAGCGGGTTCTTGGTTGGCCAGGGTGGCTGGGGTGGTCCCAAGGGTAAGCCAAGCTGATAAAAGAGCTTACTAGGTGGTATATGTTACTTATCCGAGTTTCCCAGGTCCCGCTACTGTTAACTTCCCACCCCCTGAGGGTAAGGCCCCCGATGCCGTGCATGTTGTCGAGAGCAATATGCAGACAGCTCATCTCTACCGGTATGAGGCCCACTATTTCACGCAGCTAACTCACATGAAATACGAAATATCAAATACTAATACTTAATAATCAGCCTAAACGGAGACTATAACCCGCTCCACGCCACTCCTGAACCTGGTCAGAAGATGGGATTCGGTGGAATTATCATCCACGGCCTATTCAGCTGGAACTCCTCTGCACATGGAATTCTCCGTCTCTTGGGAGGCAGTGACCCTGCTAATATGAAGGAATTCCAGGCCCGCTTTGCGTCACCTGTTCGACCCGGCGATAAGCTTACGACTGAGATCTGGCGATTGGGCAATGCCGGACCCGACGGCTTCGAGGAAATTCGATTTGTTACCAAGAACCAGAATGGTAAGGCTGTCTTGAGCAATGGTCGATGCTTGTTGAAGGTCACTTCGCCGAAGAGTAAACTGTGATCTTCATCTATACATGTGTATCCGTACCTATTTGAGGTTTATCTGTATATCATATCTATGCCTCGGGCGGAGATAAATTATAAATGAATACTTTTTTTGGTTAGTTGCAGTAACCATTGTGATTCAATCGAGAATAGCGAAACATTTATGGAGTCGTATTCAATGTTTTGGTCGCCCCTCAAGCACTCTTACTTTATTCCGTTGGGTGTCGCCATTGGATTGATGGCTATGCAGAATGCACCAATCAAAGCATCTACACCGTCAAATATTCTATTCAAACAACTAGTGCCAAAGCCATGAGTACATAGGCGTATATATCTAATATATTAATTTGACCGATTTAATAATCGAAACAGAATCAACCGCTTGTATACACGTGATCATCGGTCATTCCCGAGGCTCCAGCTAAGCACAGACGTTTCCCCAGATTTGACACCTACATATTCGGTTCTACACGTTTGATCACACCAGAGCACGCCATGTATATTACACGAGCGGCTTTAATTCGGCCAGCTGTTGTACAGCGAGCTTGTCGGTATGTGATACCCCCTTGGAAGCTACCAATGAACCGAGGCTAATGTACAAGAAGAACATCACTCACTCACCTGCGGGTCGAGAGGGGTAGCTTGGTATGTCATGAACGCACCACACTCTTGAAACCAGTCCAAAAAGCCGCAATGTTCTAAAAAATTCCTTTTCAATCCTGATAGGGTAATGTTTCACTAGGATGCAGCTATGTTTATGGCTCTAGATTGAGCTCATGGGTCCCTCAGAAGAAGAGAAAGCAGCAGCCTAAGCAACCTGAGCCTGCGTGGAAATCGCCTGGTTTTACCATTCCGGCCGAGGAAAAAGACTCCCCAATCCTCAAGCAGTTTGAATCTGCCCCGGAATCCGCTGGAGTGGCTTATGGCGCATACCGAAATGGGTGCCTCCCAATCAAGAATAAATCGGAGTACATGGGGAAAAGCCCACATATGTTATTGTAAGTTGCTCGCGTGACTAGTGGATACTTTGTAATATCTAACCTGAATATAGCGGGAGATTCTTTTTGAGGTGAGTTTATCATTAGTTATATTAAGTGGAGTCATATTGAGAGTCGCTCCGGCAGGGAAAATTGCCAATGTCCCAAGTGTATACATCCGGACACGAGGCAAAAAATCACCAATACCTTTTCAGTAAGTCAGGATATGGATATTATGAAGCTCAATATGATGCATTGAGATGGTACATGCTCATAATCCACATTTTTAGATCCCAGAGGACGTTGACGTGGTACGAATTGAGCCAAACGACACAGATGTCAAGATTGAATGTAAATTGTTGCGCCGAGAGACGAAGAATTGAAAGGCACGATGTCACTAATCACGGATATATAGGGACCGATGGCCACGAATCATCTTATCCATGGGGTTGGCTTATCGCACATAAGCATTTCAGTCCAGAGCTAAGAAGACCTGCAAGAGCGCCGCTCGTAAGGTGCAGTATATCTACAGCCCATTCTTTGAGAAACACTTGTCTAATGATATTTGACAGAGGCTTATCAAAGCCTTATAAAAAGGACGAGCCCTATCCAGAAGTGAATTTCGAAGAGGTGATGTCAAAAGACAGCGCCGTACTTGACTGGTTGTGGAAAATTGTATGGAGAAAAGTATCACTTAGTTCGCACATCATTGGTGACTAACGACATCATCGCTTTATAAACAGTACAATTCCGGCTTTTGTTTCATCGACGGCGTTCCTGCCACTCCTGAAGCTACGAAGACTTTGATCGAGCGGATTGCCTTCATTCGACATACTCATTACGGTAATATCTCCTTTTCTTGAATCCATTTATGAGCTATCCTAACATATTGCAGGTGGATTCTGGGAGTTTACCGCCGACCTCACGCTTAAGGACACTGCCTACACAAATGAGTTCCTTGGTGGGCATACTGATAATACCTATTTCACCGACCCCGCAAGACTTCAGCTTTTCCATTTGTTATCGCATACCGATGGCAGCGGGGGAGAAAGTCTCTTAGTGGATGCATTCGCAGCAGCTAAGAAATTGAGGGCTGAGAACAAAGAGCTCTTCAATTCATTGGCTGTGGAGAAGCACTCCTGGCACGCCAGCGGCAACGAAGACGTCTGCATTCAACCTGCCGTCCGCGCCCCTGTCCTCTCTGCCCATGGGGATACGAAAGCTGTGTATCAAATCCGCTGGAATGATTATGACAGGGCACCAAAGAGTGACTGGACAATCGAACAGCAGGATACCTGGTATAAAGCAGCCAGCCGTTTCAACGAGATTCTTAACGAGCAACATCGGCAGATAGTAACTCAACTGCAGCCAGGAAAGGCATTAAGTAAGTGCATACTCAATATATCTAAAAAGAAAAACCTGACTAACATCAGTACTTTTTTAAGTTTTTGACAATTGGAGGATGCTGCATGGTCGCTCTGAATTTACCGGAAAGCGAAGAATGTGCGGTGGCTACAGTATGTATTAAAGAAAACGAGAGCTTAGTGACTAGCCCACATGAGCTCAGATCTTCTGAAAATTGCCATATCGCTAACCAGATTGAACAGTTAACAATGACGATTTTATCTCACGACTTCGTCTCCTCAAGTTTGGTCGCGAGAAGGTTCTGAACAGCCTAGGAACATTTTCTACAAGGAGCCCAGATCCCAGAAACATCAAAGCTCTCGAGCCCGCTGACATCTATTAAGGTCACGCACTTTAATAGTTACACGGAGCACTGTAGATAGAAAGCCATAGAAATGAAACACATTGATATGATAAATTAAAGTAGAATGTTTGTAGTCCTAGAAACCCACCGGGGGCCCTTACTGTTGATGCTCTTCACGTGACTGGCTGACGTTGTTGGAGCTCGGCCACGCCTGAGCTCTTCTCCAACCTTCTACCTCCCCATTCCCACCTTCCACCTCACCTTTCCAAACCGAGCCACCCATCATTTAACAGCATATATTCCATCAGATACGGTTGTGCTTGAATCTCTGATAATTCATCACCCATCATGTCGACACTTGAGGACCTCGACGACCTTGAGCGCGAAAACAGAGACAAGAAGCAAGACCAAGATGGCGACGACAAGAAGCTCGGCGGCGATGATGATGCCGACATGGAAGACGCCGACAAGAAGGAGGATGAGGAGGAGCTCTTAGACGAGGAAATCTTGCACTCAAGCACGGCAGACATCGTCAAGCGACGGCGGATGTTGGAGAATGAGATGCGGATTATGAAGAGCGAGTTTCAACGCTTGACACACGAACAAAGTACAATGAGGGAGAAGGTTAAGGATAACCAAGAAAAGATTGAGAACAATAGGTGCGGCCCCCAAATGACTACATTGATGGAACCCTCCGTCCAAGAACCTGCGGAGCGGAGCTTCGCGAACTGTCCGCAGGATGCGATGACAAATACTCAATATCCCTTTGGATTGATGCTAACATCATACGTCTCATCATTAGACAACTACCATATCTCGTTGGAAATGTTGTCGAGTTATTGGATCTCGATGTAGAGGCTGATGCAGCAGAGGAAGGGGCCAATATCGACCTGGATGCCACCCGCGTAGGTAAATCCGCTGTCATCAAGACCTCGACTCGCCAGACTATCTTCCTCCCCCTTATCGGCTTGGTGGATCACGAGAAGCTGAAGCCCGGTGATTTGATCGGTGTCAATAAGGACTCATATCTTATCCTGGATACACTGCCAGCTGAGTATGATAACCGTGTCAAGGCGATGGAGGTGGACGAGAAGCCAACGGAGAAGTACACGGATATCGGTGGTCTTGATAAGCAGATCGAAGAGATTGTGGAGGCTATTGTATGGCCGATGAAGGAAGCAGAACGTTTCAAGAAGATCGGCATCAAGGCTCCAAAGGGTACGTACCTTCGACATCGAGGACATCTCCATTATCTCTTTGTTCTCTCCAGCCAAACCCATCCCAGTAACTAACCATTCTTTCTTAATCTAGGTGCTTTGATGTACGGACCCCCCGGAACTGGTAAAACCCTCCTTGCCCGAGCTTGTGCCGCCGAAACAAACGCCACATTCCTGAAGCTTGCCGGTCCACAACTGGTCCAGATGTTCATCGGTGACGGTGCCAAGCTGGTGCGCGACTGCTTCGCCCTAGCCAAGGAGAAGGCCCCGTCAATTATCTTCATTGACGAGCTGGACGCCGTCGGCACAAAGCGTTTCGACTCCGAGAAGTCCGGTGACCGTGAAGTACAGCGTACTATGCTGGAACTTCTGAACCAACTGGACGGGTTCGCCTCAGACGACCGTATCAAGGTTCTAGCCGCGACTAACCGAGTTGATGTGCTTGATCCCGCTCTGCTTCGTTCCGGCCGTCTTGATCGCAAGATCGAATTCCCCTTGCCTAACGAGGAAGCTCGTGCCAACATCTTGCAGATCCACTCGCGGAAAATGTCAGTTGAGGACAGTGTCAACTGGGCTGAATTGGCTCGTAGCACAGACGAGTTTGGTGGTGCGCAGCTGAAGGCTGTCTGTGTTGAGGCTGGTATGATCGCTTTGCGAAAGGGTTTGAGCAAGATTGGGCATGAGAACTACGTTGATGCTATCGCTGAAGTTCAGGCCAAGAAGAAGGATATCAACATGGGCATCTATGTCTAGAATTGTGTTGTGTTATGTCTTGTTTTCTTTTTTTGGAACAAAGGATATTCGTCCTTTATTTCTTTTGATTTCCCCATCTTCTTCCTCTCTTATATCTCCCCCTCTCCACGTCATTGGTTTTTCGCCATGTCATGTATGTATCGTTCTACAGCTTTATAAGCCTGGCTGTTAATTCGCTGTGCATGTGGGTGATTATGCCTCTAAACCAAATAACATGATGATCTTAGAATGGCAGTATTATCAATATATCTTATATATTAAGCTTTTATTGTTACACCAGGCTATTAATACTTGGATCAACTGATATAAAGATTGGAAGGTTAATCCACTCCGGAATAAATTAAATGTAGAATATTTTTTATTCATTTCAGTATAAAAAGCTGCTATCGTCATCGAAATTAAACGAAATATGCAATGGTCATAAATCCATATCTCCATATACAACACCTTCCCCATTCTACCACATGATATGACACTGTCTTACTCATGCAAAACAATGTTAAAAACAATGTTTAGATGCAACACGTCCAAAAGAACAGCTAAAAACAATATCGAGGCATTTAGGTCTTACCCTGGGTATCCTTCAGAGTAACAATACGATTCAAAATCAACTTGTCAGGAGTAGTCTCCCGATCAACAGCAAAGTAAGCAACACGCATACCCTGGAAACGAATAGAGTGCTGATTCTGAGAGACATCACCCTCCTCAGCAGCCTCCTTGGGCCAAGGGCCAGAGCGACTAATCTCATGGAATCCAGTCTCAATCATAGCATCGGGGAAGATCTGTTCCGAATCGGGGTTGATATCGGCCAAGAAGCCATCAGGGTGAGAGTTGGGATCATCAGACTTGAACAGAGGGTTTGTAGCGCGGATCTCAGCGCGAACAGGACTGTTGTTGGCAGGAGAGTCGGCAACCCAGTGAATAAAGGACTTAGGTTTCTTGGGTGCGGCGCCTTCTTCGGGCTTCTCATACTTGGCATGAACGCATGTAACAACGCCAGTTGTGGGATCTTTCTCGAAGCCAGTGGCTGTGATGGGGTAAGGGGCCTTAAGGAGACCGACTGTTTTACCAGGTGCGAGACGGAAGTAATCTGGGGAGTCGACTTCGCGGAAATCAGAACGCTCGATGTAAACGGTCTTTGTGAAGGGGATTTTGTGGGTGCCGAAAGCTGCTGCGTCCTTGCCGAAGGGGGCTTCGACAAATTCACAATAGTCATCGGGGAGATCATCAATGATGACCTTAAGAGGCTCGGTAACGACCATCAGACGGGGAACGGTAGTCTCGAGGAACTGGCGGACGGTCTGTTCGAATTTGGCGATTTGGACATTGGAGCCGGATTTTGTGACACCGAGGGAGTTGACGAAGGTGAGGATGGCTCCGGGGGGAATACCGCGGCGGCGGAGGGCAATCAGGGTGTAGAGACGGGGATCGTCCCAGTCGCGAACATGGCCTTCCTTGACGAGTTTGATGATCTTGCGCTTTGAAAGAACGGTTCCAGTGAGGTTGAGACGACCATACTCGCGCTGCATTGGGCGGTAGACTTCGAGCTTGTCGCAGAGCCATTCGTAAGAGACACGGGAGAGCTCAAACTCGGTTGTACACAGGGAGTGAGTGATACCCTCGATACTATCGCAGAGACCTAAAAAGACGAATTAGCAAGCTGTTCTCTCTGACTTGGAAAATTCGAATAATCTTACAGTGTGTAAAGTCATATGTCGGGTACATAACCCATGAGCCTGCAGTGCGGAAATGATGCTTCTCCTCGCCCTCGGGAATGCGCCAAGCGAACAAATCCCACATCTGAGGGTTGGGATTTGTGATATCCTGCTTCATGCGCAAAGCAGCCTCACCAGCCTTATATTTCCCACCCCGCATGGCCTGGAACTCAGCCAGGGACTCCTCAATCGGGCGTGAGCGATGGCTACACGCAAAACGCTCTCCACCACGCACTCCACCCGCACCCTCACCACGCTGGGCCTTAACATCCGCCTGAGTACAATGGCAAACATAAGCACCATCACGCTTAATCAAATCAATCGCAAGCTCGTAGAGCTGCTCGAAATTATCACTAGCGCAAGTTTCGCGTACAGGCTTGAAGCCTAACCAAGTGACAATATCCCGAATAGCATTGTAGTATCGCTCCTCCTCACCGGCGGGGTTGGTATCGTCGAAACGCAAGATACATTCACCGCCGTGGTATTTCGCAAAACCAAAGTTGATTGCGATGGCCTTGCTGTGACCGATATGGAGGAATCCATTGGGCTCGGGAGGGAAACGGGTGCGGATCTTCGTAAGAGTATCTGAGAGTGGCCTTTCCTGGTATACGTCGGAGAGGAAGCCGAGCTTGAACATGGATTCGGGGTCCTGGGTAGGCTCCTCTTTGACGGGCTTCGCAGGCTTGGGCTGAGTGGTCTTCGCAGGCTTGGGCGCGTTCTTGGCTTTCTCTTTCTTCTCTGCCTTTTCTCTTTCTTTCTGCTCCTTCTTCAACTGGCTTTTGCTCTTCTTGTTCGGGTCAGCGGGGGCTGCCTCCTCCTTAACCTCCTTCACCTCCTTGGGCCGCTCGGGCAGGTCAACGGGCTTAGCCGGATCCATGATTGAATTCCTTTATATGCGACAGGCTATCAATGGCGGGGAGTGGATATTTTTTTTCTATGGAGGGGCTGCGATGTTCTTATCAGTCCCCATTCGCTTATCGGGCCGATGAAACCCCGGATGAGTCATATAAGCATTTAACAACATTTGAAGGGGCAAAAGATAACACTGCACATGTGCATCTATACCGGATAATATTATATGATGACTGAGCCAGACTTCCAAAGGTGAACTGAACTAGGGGTCTATTGCTAGGCTTATAAGTTAACATGTTGTCGTGGTATGAGTCAAGTTCGACGTTGCCGCTATCATTAAGCATCTCCATACATCTTCGAGCGGAATCGAAGCAGAACACTTATCCTGCAAGCTCAAGTAATCTCGACTAGATTGCACCTGAGGTATATGTCACAATCTCAAAACTTCTATCGTACCAAAATATGTCTGCAAATATAGAATGGTGTGTTGTCTAAGTGGTCTATCACAAACAAAAACAAAATCAAGTATGAACTCAACATGTCTCAATTATCAGGCCAGCCTCTTCCCCTGATGATTGTTATCAGCTAGGCAGTCATCCGTATCGCCAAGTTGAGAGCCTCACATTCTGAGCGTAAGGAAATATCCTGGCTGGGAGGCTCATACGCAGTATACCCTAAATGCTTAGCATGAAAATATTACGAGCGACCGTGTAGTCTAAGCTAACTATGAACCATAGCATTTGAACATTAGAATGCTCTGAAAAGACTACACATGTAATTTGCCTTGTGTTCATGAACATAGTCCCTTTGAAGTATTGCAAATCACACCTTTAAAATAGAAATGGAAAGGAAGGAGGACTGTCGGCAATAGACAGAAGTAACGTGCTATCTGATATTTTGCTAGATAAAGAATCTCAATATCTCAAAATCTGCCAAAGCTTTCTCTCTTCGTCAGCTATGCTTCGAAAATGTTCCATCTCTGTCTTTTTCACTGCTACGTATGATGAGACAAGAGTTTTGCCCGTACTATTTTGGATCTCCTCATCCGATTGGAGAGCGGCCAGACTTTCATCGAGCGTTTTTGGCAATAAGACTTTCACCCCTAGAGCTTCACGCTCAAGAGGGGTCATATCAGTGGGAGATTTGCTGCAGTCCCCACCTCGGAGAGGCTCTTTGTTGGTAAGACCATGTATACCAGCCGATATAATGGCACCAAGTGCGAGGTAGGGATTGGCAAACCGTCCATTAGTTTGATTTCGAAGTAATTGTCCTTAATGCGTCGTAGAGCAGCTTCTTTGTTTTCCCAGCCCCAGCAGGCATACTCTCCACCACTCCAAAGTCCGGCCTGGATGCGGTCATAGCTTATATCCTGGGGTAGGGTAAATGCTAAGATTGGCGGTATGTGGTTGAGTACGCCCGCGAAAAACCATTCTGGATTTAGGGACTCCTCATGTTCTTTGGGATTGATGGAGATGTGAACATGTGAGCCAGTGCCGGCATGTTCTTGGGATAACCGAGGGTAGAGAGTCGGGTGCACCTTATAAGCCCGAGCAATATTTCGGATGGTGTCGCGAGCCTTCAGCAGTGTGTCGGCAGCTTCGACTGGAACTTTAGGTGGAAGCACAAATTCCCACTGACCAGGAGCTGATTCTGAGTGGAAATGTTCGAGGAATATTCCAACTTCTCCCGGAGCTCGCACGATATTCTCTATGAGTTCAATATACACGAAGTCATCGGCCGAAATGCAAGCCCAAGATTGGTTTTCATTAATCGGTGTATATGTCTTTCCATCCATCTTTAGAAATACTACTTCAATTTCAAATCCCACGAGAGCCGAAAGCTTCATTCAGCTTTGAAGAGTATCATGTAGCTTTTGAAGTTGTGAGCGTGGGCATTCGGCTAAGCCGGTCAGGTCTGTCTTCAAGGCGCTACATTGGATAACAGCCCGCTCTCCATTTCAACCAGCCTAACAGTGGACTGTAGTCAGGTCTGGGTATAGGCCAAAGGCCCCAGGAGGCAAGGCACCCTCTGGTAGATGATCACCTGGCGTAAGAGAGAAAGCAGCCTTTGGAAGGGATAAGAGTTGCTGCGTCTTCATCATTTGTGTATGTGATCATGGCCACTGAAGAGCCCGACATTGCTTCTTGCTCTCGCTTAAATTGAGAACCCATAGATATAGACCACAAAAATGATGGAGTTCAAGTTATTGCGACAATGTGTCTTCCGACTTGAATACTGTTTTGTTCAGAGATTTAATTCAAATTACATAATCGTTCAGTAATTCAAAAGAAAAAGCAACAGGTGATAAGACGGTGTAACATGCTCTATCCACGTCATCTGCGTGGCGTGGTGCACCGTTCTGCAGTTCGACGTATCTCATTGGATCTAATTTTCTTCTTCTTCTTCTTCTTCTTAAAAAAACCGCTTGCATTTTTTCAGACCACGTATTGTCTTTTCAGCTTGGGATCCATAATATTGGAGATCGTCACTGCACCTTTCCCCGCAGTGGAGGGTTCATTTCAATGACCCTGGCAACTTGAATGACATGCCCTGGGACTGTTCCTTCTACTTCCTTCTCCAGCATGGTATCATGATCGGCTGTCGAGGATTCATTTCCTTTAATCTTATACATATGTACAGACGCCTCGGTGAACAAGATGCTCTCGCGTATCAAGGCTTCTGTAGGTGCTATGTGGAAGGCTATAGCTACACGACTTCGAATGACCGGTTTCTATAAGAACAAAGCATCTTCAGATAATACAATTTCTTAGTGACATTCGCAGCTTATCTTTTCATAGGTAATTCAATAGATGTATCATAAAATATAGGATTTCGTGTACTATCGATCATACCTAGGTAATGTACATGGTAAAAAGAAGTATATAAAAGATTGTACAAGTTTGCAGATATAAACCTGATGAAAGATAAAAAAGTAAAAATCACAAGAAAGGCCAGTCCATTCATGTTCAAGCGACAAGATCTGTCACCAAGATGCAAGATGAGGACTTAACACCATACCAAAAATCCACAGGTGAGTAGTACATATACACAAAAATATAAGATCGACATAGTGGTACAAAAGAGTATTAACCAATAAAGCCACCAGGTATGCTCATTAAACCAAGGGAATACCAGATACCGAATAGTTTGTATCATCCAAGGAGGGTTGGATATTGAGAGAGAAAATAAAAGAGAAAATATAGGAAAATAAATCCGAAAGCACCGTAGAAAAGAAATGGACCAAATGCGGGGTATATGGCGTAGGAATCGAGATAGTAGACAAAGAGAATTGTAATGGGCGTACGGTTAGAATGTTGGGTATATTCAGAAGAGTTTTTTGGCATCGATGAGTTCGGAGTTTCCTGGCCGGTCGCGTTCCATATGAAACCACCAGTCACGGCCAGTTTTATGGTTCCATGAGCCAGTGCAAGAATCTTTTTCCCAGGGGAGGGCAGATGTCGACCCATTACTGATTGTAGTGATAGGTGTGGTGGGAGTCGCAGGGGTGCCGGTGGAACGACCACCTAAGCTGCCCCAGGCGAAGCGGGATGTGGTAGTTGAAGATGGCGATGCTACCTCGTCTAATGGCGGCAAACTGATAGTGCTGCGACTGTCGAAGCAATGCACTCCCATACCGGCAGCGTATGATAGAGACTGGTTAGATGCAAGGAGTTGCTTCCATCCAATCAAGCCGCCGTCGGATTCTTGGCCGCAGATATCAGGCCGAAGCAAGAATTTAGGAATTGATGAATTAGTCAATGGGTCCCTTAAGCCTGTGCGTCCCATATAAGCAGGCATGTGGAATTCATAAACGGTCTTAGGGCCTTCGAATTCCTCGTCAGTGGGTCGATTCTTATAGCGTTCGCAGGCAGCCCAGATTCCGTAATCGTCCATTTCTTGTTCTGGCTCCTCGTCAAATGATGTTGTAAGGGCGTTATCTGGGACATAAGTATCTGAATAATCTTGAATCAGAACCAGCATTCCGGCTTCGGTATCTTTAACAGCCATATCAATGAAAGTTTGGGCGCGAATTCGGGAAGACGTCAAGTTATTTCCAGCCGGTAGAGCAAGCGGTCGTGTATTGACGGAGCCGTGGGAACTGCGAGGTAGACTGTAGCGGTCTGGTCGTAGTAGGGCTTGGCCTTTAGTGATAGGTCGACAGACAGCCTGTAAAACACCGGGGGGCTCAACATCATTCGGCGCACGAAGGGTCTCAAGGTTCGGAAAACCAGCCGAAAGAATGCTTTGCGCGAGGTGGGAGTTGGGGGTATCGGAGATTTTCTGACTTTGTCGGAAGGGAGGGCAGTCGAGTTGCGAAAGAGCAATGCCTGGATCTGGGCAAGCCACATCCCAATGGAGATATTTAAGGGTCGAAGAAGCCAGGATAGGTTGAAATACCATGCCCTCATCTGGCATGATCGGGCACTTACCCGTTTGTACAAATTTGAATCGTTCGAGTTGTCTTAGAGAGGAGAGAATCTTGGAGATAACCAATAGGGACTCCACGTTTTGCTCCACCAAGACGAATGACTTCAATGAACGAGATTCAGGGCGGGTTGCAAACTGCATAAGACCCCCCTCAGTTACACCAGGTAAACTCTCCAATCTCACAGATTCCAAAGATGGAAGGCATAATAGCGTGCTATCGGCAAACGCATCTTCATTAAAGGAAGAGATGCAAAGATTTTTGAGTGAGGGTAAAAGATCAAACATGCGCAAAAAGAGACTGGGTTCCAAGGCACCATTACCATTCAGCCCATACAACATCAATGTCTCCAGGTTCGACCATGAGACATGATAATCCAAGAACTCAAACATCTGAGAGGGGCCTAGACTGCCGGGGCAAGAGTCGCTGCGTGGTGACATTTCGGACACTTCTGTAGCCTCGCCCAGGACCCAGATATGCTCCTTGAGCTTCTTACGCGTAGATAAGGCGTGGGTTAAGCGGTCGAACTCGTGGTGGTAGGGAATAGTCAAGCCCAGCAATCGCTCCAAGTTCGGACACACCATGACGACGGACGCGATCAGATCTCGATATTCCTGCCATTGCGCGCTTTGTTTTGTTGTTGTGAAGAGGAGGTCCATCTGGGGAACGCGTAGCTCATAGACGAGATTGGCCAGCAATTTCCGTTCACGGAGGGTACGTCTCAGTAACTTCAAGCGACTACCTCTCTTGAGGCGATATTTCTTCAATTGGGCTGGGGAGTCGTTTCCAACAATGTGTATTTGATTATATCTGAAGAAACATAAGGGTCAGTAACTATACTCATTTTGTCTTGCAACTGATAGCCCAACGGCTGGCTGGAGGGCTACTTACAATCGTGCGCGAACTGCCTTCTCCCATCCTCGACAGGTGAGGGAGAGGGCATGTAAGTCACGCTGGTAACATGTTGTGCATCCCGTCTGATGTGGCGCTTTATGTAAATTCTCGAGGTTGTCAATGATCACCTCGTATACTTCGTGCGGGATGCGTTTTTGAACTGGTTCGACCCCGATGCTGGGGATTGACCCCACGGAATCATATTGACGGGAGGAAGGCGTCGGGGATGTAGGCGGATGGGAGGTTGGCGCGGTCGAGGCTGTATAGTTTGATTTGTAGGAGGAAACGGAGGAAGTTCGAGAAGTGACTGGTTGAACTGTGACAGTCCATTCTTTGCAAGTGGCGTCCTGCGGGATGGTATACGGCACCGCAGGGCTCTCCGGTCTACTTGCGACAACACTCATTGTGAATTCGAGTCGCCTAGCATGGGAGGCGTCAAGAGCGCGTCAGGATAGCCGATAGGGAGAAAGATAAACGGTGCGCCCAATCGAAATAGAAAAAACGAATGTGGTATATCGAAAGGCTGGAGGCGGGGGTCGAGGAATGTAGGGGGTTGAGTGGGTTTTCACATCCACGGGTTGACTGGAGAGTGTCGTAATACGGAAGATCGACGGATTCCAGTTGAGGTCAGTTTGTTTTGGTAATCCACGAGGCGTCGGATTTCAAGTTTGAATGATGATATTGAGATTGTGTTAGACCTGGATTGTGCAGAGAGGAGAAAAAAGAGAAGTAACGATCAACGACCACCATCGACTCGCTCGTACTCTCTTTCTCACGCACTGTGCTTCTCTTACTACGCGGGAAAAAGGTCGATCAACCCCCACATCAGGCATGTGTTCTGCTCGTGCTGAGCGGAGAAAGTTGACAGGGGCCGGTTCAGGGGTTGGACGACACAATCCTCGTCCTAAACCTAAAGAGTCAGGGATCCGCCCGAACTAAGGAAGTTACAGAAGTATTCTGATGATTCTTTTTTGAATTTCAAATTTATTATTATTATAATATGATTTCGATTATCTTATTCCATTTCATTATGTACTGGATTCCATATATAGACTGTATGTAGAGTAGTATATCCTCTCTGCGGCATTTAATAGCGAGCATCATATAACAACAATCCTTGGTTCAACTTGGTTTAAGCCCATGATCCATCACGTATTGACTATAGAGTTACTCAGTCCTTTCTATTGTCAATATCCCAAAGCATCGACTTAGACTATCTACTGCTTTCCCATGGATCGACCTGTCAAATCCTTTTTGTATATAGTCTGGAGTCGACTACATATGATGGATCAGTAGTCCTTCCTACCATCATAAATAGAAATGTATATTCTCTCTTTTTTCTCTCTTTTCTCTCTTTTCTCATGCACCAAACATCCACATCCTTCGGGGCGCGGTTCGTGAACTGCAGCCCTAACCCACGCTAGGGATAGTCTAGCGGGTCCACAGTGGGGACTTTACCCCTTTTTCACTGGGTTTTTACTTCTTTTTTTCACGCGTTTTTTCTTGGACTGGAAATCCCATTAATGTCTGTTGCTATTTTGAGTAAGGTCCAAACTCCATTAGACAAAAGAAGACCTGATCCCCGTTGATTTTAATCTCCAGGTGCCGTTAGTATGTTTCAAAGGGCATGGTTACTTCTTCCCGCAAGAACAACGTTAACCAGGGTAGATAAACCAGGGTATGTACAAAAGTTCAGGAGAAATCGAAGAATTCACTGTAAATATTTTCCGATCACAAATCCCCGACACGAACAGATGTCAAAGCGTGTGAAACATTCGACGCCTCTGGTTCAATCAAGTAAGTGGTGGCGCCACTAAGCATACAGAGACGAGAACGAAGAGGGGGCAATAATCGTGATGACTCCATCATCATCAGAATGCCACTCGCTATCTCCGTGTATCCGCGTACTTCACGTTTTTATGGAATGTTCCTTGTAAAAGACATTGCCACTCAGACTCAAAAACATGAACTTACTCACTAGCGTCGTCCATAGGAACCATCCAATGAATACAATAATGGCAGCAATAGCCTGCCCTACTAGATCAATGACGATCTACAACACACCCAAGGGTCGGTCATTGGTTCATCACACTTCTCTCCGGATCAAAAGTTAGGTCCAGTAGACACAATACATACAATGTAAGTACATAGTAAGTATCTGGTGAACGGCTCTACTCGGGCCAAGCAGCCAAGCACTTTTGCCGCATCATCACAGACATCAATTAATCTAAAAAAAAAAAAGCGGACTGAAACTCGGATATTACGGCTTCAGAACTCGGCACACTTTACTCTCCCAGGAATGGTGGCCAGTCAGCCCGATCCAAACACCACAATTAATATTAAATGTGGACAATAACTAGAGCTGAGACCCGATCTGGTGGGGACAAAACCCACCCGCTCGTCCCTGGTCAAATTCAAATTCTGACCAATTACATCCTCGGATCTCGCACTCATGGCTCCTTAGATCGAGCGTGCATCTCGAGGGTGCAAGTGATTTGAAATTTCCACGAGCGACTCCACCTTTGCGGCTGTTCTTCAGGCTTGATTCGTGGGTGATATTTGGTCGCTTGTTGTCTTATTTATGGTCTTGAGCCTGTACTGTACTCTGTACGGAGCTACTTATGAACCATCAGGATCCACTGTCTTATCTCGTGTTTGGTGTTTGATAGGGGTGCATAAATATGCAAGACACGGCTTGGGGATGTGGGTTCTTGGTTTTGGAGTCAGTTTATTTGTGCTCCGTGTACAATATACTTTAGTAGCATGGCAGATGGATCGACAAAGACGGGGGTGGTTTACGTGATTATGCCGTGTTTTCCATCATATGCTATTATTAAGCCTCCATATTCCAGACAGGGAAACTGTCTTACAAAGACCCATGTGTTTCATGGTTCTTCATTGTTGAGACACGGCTTATGCAGGATATCCAAATGGTCATTTCAGAGAAAAGGAGGGCAATTTTGAAACGCGCATAATGTAGCAGGTTATTATTTGCTGCACTCTGTAAGTGGCTTTGCAGTGGTATTCTGATTCGAGATTATGGATTAGACCGAGTTCATATTGGTGCCAATGTGTGCGGGCATAGGCCCGGGGGTACTTATATTCTTCAAGTTCTTCCACGCTTAATGCCATATATACTTATGTACAACTCCAAAGGTTCTTCAAGGGCCGGTGGAGCCACAGAGCCTCCAGGGCTGAATGGATACATCCATTGATTATGATGCAATATGGTACATACTATGTACCTCCAAGCCTTAAGTTAACCATCTTTAATAGGTTCCGAGTTACAGTTCGCAATACGACGAGCAGTATATAATAATGATTACCAGAGAATGCTTATATCCTTGGATCGACCGAAAATTCTAGTTGGTAAGAACTTGAAATAAAGATAACTCTGGATGTATGGAGCATTCCAAAGGATACTGGCATACGTCATGAAATACCAAGAGCACCAGCCTCACTTGGAAATCCTATTCATGACCACGTGCACAATATTTACTCCTACAATTGTGAAGAGAAGAAGGCAGTCTAAAATATTATCACTCAATGGTCGACATACCCACACAACTTATTGTGGAAAGCCGTGATTCTGGTGAGCTAATTTGTCTATAGTCAATATGTACAATGGCGATCAACGCCTTCTAACCTCTCAAACGCACACGCGTTAGATGCGACACTCAACATCCTCGAGTAACCGAGACGCCTCTCCACTGTGTGTATCATAGACAATTCCATGTAACTGGAGGTTTCCCGATTTCGCCGCATCCACAACCTCCGGAAACTGACGCAACGAGCGCAATTGATCCAGAACATTCAACTGAACAAAAGTCCGATCATGTTCTGTCTCGGGTAATTGATTGATGGCATCCTTATTTGTTGAGTGTAACGAATCAAGCTTGCTATGGAACTGTCAGTTCTCATCTCATTATTTGGTTCTCAACTAGTGGTTTTTCATACCTTTGCCATGGACCTTGCAGTCCATCCCTTGAGGCCGCTTTCACTATTTGACATCCATAGTGGCCACAAACAACGATATGTCTCACCTAAAGATCAACGATTAGTTCGTGCTTTGAGTCAATGGTCACTGAGTTGGGATCGTCACACATACTCCAAGAACAGTCACGGCGTATTTCACCGTTGTCTCACAGGACAAGTCGCCCTCAATAATCATGTTTCCGATATTGCGATGCACCATCATTTCGTCGGGAAGAAGGTCAAGAATGGTCGTTTCTTGGAAGCCACTATCGGAGCATCCGATCCAGAGAATTTGTTGTGTCGGCTCTTGAAGACTGGGGATGAAATCCGGGTTTAGAGGCGCAGCCTCGAACTTTCCAAAGCGAGTCTTTCCCATTGTGTGTGTCTGCGTTGAGCAATGTGCGATCTTGGTGAGAGGTGTGAAAGCCGTCGAGTTCGCACGGAAAGAAGAAATCAAGTTTCGCGCTGTAAGTGTTAAAGGCGATGTCATGAGGCTTTGACAAGTTCGACTTAATTATGGCGAGAGATGAAAAGCGAAACACAACACAAAGGTTGGCGAGGGTATTATTTGAAGTAAGAAAGATGAAGAAAAAATTAGAAAACAATTGGAAGTCACGATCTCTGTTGGCGACGAACCCTGTTTATGAATGGGCATGAATAGGTGGAGAAGGGCGCACTCCGATTCTCGCATTGCCCGGCCTCGTCTGGCGTCGTAATTAAGGGATCCCCACTAACGTCCGAAGCCCCATTTCAAGGAGAAGACGAGCGAATCAGACTAACGAGATGAGACAATGAGGCCGAATTGCGGCCACACCATTCACACTATGAGTTGGCATTGCCGAGAATTTACCGGCTTCGGCCGAGTCCCGGTTCCGGGGGCGAGATAAGATCTGCTTCGGCGTTGCTCTACCATACATAGTGCTTGTATGAATGGAGATGGATGGAGATGCATGGAACAACCATGCTTGGGGCCTCAGGTGTGACTTTTTAAGTTTGCTGTAAATGACTCACTTTACTTGATACACAGGATGTAAGAATCTTTGAGCCTTCTAGCTTGAAAACACCTTACTAGGATCGTGCTCTACAATCCACCATTTACAAATAGAAAGATCTTTAAGACTACTAGTCATAGTAGAACTAAGTCACGTCATATTTAGACAGTATAATATAATAAAAGGACCTAAATGCGCTCCATCGTCTCCACAGAAGGTTCCTCGGCCGTTTTCTCCACAACGTTTCCCCCATGAACGGCAAAAGGGTCCATAAACGTCGAGTTGAACTTGCGAGCTGAAACTCCATGTTCAAATAAGAGATGCAGCTCGGCATATGTACGGCCGGCTCTGGAAGGCGGTATTACGACCACGTCAAACACAACAACAGGGCCATACCCGCACAGAAAAATCCTGGCTTCGCGCCCCAGTCCCAGCTAGAAGGATTGAGCATCCTCAGCGTAATATTATTGACACAAATCCCGCAAATGTTATAAAAAATGCGTGCGACGACGATCGATTTTGCTCGGAGCCGCGTCGAGCTCATCTCCGAAACAAGGCTGTATATTGTTGGACCCACCGTTGCATCATAGGTAAATGTAAAAGCTAGGAGATGACCACCGACAGCCCACTGGGCGACTGAGTTGCCGTGGGCTATAATACCCAGATAGCCGGAGAGAAATAATAAGGCCATCATCACAACTAATCTATAGATGAAGGGTGTTCAAGTTCGATGTCCACCGACATTTGCTCATTAGTGCCCATGAGAAAATTGTTTCGATCGCATCGAGTATATATTGAATTATCAACATGGTGAAGGCATTGCTACTAGTCGCCAGGCCTGCCTGCCCGAAGAAGTAGGTTCCATATCCCATCAAGGCATTGCCTGAAATTTCTTGTACAGCCCATGTGGTACAAACCACCGCGGTGCGTCGAAGGTCAGTACCGGTGAAGCAATCAAGATAGGAGGTGCCTTCAGACGTGCTCTTCTCAAGCTCGTTGGTACTTTAAGAGTAACTCCAAGATCAAAAGTGAAACTGTAATGTCTGAGAGATATTAGCCAGGACCAGAAAAAATGCTGAGAAACGAGCTCTTTATGCTCGTGCCGTTGGCCATGAGACAGAAGTCGCTGTTCAAGTATCAAGCAACAATCCCCCGGATTTCTTGCAAGCGCTAGTGTACATAGTCTGATTAGCCTGGGGTAAGAGTACGTAGCTCTTCTCGGGCGGAGATGATGTGAGGTGAAAGTGTGCGTTATTTAAGATTGTGTGTGAATATGAAACGATATGTAGCGACGGATAATCCGATGGAGAAACGCGATTGCCCCATGGGGAAATGAATGCCCCAAAGAACACCACTAAATGCCATGCGGCTTAACTGGCTGGAACCACAACTACAACAACGAGCTAGTTAAAACCTGAATCCCACGGTTCCAGGTGCGTGTTCTCGGACGGATAATAAACCAATCAGATCTCACGTCTTTTGCGTACTACTGCATGTGCATGCTGTGATCGCGAGGGGTAATGTGATGTCGGACCGACAAGAAACCAATTGTTTTGTTCTGGTGGAGAGACCATTCGAGATAAAACATGGAGTGTGAGCATGAGTACGTAGGATTTGTTTTCTCTTTTCTTCTCATTTTTGTTTTTATCTTACTAGTCGGATCTCCGCTACTTAGCTTCAAATATTTGAACACTATTAAAACGCCGAAGCTATAGCCAACATGACCCAGGAAACGCCATGGTGGAAAAACGCCACCATTTATCAGATCTACCCCGCTAGCTACAAAGATTCAAACGGTGATGGGATTGGAGATTTACAAGGAATACTCGGCCAATTAGATTATATCAAGTCACTCGGCGTTGATGCGATATGGATTTGCCCTCATTATGATTCCCCGCAACATGATATGGGCTATGACGTCGCGAACTATGAAGCTGTATACGCACCCTATGGCACCGTGAAAGACGTTGAAGCCATAATCGCAGCGAGCCACGAACGCGGATTACGAGTCCTCCTTGATCTAGTCATCAACCACACATCAGATCAGCATGCCTGGTTTAAAGAATCACGTCTTTCCAAAACAAGCCCTAAACGCGACTGGTATATATGGCGCCCAGCTAAATATGACGCAGATGGTGCTCGCCGACCACCAAACAACTGGCGCGGTTTTTTTGGCGGCAGTGCCTGGGAATGGGATGAAACTACACAGGAATATTATCTCCACCTATTCGCTGTACAGCAACCAGATGTGAACTGGGAAAACCCAGAGACAAGAGCAGCAGTTTACGAGTCTGCAATGGAGTTCTGGTTGCGCAAAGGCATCGATGGATTCCGTGTCGATACAGTGAATATGTATAGCAAGGATCAATCTTTTCGAGATGCGCCCGTTATCGACCCCAAGAATAAATTCCAACTAGACCCTTCGCTGTTTTGCAATGGGCCTCGAATTCATGAATTCTTACATGAAATGGGCCAGATACTACTTAAGTATGGTGCGTGTACGGTCGGAGAACTACCAGCTACACCAGAAATTGTCGATGTGTTGAAATACGTGTCCGCAAAAGAGCAGCAGCTGAGCATGGTCTTTCAATTCGATATAGTCGACAGTGGAAAGGGAAAGGACCTTCAGTATCAGACTACTCCACGAAATTGGACATTGTCTGATTTTCGTGAGCGTGTAAGACGGACACAAGGACTGAGCGACGGCTCAACCGACGGCTGGAGCACAAGTTTTCTAGAAAATCATGATCAAGCCCGATCAATTTCACGATGGGGAAGCGAGAAAACTATAGAATTGTGGTCTCTTAGCGCGAAAATGCTTGCAATGCTTGTTGGTACTCTTTCAGGAACGCTATATGTCTACCAAGGGCAGGAGATTGGTATGGTCAACGCCCCAGAAGATTGGCCAATATCCGAATATAAAGACCTTGATAGTTTGAACTACTATAACTACGTGAAGGAGCAGACAGGGAATGATCCAATTGCAATGAAGACAACAAAGATTGCTTTAGCACATCTTGCTCGTGATCATGCACGACTTCCAATGCAATGGGACGATACTCCGAATGCCGGATTTTCGACGGAGGGCGCGAAGACCTGGATGCGAGTACATGACAACTACAAGACATTGAATGTTAAGCGACAGACAGATGATCCAACCTCAGTGTTATCCTTCTGGCGGGAGTTGCTACGTATTCGCCATGCGCACCCTAAGCTTTTCGCTCAGGGTTTGTTCAGGGACACGGACCCATCTCATGAGTCTGTCTTTTTGTTCGAAAAGATCTCCGGCGAGCAGAAGCTGGTTGTGGCATTGAATTTTACTGGGGGAGACAGTTGATTAATTTAACTGAATCACTTGGAAACGGGCCTCGAAGGACTCTTTTGAAGAACTATGAGGAAGAGTCCTTGGATACCCTGCAGCCATACGAAGGGAGAGTTTACTTGGTGGAGAAATAGAGCTATGTCGAATGTTTTTTTAACGATCTATGAGATACTTAAGATACCTATTTTCACAAATTGATAATCCGAAGAATATACTATTGTTCAAGTTTCAACCTTGTACCTACTTAGGCAGGGCAGTACACACATTAAGTAGGTAGCTATTAAAGTGCCTCAACGGAGAAGTTCCATCTCCTTTATCTCAGGGTATCTATCGCGGATTAGCTGGAACTTTTGTGTCAAAACCTCCGGCCATAAGTTCTGGAACCCGGTGAACGAAAACAAAAAGTCCTTCAAGAACAAGATATCATGAATTCGTCGCACCGTCTCATCACCAGACGCATGTGTTACATTAAGCACAACATCAGTTATCGTACTTGCAATCTCAAAAAGCTTCTTCAAAATTCCCGAGCCGTGAATTCCAACAAGATCGCGCGGAATCGTCATCAAGAATTGACGAAGCTGATTCGACAGACGCAATGGAAATGAAAGAGAAAGAAGAAGCGAAGAACTAGGCAATGAAGACAAAAGTGTATTCGAAAGGGCAATCTGCCACGTAAGAGTACGCAGCCAGTGCCTTGTAATGACAAGATCAGCCTGCTGCATCTGTGGTAGCCGCGAGACTTCACAATGCCATTCATCATCCTCCAGATGGCGCTGTTTTTCTTCAATCCATTCAGCTGTTACTTCGGAGCGACCTCCAAGCCAAAAATCAAGAAATTCCCTATCGACAAGACGGAAGTTGTCAATACAAAGCTGCCACCCTGTTTCAACATCGGGAGGTAGCGTGCCATCATGATCTGGATGTGTTTTCAACGGACCCAAACAAGGAGGTCGATTCTCTGTCAAAGCCGTGAATCTTTCATGGACAAAACATTCCCAGTATGCGCGTTGGAGTCGCGCTCGTTGAACCGGATCAAGATTCGCCAATGCTTCTTCCGATTCAACATTGAGCATGTAGAGTAATGAAATTGCTTCGCGAAGGTATATGAAGGCCAGATCTGGACGGCGGAGAGTGCCAAATGCCATTTCGGCGAATAAACCGCTCATCACATCCACGATACTTACGTGGGAGTCGAGGGTTGGCCGACGACGTAATTCAAGGGAGCGTGTGAGTAATGTTGCGATGCGGTCGCGTGTCCCGGGTGCCTCTTGAACAGGCTCGCTACGAGTCAGATCAAGCGTTACAGCCGCGTAAATGTAGACGAAGCTCGCAATATTTTTGTCACCATCCATTTGACCGATCATTTCGCAGATTTCTTCCGCAGGAATGACCGGGCTCATAGGAAACACATACTGCTCATAATCACCCAACAGATCGATAAAGAACGCCGGGTTGAAACTCGATGCGGTTGATGAAGGCATAAAGCTGAGTTTCTCAGCATGAGCTAATAAGGTGGCGCTTTTTCCAGGTCGTAAATTTAGTGCACGGCACTCAGCGATGACGGTACCTCGTCGCACATTCTTCTTGCGTGGGCGATCTGACGGGATGCTTGTGTATGTACATGGTAAGCCGGAATGAGTGCATTGCTGGCATCTGGACTGGCCGTTGCATCGGACTTTGCGCCTCTTACATGAATCGCAGGCTCTAAGAGTGCGTCGGTCAGAGTCCGGCATGACAAGAGAATAAGGGCGGGTGGGAAACTAGATGCTGCGAGACCGAGCCGATCTTGGTTGACCGGGGGAGTGGAAATGTGGGGGCGCCGTGCGGGGATCGAGTGGAGAGGGCTGATTGGGTTAACTTTGAACTGGATGCGAGTAGACGTATTTTCATTTTGATTAATTTAATAATATCTAAATATATTTAAAATAGCGAGCGAATAAGCACATACCGCTTGTCGTCGCAGTGAGCCCAGAAAAAATAACAATAAGTCCAAATCCACTGCCATAAGCACCAGCGAGCCCATGTAACTTATCGGCTCTTAACAAGAATTCACTGAACGGGCCACTCACAACATTGCCAATTCCACGTCCAAATGCAATGAATGAGAATATTATAGTAGCATCTGCCGCAGAATCTGCCTGCTGAACGGCACGCATTATTCCAGACCAAGTCGCAGAATAACTCCCCGCAAATATTCCATATGCAACAGAAAAGACCAGCAAGAGAGCGATATTGGTGGAAAAACCCCATAGGAGAAAGACTGCGATTGTGGTTCCAATTGAGGAAATTGCTATACATATAACAACATGACAGCGATCTGATAAGTGGCCCATGGTTATGCTGCCAAAAACAGAAGCCAGATTGAGAGCCGTCACCGTGAGTGATGCGAGTAATTGAGATGCACCTATTCTCCGGGCGAAAATTGGAAGGTATATAGAAGGGATGAAGAAACCTAGTGCTTCGAGCACATTGGAACATTGATAGACAATAAACACCCGATTCAGCAAGAATTTGGCGTTGAGCCGGTGATGGGCTATATCCTTGGAAACCGGTAGTCTTGGTCTGTGAAAGTACAAGAATGGAGCTGCAAGTACAAATAGACAGACCGAACAAATCCTCAGAGTCATTTGATATCCGAGATGATTTAGGAGTTTTCCCAAAATCAACGGGAACAAGATTCCAGAGATACCAGATCCAGCCCAGACAATTCCGAAGGCAAGTCCCCTGCGTTTATCAAACCATTCTGACATGAACATGATTGATGGGCTATATGCTATACAGCCACCAATGCCAAATCCGATTCCTTGGGACAGCACAAGATGTGTGACGCTCTTGGCGAAAGATGCTAGGGCCAGAGATAGACACATTAGAGCCAGGCCTACGGTTGAGAACCATCTGGCATATCGAGGTAGAAGAATCATAGTTAAGATGACCACTGGACAACTCAAATACGCAACACCCTATTGCATGTTAGAAGAGCTAGAATCACAAAGATGGGCTATTGGTCCTTACAGTAGCACATGTCCCAATAACAGCCACCATACTGGAGCCTTTGATCTGGTCGTTGTCCCGATAATAACTTTCAAATACACCAAAAGAAAATGCGAAGCCCCACACAAGAGCTTCTACCATCGTGGATGCAGCCAAAAACATCCATGCTTGAAAGCCGCCATCGATAGGAGGCAACGAATTTTGATTGCAAAGATTCTTCTCATCTTCGTCTTCGAGATCTTTTTTATTTGAGGCATTGCATAGTGCCGACCCAGGTGACGTTTCCTTCTGGGAGAGGCTCGAACTTGTTGGCGATGAGCTTTCAGTATGCATGAAGCTGAGCTGTACAAAGGGTATATAAGTGAAGAATGATGAAGACAATTGTTTGTCTCAAATATTAAAAACCTACTTTACTAACAATAAATACTAAGCCACTCTGTCGGATGTGACCTTGGGACATTGCGTAATGCCCCTGGCGGGTCACAAAAAGGAAACAGGGATGAAATATCCAACTGGGCATCAAGTGATGGACAGTGTATCTTTTCCTGGTCTGATTGGCTTCCTGGACAACACTTGACTACGGGTGATTTACTCGGAGAAAACGGATGGGTCCTGCCAGCTGGTACTATCTACGAACAAAGTTTGACCGATGTTTTGGATATCCCGATCAAATCTATCATGTAGTTGGACAGGGGATTTGTCAGTTTCGATACAGTACAACACTATTAGAAACCTAGATGCAACCGAATGATCTCCCCAAGAGTAAAAATATGCTCGAGTGTTTTCTAATCAAGTTTTCACCTTGAATAAAGCTCTGAAGACTCGCTAGGCTTGACGTGCTTTTAATGGGGCATAGACTCACCCAAGGGTTGAATCTCAGTCGAAGCTATGCTAGGTAGTATAACGGTTAAAGGCGGGAGATCCAAAGTGTGGAATGTAGGGAAAATTATGAGGAATGCACGATTGTTTCGAGGCTCTCAACGTACCAATGATTTGGTATTATGAGCTCATAGGCGCAAAACCGAGCTATGTAATAGAATTGTGGGCCTGGCTGACTCCTTGCTTGAGATAGCTTTTGCGGAGTATTTTTGAGTTTGTTGACAGAGTCGATAAGCTACAAAAAGTGACTCCGTGCATCGAGCTATACAAACTTATCAAGCTACACGCTATTTGGTAACTAAATAGGGTTTAGGATTCTTAAAAGCTGGGATTTACATACATAGAAATTTACAGTATTCTTTGTCTCCCTTGGGGAACCTGCCCACGTGCTCATATATTGCATCTAAATGTACTCAAGTTTGATGACCGGCTCATGTATTCGAGGACTCGGAGACATAAGCCAGATATAACATACAAAATTATGTCTTGAGAAGATCCTCTTTGATCAAGTCTGCAGCGCGCTCTGCAACTACATACACGGCACTCTGGGTATTTCCGGTGGGGATAACGGGAATCACACTCGCGTCGACCACTGGTAGCCCCTTCGTACCCCAGACTTGGAGCCGATCGTCTACCACACCACCTTTCTCACGAGGCATCATAGCACATGTGCTAGTTGGATGAAAAGTAAATTTGGCTGCTGACACGACATAGCTTTTGACGTCATCCAAAGACGCTGTGCGTAAATCCGCCGGGGCACCTGGACTGATTGCGCCTAACTTGCGGACTAGTATAATTTCGAAAATGACTCCCAAATCCAATTTCAATGTTAGTTGCCGATATAATGTAGAGGGCCAAATTAATTTTCCCTTAACGCTCTTGTTCGATGCTCGAAAGGGAAAAAAAGTAATTCGAAAAGACCAAGTAAACAAACATGAACTGAGCGCAAGACAAATAAGAATCATTGATTGAACGGAAGAATGGGGGGAGTTGGCAAGGCGTTGGTTCAATTAGAAAATATGAAAGCAAAGTCTATTGTAATTTATCAGTGAATGCCCATAATAAATAATTGACGCAGTATAATTCCTGGAAGCATTTCACGATCTCTTGTATAGATAGAACCCCGGAATTATATTTTCTCCGATTCCGTGGAACCCGGGGAGGAAAAGTCGATTTTGTACGGAACTCGGATGACTCAGCAGAAGAGAAGGAGGTTTCCCGATGCCCCTCACGTGCCCCTCACTTGCTCACACACCACTATGTACATGCTGTGCATCAATAGGTACTAAGCACTAATATAAGCCACTTGGTACCACTAGTCCAGCGCTAGCCTGCCAGCGCTTATGCACAGTATTTTTTAGTATCTCTTCATGATATCTTCTTCTCTCCTCTATATGTAACATAGTCTTCTAAATAGGAGGCCTTCTACCCCTTTCTTTCTTCTTGCTAACTTTCTTTTTTTGCTTCTGCAAGTATCCATAATTTGGTCTCAATAGGCCTGCGTGGCACCGAATTCTGATGTCTGCATTCGGACTGAACCAGTCAGTCTACCGGGACACAGGAAAGACTCAACAGAACAGCCAGGAAGCGTGGAGTTGATTTCCGACCAATTCCAGAGGTTTTCATTGGCAACCACGGGCCAGCCCAAGGGCACAATCCCCCAGAGAATGTAGGTAGAAATGACATTAGACATGATAGATCAAATAATCGACATCTCAATCGAACCCGACCCTTCGGAACAAACCCAAAATCCCCCCCTCCGACTCCGTGTACACGAGCTGGTTCATTAGCGAGTCCATTATCCCAATGGGAAGGATAATTATTTATTTCCCGTAAAATCCTCCACAATTTTTTCCTCTTCCCGTTCTTCTCGATCCTTCTCGTAGCGTTCACCAATGGTTTCCAATCCCCAAGAAGCGCACTTGGCGCCTAGCGACTCGTCCCACTCCGTCCCCCAGGTTAATGCTGAAACCCCGGTCAACGCGCCCGGTCCAATTGCGATCGATAGTTTTACCGATGTATGTAAACTTTGATTGTCCGAGTCTAAGCTTATGTATAATCAGTCGAAATGTTAATTCCCACGCCATATTGTAGGACACCAACAGTGAGTTTGACGACGAGGCGTCTGATCTCACCTCCCTGTCGTCGAGCGTGCTCGAATATGAATATGAAAATGGTCGGCGGTATTGCAGTACCCGCTCAGTAAGTGCTAAATGGCCCTGTACAAAGCATTGCCCTACGATTTACTTTAAACGATCGACTAACTATGACTAGGGAGTTGCTATGTACGTCCACTCATTCCTCTAGAGGATTTTGCCTGCGAAGACTGACCAAGCTAGGATGCCAAATGACGAGGAGGAGCAAGATCGAATGGATATTGTAAGAGATCGCCCCCACCCACGAATTACTTCTAGTTCACTAACTTTTCCCCCTTCAAGACACATCATATGTCCGTGAAGCAACTACATTCCCTATGATTGCATGTAGCTGACAAGTGTGGTGCAGATGGCTGATGCTACTCGGAGGAGAGCTTTATAATGCCCCTATCGGGTCAAACCCCCAAAATATTCTTGACCTGGGAACCGGAACAGGTATCTGGGCTATGGATATGGCCGAGTATGTGCTCAACCTCTATTCTCTTCATCTTCTATGCCAGCAATACTAATTTTGGCGATAGGAAATTCCCCAATGCACACGTCATTGGCAATGACGTCAGTCCCATCCAGCCCAATTGGGTGGCTCCAAACATTGAATTCATCGTGGATGATTTCGAACTCGAATGGCCTTTTGAACCGAATCACTTTGACTTTATCCATGCACGATGTCTGGCAGGGTATGTTTCTATACCCCTATGCCCTCAAGTTGATGGACCCCCAATCTTAACACGAATTACACTAACATACAGAGCAGATGCGTGGCCTCATGGCCCGGGTTCATCAGCCGAATTTTCGACCACGTGAAACCCGGCGGCTATTTTGAATCGCATGAGAGTGCCGTGTGGGCCTGGAGTGACGATGGCTCTCTCAAAGAAGATTCCGCGCTCATGGAATGGCAACAAGCTATTAATTATGCCGGTGAAAAAATTGGCCGGGATCTAAATATCTATTATAAACTGAAAGACTGGATGATTGCAGCAGGATTTGTGGATGTCCAAGTATCCGTCTATGTGCTGCCCTTTTCGCCTTGGCCACGCGATCCCCACCTAAAGGCATTGGGAAGGTACCAAGCAGTGCAATTGCAGCAAGCCATCGATTCATACGCGCTGCGGTTATTCACACAGGTGCTGGGCTGGAGCTCGGAAGTGGCGCAGATTCACAATGCTAAAGTGAAACACGAGCTACGGGATAAAAGGCTACATGCCTATGTTCAAACGTATGTTCAAAGTATCTCTTCGATGGCCTGAGCTTTTGTACTAACTATGAGCAGGGTCGCCGTCCATGGAAGAAAGCCTTTTTACGCCTGCTGATACTGGATGTTTCTGTTTCTACAGGCTTCGAGAATTATAAGATACGAACTGATTTGTCAGTCTGGTAAGGCCTATCCCCGATATTGTACATAGTGATAGCGAATATCCGCTTTGACGACCTTAATACACGAACATCTTTATAGAGAGACCTGCTTCTTGTTTTATTCTGTAATACAATACCTAGGTGGGTGAAGTAATACCCAATTAAGCTTCAAGTTAAATAAGATGAGCAGTACGTGGCCAGTGTCTGCATAGCGCTAGGTAGTAACTACCCCTTTCCCAGCCAGCATGCATGGCCTGCTGCATGTAAATCAGAACTGTCAATCGCAGTGTTTCTGAATAAATACAAATATAACCAAAGGAAACTAATCTCTTCTGCTAATTATCAAACCACGGGCTATTGATTTCTCTATTCAATATAATAGAAATTTAACCGTTGATTTCAACCATTACGCTTGGAAGCTTTATGCGTGTTTGATTTCTCTATGACCGCATGAACAACAAGCATAGCCTTCCTTGTCGTACGATCTTTGCACCCACTCCGTGCAAGAGCATCGGTTGCCGTTTTCGTATACGCCATGACATATGGGTTTCCAGTCGTGCTTAAAGAGGAAAGGCCCCGCGAGGAAGTTGAACCAAGCCATGATTTAAGGATTCAAATGGTGGTGGGTGTATCGAATGGAACTATCACTAGGTTAGTCGGATTGTTTTTGACGGATAATGGGAGAACGGAGGACCGTTGACTTTTTCAGATGAATTTGGACTAAAGGTGTGAATTCCGCTTAAAGAAAACTTGAAGCTGCGGTGAATTATGTACCACGGCGGGCTGTAGTTTGACTGCCAGGGTGAGATGATGAAGACGGAACTTGAATGGAGAAACACTGGGCATCACCTACAAATATCTAGATATCCAGGGAGTTATGATAAAGAAGGATGGTGCCCAATAGGTGCCCGATTTACTCAGGTACTGACTCGATACGAAGCGAAAGTACGGCTAAGCCATTATAGGCTATATCATCGATAAGTATATGCCAGGGCAGAAACTACTTCCAAAGTTACCCGTGGACAGCTCCGAGTTGCAGTTTTCACCACTGCCCAGTTGGTAGAAATTATACTTGGAATCGGAGAATTTCCAAGGCTTCGTATCTAGAAATCGTCTTAAAAAATAAATCTATAAAAACGCACGAGTTTATATTGGTAAACGAAGTAAGTAGTTTGGGCTGGCGAAAGATACATTTATACCTGAGGCAGAAACCGGTACATGGTGAGACGCATGCCTTGGAATGCTGGCACCAATAATAGTTCCGTCCAGGCTGTAAAGCTGGCGTGTCTATAGTGTCAACTTAATTGAATATTTTCATATGTTTGTTCTTTGAGCAACAAGAGGAAGTCGAGGGTCATTACCAATAACGAGTAAGAGCGCGTAGTGCATAGCTTCGAAGCTTAGATCGTGCTGGGTGATGTACTAGACGGGAATGCCAAGAAACCCAATTCCGTCTCTTTCCATCATCAATGCCGTCAAACCCGAAGATTCACTACACTACATTTGGCTTCGTATCATGCCGACTTCTATCATAAAAAGTTACTAGCCAACAAGAGTCGCGAAAACAATGCGGTCCAGCGTCTCGTGCGCATCATGTCGGTAAGTCTTCCCTAGCCATCTGGCGACCGGGGTTTTAACTGATCGAGCCATAGCAAAGCCAAGATAAAATGTGTGCATTCGGGGATGGCGCCATGCCAAAAGTGTCGAAAATCTGGCATTGCTGGCTGTATCCTCACGAAGCCCCCTCAGCGACCCGCTCAAAGAGAGAGATCAACGACATTGAATGTTCCGCCAACAGCGGATGGTCACAATATAGCAAGACCCGGACGCCAGTCCCGTCCCGCTTCGACTTTTGTGGGTGGCCAGACTGAACAGCTACCCTCAATCGTCATGATTGATCAGCATCTCGCGGGTTTAAACGCAGGAACAATCCTCAAGGGACTGAATGTTTTCACAAATAAATTTCCCGAGTTAGGAATTCTCCACATCCCAGCTTTTCAAAAAGACCTTCAGTCCAACCCTCAGTCTACAAGAACGCTTTTGGCGGCTATACTGGCGGTTGTGAAAATCCAACCAATCCTATCAAACCAGGCGTGGGCAACCCGTTTGCTATCGAGTGAGGCTTATGCGAATTATGCCAAAGCTAGGCTATCTGATGAAATATTACGGCCCCCTCGGATCCACACCGTGCAAGCACTGCTCATTATGACCCTGTATGAATGGGGCTCTTGTGGATTTCACCAGGCATGGGTATATTGTGGTATGTTATGAAAGATTGAGATTCAAAACATGGAAACCCTCCGGATTAAGGTCGAGTAGAAACTAAATGAATGAAACAGGGATAGCAACGCGCGTGATGCAAGCCATCCACAGCCAGCGGGTGGCCCCATACCCACTAGATCCAACAGCCGATGGATCCAAAGATGCTGTTTGTCTGGCTATCGAAAACCGCGCTTTCTGGGCGTGTTTCATCATGGACCGAATGATCAGCTCTGGTACATACAACCCGCCCATGCTAACTATGCCTGAGATGGTCAAGCTCAAGGTCATGCGGCCGCTCAGCACAGTCGAGTTTGCCTTCGGTACGGATCCGAATTCAATTGACAACGGCTTCGAACAGAACACCTCTCATTTTGAACATCAGCTAGACCGGCCCTTAGATGTTATCACCCACGGTTTCGAGATGCTGGTTTCAGGATTTGATATTTGGGCACAAATCATGACATTCATCTTCAACGACGGCCGCCGAGCCCCTGGCATGTGTGCAGCAGAGAACTGCCCATGGGTCAGCGGATCGCCTTGGTACCGCACACGGAGTCAACTCGAGGCATGGCGAGCAGGACAGCACCGCCGACTTCATTATCCAAGCAACTCAGTGGCTATTCATATGAGCCTTGGATATGGGGAATCATTCACCTACATCAATCTTCTATATTACGTCTCCACTCTAATGCTGCATCGTGAATACTTCCCATTTTTACCCACGGCGGTATCTGGCCCAAGAGGGCCAGTGGACCACCCAACACTGGAGGCAGAAGCGCCCCTAGGTTGGTGGGAAGAAAGTGCACGGGAGATGTTCGAAGCAGCAGAGCGCGTTGCTGACCTCCTTCATGAGGCAGGAGAATGCGGCATTGGTATCGCGACGCCCTTTGTGGGATTTTGTGCCTTTTCGGCAGCTTACATGAATCTCTACGTCTTTCGATTTCCTCAGATGAACATTGGTCGTAGCCGCCGAGCGGATGAATTGATGAAAATGTGTCTAGACTATCTAGAAGGATTTCGCGGAGTCTGGAAGATTGGCGATGGTTGGGTATGTTCAACCCTAAAGTTATATACAATGATCATGAATCGTGTCTTTGAACCCGATTCTTTTTTTGAGTTTTGGCTGATACCTAGCAGATCAAAACCCTCAAATATGCCTCTCTTTTGTACCAAAGAGCCGCAGACGACCGTGGTCGCTATCTTGGCAAAACCCGAGACGATTTCGATATTCTGCATCAGTCAATCCACGAATTCCGCGTGGTAGACCGATCTGACCAGCATATCCAGGAAATCGAAGGGGCCGAGGGGAGTGCCGAGGGAGGTAGATCAACGGAGCCATTAAATATTGACAGCGAATTGCTGCACTTAGATATCCCACTAACAGACATCCTGACGGATTTGACCCAAAGTGGTTGCGAACAAGGCGCATGGGCACAGTGGTGGCCTGCTTTGGGTGACTTTGGTCTCATTTTAGACCAAGGAGCTGAAGCTGTGACAGAAACTGCTGACGCTACAACGAGGCCAGCAAGCAACTCTGGAGTCTCAAACGCGGGCCATGAACTTCCGGGAGTACATGCACCGGACAGCTATAATGATTAGCATGCCCACGATTGACATTGCGCCCGTATAATAAGCCGCTGGTCGATAAGCAGAAATTCCAGAATTTTTGTCAGCCAGCGAATAGAGACCGGCTGCAATGGGAGAACCCTAAATACCACGTTAATATTCAACATTCAACAAGACATGAAAGGGGGACGTCTCTTACAAAGAAGTAACCAAAGAACCATCCGAGCCACAGAAGAGGTAGAATACCCAAGGCATTTTGAGCACCGAACATCGACCCAACTGTTGTAGGAATAAGGCTGAAGAATGCACCGCATCCAATACCATTTATCACAATGAATACCGACAACACTGCGATGGAGCTGGAAAACGGCCAGATCACCAAGGAGCTGACGCCAGCCAGAAATAGAGAAAGAACGAGACTGTTTAGTGGCCCCAAGGCCGTGTCGGCTAAAAAGCCGCCTCCCACACGCCCAACTGTTGAGGCTATGTTCCAAAATGCCAGGATGATGATAGCCACTCGCTGCGAAGCCACCACGCGAGCAAAGATCGGGATGAAATATGATGGAACAAACAAGGGGAAACAGCCAATTCCACTGCCGATGAACAAAACAAGGAACTTGCGTTCTTTGAACCGGAACCTGTGAAATTATTACTGCGCTTAGCTTTCGATTCTCTATATTTAAACACTTTCATCTTTGAAGTGAGAACATACCACTGGAGTTCTGGAACGGTCGCCTTGGCATGATTTGGTTGTCGAATGACAAACCCTGCTGGCAAACAAATAGCCCACAGAAGTATCCCGAAGATACGAAAGGTCCATGCAGCACCGACTTCAGCAACAAGTAAATTGGTAGCAACACTCATAATCGCAGCCCCGAGACTTCCTCCTCCAAATACCACTCCAGTTGCAAGACCGCGATGTTTGCGGAACCACCGAAGAGGCACAGTCGAACAAGGCTGAATGTAATTTAATTAGCGGAGACCTTTTCCAGGAGCTTTTATATGCACGCATGTTAATCTTTCATGATGAGTATTTTCAAAGGGTACATACCAAAATAGTCAAGCCTCCTCCAACGCCAAATACCACGCTGTGACAGATAAACAACCCCACTAGGTTGTCCGTCACCCAGCTAGCGAGGAACTCTCCAAGTCCCATAAAAAAGGCACCTATACACGCAGTGCGCCGATATCCAATTTTTCGAATCAACATACCCACTAAAAAGCCAATTGAAACCATAAATGAGGTAGCCAAGGACCCGACAAAAGTCATCGTCGTCAATGAGAAGGACGTCGTATTCACAAGTTCCGTTTCCAACACGCCCCATGAGTAGACAATTCCTAAGTAAATGAACAAAATGCATGAAGAAGCCATCACTACCACCCAGCCTTTCCAGCTGTCGAAATCCTTGTCATCTTCTTCAAGTTTTTGTTTAGGTGATGAGCTGGCATTGTCGTCTGTGTCAACGTCTTGTGGTCCAACAGTAGACCGGTCGTACTTTTCATCCATGATTCCAGAGTTTTACAAAATTGTCGGACTTTTGAAATCAAAATGGAGAAAGTGAATTGATTGAAATTAATTGAAAGAAAAAACATCGAGCATTTAGCAGATTTGAAGACTGCGGTGGATATGGGGTACGCATCTCGGTTTTCAAAATTCTCGTCCATAATAACCAAATCCGAAGAGTTTTATAGATTTCCCACTATAATAGGCATTGAAAGGCCCACTGTGGCTCTGAATACATGAAAGATTTTGTCATTCATACACTGGACTGAGATTGTTCGGAATCGGTACGGATTTCAATTTTTGGTTCGGAATTCAAAACGGAAAACGAAAACCGAAATGCGGCGGGCAAGAACTTTTTATGTGGATCCGAGCCTAACTAGAAACATTTGCTAAAAGGACTTACTTATTTTCGTTTGGCTTCCAATCACTTCATGAATATACAGGAAAGAAGTCTTGCATTTCCGCACCAGAAAAATGAATAACCGTGAGAGTTGAGAAGATGTTTTCGCATCTCGTTTTACGTTGCCTGCACGAGTAGAGGGCTCTACTAGCCGGTCGAATGCACTGACCATATAATATTTCGGTATTCTACGTTTAGATTTTGCCCTTGAATTTATTTATTTTATTTTTTGTAGTATTATATCGACATATAGAATACAATAGTATACAAGAAGAATGAAAACGCAACGTGATACATGGTGCATTTCAACACTTGTATACACAGGAATGTCGAAACAAGCCAAGCCAACAGCCCAGCGTGAAACACAAATCCCCTTGCCCCGAAACAAAAAATGCTTAATCAGAGAAACCACTCAATTCAGAGTCTTCAGTCGAATCGAAATCAATAGAAGACACAGTAACTCGATCCGTGTGCCAGGTAATACCACCATCGGAACTGGAGAACGTGGCATCTGTGACATCGTCCAGATCCATGACACTGGCAAAATTGGTATCAGCCTCACTTAGAGTGACCGTCAAGTTGGCGATGGCTAAAGCTGATTAGTATTTGAATTTTTCACGTATGCAAAATATAAAGAACGACGTACTGTAGCCGCCTAGAGTGCCACAGCTTCCAGATCCAGTGTAGCATTCGTTGCTAGAGTAAAGATATTGAAGCGGATCATCGAGCGCTTATGAAAATTTTATCAGAGGGAACTGTTGATTTCAAGCAGATAGACATGATGTGTACTTACCGTCGCTCTGTTGAGAGGCTACCTTGCCTCCAATTGTGACGGTCTGGACAACTTTTTCATCCACGACAACAACTAGGTTTTCATGTGTTAGGTTGATTGCTTGAGTCAAAATTGGTGAGACTTACTTTCAAAATCCACAGTACTATTCGAGGGTACTGGTATATAAGACTGGCCAACTTGGCCATCTGGATTTGAAATAATATATTAGTTTCCAACCCATCATTGTGTGCTCTGACGTAAATAACATAGAAGTCTGTCTTACCTGGAGTGTAAGTACTAGCCGCCGCACACCACTCTTCGTCTGAAGCGGAGCAACCTCTGTTGTTTCATATTCATGGTTACCGAAAATGTCTTTTTTTAAATATGCTTCTTGCTGTGACGTACTGTGATTCCTGGTCAGGCGACCAATTGAACAAGGGCTGATACAGATTCGTATAGTCGCTTCCTGCAGATGAGGATACGCCAACCCAAACTGAGACCCACACCTCATCATCTGCGTTGGAAACCTTCGCTCCCGAGGGAACTGATGGTGGAACAATGGAATATGTGGCTTTGGTAATTCTTGCATTACCAGACGGAGGGCCGAGGTAAAATAGGCTATCTCCAAAGACCCAGCGATCCGAGGGATAGGATGCAGCCGCGCCAGCAGCGGCGATCAGAGGTATGGCAGCATAGATCGATCGCATTTTTGAGGTTCTCTCCAGAACTTGTGAAATATGAAACACCGTACAGATAATATTGAAGTGGACCTACCAGGCACTCTGGAGAGGAACGATGGTGATGTACAAATCTTAGAATTAATGTGCTGGAATGGGCCTTTTTATAATAAAATTTGGATGGAAGGGCTCTTCCTAATTGCGAGAGTGCTTATTAGCTTTAAATTGAAGTTAATTTCTGGTATGTTTCATATCAATAGCCCGTTAGCTTCAAAGTGAGACCGAAACAACATGTCTGGGTCTTGGCTTCTTTATTTCCCACAAGACCAGAGTAAGAGAATCTGTTTCAAATCAATAAAGATCTTTTTGGATGATATTTAATTTGTGTACTGCGTCTTTATGTGACCTATAGAGTCAAACTCACGTAGAGTATGATAAATTTTATTCTTGTCTCTGGGGCCTTATCCGGATATTCAAACGCCGGGTGTTCAAAAAATAAGATCCGAGACGACCCACCAGGTTTCAACTTGAAGGCTTGAATAATTGTTTGAGCTAATGGGTACCCCTGAGCACGGAAGTGGTTAGTGCAATAATACTGAGGCTTGCTTGTGCAACACATTTCGTAATATCACGCTGCACTGGAGGCAAAAAGAGGAGACAAAAAATTACAACAGTCAAATCTAAGCTCTATTCAGCCCTCTTCAGGGTAATTCGGCCGGATGTTCACCCACTGGATATTCTTCATCCGAATAGCCAGCCTTTTGCATCAGCGAGTACATTTTCGCGCTCTGTGTAAATTATAGCCGTCCTTCATCTTTCTCTCCCTTCCCTCATCTGAATATCCTTCTACTATCTTTCCGTCCCGCTAAGCTTATTTCCTTACTAAGGTGGGCATGGATCCATATACATTAAGTACCACCCAATGTTAAAATACCTAAATCATATCGTAGACTTTGAAACTTATAGTGATAACAGAATATACTGGTTGGTCCCTTTATAATGAAGATTTGGTTATAGAGAGAATTTATTTCTTAATATACAAGTAGTACCTTCTCTCATAAGAACATACTACTACTTATTTATCATTGAAATTGATATTTTGGTACAGCCTGTTGGTGAAACTAAGAAATAAAAGGGTTTTTAGACAGTTTTTCTGAAAGTATATTGCTTTCAACTTACACGCTAATCTGTAAGTCCCTCGTTACTTGTACGGATATAAATCTAGTTTTCCAGGAATATATAGTCATACTACATATATTCTAGTAGGAATTGGTCCCCATCTGAATGTTGTAGATCCTGTCTTTCTACCAGCGCAATACATAATATCTACAATATACATCCTCGATTTTACAAACAATGCTTGCAAAGTTGAACATATATTATACTGCTAAATCAAAGGAATAACTTGAACCTAGTCATATCTAAGCTCTTTGCACTGGCCATCCTTACAACCTTCACACAGCCTGGCATTATGTGGCTTTTTACTCCTTTTCTTCACCCAGGGAATCTGTGGCATCTCTAACCCACTCCATTTCTTGATTCGATAAGAAACTCGATCTGCGTAGGAGTCATCCAGTTTTGGGCGACTCAGAACCTCGCAGGACTGGCAGCGTTGGAAATATACTCTGGCATTGTATCGAAAGCCAGGGTATAGTCGAATAATAATCGCTATTCTTTTGCTCGACCAGCCAGTCGCCGGACATTTGCTGTTCCCGCATACGAACCGGCCCATGATGTTTGTGGTGAATTTTTTTTCACAGGTACCATGGTCGTCGACTGGATAAAACTTGAATCGGGGCAGGTCTGCTTCCGAGAGGAGCTGGCAGACGTCTTTATGTAAAGTGGGGTATAGATCGCAAGTTTTTGTCTCGATTTTAGGCTTGGTGGATCTTTTCCGCTGGGGCATCTTGGTGATCTGAGGAACAGTATATATTAGGCACTGGTCTATGTGCAACGGATGGATATGAGAAGTATGATTTGAATCGGTTTGCTGAGAAAAAGTGGGAGGTTAAGGTTCTGGTTTAACTTGCCGAAAGGCGCAATAAATATTCGGGCATATAGACTCAGACTTTCAATTATGTTTATTTATCGGCGGCATACCTGATTATAGGGGTACAAACATCGCCACGTAGTAAATCTGCAGGGGTTTGATTGGTGCCAGCATTATCTGATACGATCACACATACATAAACTAGTCTATTTGAATATGTGATCTACCACTAGGAGACTGTAAAGTTCAGGCCCCAACCTACCTATGATCGGCCGACAGGATCAAAATACTTGAGAAGGGAAAGATACCAACCCACCTGAGTCATATAATATAATATATTAAACTTGAGACTTATACCTTTGTTTTTATAGACTTGGAGATTCGATATATATATACGTGTCTTCTGAGCGCCCAAATCACCCTGCAGATAAGATATTGAGATATTGCCATATATAGTTAGTGGGTTGTCAGTGGAAAATGGGAGGTAAGTGACCTTTCTTGCTGGTGGAGACGGAGTCGAACAACTTAGGTACTGTAGTGGGGAAGAACGACCTTCATGCTGATTCTGCCAAGTCTAGCACCGGTAGTCTTGTCACATGATGGGAGACGCGGCATCATGCATGTGCCTCCAATAGCTTAGATAACCCTCGTCAGCACCTCAAGTACTGTCTTCCTACTCTTCCTACTTTCAACCGCTAAATTTAACAAGGAGAAAAAGAACAAAAAGCGAAAACATACAACAGTCGTAAGTATGTCAGTAGTCACCTAGCGCCCACGGCTACCGACGTTTTGAGCATAGGCGGCTCGCTGCTCTATTCGACACTCTTCAGGGCTGCTCAGACAGATATTCACCCACCTGAATATTATTCACCTAAATCTTCAGGTAATACATAAGATGTACATTTTTTTATATTTTCCGCAGACACCTCCGGGTTCTAGTCGTTCCTGAGCTCTCAATTAGTAAGTACAGGTAGGAATAGGATATCACAAGTTTTCTGACTCTTTCAGGGCTCTTACTATCCAAGGCTAGTTGAAAGGAATAAAGAGAGCATCTAGAGGCAAATCTTTGATAAACCACTTTTATCTTTTTCATATACTTGTACTAGCTCTTGTGAGCTGTTTTGGAGGTCGGGTAAGGATAGGACAAATTAGCTAGCAGCGAATTAGAAAGCTACAATGGCAATACAGTTCCTGGAGCATAAATAATAATGATAATACAGGCCAACCCCTATTACAATAATACACCTTAGCTACATTATACTATTACTCCTAACACCAATCAAGACCGAACCTATACAGAATAAGTATTTACACAGTTGAATTTTATATAAACCGTTTTAGCTCCTTAGTCTATTACACAAAGTTTTATATCAAGATGTAAAAAGTAAAAAGGAATACGGAAAATAATAAAGAAAACAGAGATCAAAAGAGACACATAGACAGAAACACAAAAGGCAATGCATTAGACCCTTGGAAGGATAACGGAACGTGCCCGTAAAAGGGACCACTGCGGTGCTAGAACAGCGCTATGCCCGATGTAGCGCACGCAGCGATCCTTTCCACGGATAGAATGGCCAAGTCTTGGACTATGTATGCCGCAGTGTTTCCCCTCTGTGTATCTTCCTCCTACATCTCCCACACCACGAGGCAAACAAAGACAAAAATGCCACTCCAATTTATTGACTTCGATAACCCCGAGGTGCCTGCTTGGGGGGGGGGGGAGCCTCACTTGGATGTCTATTTCATTTCTGAATGGGACAAACCTCACCCAGACCCCTCAGTCGCCAATGAATCCCCGGCTGACCGTCGCAAAAGGCTTTTACGCCAATATCTCGCATTGTAATTCGAAGGAAGACGAGTGAATACACTCTATACCTTGTAAAAGACCACAAAGTTGAACTAACTAACCGAGTATCAAATTATTAGGATTATCAACCAGAAACATTACCACACCCTCCTACTCAAGCTCAAATAGATGATATTCTTCGGCATGCAAGGCCAGAAGCACTGCGTATCTACAGTCATAATACCGGTGCTGATGTAGGCTGCTGGCTCCGTCTATGCTACACAAATGAAGAGGGTCATGATGCTCTATGGGCTGCCAATAAAGACGCTGAATGGGTTACTGAAGAGGGGGTTGTGCTTGACGATGAAAGTATCTTCAGTGGCCTGGATTTGGCAGCTGCTCTGGAAATATTTCCTGAGCGTGTCGCAAATGAGCCTGTGAATTTTAAGTTCAGAGAGGAGAGTCTCAAGATCGCGAAAAGGCAAGCCAAAAATGGCGGCTGGGATAAAGACCCTCTTGAGGCATACGTTTTTTATCAGGCAGACTCTGTTGTCGCCCATATGTTTGTGGAGGATGAGGTTGCGGTGACTGGAGGGGGTTTGTTGCATGTGTTTTTGGACGACTGTGGGAATGTGGTCAGGCAATGGCGGGTGGAGGATGGAACGGAGAATATGTATGACGGCGCTTGGTTTGAGCATCTTTGGAGACTGGACTTTGAAGCTGAGAAAGGAGAACTCGGTCCTGCTTATCGTGAGGGTGAAAGAGTTGTGGTCCCCCCATACACTCTCAGGCTTTGAAGACCTGAGACTGTAAGCTAATACGTTTAGTAGATATAAAGTCACGTTCGTCTGGTGAAGGAGGCACCCTGAAAAATAGGTTTGAGTCGCGTGCTAGAGAAAAGAAAATGGTATAAAGTGAATTGGAAGACATAAGAGTTATAATAAAGAAAGGTCTCATTGTACTCAAGCCAGTATATCTGGCCCTTAAAGACAAGACGGCTTAGGTTAATTTGAATCTGCAGCATGCCCAAACTTCGTGTTTCCGGGGTTGAACATGTTTGCCCAGTCCACATCGTCCCACAGAGGGGCCTCGTCCTCCTCGTCTAACATCTCAATACCTGGAAAAGAAGGTATATGGTTAGTTTGATCCAAATATAGGAGTCGAGGTCACATACTTTCAATTCCCCATGGATCATTCCAGCTCATCGACTTATCCTGGTCACGCTTGCCGAACGAAACAGGGCGCGTTTGGTCGTCGAAGGTGCTCCCAGCGACATTAACCTTGCACTTGGAATATTCAGGGCGTTTTCCAAAGCCTTGAGAATGAATTGCGTCAGCTGTGCTCATATAACCTATCAATAAAGACAGCAGAGCCGTGAACATACCTGGCTCGTCGCGCCATCCGTTATTTCCCTTGCGCAAGTCACGACAATACTCATTACCAGTTCCGTATCGATAGACTTCTGACTGATTGAATAGGTTTATCGCGCAAAAGACACGCGAAGGGTCTGTGTCTGCGGTCCCTTTACCGATCTTGGAATCGGTCAATGTCATCTTGCCCCATTGATCCGGCGAGTTTGAAAGACTCGTCGCGTACGCAAAGGCCATTGTAAAGTTGCGTTTGAAATTGTAGCCCAATGCTCGACCGGACTTTTCCCACTCCTGAAATATTGTCAGTAAATCAAATAGTAAACTCTGATGGTGAATCAATCATTGAACTGACAGCTGAATCAATACCGTGAGCGCGAGGAATTTGCTCTGGATATCGCGTCAGACGTCCGAAGAGTGGGGGTGTATCATCGTCCTCGCTCCCCCCGGGGATCCATCCTTGTCTAGGGTACCTTTAAGCATCCTCTTGGACCAAGCTTTCCAATCTTCTTTTTTTCTTTTTCGTTTTATCCTTATCGGTGTCATCTTCATCTTGGTCGAAGTAAGCCACATTGGTGTACAAACCACTCAAGAGCGCTGAAGCTGTCAGTCAACCTATACAAGCAAAACAAGTACTGGTAAAGAGACTCACCGTTAAAATTTCTTTGCAATGATTGTTGCCACACGGGCACACAATTGGCAGTCGGGGGGGCTCTGTGTGGTTTGTATTTGGCACCCCAGTCTCCACCCTCGGTCCCACCAAAGGGAAACTCATCGCAGCTCAATGTCCTTGAATCCTTCGGAAGACCAGCGTCTTTGTTAAGCTTATGCTTATGGACAGTGCAGTATGTATTTCTCGTGTTTTTCTTCTTGCCATCATCCTTGTCCCCGTCATCGTTCGCTCCGAAACCTCTGCATACTTTAACCCCGTAGTAGCTCGGGTGAAGGATATGCCAGAAAAGGAGTTAAAGTTACTCCAAGAGGTACTGATTGATGTTCGATAATACGAACGAAGCTACGAGAAGAATAAGTTAGCATTCGAGGTGTAATCCATCTTTCTTTCTCTCTGTATGAACTTACTAGTATAATCTTAACTATTTAGGGAAAAAAGACATGTCTTCATATATCTTTCCGTAAGTCTTTCTACTTGGTTTTCTATTGACGTAGTAGAGCTTACAGTACCAGTAGCAGTGCAATATGCGGTAAATTTTATCTATGGCCAAAGGGGGGTTTCCCGATCATCGCTATAGTAGATGGAGTAAGTATTAGCCGAGGAACGCAGCGTCATTGAATCAAACTTCACCTAATGGCCCACGCCCCATGTGCAGAAAACAATTTCTATGCTGTTAATCTCTCGATCATTGGGCTCAACTCCAGTGACGATTTATGTTGCCCTAAATAAATGTGCCATCAACGTTGTTACAGCCCCTGCGTAAGTATAAGAGAAGACCCCTCGTCTTGTTAATATCACTAGACAATGAGATGGTTCCTCCCCAGGCTGCGAATCTTCGATGGATAGAATCACGATTATGGAAGTGCTGTGAGTCTGGAACTTGAATAACTTTAATCTCGTTTTAGCTATATTGAGATCCATACGTAACACTTAAACCCGAGAATTCGTCCCACTTGTAGCCACATCGCATAGTCCTTTCGCTATATAGAAGATATAGACGTGAAACTCTAGGAAAGCGAATACTACTTCAAATAATAGATGTCACGTAATTGGGAAGTGCAATAACTTACTAGCAAACCCCTGATTCGGAATAAAAAGACGACTCGACATCATCGATTGTCTGGGCAGAAATGGTGGCTGATGATTATTAGGCTGCTATTTCCCTCAATGATCTTTCTGCAGACCCGTGGCCACTATTCCCGAGTTCATTTTACGGCCGGTGAGAGATACGGCTTAAGAGTTACCTTTCCACACGCCTATCATCAATGAAATGACCGAGTCTTCCAATCGTTTAGCCGATCCACTGATGAACTCGGCCCGTCCGGCTTGGCCTGGCTTGGCTTGCAGGGCCAAGCCAATCCTCACCGTAAGCGAAGGACGCTTATGTTGCTTTGACTTTACATCTTTCATTAAAATCCAACAATTCTTAGATTCATTTCCTCGTTCTCTTCACCTGCCCGCACCATTTGCCCCACTCCGATGAATGACCGTGCGATAAATGATAAACGTGCTTGAAACAGTGAAATCAAGTTCCGTCGGAGAAATCTGCCTAAAAGACTTATGATCATCCTGCTGAAATGAAATGATCCTTTAACGGACTCAGCAACAAAGTCCGTGGATGGAACAAGTTTGGTCTCCTTTCCAACGCGTCACTGAGATCCAATGGTTCCACCAAGGGACCCCACAAAAACGAAGCTGAAGACTCGGAGTTGTAGGACAGGAGCGATCTATGTGCTTTGAGGCGACCGAACCGCCTACGTCAGCAGGGTCCATTAAATTAAGGCCCCTGCTTATAATGCATTGGAATATTGACAAGGGGCAGGAGAAAACCAAGCAGAAGTCGAGGAATTAGTTTCCCACGCGATGGAGGCGCTGTGCAGAATGTTGTCTGTAACAGGGAGCGCCCGTGTCGATCGCAGATATTCCCGACGGGGATTCGGACGGAGTTGTGCGAAGAAGGAATGATCCGACGATCCAACGATGCTCATATCCCCATGTGGAAATAGATTGCGAATGTGCAAAATTTAATTGGACATAATTGTGCATACAGTATTATCTGGTGCTGAGAGGAGACCTGGGGAAAGAAGGCCCCGCAGAAACAGTTCAATTATCAGGGGAGACAGAAGCCTTATAAAGACCGAATGTATTTCCGAGTTGTTCAAATGTTGGCTTAATCGGAACAGCACATTTTGAACGCTTTGCCATGAGGCTTTCTACCGTTATCGCTCCGCTTTTCTGCGGATTGGCTGTGGCTGGCACATGTCCATATGCTACTCAGGCAAAAGCCGCCGGAGCCTGTCCATACGCCTCGAAAGCACAGTCCGATGACTCTAAATCCGAATTCGTGCCCCGGGGCATGCCAATTGAAGACAAGAAGGGTGTTATGTTAATGAATCGCATTGCCCCGAGTGTTTCAAAGCTATACGTCGCCAACTCCGACGGCTCTGAGCCACGCCTTCTTCTTGGGAACGAGACTACATTTGACTACCACGGACAATGGTCGCCTGATGGCGAGTGGATCGTCTTCACGAGTGAGCGTGCTGGTGACGGACAGTCAGACCTGTACCGCGTTCGTGCCGGTGGTACAGATCTACAGCCTATTTCAAACACACCACATGTGGAAGACGCCGGTTCTATTTCGCCCAACGGTAGCCTTGTTGCTTTTCAAGGTACTTTGAACAACCACAAGAGCAACATTTGGATTAAAAACCTAGAGACTGGGTCACTCTGGAATGTGACCAATACTACCGATGTTGCTGGAGACTGGACCCTCCCTGATGGACACTTCCGACCAGCCTGGTCTCCGGATGGCAACTGGCTGCTCTTTACCTCCGATCGCAACACACATTGGCGAGGTCATAACAACGTGAGTGGATGGGAACATACTCAGGAACTATCCATATATGCTATTCGACCTGACGGTAGTGACTTCCGTCGCGTCGCAAACAAGACTGGCTACTGCTTGGGATCACCGAAATTCTCGCCGGACGGCAGCCGTGTCGTCTTTTATGAGATTTCTACCGAGCTTACCTATTATGCTCGAGTTTCCGAGCCCGCCTTCTACGATGTAAACACAGCTATTGTATCTGTTGATTTTAAGACGGGAAAAAACCGCATCGAGCACTCTTCGGCTGGATCTGGTGGAATCAAGATATTCCCCCAGTACATTGACAATACTACTATTGGATACCTCACGAAGAGCATTCTCACCAATGATACCTATCCGGGATCCATAAACTTTACATCAAGCAAGGCGAATGGCAAGCTCGATTCTAAGTACCTCAGTACCTCACTGGTTGGTCGCTACCGCTCTCCATCTTGGTCGCCCGATGGCAGTAAAATGATATATGAGCATGTTGAATGGGATCCTGTCCGTTCTATTGATAAGAAGCTCTACAGCTGGAACGAGGAATGGGAGTACCGCTTTACTGATGTGTTCCCACGCATGTCCAAGGGTGGCAAGGTGGCGTATACTTCGCAACAGACAGAGAACTCCTCACTCGTGATCATGAATCCGGATGGTTCTGGTAAGCAGGATATCTTTGATGGATCGCGATTCCCAGGTCTCACTACCCACACCAACACAAATGGAACATTCCAAGCTTCATGGCGTGACGATGGAGAGGTTTTGGCTGTTGGCCTCGGCGACTGGTTTGAATACCGATATACCAGCCCGGGTTGGGTCTTCTTAGTCTCTTCAAGTGGCAATTGGACAAGAAAAATCACCAACGGCACTACAAATGCAGGCTTCCCTACAATCTCCCCTGACGGTCGTTGGCTGGTCTGGCGTGAATTTGACTATAACAGTGAGCAAGTGTTTCCTTTGGGTTTGCGACGTATGGACCTGAAGACCGGAGATGTTAAGGTCCTGACACAGCAGTGGGATAACACCCCTATGTTCTCCCTTGATGGTACGAACCGTATCGTCTTTACTCGACGAACTAGCTGGCCTGCTACTGGTCCCCTTGATGACAACTATGATGTTATGACGATGGATGTTAATGGTAACAATCTTAAACGACTTACGGAACTGGCTTGCAATGATGCCCATGCAACTTGGACACAGGATGGCAAAATCAATTGGGCAACCGGCATGTATGGATTCCAAGATGAGGCCATGATTTATGACAATAACCAGCAACCGTATCCTTTTATCATGCAGATGGAAGCTGACGGCTCCAACATGACTGTTTTGACAGAAAGCAGATGGGAGGATACTATGCCGCTGTATGTTCCAAACGACCTCTGGGCTGGCTCTTCTTGAACTTATACCATAGACCAAAGAGTTTGATATAGAGGTGCTATCTCTTAACATGTACGTACAGTCTAAGACAGGGCACCATTACTGTCCTACAATTATATGATTTCAGACGTATGAATCCCTTTCTTCTTGCTACCGTGATGAATTAAAGTAACAGGGTATGCCACATGTGTGACCATCAACGTGCAACTCACAGTAGAGCTGAAGACTTTGTAGCCTTATTGAACATTTCTAGAGGGGCAATAAATACTATTTGATATCTTGAATAATTCCATCCCAAGGAATCAACGCTTGGATGGGGTTATTGCCACCATAGTGCCGCTGTAGGTAATTGCAAATTGACGGGATCTCATACCTAGCTCGGAAATCAATCCACCAAATAACTCCCCTAGCCTTAGCATACCAAAGACCAAGCAGTAAGAGAGCAATCGGGTCTTTATCCATCAACAACACCTCAAACTGGCCATGCATGTAATTGCAAATCATAAGAGCGTTTCCTATGGAGATGGTCCCCTGCGGCATCCTTAAAAGTCGAGAAAGGCCATGTACGACTTGAAAATACGAATTATTTTCCTGGGTCGATGTATCACCCATTCTGCACAGCTGTACTAGATCCTTGGAAGTACCTTCGGTGCCCTCAATAGGTAAGGGCGCGCGCATCTGTATCAATGCTGTACACATGGCTCGGAACACGCTGCCTGGTCTTAGTGGATTTATAAGATTCCATAGCTTCATTTTCCCGGTTCCTAGACTCAGCCATTCCAGATCAGATGAATCTTGCGAGAGTTGTGGCCATGCGTCACTTGGAGAAGACGCGTTTATGGATGAGAAGGCTAGAATGTTGAGAATTCCGGTAGCAGCCCATATAGGATCTTTTTGCTCTTCCTTAATATCATGGCCCAGCCATTTATTAAAAAGAGTCGTGCATTCAGACCAGTGGTGGGACTCTATCAAAGAGCGGCGCTTTGAAGATATCTCAAGGTAGCGATCATGAACAGCTGTCAACGCAAGTATACCGTGGAGTAAAAAGGGGCACTGAAGTAGTGGTCAGCGAAAGCTATCATTAGATTTCAAATTACAAAAGATGAGGCATTTTCAATGATGAAACTTACGGAAAAGCTTGCTTTCAACATATGGTTTTCGTGTATGTGCACAAGCGCATCTCCTCCGAGGGAATAGACAGTTCGATATCGAAATTTATTAAAAAGACCCCAGTCGTGCGAGTTCAAGTTGAAAAAGGACATTCCATCCTCAGCCCAGATACCATTGGTAATGCTTGCGCGTGGCGATGAATCGGGATGATTTGATTTAGGATTATTTTGCTCGCGGCTCTCTAGAAGTGGCTGAAGATCGGTGGTGTTATGGGTGAAAGTACATTGGACGCCGTAAGCACGGCATCTCAAGCACTGTGGTCTTGCCTCATCGCACTAGATCGGATTTTTAGACCCTTAACCATAGTGATAGCTTGGTGTTGATTAAACATACTTTAACCTTCCTCAATTTGCAATTACGACAGCCATACCGCGAGTGACGCCTGTATTGCTGTCTCTTCGCAACACCCGGAGGACCAGACCCCATGATCGGTGTTATCTGGCTGTGCTGTCTTTTTTTGGGGTCCGGATTGGTTGTCAAATAATGTGGTTCATTCTTATTGAGCAAGACATGGATCTCCGATTGAGATTCTTACTGCAAACACATCTCGTCAGACGATACACTTCTAAGATATCCAATTTGCTCTGCTATGCTTGATCGTTCTTTAAGGGATTACTGAGATCGTTTGAGCGGCGCTCGTATTTCCGTTCCTTTCTTATCTCCGAAGTGAGGTCACTGCCCACACTTACCTCCGCTCGGAATTGAGTCTCTCTTATTGGCTCGTGAAAGATCCACATTTGGTGTTTTGACGTGCAAGTACACCTGTTCAACTTTTTCTTTTACACTACATCGTATGCTGGAAAAAGAAATTTGGAATGAATATGGATTCCGGTCTCTTTAACTCCGACAAGCTAGCTTTAATCGTTGGTATGGATGGAACAACCATTAACTCTCTGGGGCTATAAAGGTCAGAGCAATCCCGTCCAAGAACCAACATCGAGACAGATCTTCCAATTTTACATTTTTGCCTTGCCGCAAAAGTCTTATCTTACAATTATATACCGGCAACTTCAAATTCAAGATGCGTGTCTTTGTCACCGGATCCACTGGATTTGTCGGCACTGCCGTGGTGAAGGAACTTCTCTCTGCAGGACATCAAGTCCTAGGTCTCACTCGAAGCGACAAAGGGGCTGAACAACTAAATGCCCAGGGTGCAGAGGCTTTCCATGGTGATATTAAAGATTTAGAAGTTCTGAAGCAAGGTGCATCTCAATGCGACGCCGTCATTCATCTTGCTTTCGTGCATAACTTTGCCGACATGACGGGCTCTTGCGCCATTGACCGGGCTGCAATCACTGCCCTAGGATCGGCCCTTGTTGAGGCTGGTGGTGATCGCGCTCTTGTCATTACATCTGGTACAATGATGCTTTATCGAAGCAAATTGTGCGACGAAGACACAAGCCCTGACATGACCAACCCGCTAGCTGCGATGCGCGGTGCTTCAGAGGCCGTCTGTCTAGATTTTGCCAGAAAGGGCATCCGCGCAAGTGTTGTACGCCTTCCTCCTACAACACATGGTCCTGGAAGCTCGGGATTTACAGGCATGCTTGTGATGGCTGCAATAGAAAAGGGTGTCTCGGCATATATTGAAGGCCAGAATCGCTGGTGTGCTGGTCATCGGGACGACGCGGCTAGAATCTATCGACTTGCGATCGAAAAGGCGGACCCTGGGTCTGTTTTTCATGCAGTTGGGGAAGAGGGTGTTTTGCTGAAGGATATTGCAACTGCGATTGGTGACCAACTTGAGATTCCCGTTGTTGGTCTCGCTCCGGAGAAGGCAGAGGAGCATTTCGGATGGTTTGCATTCGGCCCCACGGCTGATAACATTGCATCGAGCAAGAAGACACAGGAGAGGCTGGGTTGGAATCCTACAAGCCCGACAGTTGTTGAGGATGTGCCTGAGATTATCGGATTTTTCAAGAGCAGCAACGCTCATAGGTCACTTGAACCTATAAGTTGAGGAGCTAAAGGGTTAGGTTGAATATTAGAGCTAGTCTTTATTTCACTGACAACGGCCCCCTCGGAGATTTTATTAAGAGACAAATATGAAAGTATGGAGAAATATTGTTTCCAACTTGTAATTCATCTCTCGGATATTTTTGTTCTACGCAACTTGTTATAAGGACAAACCATAGGGCAACCTTTAAATAGGCAAAGAGTAACTTTATCTTCATGAATAATAACATAAACGTGATGGATGAGTAGTAACAATTAATTCTTAGGTTCTAATTCTTAGCTTTCAACAAAATTCAAATCCACCTGAAATTCCATCCGTAGCGCCGAGATACTAGGCATAAATTCTGCTCAAACCATAGGTTTACGCGCAACCATCAAATACATAGGCGTGAACAGATGATCCTTCCCGCCAGCAACAAGAGAGTCCGCCGCTTCAGCAAGCGAATCGGCAGTCTTCTGAGACCCCTTCGGCGCAATACCAATCGTTTCAAGAGCCCCGACAAGTCTGTGTGCAAACCCACGCCCAAAATGCGTCATCCGAACGAGCGTAGGCAAGTCCCAAATACTTTGCATGTATCCAAGATTTCCACTAAGAGGCCAGTACCACGGAAACTCATCTTCCCGCTCAGCAAGATCTTCATTGAGCTCAAGCTCAAAGCCAGCCTTTCTCATTGCTTCAAGACCAACAGAGACCTTTTCCATGTTACTGATACCACTTCCAAGTTCAATGCCCAGACGAATAGAGCGATGGCGTAGATCATCGTTATCATAGCTCTCTGTCATAAGCCATTCGTAAACACCGAAGACGCCACCTGGCTTCAAAACTCGGAAGATCTCACTATAGACACCTTCTAAGCTGGGAGCGTGCACCGTCGCTTCGATGGCGTACACTGCATCGAAGCTGTTATCCGGGAAATCCATCTGCATGAAGTCACCCTTTGTGAAGCCGACTCTATCGGCTAGACCTTCGCTCTGTGCATACTTGGTAGCACGTTCAATTTGATAATCGTTGTTGTTGAGGCCAAGAACATTGCAGCCGATGAATTTTGCGATCTCTCTCGCTGGACCGCCGACACCACAGCCTACATCAAGCACATGTTGACCCTCCTGGATACCCATCTTCAATGCGAGGTAATGCTCATGTCTTGCCAGAGCTTGTTTAAATGCCTCGCCTTTGCTGAATCTGCAGAAATGGAAGCTCTGTGCCCATCCGTATTCGTAGAGGTCGGTCGCAAGATTGTAGTAGTGTCTGGTGAGGGTGGCATATTCTTTGCGTCTTGCTTCGCGGGTATCGGAGGTCTCATCGGCGGCGGCTTGGTTGTCCCAGTGCTTGAAGTATTCGTCAACGGCGAGTTTTTGAGCATCTTTATTCTTGTGTATAATGTTCATGAATGAGTTGCTGTTTTGACCGGTTTTCCCATGCAATGCCTGCTTGAACTCGGCATCTCTTTTGCGGTCCTGTGGCTCGAGAGCTACCGTACTCATTTTGAAGGAAAGGCGATTGGTATTCTTTGTAAAGATTTTGGAGTGGATATTGGAGAGGAAGGAGGTGAAAAGTAGGTAAGGACTCTGAGTTGCTAGGGCGAATTGACAAATGAATCAATGGCTAATTGGCCTGTGGGCTGTAATGTAATTTGAAAAATGCCGATGGGAAAATGTTTCATTTATATACTCATACCAAATGAACAGACATACTAGAAAAACCTATCTATCTATTCAATTCTATACTAGCCCACCGCAACAGACATCGACATGATTACCCCGTGCTCGTTCGGAATACGGGAGTATGAGCAACCGGGATCTCGCCTGATCTCAAGTAGAGAGAACCCCATGTGGGCCACATTTGCAAGATCATGATTTGTCCATTAATTCCGGGGAGATTGCAGTGTAATTATTCCCTTAGCTTCAAGGCTGTCATTTGCTTTGACGTATCATCTTATCGGGATTATAATTGACCATCAGGCCACTGGAAGTTGAACCTTCCGGACCGACAACCTATCTAAGCAATCCGATCTAAACCCGATTGGGATTGGATTGAACCTACTGCACCATAAGCAGCGACTCTAATCTTCGTTGATGAGACCACTTGGGTCTTTATCGGAAAGCAGCAATGGTCTCTTCCGGGATTGACTCGGCAGAATCTAAATCTCATCCCGAGATTCTAGATCTCCCTGAAGAAAATCATGACACCCCCGTTAGTCGAGTTAAGATCTCCGACTCCCAACAACTATCTCGGTTTAAAATTTCTTTTTAAAAGAAATCAAAAAACAAATAAATAGATAAACAAATATATGTATGTTTGCGAAATAATGTTTGTCATTGAATATAAGTATCTAGATTGAAGAGGAATAAAAGTCTATAATTACAGGCTAGGTATACATCAATAAAAGCCAACTCTTCACGGTCGGCCATTTCATATCCCATCATTGAATTGCATCAAATAGCAAGAACTTCACAGTACCTTGCTCAGAATCTCTTGGATCTCCTTCTCCACAAACTCAGGGTTGTCCTTGTGAATAAAGTGACCCGACCCAGGGGCCTGGAGCGGACCCTTACTTCGCTCAGATTCCGTGATCTGCGTCAACTCTTCGTTGTAAGTGTACCAATGTGGATTCAAGTACATCCGACTGATCATAGGTGGAGCGCCTGACTCGGCCTCAAATGTGTTAAATTCATGGCCGACCACAGTAACCCAAGGACCATGTCCTCCGGGCCCCTTAAGCTGCGGCCCATCACTATAAGGAAGAAGTCCCTTCAGGTTCTTGCGACTGAGACCCTCCTTCATTCCGTTGTCTGGATGAAGAACGCGTTGAGTGAACTCTCGGGCATCTTGAATATCGGCGACTGTCACACCAACTGGGAGTGTGCTCGCATCAAAGTCAGATGCATCTGGATCAGGGAAAATAGACATGAAGTCTGAGTTTGCAACGACGCTGTCCAAGAATAGAACTCCAGCCACAGTTCCGGGGTATTCTTGTGCATAGAGTCGGGTTATTGCGCCACCGATCGAGTTACAGACAAGCACTAATTGGAGTTCGTTGACATCTGAGATTCCCATTTTCTCCTCGGAGACTTGAGTAACCAATTGGCGCAGGTCGCGGGCAACATCGAGACAAGAATGACCATTCTCTTTATCGACAGCATTTTCATCAACAGGGTCCCGATCGGTAGTTTGGCCCTGGCCGAAACGATCATAGGTCAACATTGCAGGAAGAACCCCAGTGGGGGAATTCTCATGCAACCGAGCAATGACGTCTTCCCATGATGTTTGGGGTAAAGCGATTCCGTTCAAAAAGACCAGAAGTACAGGTTTCGTTGTTCCAGTTGCAGCATGGAACTTATAGCACAACTGTGCCGAGGGCTTTGTAGCCAGAGAAATATAGTCGTAAGCAGTCATTTTTCAATATTTTGAATTGAATTGAGATATTGTATATTGAATGAAAGGAGCAGAAAGCTCGCTGTTTAAATAAAATAAAGATGTCGGTGGCGTTGGTGTTGGGGGCCAACCTATACAGTTCAGAAGAAGTTGGCTGATCGCGATGCACTGCCCGGGCCACTTGCCCAGGCCGTCTGCCGTACGGAATACTGTTCTGTTCCTCATTTACGTGTGGCGACCGAATGCCGAATAGCGTATTCCGTGAGCAAGCATAATCAAGCAGCCACTGATCGCCAAATAGGCAACTTAGTTAAAGCGCTTATTTTCTGTTTGGGGCAGTAAGCGCAAAACGTCATTATTGTGAAGAAAGTTACTTAGGAAGATTCCATCGTAGTCGAAGTGGGTTCGACTGGAGTTGAGTGAGGATGCTCATTACTATGTCAGGAGAGATAAACACAATTGGACAGTGCCAATACTTTCCACTGACGAATTAGGCTATTTGCACAAATTTCTGCGTAAATAAAGTATTGAATAGTCAACTTTGCCGATTGTTGAAGTTGATCTTCCCTAGATTGGATATGGAGCGGGGTCGCTCCAGGGCTACGTCAGAGGATCTGCAGGACGAATTGAGAAACTCATCAACTGGGAAGGAACTACAGTAGGTAATATGGAGTACTCTTGGAAAATGGGGCCGTAAATCGTAGAAATGCGTACTTCGTAGGGCCGAAATGCTTAACTTGCATCCCAACCACGTCGCATGGAATTCAACCGGCTTAACCTTGGAATGATAGGTATGCTGGTTGACATCAGCGGCTTAACATCTTGGGGGTCCATGATGGCCCAAATATACGACTACGAGTGAGAATATTCGCAATCTCAAAGGATTTGGCGAGCTTGGAAGAAGAAAAGAATCCAATCTCGGCTTTGGAGTATCCGGGTATTCGATAGATTTAAGCTCATAAACTTGAACTTTTTTTTTTAAAGATTTTAAATCCTTCACAAATTAAATATAAGGCTATTCTAATTGCTATCGAGCACAATAACTTCCGCTTCTGCTTCTCCAATGCTTTCGACCTGAAGCAAATCACCAGCATTCACCATGGAGATAAACGCACCATCTCCCTCTTCCAAAATAGCATCTTCGCGACCGTCAAGTTTGACCTTTGACTTCCCCTGCTTCGTCATGGGCACATGAATGTATACATTTCGTTTCTTCTTAGCCTCGACAACCTCGCCAGCACCAACATTCCACTTGAACGTTATGGACGGGGTAATGATACCCGCTCCCATCACAAAGTCGGCATGAATGGGAATCGTCTCCGGGATCTTCGGTACAGCGGCATCTTCTTCTGCAGGTGTAGCCTCAGGGCCAGCAGCAAGAGGAGACAAGATGGGAACAAAGCCCTGTCTCTTCGCTTCCTCGCTGAAAGTCATAGTGTGATAATTTGGCTTCAGACCATTTTTCCAGGGAAGCGCCCAGATTTGAAGGAAATGAACAGGTTTGTTGGATTCATTCTGTTCTGAGTGAGCAATACCTAATACATAGTCAGTATGGGTGAGTCGGAATTTCATGCAGCCAATTTCAAGTTGTTGCTTACCAGTTCCGCCCGTGGTAAATTGGACATCTCCACGATGCATTCTATAAAATGATTTCCCTTGTGTACCTTCTGCGCCCTTTTGAACCATACTATCTCGGTGGGTAAGTTCACCGTTTAGAATGTAACTGAAGATTTCGGCATCGCGATGAGGATGAGTCGGGAAACCATTCCGAGCAGCGACGCGATCCTCATTAAGAACGCGCAATGATCCAAAATTCATAAAACGGTGATCCATGTAGCCGGCGAAACTAAATGTGTGGAAAGATTTCAACCAGCCGCCGTGTTCGGCATATCCGCGTTCGCTAGAGCGACGGAGGGCAATCTTTGCGTGGGCGAGTGGATTAGACATGGCGAGGAGGGAATCAGTGATATAATGCAAGGATGCACAAGCTTGAAGTGAATTGTATTTTTTTGAAGAGCGAAATCTGTGGGAAGGTACAGGAATTGGGGCTTATATAGAGTTCCCGGGTTGCTATTGAAGTCTCGAGATGGGCGTAGAAAATGTCGTATTCGATTATGGAAGCATTATCGAGCATCAGTAAGTGGTGGCCACCTAATGGGGTTTAGTGGACCCGCTTATGCTGATGTGTTGCTGACTTTTGCGAGCTCTGATTGGTTTCGGGATGTGCCATGCTGAAGAATGTACATGTAAGCTAGATGAAGGGATTGATAAAACTTGGAACTAGATCTGGATATTGATAAAGAGCCTCCTGGATTAGGAATGTAAGGTTTGGACCCTGGAAGTAGTTCTGGAGGTCGATATTAGTCTAAGCCTTAGTAACTATGTGCAATCAATGGTCCCAGCTCAACCTTAGAAATAGCCCTTACCAAATCATTTCCAAGGATGGGTAAAATCTAGTTCATCATAACAACATCCAAATTACTTTAATTTTAAAGTGGTATTTTCTGAAACTCTACTCCTTGATCGATTGGTAGGGTTGATGTGAGCGGGGAGCTTCCTGGCAATAGTATTGGAATGATGAAGAGAATGCTCGGGTATTAAGATCAATGTTCGCTTAGCTTGTCCGAAATTCCAAGGCTCAACGTTACAATCCATCTTAATGGAAAAACTAGCAGTTGCTGTACGGTTTAGGACAAATAAAGATCCGTCCTTACAAAGTACGAAGATACTAACAGTCGATAGGTCACTTGCAGCAGGGGTCTAGGCACTAACGGTCCAAAGCTGCGGAAGACTCCCACATTCAAAGAAATCATTATTAAAATTAATATTTCGGGGATTAGCGATCATCAATTTCTCCGCTTCTGAACCTACCGAGAGCACGAGCTACTGTAGATAGATTCCTCCCTTCAGCCTTGGAATCAGCACGGACGAGGATTGAAATTAAGATCCCACTATATTTTCTCTGATCGCCGATATGAATCTGTGTGGACATAAGACGGGACAGAAATAAAAAAGTACGTAGTCGATACATCTTCTTAGACCTATAGCAGGGTTCAACCCGCCCGTTTGGCTCCGTCATGTCCGCACTGGAGGGGCTTGCTTGGGGCCAACCCAGAGTGTCGGGTTTCCAAGGATCCACTGGTCGGTCACAACCTATTGGCCGCAACTACCAGCCAAGAATCTGCACTATTCGACTGGACACAACCCTCGTACACCCGGAAGCTATGGTGATTTTCTTTCCGACACTTTCAACAACCCCCGACCGTGAAAGAAAAAAGCGTTTCCCGGTTCCTGCAGATACTGTATGCGCAAGTTGGGGTTCAATAATTCCGGTTCACGTCTCGAAGTATCGGCAACTACGGAAACAACGAAGAAAAACCGAGATAACCCGCGCTCGTGTGTTGGCCAGAGGGAGGTTGAAAGGGTGCGGGGACCTTTCCGTTGAGAGCGAAATCAATCACCCCTGGCTGCTACTCCACTCTTGACTGGCGGACGGTACAACAATGAAATATTAGTAGTTATTGCACCCTGTTGCGCTCGCAAATATCCAACATTGTGCGTCTGCTAGCTTTGTCAAAAATCGCCCCAGTCCATTCCACACACACGCTCTTTTTTTCTCTTTCCGTCTATTCTCCAGCATGGCCGACGACGTGCCGATTGCAGTGGTACCTACCACCTCAAATCCAATTCTTCCCTAGTCCCAACTGACATTAGCCCCGTAGGATGCGGATTACTACGAAACCGATAGTGCTTACAGCCCAGACGATCGTGATTGGCAAACGTATGTTGCGAGTCATGGACCTCGGTCCGGATTTGATACGGTCACGTGATCTAACATCACTCACAGGGGAGACACAACATCGATCGGATCGTCGATCTATCAAGGCCTTATTTTGAATGGTCGGAGGTGAGAATTTCTTTGTCGCCAGAAGCAGAAAATTATTACATTCTAATTTGATACCTATTAGATACCAATCGCTCCGAGAAAAGGAGTATATTGTTCCATCCGATGAACTACAATTCGAAACATACGAAGCAGGGTATGGTTTACCACTTTTCTCCATCCAAACGATAGCAATCGATCGCTGACAGCTGTAGGCATATCGTTGACTTAATTTTGAACTATCATAAAGAAAATGCACTCTTTCAATCACCCGTAGGGAAGAATCGAGATGCTTCCCTGCAAATCTTGGATATTGGAACTGGGAGAGGGACATGGGCTATGTGAGTAGCCTGAAACTCCCCAGAAAACTTGTGATCAACTACTTACGCTCCTCTCTAGAGACGTGGCAGATATGCTCCCTAATAGTAAGTCCAACATAACTCACGTGCCGAACAGCACACCTAACAAGGTATTTAGGTCACGTTCGCGGAGTTGATCTTTACCCTCCACCCGTTGACTGGACACCCCCGAACTGTATTTTTGAAGTCGACGATATTCTTCAAGAGTGGATGTGGCGGGAATCATTCGATTTAATCCATATGGCTAATATGATTGGATCCTTCGATTCCGGTGAATGGGAGCGCGTTTATCAACAGTGCTATGAGTATGCCTGTCCACTCCAGATCACATACCTTTTTTACATAATTCAAGGCTAACTAGATTCCTCAAGCAATTTACAACCCGGTGGATGGTTCGAGCAATTTGAAATCGGACCGTTCGTAGAGAGTGACGACGGCACCTTGCCTCCAGATAGCGCCCTTGCGTCGTGGGGCCCTATGCTAAAAGCATGCGGTGAGCGAGCCGGTCGCTCTTGTTCAATCATTTCCACGATGTCATCGAATATACGACGAACGGGATTTGTCGATGTGCATGAGAGAGTATACAAATGGCCCATCGGGCCATGGCCTAAAGATGAACGGATTAAGGAGGCGGGAGTCATGAATTTCCAGCATTGGATGAGCGGTATGGAAGGGTGGTGCATGTGGTTACTCACAAAATACGGTAGCCCCGAGCCATGGACGACAGAAGAAGTTTATGTCTTCTGCGCGAGGATACGCAACGAGCTTCGACAAGGGAGATATCACTGTTACCACAAGGCGTAAGTGTGGATAGATCGCTCTGATTATTGTCATCTCTGTTGCCAAGCTAACGATTCGATCTTGCAGACGGAGGGTCTGGGCGAGAAAACCGTTCCCCGGAGAAATCATTGGAAATCCAGCCAATTCACGGTCACCAACAGCCATGTCTACCGATTTCATGGACCTGAGAGCTCAATCGAACGTTAGCAGGTCGCGATCTAAGACTGCTGGTAGCTCGCAATGGCATGGCAACAAATCTATTTCCAGATCACCAATGGCGAGATACCGTGAAAGCCTGCGACCTTCTAGCAAGCAACCGAATTCCAGCCCGCCAAGATCACACCCTACTGAAAGCCCAGCACCGCGGGGTCAGGACGCACCACGATACTCGGAACCACTTTCAGATCAACAAACACCCCAACGTCTAGTACCACCAGAGAACCAGGGAGGAGTACGCCGATCGGAACCTTTGAGAGATCAAGAACCGCGGCTTTCAGAACCACTATATCATCAGAATCTACCCCGGGATGAGGAGTTCCCACGACCCCACGCGCCCCTCCAGCCCCAAGAAAAAGACTCACTCCAAGGAGTATCTTCGGATCAACAACTACGACAGAATCAAGAATCATCGAAGTCCCAGGGACCACCACAGGACCCCAAGCCGCCGTTTTCAAATCCATAAGACGAGAATAACTGACTTTTGGCATGCATGGCATCGAAAAATGGGAGTTTTTTGTATTTGGTGAGGTATTGTCGACATTACTTGTTTAACTATGCATATATTATACCACTGGGGTCGAGAACCTAGGCGTCTGTGATTTAGTTGCAAGTTCAATCATGACTACCATTAATAAACTTGAAAAAAAAAGGATGAAACAAGAACCTTCAACGAACCATGGGCAGCAGCAGAGCCCTACCTATCGTATCTTTACAAGGCAGAAATATTTTAGGATTTGATTAAATCCCCGAGGGCCGTCTTAAGTACTGTAGAGTCATATTTATGTAGATCTCGACATCGGGGTCACAATGTAGTCCGTCGCGTCCATGATGTCATGTCAAATGTACTCCACAATTAGAGCTCAAAGATACAATCTCGGCAAAAGTCAGTCAGATAGCCAATGCGTTATTATAGTAGAGTCTAAATCTTAATTACCCATCCTCAAGCTGAGGGTAAAATGCCGCTATTTACCGCGTCCCGTTTATAACCGCTCTGAAGGATCAACCATTCTATCGTCATCACGAAGCTCCAACATGCACCGATTAACTTCCAACATCTATACTAAAACTGTATATCCCCATAAAATTATGATCAGACTTTGCGGGGGCCAAATCCGGGGGTTCCGAAGAGTAGAGAATTTTATTGGTAAGAAAAATGTCAATTCTAAACGTAAAGAGCTGGAATCGCTGATTAGGAGATTGAAGAGTGGTGGTTTAAGTGGACCAATATACTCTTAGTCTCGAATCTGGTGAAAGCAAGTAGTAAGAGAAACACCGAATAGGAAGGTGGAAAGCGAGGCATTTCGGGTGGTATTGCCTGGTCTTTCAAAGTTGCTACCTAGTATGGATGCTTAATTTGAAACTCAATAGTATATTCTGATACATCTCTTGATTACTCTCATGCGCACTTTTACTCTTATTCTCTGACTCACGCGACCTTTTTTCCCTATACTACATAATCTCAACTCTTGCAATTGGAAAAGCTTGACAGGTATCGACGAGGGTTCGCCCCATGTTGAACCCTGTTCACACCCTACGGCTCCCCCGGTACGCTCTGACTCGCTATCAAGTCCCCACCAGCTCCACGCCACACCCTCCGCCACCAATAAGCTAAGACTCGCTGAGATGAACCCGTCAAGGCTTAACTTCACTTGGCTTCGAGAATAATCTCATTTCGGGGTCTTCCGAATTTTTTACCACGAATAGACGAATAGGCAATGGCCCATCGAATATGACGGGTTGCCGCCATTCCTAATTGGAGCTGCTGCCGGATACCCGGCAGCCTTGGGACGCCTGAGACGCCTCTTATCGCCATACTGGTCGAGATTTTCATAAGCTTCTGGATAGCTCATTGGCCCTTGTGATGTTGCATACGGCATGCGCTCGCCATCCGATAACCCCGGCCGACGCCTTTCCAATTTCCCCACCTCGGCCTTTATGCAATAAGACAATGGCTTACTCGTGTATTACTTTCCCACGGGTGGCTCTTTTGCCTTTGACTCACTTTCCTTCTTCTCCCACCTCCATTTTCCTCCTTTCCAACGGTGGAAATGTCTCAACTTGCGAATTTAGCTCTGGAGGGTGATCCTCGTCTTCACGAGAAGGAGCGTCAAGCTATTGAAAATTTGTCTGTGGAAAGTCCTGGTGGTCACGTTCGTCCACAGCATCGCAAGTTGCATGATACTACTGTCACCTTCGAGGAGTATCATCATTATGCGAAACTTACGCGTGCCGAGGAAGATCAGCTCTTAACACCGGAGACGGGCATTCTCTCCATAATCTTCCCGTCGAAGAGTGATGGGGGCGTTCAAAAAGTTACGGATAATGTTACTAAAGATGCTACCGCCTTGAATACTAGCGACCCAGCAACTCGCAGGACTATAACTGACGAAGAATGGATTAATGCATCTCGGGCGCTTCGAACTGCCACCCGTGGCGCAATTTTCTACCTGATCACAACCGATATTCTGGGTCCATTTGGCCTGCCATACGCGTTCGCGACAATGGGCTGGGGGTAAGCTTTCGATAGTATCATCATTCATAAGTATGCTTTTTAACTAAAAATCGATAGCCCCGGTGTCGCTCTTTATACTGTATTTGCTGGCCTTGCTGCGTACTCCGGATATCTTCTTTGGGACACTTTCCTCGGCCTGGACTCATACCAATTCCCCCTACGAAGCTTCGGTGATATGGGCTTCCGACTCTACGGCCCTTACATGCGACACCTGTTCAACTTCCTCCAAAGTGTTCAGCTTCTACTGAACGTCGGTCTGATTGTTATTTCGAACGGAGAGGCTTTGTCTCAAGCAGCCAAGTTCAAACTTTGCTATATCATCTGCTGTTTAATCTGGGCCCTTGTTGGCTTCATCCTCGGCCAGATTCGTACTCTGCAGAAGTTTGGATGGTTTGCCAATGCTGCCGTATGGTTGAACCTGCTATGTATCTTTGTTACGATGGGTGGTGCTGCTCACTCGCCTCCAAACACCAAGGCCTATACCCAAACCGCTGGGTACACTATTGGCGACGGCTCCTCAGTCAAGCCAGTCAATGGTGTTTTCCCTCCAGTCATGACGACCGGTGGTCTGCCTGATCCCGCTGACTTCAGTGCCTCTGTCAGTGGTGCTATGCAAGCTGTTTTCGCCTACGGTGGTGCGATGGTTTTTCCCGAGTTCATGGCTGAAATGAAGCGCCCCAAGGACTTCCTGTCTGGAATGTGGGCCGCACAAACATTCATCTACTTCTGCTACATGCTCTACGGACTTTTCATGTACGGTTACCAGGGCCAGTACTCCATCAACCCTACCTACCTTGGTATCAGCAAATACAGTATCCAGACTGCTGGAAATGTGTTCGCCATGTTGTCCGGTGTCATCGCTGCCGGTCTATACGGTAACATCGGTGTCAAGGTTGTCTACAACAATATCTTTGTCGAATTCTTCCGCTGCCCTCCACTTACCACCAAAGCTGGAAAGTTCATGTGGGTCGGCTTAATTCCAGTTTACTGGGCTATTGCCTTTGTTCTGGCCGCTGGTATTCCTAGCTTCTCCGGTCTGACCTCTGTCGTCGCCGCCTTCTGTATTCTTCAGTTTACTTACACCTTCCCTCCGATGCTGGCAACTCTCTTTTGGATGCACAAGTATGCCTTGGCTGATGGTGAGGGCTTCGATCCCGCCACTGGTGCGACTGTGCGTCATGATCAAGGTATTAAGCGATTGGCCCGTGGATTCCGAAACATGGGCACAAAGCGTATCATTTTCGGTTCTTTCAACTTCCTTTACTTTTTAGGTGCATTGGCTCTTGCTGGTCTTGGTGCTTACTCTGCCATTACCGGCTTGATGAGTGCGTATAGCGAGAGTGTGACTACTTCATTCACTTGTACTAGTCCCTTGGATAGTTAAGGGGGCACTTCAAAATCTTGACTGTGTTAATGTTGAAAAATCTTGTTCATCATTTATTACAGTACATTTGAAGGCATGATTGTATATTGTTGGAAGTCTGGGAACCTTGTGAATCTACTCAAAGCTAGTATATAATTTCGTCAAGATCATTTCGGCCCTCATAATTCAATCCCGCAGCACGTTTCAAATTTCTTTCTCCCTTTTCCAATCTCCTCTTGAGTCTAGTCTCAATTCGTATATTTCGAAAATGCTCAACCCCCTTGCCGATTCCGTACTCACGCATGTATATGGTGTAACTGACATAGATCATTCCGTCCAGGCGGGTCTTACTCGTACAATACTAAGTTTAGATCCGCCAGGGTGTAATTTGCCACCAATCTCATTACTGTATTGCGCGGGACCGGCAGATCGACAAGGTTGCGGGTTGTGTCGCCTGGACGGACCGAAATACTTACTCTACATGGAGCTAGGCTGTGTCAAAGCGCTCACGTAGCCCCCAAACAGCATCAGCTACAGGGCTGAGTACTGCAAGAGAGCGGAAGTGCGTACTTCCCATCATTCACGTACTACTAACTAGAAGCAAAAGCTATCACTACGTAAATTAAGCTTATAATTATATTTTGTTATAAAATATCAATATTAATTTCTGAATACAGAATGCGAGTACGGATACTCAACCTTGTTCACACATCTTACTATAAAAGATACATATAAACTTTAGTATCACATATCACCAGGTAGTAGTAAATCGCAGATCTAATCAAAATCCAACTAAACTAGTATTGCACCACCAATCCAGGGGTATCTAATCCAGGACACTCTTCACTCTTAATCTCAGTAATAGTATCATATGGATACGGAATTCTCAAAGAAAGATCAAACCTACACATATAAGTTAGTTCTTCGTACCATTAGAGATCAACTTTCCAAGATGCACTCACCGGTCCTCAGGGTACTCAATCGGATCCACAACACCCAGCATTTGCTGAATCTCAACCATATTCTTATGTCGCCATGCAACGAGAATATTACCGGTTCCATTGTAAGTACGAATGGCATCAGCGACGCATTCTGCTTCTTTGCGACCGCAGTGCAAGTCTACTTGGAGACCTAGATCGCGCGCAAGAGGCTTAACGGTCTTGAATGATCTTCCGTGTTCGCCATCTGAAAATGTTAATTTAGTAAACGAATATTGTAAAGGCGCTTACGGAGCGTATTGGAGATACGAGAGTATTGAATTCAAATGTTGAATTTGTTGATTGAATGGATCCATCAGGTCTACTTACTGTCTTTCATTGTCGGCGCAAGAATAAGCCCCACGTCATATGCGGAGTTTGCATTGAAGATCCAGCGCAGGCACTGAGCGCGCTTGAGTCCGTCAAATGTTAGCTCGTGATTTTCTGGATTTGATGGTTTTTCTCCGTGTCGGATTAGGTAGAGGGTTGGATGGTGATCATTGGTAGCTGGAGTTGGAGTTGGAGTTGCGGTCGCGAGTGTGAAAATTTGAAGGTAGATGGATAGTTGGTATATTGATTTGAGAAGCATTTTGAAATGATTTTAGGTATTTTGAGCTTAGGCTGGACCGGGTCGTGATTTAGAGGTCTATGCCTACGATGACGAGAACTGGAATGGAAATTTATATGGAGAGAAAGACACAGGCTGAGAGAGAGCGCGAGAAAAAAAACAACATCTTGTCGATCATATTTCAGTTTTAGGTAATTACAGTAAGGGTTGGAGAATAAATAACGAATGGATCGTTCCGAGGTCGCCAGATGTGAGGGCCAAGAAAAAAACAATGAGATAGAGTGGATCAACAGATAATTATTGAGCAATGACGACGCAGTGTACGGAGAGGATGAGACGGGAAAAGTGGAAGCTGGATTGTTTTTGTGCTAGCGATCTTGGGTTTTCAGGACTAGTGGGAGTGATTGGCCGTACGGAGAGAAGGTGTCCACTTAGCATGATCGGGCCATTCGGTTGATGTTTTGGTTTTGGATTGAGGCTGGGTGTGATGGAGTACAGTCCATCACACACCCAAAATCGGGCCTTTCGAGAGTTTGTATGCAGATAAAGTACATAAACGGCCCAGGTGGACTCATAGTACATGTATCAAGGATCTTCGTGGGCGAAGGTGGGGAAGCTAGACTCGCCCTGGACTGCCGCTTATGTTTCTCCCCAACATTTTCCCGGTGTTCGTACGTACCCGCCGGGACTTTCTTTCTTTGACTCTTGTATGTATTATTCAAGTTACGTTACCTGTGAATCCGCGTCTTGGATCTGAAAGAGGGTATGTTTAGCCTAGTTCCTTATCATCATTTCAACCCGTTGGTCCTTCTCTGCGTGGTGCAAAAGGCCTCATTCGAGTGCGAGTGTTAGAGAACTTGAACCAGCATGGCTGAGGCTGTCAGAATATGTATGTGCCGTTGCCCTCTCGCATACTTATCGGATACCTAGAGACCTAGCAGGTACCTAGGTAGACAATGTATTGTTTGTGATACTTATCTGTGCTTGGTATAGCCGCGCGAAGTAATCATGGCTGTTGGACATGTCGTCTCCGCAAAAAGAAATGCGATGAGAATATCCCTGTGTGTTCTGCGTGTGTTTCTCTCGAATTGGAGTGTCATGGGTACGGCCCGAGGCCTGAATGGATGGATAACGGCGTACTTCAAAGAGACCAGGCTTTCAAATTCAAACGCCTTGTTGGCCAGGCCAAGTCAAAAAGAGGAAAGCGACAGCAACTCCTCCCCAATCAGTCACGTGCATTGGTTTCAACGATTGACATGAGACCTTCAAGTTCATCCACCAAAAATACATCCTCGCCACCGGCTGGTTCGCAAAGTTTATTCGGTGAGAACCTCGGGGCTTTCCCTCAAGACCAGTTAGATTATCAAGAAAGTGGAGTAGGCTTGATTAACTCCCTTGACACACTATGGTCCTTTTGGCCCCCAAACGACCTTTCTATCATGGATGATACTTCGTTGGACTTAGAAGGCTACATCTCTCCTTATAATAATTGTCAGAATCAACACTCGTCACAACAGTTAGTGTCACCCATATCTTTCGAGAGTATCGTTCCAGGAAAGGATATTCAATCTCCAATCGCTCAGAGTATCCGCTCTACGTCGAACGAATTACAACTTGAAGATAGCGCGTCTCGAGACCATCAATATCATTTCCAGAAAACAGCTCCAGGTACTAATTACGACCCCGTGGGATTATCTTCTCAGATTTCAAACCCGAGTGGAGATACAGAGGATGCATTGTTTATGTACTACTTGGACGAAGTCTTTTACATCCAGTATCCCTTTTTTCATTGCCAAAGGAAACAAGGAAGAGGTTGGCTTTTTGCGATCCTCCGAAGAGTCAAATCAGTATATCATGCAGCTTTAGCTCTGAGTGAACGCCAACGTCTTTCAAGCTCGCCATCGCGAAATAGTGACATTGCTAGTAGCCTCATCCAACTACGCAGCCCAAACAGTCACTACGATATAGCCATTCGAAAGGTGCAGGCGATGATAAACTATTCTAACACGTCGAAGGGGCGTGACCTTTTGCTCGATAGCATAGAGATTCTCATGTCTATACTACAGCTTTTATTCTTCGAGGTAGGTAAGCAATGATTCAACCAGTCAAAAGTACGATACTAATATCTTGAGCAATGAAGACTTTCAATGGCGGAAGAGAGAAATGGCAGACACATCTGCGGACGGCATCTGGCTCCCTTTCTACACTTCTACAGGCCCGGCTTCCGCCTTTGACGACGCCAGAAGACTCCATGGTTCCACACAGTGAAATTGAGATGACCACTCTATGTCCCGAAATCGAATGCGCATTTAAGTTCGTGATCGGATCTTTCATCGCATTTGACATCATATCTTCCGTTTCCACTCGATCAAGTCTAATCCTTAACATAAATCACTTACAAGTACTTGAGACATTTGAAATCTCCCTGGAAAGCCACACTGGATGCCGAGACTCAGTAATGGCTCTTATTTTGGAAATATCCCTGTTGGAAAAATGGAAGAAAGAAGCTCAAAGCGCCAACAAGCTGAGTTTTGTTGATCTGGTAAAACGCGGTGACGGGATACAGGGCCGTCTTCGACAGGAGCTAGCAGCCATTGAGATACAAACACATTCATGGGGAGTCGGATTAGGAGGTTCATCGCTAGCCACTTCATCAGCCATTGCTACTCCTAACACTCCAACACCTACGCATCCGGAAATCAGCAAAGTGTTTATACTGTCAGCTATAACGTACCTCCATGTTGTCGTTTCAGGGCCTTATCCAGAAGTGCCCGAAATTGCAGAAAGCATCTCGGAAACGGTACATGCTTTCAATAGTTTGAAGGATCCGCAATTATTGCGAAGTTTGGTGTGGCCGTTCTGTATTTCGGGATGCTTGGCGCTGGAGACACATTATGGTTTCTTCCGGGGTCTTGTTTCTAGAGCAGGTATCACCCAACATGCTACTGGGGTATGCTTCGAAGCCTTGCAAATTATGGAAGAATGCTGGAAGACTAGGGTTACTTCTCCCGAGGGTTGTGACTGGGCTACAGCGATGCAGCAACGTGGTTGCTATGTTTTTCTGGGATAAAGAAAAGAACGAAAAATGAGGTTGGGAAACACTCAACTCGCAAACGCACGTATTGACCGCTTTGCAAAGAACGTTCTCAATATTATTCATATAGGGCAATGTTTCAACTTTTTAGAATTTGGTGAAAGCTGTAGGAAGCCCCATTCATAGATTGTCATCAAATCGTAGCAAAATCGGACCACACCATTGTCACCTCACAGTCCTTACTGAAAATAAACACACTATCACCTTAGTGGGCTTCCTGGCTTTGGAATGAGGCAATGGCACTATACATCGACCGGCATTACGCATGCTAGAAACAGTCGGCTGTTAGATATATATATATCCGGCTTAAATATCTTTAACTAACTATTGTAATACTGGAGGATCTTTGTATCTGTAGCTATATTAGTGTATAGTATTATATTACTAGACTATAGTTTCCGAATAGTCCAGAAGTAGTAGCTATCTCCTAGAGAGAGAGACTATCTATTTTTAGCTAAAATCTACTATATCTACTTTAATTTAATTACTAGCTCTACTAGAGAATACTTTTATATTATCTTATAGTATTAATCAGGTATCTTAACTATAATTTCCTAGTTAGATTATAATACTTATAGACTATAATATACCGGGGGGGGGGAGCCAAGCTATTACTAGTAGGAAGAGAAGCTAGTAGCCTAGTATAGCAGGCGCTATATTAGTAACTTGATAGGCTAGAATAAGCTATAGAAGTATATAGTTAGTTCTTCCGCTCACCCCACTAGATAGGACTATCCAAGTTCCCTTATCTAGAGCAAAATAGATCAAATCAATTAGTTTGTGATAAAATTCAAAGATATCAAGAATATTCCTAGTTTCTACGCTATAAGGTGAAATGATTGGACTCTATAATAGATGCTAAACTAGCGTAATCTTCCGCTTCTCACAAACCCAAAAAGCCTTTTCGGCATCATCCCCAAATAGCTTTCCGGCGCCAACACGCTCGTACTTCTCCCCTCCAACCACACTCTTGACAAAGAGAACTGTATATACTTTGCTCCTTTTCAATATATGTCCCTGAGCATATGGACTCACAGGATTCGTTCCGCAAGATATGGCTAGGGCGTAGATGACTGGGCCATGGATGAAGGCTGAATCTTCCTGGAAATCTATATGCTCTAGCGATGCCCACCCAGCCACTAGGTCACACTTCTCAGGCAAGCATACTTTTCGCCGATTGCCTACTCGTGGGGCCTCGTTCTCTAAGCCACCAGCTTTCTCGGAGTTTGATAGACGACAAATGGCGCTCCTTTCATCCTGCGATTCAAAGCGGCTTCGCATCAAGACCGGCACTAGCCGCCCAGTGCCTTCGAGACTAACCGGGGAGGCAAAGAAGGCACCCTGCCTGGATTGCATCTCGGTAAGCCCTGCACCGTCTACACCATCGATCAAGATGGAGACGTCTTCCAGCATTACTTGAACTTTCCATAGAAAGTGCTTTGGCGTTGGCTTCATCCCTTGCCATGAAACGGGCACCATCGTAGAAGCCCATGACCACGAAGGATACTGTGAAAAGCGTTGACGATTTGCAATCCTAAAATTAGCGTTTTGTTGCCAAACAAGACCCGATTGGATGTCGAAAGACCACAAACCACACGTCCACCAGACCTTTTTGTCCCACTTATCAGGATCCAAATTCGTGTTGGATGAACTCCCAATTCCCAAGTTTCTGCTGATCTCTAGCGATAAATACTGATTCATGATGCCAGAAACGGCCACTAAGCGATCTTTCTTCGGCTTGGTGAGATGTAAGCCTGAGTATGGCGACAAATACTTGTCATACCATCGGTCAATGCCGTGCGACATCCCCGAGGGACCCTCCCCCCATCCTCGCTCGTTTCTGTCGTTGATCGGCGCACTTCTCCGACATTCAAAAAACATGCCGTGATGGGTAAAGAAGACAGTGCGGCAGCTAAGATGACGCTCCTGGAAGACCCAAGCCCGGGCCAGCAGGTCGCTTGCAATAACGGACGAATCGAATTGGGATTCCCCGGTCATGTAGTTGTAATATACAAAAAAGTGACCGTCGAGCTGTCCTTCTCGATTTCGATAGGGGAGCCTAGCAAATTGAGCGCTAGAAATCGGAAACGAACTTATCGGAAAGAGACCGTGTTCGCGAGTGGCAGAGGTTGCCATAACAGTGATCAGCGAATTTTCGTAATATTCGGCCATCTTTACTGCTTCATTATCCCAGTCGAGTCCTGCATCGCCTTCTTGAATGATGCATAACGAGTCAATCCAAACGTACTTAACATCCAGTCTCTTAGCCACTTCAAGGACATCCATGAAGAGTTTGGGCAATTTGCAGTCCCATACACCCTCTTTTCTTGCCTTGCAGTTTGAAACCATGGTCTTAGATGCCTCTGTCTCCTGATTCCAGCGATGACTTAGAGTCATATATGAGCCGACCAGTCCCTTTGTGCATCTGAGGAACACCCTTTCTCTGTGCAACTCGATACACCTTGTGGGAAGGGTTGCGTTTCCCGAAATAGGCAAAGGTAGCCCCGCCAGTGATTTACAGCAAGTTTCGTGCGTCAAACAGTTATTGATCCGTTGTCTTAGCATAGAAGTATAATATCCTAAGGACTGATAGTCTGAATAATATCGGCCCATTATATCTTTACTTCTTGCTGCCTGGCTGTCTAAGCCCCATATTGTTAGCAGCGAAGTAGAGATTTCACGAACAAGTGAAGAAGACAAGCCAAGCATACCGGGATCAGCAACCATATGTAGGTAAGGCTTAGGATGACGGTCAAAGTCGCGCATGAAAGCCCGCCCATTGCCCAGTTGCGCTTTCATACCTATCACTCGAAGTGATTCAGTACTAGGCACGCTAGTACCATCAAGTGTACTTATATCCTCTGTGTCTAGGCTTAGATGGATATAGTCTGAACCTTTGCCTTTGGGCTTCCACCAACTGCTACGAGGCTCAGCATGTCCACTGAAGCAACCATACAGTAACGAGCAGAAACGACAGCCGGTGGTTGCACCTTCGGTGACTTTTTCGAACAAGTATCCCCGGTATCCCTCAGGGTCTCTTTGGAAACTGTAGAGATCGAATTTGTTGCATGTCTCACAGAGATCAGTAGCCATTTTGGTGGTTCCCAGTTGCTCGTTGTCCTAGAAAGATTGTGTACTAGAGAAATAAGATCACACTATTTTGATTCGTCTCTCGTTCTTCCAATAACTACTCTCACTTTAGTAACATGCTGCTCAACAAACTTCCACGTTACACGGTACACGGTACACGGTACACGTGGGGGCAGGATCGGGACTTTTACATCGTATGTGATCGTGCTTGGCATGGCTCGAGAGCATGCTATTCAGCTGAATCTTATTGGCCATACACTCATAGGTAGGTGCGCCTTGCCTTCTTAAGGGGCAGCACGTGAGGTAGATTGGGGGCTGATAATCGTTGAAGGAACAACAAGTCTGACCAAGAGACAATCGAACAATTTATTTGGCACATCCGGATTGCAGTAGATCACAAAATGCCGATTTCCGATTTCCGGCATGATTGGATAGACTTTATCGACCGGAACACCAAGCCCAAGATGGATGCCATGTATACATGGGTGACAATCCTCGGCGGTACGAAATGCGGTCTGGCACTAGTAATTATCCGCCAGATTAGCGGCCGCGTCGAACGATGGTGGCTCGTCTTTCCTGTTCTTGCGATAGTCGCATCGATTATAGAGTTTTTATTTCATTTTTTCCCCGATGGCCGAAGGGAGATCAAACCCTGGTTATTCTGGTCGATGCGTTTGATCGACTGTTCTTCGCTGGGCGGTGCTGTCGCTTTACTAATCCTGGAACACTACGTTGGCCATGGCACGTATATGAGCCTGATTGCGTCCTTTCTAGCTCTTACTGCGCTGGAATTTACTGTACATACTTTTTGGGCGATGTGGTTTGAGCGCGCTTCTTGGTTGCGAGCTTATGCCCCCATATGCATGGCCAGCGCCCCACTTTCCTCGCATGGGCAGCTTCTCTCAGCCAGCACCGGTCCGCTTGCTCAACTTTATGGGCTTACTCAAGGCCCACAGCAATCTACAAGAGTAATGCCCACCCAAACCGATAGCGGAGAGGGAATTGGGCTACCTGCAGATGATGTAAGTACCGAAGTCTTCTTGGATTTCCCCGTCCCTGTCGCTCGCGATACCTAAGATTCTGAAGAAGCCCATGCTGACAAGCCGATATTTTCCTAGGCTACAGAGCTTCTACCGCCAGCTTTTCTCCCAGCTGGGGCTAAACTCTGGCTACCCCGACCAATTCAACCAGATTACGACGGATACTCCTCATTGAACTGGCTGCTCATTATCCTCGTCCTGTTTACCATAACCCATGCAATATATCAAGTCGTTCAGTTCGTCAGGATAAGACACAGAGATCAAGTGTGCGATTGGTATATTCTCCAGTCCCGCGATCTCTCTATGAGCCCATATTAACATAATGTTAGGCGATGTGTCTTTAACATGACATATATTTGGCTATACATTCCCTGGGCTGTTATTTTCTCATGCGTTATTAAATACCAACTTGATTTTCTGAGACCTATCACTGTGGGTATTAATATTTCACGGTTCCTGGCGGGATACATTACTGCCGCTTTCACGTTGTGGGTGCTAGGCTTATATACGACGTCAACACAGCCAAACGGGTACATTAGTTCGAAACCTAAACGAGTGTTTATATGGTGCATTGCAAACTCCCTTATGTTCTTGCTTAAAGGGTTCTTCTTATTCATTTGGACGAATTGGTTATATAGTGCGAAGGGCTGCTGAGACCCCTAGTGTTATTATAGTAGATGATCGAGTCTAATAGCAAGTCCTTTCTGTTACGGCACGTCTACCACCTACGCATGAGGATATGAGGATATACAAAGACATGCCGTTATACTACGGACCTACGGAGTACACACGCAGACCGGGCGTAGTATGCGCGTAGGACTAGTACGGAGATTGACCAATAGGTAGATTGAAGCATATATGAGATGTGTCTTCTTCATACAGCATGATATCAGAAAGGTACATACTAGTAGTAAAGGATTTGAGTGCGCTGATTCGGCAGTTGATGCCTTGAATTATAAGAACCCGGAAAGAACCGTGTTGAATAAAAAGCGACGAACGCTGTGCTGTATATGGCATTTGATATCAAGCTACTGTGCTCTGGGATAAAATCTTAGCTCTAGTTTCCGAGTCAGCACCATGTAAAATCTTATGAATAAGTTTCATCGCTTGGTAAAGTCGTCTCTCCTGTAAACGAGGAGCTAAAACTTGAACTGATAGCTTCGTGTTCAAGTATACATTCCTATCATTGGGGTTTGGGTGCCCTATTTCTGATGGATTAGCATAACCATGCAAGACAGAATTTCCCACTGCTTCTACACTGCAAGGGAACGGGCAACAAGAGCATTGAAACATGTGATAGTGGTATGAAAGACAAAATACCAGAGGGATGAAGGTAGTGAGCTCACATAAATCTCTGTTTTTCGAATCCCAACCTCCCAGGGCTTCCGAATCGGGTAGTTTGTCGTTTAAATCATCATTTGAGACGTCTCTGACTGGTAGTGTTCCAGCCGGATAATCCAACACAACAAATGCGCTTGTGTAACCAACACCATTCCACTTGTCAATTTCTGGCACTGGATGAGGAGCGACTGGACAGATCAACGCATCGATCTTTCTCCCATTCTTATCCCTCCAAAGTTCCAGCATTTCCTTCTCCAACGCCGACTTTTTGACATGTAATCCGCTAAGCTGCATCAAATCTGCAGGCCCCTTTCTTCTCAATCTCGCGTCAAGCCAGGGAATCAAAGGCTCCCCTGTTCTCTCAAGTATATCAAATGTATAGTTGTTCCCTCCGATACCGAAAAATTTATTGGCTAGTGAGTGACATTTTTTGAATGCGGGAGCATTGATCTCAACAACTTCGAAACCGGCTTTGCGGATAGCTTCTACCGTTTCATCAAGGACCCTGGAAACTGGTGGTAGTGGCGTGGTAATACCATCGGCTCTCATAACTCCGAACAGCGGTTTTCTGCCTATTTCCCCTTGCCCTTCCCACGGCCCGAAAGCGACATTCGGATCTTTCTCCCACGGATTAGCATCCGCAATAGCTTTCAGAACTAGCTCACAGTCTCTGACACTCGTCGCCATAAGCCCCGCACTAGCCTGCAACCCCAATTTATCTATACCCGGCAGTTGTCCAATCTCTTGGCCTATGAAGGGAATTCTCTGCGAGCTCGGTTTGATACTGTAGAGACCATTACACATGGCAGGTATGCGTACCGAGCCTCCAATATCGGTGCCGATACCTAGAACACTGCCCCTCATTGCAATCAAGGCCCCTTCACCACCGCTACTTCCACCCGCCGTGACTCGAGTGTTCCGTGGATTCAAAACACGTCCGAAGAGATGATTATGCGAATCCAAGGCCATGAGAGTTTGCGAGACATTGGTCTTACAGTAGAGAACTGCTCCTTGATCAAGAAGTATATCGACCAACGCGGCATTTTCCATTGCAGGATTCTCTGCGAGACCTGCGAAGCCGATCGAAGAATCAAAGCCTTTCATATTGAACGTATCCTTTAAAGAAATCGGTATCCCATGTAGCGGCCCTCTTGTCTTTCCAGTACGCTTGTATTCAGCATCCAAAGCACGTGATCGCTCGATAGCCGGTAGGAAGAGGACTTCCGAGAGACAGTTGGTGAGTTGTTGAGCGATGGCGGCACGCTTGCAGAAAGCGGTTGTTACTGCTTCAGATGTCAACGCCCGGGAATGGATGAGTTGAGAGAGTGAGGTCGCATCGTGCGAGGAAGTTATGGAGAGTTCATCTGGAGTCAGGACAGTGCTTTTCAAAACAAGTGAGCGAACGTCGAGTGGAAGGGGGTCGGGTAGTGGGTCGAGGAGCCAGTTCTTGGGGATGAGAGATTGAAGGGCATTGAATTTGCGGTGGGCAATAGCACGGTAGGTTTGGGAAGACATTGCTTCCGAAAGTGCTTTTGCCGGTTGCTAGCTGATAACCGCCTAACGTTGAGAGAGGGATCAGTCGAAAAAATGTCGTTGCGTCCAAGGATGGAGGATTTGGACCATGTGAAAGTGGGCAATAAGGGCCTAAATATAGCCGACTGCCCTTGGCTCGACTCGTGACGTAACTGGTACTAATTACATCCATTTACACACAGTGGATATCGATTATATTCTTACTGAAGTTGGGTATTTGAGATTCTTTCGTGCTTAGTTTACATCTGCTAATTCTAGCTTTCCAACCTCGCAGTTACCGGCTGCATTCTTGGTTACGTTCTGCACAATAGCCTGGCTCTGGTCCGCGATGAGAGCGTCCTTCTGAACTTTCAGACTCCTAGTCATGCGAGCAATCATAGAATAGAAGCCTAAAACAATATACAGCTCTACCACTTCATCATCACTCATCAAGGAACGAGTCCATTGGATTGTTTCATCGGTGTTGGTCCATGTTGCGATAGACTCATCTACCAAGGTGATGATACATTGCTGTCGCTCAGACTAAATCCTATAGCGAAGAGCTTCTCAGACTTCAAGCATTTGCGAAGCGCTTTCAATTTTTTCATCGCTCATGCCGTTGATCCTCGAAACAGGCTCATTGATGCCAAACAAGTATTAGGCCCCAACGGTCGACGCCATGCGGAGAACGTCTAGTTGGTAGTCCAGGATTTGGATGGTGCGCGTCTCGCCGTCCAGCAAGGCGTTCAAAGTGTCCATGATGGGCGGGATAGACCTCTTGATCTAGCAAATAGATTGAACACAATGCATTTGATTGGGAAATCCCTCAAGATCTTTACGTTTCTTTCATGGGAGGCGTCTGGGTTGAACATATCGAGCCCATCAATCAAAGCCTTCCCAGGGGCAGCTGTTTACTCTGCTGCGTCCGACATGATGAGGTGGATAGGTGACGGTTTGCCAGTGTTATCGATGACGGTGCACAATGAATAGGGAACGGCAGTTGCTTAGGTTATATCCATGATGTTGAACCTACCTTATCTAATTAGCTAGTTAACCGATGGGCTGATTATTGGAGATCTATCGACGGGCCCAAGGCAAACATCTCCTGTAGATGTGCGCGCTAAGGCTAGCCGTTTTGAGCATGAGGGAAAACGCCTACATACTTACAGGTACTCCCGCCAGCCCCACCTGCCGCGCTGCACGAAATGGGCGGTAACGCTAGCTGAATATGGACTAGACTTTGGTAACGGTTGGACGGTATGTGGGGCCTTCCCAATCAGAGGGATTTCGGGATATCCAAATCAAACAATTCCATATGCTTCTACTTTTCGACATTTAGATATTTCATCCTATGGACGAATACTGGGGATTATGATATGGGCCAGGGGCAATTTAAGGGAAATGAATATGATGGAAGATCCAGGCTGGATCTTTGGTTAGTAACCTTGCAAGTCACATGTACGGAGCACCTGGCCCTACCACCAGTGCTCAGCGACACTAAGCCTGATAGTATATCCGCCTTTCATACAACAACAGCTAACATTCTCAAATGGTGTCATCTTTACTGGATAATAGAATGCCCTCGCTACCCTAGGATCTGCAACCTGCAGGAGAGGATTTTGAATGTGCTTGGTAATATCTTTGCCTCCCTTTCTCTTCATATTCGTCATGCTTTGTTGTGTATGTCGTCGGGCAACAGCAATTTTATCCTTTCCATGGTGTCGTGGAATTTATTTAACCATTGAAAACTAACAGCTTTGAGTACAGACTCTTCTGCTTGACAAGAAGACAAGAAACTGGAAAAATGGAACCTGCCACGGATTCTGAGAAATTCCCAAACGATCCTAAAATTGACACCGACCCAAGCCAGAGTGATGATAGCAGCACTGATGCACCGGCAATTAACGATACTGAAAAGCAACCTCAGGCTGACCTAGGGTCAGAAGAGTCACATCGAAAAGAAGAGCGCGATATCGGAGGTTGGAAATGGGTTGTCGTTGTACTGGCAATTTACAGCTCGCAATTCCTATTCGCCCTCGACCAGACCATCGTAGCCAACGTCCAACCCGCCATTGTCGAGCAATTCAACGCCGTGGACAGACTCTCATGGGTCAGTGTTGCCTTTCTCATTGGCGCAGCGGGAACAAACTTGGTATGGTGCAAAATATATTCTCAGTTCGATATCAAATGGACCTACATCACCACCATCTTATTTTTTTGAAGTCGGTTCGGCTATTTGCGGCGCCGCACCGAACATAAACTCCTTGATCGTGGGCCGAGCTATCTGTGGCGCTTCTGGAGCCAGTATGTATGTTGGTCTCATGACACAACTAGCCGTCACAACTACCATGCAGGAACGTCCTTTGCACGTCGGCGGAGCGGGCCTGGTCTGGGGTATTTGAACAGTATTGGGTCCTATAATCGGTGGCGCATCTGTAGACTCGTCTGCGACCTGGCGCTGGTCATTCTACATCAATCTCTGTGTTGGTGCCGTCTGTGCCCCTGTCTACCTATTCATGTTGCCCAATAAGGACCCGCGCCGCGGGACCGGCCTTGCCAACCGTGCTCGTGAGCTTGACTACTTGGGAACTATCATTCTGCTTGGTGCGTTCTTTTCGGGAGTCATGGCCGTATCATTCGGTGGTGTCATGTACTCGTGGGACTCGGGCAGGATCATTGGCCTCTTTTGCTGCTCTGGCGTGTTGTTCATCCTATTCGGTGTGCAACAGGCCTATGCCATCTTTACTACCCCTGTTCATCGTATCTTCCCCGTCGAATTCCTCAAGAGCCGTATCATCTTGATCTTGTTCGCCATGACTGGAGCTGGCGGAACGGCCATATTTCTCCCCATCTACATGACACCTCTCTATTTCCAGTTTAGTCGTGGAGATGGAGCGCTTCAGTCTGGCGTTCGCCTTTTACCCTTTATCATGCTAATGATATTTGCCACCATTTCCAACGGCGCAATCCTGTTCAAGGTGGGGTATTACATGCCTTGGTATCTTGTCGGGGGTATCCTAGTTGTCATCGGTGGTGCGCTTATGTTCACGGTGGATACCGCGACATCCGTCTCCAGTATATATGGATACACCGTCCTCATCGGTATCGGGGCTGGGCTATTCTGCCAGGGATCTTTTTCAATTGGCCAAGCAATTGTGAAGCCTGAAATAGTTGCTGCATCTATTGGTTTTATCTCAACTGGTCAAATTAGTGGCACCACTTTAGCCCTCGCCCTTGCTAATGCGGTATTCCTCAACAAAAGTGAGGATGGAATCATGGCCATATTACCAAATACACCGATTGCGGAGATCCAGCAGACCATCACTGAAGCCCGGTCTACACTTTTTGACAACTTGTCAGCGGATGATCGGCAGCGGGTGATGGATGTAATCGTCTCTGCACTAAGCAGCACATACGCCTTGGTCATTACCGCTGGATTGCTGGTCACTGTACTGAGTCTTTTGCTGAAGAGAGACAGGCTGTTTGTGACCCCTGCAGCAGCAGCCTGAGTGAGTCGTTGCGGAAAGAGTGTTTGGCTGAACGCCTTGCACGAGCAAGCGGGCTGAAGAGAGAAAGTGTAGTTTAAATTTGGTCAATTTGGTCAATTTGGTCACAGAGAAGCTTGGGGTACTAATTAAAATACAGAGGGATTCATAACATAGAAGACAATTGTTATACTGTTCGACTACAACTTGATATGCGGCCTCTTTACTATCCTCTTTTCGGAATACAATTAGGGCTTATCCGAGGATCTTCTCCCCGCTACAGTACTTGAGTAACTTTACCCGACAGATTTGTCAGGCACCAAGGCAACAACACGATATACGCAGGCTTAGATCTCCCACCAACACTGCTTCAAATGTTATTTCTTTCTCAGGATTGTTACCTTCAATACAAAGCCAATTTAGAAAAGGATATGTTGGTAATGTGGTAGTTTGGTTGATTTTCGATACGGTCGGGATCTAACATTAAACTGGGATGTAGCAGAGCCGCGGCGTCACGACTCACACGTATTAAGTATTAAGTACTAAGTTTCATATGCATGTTAAGGAAAGATGTTTCTAATATGAATGCTATTGTGTATTCGTCTGGAGCATCCCCTGCTGCCTACTGTCAGCTGGACTGAGCAGCTGAGATCCGTACATGTGACTAGGCTGTGTGATGTATAGTTCATGTTTTCTCTCTATGTAGTACATCTGTTCCCACATAATCTGTCATTGATATTATTTTTATCTTCGCAGATGACAGAGGATTTACCGACGGGACTTCCGTGATCCGATCCAGGAGAGAACCTGATCGCAGTGGCTTAGCGCGCTAGGCAACCGGAATACGCGGGAATCGGATGGTTGGGACGGCTGGAATGGATGGGGAACAATTGGACGAGAACCGCCTTGGCGCCAAATCACTCGGAAAAGGAAAAAAAATAGAAAAAAAATAGAAAAGATCGAAGAAGATCGAAGCCGTTGCCTCATAAGGCTGCGTATTTCGTATAAAAAAAGAAAATCCCTCAGCCCTGCATCGCCACAGATGCACGTAACTTGTAACGCACGTAACTTGAGGAAATCGAATCAATCACCAAGTAGAGTAAATCGTGGCGCTGTTCTGGCTGTGCAAGTGTCACTGCGCCTCACTCTTTTGGAGTTGATTCCTCGGGCTTCCGTGAATTTGCGTGGCCCATGTGGGGTTTTGGCCCCCTCGTCAGCCTTGTAGTCATCTTCTTATAAAAAGGTCACCATCTCTCTGCCCCTCTTTCCCTTTCCATCTTCATTCCATCTCTCACATCTTCCAACTCCTCTTTCCACATTACAACTCCCAAATCTTCCAACTCTTCAACAAACCTTTCACTTCAATTAATTTGTCATAATGTCCGGCTACTACGACAACAACAACCAGTACCAGCAGGGTGGTTACGGCGGCCAGCAGCAAGGCTACGGCCAGCAGGGCGGCTACCCCCAGCAAGGTTACGGCCAGCAACAGCAGGGCTACGCTCCTCAGGGTGGTGAATACTACAACCAGCAGCAGGGCCAAGGCTACGGCCAGCAGCAAGGTGGTTCTGGCGACTACTACGCCCAGCAGGGCCAGGGCCAGCAGCACTATGGTGGCGAGCAACAGCAGTATGGCCAGCAAGATGCCTCCCGACAGGGGTATGTGTTTCCCGCCCCCACTTCACATCACGTCATGCAGATGAGCTAACAGTCCTTTGTTTCACAGTTACTACGGCGAGCAACAGCAACAGGGTGCCCCCGGTGAAGCCCAAGAGGGTGAGCGTGGTCTAGCCGGTGCCCTCGCCGGTGGTGCCGCTGGTGGTTTCGCCGGTCACAAGGCCAACCACGGTTTCCTCGGTACTATCGGTGGTGCCATCATCGGTAGCATTGCAGAGGATGCCATGAAGAAGCACAAGAACAACCGCGATGACCAGGGTCCTCCCCAGGGCGGCCCATACGGTGGCCCCCCTCAGCAGGGTAGTGGTAGTGGCATGATGGACCAGCTCGGTGGCTACTTCAAGCGCTAAGAAGCTACTCTCCATTTCCATTTGCGATCCCACGGATGATCGTGGTTCATTTTTAATCATCTTTTTTTGTTGCCCAAATTCCTAGCTACCATATCGCGATGACCTTTCAACGATCATGAATTTCCTTTTCTTCAAGTGATTTTTTTTACCCCATTTGCTGCTTCTTATTCATTACATTTGCTGGAATGGGCTGGTTTGCGTTTACTTAGTTTGCACGGTTTCATCATTCGATTGCTTTCCAATATTCATATGTACTATCCTCGCATCGATATCAAGAATTTCAAGACTCAAAGAGACTCAAGACACCCCAAGAATTCATTATACATCTTAGTTACAAAATTACATATGATCGACATTCTATTATCTATTATTACATCAATTCATCTATGAAAGAACGCATTAATTTGCCACCGCGCGGGGAAACCGAGATGATCGAACCCCGCTGACTAATCTCGCCCAATCAGCAGCTGAGCCCAGACCTGTCCATATCGGGCTTAGTGCCAATATCCCGTGGCCTGATCATTGATGTTGATGCCTTGTTAGTGCCTCAGGCAGAAATGACTGCTCAAGTCAATTTGACACCTGAGGCCAAAGCCAAGCCCGACAAAAGTTCGCGGAGACCGTAACTTTCGATCAACGCTCACGCTCCAATTCATCCACTCTATACCCAACATGATTGTCCGGCAACTTGGTGTACGGCAGAGTGAGTTCTCCTTATGATGCCTGTCCACTTTTCCGAATCTTCTGTACTAATTACAATTCACCCCCTTTAGGCCGCCAATTGCTGGCGCTCAATCGCCGCGCTCCGGTTTACAGTCGCTTCTTGTCCACCGAAACACCAGTTGATACAGCCACTCAGGTTCCTTCACAGGTTCCAATTGAGCCAGGCTCTACAAGTGTTGCGGATGCCTCGCAGAAGCCACTCAATGCGCGAGGAAAATGGATGAAATGGGAGAACTCAAGTAAGCAGCCATGATCACAACATATCCCAATTCCATTGAAGAAAAACCATTTCTTCCCCTTCTCAGGAGGGAACGAAAAGAGAATGGATATTGAATAACCAAGAACTTCATACTAACGCAATTCTCCTTAGAGTCAAAATTCAACTCTCTCGGATCCCTTTCAAATGACACCTACGACCCAGAAAATGTCATCAAAAACCCTCCCTCCGCATCCGAAATCACTCTCGAGCTCCTCCTCGCCTCAGGAACACACCTCGGCCACTCAACATCGCGCTGGAATCCCCAAAACTCAAAATACATTTTTGGTATCCGTGAAGGAATCCACATAATCTCCCTCGACATAACAGCCGCCTACCTCCGCCGCGCCGCAAAGGTAGTCGAAGAAGTCGCCGCCCGCGGCGGCATAATCCTCTTCGCAGGCACCCGCAAGGGCCAAAAGCGATCTGTCGTTGGAGCCGCAGCTCGCGCACGGGGATATCACATTTTCGAGCGTTGGATTCCAGGCTCTCTTACGAATGGACAGCAGATTCTCGGCCACTGCGAAACAAAGGTTGTTAATGCTTTGGATGATGAGTTGACTGATTTCAAGCAAGATTTGGCGGATAGACCATCTGTCAAGCCTGATTTGGTTGTTGTGCTTAATCCGGTTGAGAATGTTGTGCTGTTGCATGAGTGTGGGCTGAATAATGTGCCTACTATTGGAATTTGTGATACGGATGCTGATCCGACGAGGTTGACATATCCTATTCCGAGTAATGATGATAGTTTGCGCGCGACGAATCTTATTGCGGGTGTTCTTGGGAGAGCGGGTGAGAAGGGTCAGGAGAGGAGGTTGAAGAGTGCTAAGGAAGGGAAGTTGACTTATCAGCCTATTACTAGGTTTGAGTTGAAGGTTGATCCTTTCACTGGTCTTATGCCGCCTGGATCAGAGACCAAAAAGGATTAAGCTGGGCTTTTGAGTCTTTGTCTTTTCTTTCTTTTCTTTCTTTTCTTTTCTGTATTTGATAGGCTTCGGGTCTGGATCTTTGTCCGCGCGATATAGCATTCGAGCGTCGGGTCTTTTTGTACTGTATAGATGATTTTTGTATCTTGTTGGTGTTATAACATCGTTCGTGTATTAACAAGTCTTCCATAAATGCATCCTGAAATTTGGATTTTCATCCTGTGCTCTCGTAGGGTATGTTCCTGGGCTTGCATAAGTATCTAATAGATTTTGCCTTCTACCTTCGGAATATCAGGTATAATATGCCATAAGTATCTTGAAGCTGTCAATGCTTTTATTTCCTAATTTTATCTCAATGCTATTAAGCTACGTCAATACTTTAGTAGACAAAAGTATTCAACAAGAATCTGAGAATGAGAAGGGCTGAAAATACCAAGAGCAGTGTATTCATCTATCTTTGCTATGTACACACAATCCTCTATATGCATAGTCCTGGCCCACGGCAAGAACTGGAAATCTTCTTCAATAAACGGGGCGGAAGAAATGAAATTAGAACCGTCATCTCAAGCTTTGACAGTGTACACCGAGCGACCACGTTGATCATCGCCCTTGGCAACAACCTCCTGACCAGAGCTAGTAACCACACGGCGCTGATCACCATAGTGAAGAATAATATCAAGTTCCTTCCAAGCCGGGACAAAGCCCTTACTCTCATCACGCTGAAAATGCACAAGCACCTTCTCCCCAGTCGAACTGTAGCTGAGTGTGTACTTTGAAATGCGAGTCTGCTGCGAGATACCATCATCCTCATACCAGGTATTCTCAAAGACGGCATTGTGTGAAGATCCCTTCGGCGGGAAGATTTCAACACCACGGTAGTCATCCAGTTCATCAACACCAAGCGAGGCAGGGGTATTATCGCCCGGAACGCGAGTGTGGACATTCTTTCCAATTGGAATGGCACCTCCAATCTTCGCAATGAGCGGGATACTCTCACGCCACTCAGAAGCAACCTCTACCCACTGTCCGGAGGGATAGTAAGTGTAAGGTGTGTTCATGTTAACGTAGCCGTAGTCGAAAGATGGGCCAGATTTGCGAGGCAGATAGATCTTCGCAACACTCACACCAGGCTCGTAGACGCCACCGACGAGAATTGTGTCGCCGAACCAGAACTGCTCGTCACCTGCTTTGAGGGACTTTGTCCACACCTCAGGGTCAGACTCGTAGCCCCATCCAATCCATCTCTGAGGCGGGATGGCAGCTTGATGACTTGTCAGACCGAGAGAGTAAATGTATGGCATGATCTCGTAGCGACGCTTGATTGTGTCGCGGACCAAGTGAGTGATCTCGGGATACATGTAGGGCTCGATGACTTCACCGACTTCGCTTTCATCCGGAGAAGTCTTGAAACAGTTGATTGTGAAGCGGATGGAATTGCAACCAAGTTGAATCCAGCGGAGGAGTAACTCGGGAGAGGGTTGGGGTCCTTCAAATCCACCAATATCATGTCCTTCGTATTGCATTAGAGACATTCCAGAGTTCAAGGATAAGGCATTGGCTCCCTTCATATTCTCCCAGCTGGTGACGTTGTCTCCGGACCAGGTACTAGAAGCGTATCGCATGGTTCCGGCAGTAGCACTGCGAGTGAGAATGAAAGGTCGGCAATTAGGCTCCATGTCCAATAATGCATCATGGGATGATTTGCCCATTAGTTCCGTGTGAATTGCACGTCCCCATTGACCAACACTATTGGAAACACCCTTCTTCGCTTCGCCGTTCACCATTGACTCGTCAAGGGCCAAAGTCCAGTCGTCGTTGGGAAGGGTGTACTCGTTATTGTCGTTCCACATGCCGTCGATTCCGGCCTTTTTCAACTTCTGCACTCCATCATACCACCACTTGAATGCTTTTTCGGATGTAAAGTCAATGTGACATCCTTGACCACCAGTTGCGCCTCCAGAGCTCCATACAGGCATGTAACCAGGTTCGGAGTCGTCATCTTGAAAGAATCCCCGGGAATCAATTAGATGATTGAAATCCGGATGGGAGGAGAGAAGGAATGGCTTGATGTTGCTGATAAGGCGAATACCACGCTCATGCATCTTCTTAGTCCATTCTTCGGGATTTGGGAAACGGTGATAGTTCCAAGTGAAAACCGTGCGAACCTTAGGCTCGTGCTGAGAGATGGAGTAACCAGAACTCATCTGATGTCCTGAGCATGGGATATCGTGCTTCTTCAGTGTTTCAACGAAGTCAATGAGACCCTCGGAGGCACGAGGCTCGTCAATCATGGTATACTTATAACCACCCGATACGTAGCCATAAGCCCAGCGAGGAACCAGCAATGGCATACCCACTAGCTGGGCATACGAGTAAACAACTTCTTGAAGATTCTTTCCAACAATCATGTATTGCTCTAAGCCTCCATACTCCTGGCGGTAGATCTTGAAATGACCCCAAAGGCCATCAATCTCTGAACCAACAGACCAAGAGCCGCGGCCATGAGTAGTGGAGAAGAGAGCCACGCAGCCCTCCGGGGTGGCCTTGATCAGAAGCGGAATGTGTTTGTACAGAGGATCGGAGTTGTAAACGTCGTACCCAAAGCAGTCGGTAGCGGAGAGCTGGAAGGTACGGCCACTCAGATCCATGGGTGCAGCTTTCTCTCCCAAGCCAACGTGTAAAGCTTCGCGGTCGTGAATCGAGTAGTGTGCAACGCCCTCTCCATCCGCCACATATGAGCGCAGCGGCAAATCGCGATGCAGAGGCTTATCGGATCCAGTCCATGAAAGTGAGACAACGGGGGTTTGTTCCCATTCAACGGTAGCAGTGACACCAGCGATATCGATTGTCTTGGAGGATGCTGTAGATTTCGCGCTAACGTTCGCATTCTTCAGGTTTGTTTCGGGCTTTGTAACACTAGGGTAGGGAGGAACGACATGATCGGCCGAGGTGAAGGTGACTCGGAACAAGTTTTGGCGAATAGCCTCGAAGGAGAAGTCAAATGAGGTCTTGCTCTTTGTGCTACTGCGGATATGCACATAGGCGTCTTGCTGGGTGCTCGATGGCACTAGCTCGTATCCCTGAGGACAAGCTTCTTTTTGAGGCATTGTGATTGAAGCTTTGACTCTTTCAGTGAATTCAAAACTCCGAATAAAGATTCCTTCCGGTCTGGGAGCTTTATTTGTACCATTTTGTTTGAATTGACCATCCCCGCATTACACTGTCGTACCTCAGGATAACGTGGGGCAACATACGGAGATCGGGGATAATTGCCGAGCAATGAAGCAAAAGCCGTGTAGAGAGGAAGATACGACGGACAGTTCGTGTTCATCTCCGCATTTTGTTTTTGTCTTCGGCCCCAGACCGTGGCACCCACAACTGTCAAAACTCTAAAACCCCATATTTCGTCGGTGTTCGTTACCGATCTCCGACCACTAGCCCTGATCCAGAGATACCACCTCCTCATTTCTTCCGCCACGCGGCTTGGTTTGCGTTTTTCACAAAATTGATTGGTTCATTGAACGGATGTTGTCCGAGAATGAAGCATTCAGCCGTGTTCTCCTAGATCGAATAACCTTGAAACAGCCTGGGATGGCATGAGTAGGTTGGCAAGCATGACAAGTGCTGAAATCGGACATCAAGTGCGGTCGACCGGGGGGATCATAAACGTCGCTTCCCCCACGGGGTTTTGCATAACCTGCATTTTCCCCACAAGTGATCTACCTCAGTACTTTCACTCTTTGTTAGTCTACAGGTTCTTGGACCTGCTTCAAACAAATTCAGTCTTGTCTACTATACTGCCTTTTACTACTGCATCCATTTGGAAGTTTATCACTCATCTTTTGTTTTAAATTCACCATCCTTGCTTTCTTCTTCCATCATTAATGATGGCACAGGAAGCCTATACCCATCATCCGAAAGATGCCCAGGAGGAATTTGTTGAGTCCATTGAGGAACACACAGAGCAACCGTACGCAGAGCGACACGATGCCACTCAACCGACGCAAGTTAAAGCCCAAGACAAAGCTCTCGAATTGATCGAAGAACTGGGCCATTCAACAATTCTTACACCAGAAAATAACAAACATGTTCTTCGACAAATCGATCTACGTTTACTTCCCATCCTCCTGGCTATCTACTTTTTACAACAACTAGACAAGTCTACCCTATCCTATGCTTCGGTCTTTGGACTCGTGGAAACGACCCATCTTCATGGTCACCAGTACTCCTGGCTCGGTGCGGTCGTCTACGTCGCTCAGCTGGTATTCCAGCCTTTAGTATCTTATCTTTTGGTCAAAGTTCCTATCGGGAAGTTTTTGGCAGTTTCGGTTCTTCTTTGGGGTATTACACTGGCATGCATGACTGCCGCGTCTTCGTTTGCGACCTTAATGGTATGCCGACTTTTTCTCGGCATTTTCGAGTCTGGATTGGGTAAGTCTAGTGATTGCAGATTTTGTTTATTTGTCCTGCCTTCTGACTATCTTTATACAGCTCCGGCATTTATTGCTGTGACCCAAATGTGGTATCGACGACGGGAGCAGCCGATTAGGTTAGGCTCATGGTATGCAATGAATGGAGTGGTCAACATGGTAAGTCATACCGTACTAATTTGCTACTTTAAAGCTGAGGCTAATTATCTTCGTTAAGTTTGGAAGTTTGATCACTTATGGCCTGGGTCATATCAACTCGTCCGTCTTTGAGCCTTACCAGGTAATTTCGCTAGCACTGTTCGAATGGAACTTCACATTCTAATTTCTATAGATCATCTTTCTTTTCTTTGGTTTGATCACTGTTGTGTTTTCTGCCGCTGTCTTGTGAGTCAAACTATGCATCTCATGCACTATTCAGGACTGACTTTGCCTAGTGTTTTCATGCCTGATTCGCCGGTCAAATCTAATTTTCTATCGGAAGAAGATAAATTGGTTGCGATTGAGAGGTAGGTTCCCTTGCTTTATTTCAAACTTCAGATCTCTGCATTTATCTAATAATTGGGCAGACTCCGCATGAATCAGCAGGGCATCGAAGGCCATGAATGGAAATGGGATCACGTCAAGGAGGCATTCCTGGACCTGAAGTCCTGGTTTTGGTTTGCTTTGATGTTTACCATCTCGTAAGCTCAACACCACATCTCATTCGGCATATTCCATACCTAACCCTGTTCCAGAATTCCAAGCGGCGGTATCACCACTTTCGGTCCCCTAATTATCGCATCATTCGGTTTCAATGACCTCAATACAATCCTCCTGAACGTTCCTTTCGGTGCAGTACAACTCATTGCTACAATGGGAGGTGCATGGCTTGCTACTGTTTGGAAGAAGAAAGGACCAGTTCTGGCTCTATTATGTCTGCCTCCCATTGCAGGCTGTGTCATGCTGCTCAAGATCCCCCATGACGATGCTCACAAAGGCCCTCTCCTCGTGGGATACTATATTATCTCTGTTTACCCTGGTATCACACCCCTGATCTACTCATGGTCGGCAGCAAACACTGCGGGAGAAACAAAGAAGAAGGTAACAACCGGTATACTGGTTGTTGGCCAATGCGTCGGAAATATCATTGGGCCCAACCTATACACAACAGATGAGGCCCCACTGTACCGCCGAGGACTTCTTTCGAACCTTGCGTTGTTCTGCGTTTTGTGGCTCCTTATTGTCTTGAACATGGCATACATATCCATCTTGAACAAGAAACACGAGAAGAAGCGTGTTGCTCTTGGGAAGGATGCCAAGGTTGTGGATCACTCTATGTTTGCTGTTGGTACGGTGCCAACTGACAAAGAAGGCGAGCCCATCCAACAAATGGTCCATGATAACGCCTTCAAGGATCTGACAGACGGCCAAAATGAGGATTTTGTTTATGTATACTAACTGCAGAGTTGGTCGAGACATTACCCATATGGTGGTGTGACTTTGGACTTTGCCAAGCCTGTACTATGTTTTTGAATATTACTTATTTCTGGCGATAAATGAAAGCCCGCAAATATGATTGTAAATTTACGTGGCCTGTTGTAAAAAGAAAACCGGTAGAACACTTTCCCTTGGGCCTAAAATCAGAAAACGCGCTAAAAAGGCCCCATAGAACTAGTTAATAGATTCTCATTAAAAACCCCGGCTTTTCAGGATCCGGGGTGGACAGCGGGCCCAACCGAAGGATTTCTGATCGGGGGAATAGCCGAACCCCGCAGTTCCTGTTCTTCCTGCATGTTGATCTCCAGCTAATACCCCGATATCCTTTCTTATCTAATTTGCACGGTGTCATTTGTCAGGCTAAGCCGATAAATGATGGATGAAGACGACTCCTTGCATGTACTGCCGGTTCCAATAGGGAAAAAGCGAATACCGGCATGTGTCCCGTTCTACGGATTTCGGTCCATCTTCTCCGAACCAGGTCTGGCATACTAACATGCAAATCGTTTAGAAAGCGTGCAGCTCTTGTCGACAATCCAAGGTGAGATTTACTTGACTTGTGCAGTTTCGGGACTTGAATGACTTTTGTTTAGGTTAGGTGTGATGGAGATCGGCCATGTGGAAGGCATGTAGGACTCCAGTTCTTTTCAGGCGCATGATTGTTGACTGCCGATACAGATGTCAAAAATTAGATAGACGATGTGTGTTCTTCGAGGTACCGAAAGACCCCGTATCCGAGTATGTAAACATGAAGACTGAAACTAGAACAGAGTCACTAACATCTCTCCAGAAGACTCGAGGGTGTCGAATCAGAAGTCCAACATCTACGACAACAACTAGATGACATCCGCACACTTCTTCTTCAAGGAAAGTCGAATGTAGTCACCAGTCCTCAAAATTCTAACACTTCCCGGAACATAAGTGATGAAGTCGAACAAATTGTTCACGATAGTGCCTGCAATGCACACGCTCCATCATCGCATTTTATATGCCAGCAAGAAGAGCATGGCGCCATTATAATGCACCCACTGGGATCTGCAGAGTACATCGCTGGCTCAAATGATCATCCTAGATCTGTTTCAGTCATTTCTCCGACTGGAATATCAGCGGTCCCTTCAACGTATCAGCCCTCAAGCCCAGACAGCTTCCGACCCAACAAACGCAAGCGTTCTTGTTTTGAGATCCGAGACGATTCCATAACAGACTTCATTGAAAAGGGTCTCATCACGCCAGAATGCGCTATTGCATGTTTTAATACGTCAGTGTGGTTCGTTATCTGCTTTCAAAAATGCATCTTTCGCTCACTATCTTCGTTCTAGCTTCTTTGAAGGTTGTGTGAGTATTGAAAATTCTAAAATTCCCTACGTGATGAGTCAAAAAAAAGTCGAAGCTAACATACTGAACAGGACAGATACATCCCAATATTTGACCCAGAGTACGATACTTTTGATTCTGTTCGAGCTCGGAGTAGCATTTTACTCAATGCCATTTGTACCATTGGCTGCATGGTCGAAACAAGTAAGCAACATCCTCAATATTGGGCACATAAATGCGCTATTTGAAGAGAAATTTAATTTTAACGTTTTAAAATCCGTACAGGAACTAGCGGTCCCATGCCTGACGTGCTTCATGCCGAACTCAAGAGATGGATTAACGTGATAATTCAAAACAAATCTCTGAACTGTCTTGAGTCGGTACAGGCAATGCTTATTGTAGCATGCTATTCCTCAGAGCGGCTTTTGATCCTGTCGTTTGCAACACGAATGGCAATTGATCTTGGGCTTCATGAGGCGTTCGAAGAATTGACTGAACGATTAGCAATCAAGAATGATGAAGCTTCGTCGGGTATACCGGATCATGATTTTGCGAGGGAAAGAAATCTAATGCAAAAGTCCAGGACTTGGTTTGGGCTTCTTGTTCTGGAGCATATGTAAAGCTTTCCATTGATCTATTAATGGGTATCCAAGCATCTATCATACTAATTATCGGTAATAGATTTCGTGTCGATGGAGGGAAACCACCCGGAATCCGATTAGTTGGCAACTCAAGACGAAGTCGAATCCTTCTTAGCCATCCTTCGACTACAGTTCTTGATTTACGCCTCTTTTCTCAGGTGGAGGTATGTTCCCCTAGAATAGTTCTTGTTTCATAATTCTTGCTTATACGGTCTGTAATAGCTGAACATTCTTCGAGGTAAATACTTCTGAGACTGCAACTGGATGACTACTTATCAGTTTACAGCAACGATAAACGATACGCTTGGACCTGGCACAACTATCGATGGGCAAGGAATTGCAGATTTTGTGCATGGGATGAAGGTAGACTTGGATATTTGGTTTGAGTATGTATAATTTCCTGTGATTGAAGTCCTTCCTCTAAGTGACTACTTGAAGCTGACTTTTGAAGCGATTGGTTACGCATTATCGGTATCTATACACCCTTCAGATTGACACTTTAACCCTGACTTGGTAAAATCTTTAACATCATATAGAAAGTTCTTCGCTCGCAAAAGAAGAAAAGCCCTTTTTGCTCGCTGCTCTTCGGATCCAAAAATGCTGGGCTGAGATGATGTTGAATTGCAAAGCCCTCCGAGCTATGGGCGTGGAAAATGTCGCGTACGTAACCAAGAAGTGATTTTTAACTTCGATCACACACGGCATGTCATCTATTTTCGATTGTTTGAACTGACATAAGATTGAATTCTCAAGTGCGATGTCCACAACGGAACGCAATATTCTCCTCAAAGCCAAAGCGAGTGCCCGACGACATCTACGCCTCATAATAGTGGAACCAGAATTCTACCTGGCGCAGATAAAATACGCCATGGACTTTGTCTGGGCAAAATGTGCTTTCTCGTTTTTACTGCTTCTCAAGCTCTCGCGACTTCTTCCCGATCGAGATGAAGAGCATGAAGAATTACTCGAGCATGGAAACCGGCTCGTTCATGAATTGAGTAAGGCTGGGTCGAACACGAATCAGTCTGGAGCTGGGAATATCTATCTTCAGATTCTGAAGGTGAGTATCGAGAAATATGGTCGTGCCTTAAGAGAATCTCAACAGCCTAGTACTGGGGGGTCAACGGCGACTTCACCTTTCTGGGAACTCTTCGATGCACAGGCGGATCTGCAATGGTTTGTACCGGAGCAATTTGTCTCGGAGTGGGACTTTCCTGGTTTGAATTTGTTTTATTTCCCTACTGCGTGGCAAGACTTCTTTGGAGACTTTTCACTTGCGATGTAATATTTTAATGAAAAAGGTATAAACGTTGAGTGTGATAATAGACCGCTGTAATATTTCTAGTGTACTGTTCAACTTTTATGTTGGATATCATTGCCAAGTCCCAAATCAGAAAGCGCTTCAAGTTTGTCGTGACAAAAGTTTAACCGAGAGCCTTCATGGCAAGCTCGACACTAAGATTAAGTTAGCAAGGGATTTTCTCCAGGCCGATTCACGAGGATGGAGTAAAGAAGGAGACGTACACAACGAAAGTACCAGCTGAGACAGGCATAGCTCTCAGCAAAGTTGGGAAAATACCCTTCCAGAACCCACCGAGACCTTCAACAGCGTATGTCTTCTTAAAGCAGTCACGCATGCTGGAGAACTTCTGGTTTGCGCCGAAACCATCGGTCTGCATCTTACTCTTGATAACATCAAACGGATAGCTGGACAACCACAGAACCTCACCAGCAAGACCACCATAACCAGCAACCTTGACAGCGGAGATGTCTTCGCGCTTCATGTTGTTGCGCTGAGCATCCTTGTTCATCATGTACTCAAATGCCATGAACCAGGCACCGTAGGCCTGGGCCTCGCGCAGAATAGTCACTGCCTGTCCACGGTATAGACCACGCAGGGCACCTTGGTGCGCAGAGAGCTTCTTCACGCAATCAATAGGACCGTCGTATAGGCGTCCAGCGCCGTGGGGCTGAGCCTGCAGACGAATACGGACGTGCTCGATGGGACCAGATAGAACAGAGTTTGTGACACCGGCGAACGAACCGGCCATAAAGTATTGTCCATATGATAGAGATCCGTCGGCATATTTCTTCTTGTTAAGCTCCTCCAACTTGCGACGTGCCTGGTGGAACGCTCCGAATTGCACACTGACCTATTATTTCCAGGGTTTGGTTAGAAAGAGCGATCGAAGGAATGTGATAAAATTGCGATTGCAATTGGGGGGGGCTTACGCAAGCACCAATTCCGATCAAAGGTGTCAGGGTTCCCTTGTAGAAAGCTGCAGCTCCCTCATTCTTGAGGATCTTTGTTGCGGCTTCCGCCGCACTCTTGTACTGAGTGGTGGTTTGCAGGCGCACCTTGACAATGTCTAATGCGGGGTTAGAAAACTTCAATGCGGGGCGTGAAAGATTTACGGACCGAAAGGTTGACCTGGAAGAGCGCAGGAACATTAGCAAATAGACCTAAGCCGTAAAAACAGAGATTTGAAGCAATTGAACAAGAACAGGTAGACCGGGACGTTTCCCGGTGTTGCTCCGGAGCTCTTGTGCGGAGGTTGGTTGCATACCCAGGAGAACCTGTGCCATTCCACCGGCAGCACCAGCAGCCAAGTCCTTGACTGTGCGCAAGGGGTCGGCACCCTTCTGGATGTCTTCGAATGCCTCAGATTCCATTTTAGCGATTGATGTGGTGAAGTATAGGGTAAAGGAAGACAAGGGTTTCCCCAAAGTTATAATCAGGAACGAGGCCCGCTCTTATCGCGATGGCGCAATCCGGGCTCTGATTCGGTCGCATCGCCGACGGGAAACTTCACCGCTTGCACTTTCCTTCACGCTGTTCATCGGGGAATTCTGCCGTTTTTCCCACGCTAGCCCCTTCCCTTTTGGTATATATGTCTGGCCGCTTTTAATAATCTAAAATCTATTTTCTCTTGTTCGACTCCTGCGAGACGAGTAGTAAGTAGTGTACATTGAAATAAAGCATAAAATCCATATATTGGCAGATCTCAAACATATGACCGGCAGTGCAAACTTTTGCACCTGACAATTGTAAGCTCCTCGACGGCGTGCAGTACCTCTTTCATCACACAAACTTAGTCAAAAGAAGAGAACCTTTGCCCCAAATCTATCGACAACTTGAATTCTGATTAAACATGCACATATGGGCTCGTATATATATGATATATCTCATTAAGAACTTTAATGTGTAAGTTCATTCATAGTATGAGGACCTATAAGTTTCCAACCACACAAAGGTACACCATTGGGATCACCGTTTGGTTGGCCTTAAAGCATCCTTAGCTTCTTTTTCATAACCAATCACGACACCCCATCTACGACATACTCCTGCGGGGTTGAAATTCGTGATCAAGCGTTTGTGTCTGGATTATTAATGTATTTCATTTATAATCATATTTGGACTTAGTTCAAAGATGTAGAGTAGCGTATAATTCAGTCAAGTATCAAACAAAACAAGTACATCTACGTGGTTCCGTTATACAAACCTCCTCGCAGTCTATTACCATTAAACCAAACCACTATATCAAACATTCGCATCTTGCCTCTCAACTAAATTATGGTGGGAACACTTGTTATCGACAATGTCGCAGCCCAAGGGATCTCATACTATACACCAGCTCAAGAACCCCCGGCCGGCACTCAAGTCGAGGGATCAGTGAAAGTATTCACCCCAATCATTATTCGTGGAGTTACTCTTCCCAATCGACTTTTTCTAGCACCTCTTTGTCAGTATTCCGCGAAGGACGGCTATGCCAATGACTGGCATTTGACACACCTGGGTGGGATACTTCAACGCGGCCCAGGAATAGCTATCATGGAATCAACTGGCGTACAGAAAATAGGACGAATCACACCCCAGGATCTCGGCCTCTATGAAGACGGCCAGATTGAGCCGTTGAAACGCATTACCGAGTTTGCCCATGGCCAGGGTCAGAAAATTGCTATTCAGTTAGCCCATGCCGGTCGCAAAGCCAGTGCCGTCGCACCTTGGCTGAGCATCAACGCCATGGCCATTAAAGAAGTCGGCGGGTGGCCGGATGAGATTGTTGGCCCATCGGCAATCCCACACGAAGAAGGAATCAACAATGTTCCTAAGGCATTGACTCTGGAAGATATTCAAGTTCTGATCGGAGACTTTGCAGCGGCTGCGAAAAGAGCCGTCAAGGCCAATTTTGACGCAATCGAGATTCATTCCGCTCATGGATACCTACTCCACCAGTTTCTAAGCCCTATCAGCAACAGAAGAACCGATAAATATGGAGGCAGCTTTGAAAACAGAGTTCGGCTGTTGTTAGAAGTTTCTCGGGCAATTCGAGCTAGTATCCCAGAAACAATGCCTCTCTTTATCCGAATTAGCGCCACCGATTGGTTTGAGTTTGACGATAGCTTGCAGGAGGAATTTCCTGAAAGCTGGACCGTTGAACAGTCTAAAAATCTCGCTCTCCTCTTGGCTGAGCATGGCGTAGACTTGGTGGACGTTAGTTCTGGTGGAATTAATGCCAAATCTGCCATTGCAATTAAGCCAGGCCCTGCCTATCAAGTCCATTTGGCCCAGGAAATAAAAAAAGCAACTGGTGACAAGCTGCTGATAACTGCTGTTGGTGGAATCAAGACGGGCGCACTTGCAGAGGAGGTGGTGCAGTCTGGAATTGATGCGGTGCAAGCCGGACGCTGGTTTCAGCAGAATCCTGGCTTGGTTCGTGCCTTTGCCAATGAGCTTGGAGTAAAAGTGAAGATGGCAACACAGATTGACTGGAGTTTTGAGGGCCGTGGAAAAGGAAAAAAGAAGGATTGAAGAGATATTATGTGGACTTCAATAGTAAAGTGAGGCTCAGAGTATCTGCCAAATTCCATATTCAGTCAGCATAAATAGCCGTACTCGCTTTAGTTGAAATCAATGGCAGGTAGAATGAAGTTCAAGGTCACAGAATGAATATACTTTGGGTCCCACATCAAAGCGGCCAGACGGCCCACTCTAACAGACCCGCCAATCATATTGCTCTTATTGGCCGCTATGTGGATTACGTCAGCAAGCCATTAAGTTCTGCATTTGCAAGTTGCTGAACAGTAGAAGATACAAGACCAGCAATGCATAGACGAGCGGTCTTAAGGGTGAGTGGAATATAGCAGCAAGTCTGTAGTGCTTACGATCTAACATATCCCCTAGCTTCCACGCCGCGTCGAGCTGTGTTCGACCAGCGCCATCGCCTCAACCCCGATCTTTTCCTCTCAACGAACGTTCCAATCCTCCACAGCTCATCATATTTCAGAACCTGGAGACAATGGCAGCAATGACGGAGCTTCCAAACCATCGGCATTTGCGCCGAAGTTTGGGAATAGATGGGGTGGTAGTGCGCAGCGACCTATGGGTCTAAGTGCTGCGGAGCAAGCAATGCGCGACGCGTTGGTTGCTAAAAACACTCCTCCTCCCCCTCCTCCTCCGAAAGCGCCTACTTCCGAGAAATCAGACAACGAAAGTCATGGTATCCGAAGTCAGAGATGGGCCAAACGCTCCTATGCTGGTTCATCACCGAGAGATGAAAATAAGCGTGGTATAGAACGACCACGCCGACAGCACCCGAATACTCAGAAAGATACGGATTCTCCGTTTGATAAGCGGCCACCACCAACCCAAACCACCGAAGCTAAGCCGCTGCCGAAAAACTGGGTGTGTCAAAAGTGCAAACGGAATGTTTTCCCGAGGTTTACTACATGTCCATTCTGCAAAACCCCCGGGCCTAATGCGCCGCCCAAGCAAACGCGGCCTTCGCAGAGCGATACACCAAATCCGAATAAGTTCCGAGCATTAGGTCGATCAATCTTGGCTGAATCTGAAGGTGGCACAAAGGACAAACCTAAGAGGGAAAAGTCTGGACCGAAGGCTGAAAAGAAGAACGCCGACCAATGGTCTTGGGATATGTCGGCTCTAGATAAATTGGAAGTCGTGGAAGAAGCACAAGAACCGGTTCCACAGTCGCAGGCATCAAAAAAGCTCAAGCGTCGTGACGGTGGGAAGCATCGAGTATCTGAATCCAGCGAGCTTGATCAAGAGAATCGGGATCGACGACGTGAAGATCGCAAGCGCTCAAAGAAGGCTGCAAAGAGAGAAGCCGAAGCTGCTCCTCAACCTCTTTATCTTCCAGAATTTATCAGCGTGACCAATCTGGCTGATGTGATTGGTGTGCGACCGGGTCAATTTATCCAGCGCATGGAGGCCATGGGATTTGAAGATGTCGAGTATAACCATGTTTTAGATGCCGAGACTGCTGGTCTGGTCGCTGCCGAGTACAACTATGAAGCTCTCTTTGATACCGGGTCTGACGATATAAGAGCCGCCCCGGTACCGGAGGATGCTTCCAGTTTACCACCTCGGCCACCTGTGGTCACCATTATGGGTCATGTCGATCACGGCAAAACCACTATTTTGGACTGGCTGCGCAAATCCTCCGTCGCTGCCACTGAGCACGGCGGCATTACTCAACACATTGGTGCATTCTCCGTGGCGATGCCCTCGGGCAAGACAATTACTTTCTTGGATACCCCCGGCCATTCGGCATTTTTGGAGATGCGTCGCCGTGGTGCGGACGTCACTGACATTGTGGTGCTGGTAGTCGCTTCAGATGACAGTGTCAAGCCTCAGACAATTGAAGCTATTAAGCACGCAACACAAGCCAAGGTCCCAATCATCGTTGCCATCAGTAAGATCGACAAAGAGGGCCGCAACCCGGACCGAGTGAAGCAAGACCTGGCAGTCCACGGTGTTCACGTGGAAGACTATGGCGGCGATGTTCAGGCTATTGGAGTGAGTGGTAAGAGCGGCGAGGGCATGCTTGAGCTTGAAGAGGCTATTAGCGTCCAATCTGAGATGCTTGACCACCGCGCTGATACCAGCGGTAACGTGGAAGGATGGGTTCTCGAAGCGTCGACCAAGAGCTACGGAAGAGTTGCATCGGCTCTTATCCGCCGTGGCACACTGCGACCAGGCGATGTTATCGTTGCCGGCACTACTTGGGCTCGAGTCCGTACCTTGCGTAATGAGGCCGGTCTGGCTGTCAACGAAGCTACCCCTGGTATGCCAATTGAGATTGATGGATGGCGAGAGCAACCCGCTGCCGGAACAGAGATTCTGCAGGCAGAGGATGAGCAGAAAGCCAAGAGCGTTGTTGAGTACCGCCAGGACCGATCTGATACTGAGAAGCTCGGTCAAGATATGGCTGCCATCAACGAGGCACGACGAGAGCTCAATGAGAAGCGTAGACTGGAGGCATCCGAGTCTGATGAATCGGTAAATGAGGTTGCAGAGCCTACAGGTCCAAAGTCGGTAAACTATATCATAAAGGCCGACGTTGGTGGCTCCGCGGAGGCAGTCTTGAACTCGATTGCTGCAGTTGGCAACAATGAGGTTTATGCCAATATTCTTCGCTCTGGAGTTGGCCCTGTGACAGAGTTTGACATAGAGCACGCTGCCGCTGCCAACGGAAGGATCATTTCCTTCAACATGCCCATCGAGCCTGGCATGGCTCGTATGGCGGAACAAGAGAATGTGACGATTTTGGATCACAACATCATCTACAAACTCATCGATCACGTCAAGGAAGATCTCAGTCAATACCTTGCGCCCACAATCACCCAAAGAGTGACGGGTGAGGCCGAAATTGGCCAAATTTTCGAGATCACCGTTAAGGGTCGCGAGAAGGTCTCCATTGCGGGTTGTCGTGTACGCAACGGTACCGTCAACAAAGCTCGACAGGTCAGAGTCCTTCGAGGCAACGATGTTATCTATACTGGTAAGTATTTAATGACAACGCTCTATGTACTGCACGATCAATCTTGCTAACTTGCACTAGGATCAATGACCTCGCTCAAGAATGTCAAGAAGGACGTTACTGAGATGCGCAAAGACACCGAATGCGGTATTGGCTTCGAAGACTGGTCTGAATTTGCCATCGGCGACCACGTTCAGTGCTACGAAGAGATCCATGAAAAGCGTTTTTTATAAGATCTTAACCGAATCGGCCCCAAGTGACCAACTGTATTTTTAGATTTGATTTCTCCCCGACGACATTTTTGGTCATCTATCTCATGTACAATATCTGTATACTTTCCCGGCATATTTTTTGCATATTGATCAGGCGTTATTGGACAGCCATTGCTGTACATAACCTGGCAAACCAATCACAAGGTCATTTAGTCCAAAACTTCAATCAATACACCTCATCTCAACGATATACCTCGGGTAATGGCTCAGTCTTTTATACAGAAGAAAGTGAAATCACGGATATAAAGCCGCGCGCTATCTTGCCTTCCATCTTACCCTGCTAACCCATTTCGCCCAGTCCTGGACATCCGCCCTCTCCATAATCCTCTCTACAGTGAACCACTCTCTGGCTAATTCCTCATTACTTGCCATCCGATGCACAAAACTATGACAAGCCCGGCAAAGCCATGCAACGCTATTCAACATCCACTCATCATGCCATCCCTTCTTAATGACCTTGGCATGCACACCTCGAGGAATCAAATGGTGATACGATAGGGGAATCCAGTCCCGCTCGCAAATTTCGCATGCATCTGCCCGAGTTGCTGACCACTCTGGAGGACCACTCGTAACGCTGGAAACATACTCAGATAGCACAGGTGATATGAAATCGGGGAAATCAGTAGGTTCAGGAATAAGACCGTAGACAGACAATGTCTCTGTAACGTCGACGGGGGTTATTGTGCAGATCGAATCAAGAACAGACCGATCGAGAGGTGCGTCTTTCTCGATCGGGATATAGATATTTGAAAGGTTGGGATCATGTTGAATTCCGGCGTACGAGAGTATTCGTAGATCTTCTGGGAATGAGGTAAATGTTTCGGATGCGATAAACTGGCGTGATGTTAGACCTGGCATAGTTTCTCGTTTATGCGACTAAATATGTAGCTGCATGTGTAGTAGTAGGCATATGCCTATATGAAACGTACATCAATAAACTCAGCCAGCTCCTCCGGGTTAGCTCGTTCGGCGTGAACTACCTCCGAGCTCACCACGGTGCTGCTTTGTTTGCGCCCGCCGCGCTTGACTTTGGTTCGTCGCTTGGTTTTTGGCTTCTCAGAGCGAGCGACAATCGCACTGGAAAGACATTCTCGAAAGATGGAGTAATTTTCATGAGATGTCATTGATCACACGTGCATGTCCTGCTCAAATACTCCGACCGTTAGATTATGTTGCGTGAAGCAAGTTATGCCCCACGTACCTCGGGTTGCGTCAACTGAAGATTGACATCATCTCCGAACTCCGCATTTGAGGACTCATCAACACCTACTTGGGGAATTATCAGCCACGCCAGAGCACCGTTAATTCAAACTCGATTAGTATCTCATGCCTCAATATGGCGGACAAAATTATCGTGGCTTTTGATATGTATGGCACCTTGTTGTCCACCGATTCCATTTCCAAACAATTGGAGATATATCTTGGCTCGGACGCAGCACCATCTATTGCGACACTCTGGCGTCGTTATCAACTGGAATATACATGGAGACTCAACAGCATGGGTGAGTACACAAGGAGCTGTCATAACCCTGGCTACAGGACATGTCTAACGATATTTATTTGATTCATCCAGAACAATATGAAGATTTTGCAGCTGTAACGCGAAATTCACTACGCCATGCCTTAAATGAGTCGGGCCAACAATTAAAAGACACCGAGATCGAATCTTTAATCAAAGCATACGATAGTCTACACACATTTCCAGACGTAGGTCCGGCGCTAAACAGAATTGCTAATAACTCGAGCATTCGAGCCGTGATATTCTCAAATGGAACCAAAGATATGATCTCAAACTCGGTCTTGCGCTCCGCAGATTTGTCTAAGCACGCAAGTATATTCTCTGATCTGGTCACTGTGGACGAGATTAGGAAGTATAAGCCCTCACCCATTACCTACCAGCACGTTGCAAAGAAGGTTGGTAAGGAATTATCTCAAATGGGCGAAATATGGCTTGTCAGCTCGAACCCATTTGATATAGTTGGGGCGCGGACTGCTGGGATGAATGCAATTTGGGTCGACCGAGCTGCGAGGGGGTGGCAGGATGCTGCATGTCCTGGTATAGAGCCTACGGCGATTGTACACAGCTTGGAGCAGATCGTGACGAAGATCAATAGCAAGCACTAAGGGACGAGAGTGGTCGGCGAGACTTATGGCGGAAAGGTACTAGGATTTGAAATCTCTGGAGTATTTATGATAGTCTGGTTAATAATGCAAGCTTTAAATTGTTTGTTCATGGACTCTGGAAATTGTTTGAAAAATATTTTGTATTTGTTTTGGAGTCAAAAAGAACGAGAGATGGTTGTTAAAAGGGGGATGTACAGCTGATATGTATTTCCAAATGCTCCACGTAGAAAGAAGAATTCGGGGTAAGCCAGCAGAGTCAGTCTATCCTCCCATTTCCCCTCGAAGAACCCATTGCGAGGTGGATTCTAGAGTGAATAGGGAGGACGTTCAGTTTATGTGGAAGAGAAAAGAGAAAAGCGCCGAGAGAAAAAATTTCTCGAACATATAGCAGCGCTGACTAATCTCACACCACGTGATATTGTTATCGATAAGGATCCATAACTGGAGAAACCAACAAATTCCAGGTTTGGTTGCGACGGGTCCACAAGCTTCACCAGCTTCACCATCTAATTAATTCTCGCTCCTATCCCAAGCTGTCGACGATCCTGGATCATGGCGCCGCGATGGGATCCAACCAGGGCCGCATGGCTGTATCCTCTACGGGTATGTCAAAGGAAACATCTGCATAGAAAACATCCCTTACTGAAGTACTGACCTCAACTAGGGAATCCACTATTTTGCAACCCATCGCTTCCTCTGGCCCTTATTTAAAGCTCGCCTTGTGCCAATCGTCCTACTCTCTTCCTTCGTATACTTCCTTCTCTTCTTTTTTACATATCTCCCACAGGTGGCCTTTTTGGCTATCTTCCAAGGAGCCGGAGCATGGGTGAACGGAGCATTCCTGGTACTTGGTGAAGGAGCCGTCGTCGTGTCAACGTTGTTTGAGGCGTTCTTCGTTGATGAGACGTTAGTTGATATATTTGACTCGGTGTTGGTGAATGAAGGGCAAGAGCAACTGGTGCTCGCTTCGCGGGTTATTTACCCCGAAGCCGGCAGCCCGACCAGCCGTCTGGGCACCCCGACAACCAATGCTGTTTATGCCCCATTTTCACTGCGGCAAATCTTGGAGTTTATTCTTTTATTGCCCCTGAACTTTATTCCGGTGGCTGGAACACCCATGTTCCTTTTGTTGACTGGTTATCGGGCTGGACCCTTCCACCATTGGCGATACTTCCAGCTTCTGGATTTCACCAAGCAGGAGAGGAAAGCTAGTGTGGGCCGGCGACAGTTACAGTATACTACGTATGTGGTACCCATGAACATCTATGAGAAACCTTCTAATAACTGTCTTGACTAACTTTCTTTAGGTTCGGGACTGTTGCCTTAATTCTGCAGCTAATCCCTCCATTTTCTATGCTTTTCTTGATGACTACGGCCAGTGGTGCCGCTTTGTGGGCAACTGAGTTGGAAAAAAAGCGACAGCTTGCAAACCAAAGGCCTACCCGGCTGGGTGATGCGTATCATGATGATGATTTCACGGTTTAATAATTTGTATGACGAGGTAAGAACAAGAATACAATCTACAGCTCTAGCAGGATATCTTGAGATCATTGATTCCAATGTAGACTAGTTGCGGTTAGTGCCGGCTTAGTGATAGAGGAAGGAACTCCTAATGTTCACGAGTATTACACAGATTTTAATTAAGTAGTGAATATAATATTGAGGTTCAAGATGAGATATCATCTAATGTGTTGATTTCTTGATTTGTGATTTAAGTATAAGCTGATCTACAGTAGTAAAAGGTATTTTTAAATCCTAATCGTATGATATAAAATCTTGGAAATGTCTTTTTACTCCTTTTTGGTTTTGGTATTTTCTCTTGTTCAATTAAACGCCTTCATTGGGAACCCCACCCCGAGTACAAACACCAATAGTAAATCAATTCTGACTAGGTGACTATGGATGACTCGTTTCATAAGTCATTCCATGCCAGTTCCCTTTCTCCGTATACATTATTTAAGCTTCCCCGACTACGTGCTTCACGTGATCATCCCCTGGCACCACCGAGGCAAGTGTGCACGGCCCCGTTTCCGCTGTTTCCTCCCGAATGGGTTTCTGCCGAGCAAGTGTGCTTAATATTATCAAAATTCGAAGAAAAGTCTGAAAATATACTTTCGAATCATGGGCTTGTTGGAAATGTCAACATCCCCGAAGTTGCAATTGCCCTAATCAGCTAGGCCCTCCGTCTGTGGATGCCTACCGGAGTGTGCGACTCAATTAGTTTCATTGCCTGGGAACGGCATCATCCATAAAAGGGTCCTGCACGACAATAGTAACTCGTGGTACATCGACAGAGAGTTTCGAGCCAGTTAGTGGATTCCAACTGCCACGCGATCTCGCATAATAGCTCCCGGACTGTTCACGAAGTGGGTCAAGGGACCCCCCGCAGTGTCTGCAAGTACCGGACTTTTTACATCGATGAAGTTTATGTGCCTACGTACATGATCATGATCTGATTCCTCTGTCTATGCGCGTGGTGTTTAGGCCAAGTTACTTTGCTCACGGATGGATGCCAAAACTAGGCTGCGCAAGGCGTGCGATGCCTGCAGCATCCGTAAGGTGAAGGTTGGTACTCTCTTTCTCTCTCCGTGGAAAACGTCCGGTAGCCGTGAACTAAAATCCCCATGCGAAGTGTGATGCTAGCGGCCCGCCTTGCCGGTCATGTGCTGGCTTGGACATCCCTTGTACTTACGAACGACCAAGTAGACGTCGTGGGCCTCCAAATCGCCATGCGGAAGCCTTGAAGAAGCAAAAGCTCGAGGCACCACCTGATGCCTCACCGGCTAGTTTAAGTGACGTCCCGTCGGTGTCAACGCCCCAAGCTTCAACGCCCACAGCGCCTCAATTACCGCCTCCATATTTCCCAACCTCTGCTGAGGCAATATGCTCACTCCACACAGTGCAATTGTTGATTGATGATTTCTTCACATACATCCACCCCTTGGTTCCAATTCCTCATGAACCAACTTTTCGAGCGGCTTTTGAGCGCCGAGAAGATACTACCAGTGGCACCTTCCTCGCTCTACTCGCTTCCATGATTGGTTTTCTCGTTGCCTCTTTCCCCCGGCGACCCAAATTACGACTAAACACCGAAGCCGAGCGTTTCGCGTTTCCGAACTCGATTGCTCTAGTAAAAAGATGCCATGATGTTGCAACCCAGGCTCGGGGTACTGGATACCTCGACCGAAATGCAACAGTGTATGATGCAGCAATTAGCTATTTCCTGGGCGTCTGTGCTGGTTACGTGTATAGCATGCGTCGGTGTCGCCTTTACTTAGCAGAATGTCGGACTATGCTACAAGTTTACGACTTATGCCGCTCTCCTACCAATAATCCCCGCATCTCATCTTTGAATGCCACCAGTCCAGTTTCGAATGCGTCAGCCATGTCTGCAGATCAATCCCCAAAAAGCCTCACAGATAACCAGCAATGGGATTTAATCTCCCAGGAACTTGGCCGTCGTCTTTTTTACGTCTGCTTAGTTGGATATCAGTCGCTGCTTCAGCTTGGCTCATCTGACATCAAGATGCATGTGGCCCCGGAGACCCCGACAGATCGCTACCCCCCTTTCCCACTCGAGGTTGACGACGAGTTCCTCTTCCCCACATTTTCCAACCAGCAACCCACAGATCGAGTATCTCGTCTCGTTGGATTTAATGCAAACATACGCGTCTACAGTTCATATAATACGTTGCTGGCCTGGGAGACTGCCTTTGGCAGCGGCCAGATATTCAACTGGGAACACCAGCGTTCAAGCCTTTGGGATTGTCTTCAAAAAGTCAAGTCCGCTCTGTTCGAAGTTCCCGTTGAGTTATCGCTCTTTCACCCAAAACAGGCACCTCCTAGATTCTCCGGGATCGGCGAAGATGGTTCCGTTTTTAATTTTCCAGATGACCATATCAACCAGGAGAAGCGAGCCATACAATACGAGATTCAAAAAGCCAATATTTATGCCAGTCAATTGTGCACTCGGTCTTGGCTCGTCGAAAAATACTGGAATCTATTTGAAGCCTACGCTAGGCATGGCGACCCCGCCAGCCTAAATACCATCAACACAGCACCAAACATTAAAAATGAAGGCTCTTCAGATACACAGCCCGAATCTACATCGAAAACGCCCTCTGAGGTATCATCACAGTCTGTCGCACACGCACAGACAGACTACATCGGTCGTATGATGGCTCAAGAGCGAAAGCTAGTAATCAAAGATTTGTTCGTGCTCCTACGAACCGTCAATGAACTCAACATGGAGCCAAATGGCGCTAGTATCGTATGTTCATCTTCCTCGTGTTTCACCCTACCCCTCGTTGAAATATTAAGCTCACATCAAAATAGACAGGCAAAATTCGCCAAGTGGCATCCACCCTCCTCAATACACCCTACTACTCCAAATTTAATATCCCATCATCAGGCTCGACCCCAGCCGCTGACCCTTTCACAAAAGAATCATCAATCAACGCTATCAATGCTCACACATCATCTGGTCTTCATGTACTCACTACCGCCGAAGCTGAATCTTACCTCCACGCTTTCATCGATACACTACTTCGCCTTGAAGGCTACTCCTATGCGACCACAGATCCCGGAAGCGCGACCGAGAGTGTCAGTCCACAAGCCAACGGTCGTGCAATGAGCTACTTAAGCGATTACGAGAGAGACCAAGAAGAACTAAGCCAGTGGGCTAGTTTGAAGGAGTACCAGCAGAAATTTGCCGAGGCAGGAGGTGTCTTATCTGAACTGTGATGAATGTACATATGAATGAAAACAAGAATTTGCTCTATCTATCATTTTTACTCTGTAGTCCGTGTATTTGAATTACTTGTACTAAAACTGTTGGAAGGGAGCGGAGACCAATCAAAGCTACCTCAATAACAATTTGTAGTATGCGTGAGGGGGCTATAATGCAACAACACGACAGTTCCCATAACAGATGATTAAAAAGCAATATGACCACCCAATGAGTGAAACATCAAAAGACTACCAAAAAAGAACAAGAAATTGAGATTATAACAGGGCCTCTTCTTCGACTCATCATTCAACCAAGAGTGAACGTATCAAAGCCCAACACTTCTGAAGTTTAGAACCTTGGTCACTGTGGCTGTGTCTGTCACTGTTTCCTGGGCTGTCAGCGTTTCTATCACTACCACATATTTTGAATCATTCACAGTCGCTATCATAGAATTGGACGTTGTAACACTCACAACTTAAAATTTTGATGGATCCACCGGAACAACAGTCAACACATCCTCGCCATCATCCGACACAGATACGGTTTTAGTGCTCGTGAAAACCACTACAGATATAGAAGTCACTAGATCCGTAGATGTGTGAGTGACTGTCTCAGTCTTCAATGATGTAGAGGTCTGGACAACCATTGAGGTTTGCAGAACTGTAGAAGTGCGCGTCGCAATTGAAGTTTCCACAGTAGTTGAGGTTTCTACTATAGTAGATGTATGGAAAATAATATGGGTCACAGTCAAAGTAGACGTAGCCTCAGCTTGCGAGGAAGAGATTGTAGGCGAAGGCATAGGCGTAGAACTCTGGATATCATTCAATGTCTGCACAGTAGTGGACGTCTGTAAAACTACAGACGTGATTATGGACGTAGTCTCAACCTGGACAGGCGCAGAAGTAGTAGACGTGGAGCTTGCCTCGGTGACTGCTTCGGAGCTGCTAGTAACTTCTGTAAGGGAGGTCTCACCCAGTATTGAAGTTGCGATGGGCACGACGGAATCGATGATGATGTATGTGACTGGGGGCTCGGTAATGGTACTGGCAGGTTCCGTTTGGGTAACAGTGATTGGAGTATCGGAACCATTGACTTTAACGGTAGATGCGGGCGCTGTCACTGTGTGCTGTATAGTCTTCGTTGAATGAATGGTAATCGTCTCCTCGATAGTGCTATCGGTTGTGGTTGGAAGACTTGTTAAAGTGGGCGTAGAGCTTGAGCTCGAAAGGGTAATTGTTGTATATGGCGTTGACTGTCCTGCAGAATACAGTTCTTCAATTGACCCTGTGACATAATATTCGCTAATGAAAGATGATTCCGATGAAGCTTGTGAAGTTGGGGTTTGGGTTGATGTTGACTTTGTCGTCGTTGTTGTAATTATCTTGTCGCCTGAATCCGTCTTCGAAGAAAATTTGGTGGTTGTAGCTAAGTTCAGCTCTGAAGTGGACTTGATATTTGAACTTGAAGCTGTGACTTTATCACGAACGAAAGATCTGGATTTCCTGGTAGTTGTTGTGATAATTGTTGCAGTGTTGAGCATTTTAGCACTGGTTTTTGTTGTTGTGATAAAGAAGTTTTCCGAAGATGACGTTGAAATAATAGATTGCACGCTATTTGTTTCAACCGCAAGCGCATTGTCTCCCGATTCGGACAAGTATACCATGACCGGACTTTCAACTTGTCGGTTAATTGGAGAGGCTGCATTCTTTGGCACGGAAGGTGAAAAGGTCGCGCTTTTGGATGAAAAGACGGTACGGGATGTAGAAGGCTCCTTGAGTTTGGATGTGGTAGAAATGATGGAAGGAGAAGAAGTCTCGACGTTTCTTGCTGGAGGCGTGCTCTGGCTCTGCCACCAAAAGATCGTGGTCGTAGTCGTTTCAGATGGTATGTCACTCGAACCAGGCAAAACTGAGGTTTCAGACTCCGTAGTGGGATCTTTTTTGTCAGAAGTCGAGATAGTTAAAGAGGTGGTCGCCAAGAAAGATAGGTAGGACGTCGGGTTCAAAGTCAAAGAAGCTGAAGGAGTACTAGAGCGAGAGATAGGACCAGCCGAGCATGCGCCTGCAAATACCAGTAGAAACAAGAAGCGAATGAGCTGCATCTTACCGGTGATCTATGCTGAGATTGAATGAAACGATACTGTTGATCTTCCACGCCGTTGGTTTGGATGTATATCAGTCTTCCAAGGTTTGCAAGATAGAATGGAACTCGGAAAATAAAAGAGTTCGGTAAAAGAATGAAATTTGACCAGCAAATAGGCAGCGAATTCGAGAAATGAGAGTGTCTACTGCCTGGCTGATGAGTAGAATCCCATGGCGCCCAGAGTAGGCAGGAGGCTGAAAGAGAGACTTGTGAATTATATATGAAGGCAAGAAACGGACTAAGAAAAATTAGAGAAAGGAGCGGTATAGAATCCAAAGAAAGAACTAAAAAGAAACGAATGATTCATGAAAGACGCTCAAGGTATTGGGCCGACATGTTATACTATGGCTTGTTTTAATCATTTTCTGGCCTAGGTCTATTGCCATGGAAAATAGCCCAAACCCCATGAGATTCCAGATCGCTCGGGTCCCTGGGACTTTTGTGGGACCTGGCAGCCTGAAATAGAATAAAACATGGAGCTGGGCGCTTATAAGAAACCTCTACAAAAGATTTCTTTGTTGCTGCTGCAGTAAACGCCCGGAGTCTGAGATCCGATTCCGTGATTGGTTACTAGTGGTATCCACATTTGAGCTATAGCTGGACCAATGCTCTGATTGGCAGATAGGAACTAAATAAAGTCTTCGTTTCGTTTCACCGGCAGTTGTCAAATATTAGGATTAAAAAATCTCGTGGTCCTCGTTTCACATATACGCCACTCGGGGAGACTCTTGACCCAGCGAAACACCGTCCTTTTTAGGACGCAGCCACCGTGAAGCTCCCCCCGATACCTTCAAAGGATGAAATATGCCCGAAGGCATTCTTTGAGTCGCCATAATAATGCATACGATATGTTCCACCTTGTAAGGGGTTGGGGTCATCCACACTGTAGAAACTATCCTCGATCGTCCACTGGAGCGTGACGTCGCTATATCCGAGGATTTCATTGGTTCGTTCCCATAGAAAGACAAGGTTCCAGTCCCGATCGTCACGAACGACTGTCCATTCGCCAGAACTGATGTCTTGTTTTTCAATAGCTGCATAAGTAGATTCTTGGTGGAGATTATTTCTGGGGTTGGCGCCCACAAAGGTCGTATTAACGGTATCCCCGGGACCGTATGTTTTGTTGCTAGGGTTAGAAATTACATCCCCGAACGACTTGCCAATGGGTGAATTGTCATAGACAACCCCGGTAATAAAGCTAAGTGAGTTATTGGTATTGACGGGCGGGCTGGGCCCAGAAGGGATGGCGGGAAGGCTAGCAATATCCTGGGCGCTACCAAGGTATGGTAGGTAGGTCAGTGTAAGGTTGATGTATGCCGCAAGTTCATTTGGCCCGTATAGAGTTGATGCTCCTTCATAGCGCTGCACGCTGTATTCTTCTTCCGTTGCAACATAGTGAGCATAGCTGTTTGAGGGGGCTCCCAGAACTACCTGAGGGTCAGAAATCCCAAGAGTGTCTTGGACACCCTTTGCGATGGCCTCTTTCCAGCGTCGACCTGACATAGTCGTTGCCTCACTAGTGGAGATAATTATGAACAGTTGCCCCACTCGGAGAACCTGGATATCCACAATGTCTGGGGCCCATGCGTATGGTAATGTCAATGTACCAACATCTAAAAGAATATCTTTGGCTCCTTGACACTCCTGCTGCTCCTCACTAGGTTGATGAATGAAAGCCCGAGCAACTTTCCACAGCGGATTATTAGTAGCTGGACCGCTCGCATTTTGCGTAAAGTCAAATGCACCTGGCCCATCTGTAGTTCCAGCAGCAAACGAGTATCCCAGTGCCGCAGGGCATGTCTTCAATGTACTGCCGTTAAACGGAGACGGGAAGGTGTAGCCATTCAAATCTTTGAAAACGTGAAAGGACCTCACATCCGAGCCGCCAGTGATGGTAGTGGCGTTGGAACTCATCTGTTCATACAGTGATTTAGCCGCCGAATATTGGCGTCGGCCGATTTCGAAGCAGCTCTTAGCGCCGTTGTCCTTGACCCGAAAGAAAGGACCCCTGCCATGGCAATCCTCGTTCGTACCACCACAGGTGCTGTCTTTATATGTGCATATTTTTCCTGAGCCATCCTCGCACCACGCGCCCAAAATGTTGGGACTTGTGTCTCCAACATTGGACTGAGAGAATCCTATGACAGCATCTTCTGCAAATCTAGAGTCGCCATCGATACTTCGCTCGAAGAGATAAGCAGCGACTCCTTTGTTGTCTCCAGTAACCAAGGTGTTGTTGTTATACATGGATGTTCCATGAACAGGGAACCATGTCAGGATAGCAGTAGTCTTGTTGTCGGACTCGCGGTCAAAGCGAAGAAGCGTCATTGTCTTGTCCACATTAGCCGAATAGCGAGCCTTCTCTTCCTCGGGGTTATTATCATAGGAGTATGGGCTGCGGTTAATATTGGCATCTTCAATCCCAATAGACCCAAATGACAAACTTCCGGGCGTGAGATTTTCATGCGCACGTTGAATGGATAGAACCGCCCCGTCGACGATTGCCTGGTAGCTCTGCTTGTCGAACCCCTTGGTCGGAATTTGAGGAAGCAGGTAGTTCATCCAGGCGCCGGGCCCAGAATGGGAGTGAGTTCCCGTTAGGGCGATGTTGTGCTCACCGTAGCGAGAATATTTGCTGCCGAGTGCTGCAAGACCCTGTAAAACTCCATGTCGCACAGCAGTATCACCGGCGAGCGTATCGAGAACAAGGTAAACAAGGGTGTCATCAGGTTTATTCGGGTCTGCAAAAATAAATGCGCGCGAGTAAATCCTCTGTCTTAGGCCTGTTCCCAATTGATTAAGGCTAGCATAGCCATTGAAGTCGACCTCGACTACTGGTCTGGACACTTGATTAATATAAAGACCCTTAGATAAAACCAAAAAGCAAGACACTGTACCCAGTTACATCGGCTTTTCCAGCACCCACCAGAAACCGATTATTATTATTACTATTTTGCGTAGCACTAGCTCTGCCTTTCCAGTGATTGAAGCTTTGCGTGAAGGCTGAGGTGGAGATCTGGCCAGTATGTTGTACCATAGCAATAAGCTGAAGGAAGACCAGTAAAGTCAGGGCAACCGCAAAAACGGCGGCACCAAGCCGAAGATTCATTGTGATTTGTGAAGATCAAAAATTTAGGCTGAGAAATATTTGCAAATGATGACGATAGGGTTGACTCTGTTATGAGAGTGCAGGAGTTGTTGGACCCACGGGGGTATTTAAGCAGCAGCTAGACGGACGCAGGGTCCATGATAAGACAGGAAATCGGTCCGTTGAAGATCTTTCCCTCAAGAAGGCTAAGCATTCAGGAGGGTCGCATTCTGGGTAAGCGATGTGGACGTGTGATGGACAAGGAACCTGCAGGGTTGGGATCGCAATGTACCTATCCCTGCCAAAGCCCGAACGGGAAAGGACCTTCCATTTCCCCGCACGGAGATATAGATGCGCCCGATCGTACAAGTAATGCATATGTAGAGATACCTAGGTTTAGCGAACTCGGTCCAAAGCTGCATGTGTCAAATAGGTCTCGGACAACTGGAATTCCAGAGATTGGTGATAAATCTATTAGCGCTCTATATTCAGGAAATCTTCGAGGTATCTCCATACCAGGTACGTTGACACCCTAGGAAAGGTGGGACCAGTGATCGTCTAGGGTTATACTAGATTACTTTTTGTGGGTGGATTAAGAAATTCGATTCGCCAGATGGTTCAAAATTGACATCCTCGGATGATGAACGACCACAGAACCGGTTCCAATTTCGTAAGGTGGTACCAAAACAGACAACAGACGATGTGAGTTCAATCAAATTTCTGCTGGTACTCCTTCAAACTTGCTGTTTCAAGATCTGGATTGACATATTCCCATACACCAGCATTCGCGGCAGTACGTTTGACTTGGCTGATTCAGGGAAACCAACCGTCTGTTTATGCGATTGAATAGCTCCATTTAAGAGACGTGGAAGCTGCGTTATCACATCTACTGGATTGTTTTCGTCAAGTATGCACTCCATGTTTGGTGGCATTGACAAACTTCACTAGAAGTTGGCCTGAGAATTAGGATGATGATTTTTTTTATATTAAAAAACGGGCTCATAATGAATGAATTCAAAAACCAAGTGCTCTTACTCAGAGGACAAAGATCCATCAAATTTGAACATTTGAACATTTGAACATTTGAACATTTGTTGAACATTTGAGATCAATCGTATGGTTTTGATTGGTCAAATAGAAACAGGGTCACCTGACTTTCACCACACCGCTTTCCGTTGCGATTGCTTCAAGTTGCAAGACGAGAACATCGGAACCTTTAACCGACTGATCAACCTCCAAAATGCCTTTAATTAATGAATCACACGACTCTCTCCCATGTATGACGAGTAGCCATCTGTTTACTCATGCAATGAAACTAATTATCGCCATAGACATCGACGCTGATCCATCAGCCTCTGCGCGCCAACGCGCTCAGCAGCTCATTAACGCCGAATTGTCCCCAGAACACACCAACACCCTTCACCCCTCGATCCCACCGGCTCCAGAGCCAAAATTCTCTCCTCTCATTCAACAAGAATTGGAGCGCAAGGCAACCGGTGCCCCTCTTACCGGCGGAATCGATCTCACCCACTATGAAGCGCCCGAACCACCAGTCCGCGCGGAAGCCGACGAGACCCCAAAACTAGATGAATGGCGTCAGGCTCTTCAACAAGCATACAAGTCGAGCTCGCATCTTTCCAAGCGCCACGAGAATCTGACCCTCCTGGATGAAAACGGAAAGAACGCATGGTTGATTGGTAACTCGCAACTCGAATATATCCTTCACGGGCTCGAGAAGGAGCTGGCCGAAACAAAGGAGACTGCAGAGGAGGTCAACAAACAAAGAAAGTTGGCTCAGGAGGCTAGATATGGCGAATTGTCGAGCTTGGAGGATACCTGGAAGCGCGGGGTTGGTGCCATTCTGGATGTGGAGTTAGCATCTGAGGCCATCCGGATGCAAATTTTGGAGCATCGGCGACAAGCGGCTCAGCAACAAGCGCGCTAAGGATATTTCAACCAAGGCATTTTAATCTTTAGACGATTATGCATTGTCGCATTGTTCATGGCTCTATGATACCCGTCTCGAACAGACATTCCGACCTTTTTATAAGGTATCCGAGCTACTCTGCCCTAGAAGAATCTATGGCGTCAGGTCGCTTGCGACAGACTAGTTTTATGGATATGCTGTCTCTGCTAGACACTTTTATGGCATGCTATCTAAGACATTTGGCAATGTGTCGCAGGCTCGACACCTTGCTCCTGCTATGATAAAATCTTCTGCGGAGTTGTCATCAATGACCATTGTCATGATGAGTTTAGAATCTGGAAACGAAAGAATGGAGATAGCAGCTGCTAGCTGTTCTTCTACAGTCACAGCTAGGCTTTGGATTTTTCTGGGAAAGGAACATGCAATAATCAACCCGCTATGTAATACCAAATTCAAAGACTCAAGGTCCGAAGCTATCAAATAAACTCCAATGAAGCTACTCCCATTCAATGTGGTTGATTTGATTTCGTCGACGAAAGAGAGAAGGAAAAAACTTACTCATCTCGCTGCGCTAGGCTATGCTATTATTAAAAGAAATGCACCACCCAAACATTAAACTTCAACACTCCCACTAAATCTCCAGCTAAATATTTTTCACCGGTGCAGCAACATTAATGTCAACTCCTTCTTCAGTCACTCGTAAAGGTCCCACCTTCTCCTCAACGAAAACCTTCTTTGCATCAGCCTTCTCATTCCAATCCAGCAACTGCTTACACATAGCCTCAATTGTCGTAAGTGGAGCATTGTATCCCAATCCTCCTTGCTCGGGTGATTTTCTCGCTCGTGAATCATCCGCAATGACAAACACGTCCGAAATAGAAAACAGCGATGGTTGGATTTGGGCCAGATCACCCTTGATCGCTGGTAAAAGCCAGGGCAAGTATTTGAACTGAATGTACGAGTAGACCTCAAGAATATGAGATAAAACGAGCATCTGTACAGGTTGAATCTTCGGGAAATGAACTGGGGTCTTGGAAAGAGTGCACAGTAGCGTGTAAACGTCGTCGAAAGAGATTGCCGGGTTGGGGTCCGTGACAACAAAAGCTTCTCCACCAATATTGGGGAGCGTGGAGCCAGGTTGACTTTGCTCTAGCAAGTGTTGTTCATAGAGCAGATGGGCAATAGAAACGTTCTCGGCGTTGACAAAACTTTGTATGACGTTGTTCAACCAACTATGTAGAAGGGTTATTAGCATTCTGATCTCAATCTAGACGAATTGATCAATAGAACCCGGATGTTACTCACGTTGGACAGGTTCCTCTACGTAAATAGACACCAGTAAGAGTCATTGCGGCATCGCTTCCAATTCCATAGATACCATTCGCCGGTCGAATACATCCAGTTCTGAAATTAGATGAAGTGTCATCCGCCGAACGAACGAACCGTTCCGCTTCGGACTTGCTCACGGCGTAGTTTCCAAAAAATTCTTCATGTCTTTTCGGTAGTGGGGCACAATCGCTGAGGATCTGTACAGCTCGTCCAGGCACTTTCGACCAAGGAGCAACCCAGAAATTGGGGCGGTGAAGAGCTATAGATCCAGAAGAAGTCGAGATGAAACAGCTTGCACCGTTGTTTCTGGCTGCGTTGAGAACATTCTTTGTGCCGTCCAGATTCACTCTGTTGTGAATGAACAGAAGCATTTTCATCCGATCTTGTGGGCGAATAATGGCTGCTGTGTGGAAGACAGTCAAGGGGAGCTGTGCAACGGTTTGCGGCCATGGTTGCTCAAATGCGACGTTGACTTGGATTTCATCGGAGATATTGGTTTTGACGTAGGCTACACCTAGATCGAGAACGTCTTTTGTTGGAGAGAGGAGATCCAGGATGCGAATTGCAGATGGGCTTTCGCCGCGGGCCAACAAATGCTGGACAATCCAACCTCCCACCAGGCCTAAGAAAATGTTAATGTCCCGATTTTTACTTCTTTCATATTCCATAAAATGAATTCATTTTCAACTGAATTGTCATTTGGTAAGGTAAAGAAAGGTACTCACCAGCTCCACCCACTACTACGTAGCGGCGACTCTGTTTTGCAGGGATGCTTTTTGTCACGTCGACTGGATTCTCCAGGTTCTTTTGGTAGGCAGCTTTGATCTCATCTGTAGTCCATCGTTGCGGAGAAAGTTTCCGGGCTTCCTCTGGGATTCTCTTCATGGCTGAATTGACATGGTACAAGTACAACGCCGCCAAGCCAACAGCGGCGGATAGAAGTATGTAAGTCATGGTAGTCGTTGGCATCAAGCTTCGTAACAGGAATGAAGGTAGAAGGAGATCTGCTGGAATGAGAGCTCAAGTGTCAAAAGTAAAAGAAAAAGACTTGTGTTGTTACAACAAATGACCTACGAGCTCAGGCCATCTACAAGTCAAAGTTGTCAATGTACAAGTGACTTTGCGGCGTTTGTTGCTTTAAAGAAGTTTGTACAACCAACATGCAAGAATAAGAACAATAAATAAAATGGATTCCTGTGTAGATTTCTTGCTAATAGATCAATTTTTTGGACTTCATTGGCTCGTTACCCCAATAATAATTTCAAGAATACCCCATGTCGCAATCTCAGATTCTGCAAAGATCGCTTAGAGAGTTAGACGGCTCGGTTATTTCTAAACGAAGCCACTGCGCCCCATGGTTGGTCAAAGAGCCTCGCGTCGAGCTTGAAACATTCAAATCAGGAAGGCAATGACGAGGATTCATTCCTGAATTTTGAGGCGTTCAGGAAATTCTCCGAATTCCCCGAAGTTTCATTTGGGTTTCTTTTTTGGGGTTCAAATTTTTTTTTACTTGGTCTTTGCTTTGGCCCAGGCTTGATCCACCTTTTGTAGTGAAAGAGCCGTTTGAGCCCCTTGCGCTAGATTATGTCAGGCTAGAGTCTACACGTGACCTATGGCGTTCACCACGTGCTTCCGCGGAATCCATTCCGTCTTGTCTGTCTCTATTCCGCATTGCACGTTCTTTTCACCTCAAAATTGCACATTTCATTTCGGAAGAAGGATTCAATGGCTGATACGATTTCTTTCGGGTCCTGAAATCGGCATTCCTAATCTCTCAGACCTGATCGGGATGCCCATTCTCCCGAAATTTTGTCTTTTCCCGAGACCTCGAATGAAGGTTCTCTACTCTATACATTTTTATACTCGATAGCACTGGATATGATGTACATTAGATATGTGGCTCGCAAAGAATACCGACCCACTGGCCTTCTTTTGGAATATTTTATAAATCATATTTAACAATCGCAGCCTCTTGTTGGCTAATACCATGTCATGACTGATGATGGGGATTGCGAATCTCGGCAAACCGGCACACTAATCAAAACCTGCCCAGGTGCCGAAGCCTCCACCAAAATTGGAGCAGATAGGGCCTTTGATACCCAAGGCAAAACACATATGAAATTTACCCATGGGGAAGCCACACAATCTGGAACCTAGAGCACTGGGGGAAGAGGAGAAGATTTGGAGGAAAAGATTCAGAAGAACATACATTGGATCAAATGAAAATAAAGCAACAATTGCCAGGGGCGCCATGTAGCTAAACATTCTTCCCTCGACATTCAATATTGACTTACTCGGCTTATTTGCCCTGCATCGGCCAAATTTCCGAGATCCGTCATAATCACCTTACTCGGCATCTGTTGGGCTCTCTCGGCGTCACAGAATTAGGCTTATCACTGGCTCTGGCCCCACTTCATTATGGATGGCGTTCCAGTCAAAAATTTCTAATTTAGCGGTTCATATGTGCAAGAGAAAGCCTCTTTGTTTCCCATCTGCTTTCCTGTCTGCTTCTGGCCAGATCTAATCCCTCAGACGACATCAAGCGCGCTTTAAGACGCTTTCATACTGGACTTTCAGTACCCGATATCCAACACAGAGAGGTTTATACTGAACAAAGAGACCAGTCAGCTGTTCATTGGCTTTTGTTCTTTTCAGTATCGGAATTATCCATTGTCGTAATTATTGATTATCGGCATTATTCACTATCGGAATTATTCAAGTTTCATCGATGGCCCTATTGTCCATTTACGACAACCAAATTCAAGCTCTATTGAGCCTCCAAACCTGAAATCCTCATACATCACCCACCGACTCGAAGATGTCGTCGCAGCACTCTTCTTCAGACCATGAAAAATGGCCCGAAAACCAAAATGGCGATACTGACTCCATCGTTGAAACAATTTCATCGGTAGACACACAGACAGATCACGATGCGCTAGATAAAACATTAACAGCACATGCATCGCTAGCTTCCGGGCACATGTCATTGGCGGAGCGTGTAACCACCATTCCTACTAATGTGACATCTGATCCCAATTTCGAAGTCGACTGGGATGGAGATGATGATCCTACCAACCCTAAAAATTGGTCTTTGGCGTACAAGGCCATGGCCTTGTTGTTTTTATCTTGGAACACTCTTGTTGTGTAAGTCGTCGGACCCTGAAAACTTGAATCCTTAAGAATACTTTGCGTGGTTTTTTTCAGCTAAACATGCAATATCTAAAGTGTGCTATACTCTACATCTTATACCTCGGCAACAACTCAGATTGGTGATGAATTTGGCCAATCAGATATCATTGTCACTTTAGGTCTTACGTTCTATTTAATTGGACTGGCTATTGGCTCGATGTTCATGGCTCCATTGAGTGAAGTCTACGGCCGGAAACCTGTTTGTGTGATTTGTATGACAATATTCACGGTCTTAATCATTCCCTGCGCTCTCGCTCAATCTGTGACGGCTCTGATTGTCGTTCGTTTTATTGGAGCGCTTTTTGGAAGCGTTATGATTTCCACTGCACCGGGTATGGTGGCTGATCTGACAGACGATGATAACCGCGCATTGGCTATCTCAGTTTGGAGTATTGGACCCCTCAATGGACCAGGTTTGTTCTCCTTTAAAAGAGTGTGACCCTAGTTGTTGTCAATGCTAATTGAGAATCGTTAAAGTATTGGGCCCTGTCATTGGAGGATTCGTCACACAGTATCTTGGCTGGCGTTGGATGTGTTGGATTGCTCTCATTCTCTCCGGTGTTTCATTGGTCTTTGCTTTCATTTTAAAAGAGACCTACGGCCCTTCCATTCTACAACAGAAAGCAGCACGTCTGCGCAAGGAGACGGGTGATTCACGCTGGTGGTCGCGCTACGATAGCCAGGAACCTATATTTGAGATTCTCAAGCTGAACCTCAGTCGGCCCTTCGTAATGGCCGTCACTGAGCCTATCTGGTAAGTGATATAATCATACCTTACATCCCCGCAACTTACTAAGAGTCCATAGCATATTCTGGGATATCTACGTCGCCATCGTGTACGGCATCCTCTACCTTTGTTTCGTCGCCTACCCTATCGTCTTCGAAGACATTCGCGGTTGGTCTCTCGGCCTATCAGGCCTATCTTTCCTAGGTATCGGTCTAGGCGTCCTCATAACCATTGCATGCGAGCCGCTCGCTCGCCGCCTCATCAACAGCCACAAAATTGATCCGGAAACAGGCAAAGTCTTCCCCGAGGCAATGGTATCGTTTATTTGCATTTGCTCACTCCTTATACCAATCGGTGAGCTTTGGTTCGCCTGGACATGCGCCCCCGCCTCAATTCACTGGATTGTCCCCATACTGGCTGGTGTACCCTTCGGCGCTGGAAACACAGGCGTCTTCATCTACGCCCAGAATTACCTGACAGGTAGCTATGGTGTGTATGCTGCATCTGCACTTGCGGGTAACTCTGTTATTCGAAGTATTCTTGGTGGTGTCTTGCCCATCGCGGGCACGTATATGTATAATAGCCTTGGACCGAATTGGTCGGGCACACTGCTCGGTCTGCTTGAGGTGGCTATTGTGCCGATTCCATTTGTGTTTTATAAATATGGACACAAAATTAGGGAGAAGAGTACCATTATTACGCGCATGCAGGAGGAAAAGAAGAAGTTAGAAGGGAAGAGGGCAGGAAGGACGGCTCAATTGGCTGATATTCGAGAGAAGCCAGAAGAATCTGTCTAATGGATGGTCACTTCTTTTTTTGTTTTTTTGGTCCTTTTTTAGCATCGATATCCCATATCATTGCATTCGAGGTGTTTATAATGTTGAAAGGCTTTATCAATCTTACAACTCCATTACTGGAGTGGGATGGTTGGCAAAATAATATAATTGATCACTTCTTGGTATATCTTTCAGCGGGTATTAATTTGGAATAGCGTTTCCAAAATCGGGGCTAAATCCTTGTTGCTTTTCTGGATAGCACTCATATTTCATCATTGTGAATAATGAATTCGACTTTCGACACCTTGAACATTTCGAAGGATGCGCTCGTATTCACCCAATGCAATCGCACCTGCGGGGAAAACCATAAGGGCCTCCACAATAACCGGTCGAGCCGGGACTTTCACGGGAATAGTAACAGTGGCATATTCGCTGTTTGAGAATTGCGAGTCATGTTCACTGGAAGAAAAGGACGCTTCTGGTGGACAGGAAGAATCTCGGACATAACCTAGTACATTCAGCCAGGTTCCGACGCGCAGATCCTCCGCTGTCAAACTCTCCAGAACAGCATTGATATCCACAGAAACAGTGTTGGGCCCGGTCTTGCTGCGTGGATAATTGTGCTCTAGAATCAAATGACCCACAGCGACATTATATTGGCTGACACTATTGTCATACAAATAATTAGTGCATATTAGTGACAGCCAATCGTTATATAGGCGATGCAGTAGTAAATGGGTGGTATCTCCGGAGACGCACCATCCCAGAAATCGAATCTTCGAATCTGCAGGTAATTGCGGCAGATCGCACAGGAATGCGCGAGTTGAGGGACGCGGCCCATTCATTCCTAGGATGAAGAACAAGAAACGACACTGCTCGTGATCAACTGGTAGATGTTCCAGAAAACAGCACGTGACCCCGTGTATGTCATAGGTGCAGCGAGGGGAAAGTCCTCTCCCCTCCATTTCTCGGACTTCATCACAAGACTTACAAACTGCCCAACGAATCCCCGATCTTCAATCTGACCCGATCCTCGAAGGAAATCAACGCACCACGTGTCGTCGAATCGCAATTTTCTCTCTTTGTTCTCCCGCCTTCGCTTCTGACGTTTCCCTGGTGCCTACCAAACCCGTCTACCTCCCGTCAGATTGCCGCACTGACTGGTGCACTTTAATACTACCGCTCCGACAGAGCCCAGTGCTGCCTGATTACCTCCGCACGATAGAAAAGGTCTCACATACTACACCCACCATCCCGTTATCTCATAAATCTATCGCATAAACCATGTGGTCCTGGTTCGGCGGCGCAGCCGCTCAGAAGCGCAAGGATGCACCCAAGAACGCCATCCTGTTGCTGCGCGGACAGTTAGATATGCTACAGAAGCGCGAGAAGCACTTGGAACATCAAATTGCGGAGCAAGATGCCACGGCACGGAAGCACGTCAACACAAATAAGAATGGTACGGTTTCGCCTAACTCTCTATCTGTAAGCAAAATTGGGAGTATGCTAACATGCTATGCCATTTTAAGCTGCGAAGGCCGCTCTCCGAAGAAAGCACGCCCTCGAAAAGAACCTCGAGCAAACATCAGGGCAGATCATGCAGCTCGAGCAACAGGTATACTCGATTGAAGCGGCGAATATCAATCATGAGACACTGCAGGCAATGAAGCAAGCTGGTGCGGCTATGGAGCAGATTCACGGTGGAATGAGCATCGACAAAGTCGACGAGACAATGTATGTTTTATTCAAGAGGGTATTGAATTGCCTTGTCTATATGGCGCGTTATTCATTGGTCACTTTTCGCTAATAACGCTTGCAGGGACGTTCTCCGAGAACAACACCAACTGGCCGACGATATCGGCGCTGCAATTACCTCCGTGCCATTCGGCGACCAGGTGGACGAGGGTGATCTTGAAGCTGAGTTGGAAGGGATGGAACAGGAGGCTATGGACGAGCGGATGCTCAATACCGGTCCTGTCCCGGTCAATACCCAACTGGACCGATTACCAGCGGCTGGTACTTCAGACTGTGAGTTGATAAATTTGCCCTTTCGGCTTCATGCTCAAATCGTCCGAATCCATACTAATGCTAAAACCTCCCTCAGTAAGCAAAGACAAGACGCAGGCAGTCGAGGAAGACGACGAGGAGGCAGAGTTGGCCAAGTTGCGCGCTGAAATGGCAATGTAGTAGTACTCTGCTATGACTGCTATAATCACCATTTTCTCGTTGCATTTGCATTTGCATACGCAAGACCCGATTCATTCTCCCCCGCTCTAACTGGCTTCCTTCAGAGCTCTACTTCATTCTTCATTCGACCCACCTTTTTAAGCATTGGACGTGTTATTTGATTCTTCACGCAAGCAAGCCTCTTCTTTTTGATATGTATCCTGGCGCCAGCTCTCTCTTTATACACCTTGAATATGGTTATTTCTTTGTCATCTCGCTTCCCTGACCTCAGGTTCCGTTGTTTGCTTTTTTTGTCTATGGACAAATGAATTTTTTAGACTTTTAAATATTCCTCACGTCTAGTTTCCGCCTTGTTGCAAAATGACGTTATTATCTTGAAGCACTGCATTGATACTATACTCCTCTCTAGATATAGTCATATGGCTTTACTTGAGTGGACATAAATTTGAATGTTGTCACGGTTTGATTAAATAAAGTGCATTTGATAGAACTCGAGAACCATGACACTCTGGGCGAGCGTCAAGGCACACTGGAGAATATAAAATTCAGATAAAAGAAGACACATGAAACTCCTATGGCCTTTTGACCTGCCATGACAAAAGTAGTCACCCAAATCCCCATGCCAACCTAAATTCGCCGGGGAACCGCAAAATAAAAAGAATGAAAAATATCAGGAGAAATAATGTAAAAGGTTCCCTCTTAGCTGCAAACTCCTTGAAAATCAAAACCCCAGCCATAAATTTACCACATCAATTCAAATTTCAAAATCAACTCATAGAAACCACGTAACACTAGGACGGGGCTGCGAACGAGCGCCATCAGTACTTTCACCTGACCATCTTGACTTCCACTCTACTTCTGCAGCGGCATGGTCGAGAAGAGCCTCCTTGCATTCGTCAGGCAGTAGGGCGATGAGTTCGGGATTCATGAACTCCGTATTCTTGGGATTAGCGATGCTGACGAACCCATTCGAGCCTATATCCTTCAAATCGCCATCTGGGCCTGGGATGCCCAAGTTAGAATGTTGTGGGGATTCGTAGGTGATATCCTGGATTACGTGACGATCTGAGAATGACTTGGGGACAGGAGGGAATATTGAAACAGGCTCCTCGGCGGTGGTGGTATTATCAGCGGATTCAATGATGGATTCAGGATTGGCGCTTGCGCTGTCTGTGATGGTTGGGTTTTCCTTGCTCGCGATGGTGAGAGATGACATGTCGTTCATCAGAGCAGATGTGCGGACTTCGGAATCGGGCGGAGCCACACGTTCGAAGCGAACGTGAGTTGGCTGCATGATCTGGGGATATTGCATTGCGTTGGTGTGTATGTCATATTGGCCTCCCATTGTGGAGCGGCGCATTTCAGAAAGCTTCGAGTTATATGCACTGAATGAGTTGTTAGTAAATAATTTCCGGGTGTGTATTGGAAATTGTATAATAGACTTACCTTGCTGCACGGGCATGCTCAAGCATCCAGTTGTCATCCGTTACAGGCACGCGTCGCTTCTTAAGATCAACGGGCTTACCACCAATCATAGGTACAGATGGCGCATTTGTGTGATAGACACTGCTAGCTCCATGCCAAGCTACATATTGATTCCGATTGTAGGGTTCACCAGGACCGGGCAGCTTATCTTCAGGAACAGCCAGCTCACCTTCCACATCACCACGATCACGCGCGGCTTGTTCATCATAATCATCGACGACCTTCTTACCACCCACGATGATCTTCGCACCAAACTCACGGAACACCGAACGCGCAGTGACAACACCGATAGCGCGACCCTTGTAGGAGTGCGGAATTAAATCACGTTCAATCAAATCTCGCTTTGCATCATCATCAATAATGATCTTGTACAGCATCTTATGCTTCTGGAAAAAGAGATACGAGTCACGGAAACCAATGCATCGCGCAGGCTCCGTCGATAACATGTAAAGTCGATCATCGCGGTTCATAATAGTGAATGTGCGAACTCGGTACTCGCGCCCACCAAGCAGATGGCCATTATCGTCGACTTTTGTAGCTCCTTGAGGATTGGGCGGTATAGAGACTTCGTCGTTGATCACATCCATCATATTTCCTTCCTTGTCAATGGGTACTTGAGTATTATGTGAGGGGCCACGATTACGTGCCCAACGTCCACCGCTAGCAGCTGGTCGACCTCTGCGACGCTTAACAGGGGTTGTTACTCGAAGTGGTGTGTCAGGGCCATCTGGCGCATCCCAGTCTGGTGGGCGATTCTTGGGCGGACGACCGATGCGACGCTTTCGGGGAACGGCTGATTGGCGACCTCCCGTGAAAGTGGGCGTATCATCTGCGCCTTGGATTTGTGTTGTATCTTCAACTACAGGAGTTTCGGCAGTGACGGGTTCCTCGGCCTTTGAACCCTCAGGCGTGGCAGCTTCGGCATCCACATCAGGTTCCGCGTCACTTGTAGGTTCAGGCTCTACATCGGGATCATTCTCAGGCGAATCGTGGTAGTCGGGTATTGGTGAAGATGGTTGCGATGGCGGAGCATCTAACATTTCCTCATCGGACACGTCGGGGATCTGCGGCGCATTTCCTGGAGATTTGGCGTTAGTGTTGACGGTACGCGTTTGAGGGGGAATAGGGCTGTGTATGGTTGAAGGAGAGGAATTGAAGAAATGGTAGAGTACTCACGCATTGACTTTGCTGCCGCTTGGGCGGCAGCCCGCAATTTTCGAGGCATGATAGCTGTATATCGAGAGGAAACCTGATCAAGGATCACTCAATGTCACTGAAGCTGTTTTCCAATAGTCGGAATAATATTGCCCCGATCAGTAGTGATATTCCGCTTGTCACGTGATACTGAGCTGAGTTCATGCCTCAGGTATCAGGAAGTTAACACCTTAGTTAGTTGCAACAGCCTTCATCATACCCTAAGCCCTAACTGCCATTTTCAGACTCCGTCTGCATCTGCATCTCGACCTTCATCTCCTGACGTCATATGTTGATCTTTCGCCATCTCCTTGTCAAAGCTTCCATTCCATCTTCACCAATTCACCAATCGTTCTGCGATCAGAAACCGTTCAGGAATTCTAGACTTCTCACCGCCTTTTATTCTAACCTATCTCTGATCTCATGGTTGCAGGCTATGTACTCATGTTGCCATATGGCAGTTCGTGCTCGGTGCAGATGTATACTAGTAGAATGAGCTCATACGCCCTAAATGCTCACCGGGTCGGGTCGTTCACCGTTCTTTCCCGAAGACCCTAGACGAGCAATAAGCGTCCGGTTAACTAGAGCGGTCTTTCTAGGTCCGTGCTGCTTAGAGAATAAACGTATGAATACAGTGTTATTTTACAGCGATGAAATAGGGCTACAGACAGCATTTGTCACATGTATAAATGTAGCTTGGACCGCAGGAATTTCGGAGTGAAACCTGCTTTTATTTCGATGCGGGATATACAGAAGCTCATAATTCAGGTGCCGCTTGGGCCTATATTAGTAGTATTCCTCGATTTGGTATCAGCCAGCCATTGAACTTCCACATGTACTAGTACATGTACTTGGGTACACACCCATAAATCTGCATCTCGTAAGGGGCCATCTATCGCTAGTAGATTGCTATGTACTATTAATATGCTCCATACGCATATAGAGTACTAGAAGGCTTCTGATGTCGTCATTGGACAGGTGTTAAACCCCAATCATCGTGCAGCTTCTAGTGCAGCTTCCTCATTATTCCAGAATGTATATAAAAGCCTTTCTAACGCATTTGAGTAGGTCCGAGAAGCCTCGGGATGGAGGAGTCGGCTGCATGGCTATAGGTTGTGGCACATCCTCACCGTAGCTTGCAGATGACCTACAAATGGGATCTGCTTGGCTGTATGGAGAAAGTTACCCGTTGGGCATGCAGCCCTGGGAGCTCGGGGAAGAAAACTAAAATGTCAAAAGGCAATGCGGGTGCATCAGAGGACAAGGGTACATACAATACATTCATGAACGCATCTCCCTAGGATGTCTTTTCCACCTGGGCAATGCTGCCTTATTCGCTGCTGCGAAGAATGGGAAAAAACAAGGTGAGGGGTGGGTGTAGATCCTCCCCGCTCTCGGGCTCGGGATTGGGAAAGATAAGTAACTGAACTGGACACTCCCACGTCGCACACAGAGAGCTTGGGGCAGCATTATTAATTTTTTCTTGAGCACAGCTTGCACTTTGCATCAGCTCCATGGTATGTTGTGCACAATCACACTTCCGGTTCTTTAACCCGTCAAACCAATATTAAGAACGGAAGCGCGGTCTGATGGCGGACGCCCGATGACGCAGATGGTGGGGATCCTTCTACATACATACTGTGCATACCAGAGGGGTTTCTCCATAGGATTGGAGCCTTGAAGGAGCTTTAAATGTTTAGGCCTTATCCAAGCACCGCCTCTTTACTCATAACCTATAAACGCACCCATAGACACCTCTGTTCCCCTTCAATGGTCTGTGGATGCAAGGGGAAGACCGGGAAGAGCTGGGTCGGGCCATATTCAAAGCTGAAAGCTGCACGATCGCGATCGCCTTGCCAATTGCCGATCGGCCTCGATCTGTGTTGCACAGAAGATGTGTCCCCCGTGATGTTTATTTTTTCTCTTTTCTGCTGTGCCATGTATGTGGCTGTATGGAGTACATGTACATGTACATGTACATCATATTATAGGTAGGAGGCATGTCCTCCGATCCCAAGAATGGACCCCACCTATGTCTGCGGCGGAGATGGCGGATATCTTAGGGATTGCTGCACGTTGTGGCAGGTCCCCCGCGCGATAAGAACGCAAGTGCGCACCCCCTCCTCCCTGCTCAAGACTAGAGGGATAAAAAGGCGCAGTAAATTATGTGCATGACCTAAAAAGATGACGAGAGTTGCCGGGTTGGAGGCCGAACCCTGGAAATGCTAGAGCCCACATGTCATGTCGATCGTGGGAAGTGTGTCATTTCACTTTGAATTGATATTCTTATATCATGTAGGGTGTGATGATAGTAGTAGGTGTAGTAGTATCCATTGTACTATTCAAGGCTTAAATAGGCATTCAGCCGTAAAGTACTGATCTATCGCGAACAAGACCAAGAAACCCTTTAATTCCATCATCCAAGGGTCTCATCGGCCATTCACGGACCCAGCCACTGAAGAAGGTCTCCACCAGGCGGTTTGCCTTTTTCGGTTCATTTTCGAGAGAATTTGCCATCTGTACTCGGGAATACTCCGTAGAATTGATTCCAACAGGGGAATAGGTATTAGAAAGATGAAGAGGGGGTAAGTTGGATATACATGTACTATCATTACTAGTAGATAGTATATGGTGAGAGTCTATAAGAGCCCTGGAGATAACTGTAGTACGTTCTCCGTAGATGATATAGTAGGAAAGGAACCTTAAGATCGCCCAACGGAATACCATAGACCGCTATTTTCTATGAAATTAATTAACGGCTTTTATCACCTCTTAGCTAGATGTATTTCTTATGTACTGGTAAGAAAAGAGGCTTTCGAGTTCAGCCGCGGGGGGAATGTTTCGTCGTTTGACCATTTCCCCTTCCATTTCATTCTTTTTATTAATATATTTTATATTTTTCGTTTGTTCTCTAGGTCTCCAATTTATATTTCCTGACTATTCTCCACTATGCAACCTCGAATCTTGTGTAAGAAATAATCAAAATTCCTGATGTTTCCCCCCGGAAATCCCTGAAAGAAGCAGCATCCGAAGCCGATCCGGGTTCACCATCCCGCAATCTCCCTTAGCTCATCACCGGGCGGCGTCACGAAGTTTCTTTTTTTTCTTTTACCATTTTCTAAGGAGGATTCCGATTCTTTTGTTTCTCACTTCATCCTACCACTCCACTCCGATTCTTTCCCCATCGATAATCTTTCCATATCTCTTATTTCCGCCCCCCCGCCCCCGCTCTCAGTCAAGTTTCCCCTCCCTCCCTACCGAAAATTTGATTATTTCTCGGCGGAGGAGCACTTGCTGAATGGAAACGCAATGGCTACTACGTCAACCGGAAACGACTTGCACGAGGTGGATTTGAAACCCTCGAGGTAAGCCATCAGCGTTGTGATACTTCTCTTTTGCTGGTTATCGAATCTTCGAGGCCATATATGTCCCAGCTCGAGGGAACCCCTCCTCTCTTCTTCACCGCATTCCATCATTGTTCGGGAGACACAAAGGAAAAGCTACAAAAACCCCGCCAGAGCGTGGGGAAATATAAGACACTACAGAAAAGAGAAAGAGAGAAAGAGAGAAGAAGAGAGAGAGAGAGAGAGTCTTTATGCTTGCTTCTCCCAACTGTTCTTATCCTGCATCTGCGCACCGGGCTGCCGGAGTTCTCCCGCTATCTGCATATGAACCCGGTCGCACTGCACTTCCCACCCCACTATGACCAACCCCACTACTATCTTAATACAAATAATCGCTATCCATTCCAAGATTCCACTTCAAAAATCACTGACATGATCCTTTATTTGTTAGCCCGGCTTCTGAAGCAACCCCGGAGCAAATTCCCGATCAGATTGGGTCGAATGGATCTACGCCTACTGGAATCTCTACACCTCAACCGGATCCCGCGGACAAGCGTCTGCCCTCCATCATGCACAACTACTTTCAGGTTGGTTCCTTCTCCGGCGATAAATTGAGTCTACCACGGCTATGGCCTTGCCATGTGAAATCCACGGATATCCCAGAGCCTAGCATTTCTCCCGAATCATTCGTCGTCTTGGATCGAGAGGAAGGGTCTAAGAAGATCGAGGCAAATTTGCCTACACCTCCACACTCTCTATTGCAGTCAGATGAGATGGATCTCAGTTCGAGTCCAGACATGACTGCGGGGTCGATCTATAATACCCTAAAAAAATACCTCACTCCTGCCCATGAATCACCTTCCCGCCGTCAAACTTCCCTGCCAGTTTCTAGCGTTTCTGACGACCCCGTACTTGCTTCACACTTCTCCAATCCATCTCTCCCACACAATGCACAAGATGCGTGTCCCCTTACTCAAGCACCTTTACTCGCACACGAACAACCGCATTTCTCCATATCTTCCGAGAATCTTACAAAGCTGACTGGAAACGCATCCGATGCGGTGCGTCTAAAGAATACCCCGCCGCTCACCCCTCGTGCCTTGTCAAATGATGACGACAAAAAGTCCGTGACTTCCGTGACTTCGGCACCCCGTGAAGAGCCCCAACCGGAACGGGAGAGCTCAACCGATGAAATTACAATGAAACTCGATGAGGCCTTCCCCCGCGAACCCTCCCCTTCGAATGGTCCACCTGTTGCCCCGCTGAAGGGAAAGCTTACCGTGAAAATCTCCGAAGGTCGTGGCTTACGCCCAAGTGTGGACCCTTATTGTGTGTGTGTTTTTGAATGGAATGAGTATATCTCGAAGGGTACCAAGGATGGTGAAGAGGAGGACGAGAGACAGCGACGCCAGATTGAGTCCGATGCCGAGGCTGGTCGTCCGATGGCTATCCCCATGAAATGCCGACAGGATAGTCATAATAGTTCCTTGGACGGATTTGAGCAGAAGGGCAAGGCCCCCGTAACAGATCCTCACTGGGATCATTCAGCTGTCTTGTATGTCCCCATAATCTCAACCCCCCACATTGTTTCCATGATTTGCTAACATATCTCTAGTGATGTTCTTGGTGACCAGTCCGAAGTTGATGTCACTGTCTATGACCGTCATAATCAAGAAGCCTTCTTGGGCCATGTCCGCCTTAGCATTAACCTCAAGGAAGATCACAGTCGACTGGAAGGATGGTTCCCTTTAGTCGCCCGTGGTGCTGGAGATAACCAGGTTTCAGGTGAAATCTATCTTACGATGACCTTCGAAATGACCGAGCGCAAGCAGGTTGGACCGAGCGATTTCTCAATTCTGAAGCTGATTGGAAAGGGAACATTCGGTCAAGTTTACCAAGTGAAGAAGAAGGACACTGAGCGCGTTTATGCTATGAAGGTTCTGTCGAAGAAGGTGATCATCCAAAAGAAAGAGGTGATTCATACTCTCGGAGAACGGAATATCTTGGTACGCACGGCGATGGCGGCATCGCCGTTCATCGTCGGTCTCAAGTTTTCTTTCCAGACTCCAACCGATTTATACCTAGTGACGGATTACATGTCCGGTGGTGAATTGTTCTGGCACCTTCAACGCGAAGGCCGCTTCCAAGAGGCTCGGGCCAAATTTTATATCGCCGAGCTGATTTTAGCCCTGCAACATCTTCACGACCATGACATCGTGTATCGGGATCTCAAGCCAGAGAACATTCTGCTGGATGCCAATGGTCACATTGCCTTGTGTGACTTTGGTCTGTCCAAGGCAAACTTGACCCAAAACGATACTACCAACACATTCTGCGGTACGACCGAGTATCTTGCTCCAGAGGTTTTACTGGATGAGCAAGGTTACACGAAGATGGTTGATTTCTGGTCATTGGGAGTATTGGTCTTTGAGATGTGTTGCGGATGGAGCCCCTTTTATGCCGAGGATACCCAACAGATGTATAAAAACATCGCTTTCGGCAAGGTGCGGTTCCCCAGAGATGCCCTGAGTACCGAGGGTCGTAACTTTGTCAAGGGTCTTCTCAACCGAAACCCCAAGCATCGACTGGGTGCCAACGGCGATGCTGCCGAGCTCCAAGCACATCCATTCTTCCATGATGTTGATTGGGATGCTCTCTGCAAGAAACAAGTGATTCCACCATTCAAGCCCAAGCTTCAATCCGATCTCGACACCTCCAACTTTGACCCTGAATTCACTAATGCCCTTGAAAACAACATGTCCTTGAATGATCGTGCCGCTGCTTTGGCCAATGGACTCATGCCCGCGGGTACACCACTGTCACCCGGCATGCAGGCTAATTTCAAGGGCTTTACATTTGTGAATGAAAGCTCAATCGACCACCATGTCAACCTTGATCACGATGAGGAAGAGGAGGAAGATATGGATGAAGATACGCTCCTTAAGTCCGAGTCGTGGAGGTCACACCGGCCCACAAATTCGACAGATCAGCGTATGACTGGCGTACAGAAGGCATCCGATGGCGCCGATCCCGGTATTTTTAATGTTGACGAAAACTTTTGATGTGACTACGTTTTCCTTTAGTTGTTTTTCACATTGCATGATCATGGAGTCTTGATCTTGTCTTGTACTTGCCTTACAGGTGCATTCTTGGTTCATCTCAGATCTGGGTTTGTTTATTGGGTTTTTTTTTCATTTTCTTTATTGCTTGTCTTTCCATTCGTGCAAGGTGATTTTGATTACCCCTTGCGTGTCGTTTTGTTTACTGCTATATTTTCCTCGAGAATGGGTCCTTATCGGTTGTCTTTCGTGTCATTCATCTTTTTGTTTTGGCTGTTGTCAGCTACATACCCCGTCTCTCTTAAGGATCTATCCATCCAGAGAGAGACCTGCATCTCCAATGAAAATTGGCCAAGGTTCATCATCTACATCCTGTTGCTTTGAGATTACGATAATACCGAGGAAGGAATGAAGAAAGGCGTTGTACCCGAACTTTCCTTCTGAGACATTCTCCTTTTTATTATGGATTGTATCCGGGTCCTATGCCTAGCAATTTCTCTTTATATCAATCTCATTTACTCATCAAGTTTTCCAACTTTGTTTCCTTCCTTCTATTCCTTCTATTTCGACATAGCATAAAGTTTCCTAGGTTTACTCATCCCAACAGTTAACCCTGAGTTCCACTCTCATTCTAGCTTGGCATTCAGACGGGGAGAGAATGATGGTATTAGCGCATAGATGGTGTTGAGATTAATATTCAAGTTATAGCTCGATAATTGTAGTCCAGCTTAATGACTTTCATTCTTGAAATCGTATGAATGTGACCGTTTTCAAAGACTCTTTCCTTCGTATTTAAGTAAGGCGACTAGATTTTGACTGCCTAACATATCATTGAATCACCTATCATCAGCCCACATGCTGCAATTCGTAAAGGGACTTACCCTCCAAAAGAGGAAATCTTACCCCATCTTGCATGAGGCATACGCGGGGTTGATGCAGATGTGGCGAATCACAATGTAGAACGCCATAAACCATCGAGATAATGAAATATCCAAGTGAAGATTGCCAGATTTTATCATTATAAAAAGGCCGAAGAGGAATTTAATCAATTAATCAATTTATACCCCTCAGCGCACCTCGTGAACTCTGCCACCAAATCAAAGAAGCCCATTCACAATATGGAGAACAAGAATCAGAACCAAAGTCAACAACCCATTATCCTACCACCAGCATACACAAAAGTGACTCCACTTGAATCCTTCTCGGATCCCAAATACGGCAACGTAACCTGGCACACCCTTTTCTCTGCCCCAAGAACAACTACAGCCGATCTTTGCGCAGGTATCGCCGTTTGCCCGACGGAAGCAGGACATCTATGCGCCCATCGACACATCCAGCCAGAGATATACCACATCCTAGAAGGAGAAGGCGAGGTTACAATCGACGGCGAAAAGAGCAGAGTCAATGCCGGAGCAACAGTTTTTATCCCGGGCGATGCGGAGCACGGAATCGTGAATACCGGCAAAGGGCAACTACGGTGGTTCTACGTTTTCGCAGTGAACTCCTTCGAGGAAGTCGTGTATCGATTTTCAAAAGATGAGAATGAAAAACCTAAAGCGAAGTTGTGATTGTTTCTTTTGAAAAAAGATATGATTTGATTTGGTTGCGCTTTATAGTTTGAACAAAGTGACATGATTGGTGGTCTTGGCGAAGAGGTGGCCTGCTTTGATCCCGATCTGATCCATTCCATCATGTACCTGTCTGTACTCTGACCACCTACCAATAAGATGGCTCAATCCCCAGCACAAGAAGCACAGACAAAGAATAATGCTTCAATCCGTGTAGATCTTTCAACACAAGCATGCGATATATGCCGCCAGCGAAAAGTAAAGTGTCTTCAATCAAATCCGAATGCGCAGCCCGAGCTTCCGCCTCGATGTCAACGATGCGAGCGGCTGAATCTCTCTTGTACATTTCTATCCCCGTCAAAGGCCCGTGGGCCCAAGAAAAGGTACTTAAACCTTTCATTGATATAGGAAATCAAGTTCTAATATGAAAATAGAGAAACTGGAACTTCTACAAATATCCCGACTCATGCAGGATACTGGACAGATGACCTCTGCGACCGAAATTTATTCGAGACCATCATGTCAGACTACCTACGCTACATCTATCCCCTTGTACCCGTTGTACATAGGCCATCCTTTAAGAAATGTCTGAGGGAAAAGACCCAAGATGAAGGATTTGCCTGTCTAACCGTTTCCATCGCTGCATTGGTCGTGGCAACAATGGAAAGTAGATTCCAAGCATATAAAATGCATGATCCACCGTTGAGATTCGAAACACGAAGAGAAATGGTGCAACTTTGCTATCAAAAGTGTTTAAGTTTGAGAACGGCGTCGTATTACGATGAGTTGAATTTTCAGAAATTCGCAACTTCGTTTTTATTTCCGATTGCCTTTTTGCAGTTGGGTGATCATAATTGGTGGAGGATGTTGAGTGTTGAGTCGATTCAGTTGGCGAGATTGTTGAAACTGCATCAGATTTCGGAGTATAGGGGGTTGAATTGTATAGAGGTGCAGCTGAGGAAGAAATCTTTCTGGTTGCTATTTTATTCTTATGTGTGAGTTCTTTCAAATTGTTGGATATAACTGTCATTGTGTTTTATGGCCGAATCCAATTTTAACATGATAACAGACATGGAACATTACAAAGTCTTCGGGGAGATGTGGTGTCTTATCTGGACCCTGATGTTCTGCATTCTATTAATCACGAGGAATTGATGCCGCTGGAGTTACCGGATGAATTGATATTTGAGAATGAGGTCCTATTACCAGAAAAGCCGACCTTTTGCATAGAGACAGGCTTCATTCTGCATTCCCGCGTCTTCTGGGCTGCAATTAGATCTCCGTGTCCGAAAGCCGTTGAGGAGCCGTGTCCCTGTGTTCGGGCTCAAAATCCACACACCCAAATAAAGTATTTTCAAGAACGCCTACGAGACTTGAGTGGTATACTTGACGACATACCAGATATTCTCAGAGCTTGGACACCAGAGAAAACGGACAATTTAGTCATGGATGATCATGGGGATGCACATCAAACCCAGCTTTCATTCGCGTCGATACGTGTGAATATCCATGTCACTCATATGTGGCTCCAAAGCCTTATGATGGATCAACTTGAAGCAGCTCAGTCTCATCTTGAAGTACAGGGGTGGTCATCAGACTCAATTGATCAAAGGAAAATATGGGAATATCGAGATGAATTATGCTCTAGATTGTTTGCCATTATTTACAATTCGCCCGCAATCAGTTTAGAGTCTAATGGGTTACATCTTCCGAATAAAGTGCGCGATATTTCGACCGGTCTTCTTGCTTGTCCTTTTGGTGTTGATGATCCGATATCAAAACGGATGGAGGGTTATGTTCGGCAGTCTACGGAAATATTGTCGAGATTGGATCGAAGCGAGTGTATGAATACTTTGCACTTTCAGTCATGGGTTGATACGGATCGGGTGGCTAAGAATTGATTTGTTGGGGAATCACATATTTTCTTTCTACTCTAAGGTATGATCATCTAAGCTCTTGTCTATAACTTGAGGTTCAAAGATTCATTTTTCTTTTTTACCATCCACCAGTCCAGTTTGTTGTCTCGGTTATGTCTACCGAGCTTTCTAGGAAAGTTCCTCGACTGCTGGTTCCCACTAGGATTTTGTAGGCTCCTTCATGACTGCACCAGCTGTTGGTCTTCTCATCCCAATAACTTGTCACGCGAACAATATCTAATGGAATGGTAATTGTCTTTTCTTGGCCACTTTTAAGAAGGACCTTTTGGAATTCCTTAAGCTCTTTGATAGGTCGCCTGATTGGAGGTGAAACAGGCGCGACGTATACCTGAACCACCTCGGCACCATGCTTGAGACCTGTATTCCGCACCTTGCAACTGACTTGTAAAGCAGTATTTGAATCTCTGCTTAATGTCAAGTCCGAGATCTCGAAACTTGTGTAGGAGAGACCATGTCCAAAGGGGAAAAGAGGCTCAAGGTCCAATCCCTCATAGTACCGGTATCCGACGTACACATCTTCACCATAGAGAACCCTTCCACCTTCAGAGCGGTAGTTAAAGAAAGTAGGATTATCCTGAATACGCTTCGGGAATGTGAGAGGTAGCTTGCCAGATGGATTCACGTCACCAAAAATCACATCAGCCAGACCATTACCGGTCTCATTTCCTCCATACCAGGCATGTAAGATGGCCTTAGCATCATGGATCCAGGGCATGCTCACCGGGGTACCACTTTGCAGAACGACCACTGTATTTGGGTTCGCCTGCAAGACCTTTGCGATGAGTTCATCCGTGTGAGGGGGTAGACTCATTGTAGCGCGATCCTCGCCTTCTGATTCCCATTCCCCACTTAGGCCCGCCACAAGGACTACTTGATCAACACTTGCAGCCACTTTGACAGCTTCCTCAATGCCGGTTTGAGGCTGGAGTCGCTTGCAGGCACCGAAACGGAAGCCTCCATTGCCAAAGTCAACGACGCCAGGAACTTTGAAAGTGCTTGTCTTGCTGCATGCCCATTGAACGAGGACATTGTACTTCTGGCCAGCGACGAGTTCTAAAGACCCGGTCTCCTCCACTGTTCCGCAGCCAAAGAAGCTTGTGCCGGGGGTTTGCTTGTCGGCGTTGTTGATAAGCAACTGTCCATCGACGTAGAGCTTGCCCGTTCCATAGACGGCAAGGCCAAAGTCATATAGACCAGACTCTTCGGGTGTGAAGTAACCCTCTACATCAGCGTACCAGATTGACGCCAGCTGTGGATGGCTATAGTCCATGAAAATAATCATTCCATCTGTCTCATGTCGTTCTTCAAGGGGTTTCCTTGTAGGTACGCCGGGGGCATCATTGAAGATACTCAGCTTGAAGCCAGTCTCCCCACTTTCAGTGCGAAGCTGCTTCCCTAAGACTGGAAGCATCTGGTGGGCATACACGCCCTGTGAAAACTCGACGTCTGCTGTGGCAGACTGAGATATCCCATCAAAGGGAGTAACAGTATAATATGGATTTAATGCAGCACTCCCACCACCACAGTATGTAGCGATCTTAGAATTGGGACCAATGACAGCAACTTTCTTGTTCTTGTTCAGTGGGAGGATGTTTTGGTCATTTTTCAACAGAACGATGGCTTCCGAAGCAATCCTTCGCAGGAGCGCTCTGTCTTCAGGGCGGTTTAATTGTGTTTCTGGGTATTTCTGAGGAACTCCTGACTTGCTTGCTTTTTGGACCAGTTTTAGGACTGCGCGAACGCGGGCATTCAATGCTGCAAGGGGGACCTTGTTTGCAGTTATGGCGTGGGTGAGTGCTGAGCCTCTCCATCTTGGCGGGCCCGGCATTTCAAGGTCAAGGCCTGCATTCACAGCTTCGGAGGTACTGTACGTTCCGAACCTGGGTGAAAGAAGTGTAATGTTAGAATTATCTAGCGTGTCATGGTAAATTTTGGGGCCCTGACATACCAGTCACTCATAACTAGCCCATCCCATTTCCATTCATCACGAAGAATATTTTGTAAGAGTCCTGGATGCTCAGCTGCATGTGTCCCGTTGACCTTGTTGTAAGCTGTCATAATAGCATCTGGCTTTCCCAGGGAAATAGCAATCATGAAGGGAAGTAAGTAAATTTCCCTCAATGCCCGATCGGTGACAATAGAGCTGACTGCCATCCGCTCATGCTCCTGATCATTGCAAACAAAGTGTTTCAAGGTAGCACTGATGTTTCGCTCTTTTAACCCTTGACAATAAGACCCAGCAAGAATACCGGATAATAATGGATCCTCTGAGTAGGACTCAAAGCCTCGTCCGCCCAATGGACCGCGCGCAATGTTAATTGTCGGCCCCAGAATAACATGTGCGCCTTTCGCTTTTGCTTCGGCCGCTAGCAAGTGACCGACTTCTAATGCGAGGTCTCGGTCGAACGTCGCGCCAATTGCTGTTCCACACGGTAGACAGGCCGCTGGGACACTGCCGAAAAATCGTGTTCCACGAACACCGTTGGGGCCATCAGAGAGACGGATTGAAGGGATTCCAAGACGAGGGACAGGGACCGTGTGCCAGAAGTCCTCCCCTGTTGCTCCTGTTAGCTGACTCTCTGTTTCGTTTCGATGGTCTAGGTTGGTTTTAATATCTTACCACTTAGCAGGGCCACTTTCTCCTCTTGTGTCAATTGTTTGAGAAGTTTCTCAATATCAGCATTTGCGATTTCCTTGAAGTCATCGTCGACCCCAGCAACATCAGTGTTCTTCACCACGATCGTCATCTTGTGTTTGTTTTGTCCAAAGATCACCTCAGGAGACAAGGTATGCAAGAAGAACTTTCCCAGCAAGGTCCCCGGGCCTCAGCTGTCATTTGTAAATGCTCATGGGTCATTTTTTGCGGGCTGCAAATGCAACTCGCGCCCGATCTCGCATGACGATTGCCGAAATCCAAGCCCACCAGGAGTCCTACCATAACAGTCTCCACTTGGTGGACCGAGATGATTGCACGGGAACCTCCCAAACCCGATTTTTAAATTGCTTGGGCATTTCTCCGTCTCCGTTTCTCCGTTTCTCCGTCTCTGTGCCGCTAGTTTTCGGTGCCCATACCGACCCCGGCCTGTCCCCGACCGTGCGATGTCCCCATATCCCCACACATTTCTCCCACAAGTTCTTTGGGGACTAGCAAACTGGGGTAACTTGAGAGGATCGGGTGACGACGAAGTCATCTGTTCCCGACAGAATACCGGTTTTCATTGGCCCACTATCATTCGATTGACTCACTTTGTCCCGGAAATAACTGTGCAATCCGTGAGAATTCGGAAAGTTCAATGGCACCTGGAAAAGACAAAATCGAGGCCAAAAAGGCTGCCAGGGTTTAGCGGCGTATTTGTTATGCTCGGATATGAATTATACATAAAGGGTGTTGATCCCTCCCTATTTACTCGTCTGGGTCTTGGTCCCGATTGCTACACATCCGGTTATACCTTTCCAGGGGTTCGTTCTTTCTTCCCTCTTTTCTGTCATAACAATGGGCCTTAGCAAGGCTTCCACGGGGGCGATGCCCTCATCACATGGCGTCGACCCTCTCTTGAGTGTTCTTCCAGCAAATGCTGGGCCATGGTACAAGCAGCGTCATCTCTTGCATCTCAATTTTATCATCATCTCGCTGGTGATGTACTCATCAGCTAACGGATACGATGGATCATTAATGAACGGTCTCGAGGCACTTGACCAATGGAAAGCGTTCATGAACAACCCGGCAGGAGCCTGGCTTGGATGGATCAATGCTATCTATTGGCTCGGTTGTGGTATTGGTTACCCAAGCGCTTCATGGATTGCCAACAAATACGGTCGCAAGCCCGGCGTCTACGTAGGGTATTGCCTCCTAACACTAGGAGTTGCTCTCCAGACTGCAGCACCAAACACAACTACCTTTCTGCTTGCCAGATTCTTCTTGGGGGGTGCTTCCGCCCTTTTCGGAAATTCTGTTCCTCTACTCATCAATGAAATCGCTTACCCTACTCACCGTGGCATTTTGAACGGTCTTTTCATGTCAGGCTGGTACGTCGGTGGAACTGTCGCTGCCTTTGTTGTTTTTGCTTCTCGGACATACGGATCTTCTTGGGCCTGGCGACTACCTTCCGTCCTTCAGGCTCTAGTACCCATAGTTGGACTTCCAGGGTTTCTTCTCGCCCCGGAGAGCCCCAGATGGTTTGTGTCCATGGGGCGTGAAGACGAAGCCCGTGATATTCTCACTCAATATCATGCAGCTGGCGACTCTAGCTCGCCGCTGGTCAACTACGAGTTTCAAGAGATCATCTCTACCATTCGCGCAGAGCAACAGGCGAACGAAGACGGCAGTTATCTTGAAATGGTCAAGACGCCAGGTAATCGCCGTCGTTTGATGATATCTATAACCCTTGGACTGTTTTCTCAATGGGTCGGAAACGGTGTCATCTCGTACTACCTTTCATTGATTCTCAGTTCTGTCGGAGTCACCCAGGTCAAAGATCAAACACTCATTTCCGCATGTTTGCAAGTGTGGGATCTGATCTTCGCCGCTTTGGGAGCATTCTTTATCGATCGCTTTGGGCGCCGACCACTATTTCTTACCTCCGCTGGTGTCATGTTCGTCAGTTATGTACTTGTCACAGCTTTGTCCGGGGTATACGCCACCAATGGCGATAGCGGTGCAGGAGGCACGGTCATTGCATTTCTCTTCATCTTCTTCGCTGGGTATTGTATAGCATTGTGAGTATCTCTTGTCATCACTTAATTAGGCTTGAACCTTGCTAATTTTTCTTCCCAGAACACCCTTCCTTACCTCATATCCGTGCGAAATTTGGCCCTTCCGACTCCGATCCCGTGGTTTAACAGTCACCTGGGTGGCTGCTATCGTGGGCATGTTTTTCAACACCTTTGTTAATCCAATTGCACTCGCCGCGATTGGATGGAAATATTACTTTGTATTTGTGGCTGTCCTATCTATGTTCGGCGGCACGGCCTTCTTCTATTATCCCGAAACGAAGGGTTATTCTCTAGAGCAAATCGCAGTGATTTTTGACGGCGAAGATGCTTTAGTGAGTAGCCCTGCGGATATCGTGGATACCATGAAGGGAGAAAAGTCTGAGACTTTGGCTGTCCATGAAGAATCTGTTTAATGTCACATCTTAATATGTTTAAATCTAGTCGAATATATGGCAATACATGTAAATTCCGTCGTCTGCCCTAACTAGTCTGTCCCTGTGCTAGACATCATGAAATCATCATATAACCTTGGTCAGAAGTACCAATATCAGTAAATGCATATGTTCGACCTTTAAACACTGGAGGATTTGGTGAACTGGTGATGCAAGACGATAATTTCATTTGTGCACGTGTTATACTCCCATCGGGTAAAGACTATCGAATACCCAAACCTCTGGATCGCCGAAGAAATTATCCATGCCGTGCTCAAAAAGAGACTACAAAGGTCAGTTAGGTAGTCAAAAGAGCAAAGCACTTACACTTACATTTACATCAAGTGCATTTGGGTCATCGAGGGACGAGTTGAAATTATCCATTAAATCATTTGGAGACCTTGATTGATCGTATGTCGCGTTTTCCTAGAAAGAGTCAGTGAAGGTTTAGCGTAAGGGGACTTGGAAGACACGCACTCCATTATCTGGTAGGGTCATAATTTTCTCTTTTGCCAGTTCTATATCCACCTGTGAGGCCATTACCCTGTAGTATTGCCTTGCAACTCGATCGACCGCCTGCTCGCCCTCCTGGGTCGACTGCTCTGGAGAACAGGTCAAGCTCAATAAAGCACGCCCAGCCGAAATATACCAATGGTGAGTATATCCGGTGCCAAGCTGTACAATCCGATCCTCGAGCAAAGCAAGCGCCTTCTCTATATATTCAAAAAATATAGGAGTATTAGAACTCAAAAGGACGTCATCTAAGAAAGTTAGCAGAGCTCTGTTATTCATATAGAGTGGCCCTGACTCACTTCGAAGGCTTATTGAAATGAGTGAGTTCTGGCATATCACTAATGCGGCGCGAAAATAATCATGTCGAAGCAATAACAGGGCGGATGTGTGGGTTTCGTTGAGCCGTTTATGCTGGTCAATAATACTAGCGGCAGCCTCAAAACAAATCATTCGAGATAAAGAATGCCGTGAAGTGCTTTCTGATTGACGAGCAAATGGGCCATGCAACATGATCAAGTACTGCCGTAGTTGAATATCGAGAAGTGACCGTGCTAGTAAAGAGAGAGAGCCGCTGTTTGAGGGAGACTGAATCGATTCCCACGAGGGAAGCTCTTGCAAAGCCTTGGTGATAAGCTCTTCATAATGCATGACTTCTTCATACTTTACTGAAGAGCTAATATCATTAACAACCGTGTTTAATGTTACTCGCAAGGAGAAGCTCGCGTTTGAAAAGGAGAGAAACGAGCTTGTAGTATACTCGGTAATGGGTCTCTGATTGACCAATTCCACTGGCTCATCAGTCAAATCTTTATCTTCAATATTCAGGACGCCTTTGGTGTCGCTAAAAATTCCCGCCGACGTTGAGGTCATTCCACGGTCAGTTGAAGCTTGGAGCTCCAGCTCAGTCATCGTTGCCCACATACGACGTCTCATTTCTCTATCAAAGGCCGATATCCTCTCCCCTAGAAGACACGGATCACGATGAAAGCCTGCCGCCATTGCTTCTCTTACTAGTGTCCCAGCCTCAGTCCAATGGCGCTTTTTCTTCACTGTGTTCACCAGCTTTGCAAGAATTGAAAGACATCGGATCTGCCACACGGCTAAGTAAATATTCTTCTGGCTGTGAGATCTTAACCAAGATTCGGATGCCTCGATCCACATGACTGCCCGCTCTCTAGCTAGCGAGCTATCGCCCATATATCGAATCTGATCATTGCGAACAATGCAGCTTGCGGCAGCCATTATTAAAAGGATAGTGACCACGAACGCTGACGATGTCGATTGATGGTCACTAGAAAACTTGACATACTCATTCCAAAAAGACGGAATGTGGATTATGCGGTATATCGGCTCAAAATTATCAAGGTAAAGATGTACCAATTCATCGATTGTTTTTTGTGATGGAAGAAGATATGTGAAATCCAACTGGGGAGTGGATAGGGTGTTAATCTTCTCAAGTTTCCATTTCTTATGCCTGTTCTTCAAGTCATGCTGAACTCTATAAAGAGATTTGTGATTTCTTATAGCGTCCTTCATAAAGTAACGAAGTTCCGGGAACTCGAATGATCTTAGTAAATCCCACCAAAACTATCATCGTCAGAAGACTTACATGGCCTATTAGACTAGCTGGATTGCTTCCACCAAAATACTGAGTTCGAAAGTTCTCTCCGCGGAAGATCACAGTGCGAATGGAGTCCTGACGATTGCTCTCCAAAACAGGCTCTTCGTTATCATCCTTAACATGAGGCCGCTCATTTTCATACTGAAAGACGGGTGCTGACCTTGCACTAAGTAGCTGCCACGTTCCATTGTTCCGTTCTGCTTCCAAATTACTCGACAGTCTGCCAGCACTGATAGAAGGGCCAATTCGTGGACGGTGAACTTCATGTGTAGATGCTTCCGGCATAACCACTGGGGTCCGGGCGGCTAAACGCGTAGGAGTTTCAGATGGAGCACGCTTCGGAGGTGGCCCATCATAGATACAGGCGTCTGCCTGGCCTGTTCGCTGGCATCTGTTGCATGAAGGATAGCCCCGGTCGCATCGCAATTTGCGTCGTCGACATTCATGACACGAGTAGACCTTCCGCTTACGTTTTCCTGCATTGACTGCACCCCCTGGCGGAGAATTTGAGTCACGATCAACTGCGTTCGGGGATAGCATTTCTATCTCGGAGATCTGTGGAATTAGATTGGGGATTGAGAGTTTCTCAGTTCCAAGTCCGACGAAGAAACAGCAGGGATGTCATGAATGATAGCTATTCCTCGAAAACCGAGATCTCCGAATGTAACTCCGCCAAAGCCGAGCCTGCACGCTTTAAATCCGACATAACGCCGAAGTACTTTGAACAGCACACTGGATGAGCAAGTATGATTTTTTATTCCTACATCTTCCTGTAAGAAAATTATTCAGTCACTAAGGAGACTTGACATTCATTCACTGTTCTTCAGGCCTCGAAAAAGCAAGGTAAAAGGCATCCACCACCAAAAATAGCACTTTAGCCTCCAAGCACTTGGACACTTTACTACGAGCTGGTATACCTCGACCTTCAAGCAGCAGCATCAATTTACTGGTTGAGGGACTTGAAAAGGCGGATTTGGATACTTCTGGCAATTCCCGTAAAAGAATTATTATACTCTTACCCTTTTCTCCCCTTCCTATTTCAGGTGGCTCTCCTGAACCAGGCTGCTCACTTTCAACACTCAGAAACTTTAATGATCACCTATAAGCACTACCATGTTTTTTTTTCACTAGTGTTTGCTAATATAATCCTATTCCAACTGTACGTGACCTATATCTGACCACAATCTTTTGCGGTTTTAATTCACAAAACTCAATTAAATTCGCAGGTGTCCATCCAAATTTACTTCTAATTTGCGGGATACATGCATTGCAACAAATCAGACCAGCCACATAGAGCGCGAGTGATTTATCATTGGCTTCATTATATGCGAGGGCTTCCACATGTGCCGTATGCTGTTTGGCTGTCAAAGTAACATTTTGAACTTTCATTGCTTAGAATTGTTATCTTGAACCCGCAATTGCTTTTTCAAATACTGAAGGAGAGCCCACCATTTGCAGAGATGATACCTCCAGTTGACCATCCAAATTCAGGACTACAAATAGTCGCAATAATACCGGCGATCTCATGGATATACGCTGGACGACCTCCGAACTTGTCGCCATGTTCAATAAGCTCAGGGGTATCGAGATCCTCACGGGCAGGTGCCAATGGGGTGAGAGGATTCCATCGAGCGATTATCTCCTTAATATGGTCAGGTGCCACCAGGTATTGCCCGGTAGCAACAGCCCCAGGATTTACGCAATTAACGGTCGCTCGCTCAGCAAGCTCACGCGCCCAAACGCGGGTCATAGCTTCAATAGCACCCTTTGTTCCGGAGTAAAGAGTTGTATGTTCCGTGCCCACCTTGGAGTTTATGCTTGATAGCAGGACTATGCGGCCGCTCCGGTCGGTCGGGAGATATGGCTTGCAAGCACCTGTCAGCAAAATTGGTCCCAGAACGTTCACCCCATATATACGGTGAAATTCGTCTTCTTTGACCTCCTCAAACGGTCCGGTAAATGCAATTGCGGCGTTATTTATCACTATGTCGATTTGAAACTTCCCAGACTTGGTGTCTGTGAATTTGTCTTTGGCCGCTTGTATCATTCTCTCACATTCTGAACGCAATGAGATATCTGCCCTGATGGAAAGGACTTGAACGCCATAGGTCTTCTCAAGCTCTGTAGCAAGGTCTGTAGCGGCGGTATCAGATGACTCGGAGGTATAATTCAATACTAGGTTGCAGCCTTTGCTAGCGAAGTTAAGAGCGATACCGGCACCAATGCCTGGAATTCGAGTTAGAAGGCTTCCGAAATAAGCTTTCTGATTGAAATTACCTCGCGATGCACCAGACACAAGAGCAAGCTTTCCATCAAAAATACGGGCCATTGATCCTCGTGATGATGCTAAATGTCCAGACTTCAAGTTTTAGAGCGTTGTCACTGCGGAAGGAAGGTATCCGCAGGAATTAGAGAAAATAATTCCAGAGGAAACACTTATTCATCGCCACATATCTAGTGGGGCTTTATCATACAATTTAATTTGAACTTCGTATTTTGTGTTATGTACGGAAGTTGTTACAGAATGTACGGGACTCCTTTCGCAGTTATTTTGATTTCGGATCCACCGCAGAAGATAGAACTCGAAAATGCCAAAAGTACGGCTAGTAAACTAATCGAAAAGGGAAAGAAAAAAGACACTTCATTTTCGTGGACTCAACATTGCTTTTTACCGAAAGGCAAATTGCGATACTCCTGGATTACGGACTTATCTACCACTTTGACAAGGCTCCACCATCGATAGGCAAGCATACCCCATTAACGTATGATGAACAATCTGAGCCAAGCCAGAGAGATCCTTGTGCCACCTCGTGGCCTTGTCCAAATCGGCTCATACTGGTGGCCTTTGCTGCGAACGCCTCGGGGGTCGTTCCCATGATTTTTAAAGCAGCCGCAGACATCTCACTCTATTCTTTGTTAGTTTCTGCCAAGACTTGATTTGCATCAGAGACGGAACTCTAATCAACTTACAAAAATTGGACCCGGTGCAATAGCATTCACCCGGATACCCAAAGGACCACCCTCGTTGGAGGCATGCTTGGTCAATCCGATTAGCGCATGCTTAGCCGTAGTATACGCGGGCATATTGGGCTCGGGTGAGAATGCATTGATAGAGGCAATGTTCACAATAGATCCCTTTGTTCCTTGTTCTCGCATTTGTTGCATTTGATATTTCACACATAGTGCCGTACCAGTCAAGGTAACATCCATCAGTCTTCTCCAAGTATCTTCATTGAAGTCAAGCAGAGGACTGTTGTCGGGATAGTGAGCAGCATTATTGATTGCAACATCCAATTGTCCAAACTCCTTGACCGTCTGCGCAATGAGATTCTGAACCTCGTCCGACTTAGAAATATCTGTTTTCACAAAGCGCACGTCGCCTAGAGCAGAAAGCTCCTTTGCTACCTCCTCGCCTTGATCGGTCTTAATGTCCGCAATTACCACTTTGGCACCAGCTTGTAGGAAAACGGCTGCGGTCGTCTTGCCCATGCCTTGAGCGGCACCGGTTATAATTGCAACTTTCCCCTTGAGTAAAGGGAAGACAGGAGCTTCGGGTACTTCCATTATGGCTATCGGGTTCTTGAGTCTGAGGAGGGGTAGTTAAGACAGTTCGTGGGATACAGGGAGGTCACCGTCAATTTAAGTCACGATCGGCATTACCTGATTTTGTCGACTCGGTATGATTATTATTGAGTATTATTATTTTTGCCCACTTTGTCCTCTAGAAAATAACGATTTTATGGATTACCAACCGCCTACCCCGTATCATCATCTACTATCGTATCCCGTAAGAAGCAGTAAATCGTTCTCTTGCCAGTTTTTAGCAGGTTTGCCATGTGCGCAACTAAAATATAGTGGCGCTCCAGGACCCATTCTTTTCTCCACACCGAAATAACCGACTGTACTTACCCACTCCATCCTGTTCCCCTTCGAAAGTGTGTGCAAGGAATTATCTGTATTGTTTGACCTCTCATAGCCTGCTATCCTGTACAAACACATAAGCCGCTGTGGAGATGAGACAGAAGGATGCGTTAGCGCGATGATCCACTTTAGGTGACCCATTTGCTCCACCCATGATTCTTGTATTGGCATGAGATCGGCCGTTATGTGGCAAGGCTAGCTTAGCTCAAGTCTAGTCTGTATTTTCACCTTTTCCTTGGCCTTTTTGTCAAGAAAATCTGGAAAGGCCATCTCATATGATTCAGTGCCACATCCTCAAGTGGGCCGTTATGCATATTTGTAACAGCGGTGCTATAGGTCCAAATAACGACTTCCTGCTAGCCATACTTATCGGCAGCAAATGTGGAGCAGGGCTACCATAGAGTACTGCTTCCATTGGATCCTGCATTTTATGGTAGAACGAGAAGCGTGAAAGTCCCATATGCATGGCAACCAAGATGGAATAAGGGGGCTTTTTTAGCGGATAGTAGAAATGCCGACTTTAATGTGATCTCCACCCTTTTTTCTCATATATCATGCAAGAAATATCGTGAGAATTTTTTTTATCTTCCAACTTGCCGTTCTGTTCACTTTGATTGCTCTCGTTTTCCAGTCGCAAAAATGGGACAGGAAAATCATGATGTGATCGAAGAGTCACAAAACTCTCGCTCTGTTTCTGATGATCGCAGCTTTAAAGCGCCTCATGAGCATCCGCAGACGACCTGGGTTAACATTCTGGTGAGTCTTGTCATGTACAAGGAAAGAGCTCCCATTGACAGAATTAGGTTATCATCACTGCCTGTCTGGGGGGGTTTCTTTACGGTTTTGCCGCAAATGCACTCTCCGGGTCTCTTTCGCAGACAACTTTTATTCTGAAGTTCTTATCCGGCTCCGACGAAGCTTCACTGGAGGATGCTATGCTGGGAGGGTAAGAGATAGATTCCATTCTACCAGCTATGCCCGTACTGATCATATGTACCTACAGATTTCTTGGTGCAGCTTTAATTGGTGCCCTTGTCCAGGCTCCTTTATCCAACAAATTCGGCCGTCGCATCGCCAATGGAGCAGCCGCTGTTCTTGTCATTATTTCGGGCGCTATTCAGGCTGGATCTGTTAATGCCGCTATGTTTATAGCCGGGCGTGTTCTATGTGGTATTGGATCCGGAATGGTGTTTGCGAATACTCCCGTGTATATGAGTGAAGTTTCACCACCTCACACTCGAGGACTTCTAGTGGGAATGCATGGAGTTGGTACCGTCACTGCGTATATTCTGGCTGCTGTGGTTGCACTTGCCTTCTCATTTGTCAAAGACCCTGTGCAGTGGCGCTGTATCTTTATCATCTTGACTGGACTCGGTGTGATGTATCTTGGGACTCTCTTTTTGATCCCCGAATCCCCCCGCTGGTTGATGGAGAATGGTCGCGAAGAGGAGGCCAGAAAGGTGTTGGAGTACTTACATAGTACCAAAGACGACAAAGGAGCCGCCTTTGCTCATGCTGAGTTGAAACAGATCAAAGCTCAAGTCGAAATCGAAAAGAACACGCCTGGAGGATTTATTTACATTGCCTGCACACCAAGCCACCGGAAGAGAGCTCTTTGTTCTATTCTCCTGTGGGTTATGGGCCAGGGTACTGGCATCACAACAATCGGCAATCTAATTCCTACATTGATGGGGGCTTTGGGCTTCGGTACTACTATGCAGCTAGGCCTTGGGGTGGTCTGGACTGTATGTGCAGTCATCGGGTGTGGTATCAACGTCTTAATTATGGATAAAGTTGGACGAGTCAGACTTCTTGGTATGTTATCTCATCTCATATCATATAGAATTACACTAACAAGGATTCAGTCATCGGTGGGTTTGGAAGTGCTTTAATCATTGGTATCATGGGTGGACTTGAGAAGTATTATCTTGACAGCACTTACATGCCGGGAGTCAACGCTGCTGTTGCTCTCTACTTCATCTTCGGCGCCTTTTTCACGTCCACAATCGAATGCACTGCGTATGTGTATGGATCCGAAATCTGGCCCACACATCTGCGCAGTGAAGGTGCGACTATTGTTTACGCCAGCTTTTTCGCAAATGCCGTCGCATATGCCGCTCCTGTGTCAGTGGCCCTTGACAACATTGGCTGGAGATACTACATGATCTTCGTTGCAGTTACGGTTGTCAGCACAATCGTGCTCATGTTTTATTTCCCTGAGGTACATGTTTTTCCTTTATTCCTACCCATTCGAGTGTCTACTTCGAGCTCTTACTAACTAATTTTTCCTTTCAGACCAAGGGACTCAGTCTCGAAGAGATCAACGCTAAGTTCGGTGATACTGTTGGCATTGACCTCCAGGATGCTCTTGCTGCTGAAGATAGCAGCTCTAATGAGGCTCTAAAATGATTTTATATCGTCGGCACGGGCTAGAAGAAAACGATGGTGAGGTAAAATGATTAGATTGAAGACGGTCATCCTGGATGCGCCAATAATGATGATAGATTAGAATGGTGCTCAGATAATTTGCAGGTACATAATTTGAAAGTGCTGATTTTTCCCATTCTCTTTCCAATCAACTCCATGATCTGGGCCACGGCGCACAATACTATGTACAAAAACTTTAAATCGCGTATACTGTATAACGTCTCCTGAGTTACGCCCACTGAATCAATTTGTAACAAAACTGGGGATTGAAACTTGGGGCCCACTCATAGACATGCTGTACATGCTTTGGTAATACCACCAGCCCCTCTTCTCGAATTTCGGATAGCCTAGCCCCGGGCCCTCCCTTATGGATAGGTGACAGGAGCCACAGTGTCAACATTCGGATATTTCAAATTCTGTTACAAATCTTATCATTTGTAATGTTAGGGATATATTTGTACAGGTAGCCTAGTACACAAGGCTCTCCACCACGCCAACCCTCGTGGAAGTAAATTTGGTTCTCGCAGAACTCGGATGAATGGGCTTCTGTACTCCATCTGTACTCCGTAGAAAACGGTGAACCGTTAGGCAATACAATGCTAAGGCTAAACTTCGGTCAATTACCTAGAAAGAAGATTCGGGTGTAATTTACCTCAACAATACACACGTACGTACTCCGTAGTGGCCACGTCTAGCATTGTGGGTCCATTCAGCTGAAGGAAGCGCAAAGATTGGGCCGATCAGTGGATTCATCTAATGTTTACAGAGAACAGTATACACACATGTCTCCTTTCACGGGCTGACTCGAATATGCCCCATAATTTTACGTAGTGTGATAGGTTGCCCAGCTGAAAGACAAATATTTGAAGTGTTTCTGAAGTTTTGCCTGCCTAAAAATCCACAGTAGATCATGATGGAAGAATGCTTGAAACCTTTAATTTCCCGGGACTCTCTTGATTGATACAACAAGCCTTAGGGATGAATGAATAGCTCCATGCCTACATCTTGTTAAGTAGTATTATCGCCCAGGGGAATTCGTCTGCCATCCTTCATGAGTGAAAAACGTGTAAGAGTTTATGCCTGTCAAGGCAAAGCGTTAGCCCGGGGAAGTGCGGGATATGGGGAACGTAAGACTTTCCATCTGTCCAATCATGTCCAACTCTCCCGAAAGTCTCGGGAATCTTATCAAACTAGATGCGATCAGCAGGGCATGACCAGTTACCCACCTCTCCCTAGCGGGGCTCTGGATTGACTCCAATCCTTTTCGACGGCGCCGATTTGAGTTTGATCCTTCACACGGCTCGTACCAGATGGGGGCGTCCATTCAAATCAGATGGGCGGTTCGGGAATGTCGATCCTACCATACTTCCCCAACGCCTCCAACTCAATTAAATGCATGATCAACTTTGTTCTTTGTTCAATCATGCTTCCTCTGATGCCATGTTTATTTTCTGACTATGCATCAAGAAGATCGCATTGAGTCCTGCATCTTGCGTCGCACCTCATTTTCAATTGCCTCATACCCCTAGGTGATTCTATAAGCCCTAGACCAAATTTATTTCAGCGCTAGTTATTATGTAAATCGAATCCCTTTGCTAGATTCTTATCGGTTATTCCGATCAGCGAGGGTGCGATGAATGGGGTTCCACTTAGAGCCAGTTTGCTTCAACTAATACTCTGTTTGGAAATCAATTTGGGGGCCCTTTAAGGATTATTTCAGTGGGTCGAACTCGGGAAGTTTTCGTCGCTATGTAAAAGTTTGCGCGTAAATTTATTGCCTTTCATTTCATTGTGGGAGTGAATCCCACTGAAACAGGCAAGTTATTCGAGCCATCTCGGCCCTAACAAACGACGATCTCTGCAAGTCCCTTCCCGCCGCCGGAGCCCTACTTGAATATTATTCGTATTCACTGTACTGCGTAGTTATGCATGCTGGTGGAACCCTGTTCGAACCATGCGATCCTTTTGTCTGTAGGAAAATCCCCTGGACCGCACTCCCGGGGCTTTATCGAACCTTTTACAGGCGAAATTCTCAAGTACGGGGCTCTTCCTTCTACAGTAGCTTTACCATCCTACGGAATATTCGCTAGCAAAAATTAAATTCGTGTCTAATATGACGATCTGAAATCAAGGTTTGAGTAAAGGCCTGGAGTCCGAAAAACTGCACTCCTGTCAGTGGCCTTTAACCTAAGTACCTTCCCCTGACGACATTCCGATGGTTCTGTGGTTTGAATTGTATCACGACTCATGTCCCGCGAGTCTAAATACCGCTATTCTGCAACGCGATAAGCTGCAGCTCGTTGGTCATTTATCTCAGTATGGGTCTCCGCGGTGAAGGGCCCGTTTTAGTCGGGGTACTTTGGATGGAAGTAGTTATCACTTTGATCGTTGTTGCTTTGAGGATATACACACGAACGGTCGTCCGAAACAATGTTGGATGGGATGATGCTTTACTTGTCGTAACTTGGGTAAGTCTTCCAGTTGGCCAAGAAATCCACATCTTTTTTCTCGGAATTTGTACTCATCTCTTACCTCTCTTTAGGGCTTGATGGCGGGTTTCGTTGCGTTGTGCACAGCATCTGCTATGTATGGAATGGGTGTACACGCGAATCAACTGAGCCACCACCAAGATTCTCAAGGAAGGCTACTCCTGCTAATTGGTCAGCTTGTCATTTCTCTTGCGATGGGGACGAGCAAGTGTGCTGTTTCTGTTTTCTTGATGAGAATTGTGGTGAAGAGGTGGCACATAGTATTCCTTTGGTTTTGGACAGCCAGTATCATGTTCTTGGGAGTCTTCCAGGCGATCAGTGTTCTGAATCAGTGTACCCCTTCCCGATCGCTTTGGGACTTACGCGTCCCATCAAAAAGCTGTCCTTTAGATCTGGTAAAAATCTCATATGTGATATGTTGTGAGTTATTCCTCACCTCCTTCCTCTCACGCTGAAGTTCGTATGGCTAATATGAACAAAAAGCTTGGTCCGCTATCCTTGACTTTGTCCTCGCAATTTTCCCATGGTACGCACTGTGGGGATTAAACATGAAGTTCAAGGAGAAGGTGAACATCTGCTTGTCACTGAGCTTGGGTATTATGTGAGTTAATACCTTCTCTTCTCTTTTCAAATCATTCGTGGCTTTTCAAACTATTTGCTAACGTATTATTAGTGCTGGCGTTTGCGGCATCGTTCGCACCACAGGGCTCGATGCTTTGGCAGTCTCTGATGACTATCTCTGTGAGTTCTTTAAATTGACCAATATCATAGACACTTCTAATAGACGCCAGATGCTGTAACCGAATCAGCAATTTGGACCAACTCTGAAATTACCCTTACGATGATCTGTGTCAGCGTACCAGCCCTACGACCCCTCTACCGATCCCTGGCCGGCCGAAGCACGTCGAACGAAACTTCCAACTATAACCAAATCAACCCCTATCATCTGCAAAAATACAATGGCCAAACTTCACATCCTGATTACGCGCTGGAGTCATTGACTACCACTACTGTACATGGAAAACAAGCTGCCTGCGACAACAGTGCGACTAGCAAACACACTGGTATTGATGAAGGTAGCGACGATATGGATACGAGTCACATTTTGAATCACCAAAACTACGATCCAAGCGTTATTCATCAGATAACAGAGGTGGACATATCTTATGAAGAGAGAAAAGGCGACGTTCCAACAGTCCCTGCTAAGGCGAGGCAGCATATTTGATGAAATCAAGGCACACCTAGCGGCTTTGTAGCCCATTGGCACCTTTGTAACTATATGAACTCTAATGACAAAATATAAAATATAAAGAGAACATCTCACTGATAACATGCGGCTGCGGTTATGATGAGCTCTACTTCATATACCCGGAGGCACAGAAGGATCACTATAGATCATCAAGCTGAGGAGGTTTACGAACAGGAAATGTGGCTTCCCAAGCGCTCATGACCTGAATCAGAAGGGCCTCTTGGTTTTTCCTCGCAATAGCTGCCACGCCAAACGGGCGTCCATTGTAGTCGAGGTAAGAAAGGGGCATTGCGCAAAGCGGATAACCTATTACAGGCAAAGATTTAATTGATTATGTCACCATGCTTGCTTTCAAATTTGGCGTGGTCATTGACTCACCTGTAGCTGTTGCCAAAGACGAGATGGTACTGTCAATGGGTCCCAGTATAACATCCACGCCGTAGCGCTCCAACGCCAAGTCCATCCCTTTTTCTCGGCCCATTTCTCTGAGATACGATAAATTTCGGTCGTATTCTTCAGGAGAAATGATCTTGTTTTGGCTGGCAATTAAATTGTCCTGTCGAGGATGGTCTATGGATACTATCAGCCAATTCAAATTGAGATAAAATGATAGGCGAGATCTTACGTGAAGGAAGCTCTTGATCGGCATGTTTCTCATTGAAGTCAATCACTTCAGCGACGGACCTCACTTCGCTTTCTTCAAGACCTTCCAGGTAAGAGTTAATCTGGGGCTTCATGTCGGCCTCTGTAACTATTCATTAGCACTTTGCAGGGCTGGCTCAATATGAAGAACATACGGATGATCGTCCATTCACAGCTTTCTCCGTCAATTTTGATGTCATCTGGGGATATCATTTCGATGTTCTCCACGAATCTCTTTGCCTTCACTTTGATTACCTCATAAGCTTGGCGGATATCGCGAGTCTGTGATGGTCGTAGCAGCGTTAATAAAGCATGAAAGGTGTTTTCTTCAAATTGGAACGTACAATTTGATCCTGGGTTCCATCTACGGGCCCCATCTTGGCTTCCGGCTTCTGCCATACATCCGGATCGAGAACAGCCACGGATATATCAGACCATGATCCGGTAAGACTGGCTGTGAAAGAATCTGAGCCTGACTTTGAGGCAAGGATATCTAAGAGCGCAGCTAAATCGTAAGACGACTTTGTCATGGGTCCAGCTGCATCAAAGTTGCTTGAGATGGGAATTATGCCATCTTGAGAGACAAGTCCAATCGTCGGCTTGATTGTGTATAATGCTGCGCGGCCGGCTGGGCTGACAAGCGATCCATCAGTCTCTGTTCCGATAGCGACTGGAGCGTACCCGGCAGAAACGCCGACAGCAGAGCCTGTGGATGACCCCGACGGATTCTAAAGCATTCAAGGTCAATAATATGTAACATGAAAAAGTCTTAGTTTCATTGGACTGACTGAATGTCCCTCGGGGGAGTCATTTGGGTCCAGACCACCGCGGACATAAGCGGATTGTGTCTGGCCGCCAACTGCAGACCAACCATTGGGCATATCAGATCCTCTATACAGCATGTTAGTTTTTCAAATCAAATCCAATCCAAAAATCAATATGTAACCAGCTACCTTGCATTGGCAAATTCCTAATTCATTTGATTAGCTATCTAGATATATTCGATAGAATAGGCAAGGTGACCTAGAATGACTCACGGCAAGGTTAGCCTTTCCAAGAATGACAAGCCCGGCATCAATAAGCTAATTACCATCAGTTCATTTCTTGAGAGTAGAGGGTGCTTATTATCAGTTTGGATACTGATATACCTGGTCAACAATGTAGGCGCTTTTCTTTGGTTTCGAGCTTAGAAGGGCCAGGCTTCCGACGCTAGTTGGTAATCCAAGGCTTGGATGAGTGGCGATGTTGTCCTGGATCAGTGTCAATAATAGTAAACACATATACACGACAGGACTGACCTTGATGAGAATAGGAATGCCATGTAATGGCCCACGCGTTTTTCCTGACGCTCGTTCTTCGTCCAGCAACTTAGCTCTTGCCTCCAGCAAATCAAGAGGCGTAGTCCGAATCATGGCGTGAAGCTTCCCATCGTGTTGGGATATCTGTGCCAAATATCTCGTAACAAGATCCAAGCTTGTAACTTTGCCTTGATTTAAAAGGTCTTGTAGAGCCTTTGCATCGATAGTAAGAAGATTGATCTCCTCTTCTACCGAGATTATTCGAGGCTGATCAGGCATCTCGTCAATGCTAACCAGGACGGGCTTCTGGTTACTAGGCTTTAGCGTGTTCAATGCTTCAATGTCTTACTGCTCAATCAGTCAAACGGGAAGTAACATAAATCTACTTGTGTGCGGAATGTGGCACTAGCAAAGAGTGGTGTGGCCTTTTGTGGAGGGGAGGTTGGGTCCGTGCATCGAAGTGGATATCCCTCGTCAGGGACCGATCAGCCACACCTAGTATATTTACCGTGATCGGTGAATTGAATCTACTTACAACCGAATAATATGAGCCTAATGGCTGGCATTGGCTGGTATTGGCTGTACTTTCACTTGCATGGTTTTAACGTGATATACTCGCAATTTTCAACTCGAAACATCATAGGCAGCCCCACTGCTATCTGCGCCTTGTATAACATGATGATCGCGAACTCCTTACCAATACAATCTTGAATGAAATTATAACTTTTTGAAAATTAACTTGAGAACATACATTCATCGGCATGATATAACTGAGAGCAGTTTCTCCGTGAGGCACACAAGCACCATTCCTTTGACGAAGGAGAAGGAACTTCAACTTGAAGTTGAGTGGTGATCCCGAGGTCTTAAAATTCTCGGGTAGGAAGATCGAAAGATAGATATCAAATAATCTGATCCGCTGTATCTCTCTGGAAATTTTCCTATGGCTTTTCCAAGTTGTAAATGCAATGATTCAAGAGAAAGAGCAAGGGAACAAAATTCTTAAAAGTAGCTTCAACCTCAGTGAGCTGCTCTATTTCTGGCATCACAGTGGAGATTTTCTTGAGTCGGTGAAGATACAGCAAGTAAGTGGCTTCTTCGCGCACTTCGACCTGGGTAAGACTTGGAATTCATTCACATGGCAAATGTCGGTTTAGTCCTCGTCAGTTAGTGTCAAAAATGAGGCTGATCAATGTCCAAAAGAGAGAATCTTGGGCGATGCAGGGTCCAAACTCAATTTCCCGCTAAGCCGCATTTGGACAATATCGTGGACGATCTTCGGGTTGATATCTCCCATCTTCGATCCAGACGATTGATTTGCTGCTTTGCCATGATGAACATGATGAAAAATGTAAAATATATTACAAGCAGTAATCAGAAATCAGGTATGAAACGATGTCAATACGTGTGGATCTTCTTACTTGACCTTCTTACTTGACCTTCTTGTTTTTCTATATCTTTCCTACTTCCACCACCCGTCACCTAGAGTCATTTCTCAAAGATCACAATGTTGTTCACCATCGCAAGTGAATATTCACGGCCAATTCTGCGCCCAATTCGCCCGATCGAGGAATTGACAGTATGCCGATATTTTGAGAATAGGCAGCAATCACAATCAACGTCCTCATTCTGGCGGACAAACACACACACCTTCTCAGGAACTGGCAATCGTGAGATACCTAGATGTTGGCCACCAAGTCAGTTCGAACAAGACCCTTCCAATATTCTTGACGTCAAAAACTATAAGATTCACTATGACCCTTTGACGGCTGCCAAGAAAGAAGGTGTATCCCACATGTACGAGGATGCCAGTTCGAAGGCGATATTCGATACGGAGCCAGTGCCAATCTCGCGTATTATTACCAAGAGATATATTCCTACACATATAGTGAGAAAAAGAGAAACCCGGGGTCCTGGATTGACTCTTTTGGTGTTACCTGAGATGGGTGTCCCTAAAGAGGTGAGTGCACGTGGAATAAGCACCACTTTCCAAGATTGATGCTCAGACCCAGCATTTAGATGTTCGAGCCTATGCTTGAGAAGCTGCTGTAACTACTGAAGGGGGCGACGGGGCAAGTTGACGAAATTTGGTCATTGGACATGCCTTTCTCCGGTGAAACTGCTCTTGTAAACCCAGTTGGCTATATGTATTGATGTGTATTGCTCTTCGCTTACTGATAGCTCCCAGCCCATTTATGATCTTGGTGTTAACTCATATACCTGACCACAGGCAACGAGAAAGACATCACACGAGATAAACTGTTGTTTATAACTGCCTACTTGCCAGTTCTAGCTCATGAAGAGCTGCCAGACGAACTCACTCTCCGACGCCCTTCATCCAATCGCGAACATCCAGTACGGAAGAATATCCATGTTATCTCCCATAGCTTGGGAGCACAATGCGCCATGCTAGCAGCTTCTCATGCTTCTAAAATTTTCTCCAGTTTTTCTGTGATTGATCCAGCCATGATTCCGGCTGGAAAACCTTTGAAAATGCTTTCGACACTATCAAATGACGCTTACCTCGTGATATCAAAGAAAGATATCCAGATCAAAAATCGCTAATTTCCGGCATTGCGTCGAGTAAGCGAACACTGGGATGGGATGAGCTTTCAATGCGAAACTTTGCTGAGAGGGTTTTTGTGTCTGACTCTAATGGCGGGCATTCGCCTGACCGGCAATCCTCGTCTTCAGTGGGCTCTTTACTATGATAAGGAGACCCCGACCCAGTGTTATGACCGCCTAACTGATGTAAGCGTACCATTCGATGCAATCATGCCCACCCGGCCCTTTGCAGTCCCATCGGAGCAGTTCAACGCCGATATTGCACGAATGCCGCAGAAGATAAAAGTTACATGGATTTCCCGCTCGACGCATCAATTGCCATACGAGCGGCCAGATGAATGTATGGAGGCAGTTTCTTCCTGGCTTCAAGACATGTCTCGTGGGAGGGAGCACTAGGCTCGTCTGTAGTTGTACTTTTTCTTGTCTGTTCTAAGTATATGTATCCACAAAGTGAAGGCTCACATTCGAGGATCCTCTACCCGCATATCTAACATACTTAGGCTTATCCAAATCAAGCATGATGGGATTATACGCTACTTGAAAATTTTCAACCGGGAGCGGCTTATAGTATACTCTCCCAAGGCGCTGTCAGACATTTATGTTGCCAATTGTTATGATTTTCATAAACCTGCTTTTCTTGCCAATCCGATGAGGGTCATACTCGGAAATGGTCTCTGGGTAAGCGAGAGAGATGACCACAAGGTTCAAAAAAAGGGTCTCCTGTCAGCATTTACACGTCAACGTGTTAATGCATTATACCCTATAGTTTGCAAAAGGCCCAGTGAGACAATACAAGAGGTTGCAATAGCTTTGAACCAGCACAAAGGAATATTAGATACTGCCAACTGGGCCTCGCGATATGCACTCGATGTCATTGGATCAGCAGGTCTCGGTAAAGACTTTATGGCAATTCAAGATGAGAACAACGCACTTGTGAAAGTGTGTAAGAAGGTGTTCAAAGTATCCAAACAGCAACGCACCATATTTCTACTCAACACATTCTTACCATGGTGGTTACTGAGCAACCTGCCCCTCAGCCATAATCATGAGTTCTTACAGGCATCAAAAGCCATTCGCCAAGTTTGTCAGGACGTCATTCATCAGAGACGAGCCCAGTACGCTTGCGAAGGAGTGTGGGGCACCGATTTGCTCTCGACAGCTATTCAAATCGGGCGCTTTTCCGATGAAAATCTCATCGATCAAGTTATGACTTTCCTCGCCGCAGGACATGAAACAACGGAGTCTTCTTTAGTTTGGGCCATTTATTTGCTAGCCAAGCACCCGGAACTACAAAAGACGCTGCGGGTTGATATTCCAGAGAACGTACCACCAATAGAGTCGGATGCGGAGATTACAAGTGATGATATCAAGCGGGTACCTCTTCTACATGCAGTGTGCAATGAGACACTTCGAATATTCGGCCCTGTCCGCCTTACAATGCGAGAAGCAGCCTGCGACACGTATCTTCAAGATAGCGCCGTGCCCTGCGGTATCAAATTTATGATATCATCCTGTGCTACAAATATAGATGAGACTCTGTGGGGCCCCGATGCCTCCGAGTTTAATCCATACAGATGGTTAAGTGAAAACGAAGAAGGTAATTGGGTATTTCTTCACGAGGGAGGAGCAACGAGCAAGTATGCCATGCTTACGTTCTCGCAAGGCCATCGAGGCTGTATTGGGCAAGGGTTTGCAAAAGCTGAGTTCGCCTGTTTGATTTCTGGCTGGCTTGGGCGTTTCTCATTTCAACTCGAGGCCTGAAAATTGGGAACGGTATCACTGCGAAGCCTGCAAATGGTATGCGGATAAGAGTGGAAGTCGTCCCATGATGCTCGAAATTTAGAAGCAATCTTTTATGTGCATAAGGAGTTTAATTTTTGTCGCTGCATCAAGTCAAACACTCTCTCGGGCGACTTTTGAGGTCTCGATCAGAACATCCGTGGAAAAGTGATGCAGTTCCCTAATCTCATGCAATCTCATGTAATGCATATTGATTTTGAATAAATCCAATTTTCTGAAACCTTGAGTATTTCTAAGTAGATTTTCTGTCCAAGGTACCCAGATAAGAAAAAGAAAGTGCCTTAAAGCCACAATTGTCCACACTGTAGTAGTCTTGATGGGGTGAAGTCAAGCCGACGCTGTATATAGTAAGCACGGACCAAGTATTGAGTGGGAAATTTTTGTGGGCGGTGAAGCCGAGCGGAGATTTCCTCACTCATTTTTTTCTACGACCCACGCTTTCTTCCAGCACGGAGTCAAACCGGCAACATGGACGATATTGAGGTAGGTGGCTTTAAATTTAACTGCCTAAGTCAGGATACTGACTGGTTTCAGGAACGTTTGCGCAGCCATGCGCAAGCATTCGACGGTTTAATGTCCTTGATCCCCGCCAAGTATTACTACGGTGATGACAATAGTGTACGTGCACCCTCAAGTCCATCAATGCAATGTTTCCTCCCCTCCTGGTCTTATCCTTGTGAAAGTTCATCTTCACTCCTGAGCCTTATGTCTGACATTCATTTCTGTGTGTAGGACCAGTGGCAACGGAAGAAACAGACCAAGGAACAAGCTCGTGAAGCCAAGCGTGCAAAACTCGACCCTGATTCCGCCGAATCCGCCAAAACCGCCAAGGATATCATGGATGAGAAGGCTCGTAAGCGCAAGCGTGAGGATGGCACCCTCGAGAGTGATTCATCAGATGGCGAATTAGGCTCCGAGAAGCCCATGGAAGGCGTGAGCCGCGGCGATAAAGCTAAGAAGCAAAAGCAAGCCGACAAGAAGCCAGATGCTGCCAAATCCGAGGCTGCCGAGGCCCGCAAGAAGCAAAAAGAGGAGAAGAAAGAGAAAAAGAAGGCTACGCAGAAGGAAAAGAAGAAGGCAAAGGAAACTGCCCGGAAAGAAAAAGACCAGCAAAAGCCAGCCGACAAGCCCAACGGTACAGACAACGAAACCTCAAAGGACGAAACTGCCAAAACCAACGGTGCTGCTGAGGAATCTGACGCATCCGATGATGAGGATGCTGATGATCTGGAAGACGGTACCCCCGAGGAAGGATTTTCCATCGAGTTCCACGATGAACCCGAGGACCCATCATCGGCTTCCTCCCGCAACTCCCCTAATGCCTCGAACCCTCAGTCTGGTAGCTCTTCTATTTCCTCTATTGTCCCTCCTACAGCCTCCAATGATACCAAATCCTCCGAGCCTAAGGGCCTGAAGGCCACACCAGAAGACCTCAAGCAGCGCTTACAAAAACGCCTGGATGAACTTCGGGCAAAGCGTCAAGCTGATGGTCTTAACGGCAAACCTGCACGCAATCGCCAGGAGCTCATTGAAGCTCGTCGCCAAAAGGCCGAGCAACGTAAAACTCACAAGAAGGAGCTGCGCGCCAAGGCAAAGGAAGAAGAACAGCGCAAGGATGACGAGGCTATGACCCGCCGCTTTTCTCCCGGTGGCTCTGGATCCCTCCTGGCATCTCCTCGCTCGCCTGCTGAATCTGTTGGATCTTCCGGCAACAACTTTTCTTTCGGCCGTATTGTCTTCGCTGACGGTCAACACACTGACGCTTCCCTCGGCAATGTTCGTGATGCTCACAAGAGCGCGGGCCCCAGGGATGCCGCTGCCCAGCTTCAGGTTGTTGAGGCGAAAAAGGCCCGCCTCGCAGAGATGGACCCGACTAAGCGTGCCGAGCTTGAGGAGAAGGATGCCTGGCTTAACGCCAAGAAGCGCGCCCACGGAGAGCGAGTTCGTGACGATACATCATTGCTGAAGAAGGCTCTGAAGCGCAAGGAGACTGCAAAGAAGAAGTCCGCGCGTGAATGGAACGAACGTATCGACACCGTTTCACGTATGAAGGACCAAAAGCAAAACAAGCGCGAGGAGAATCTTCGCAAGCGCAGAGATGAGAAGGGCAACAAGGGCAAGAAAACCAAGAAGCCGGCCGGTGGTGCTAAGAAGAAGGCCAGACCCGGATTCGAGGGCAGCTTCAAGGCCAAGAGTGACGGCAAGAAGAAATAAACATAAGTTGTTGCCAATTATTGCCGACTTAGTTTACAAAATCTGCCTCTTCATCTTCTCCTTCCCCCAAAAAGAAGAAAAGTCCTTATTTTTTTCAAACATCGAACTGGGAAATATCCATCCGGGGTTTGTGGTGTTCGGTGTTCGCGCTCTTTCGGAGGCATATTTTTCTCCGTTATGTCATATATCTATTTGCATGGGTAGCGATTTTATCTCGTTGTGTGAATATAGTTATCATTCTGTTCTAAAGCGACTGTCCTGTCTTTCTATGTGTAGTCGTGCCTCGCTTATCAGGTTGAAGGTTCAGTCAGTCAGCCACCTGAAACAGTTGAGTAATGTCACGATGGGAATGTCATTTTTGTACAGTCAAAAAAGAAGCAAATAAAGTAATGATTTAAAGTTAAGGATATGAGCTTGGTAGATTGTAACTTTTTTTTCTTCTCTTTTCTCGAATTAATTCAACTCGTAAAGAAAACAAAGACCTGCTAGATTCCAAATGACAAAGGAAAAATAAAAGGACAAATGAATCAATTTCCACAGGGAACAAAGGAATATCGAAAATTTCGTTCGGAACTCAACTAGTACAGAGATAACACAAGGTTGAGGGGTAAATATGTACAGAGGTGATGGGGGAGTATCGAGGGTATAATAAACCCTGTTCTAGTTTTTTTCATGCGAACCGATTGGAAGCAGGCGCACTGTAGATAGAGTTGGTCATCCTCGCTAGACCAGCCTATATGTTCAACCCGAGATGATTTATATCGCAATTATCATCCGGAAAGAAGCTAGCGATTCGATTATCGGTAAGGAGCATCAGCACGAGCGGCAGCAGCGATCTCGGGCTCCCACTTGTCACCGTTGGAGAGTAGCTTCTCCTTGTTGTAAAGAAGCTCCTCACGGGTCTCGGTGGCGTATTCGGCGTTGGAAGCTGTTCCATTGAAGAAACAAAAAGTTAGAAAGGGCCCACACAAATAACTCGAATAGCTATATAGCTGGTTAAATAACTCACTCTCAACAATGGCGTCCACAGGGCAGCTCTCCTGGCAGTAGCCACAGTAGATGCACTTGGTCATGTCGATATCATAGCGGGTTGTTCGGCGACTGCCGTCCACGCGCTCCTCAGCCTCAATAGTGATAGCCTGAGCCGGGCAGATAGCCTCGCAAAGCTTGCAGGCAATACAGCGCTCCTCGCCGGTAGGATAGCGGCGCAGCGCGTGCTCACCACGGAAACGGGGAGAGATTGGGCCCTTCTCGAAAGGGTAGAAGATGGTGTAGCTAGATTGGTGAGGTTAGTACCAATTGGTGTCGTTGAAGCTTTGGGTTCTCGGTGAGATTGAAAACTTACGGAGGACGGAAGTACTGCTCGAGCACGACGTACATGCCGCGCATCATCTCGGCAAGGAGGAAGTACTTAGTAGCCTTGTCGATAGCGGACTCAGAGCCTTGATCCCATCGCTGAGGCGGGGGCAGGCGGAAACCGGGCTGAGGGGGTCCCGCTGGGGTTGCTGCGCGGGACACTGAGGAAGAGAAGTTTGCCGTCGAGCCGATGGGGGTGAATGGAGAGCGACGGGCGGCGATCAGCCTCGCGACCTGTCGGGTAGAGGCCATGGCGACAGGACGATGAGCGGAGAGGATGATTAGGACAGAGGTTGAAGAGTGGGGAAGGCGAATTGGAGGTCTTCAAGGTAGGGGAGGAAGTCACTGGATGAGGTTGAGTGGTGTTTGCAGGTTCGGGCTTAGGTCATTTCTTTCTGCCGCGTGCTGATTGGTTGGCGGCAGGATTTTGCATCGGTGCATCACTTCGGACCATCTTCTTCCTCTTCTCCCCGTCGACTCCTCCATCATCCGTGATTCTTAGTCTTTATTCCCCCCCACTCTCTTCCTCTTTTTTTCTCGTTTTCTAGATTAGTGGCCATTGCGCTCTTTTCATTTTCTTCATCTTCACCATGTTCCGCTCCGCCATCGTCCGCTCCTTGAGGGCTTCCGTCCCCCGTGTCGCTGTCAAGACCCCAGCTCCCTTCCACATCCGCAGCTCGCCCATCGCTCTGCGCAGCCCTCAATTCACTCCCTGCTTCGTCTCCCAGGGTGTTCGCTGCTACTCCGCCCCTGCCGGTCTGAACAAGACCGAAGTTGAGGGCCGTATCGTCAACCTGCTCAAGAACTTCGACAAGGTACGTTGATTTTTTTGAGGTTCCTTTTTTCTGCTTTTGGATTGCGCCATGGGTTCTTCGGGCGTACATTTCTTCTCAATGAACTCATGCTAACTATCTTCTTCTCGTCACAGGTCTCCGATGCCAGCAAGGTCAGTTAGACGCGAGATCCATCCCGGCAACTACTGCCTTCGACGCGAGCCCCTGCGAGACTCAACACATGAACAATTCATTAACAACTATCGATAAACAGATCAGCGGTGTCTCCCACTTTGCCAACGATCTCGGTCTGGACAGCTTGGATACCGTTGAGGTCGTTATGGCCATTGAGGAGGTACGCGCCTAAATTGTTTTCCTCGGGAAAAGACGAACTCATGAGATTCTGACTATCGTGACAACAGGAGTTCAGCATTGAGATCCCCGACAAGGAGGCCGACCAGATCCACAGTGGTACGTTCAATATCCAACGGAGGACTCGGATTGCAACATCAGCTAACGATACATGTGTGAACAGTTGAGAAGGCCGTCGAGTACATCCTCGCTCAGCCCGATGGTACGTTGCTCCTTCTAATAATTCTACCACTATATTCTTATGTACTGACTTTTCTTCCAGCCCACTAAACAATTTAATTGAAAATTTGGGGGAACCGGTGTGTTGCGGAGATCGGATAGAAAAAGAATCGGGATATTGGCCTGCGTCGAGAATTTCTCCAGGGATATATCTCGGCAAATCTTGACGCTGCTTTATGCTGAATTCCATACCAGTGGATTTATTATTTTTGCCCTTGTTCTTCTATATCGTGTATATCATTGAATGCAGTTTTGACGCAGTGATCGCTGGAGCAGCTGCTCCATCTCACCACTCTATAACTCTGTTGGCTTCAAACGACATACTTAAGCATAGGAACCTTGGATTGTTAATTTTTGGAAAGCGAAATCCCCATATATGTGATTTATATCTACGCGGCCCAATTTATACCCTGAAAAGGCACCCAGAAGGTCAAGTGAAATCTGTATATCCATGGATCATGTTAATGTGCGCGCGTCTAACTTGCCTGTCGCATGAGATATTCAAATTTATTTATTTACCATCGGCCAAATTTGGGTTCCTGGAACAACTTGAAATAATGAATAGATATCGTGATACGGAGTATAGATCGTTGGTCATACACTGGCATGTATATATCTAGTGTTGCCTTCTCCATATCCGCTGCGCCCCAACATGATTCGACCGAGGAGCCACCTTTCCCTTTGAACTAACTTCGACCCAATCATCCTAAGTTTTTTACCCTATTGAGTTCGAGTTCACGTCCCCCATCGGATTCCTTCCCTTTTCTCCGGCCAGCAATTTGAATCATTCAAGCAAAAACAAATTCTCACCGAGAATCTAGAATTGTTGAATTCCGCTGGTCTTATTACATCTACCGCTTATCAACCCACTCGGTCCCTGGTTTCCCCTGACGCCGAGACAAGAGAGGGTCCCACTTACAAGCGGCAACCGCAGACTTTCGGTCTACCAACGCGCGACACTCAGACATCTTCCCTACCACGCGGTCAATTAATGCCCCCTGCGAACGGCACGCAGATTGGTCTTTGAGCAAGACACCCTGCCGTCGGACCCTACCCACCTGGGTCACAATCCGTTCTCCTCCCACCCCAACCCGCCTACCTTCAGCCTCATGTCCGCACCCGGAGGCTTGACTCGCCGACGAGGCGGCGGTCGAGCTGGCGGCCCAGAAGATCAAGATGAGAGCCGCGTGGCTTCCCCAGTCTCGAGGAATAACTCTGCGATGGACAACCGCGGCCCGGAGACTTCGTTCACAGCCGGAGAGAATGGTCACAAGATCGCATTCGACCCCCGCGACCTCAGCGAAACCGAAGAGCGGAGTAAGCAGCCTAAATTGACTTTGATGGAGGAAGTATTGCTGCTGGGTTTGAAGGATAAACAGGTCAGTTGGTTCCTTTTACATAGGATGCATGGACATCATGCACCTTACGGTATTCCCTCGGTGATAAAGGAAACCCGAATCGCTGACATGTCCCCTCTCTTCCCCTATAGGGTTACCTGTCCTTTTGGAATGAGAACATCTCCTATGCCCTGCGAGGGTGTATCGTTATCGAACTCGCCCTCCGCGGTCGTATAAGTATGCAGAAAGATTCTTCACGCCGACGCTTTCCCCTGGCCGATCGTGTAATCGAGGTCATCGACGACACATTGACTGGGGAGGTCTTGCTGGACGAGACGTTGAAAATGATGAAATCGAGCGAGAAGATGAGCGTAAACTCTTGGATTGACCTGCTGAGTGGTACGGATTATTCCTCCTTTGACTTCTTGGCGGGGTTGAACTCGTCACCAAAGTCTAACACGTTGACTAACTTCGTATTCTATTATAGGCGAAACCTGGAATTTGATGAAGATCGGTTATCAATTGAAACAAGTGCGTGAGCGATTGGCTAAAGGCCTTGTGGACAAGGGCATCCTACGAACCGAAAAACGCAACTTCCTCCTCTTCGACATGGCAACTCACCCTGTGGCCGATGGCGGCGCTAAAGATGACCTCCACAAGCGGGTACGCAACATCTGCAGCAACCGTACTGTCATTATTCCTTCTTCCCAATGGCTTCCCGAAGATTCCGAGTTTCGCTACCTTCGAACTGTTACAATGGTCTGTGCCGCATATGCGGCCAACGTTTTGGAGAATGCATTGGTTACTATGAGCCACGAGGCCCGAGAGCGAGCTTTTGCTCAAGTGGATGAGCTGCTAGCGGAGTACTCACAATGGCCTTTTGCTCGGCGACCGGGCGGTTCACAGGCGATTGGTGCCAACCTGGCCCAGGCGATCAACGACGAAGTCAACAAGCAAGATCGTGAGCTCCAGATGGAGGTATGTTTATTCTACAAGTTTCCCGTATAAAAATAACCCCTACTAATCATTGTCCCTTTTTTCCAGATTGTTGCCGCATGCTTGAGCGTTTTCACCAGACTTGATTCCTTACTCTAAACGAGTGCCGTTTTTGATCCTAATACAATGTTTTTTTTCTTGCACTTCTCTTGTTTTCCTTCCTCCTCGTTGTTTCTAGGCCTGTATTTCACCACGCTATATCTTCTCTCACCCTAATTCTCACAAGGGGCACTTTTTTCATCATCTTCTTTTCGCTCATGTAGTTTGTCATCATGTGGGTTGGAACTTCGCAGAGCGTTCTGTGATCTTATGGAGGCTCAAAATTCATTTCTTGTATGGGATATCTTACTGATCGATCCACCTGTCCCTCTGGTGTTTGTTATTGTCTTCTTGGCCGTTACTTCGTTATCTGGTAGTCACCGGTCCCACCTACAATAAGCAGATCTATGTTCTCAATATATGACCTCTTTTCAGTACAATATTCCAAGTCAGGCATACCCAGCCGCCTGTATGCCCTTGAAAAGAACATGAAGATCCAGCCAGGTCTAATTCTGGGCAGCCATTGCATTCTATTCACCACTCGAAGGGCTCGTTCGACTACAGTTTGAACAAAAGCGAAATTGACGATGAGAATAGTCATCTTTCACTCTAGCAAAAGCCGTCAATTTAAATAAGTCAATCCTTTCAAGTGTGCTCACCGCAGCTGGTCTTATTGTGCCGAAATTCATCAGTTTTCTCCAGATACATAGCTCGAATCAAAGTCATTTCTGAGTTTGTCGCATTTAAAATACTCGATAAGAAGCTCAATAATATTGTGACTCTGAGTCCTCGTAACAGCAGCAGACACGGAATTTTCGTACATCCCTGATCATCTAAATCGGCAATGAAAGTATTTCTGATAGCAACAAGCGTATTTGGATCCGCACCTCTTTCCAAAAAGAGCTTCAAGTTGCCAGTAGCCATTGGATCTGGGGCGGATTGGATTGCACCGATGTCCCGGTGGGTGAAATCTACAAGTCGGTATTACCACGGCGTATCGTGGTAATACACGCTCCGACTCGGCTTCTTTTTCAACAGCCATTCCCTCTCGCATTGTCTCATTCCTTATAAACACAAACGCAACATCGACTTCATTTAATGACCAGCTCACACTAAACCTCAATTATGAACCGCAACACTCCATTTTCGTCCCCCTTGATCTCACCCGATGAGCTTCATCGTGCTCTGACGACCCCCCAAAATCTCCGCATCATTCTCATAGCGGCCGGGAGGCAATCTGCCCTTCAATCTTATGAATCTAAACATATACCAGGCTCTGTGTACGTTAGTCAACTACACTGGCTATCTTCGAACGATTTCTAACCCGAAACAGGTTTTTCAACATGGACGTAGCCAGAGATGCCGGCGCTAAATACCCGTTGATGCTGCCAACGCCTAGGCAGTTCTCCGACTATACGCACGAGCTGAACATCCGTTCTGATGATGTTTTGGTAGTATATGATACTTTTGAAACAGGCCTTTACTTTGCTCCGCGCGTTGCATGGGCCTGTCAGCATTTCGGCCACAAAGAAGTTTACGTGTTGAATAACTTTGCTCGATACGTGCAGGGTGGATTTCCAGTCTCAAATGGACCCTTATTACTTCCGGAAAGGCTCTCAACATCAGTAGAATACCCTGAAACTTCATCTATCAACATGAAAGAAGTGGTGTCCTTCGATGAAATGTGCGATATCATCAATAATCAAGGCCTCGAAGAGAGATACCAGATTATCGACGCGCGACCAGCTGATCGGTTTTCGGGGAGCTATAAGGGTCCGGACGGACCACTTCCTTCTGGCCATATGCCGAATTCAATCAACATCCCGTTTTCTTCAATTTTGAGTCCGGAAAAGGCCATATTACCACCAACGGATCTCAAGGCGCTCTTCGCCATGGCTGGTGTGCAGGAACATATACCAATTGTCTTGTCTTGCAATTCTGGAACCACTGCTACTGGCATTTATTGGGCGCTACGTACATGTGGAATAGAAGTGGAAACCAGACTTTACGATGGAAGCTGGTTCGAATGGGTAGACAAAGCAGATGAGGGTATGATCGTGATAGAGTGAGTGCTTCGTGTGTGAAACACCACTTGAATAAAAACTAAGCAATATTAATAATATATGCCCATGCAAAAAGCCATATGGACTTTTAGCAGTTGATAGCCTTAACAGATTTTTCACTCAATTAACATGGATTCGATTCAATTCAGACTAGTGACCGGGGAACTTGAAACGGGACCTGTAAAAAGGTCCGTTGACTCCCATCGGGACTCCGAGGCAGCCGACCACCTCTAACATTGACCTGCAAAGCTTGATGAAGTAGTTGAGGCTCATTCAAGACTTCATCTCGTTCACGTCTCCAACTTACGAACTCATTCTCCTGTGTTCCCTTTTTAAAATGCTTGTTCTTTACAAGCTGCTGCTCCACCGTCACAAACGGCGTTGGCCCCCGCCCTGAGTCCTGTGGTGGATAATCGTGCCCGGTGTATAGCTTGAAATGAGGTGGAAGAGCGAGGAGTGTTTGCATGGTTTTATAGAGGACACTCGCATCGCCATTTGGAAAATCACATCGTGCGCTTCCAACATCAGGGTTGAAGATTGAATCACCAGTAAAAACATTACTGCCAATCATGTAGCCACTATGATCGGATGTGTGGCCGGGCAGGTGAAGCACCCGAGCTGATATCTTCCCAATATCAAAATCCTCATCATCATCGAGAAGGTAATCAAAGGCTTCGTATAATTCTTTTTGGGGAATGTTGTTTTTCTTAGAGAATGTTTCTTGCACAAGCTTGATCCGGCGGCCGGTGGAAACGGGCGGCTTGCTTCGGCTCAATTCTAACAGTCGTTGTTGCAAATAAAATGCCGCTGTGAGATGGTCGGCATGGGCGTGCGTCTCCAAAAGGCGGATAATGTTGTACTTGTTAGAGGCAACGATTTCTAGGAGCTCATCAGCTGAGGTGGTCGAGATGTTCAGCTCAGCTAGATCCAAGTTCAGCACTGGATCGATAATGACGGCTTCACAGGTGTTTGGGCAAGCAACAATATACTGCCATGTTCCCGTTTGTCTTTCAAAGACTGAATGTACAATAGGCTCCATTTTTGGGGAATCTGAGGAAGAGAAGGAAGATCTTGCCTTTTTTAAATGTTCGTAACCAATTTGCAGAGATCGGACTTGTTTCTAGTACTGCATTTCTAGATTCGACCCGTACTATGTTTTGCGGCTGAGTTTGGTCCCCGAGCTGTTAATGTTCTCTGAAGTTCGGCAGTGCTAATAAATTGGTTTGACATCATCCAGAATTCCATGGTTGTGTATGCGGTGCCTAATTGATCCCCGCAAAACTTTGAAGGCCGTTGCTGTAACGGGCCCACCAGGTCGCCGACCTAAAATTTTCAGTACAAGAGTCAAAGGATGCAATTACGTCTTACCCAAAGCTATCGGACGGGAAAATTTATGTTCTTCTTATTCTTAACTCTTGATATATTTCGTTCTAAAACCCCTATCCCCAGACGCTACTTTGAACTTTTTGAAACACATATCGTTTAGCTTGATTCACCGGTACAACGGCACACCATCACAGTGTACGAAGTATTTGCCACATACTGTTTACCCTTCTACGACGAGAATATCATACCGAATATGGAATTTCCATGCGAATCAAATGGAGTATATCTCAATGGCGACTCACATCATCACGAGGAGATCACCAGTGGCCCTCAACAAGCCATGACCAACCGTCCGCCGTCTTGTAGAAGCGGAGATACGACAGAAGAAGATGAGAGCAACTCAAAGCATGAATGTGGCTGGCGATACATAGTGCGAAACTTCATTCCAGCGTAAGTACAAATAATATATGCGAATATATGAGCCACGCTAACTGTTGCCTCAAGTTGGTTTTCCGTGAACATGGGTACGGGAATAACTTCAATTTTGCTAAATCAACTACCCTACAACGGGAAGTGGCTTTACTACATCTCGATTGTGATATTTGCACTGAACGTGCTTCTTTTTGTGATATTCTTAACCATCACAATACTTCGCTATCTTCTCTACCCGAAAATATTCTACGCCATGATCACCCATCCCGTCCAGTCCTTATTCCTTGGTACATTACCTATGGGATTCGCCACCATTATCAACATGTTTTGCTTTGTCTGTGTGCCAGTATGGGGTGACTGGGCGGCATATTTTGCTTGGGGAATGTGGATAGCTGATGCAGTCGTATCCTTCTTGACATGTTATTGCGTCCCATTTGTCATGTAAGTTGCCTAACTGCCTCGGCTATGTATTATTTCGACCGTTGTTTACCCAATACTGACTGTTCAATAGAATGACAAGGTCATCTGCCATTGATTTGCAGGCTATGGGTGCTGCTTGGCTTCTCCCAATAGTATCCTGCGTCGTCGCAGCTGCGACAGGTGGTATCGTTGCGGAAATACTCCCAAACCCACAATATGCCCTAGGAACGATTATTACGAGCTATATTATGTGGGGTGTTGGAGTACCTCTCGCATTGATGGTGATCGTAATCTATCTTATGCGTTTGATGCTCTATAAGCTACCTCCAAAGGCCCTCATTGTCAGCACATTCCTGCCTCTAGGTCCACTAGGGCAAGGTGGCTTTGGGTAAGTAGACATTTAAGTGAAAGCTCTTACTATGAAACATTATGCTGACAATTTCATTTTCAAGAATTCAAAAATTGGGCGCTGTTGCGCAGAAGGTCTTCCCTCTCACCGGTACATTGAGGGCTGGAGCTGGTGATACTTTGTACGACATTGGTTTCCTCTTGGGACTAATCCTTTGGGCATTTGGAACACTTTGGCTATTCTTTGCCATTTGTGCCATTGTTCGCGTGAGAAAGTTTCCGTTCAACTTGGGTTGGTGGGCATTTACCTTCCCCCTGGGAGTTTTTACCACCTGTACCATTCAACTAGGCAAGAGTATGCCTTCGAAATTCTTCAGAGTGCTTGGAACCGTAAGTAAAAATCTCACCTGCTATTCAACCAAATATGAACTTAATATAGTCTAAATTACTAACTAATTCCAGATACTTGCTTTGTGCGTTCTGCTGTTCTGGATCATGGTATCTATGTTCACATTGAAGGGAGTTTTCAATCGCAGTCTATTCGTGGCGCCCTGTTTGAAAGACCTGCGCGAGATTGAACGAAGAAAGCTTGAAGCAAAGAGAGAGAGAAGCAGTGTATGAAATTTCTTACGGTGGATAGTACCCAGTTCTCCTACTACCTATATTTCCAATATGTACATACAAATACTCGTGATTGTCTACATACAGACATGGACATTAATACACCTTAATAAACATCCTGCCACTTGCGAACCATCATATAGCTATTCCGCATGTAAGCACCATTTTGCATATGCGTCCAGATATCCCAAAGACTTTTCAGCGAACACCCCATCCACCCTGGAAATAGCGAATCTTGGTCTTGATCCTGCCACGCCTCTACCAGCTTCACATAATGAGAAAGCTTGTGTTTCAATCCCACCGGAAACTCCGTAGGGATCGGTGCAGTCTGTAACGAGTGAGAAATCTCTGAATGGATAACAATAAACATACGGTAGCTAGGGAATACATCGCCCATATCCCACTCCTCTGCCCAGGCTTAAAATTGAGTACAGAATTTCGAAGTGGCTGGCAGCGGCCGAAATAGCATAATAAAAATCATCTTTCTACTGACTAGGGCTAAATCTGCTATACCTGGTCTTGCAATCGTCGAAGCATTGATTGGCTTCGGGGCTCGTAGCACTCGGCGATCAAGTGGGGCGGGGATTCGGGGACTTGGGGATCACCGAATCCCCGAGGCGTACTGAGTATGTACAGTACACCGCCTACATACTGGACACTTCGATTGTTTCTCAGAGTGGGTCTTCTGCACTTGTTACACACCTGGGCAGCAACTAAACAGAGTAAAAAATCACACGTTTGTTCCATATTGTTGCTGTGTCGGCCCTCCGTCACGCCCGCGGCGCGGTCTGTCCGGGGTGCGCCCCGCCCTGCTCGCCTTTTGACCTGAGCCCCTCCTCCCGCATTCCAGCCTCATTTTGTGCCGTTTTTGAGCAGTCTCCATACTGTGCCATCGGTCTGATTTTATGATATTGTTTAGTGTTGGAATCAGAAGGAAATTACTTATAACACCTAATAGTGGCTAACTATCACCTAATAATTGCCTCGATGTCGAGCCTATGCCTGTTCACCGCTTGTAAGGCGAGGATGTAGAAGCTACCCCGGATGCCTACGGGGCCGTCCCTCCATCTCCACTTGACCATGAGTACTTGAATTTGAGTGAATACTGCTGCAAATCACAAGTATCAAAGATCACTTTTGTTGGCTGTAGCCACAGAGAGTCGGGAAGATGCAACATTTGAACCGTGGCCCCAGGGTCCCTTGATGGCTGAGCCAACCAGACGAGACATTCGGAACTCAGATCTTATAACAAAATACCGACGAGGCAATAGAAGATAGGTTTTGCACAGGATCATCCGGCCAAGGGCCCTGAGGTTCCGATCACGTTATGTCTCGGTCCACCTTAATTCGCTGACACTAACCCACTTTGTAGCTTAGTGGCAGCCAAATAAGCTTGAGAGGTAGCACGGAGCTACGGCTGCGGAGCCGGACCCCGTATCTTAAGTTCTGATAACACTATCTATACCGAGAATGCTCCGTTCCAATTGGTATATAAGCGGGTGTTGACAGCTTGTCTCATACCTACTTGTCTATATCTCTAAATACTCTTTATCTATACGCCTCAACAGTACGATACACTTAGTCGCCGTCTGAAATCCTGTGCTAACAGCTCTAGTGTCTAACAACAAGATCGTTCCTCTCACCATTATCAAGGGCGCCGGCCATGAGCACATCCCTATCCCCGAGGGCGAATGCGCCATTATCGCCGACTTCCACTCAATAAAATCCCAGAGCTCACACTCTACCCCTTACCTGACCACTGGATTCTACCGTGTTGTGCCCGGACCTACACGCTACGGCGAGTACGACTACGAGGAGACCAAGTATGTTCTCAAGGGTCAAATCGACATCACAGTAAGATCCCAGTCGATTTCAAAATCTGTATTACAAATTATACTGATGACAGACAGGATGAGGCCACTGGCAAGACCCACCATCTCGTTGCTGGAGACTGGGCCTTCTTCCATGTTGGATCCAAGGCTCAGGTTAGTCCTCTGTACTCCAGTCAAACTGTATAGACTTGCTGACCCATTTATAGTTCTCAACAAAGACTGAGGGTGTTGCTTTCTACGCCGTCACCCGACCAATGAACGACGGTCACCCTAACCTCGTTGGCCGCGAGGAGAGCACTTCAAAGTTGTAAAAGTCAATGCTATCATAGCCTGTTAGATAAAATCTAATGCAAGATTTATAATATCTCGTCTTTTCTAGGGTAACTCTAGTGCTACTAGTAAGTGGTGGCTAAAAGCTAGTCCATCTTAGTTTTAGTTTCATTTGACTTAATAGAAAGGAACTGTATTTGGGAATCAAATGACAGATGGCAGCTTGATTCAATCGAAATATTTCAGCCCTCCATAGGCCTTCAGCATCCTCTACCTTCACCAGAGTGACAGTGATTACTGCGTTTGGTTGCTACTACTGAGTCATCCATAGTTTTTTGCCTTCTTGATTTGTTTTTCTTTTCTATTTGTTTACACTCCAATTTATTTTACTCCACCATTTAATGCTGAAGTTAGTGTGGTCTTGGATAAAAACTAGGCTTCCAGATTTAGGTTCATGAAGCCCCCGCGTCCGCCTACGCTAAGAGCCGCCACGTCGACCATCGCACGACCATCGGGTCCCTCATGATGGGTTCATAAATCTGCAATATCTCGCCGATAAAACTCGAGTACATATCGCAATCAAAATGCGTATAGTTGACCTCCCATCGGAATTGCTCTACTTGATCGGAAGTGACCTCAATCAGGAGGACATACGCAACCTGATATCCACCTCGCATCAAATGCACAGCCTGTTTCAACGAAAACCCTACACAAAAGTGATTCTCAAAAATCAAAACGCGAGTACAGCTCAGATTTTCCTTTACACTGTGGCCCGGAACCCGGAATTGGCTGCCTGTGTCAAGTCTCTAGCACTTGCGGGCTGGGAAACCTCTGAAGACTCGGTAACCGACCGGGAACCCGAAAAAAACCATCAAAAGACGTAATTTTGACGGTGATCTTATTCGGAAATTAATTGATGAAGCAACTGAATACCCCGAAGAAGAGAAATTGAAATGGCTACAGGATCTCGAGGAGGTTTACGACGATGCCTGGCTGGCATTGCTCATTCCCCGATTGACCGGTCTACGAAAAACCGGCTTTGAATGGCCGTTTGGTTCCTCCCATGTTATCAAAATGCTCTGCAAAGCTGCCATAAATGGAGGTAATTGCTTACCTCATCTTGAAGAAGTTAGCATGTGTTGGTATGATATGGAGAATGCCGTCGACTCATATCAGATGCATCCGTTCTTCGAATTTCCATCTGTGCGTAAAGTCAGTGGATGGAAAGTCGCGGAGAGTGCTAAAGAGGAGGAGGAAGAGGAGGAGGATTTTGAGCTCGTCCGTAATGAGATTCTCAAGGATGTTAGCCTCCCACCTCGATGCTCAAATATAATGGATATTGATCTCTCGGAAACCAACGCCGCGGAGGGAATGCGAGAATGGATCCAGGCCTGCAAAACGCTAAAGTTCTTCCGGATAATACACGGCGGAGGATTAATCTCATACGATGATTTGCAGCCCCGCAAACTCTACAATTCACTCTCACTGCACAAGTCCACACTGGAGGCTATCTGGGTTGAGGCCGACGAACACGGATCAAACGGCAATAACGATGACGAGGGGATGGGATCATTTGTCGATTTTTCTGCCTTGAAACTCCTCCGTCTCAGTTTATACAATCTCATAGTATTCGACGATCAAGGCTCACCCACACGAAAGATAAGTGATGTGATTCCGTCTTCACTAGAAATATTGTTCCTGGACATTGCGTGGGAGGGCTTTTGTGACGCCCTGAAGGACTTGGCGGATATAGCCACCTCAGGGAAGTTTTCTAAAATTGCCGCGTTGCATATTGAGACCTCCAACGAATTATCTAGTCCAGAGAAGGATGAAAAAGTTGAATGGCTACAACATAGATGTCGGGAGGTTGGAGTTGCGTGTCATATTTATAATAGAAGGAGTCGTGATTATTGGGAAGATATTCGGCTTTGGCACAGCCTTTGGACCCAGTGCGAGGCAGAAGACCTCACCTATTCTTGTTAGAGACTTTCTGTATGTTTTAAAGGGCAAAGGGGGTAAGATCGCAGAAGATATTGGCTCTAGCTGGGGCCAACTCTGGAAGCAGTGAACAATTCCAGCCGTATCCTTCATCCACTCCCAGTAAGGAATAGGTGGCAAAGCCAAGTCTTCTTATTAAAAAGAACACTTCGAATACCACTTGCGCAGGTGCAGTTAACTGCACATGTGGTTATATAGAGGAACGTGTTCCATCCAATTAGCTGAAGCCCCATACTTGGTTCTCACCGCCTAATATACGGTAGCGTCAGAGTGAAACCCGAAAAACATAGGTTACAGGCCCCGGGCATCAGATTCGTCGCCGTATTACAAGTAACTTTCTTTTCTGCCGGATTTTAAATGTGTCATTTTACGTATTATCGGCGTTTGTTCGAGGTCGTGCCCCGAACGGAAAGGATCCTCCCTTCTTTCTTTCTCCAAAGATGGATAACGATCTCAAGTACAACTTACTCTCACTTGAGAGCCCTTCAATAGCTATGCAATTTCTCCAATGAATCATCGAACCTAATAGAGCGAACAGGCTCTTTTCTATGAATGCTTGCTCTTTCACAGGGACAGGGCCATGCCTACTACGTCATCCTCCATCCAAAAAGCGCGGCCTGCATCGCTTGCTTGTGCAGAATGTCGAAAACATCACCTGAAGTGTGACGGCAGGCAACCATCTTGCTCTCGATGCTCATCCGCGCGCCTTGATTGTGTCTTTATCCCATCTCGTCGAGGAGCGAGGCGAAGGCAGGGAAACACCGCGTATACCCAGCGTGATGCTTCCGCCAGCCCAAATCCCAGCAGGCCAGCACAAAGCCAACCTTTTGAAAGAATGCCTGAGCGTGACCTTTTGAGCAAAAACTCTCAGTCTTTGGATAACTCTAATGATCTCCGGAGCCCTGCAGGCATGCCTGAAACCATAGTACCCGAGTCGCGATTAGTTCGCCTCTTCTACGAACACTTTCATCCAGCCCATCCAATTCTCGTCCCTGCTTCTCTTTACGGGAAATGGGAATACCCACCTTACTTACACCAAGTCGTGAAGTTTATAGGGAGTCATTACTCAGTGGTACTTGATAATGATATATTACAAGAATCCACTTGGTCGGTCTTGAGCGCCACTAAAGAGAGGACCTCTCACATGGTTCAAGCTCTTCTACTATACTCGACAATCATGCGCGCGCGCAATGATACTGCACAGACCGAAGCTTCTTTGAGTCAAGCGATCGACATCGCCATAGAGCTTGGGATGAATAGACGAGACTTTGCGACTACGTTCTCAGGCGGAAAGCAACACGAAGCCGAAAGTCTGCGGCGTACTTGGTGGGGGCTTTTCATGTGGGAGATCAATATGGCTGTGATAGATCGGAAAATCACTCTGCGATGCAGTGCCATTTTCTCTGACGTGTGTTTGCCATGCGAGGAATCGACTTACGCGTCTCTTCAACCAATCCCAGAGCCACAATCGCTCGCGTCCTTCAGGACAAGGATATTTACAGATGGCGAGGCTGGAAATTTCTCCTCCTTTGCATATTGCATTGAAGCGGTTCGCATACTTGCCCGTGTACTTGTCCTTAACGGGCTGCCCGATGCAGACCAAGATAATTTGCAAGCCGTTGCAAATACACTCGTCAGCTGGATTCACCATTTGCCCCAACAAAAGGTTGACATTGTAGACATGTACGGAAGTATTGATGAGATGTTATTCCAAGCGCATTTCACAATACAATATGCCGCTATGATCTTACATCTACCTCGCGGTAACCTTCGGACAAAGTCCCCTGGCTCTACATTTTGGACTTGTCCCGTGACCCTATTCCGTCTTTCCCCTTCATTAACACGTCATGTGCACGATGTGAAAGCTATTGAAGCTTCTAAAAAGCTGTCAAACCTCTTATCTGTGCGTGCTGGTGCGCAGGGGTATAGTCCCTCCGTTGTCTTTGGATCATTGCTGTGTGGCCTTGTTCAATTATCTGCCACAGAAATGCATGGATCGGAGTGCGCAGATCATCATCAAAATAGGGTTGTTCTGGTTCTTGGATGCCTCAAGCTCCTCAAGGACAAATGGTCTTTGGCTCAAGTCGCGTACTTTCATCTCAGGACTACAGCCGCCGAGATGAACACGGCCTCTACGGAATATTCGCCATTTGAGAGTAAAAACACGCCAACTCAGCCAACCGAGCCCATGCTTATGGAGAATGCTATATCCAGTCCCATGTACGATATTGCGATGAATGATCAATTTTCGTCAAGGCTTTTATCAGAATACACGGATGCTGCCTGCGGTGAGGTGTTTCCCTTGTTTCAAATGTTTAATACTGAAAATCTACCAAACAACCTTAATCAATGAGACCTGACATCCCAGATGAAGATATTGCGTTCGTATTCATTTTTATATTAAGACATTGTTTGATATCTTTTCCCCCCTCCGAATGGATATACCTTTAACTGCTTGATCTCCAGGGGTTTCAGCCGCATCCGCCATAGATTCCTCCTCCTCCCTGAATTCTTCCTTTGTTGCTATCGATCTGGATAGGATAAATGTTATAACATCTGGCTTACGTTTTTTTCTGATATTTACTTTCTATCAATACATGCTATATACAGGTTCAAATGAAAACATTACTCAACGACTCAATGGGTAATTACAAGACCTGATCCTCCATCCCAAGCTGGTCCACAAAATCATAAAGTTCAACGGGATCTTCATAGACAGTCCAAATTTCAATCGGTATATCCTTAAATGCCTCTTCGAACCTCTCATCCTTATTCTTGTCCTCCATATGTCCCACATTCGTAACCTTCCGAATAGCTATCGCATGAATCCAAGACGGATACCTCCGATACATCTCCGCATACGCCTCGGGGTCCTTTTGCGTTGAGTCCCCCACACAAAGCACCCTCCGCTGCGGAAACCAATGTCGAATCTTTTCCATCCTCTCCGTTTTATACTCCTGCGTCCGCTCAGTAAAAGACTTGATCAGACCACTAATGTCCATCCAGGAATGATCGCGCAAAATCAATGTGCCAGTTGGATAATGTTGATGCAGGAAATTATGCAAGAATGGGTACAGGTTATAAGGCGATGCAGAGAGGTAGAACCATGTTGGATTTAGTTCAGCATGAACGTGATGGTAGAATTCCGGCATGCCATGTATGGGAACTGGTTCTTCGGTAAAGGTCGTTCGAAGGATACCGGTTGGCTCCATGGTCATTGTGCGCTTGATTGTATCGTCGATATCGGAAACTACAAGCCACCCTGACGGTGCAGCAAAGTGCGTCTTCATACAAGCCATGTTGTTTTCGAACTGGCTGATTCGAGGCTGCACAGTCGCTCCATCTTGAATATGTGAAGCGTCAAGCTGAACAATTTGACTGATGATACCGTTGCGATCCGCTGGGCCTATCGGATACGACTGTGTTGAGCCGTCTATGTCTAGCTCCACAGTAACATTCATCCCTGGCGAGACATGATCAAGGAAAGGCTGAACTCGATCTTCGATGCGCTTGCGGGTTTCTTCATCAGCAGCACCGCTCTCGCCGTCTAGTCCAATGTAATCTGCGATCGATGCGACAAACTTTCCTGCATCTTTGCGTCCTTCCTTTTCCAGGATGCAGGCAACGAATTCCGCTTGCCATGGTGCTGGTTGGTCGGATGGCTGATCTACAGCGCCTGCCTCGGGCACGGCCTGGTATGCTGTATTGTCAAGCACCCAGACAATGTTGGTCTTGGGATCTGCTGGGTGCGAAATGGGGTTCTTAGGGCCCAGAATAGAAGCAACAAACTTCATGAACGACGAACCCCGTCGTTCTGGCGGGGCAGGACGTTCCTCCAAATCCTCAGGGGAAGCTAAAGCCACAGGAGATACGCCCGAGTCATCCTGTGGATGCTTAGTGCCTGGGGCCGAAGAATCGCTGGGGAGCTTATGCACCATGATGCAATTTCCGGCCCGTTTTGGGGATCTAATCTGCAGTTGGCGAACGTGTAATTGAAGAAATATTTGGAACGGCTTTCAAGTATTTATAAGAAAGCCTAAAGTCGCAAGAGAGTCCGACGAAAACTTTTGAATGATGAAGTTTGTTTGTATCGAATAAAATAATTTGCTGTGAACTCTGAGAGCTCTGTTATGCTCAGGAGAACGGGAGTTGATTAAGGGGCGGCGGATATGCGGATCATATAACGAATGATCGGCCACTTTAGCGTCTTTTAGCGACACCTCCCACACCCCGCCTGATCACAACGCCCCCTAGCTGAGGCTGTGAACGGGGCCTTGACCTCTGATTTATTAGGGCTATTGGTTAGGGCACCAGGACACATCATTCGGCGATGTCATGGGGCGAAGTAAGTAACATGGTTATTTTTCAGCTCGTATTGCTCGATGTCGCGAAGGACAAGTAACTATATTATTGTATTACTTAATCCTAGCGAAGAACGTCACAATATTTCCCTTATAGTAAGACGTCTACTGCAAGGGACTACCGTTGTTGGATTTGGCTAGACCTGTGCAGACCCATGGGCCGCCCATTGCACAGGTCTAGATTTGGCCTTCAAGGCATATATCCTTGACGGGTGGTCCAGTACTTGATTCTTTCGAAGGGCTGATAGCGTGTATATCTCCGTATAGGGCCATTTCATCTGCTCAAGCATGTCATTTATGCGCCATGGGCTATGCGCACCTTCATGACGGGCCAAAAAAAAATCAAACTGGAATCATTAGTTACCTCGCCAAGGGTCATTTGACTGAATTTGAGGTTCTTGACGAAGACGTGCATGTGACTTTTGTTTGCTACTACTGCGACCCCCCTGCTATTACCGCCTTCCATAAAGGAACACCGCCTTCATCTCCGCTCTGATTTGGTATGGTCAAACTTACTATATTAGGAAGGAGGGGGGGTCGCAGTAACTAAAGGTGGTCGCATTAGTACTACCCTTTTCTTACTATACAACAAATGGTACTAATCCATGACACAAGAGGTTTAATCCGTATGGTATGCATGGAGCTTTGTTTTGAAGGCTCTGTTATCAGTGCTATGACCGCGGTCTTGAGAGTTCACGAAATATCAGCCGGATTAAAATAACTTCAATGAACTCGAATGATCAAATCCGACTGCGAAAGTTTTAAAAGCGAACAAGACTCGGGACCTTGGCTTTATCGCCAAGGACCATGCTGTCCACCGCGAATAGTCACGGTTGGGTTTAAAGGCGGTAAGCCATTCGTCTAAACCACCTTCAGAAGGAAGCGAGGATGGAATCAGAAGCATGTGGCCTGGGGCATGATGACCTCGCGAACGGTGGACCTAACGAGGAAATTGGATTGAGGCGACGATGTCGGTTTTCATTTCTGCCTGAGGCATAAATTTATACAATAACTAACTGCCAATTCAGACTACAGTAGAGGAAGGCCTTGGAGGCGACAATGTTGGTTTTTTCCTACTCAGGATGGTCAATCGCTTTTTTATGACCGATTATTGTAAACATGATCTTCATACTTTGAAACAGGCCCCTTAACTACTAGTATACCCATGGGGATACATAGCCAATAAGGGTTCAAGTTCCTAGTATTGTCTTAGCAAGGGAAAAGGTTACCATAGCCAAGCATCTCTGGAAAACATACTTACAGTCCACTACCGGCATGTCTAAATAAGAATGTAATAGGTAATTCAAAGTCGACTGAAGCCCCCGGGGCCCCTTGCTTTGCGTTTTGTATGATGCTCAATTCTAAGGTTAAACATATATGCAAGCCAGACCAGCTTCATGTTCAAGGGAAACCCTTTGATATCGATTTAAGCAATGTATTACAGCATTTGGTCACTATGGTTTCTGCTGAACCAAGGTTGGCAGGAATTGAGCACGAGTTTGGGAAAACTCCTAGATCGCTGAGAAAGCCCCCTACTTAGTAGGTGGTCAATAGGCCAGTAGCCCTTGCAGAGCCGCACCGTTATGACGCATTGTGGTAGCGGGAAGCAACCCTTCTTAAATTCCATGAACTCTATATAAACTGCCGGTATTTCATCTCGGGGAAATCAGTGTTCAGTGGATATTCACTGACTATCTCCGCGTCGTCAAGATCTTGCCTCCAAATCCCGTCCTTTCCACACAGTCTAGTTAAGGCGCATTCAAGCGACAGCTCTACCTACAAAATCATGTCCTCGACTACAATAAAGCAGCAACCCAAACACTTATACAGAAACCGTACTCGAGAAAGACCGACATCTCGTGGTCCTCCTGTGCTTCCGTGCTATACCGAAACCAACCCGCTGATTTACCAGTCCACGGCGCATTCTCTAACGCACGCATGGCCGAAGCATCGGGTTGTGGACTGTGTACGTTGCCAAAGATACCCTTGCATCGACATTGCATTAAGTGATACAATGCATACGGTGCAAGGAAGATACAAGGAGGTGAGGGGATTCATTGGATAGTGACTTGAACCGCGTGAGATTCTTCCAAGATGGTCCAATTTCGCTGATAGGAAGCATGGAGTTCAATGACATGCACGAATGGGTATCTTCAAACAAGTTGTCCATGATCATGCGATACCAAGAGCTTTTAACCAAGTACTTGAGAGACAAGAGTCTCTGGCAAACACAAATCCCTCATTCTCATAGGGACTGGTCTTCCACTGGACTATTGAAGAAACCCAGCCAGCGGCCACTTTCTGTCAGTTATCGACAAAACAGTGTTGCGAGACTTCGTCTTATATAAGGAGATTTACTGTGAAAGACCAATAGCCAATATATTCAAATGCAAAAAATGGAGGCTGTATGGCATATTTCAAATATGCCGTGTAACTTTTTGTTTATCGTCAAGTCGTAGGCCTAGGCGTAATTTGTTCATTGTCGCTTATTGTCTTTTCACCATCGCTTTGGCGCAGAGAGTTCAGTCCTTGAGAATGAAGCGCTGACTGTCTCTTGCCCTCGCCGGCGCTGAATCTCTTTAATCCCAGTGCGGTCCGTGACGGTAGTTGCGTTGATAATGTTATCAAAGTCCTCGTCTTCGCTACCGGCTGAGCCAGACTCCGCATCCGAGTCAACATATGCAGGCTCTGGCTTTGCAATTTTCTCTGGTTGTTCCTTGTCCGAGGCGGATGGGTTCTGGAAAGATTTCGAGTTGAGGATTTTTTGCCGGATTTCGGCCATTTGTGCTTCTTCCTCAGAGTCGTCGGAAATAGCAAAGGGGTCTTTATCCTCTTCTTCCTCTTCACTGTCCCCTTTCTCCTCGACCTCACTATCATCTTCCTCGTCGTCTTCGTCATCGTTGTCCGAACCTTCGTTGGCCGGCAGGCGGTTTGTGTTTCCAATGGTCCAGATATCTTCAGACCCTTCGATACGGCTCTCCTCATATTCTCGCTCAATTTTGGCGAGCCATTCTTCTTCTGTCCTCTTCACATCCTCCTCAGTACTACAAGAAGCGTAGCGCTTCAGAAGCTCAGAGTTGATGTCCAAAAATGCTTGTCCGTAGCTGAAATTCTTCAGAATCTCTTGCGCCCATTCCTCGTGTCCACAAATGCAGAAGCAGGCTGCCAGCGCCTCGACGCAGTTCAATCGCCAAGGTTTGCCGTAGTTCACTGTGTTTGCTGCGATCAAGTAGGGTACTTTGTAAAAAATCAAGTTAGTCGGTATACAATTTTCATCTCCGCGCGTCACACGTACAGAGTCGTTCGCATTTTCCGCCGATACGTGACCATGGGACTTCCTTGACTCGCACCCAAGAACACTCCACTACCGCCGCACCATGTTGTTCCATAAGCTCTTTGTCTGCCGGAGAGATGACCTTTTTCGCATTGGGCCTAGTCAAATTATTAGAAGAGGGTATTCCAGAAAGAAAAGCGAGAGATGACGCACGAAACGATGACGCCAGGGAATCTTTGGCCAATATGGAGCTCTCGCATTAATCCGAGTTTCATAAGACGTTTCCCAGAGCACCTCTTCGGGTCACAATGGCCCATATCCCAACAAGCAGCCCTGAAAGCGGGCCTTGACGAAGCGGCGCTGTCATTTCCATCATCGCGGGGCACCGGTCGCGAGCGGGGATTGGAGGGTTTCTTGCCCCCTCGAGAGAAATTGTCTTTCTTATGGCGGACCATATTGGCTGCCAGAAAGGGGGACCTGATAGGATATGAATCGAAAGAGACTCGGTAAAATTTGGGGTAGCGTGGCCTGGAAGAGGAAGAAGTAAAAAAAATTCCAGGGTATAAATCGAAAACGAGCGTTGGCCGTTATGACCTTCCGTACACGTGCAAGTTCTCCGCCCGCCTGGTCCGCTCTCTAATCTACAACAAACCGTCGCGCACCTTTGCCGCCTCAAGCTCATCTAGCGACTTTCTAGTTCTCTCACTTGTCGCTTACCTTCCTCTCCCTCTCCCTCCCCCTTCTCCTCCACACCGTCACCCTGGAGGCTGCATCAGCACGCATGGCGGCTAGGGACCGCTTCGGTGCCTATGCTGAGCCGGGGCAATCACCGCTCCAGCGGGCAATTCGTGAGCCGAACCCCTCATCATCCATTCAGATTCAGTACGGAGTTATATTCACTAACATATCGTTACTAATAGGCAATGCATGCGACCCACAAAACTACGAGCCCAATCTGGCCCTGAACCTCGAAGTCGCTGATCTGGTCAACTCCAAGAAGGGCAATGCGTGAGTTCTGCTCAGCCAACCCAATATACATTTTGCGCAGACTGATAGGTTTATATATTTCAGTCCTCGTGAATCGGCTGTCGAGATCGTACATCTGATCAATTCGCGGAATCAGAATGTCGCGTTGTTGGCGCTATCGGTAAGTCCAGGAAGATGCCAGCCTGGTATCGCGGGGCTAAGCTAACAAACACACCCGTTTCGCCTCATTAGCTCCTCGACATCTGCGTAAAGAACTGTGGCTATAAATTCCACCTACAGATTAGTACAAAGGATTTTCTCAATGAATTGGTTCGAAGGTTTCCGGAGCGGCCACCTATGCGCCCCTCGAGGGTCCAGCATCGCATTTTGGAGTCGATCGAGGAGTGGCGTCAGACCATCTGCCAAACATCACGATATAAGGAGGATTTGGGATTCATTCGGGATATGCATCGGCTCTTGCTCTACAAGGGCTATGCGTTCCCTGAGGTTCGTCGCGAAGATGCGGCTGTGTTAAATCCAAGTGACGTAAGTACCTGAGTAAACAGATCGTGTTTTGAACACGCCACTGACAAGGCGCAGAATCTTCGTTCTGCCGAAGAAATGGAAGAAGAAGAAAAGGAGGCTCAATCCGCTAAGCTTCAAGAGCTTATTCGGAGAGGTTCACCTGCAGATTTGCAAGAAGCCAATCGCCTAATGAAGGTCATGGCAGGATATGATAACCGGCACAAGACTGATTATCGGGCAAAGGCCGCCGAGGAGGTTTCTAAAGTACAACAGAAAGCCAAGATTCTCGAGGAGATGCTGCAGAACCAACAGTCTGAACAGGGTATTCCCGAGGGTGATGTGTTTGAAGTAAGTCTACACGCTGCAGTTCCACATGCCAATGTATCCTGCATATTTCTAACATTTGAATCAGGAACTGGTCAATGCCCTACAAAGTGCCCATCCCAAAATCCAGAGAATGTGTGAGGAGGAATCAGATGACCCCGAAGCTGTTCACAAGCTATTGGAAATTAATGACAGCATACACCGCACGATCGAGAGGTACAAGTTGGTCAAGAAGGGAGACATGGATGCCGCTGCCAAGATTCCAAAGGGAACTCTGGGTACAACAACCGGCGTTTCTAAGAACGCTAATAACGAATTGTCTTTGATTGATTTTGATCCAGAGCCAGCATCTAATGGAAATGGCGAGGCTTCTTCTCAAGCTACCCAGGGCGGGAGTGCCTTAGAGAATGATCTATTAGGTCTTTCTCTCGGCGATGAAGGCCCTGTAACTGGTGGTGGGATTTCTCTTGGTGGCGCCGCCAGTAAGTCTCCTTTAGTTTCGAATTGGAAGAGACAATTGACGACTAACCATCCAAATGCAGTGGGCTTCCCTCCGATGTCCTCCGGCCCAACTCCGCCTCCCCAGCAACCACAAGCAGCACCAAAGACAAGCTACGACATCCTTTCAGCGATCAACTCTTCTCGACCTGTATCACAGTCCTCCACCCCGGTTCCGGGACACTCGCCCCAGGTTCGCTCGACTGCGACGCCGCCGCAGCCGGCTGATCCTTTTGCCTCGTTGGTATCTGCTAGCCCTCGACCCACAGGCGGTGCTTTCCAAGTCCCTGCTGCTCAAAGCCAAGCTGCACCAGCTTCATCATCTTTACTTGACTTAATGGGAGACCCAAGTCTACCAGCACAGCCCGCGGGACAGGCTGCTGCCAATGAAGATGATGAGTGGAACTTCGCATCCTCTCTCCCCCAAAGCAGCACGCTTCCTGCAACAAACCAGGTTCAGGTTCTGAGCTCACCGCTTCGCGTCGAATTTCAGATTCGCCGTGTGCCAAATGCGCCGCGTCAGATCTATATTAGGGCTGTTTTCTCTAACGTGACCAGCCAGCCAGTCGGGGAGCTTCATTTCCAGGTTGCCGTGGAGAAGGTAAGGAAACCAAATGCCGTGTATCGAGTCGTGCAGTAACTGACTGAACTTTATAGTCCTATACGCTTCAACTCCGCCCGCAGTCCGGCCGAGAAATCGCACCTCTCCAGGAGAACGGTGTCCAGCAGGACATGCTCTTGGATGGAATTGACTCGGGCAAAGGCAACTCGGTGAAAATTCGGTTCAAGATCTCGTACAAGCTTGGATCCGAGGCTCGTGAGGAACAGGGTATGGTGCCATCTTTGGGCGTCTACTAGAAGTTGAATTCTAAATTAAAAGAAATTAAACCTCTCTGTTCCACTGATTCTACGAGAAAGGCACCAGTGCCAAGCCGGTGGGCTAACATGAAGTTGTTCCTGTTTGTCCCGACCGGATCGGAAAATATTCCCTTCGGCCGGCTAGTCGGAACTGTGCCTGTTCGACGAAGCAGCCGGTTTGATGTCTCAATCCATCAGCCGTGTGAATTATACTGGCCTCCTTATGAAACTCCGCATTAAAAAGCGTGTTTTTTTTATCGAGCAGCCCGTCCGATTTCATGGTTGTTACGCAATGGACATTACGCAGATACCACTTTTCTCCCTCCCCTTCCAAGTGCCATCTACTTTTCACAGTCCTGTTTTTATTCCTCTATCGATTTGAAAATTTAGCGCTCTTTTCATGTTCTCATGTCTCTCCCGATACAGAGCCTCATTGGCCTCGCATTGTTCCCAGATACAAATTTTCTTCATGAAAGCCAGCCACCCAATCAAGCACCAGTGCCTCACTGCCGATATACCCCCCGAAAGTTTATATAACCTAGGTTATCTAGGCCGCGCGTAAACCCTATCAAGATAGAAAGGAAAGCAGTATTGCAGCGTCATTCCTTCTATCCGATAAACCCAATCCCCGTGTCAAACTGTAGTTAACAAACTCTCCGAATTGAATTACCTACAAGGTTAGGAAAGGTTCATGAAAATTAAGCAAGAATAAGGAACGACGATCACAGTTCCAATTCTAAATTGAACCCTATCATGACTCGCAATTCCAGCAGATGCACCGCTATGACGGTCACCGTGGCACCCGCCGTCCAGGTACGCAACATCGTTTCTAGTATGATTCACTGCCGATCGTAGGGAAGGTCCAAGCATATTCTAGGATCTTCCTAGATGCCATCTCAGACAAGATTAGGTTAGACCAGACTAGCACAATTTCATACATTATTCAAACCTTGAAGCTTGTGGAGTTCGGCATCTCCGAGCCCCAGCTCTATGTATAGTGGGCCAACGTTGCGAATTAAAAGACTCAAAAATGAGATCATGCCAAACATAGGAACGTTTGGCAGCCCAGATCCTTCGTCAGGATTGGTCAGAGAAGCGATCTCAGATTGCCGACTGAAGAAGATGCGCCGACGATTCCCCGATGGGTGTTTGTCGCAAAATCCCGTCTACAAATTACCCTGTATGTGAGAAGGATCAATTAGACTCGACATGAAAATAGTTCTCCCCAGGTTCCGACTCGGTGGTCCTCGGTCCTCTTTTCCTAGCTTCCTGAGGCTGTACTGGATTAGATAGATCGGCGGTGGAGATGATGGGTGATCTACGACTTTCTCCACCGTGAAAAGTGATTTCATAGTAAAATTCCACTACAGCTTATTACTAGATACTTAATAATATTGACGCCGATTTTTGACAAAAGCAGATTTGGCCCCATATTTTGGACCCCAAAAAGTCTATCCTTTATTGAAGAGTTCTAAGCGAATCGCATTGCCCTGCCAAGTTTATGACAACAGGCCATCCCGATCACAGCGACAACCCCGCTACTGAACTCTACAATAGTACGTAAACAACTTGCTCAGACATAGTGGCGAGGAAATCCCCATAACTCCAACCTTTTATCCCCTTGGAGCACCCGGCAACCGACGCCTGACCTGCCAGAAATGGCATAGGCCCGGCCGGGAGACAAGATGGATAGCGGGTGTGTCTAGACCGTGGACTGAAAGTGGCGAACCCCAAGGCTCAATACTCAACCGCCTAGCCACGGAATTGAGGCTTGAGCCATATTGAGTGCTATGCGGGCTATACAGTCTAGACTGGGCGCTAAGGGTTCTTGGGAGATGCGGCTTATGGTGGCTGAATCTCAAGGCAATATCTTCTTAGAATCCGGTCCAATTAGATGCTGATCCTGGTTCCAGTAGAACTGTTGACACATGCACCGTGCATGCTCATGTCGCCGAAGCTGGATGAGCGGTATGAATAGCCAGTGTCTACTGTTAGGAAGATAAGTGACTCGAGTTCGCACGCGCAAGGAGTAATATGAGTCAATGTCATGAGCCGCTGGCACCATTCGCCTGTACTTAGACTTCCAGCCGATCGTTTTTTACTATGTATAGAGACGGGTAATAAATATGGAGATAAGCTAGAACAAGTGTCTACTATATTTAACCGAATCATAGTATCTCCTATCACTCTCGATTTGAATTAATGCTTACTACATATAGATAGAGAATCTATTCCAGGATATGCGAGTTTATCTGTTCTTTAAGCGCGGGTTAGATCCACTATACTTGGTCTGCGATATCCAAAATGCAATAGAGACCAAACCAGCATATCTAAATCCTGCATAACTTTCTAGTTATGCGGGTCTTAGCTTGAGAACAAGGCTACTAGCGTGGTACTAGGGTGTATTGTGAATAACCACAAACTCTCGGGACTAAGTATCCGGTGATCAATAATCATAAAAACGACAGGGATTGACATCTTGCCACTCTCCAGGGCTACGAGTATGGTCTTGCAACGTGATACCCTGAAGAGGAAGGCGCTCATCAATCCCAGAGACCCGTTTCTCCGAATCAAGGTACCGATGACTGAGGCACTTCCCGACCGACAATATATCTAGGCCGGGGCATTATCGGCGCGGAGTAAGATCGGATATGAGCTCAGATTGTTCTCCTTGATCTCCCGGGCTCGTGCAAACGGACCTCCCCCCACTGATCGTCGGTATAAGGGAAGAAAATCAGATCGAACAAGAAGTATAGTAGTAGATAAATCTCCGAGGAGATGCAGGAACCCATCGGCCAAGGGTTTCATAAAGAGGCAGAGATTTTTATTACATTATTGCCGGATTTAGATGACTAGATACTACATATGTACGAAGAGTATAGATTGAGGGAAAAAGAAACATTAAACGTGGAGATGGAAAGAACGAGTGAGATGCGAAAGAATTCAAAAAGTGAAAAAAAGAAGTAAAAAACGAGATCCGCCTTAGGAAGTCGATCTGCAGAGTGCACAGTCGCATCGCGGGGGAGCAGCGATTGCCCCACTCGCCGGTCTAGGCCCCCAAGCAGAAGGTGCACTAGAGCTGCAGAAGAAGTAGGTAAGAGATAGAGGAATAGAGGAATAAAGGAATAGAGAGGAGAGCAAGAAAAAAAAGGAAAAGGATCAGGAAAAGGAAAAAGGATAAAGGAAAAAAGAGCAAAAAGAGCAAAACCTTCATAGTTTCCGGGGGAAGTCTTGAAGAGACTGATAAAAGGAAAAATTCTCCGAAAAGAAATACAAACGAATAACGGGCGCACTCTATTTGTCCCTGCAAGTTCCCCAACTGCATAGGAAAATATACGGGTGCTCGTATTGGCAGGGCTTGGGGGAAGTCAGTGTGGCGCTGTTGTAGAACGGACTCGCCGTGAAGGGAATAGAACTGGGTAAGGGTAAGAAGCGGAGCCATGGCTCAACCCCGTACGAGACTTTTCTCGGCATCCAAACTGCGATCGCCTTCGATCCATGGATGTACCCTGCAAGCTTCAAGGCTACGCTCGGGGCCTGACAGAAAAAATGCCCCTCCCACAGTTATTCGACCTGAAAAGTCTAGTTCGACTTTAGTTCAGGGTGTTATTTTGCGTACTTAAACTTACGGTCTTCCCCCCTCATCATTTTAGTTCCCCCCACGAGAAGCTATCCTTGCATATTCTTACCATACATTCCAATATCGGTCAAGCGCCTTTGGAAGTATTAATATTATCTTATATTTCCATCAAACGATGTCTGATTTGGATCAGGACATCGCTCCTATCCCCCGTTCGCGGGAGGAGAATCAGGAACGGTATGTTGATATCGCACCTTAGTTGTGTAACATTCCCTTATCTATAGGGAAAGAAAGGAAAAGTACTGACAATGTATTTAGCGCTTTCATCGCTGCTTCGCGGCGCAAAGATCGCAGTCTTGATGCGCGCTTAGAGTCTGCAAACCGGGCTTCCCAGTTGCATAAGAAGCGCACTGGCAAAGCTTTCCACATCACCAAGGAGATCGTGGAAAAAGAAGCCATGTATGAAGAGGTCGACGAACGCTACCAAGAGAAGCGTATTCGAATGCTACAAGCTCAGAACTACCAGATAGAAGAGCAGTTTCACCGCCACCTGCTGGCTGCTTTCGCCGCTCGAACCAATAGCGCTAGCTCAAATGCTTCATCTATTGCTAGCCGACGAGCAAGTCTGACACCCCGTGCTTCTATTGACGGAGCTGCCTCATCACGTAAAATGAGCTTGGATCTATCTAACTTGCGCTCACCTTTCCAACAAGGCATGGATTCTGGCTCTTTCGCCAGTCCAGCCATGACCAATCACGATGGCTACCTCCTCTCACCAACAACCAATTCTTTTGATGCGGGTGCACAGTCATACATGACCCCATCCGATCACTTAGAGGGTAGTCCTTACTCCAACATGATGACAACTGCCGCGCACTCTGCTCAAGTGCCAGCCTATGTCACCCAAACACCCACACCGGCCTGGAACCAACATATGGCAACGATGCCTTCCTGGCCAATGCAACAGCACGTTCCAACCCCCAACCACACACCTTCTGAATCTCACGCCGTGCATATGTGGCAGCAACAAATGATGCAGCAGGCCCATATGTCCAATGATCCAATGCAATCTTTACAATTTAGAGACAGACTCTGTTCTGCCCCAGAAGGCTCCAGCACCCATGTCACTCATCCTGCGACTTCTGCATCCATTTCAGGCCCCAGCAGCGGTCACTCCCGTGGGCGCTCTCAGCCTACCAACAATTTCCACAACCTACACCTTCTTACGCAGAGTACCTATCTTGCACAGACCCGCTTGGCGGGCCAATCCAGTAATAGCTCCCCGAGAATCGAGGCCTTATCTGCGGAGACCCAGTCTACACCCGAATTTTGCCCTACGCCCAACACCCCTCTCTCCCCGATGGCAGTGGGTCCCACCCAGACTGTCAAGCAGGAAGGGGAGGAAGTTATGGTTTCAGTGCCCCATCAAGAGCTAGATCCGGACTTCGATGAGTTCAGTCAGTTTGCTCTGGGATTGGACGGTAACTCGTCTCTCCAGGAGCGGGATGCGATAGGGTTCGACGAACTTTTCACCATCGATGAATTTGCTACCGTCTCGTGCTGAAACTTCTACTGTTGAGTCTTGTCCTCTTTTGCTTTCCTTATTCTTATGCTTCTCTCGTTTGATTCCCACCGTGGCTATGACCTTTCTTTATTCACTGTAAATGAGGCGTTGGCTTGTACATTCTTTCTGTATCATACTTTTTTTTTAATCTTTTTTAGTTTGGAATATCTCTGCAATATTTTGATGATATACAATTTTCTACGGAAATGTGCTCCAGGGCGCTTGGGTTCACTTCTTTCACAAACTCTTTTTTTTTTCTCTTTTTACTTGTGGGTGGTTTGATTTGAAATTCAGAACCAGGGATGCTTCCAAGGTTTGGTTCATTGTATTTTCATGAGAAGAATCCATAACTTAAACACATTATAAGTAACATACGCCATTCCACAATCCTTGTACGTTTGTATTTAGTTTAGTGGGAATAGAAATCTACCAAGGAATTTTTCTTTTCAATGCATCTCTTACTTATCTCATACTAGTAGAGAGTTCAAAGTCTCCACAGCCCAGGACCTTAAACTTTGGCGTTGCATTGCGCCGCAAACAATCACTTCCGGATGCGGCCACATCACACGCTTCTAACCACTTCATCGCCTGTATTTGTTCAATTCACCACCCACTAATTTGAGATCCAGAGAATTCATCTCTCGCTTGTCCACGGGCCGTGCCAGCTATAGCTCCAGTTCCAGTTCCATTTTCAAGCTACAACTTCACTGAAGCTCAGATCTCCACCACGACCACTTTTGACTCAGGTCGCAGCCAAGAAAAGTGTTCAACGAACCGTCTGTTCAAGTAGTACAGACCAGAGGAAAAAGTGGGAAACCAACTACCTCAAACTCCACACTAATAGCCTCAGGGTGGGTATGCCTTCCTCCCCGATACCAATACCCCTCAACTCCCCGTCTTAGTGGCCCCCAACTACCTTGGAAGGATTAATACTGGTGCTAATGTGAGCTCACATGCTACCACCAAACTCTCTTACTAAATGGAAACAGGTACTTTTGTTCAAGGCTGTTCTTCGACACGCCAACACTAGAGACGGGTGGCGAAGATAAACGTATTCTTGAAATGAAATGGAAATCCAAGTAAACGGGACAGAGACGTAATTAGTCGAAACACAGACTCTATCAAAGCAAGACCTTGTCTATACAGTACTAGAACACGATCGACCCCTCATTTGTGCCGTGTTCCAAGGTCGTTTAATGGAACACGTGCCTACTTCGTTCTGGCTGAATGTTTGGCCTATTACACCCTGAGAGATAGGGTTGAGCACTGGTTGATTGACTTAGCTTCTCGTATTCTGTCACTTAATTTGGACGATTGATAATCATTTGTCTTTCGCGGTTGACTTGCTTCGGAGTTTGGGGTTGTGGTTTGTTTGTGGCTTTGGGAGCTAAAGAACATAGTTTAGTTCGGTCTTGGAGCCTTGTTGGTCTCTTTTGCTCCGGTGATCCGACAGTATGAGGCAATAGTACGCTAGTGCTTATTGATAGTGTAGCTTGGCTGGACTGACAGGTTGCGAGTGAGTTCATATGAGGTCAGGGCTACGAAAGCTGAAGTAAGGATCCCCAATCGGATTTCAGGACGAATCTGGCAATCCCGGCGACCTGGATTGATCGGCATGGATCGACGATGAACGGGACTTTTTTTTTAATCCAAGAACACAATGTACTGAATACTGTCAACTATTATCTTCTTGCTTTGTTCCTCACACTTTGTTCATTGTACTTTCTTCATTGTCCTTTATTTGCTATGGATGTAAGTAACCCGCTAGCCTCTAAGGAGCCATAATAACTAGGAAACTTCACCAAAGGCAACAATCACGCTGCTTACCTCAAAATAACATAAGATAACGTAAAAACCGTTTGACAAATCCATTTCTAATCACCTATAGACATCCTCGCGCTACAATTTCCTCATCGAAATTGCGGGGTTAAGGTTGCAGCTACACCGCACAGACCACTTTCCCGCATCGAGACTAACACGCCAGAGTTGAGAACCGGCCACGGCTCCCGCGCGCCCATGGATATCCCTGCTTAACAAGACTTTACTATTCCCTTAGTGGATCCATGCCAAGCCAAACCCTGGAACAACCCTGGCTTTGCCCGTACTCGGATCACCGTGCACGCATCCGGGGGGTCGATTGGTGTGTGGTATCTCTGCCAAGTGCCTTGGGACTGGGCGAAATTCATATGATTGATTACTGATCCAAAATCCGGGAGAGCATTCTCGACTAACTATGGCAGGGCCTAGAGTGGGTAAAACGTCCAAGTTGGCCTCGGAAGCAAACTAATATATAGATAGCAAAATGAAGATACGATACGCTCAGTCCTCGGCTAGACCGTTATTTCTGTCGGCAATTACATGCATGCTGCACGTATCCGCCGCCTTGTTTTTGCTTCTTTTTCTCGCACGTTTTGTGGAATTAGTGTGGATTCGGGATCTGAGATCTGGTCGCATAGTGAGTCCATGCGCGACTAGAACAAAAGTCTATATCCCCTTACACTTCCCCGAGGAATCGGATATTCTCTGGGTAGAGGCGCGGTTTTCCAGGAGGCCTGATCACCATTTCAAGCTTTTGATAGATCATTTCCTCCCGATCAAGTAATGCAGGTCCAAACGTCGCCCTGAACGTATCTACATCGTAAAGGCAAGTCAGGGTTCTTTCGCTCGGTTCTGCTCCGCATTACATGGAAGCACAGTGGTCAATACTTGACTATGATGAAATAAAACGTGTTCATGGTCAAATACCCTGTTTGACGCTATCTGGATGGGGAAATGATGCCTTATCGAGCCCATGATCCCTGTAAGGGATGTTGAGGGGATCGGCCAATCATATTCCTAGCCCTCGATTAGGGGAATTTATCTTCCGTTTCTCTTGGTGGCCTGGCTAGTTCCACTGATCGGTGGCGGATTGATTGAGAGCCGGGGCTGGATCACAGGTCTGTTCACGTTGAGCCAGAAATTGAATAATCATTCGAATCGGAAATAATGCTCTCTGAAATTCCTGTTTCTAATTTTGTATGTTCTTCTCGCTCTATGGTTTCTGTGATTCGTCACTGGCTCATTTCTGTTGTCATATGTCCTAGGTAATGGCGTCTTATCTAGCATACCACCAATCTGGTCCACGTTAGATCTAGGTCTTGTATTATCAATCACCTCATCTTATGAATAATAGAATTGAATACCCATGAACCAAGAGCCAAGAACTGTCATAAAGAATGAAGGCTGACAGCTAGCACTAGTCCTATACAGCGTAAAGCCTATCTTAACAAATCCTATTGTTTAATATTGCAGGACGGAGCCGGGAGATCATCTCTGGATGTCTTTCACCCCAGGATATGTCATCCAGGAACTTTCTCTTTTGCACATGCCCCTCCCTGTTCCACAATATGTAGGAACCAACATAACCTCATCCCAGCGCCCTGAATACCGGATCCGGTGACTTCTCCCAGCCAAACAGAACGCAGGAGAACTATGCTCAGGCCACCAAGTCCCACTAGTCCCAAATGCTCGGCATCTACTCATAACAACTCAGCAGATTGGATAGCATACCTTGGTAGCCGCCGAGATGAATTTCGCCTTCATTGGCGAGCGATACGAGGAAATGGGGTTATCTGGCAGATGACTTGTGAGGATCGGCAAGTAGCTGTAAATCTTTAGCGCTGCGATCTAGCCTTGAGTCAGTTATTGGGCTTGGGTTTGGTTTAGCTCTTTATCTTCTTGGGTAGTTATCGGTTCCGTCCACTTGAGTTGCGAGTAAGAAAATGCGTGGTGATATTAAGTTCAATGGGACTGGGGTACGATGCAGATTTTTACTATGTTCGCCTCTTGGAAGAACAAGTAAGCTCATGTTCCATGAGTTGGAATAGTGCCTCCTTCTGCTACAGTCTATGCCTATAGCTTATATCCAAAATTTCATGTAGATTATAGATAAGAAGAGGACAAAAGGAAAGAGGTCTATAGCGTAGCCAGTACACTCTTACGGCTATGCATATGGACAGTGACTGGAGATTTGGCCTAGAGTCATGATCGGTTCTTTCAACTTATTAGCTAAATGGCTATTCATAGAGGCCTAGCCTTTGGCAGATTCGGTAGACAGGATATTGAGCTGTTATCGGACTGACTCGTGTATTCTCGCCGTTAAGTTATCTCCGTACGCCGATGACGCCACAGGCCACGGGTTCAGATGAGGGGAAAAACTCGCAGTGGAAGCGCTTTGGAGGAATGCCGAGCCAGTAGGATTGGAAGGATTACCTCTCAATCTAAATTGCCAGGGCTGGGAAGACTGAGGATCGCCGTTTATGCGAATCGTGGGATTTGAGCGCCACCATGGCCCCCAGTGGCGTTGAATTCTAAGCGTTTACTTCGACCACCATTCCTTGCAAATCATTGCATATTACCAGGTGATTCATGGCTCAGCTATCTCTGACGAATGATAGAATGGAACGTCTCGATTTGTGTATTGATTTGTATTGATGATATGGTTCGCTAGAAAAAAACAGTTCCACGACTGAAAACTTGGTCGTTGCAAATATTGGGCGCCGTAGAAAAAGCAGAAAAGGTAATTGCGTTTGCGTAGAGGGCATTTGAAATCGGAAATGCTGCCATATGTGCAGCCAGAAGAAGGTAGGATAGCCGCCTACTGGAAGTCACGTACAGACTCCGAGAAATATCATCGAAGGAGAAGTTCCATATGTAAATGCAGTCTGTACCGCCTTCAAAGGCGCAAAAATCGTATAGATATTTGTAAAGGGCGAGAGTAGGTAGTGTGCAGCACGGTTAGTGATCATCATGGTACAAAATAACAGCTACAATTGCTTTCACTTTGAAATATGTAAATCAAGAGCTTCCACGGCGTAAATAACGTTTTCTGTCATCAGAGAGGCCCACGGCTGAATAGTTCTCGTCCAATCTCACCGCTACGGGGAGGATTCATACTGGAAGCCGAACTACTGCGTCGTCGACGTCGGGTCTCAGCTGGATCTGCGGGACTGAGACCACTTGCGCGGGCATGGAGATTCAAGATATCTGTCAGACTAACCACACCAACCAATCTTCCAGAGAGACGGGCCCCTGGCAATACCGATGATGGAAGCGAGGGAGTATGAGTTGGGATAACCCCTGTTGATGGATGGATATATGAAGTTGCGGGTTGCGATGGGGTTGGAAGGTATGGGGTAGCGTGGCTAGCAGCCGGAACAGAGGCTGCCGGCTGGGGAAGAGGCGATGCTGGTGGAGAGATAGCAGAAGGAGTTGGGGAAGGGACAGCTCCCAGTGGAGGTGTTGCCAAAGGCATATGGATTGCGGAATGAGAGGGGGTTGGAGGCCCCGAGGAAGATGGAGATGCTGGATCCGTCACCCAGAGTCTGCACAAGTTAGAATGGCTTTTTTATTCACTTTCCTTTTCTCTCGAACAAGCCTTACCGATGTGATCGAGTCGCGGCAATCTTTGCGACTGTATGGGCTAGGGTTGAGCCTGGGTTTACGTGGAATACGGGGAATGAATCCTTTCCTTCGATAAGTCCCCGAGTTGACAAGATGACTGAAATAAAATGGGTGCAGGTGTTTTGAAGGAGGGGTAACGACGAAGAGCGGGTCAAAAGCTAGAGCGGCTTGTCAATAGGTGCGCGGTACTTCTTTGTAAATCTAGTATTTCGTACCTTGACGTCCGTCGTAGAGATATTACCCAATACATTGAAGTGGTTATCAACGACGACAATAGAAGAAACACCCTCGCTATTCAGGATTCGAAGGGCATCGGTAAGAGGCTTGTCACCACTGGAACGGAAAATGGTCGTTAATATAGAACTAGAGATATGCTCGGTGTTATCAAACTCACTTGATTGAGATCACATCTTGCGAACCGATGCGCAGATCAGACAAAGATTGTGGGTAAAGTTGCTCGATGATAGGGAAACTGCGTCCATTCTCCCAGAGGAACTTCACCAGTCGGAACTGGCTAAAAATACCAACGACCTCATTGTCATTGGTCTCTTTAGTAACCACCACGCGGTGAACACCACCGCCAAAGACTTCCACGGCGCTCAAAACACTCGCTGATGTTGGCAAAGTAACAAGTGGCTCTTTCTCCGAACCCAAGTGTTTGACATCCCTGAGTGGAATCTTCTCTCCTTCGTGGGCTTTCTTGGCGATCTCTTCATACCACGCACGATGCTCTTCTGTTGGATGAGCCAATCCAGCAGCCAGAAGAAGATAGGCGTTGAGGTCCGAATAGTCGAATGTCGCGACCGCGGATTTGTCTTGAGGAGTCTCGCGGATGAGCAACACAGCCGCGCCGGAGTCAATTAACAGCTGCAAAGTAGACCTTCATTAGCTCTATCCAGAGTCGTCAAATACCATTGAGAAGTACACACATTCGTTGCATCTTCAATACCTGTATCCAACTCAACGAATCTTAGGTCATCGGGAGAAATGAGCTCTCCAATGGAGATCTCTCTCCAATCGCGGTCAATGAAGGCAGGGTCGAGATTCCTGGGTGGCGGAGGGTTATCGATAAGACTTTGAAGGGCGGACTGGTTGAGAGAAGGCTGGCGACGAGAGCGTGGTGAGCCTGGCGGTCCCCGAAGAGTCTCACTTAAGCTCTGTCGATGTTGATGATTTGCAGGAGGCATGTGTGTGACGCGGAGGTTATTGCGATTGGATGGGCGAGAATCGGTGCTAGACCGAGCAGAGGCAACACCGGTACCGTTGTCAGAATTTAGAGATGCGTTCAGGGAGGAATCGGAGGCCTCCCGAGTAATTTGCCGGTCTGTCATGATTAGTTGGGGCCGCACAGCATATGAGCGAGAGTTGAAAAGGCAAGAGAAGCGGTGGTGGACGCGGGGTTGGGGAAAGTGGGCCAATCATACAGCGTGGGTTATGTCATCGCTGTGTGGGGGAGGTTCTGCCTCTACAGTGAATTGTACTACGGCAACCTCCGTTCATTATGCAGAAATGCAGAGCTTGGGAGATTTACTTAATTCGTTTATGGGTAATTAATGATATTGATACATTGAGAAACTCATATTCGGTTTATGTATGAAGTTAAGCTTCCAAGGCTATTTGTTTATAGTAGTACTAGTATTATGTAAAGTAGTAGTAACTACAGTGTTGTGATCTCGCCCGGAAGGTAATGCAAACATATACTTCCAAAATCAACTTGAACTTGAACTTAGTACTATGCAGTATAGTAGTATTGGTGAACTTGAAGAAAAACAATTTGAACTACTTCCAAAGTTGCCTCAAAATTGTATACCCTACAACAACCAGGGCTTCTAAGGTTTTGAGTTATTCAGACGAGTCAAGGAATTTGTGCTCAGATAGATGGAAGCGGAGGTGATTAATACGAAGAATAAAACAGCAGAAAAGAACAAGGTCAATTTTGTATGGCGGGCCATATAAAAGCCTTGTGGAATAGATGTAGCCAAGCAGTACAAGCCCAACAGATAACACCCATCTCGTTTAAAATGAGCTGGGAGTCAAATAGTTTCAACACTATGCAATGTCTTGAAACGAGTACTAGAAATCTAGTGTGCAATTGAAGTACAAGGAAATGGTCATAAAAATCCGATCGACCTAGTTAAGCGAGTGTGTTCATTCAAATAAACCGGGCTAACTTATATCCTATGTAGACAAATCTTATACCAGACACATGAGAGTAATACTATCAAAAAATGTTCCTTCTTTGCCAGCACTCCAATGATGAAGAGAAAGGAACATCATCAAGAAAGTTCAGTGTCTAAGCATTCCCAAAAATCGGCTAGCTTAGGCCTGGAACTTGGAGGGCTGTTTGGGGGCGTCCTTGGGATCCTTGGGAGGCGGGACTTGGTCACGCTTTCCATTGTCATTGTCCTGGCCCTTGGGAGGGGGACCATCAGTCTTCTGGGGTGGGGGAGGGACATCAGTCCCCTTGGGAGGAGGGCCTTCATCCCGCTTGTTGTTGTCATTGTCTCCATCCTTAGGAGGGGGACCGTCGGTCTTTTGGGGTGGGGGAGGGACATCAGTTCCCTTGGGAGGAGGGTTCTCATCCCGTTTGTTGGTATCCTTGTCTCCATCCTTGGGAGGAGGACCATCGGTCTTCTGGGGTGGGGGAGGGACATCAGTCCCCTTGGGAGGAGGGCCTTCATCCCGCTTGTTGTTGTCATTGTCTCCATCCTTAGGAGGGGGACCGTCGGTCTTTTGGGGTGGGGGAGGGACATCAGTGCCCTTGGGAGGAGGGTTCTCATCCCGTTTGTTGGTATCCTTGTCTCCGTCCTTGGGAGGAGGACCGTCGGTCTTCTGGGGTGGGGGAGGGACATCAGTTCCCTTAGGAGGAGGTCCCTGATCACGCTTATCCTTGTCGTTATCGTTGCCTTGGTTGTGTGGAGGAGGAGGAAGGTCTGTTCCAGTAGGCAGTGGAAGAGGCCCCGAGACATCGGTTGGACGCTCAGCAGGAGGAGCACCCGCGACGAGGCCAGCGGCCATCATGGTACCAATGAAGTGAGAAATCTTCATATTGAATGTGTAAAGGTGGTAAAGAGAGAATTGTTGATGGGAAGTGATTATGATTCAGTTTGTTGCTTGTTTGTTGTGATGAGTGTATACCTCGATGGACTGAAACCGTCCAGCTCTTTATACCCCCTCGGGACCAGGAACGAAGCACGATATCTCCATCACATCATCAGAATCAAGATGATGCGTACAGAATACATGCAGCTTCTTGCACGATGTGGTCGTCAGCTATTTACCCATGGGGAAACCAAGGAGCACATCAATGGAGACAAGAAGAAGGGCATACTGTACACAATGTGATTTGGATACATAGAGTTCCCCACGCTAAGTCTAGAAGCCGGCTGATGTGGACATGCTTCACATGCAGGGTGAACGAGAAAGAACGTCTTACGAATCGGAATGATGAAATTTGACCAAAATTAGGTCATGATCAGAGCCCCGTCTTGTTTTGAGTGGAGGAGCTTTCTCGGGTGCTGCATAAATCACGAAGCCCTACGGCGGCTGAGGATTACGAGGCATTATTAGCAAATTGGGTTCAGGATGAGGCAACACCTTAAGTGCCTTGATCGGCAGCTAAATTTGTCGCAGAGAAAGCCCAATGGATACCGGCAGATCTCATGGTGAGTTGGGATTGATTTAGTCGAACACGCGGCCCTGTCGATCTTCAACGCAAACAAGCCCCACTTCCAGGCCACTGCTTCCCAGCTACAAGCATCAGGTAGAGACTAGTCTAGTTTCAATGCTAGCTAATTATTGCAAATATGAGCTATTATAACAACGGCTTGGCATGTTGATTATGTGTATATGAGGATCGGTGTCTAGCGACATGAGTTCTCTTTCTAGTTCATATGTTACATAACCAGTAATATCTGTATTGCAGTTTTTCTTCGCTATGCCATTGAACAATCTCCATAACGTGACATGTTATTATTTGACCTAGCTTCATATATACATAATTGATGCGCAGGAATACGTAGTCAATGCAGAGCTGCGCCTGGAAAATAGATGATGATCCTCGGCTCCCGAGGTCTTCAACAGGACTGATCTTAACATCTAACCTTGGGTCTGTTGTATACGGAATACCCCGTGAAGATCATAGGGTACGTAATACCTACATTTAGTTATTTAGTAGTCTTACAAGGTAGATGGAGACAAATCGGGTCTAAATGATAATCTACTTGCTTGGCATGAGTTGTTTCGCCATTTTGCACGATCATTGCCACCATAGTGTCCCTTCCCGCGTATTAACAAAACTTCTTGGGTGATTCACCTAAGTACAATGGGCTCATATCTTATGATCACAGAATTGCGAATGTAATGGAATAGAGAACAATGTCTGCTTAAGATCTGCAGACGTACGTGGATTGTTGGAGGTACGTGAAGGGTATCGCCATCCATCACCAACAACCACACATGCACATGCACACTATTAAAAAAAAAAAAAAAAAATACAAGAAAAAAGGGGTTATTGGGGCAAGTAAGCCCCAAGGAAAGACGGAAAAATGACTCAGAGAAATTGACCGAGTACACTGCTTAGATCCTGCCCGCCCCGATCTTTCATGACCCTCTTCTTCTTCCCAACCTCGGAGCTAATGTGACCAGTCGGCCTCTTCCTCTCCAACGACGGTTGCTTTGATGCTTTGACCAGGATAACAATTGACTTCGCCGCAAAATTTTCTTTGTATTCCATTTGAGGAATAGCGACAGCTTCAGGAATCTGAAATTCCATAAGTGGGAGACTGGACTGCAATGATGATGGCGTGGGATCTTCCTCTTCCGCGCATTTATCGAAACATCGATAGCCCGTCTTAAGAGTGTTATTGTAGAGTTCCAACAGTGGTTGGAGCATCTCAGCATCATCAAAATCTTCTTTTTGGATCCAGTCTAGTCTCCGCGCTATCCAACCCTCCAGCTTGAAGCCATGTCTTTGGTTGCGGGGCCCTAGTCCCATAGCCTCTGTGAACAGATCACATCCACACAAAACTATGATGTTTAGCTGTGGAAATTTCTCAAACATTGTCAGAGTATGAGGACTCAATCTCTTCTGGTTGTAAAGTCGTAGTATGCGGAGGTGCTGGAATGAGTCTTTTGTTTGGACCATCTCCATCCAACTGCGCACAATCCCATCGCGAAGGCCATCTCTTCTCAGTGAGTCCGAATTAGACTGGTCGGATTGCATGCTTGTGTCAATTTTCCTTTGATTGAACCTCATATGTTGGTTTATCTCCAAGGCAACGATGTTTTTAATATTGGACAGTGCAACCAGGTCTGTCACGTCTGCGAAATCAGATGAGAATGACAGAACCGAGCGCCAGAGGCAATTAGTATTGTTCATTAAATCAAAATATTGACGTATTGGCTGCTTGCATTTATCGGCAACTAGACGGTAGTATGGCGTGTACTCTCGAAACTGTGCGTAGTTTATTACCATTATCTTCCACATGTAGAGAGTTTGCTTATTACTGGAGACAATTAGTAGACGTGACGAAATGGACTGGGGGGTAAGAACACACCATCTCTTAAGACAGTCCCAGAGGTCTTCTGCTATAATCCAGGGAACCGCTGTGAATATTTCGGGACTGAGCGCTGACTGATCCTTTAGCAGGCCTTTTATAGCTGTGCTTTTAAGAGAGCGAGAGCCTTGCTCTGGGGAGGTGGATTCCCAAAGTAAGGGTGGGAAAGGAGATTCATGGTTCCAGTGCGGTCCTCGAGAGAAATCTGTCTGGGGCCCTTCTGAGTAGAGAGTGATCGAAATCTTTGGGGCCCAGAGCTCTGTCATTCTGACATGTGGTAGTACCGTAGGGGTGAGAGTTGGAGGGCCCAGAAGGGGTGAGAGAGAAAATGTGGAAGATGAGAAATTCCCTTTGCCGGCATAGAATTGACCGTAATTTGATACCATTGAAATGTTGATCACTGCCTTGCAGATAATAAACGACTTCCAGTGACGAAAAGTTTGAACGCGTTGAACACTGGAAGTTGACTTCCCGATCGGGAAGAAATGACAACACTCATCACGTGGATCTATACCGCTCCAAGGTTTACCACCATGAAGAGACATTATTCGTTAGATAAAATATATAACGTCTCGAAAGAATGAATATAAAAACATTCGCTGTTGAAATTGATTGACACATGGCATTTATGAAGCAGTCGTGGAAATTAGATTGTGATGGAGCGGAAATAGTATATAGACACGGGCGGGATGGAAGCAAGTAAACAAAACACTAGATATAATTAGGATAATTAAAGGCTTACTACATAGAACTCTAGGGTCGTATTTAATAGGCATTCATGGATGTTTGACTACTATATATATATATGTATTGTACCATCACTGATTCGTAATTAGGGCTGTGAGTTGTGCAAAGACCGAACTTCGAGAGCATGGGAGGGAGAAGCTCCATGCCAGAGATATTACCTTCAAATTTTTATCGGCCAAGGCAACAAACGCCGCATCGGAGTCTCCATATGGGGATCTCCTGATAACTTCAAGTTGTCACCACAAAAGCCGTCTTGCGAGCGCTCTCGCCGGTGTCCCATTTTTGCCTTGGCTATGTAGATAGTGAACCATGGTCTCGGCGCGTGGCAATCATTGAGAAGCTTGGCACTTCGAGTGTGTGAGAGAGTAATACAAAAACTGCTGAAAAGTCCCAGGTTTGGACCTTTCTAATCCATGGCTATTCCGATTATTGGCAAAGTTGAAAGTTGACCAGGTTGCTTCTTGATTCAATACTTATATCAATTCGCTTGTTTGCTTTTTATTTTTATGTTTTGGAAAAAGAAACCAAAAAGCGCGTTTACACTGATAGCTAGCCTCTATTATATACAAAATTAGCAGATTGATCTACGTCCATATAGTAGCTCTAGAAGCCTTTGAATTGGTCTAACACACATGCAGAAACCTTTATTGCTTAGTACACCGTCCCCTATACTGTGATATCTACAAAAAGAGAAAAGCAACTGGAAAGAGGGTAAGAAAGAGGACTAGAAAGATAGTTAGAGAATCATCTTTTATGGATACTTCAAATTACACTAGTAAGTACATTATAACACTGCATTCATATATGGGTTATATAGAAGTAACTATACATCGTATTCCCTACCCCCAGGCCGATGCACGCAAGCTCCACTTTCGAATATGACACCCATAAAAATAGAGCACATATGGCACAGGCATGAAAACAGTCGCAATACCACCTAACAGTGTCATAGTCCAGTCAACCTTAAGCTTATCATACATAATCTGCGCGAGAACCGCCATAACGCCCGCAGTAACAAGCCTGAACATTTGCAACGAGGCCAATGCCGAGGCAGGATGTTCCTCAAACGCTGCAGCAACATACTGATAAGATGATATGAAGACACAAGTCACGCCAAAACCAAAGACACCAGCTGCGACAATTGGGCACCACATTGAGATGGAGGGGCGAGCTGTCCATCCCATCCAGAAGAGGGCAATTGGGATAAATGGGGCACCGAATATGGACATGTAAAGGTTGAATTCTGGTCCTGGGCGGCATTGGCCACGTTCGCGAGCGCGGAGGATATCACGACGGACTAGGCGCTGGGAGACGAGTACTAGAGGGCCGCAACAAATGATACCGGTAGCAAGACTGAGAAATGTAGCGCCACCTTGGCCCGGGTTTAGTTTGTAAATTTTTTGAAAAACGGATTCGAAGCCTGCGGAGAAGGTATATAGGATAATGAAGATGATACCGAGATAAGCGCTGAGAATGATAATGATAGGTTCAGTGCAGAGGAGAACTATAGGACGGGAAAGCGCTCGGCGGAGTCGTTTGCCGAAAGTCGTGGCTTTGAATTCTAGCGGAGAGTGGTATCGGTCATCGTTTGTTAAGCGACGGAGTTGCTTGGCTTTCCAATGAAGAATGACCGGGCTGTAGGTTTCTGGGAGAAAGAGGACGGTGAGTGCTAGTAGAAAACCGCAAAACATGATTGTAACCCAGTCTACATAGCGCCAGGAGGTAGATTGCGCCCATACTATGACTGAGCCTGGTAACGGGCCAACGACGGCACCTAAAAAGGCCATGATTGAGAAGAATGGAAAGGCATAGTTTCGCTCAACCACGGACCAAAGGTCGACGATAGCAGCTGCAGAGCAGACCAACGGCGCTGAGCCAAAGAGTCCAGCAAGCGCACGGCACACAGATCGCTGGCCTACATTTTGTGCAAGCCCTGCTCCCATGTTGAAAAGCATAAACAATGGAAGGCAAGAAATGTAAATTGGATTCCGCCCGACGATTTCGGAAATGGGTGCTGCTACTAGTGCACCAAATCCAAGGCAGATGAGGAACAAAGCTAAAAGGTTCTGTGTTAGCATACGAACATTTTGTAATAGTTTGATATGCTGAATTACCCACCAATTGGGACAGTCTCAAGCTCAAAACTTGTATGGAAAAGCTTCCGTGTCGAGACCAAAGCAGTGGTATCAATCGTAGATGACCATAGAACGATAGCCCCAAGTAAGGAAACGAGAATCGTGCATGCACAACGGCCTATGAAAGACCAGTTATGTGGATCTGCCGGGTCATAGTCTCCCTCGTAAGTAACAATCACGATCTTCTCCTTTTCATCGGCATTAACATCGCTTCCTATGGTTGAGCCATCGATGCTCCCTGTCACGTCTCTTATTACTCGTTGACTTTCCACGCCAGTAACCATCATGTCAACATCAGTCCCCAGTGTATCCCTTGTGTTTATAGTGAAGGGATCAATGTTGAGCGCCGGGTGACGATCCTGTGCCTCAATATCTTCTTCTTGGCCCAGATGTGAACGTACGGAATGACGAGGCTCCATTGATGGGCCGCTGGCCATAGTTTGCTGGCCATGTTCTCGTCGTCGAGCTGCCGGTGCTTCCTCCTCTGTGTATCGCTGTTCGGACTGGATCCCTCCGCCTTCTGGATACCAATAGCGACGTTCATGGGTCCAAACATCGTCGCATGACTTGCGTCTAACAACAATCTGTTGCTCAAGCCGTTTTCGAATGCGTCGTTGTTCAAGAAAAGACTGCATGATGCGTGCGCGATCGGAAAACGAGGAACGTCGGGCATATTTACATCTCATAGAAAATACCAATACTGGCTGCTCTCGAACGGAAAAGAAAAGAGTTCGGGAATCTTCCCGGAGCCTCAATCTACGATGAGGTCAGACAGACCAAGAAGTGTCGTCACTGCGTCGGGAAATTCAAATATCATTTAAAATAAAGAATGCCAAGAGATAAAAGCATAGTTTCATAGAAGAATAAAAGTAAAAGAAATAGAAAAGTAAATGACAATTCTGGAGCCTGGACTATCCAGCGATCCCCAGCCCCTGAACGGTGAAATTACGTACAGAGTAAAGTCGTTAAAATCAAGAAAAATCGCCGGAGTTCGAAAAGAGCCATTGCGCTATTTGAACTGTGCAATTCTTACATAACATAAAGCAGGTTTGTGTCTATGAGATCATTGGTTAGTTGGAAGATACAGCAACATCTGGATCAAGTATGGATGAGTTGGTAACTTACCCAGTGGGTGACTGCAGCTCAACTGCGGCTTCTGGCTGTACTTAGCCGCTAGCTCTTCACGAATACTGTTCAGCAGCTGGACATAGCTCTGCTGGGGATTCTTCCGCAGCGCAGCAATGAACGCCCACGACATAGCGCCAGTAGCCTGGCCAGCGATCTGAGCATCTTGACTAGTCTGGTCATCTTTACTTCCGGACCACATGATTACATCGGCAGGGCTGGTCTTGGTCTGCTTATTGCGCTCGTATACGTCGTCGCCCTTTGTGGCTTTCTTGAAGAAGCCCATGGCCGTCTCCATCATGCCACCCATATCGCCACGTGCGTATGCCTGTACCACACCCAGGAGACCCTGTCCAGCTTCCTTAGCTAGATTGGGTTCCTTGAGAACACCAGATGTAGAGTAGACGTAGGGCAGATCCATCGCTGAGCCGGAATGGCACGAATCAAAGATTGCCGTGAGACGCACTCCGGGGCGTAGCGACTGTACCATAATTCGGTGCATCTCATCATCGACGATATGGCCAGCAACTCGGAAATCAACAGGGTAAATCACCTCATCGTATCCATCGTCTTCATCACCATCCAGATCGGGAGTTTGACCACCGTGTCCTGGTTCATATGTTAGCCTGAACGTGCGTTCCGATGTTTTTCCGGAATCAATCACCCACCAGAGTAATGGAAGAAAAGAGAATCGTTCGGCTGCGCATCCTTCACAAGCCAGTGCATCGCACGGAGGATATTTGCCTTGGTTGGCTGGCTCATGGGGTTCTGTTGGTCATCCGTCAACTGAACCATGTCTTCGCGGGCATAGCCGAAGTTCTGGTTCAAGTAGGTTGACATGTTCTTCACATCATTGATGCATCCACGCAATTGACCCTTCTGACCAAAGTAGTTAATTCCGATCAACAACGCCTTCCTCTTACCAGTGCATCGGGAGTATTGGAAGTTGTATCCTTGTGGAGCGCCATTTCCGAACGAGACTGGGGCCGAAGGCGGGGGTGGAGGATGGCTTCCCTGGGACTGGCCATATTGGCTTCCTATGTATCGAAAGGGGAGAGTTAGTAAGTGTCCCTTGACTGTGTATGCTTTATTCATCCGATTCCGCTGAGGGATTTCAGATAAGAAGTGCGATGGAATAAGATATGCGAACCTCCTGCTGGGCGGGGCTGGCCTTGGTATGGTCGCTGGCCCTGAGGGGGCTGGGGGGGTTGCTGATAACCCTGAGGGGCCTGAGGGGGAGCCTAATAAAAGTATCCTGTCAGTCAATCATTACCTCAGGGAAGGTGGTTATGCGGCTGGATCTATAGTGATAACTTACGTTGTAACCATGCTGTGGGGCAGGAGATCCATAGGGCTGTTGGGGTGGCTGAGGTGAATGGCTGTATCCATAGGGGTTCTGCTGCGGCGGCGGCGCCTGTTGGTGATACTGCTGGCCTGGATATCCACCATAAGATGGTTGTTGTTGATGGTGCGTCGGTCTACGATGTCAACTTTAGCGCCCAACAACACACGCGCAATGAGGGAAAGGTATCAAACATACGGGTAACCTTGCTGCGGGGGGTACTGCTGAGGAGGGTATCCCGGGGGAGGACCACCCTGGTAAGGGGGGTAGTAAGACATCGCAACGACACGATCTGAAGTGAAGATCGAGAAAGCGCGGAGATGTCAGAGAAACACGCAAGGCGAGGTCGGGTTTATGTGGAGCAAGATCCGCAAAGCAAAACAGATCGGAAGTACGGGAACGCCAAGCCACTCTCGGTCATCCAAGGGTATTTGTATACTTAGCACAGCGTTGAAGAGTAAAATGAGAGAGAGAGGAAAATATGAAATAAAAGTCTCTTGATTGAATATAGAAAGCGCTTCTCTTTTCCTTTTTCACTTTTCACTTCTCTCCTATGCAGGAACCAGTTAAACACGAAAAAAGCGCTGGTTTTGATGCGAACCGTGATCGGCCAAGTAGAAAACCTTGCCACTCACCACAGGCCTCGCGTAAGGCTGAGCAATGATTTGTCACAGGGATTGATGAAGGCAAAGAATCAAAAGAAAATACCCCGACCAGACATAAATTCAATCAGCTCGAACGCGACCTGTTGCACTTTGAATTCCATGTGACATGCAGCCCAAATGTGTCTCCATCGGCAGCCCCGTTCCCTGCTGGAGCCCAAGAACCCCGCGACTCCCGCTTATTCGAGGATTCATGGATTGTGGCTTTGTGCAAAACTCTGCTGGTGCATGATTCGCATGAACCTTCGAGGGAATATCCGTGGCACAGATCATCGTGAGGTACGGAGTAGACAGAGATCACATTTCTACTAGATTCTGTACCTGTATGACCCACCTTGGTAAGTGGAAAATGCAATAAAAGTCAACCAATTCAACTAAGGCATACTTAGCCACCAGTGATAATAAAACTACTTCTTGGGTGGAGCCAGAAATGGAGACTTCGGGTGAAAAGAAAGGGAAAAAGCAATGCCGAGTATGCTGTCTGTTTGTGCAGCAGTTTGTGGCCATCGACAACGCTGATTGATCATCATGGTCGGTACAATTGGATCAATCACATCGAGACTAGACTATTGGAACTTTAGGAATATCATTTGGTTCCTTTGGGGTTTGTTCCCGACCTATTACATGTACCTAACTAATACCAGGAGTAAGCACTCCGGCCTTGGAAATATACCTGTTCCTAGCAATAGACCATGGTAGATCTCTTGTGTTATGTTACTGCTGCAGTAGTATACATATACACTGAATAGATGAATGAAGCAATGGTTGTCTACAAGCGTCATCTATTTCCCCTGATCTGTGTCATAACTGCACATATCCACGGTCTCAATAGTTACACGGAAAAGCAGAGCCCCATGCATCGGGGCCAATGCCTTATTTCATTAGAAAGAATCCCTCCCAATCGTTTTGTACTTTGTATGTGAGTGATATTTTTTTGAAGAAAAAGGAACCATGAAATCTCCTGGTGGCATTAAACTCGTTTATCCGCGACGGGGCATTCCACGGCCACGGCCGCGAAGAGCTCGCTGAGCGGCACCTGGGGGAAGACCGCCTCTGGGGGCTCCAGGTTGGGCAGATTCCTCGTTCTCTGTAAAAGGTGCATGCGTTAGCCAGGTACATTAACTCTAAAAGGGACGTGACTCCGCCGAGAGGAGGGAAAGAAGGGAAATGGGGTGACAGGTCACTTACTGATCGTCTCGTCCACACTCAAGATCAAGCAAGCCGCTTCCACGGCCGCTTGGATGGCATTGACCTTAACCAAACTGGGCTCCCAAACAAAAGCAACCATATTATCGCGAACGCCTTCCTCATCAAAGTCCACACCAGCCCACACGTTACCCTTGCGGTGCTCCACGCGGAGACGGTTGAGGATGTCGGTGGCATCGAAACCAGCGTTGTCGCAAAGCTGGCGGGGAATCACTTCGAGGGCCTTGGCGAATGCCTTGACCACAGCCTGCTGCTTGGTGGGGACATTGCGGTCGGCAAAGCCATGCAGGTAACCTGACAGCTCCATCTCAGTAGCACCTCCACCAGCAACGATGGTGGTGTTGCGCAAAGCGCGCTTGACAATCATAATAGCATCATGCAGACTGCGCTCCACCTCAGCAATGAACTGCTCAGCGCCACCACGTAGTACCAAGGTGCAAGTCTTAGCAGCAGGACACTCAGAGAACATGTTGAAACGCTCTCCACCAATTTGACGCTCCTCGAACACACCACATGTACCAAGGTGGCGATCGTGAATATCACTGCAGGTCGACTGGGTAGCGGCAGCAGTAGCTTGGCATACTCGGTCCATGTCGTCAGATGCAACACGGCCGGCACAGAAGATGTCTCGGTCCGCAAAGTACCTACATAGCCTGTTAGTACAACGATAAATCAAATCATAGCCCAGCTATAACACTTACTGGGTAGCAAGATCACCAATGGGCAATTTGCTGAGGATAACCTTGGCACCGGTGTTGTAGATAGCCTCAAGCTTGTTGAAGATGATCTGCCATTCAGCATCGACAATAGCTTGGTACTCGGAGACTTGCTCAACGCGAACTTCCGCATTATCCTTCTCACTCTTCAACTCCAGCTCAACATTGAGACACAAGATTTTGGGGTTCGTGAAGTACTTGGGCTGCTGCTCGAAACCGGCGTAGGAGAATGTCTTCTTAAAAGCGACACCGTTTACGAAAAGGGACTCCTGAAGACCACCACCAGTGACCTTCTTCACACCGATCAACTTCTCGTTCAAGTCATTTTGGTCAAGGGTAAGAACAGCATCGACGACCACTAATCAAAAAAAATTAAGCCCGTTAGTCAAACTGTCAAATGCTTCAGGTATGCACTCTGTCCGGGTTGATTCTCACTCTTCGTAAAAAAATCCTGGTTGCGCTTGATAAGCTTGCTGTTCATAGCTGTACCAGCGAGACGACGCAGTGTCTCGATCTTCTTCTCCTCGTTCTCAGCAGAGTTGATCATCTCGACGGCAATCTCCTTAATTTTGTTGACGGCCATAGAGCTAGATCTCCGCAGACCCTTGATGATAGTCTGCGAGCTAACACCCTGCTCAACAAGATCACGAACCTCCTTCAGAATCTCACCAGCAAGGACAACGACCGAAGTAGTTCCATCACCGACTTCGGCATCTTGGGATCGGGCGATGTCAGTAAGGATGCGAGCGGCGGGGTGCACAATATCCAGGAGCTGTCAAAGATATCCGAGTTAGCATTTGTTTTTCATTTCAATGACGACCCGACTGTCTTCGGATTGTCGACCGTCATCACAATAAAATACCCACCTTCATCACTGTTGCTCCATCATTTGTGATTGTCGTTTTTCCATTGCTGTCCACAAGCAGAAGGTCACCGCCATAGGGACCCAAGGTGCTCTTGACGGTCGCCTGTACAGCAACACATGCGTTGATGTTTGAGATGACCTGTCCCTTGCCCTGAGAAGCATCGGTGCCTATAAAAAAGGGGGATAATTGTTAGCATGGGTCAATCCCACTACCACACGGTAACTCCGACGGGGGGTAAATTGAATCACGGACCCTCCTTCAGCACAACAATGGTGGGGGTTTGACCGGCGAAGGCCATAGTGAAAAATCGAGATAGACCGGGACCGTTTCACAGAGGGAGCGTATAATCGAAACCAAAAAGAAAGGAGAGTCTGTGATGGTCGGAGGGGTTTGCTGATCTTCGACCGCCAAAATTTCCCAGAGCTTCTGTTTCCCCCCCCAAATCTACCGATCTGCCCAAGGCGGTGACCACTCCACACGGTGAATTCTATACACTTCTACGAGGATTCGGTTTTGGGTTTATGGTGAATAATTTGCTGAATATGGATATTTAAACATGATTCTTATGAGAATGAGAAAATTTGTATTGCTACTAAACGAATAAATTAATATGCAGATTATGCCCAGTAATTGTACCTTGCCAGGTCACCCCAACGCCGGAAGACAGTGCAAGACCCAAAGTATAAGTTTGGGACTGAGACCAGCTCAGTTGAACTCATAATTTCCCTCGGAGGGACTGCCATATCCATATTTTGAAAGGAGTTCGGCGTCATGTTGCAAAGTGTCGTGCGGAGGTGGATTCATCAGTCCCAGCACTTCTTGTCGAAAAGGATCGGAGCCATCGTCAACCATCATTTGATACGCATTACTAGCTGTGTGATATCGCATCGCATCATCAAACCCCGTTATACCCATATTATGGCCCTGCGGAAAGCCAGCATTCATTGCATTGGCATTTTGCTGCTGATAACGCCGCAATTGCTGCTGTAGTTGCATTATCTGAGGATCGAGAGGCATGTGCGGCTGGTAGTTTGCCACGGGTTGTACCGTACCAGGTACATGGACAGGGACGTTAGGAGGCACTGGCGGGTTCATAAATGGATGGTGACTGGGAGGCTCATCTGGTGCTTCATCCATCGGTTGAGAAACATCCATGTGTTCTTGTGAATGATCCATGGCACTGTCTGGCATATCCGATGCATCAACAGGCGGTGACTCATCCTCCTCTTTAGCACCAGGAATAGGCGGCGCTTTGAGCGTTTCCTTGCATTGGGGACAATCTCGAATTACTCGGTTAACAGTCTCTTTGATTCGCACCCAGTGGTATTTGATCGCAATAGCAGCGGTAGTTTTGTTGATTCCAGCATGCTGTTTGAGGTGAACCACCTTGGCGATATCATACTGTTGCTGTGGATCTGATACCACTTCCTTGTCCTTCAGCATTAGCTTATCCTGTTCCCCCTCCTCTCCTTCTATGAGCTTGTAATGGGTGGCGGCGCTGCGCAGTCGACTCTTTTCGGCTCGGTCCGCTCCTCCAGGGTACTTGGAGTGCTTCAAATAGTATCTGATCTTCTCAAACCGATCTTGTGATACTGAATCTTCACCGTCCAAGCTAAGACCTCTGCCATAAATGATTGCATCCACAAATTCCCCAGGCTGAGACTTTAACCTTCCTCCACCCGGGATTCTGCCGATCCGCTTGAACCCAAGGGAATCCCAGAGGCGACAGGAGGCAACATTGCTCTCGTAGACCAAATTGAATACTGCATACGTATACCCCTGCGCATTAAGTCAGATAAGACCGAGTGTGGGTTAAGATCACCCGAAAAGAGTACTCACCAGTCGAGGTGCCCACTCCAAATAACCTTCACCCATCAACCTACCTACACCTTTGTTTCTAGCCGCATCTGTAACGATAAAAGTACCGTTACAAACATGGCTACTCCATCCAGGGTAATTTGGGCGAATATGAAATCCTCCAAGGCAAATTTTGGTCCAATTGGCACCTGCTTTGTCCATAGCATGTGTCTGCTCTGCACTTTGAATCTCACCCAGCAGCATGACCACACCAAAATTAGAGAACCAGTAACGACCAAACTGTGCTAGTGGAATGGGCTCGGACATAGCATATGTGTCTCCTTTCTCAATTTCCTTGTTGAATTGATCAGAGAGATATTTAAGGAGTGGCTTGGGTACCTCTTCCGGAGATGCGAATGGCATCAGTGTTGCCACCGTCACCCTATCCCGGAGAGTCACTTGTCTCGGTGTCAGAGCCAGAGGATAATCAAGCTCTTGGCCTGTCACAACCAGCTCTGAGTCTCCATGGACTTCAGACATAATGGGTGAATGTACAAGGATATTGTTCGGCCTGTGCCGATCACGGTACTGCTTGCCTTATTAGTCCGACGCCTTTTTTCTCAGTCTCTCTTTGAGATTCGTGGATAAAAGGAACGAGATAAGAAATGGAATGATGATAAAAACTATTCATGATAATCCAGATCTCTAGTGGCTCCCAAATATTCCAGAATCAAGTAGATAAGGGGACGTTACTGACATTCTGTACTGCTTCTAGAAGCCTATTGGCACTTCGTGGACCGCGTGAGTATTCTCGAGTACGGAATCACAACTGCGCAAGTTGAGTGAAGACGTGCCCTTGCTGACTCATCGGATGACTCAGCCGACAAATGAGGCAAATGCTGTTGTTGCCTTGTGGCCTCAGGCGGTAATATATAGGGGCCCGGAGCCCGGAGTGAGTTCATGAACGCGCCGGTCCGAAGAGGAAGAGGGGAATTGGGGCCAACCAACAAACAAAAGGACCTCGGAATCAACATTGAATGAACAACTCTTCCAAACATTGACCTTCAAGGCCCTCCTGAATCAATATGGAGGCCTTAAATGCATTACAGGTCCCAATGCACTATAAATCCCTTTCTATATTCTTTGGGTACCTTGGGCTGATCATCTTGTTGTTCTTGATTTGCTGTCACACGATATATGTGCGATATCAAGCTCGGCAGAAGAACAATGACTGGGCAAATGGCTGGCGACGGGCTCAATTCTTTCTTTTTACATTTCTTACGGCCCTGAGCATTGGCATGACCTGGTTCTACATGATTTCACTGTTCTTCTACTCATATGATAGTTGGGCGAATAGTCCCGACGGACTCGTTTATTTAAATTTGGAATTGCCTTTGCTCGTCCGCATAGGTCTGTGGCTGAAGAAAACCTATCTTTTCCAAGAGGCCTGGGAAGCTGTTTCCGAGAACCCGACACGAGTCTGGTGGAGTGGTCAAATCTTTGGATGGACGATCGGCTGGGGGCTTTTCCTTGGAATCGCAGGTAAGCGAGGCTCTCAAATTTCCCCTTCGAGTCCCTTACGCGGGTTGTGTATGTTGTTAAAATTGCTCATCAATCGAATAGGTCGGAGATACCGTATTCCCCATGCCTGGGTTTATATGCTTATTGGACAGTGCGTTAGCATTGCATTTGCGGCAAACCTCTTCTTCGCGACAATCACAGTCTCTCAGCGGCCGAATGAGAAAGACATTTCTTTCAAATGGTATCCGCCACTGCTGTATGAATTATTGCCTGTTGTACTGTCGCTCGTCGACGCACTGGCTGTCCCGATATTTGCATATGAGAAGAACTTCATGTTTATTCTCCTTATACCCCACATTCTAGTCTTTGTGCCTTGTCTCCTTGGTCCTATCGATTCCTCTAAAGCAAGCAAGGAACAGGGTTCTAAAGCTACCCAGCGTTATGCGGTATTTTTACAGTGGATCGCGGCAGCATCTGTTGCTATCCAAGGCTATTTCACTGTTTTGGTCGTGCAGGATATAGGGACAGATGTAGCTTATCGTGGGGTTGCTCGTCAGCTACTTGATGCGATATATGTCCATCCTGCTTGTAGCAGTGTCAGCTGGGATGCTATCATATGTACTGTTAGCGCATTTTCCTGGGCTCTTGTGCATGACTTCAAATTCAGTCGAATGCTTGGCGGGCAATAAACACTCATTCTCGGAGTTCTTACTTCGGAGACTCGGTGCACGATCATGACGTCTAGGGGAAAGTGCAGGGCCAAGTGATTTGCATCTTAATATTGAGAATTGCTGGCCCATGAGAAGGCTGGAAGTCAGATTCTTACTGGCTTTCTTTCTGGCCGGTGATATGAATTCATTATGTGTTAAATGCATACCTGTTATGTAGACAAAATATTTCAGAGGTGATGGATGTTTTGCATCGTTATACATCGAGTCATTCTTATGCTGTATGTGAACAAGATATCTACAGCTATATCAATAACCCTCGCTGATAATACCCACCCCAGCTGCTTAGATTGATAATAAATTCTCAATGAGTCCGATCTTTAGACTCAGGGCTGTGGCTGGCCAAGTTGCTTTCTCCCCGGGGGATTTCCGAGAGCATGTAAACAGCCAATTCAATCAATTTTGATTTTTCTGTCTGAAGCTGAAGCGTTGTTATGACCTATTCCCCATCAAATGATAAAATCGGGTAGAATGCCATCTTGCGTAAGAAGTTGGTTCCAGTTTATGAAATTCCAGCAGGTGACAATCATAATAGCGGGTAGTGGATCTTGGGACTTTAAGGTTTGTAAGAGATGGATTCTATGGAAATGCTCGGTTGGTACCGTCTCCGCGCCCACGAATATTCGCTCTGATGTCAATCATTTCTTTCTCGTCTTTTCCACCCCTTACTTAATTCAAGCACTTTGTAGGTGGGGCATATCTGACGTTTGCATCCTTGAGCTTATTACGCTTTTGGGGGACTTTCCGAAATCGGAAGCGGGGAGATCTCCACATGTGCAAGCTCCAGATTCAACCTTAGTCAACGGGAACAAAGAACAAAGAAAACCGGATTAACCCATGACTCATTCTTCGTTTCTTTCTTCTTATTCTTTCTATTGTCCAAATCCTCTTTTGGAAATTCACTTCCTTTGATCTGGATCTTATCGAAAGAACCCATCCAATCCTTCATATCTTTGAGTCTTGACATACTATTGCGATGGCTCAAAATCAGCCAGCCGTGATCTGCGTCTTGTGAGTCACATCACTCCCTCACTATACAGTACTCCGTGCGCCCACTCCCATGCAACCCATACTAACATGAAGCTCTACCGGAGCAAAATAGCTGCGGATCAACTCCAGGCAAATCCCCCGAGCACCTGGAAGCCGCAAGAAAACTCGCGCAAGAATTCCACAAGCATAATGTCCAACTCGTCTACGGAGGTGGCACAATAGGCTTAATGGGAGAGATAGCCAAAACGCTTGTCTCGCTATCTGGCCCACAATCCGTGCACGGCTTCATTCCTCGGGCGCTTATCAGAAGAGTGAAGAAGAGCAACGATGCGCCTTTCACCAACGGCGCAGGCAAGGTTGCCGAGCGCATCATCGACGATGAAGCTTTAGACCAGGATCATATTCCAGAGTCGGAGTTCGGAGTTACGACGATCGTGGAGGATATGCATACGCGCAAACGACTCATGGCCGAAAAGGTGTCGAAGGGAGGACCTGGATCGGGGTTTGTTACGTTGGCGGGCGGCTTTGGGACTATCGAGGAGATTATGGAGATGACGACTTGGAACCAGCTTGGTATTCACAGTGGTGGTATCGTTGTGCTCAATATTCGTGGATATTGGGACGCGTTATTTACATGGATACGCAGTGCGGTCGAGGAGGGGTTCATCAGTGCGGAGAATGCGGCGATCCTGGTTGAAGTCCAGGATCCCAAGGAGGTTTGGCCGCGCTTGGTCGAGTATCAGGTGAGTAGCGGTCGGATGACTCTTGACTGGGGAAAATAAGGTATCGATATGCGTGTCATTCAACGATATCATGATGTACTTTCAATGATCTAGTCAGAGACATACACATTCATGTAAATAGTTTCAAGGTTTGGAGGACTTAGCGATGAATGATACGTGACGTTGACCATACTAGTAAGAAACACAATCCACAGTATTTATTTATTTAGTCAACAATTGTGCACCTTGTTATTTAAATATTCATTCCAAGGCTCAGGAACTCAATGGCGATACTATTAGTAGAAGTTTCTCTTACCGGGGCATTATATAAAGTACTATTGAAAGAGTTCATACGGCCAAAGTAGTGAAGCTAAATTTGATCCTCCCTCTACATAAAATCCACTCATCAGCCATTGGTTAAAATTCTATTATGATGAATAGTAGGATTGATGTGAATTTAAAAAACTTCCAAGTGTGGATTCATTACAGTGGGATCGTTGCTCAGAGGAACTTATATAGCTAGTACGAACCTATTATTTGTTTTGTCAGTTATTGCGTTCAATGTCTTATGGGACTGGAGAAAGAAGGGAATTTGACATACCAAATTCCAGATCAAAATAAGGGAGTGTAAGACTCATTCGGCATGATTGTCTGATCTTATTATACATTGATTGCGACGTTACACCGACTGTCCCTTATTGATCTGCATCATTCTAGTACTCCGTGTAGTACGTACCTAGGCAAAGTATATCTCAGTGGCGTTAAAAGGTCGCACCGATGTCGGCCTATAGTGAGCTATCTGCTAACTGTAAGTATGGTTTCGCCTTTAAGAAGAATCTATGGAGTGTGTGACTTTGCACTTAATGGTGAAGTCAAAAAGCACGTGGAATTGTTGCTTCCTCGGTACCTGCATACACATACTCATTGCCTACCAACAGTCTTGAGTTCCATCTATCAACATAATATCCAAAACAAGTCAATTCTGCTCAGCCGCCATCGGATCAAGTCCAGCCTTCTATTTCAAGGAATAGAAAACTAACAAGAACAAAGAAGCCGGTCGGCCTAGAGCCCCCTTGCCACGTCACATCCTTCAGCCTCCTTCTAGTCTGTCCGACCAACCACAATGGATGAAAATGTGTGTAGGATTCCACTCGAGCTCCCCGCTTACATATTTTAAGGGATTAATCTACAGTCTTCCTTCTTTATTGGTAGACCCTGGAGCTTTTCTTTACTCCGTAGAAGGGCCCGGCTATCGGGAAACCTAGATCAGCACTTGGCTCAGCACTAAATTTGAAGAAGCTAGTGCAGCTGCGCCTTCATTTACGGCCCATGGTTCCAGAGTTTTTACAGGCTATGGATTGCTCCGTGTTTTATCCTCGCTTCTAATACAAGGGGTAAATGCCGGGTTACAATATAGTCTGCAGTGCCTTCAAGCCCGCAGACAAGAACACCCCAGCAAGATGTGAGCGACTTGATTTTAAGTCATTTCGTGTGATGGCAAGTAGAAATTCGAAACTTAATCTGTCTCAACTGTTAACTCTAATAATGAGGAACCACGTTCCTGTTGGTGCCGACCGTCCAAGCCATTGAGACATGGCGTCTCGGCGGGCTCCTAAAGCGGCACACCCCTGGAAAAAGGAGCACCACTTGCTCCCAACGTCTAACTCTTCAACACGGAACAGCTAGAATATACGCTCATGAAATGCCTATCTTTTCTTGACTCCCAAATAATCGAAACTCCATCGTATAGCACATATCACACCTTTATTAAAGTTTTTGAATTGTTGCCTTAAGTGGAGGTGCCAAGAACGGGTCCTTTGGTGCTGACGTTTGCTTTGCTGGTGCAGAGGTCACAATTGCAATGCCGATCCAAGTGGGACAAGAATAGATAATGAACGATCACCTACGGAGTACTTCCGTTTCTGCTGGGTTTAAGGATCCAAAGCAGTGCAGGCGGCCCCATGTTGTTCTAAATCCCAATTCTCCAATGGCGCATCGATTTGTCTTCCCCAGTCCAGCACAGCCCCACCCAACGAAGTGGCGAATGAGCAAAGATTTTTTTTAAAGAGAAAAAGCTTCCCCGGGGGTTAAACGGCTAACTGGGATCACGTGGCGATCTGGACCTCTAAGCCTCCTGATTTTTGACGACGAAGTTGTCTCTGACACGCCATGGGGAGGAATGGCACAAGATATAAACCGGCCTAGCACGCCTGAGGGGAGCACGTTGGAGAGCGCTCATAGTTCTCCAGGCGTTGCTCTCCCGGAGGAGACAGAAGAGCGATCCAACTCGGGATCAGCTCAGGATGTCAACGCCTCTCCACTGCCCGCGAAATACTGGCTGCCATTCTCTCTTCGACGTCCGTTTTTGCTCTTTCTGGCGATTTTGTGTCTGTTGATGGCCATCGCGGGGGAGGTGATGCGTCAATATTCTAAACACAACCATGGACTCGTTCATCTTGAAACGTATAAATCGCTTGGACTTGCTGCGGGACTATTCGTTTATGTTCCTACTACTGTCGCAGTTCTACTGGTGACACTATGGAATATTTGCGTCCTCGATGTCTTACGACTGGAGCCGTACTTCCAGCTGGCCAACCACGAAGGCTCATCTGGTTCTGTGCTATTCACGAATTACTCATTTACCTACGGCATACTGGCGCCAATCCGGGCTCTTCGTAACCAACACTGGGTCGTCGCAATTGTCTCTTCGGTTGCTTTATTACTGCGTACAATGCTTCCGTCTCTTATGTCGGGTCTTATTGTACTGAATGAGATGAACATTGTCACGATGAAACCTATCAATACCTGGCCGGATCTGATAAACCTGGAGACTCAGAACATTATGTTATCCTATGAAGCATCGCACTCTCGCAATTCATCTGAATTTCATGTAGACACATTCTTTTTCTACCAGACCCACAACTACGCCATACCTCCTATCGTGCGACTGCCAGAGGATTATTCTGAAACGTCAACCTGGAAGATGAACGAAACGGCTTATTGGGCTGACTTAAATTGTGTTGAGGTACCTTTGAAAAACATCATTCCCGATATCAATCCTACCAACTCCACGAGTACGACCACATTGACCTGGAATGTGACAGACATTGCATTCGATAAGCTCCCCTATAGTGGAGATGCTGACAGTTGCACGGTATCTTTCATATTAAACAGCAACATACCCGAGGGGAAAGGATCATATCAAGTGCGACACTGGGAACCTCTCAACTATAATGGGAGTGCAACAGACAGTGCTACCATGAATACTACTGGGTGCGGGTCGTTCGCATTGTTTGGCCTCTCTATCAACATGGGATCATCACTCACAAATTTCTCATCGAATGCCACGTCATTTGGCTGCAGTAGTAGATATTTGAAGGGAAAGGCAGAGATCGCTTTTCCCGTTAATACTTCTTTTGTTGATGCCAAACACGTCTTGGGCCCGAATGAAAGCGTGTCTTCTTCTCAATTCAGTATTTCAAGCTTTGAAAGTCTCCTGCACACAAAATACAGCAATGCCAATCTTGTGACACCGGGGAGCAGACATCAGATCTCGAGTCTGACCACATCCACTGGTGTAAATGGCACCTTGCTCAGTGACCTGACTCCGATTGAAATTACCGACTATCAATCAGAAATTCGCCAACTCTGGAATCACAATTTTGTCAACTCAATGAGACGATTCTTCAATACTACCGGAGACCCTACGCCTGTCGATGCTAGACAAATCACAGATACGACTCTTTATCAGGTCACCTCTCGTTCGGCCTTAATGGCCGAGGGCCTTCTCTTAGTGGCATTCATTGTTCTCATTTGGTTGTTCTTCCTGTATCCGCACCGCCTTAACTTTCTCTCTGGCGACCCCAACTCGATTGCTGCGCAGTGCGCTCTCTTGACAGACACTTTCTCTGCGGGCAACTCCTTGATCCGATCGGAAATCGCATTCGATCGCGCCACGCCTAGACAACTTCGCCGATTTGCTCGAACATTGTCTTGTCGATGGATAGACACGCCTGATGGGAAAAGGATAGATATTGTCCCCAATGACCCCAACTTGCCGTTTTTGGAATTACCAAGTTCACGGTTACGCCGCAACCCTAGACCTCACTTCTTGACGCCTCCATGGTTCTTGATTGAATGTGCAGTTATGGCTGGCGTTCTCGCCGCTTTTGGAGTTGCTTTTCAGTATGTCCGTCTAGATAAGATCGACTCCAATTCAGCTGGCGTCACCTTCATCTACTACTTCCTGATATACGGCCCTACCATAATTGCTTCGATGATAGGATCTCTGTTTATCTCCATTTATCGTCATTTGAGCAATCTTGAACCTTGGGTTCGCTTGCAAAAGGGAATGGCGGTGGCTAAACAGTCTATTACTGCTAACTATGGCTCCCAAACGCCTATCATGTCTTGGATGACTTTTCGCCACAGTGCGCCTCCAATATTGGTCCTGCTTTCGTTGATGTGCTTCTTGGACATGTTCTTGACTGTTGCCAGTAGTGGTATGTTTGAGCCAGTTCTATACAACTCCACTGTTCCCACTTCGTCATTGTCTGCGCGCTACAACCAATCCCGTTTCCTGAATCCTACCGTGCGAGTAGAGTTCAACGGAAACAGTTTCATCTCTGATAGTTTGGTGATGGGTTATTCCCTTTTGGCTTGGACGACACCGGATACGTCTTTCTATCCAATGATGATACACAATAATGACCCGGACTATGATTGGGAGGAATATAACGCGGTAGCACGCGGCGTGGGCGTTGATCTTCAATGTAGCAAAGTCCCCACCAGTGATTCATCTCACGATCGACCAACTGGAAACTTATATTGGACATACCAGCCTTATTCAGATATCGACATCAATTGTACCGTGGAGTTCCAGCAGCCTGCTTTTGAGCACCGCCTGTTCAATGAGTCTGTCTACTTCCGTGGTCCCATGAATGCAAGTGAGATATGCCAGAAGACCTTCATGGTAATCACATACAATGATTTCGACAGCATCAACGCGACCTCCGGTAACAACTCAACAGTCTTCCAGTGTGCACCGCAGATTCAGATCCAGGACTTTGATATCGATTTTGAGTATGAAGGCACAATCGATGACTGGGAGCCAGTAGCCGGAAGCGCAATCACAAGCGGTGAAATGTTCCAAAACGCCTCGGCCAGCCTCGTTCCCTTCACCCAAGCTTTCCTTCGCCAAACAAAGCTCGCGAGACAGGATATCAATCCTAACCAGTATGACTGGGCTGTTCTACTCACCCGCCAAGTTTACGACACTTTCGACGACTCCGGCTCCGTTGACCTTTCACTCCTTCAACAAGCCGTCGAATTGGGCTACCAATCTACTTTCAGCACCTACCTATCTCTGTGGCGCGACATATACTTCGACCCAATTCTACACACTACCTCCTCCATTCCTGGCACTACAACCGACACGTTCTACGGCATCGAGCCATCTTATACCACAATTTTCATCATTCTCGTCCTCCTCTCAATCGACCTCTCCGTCTTGATGGCAGTCTTCTGGTTCCGCCACAGACACTACAACGGTCCTCAAATCCCGCGCTCTATTGGTTCCCTGATTCCGTTAATAGCTAATAGCCGCATTCTTGGCGATGTCCGCGACACGGCTGGTTGGACTGAGGAGAAACGCCGCGAGCATCTCGATAAACTGGGACGAAAATATCGCTATGGAGAATACACTCTGCCTAATGGTGAAAAGCGATTAGCGTTGGACTATGATGAAAAGCCCCTCTATGAAATCTTCGATGAACAACAACATGAGCTTGGTGATATATGTGTCGATCCTATTCCGGATCAGGATACGGAACCGCCGCCGGCGTCAGCGACAGTGTCCACTACGCAACTGATAAATGAACATAACGATAGATCGTAAATAGGAAAATCTGTGCTGGAACACAGCATGAAATATGTGTTTATACCATTGAATTGAACTTTGTTTATACCTACCGTGATCAAAGGATGTAATCCGAAAACATTCAAAGTTTAATTTAATGTCTCATTCTCCTCATGAAGACGCTCGCTCGGCTACATTTCCAATCGCGCTATTTGGATCGACGGAATGAAGGGAATAAACCAACATTCATCGAATGGAAAGAGAAATAAAACCGGCGACCAATAACAAACCTTGGGCCACGTTATGCTTCACTAAAATGTGCTTGGCACTAATCCGAGTGACGGATATCTCGCCAAGAATGAAAAATGTGGAGCCAGTATGGACCCCTTCGCTGAGAAAAGTAAGTAAAGCGAGTGTCGTCACGACAGTACAGCCAGCAAGTGACAGTTAAAGCCAAAGGCTTAGCTGTCAGTTTTGTTTTTCAGATCTTTAATGTCCCGAAGTCGTGATGGCAGCTACCGTTTTGCGGATATTCAGTTGCAAGCTGGTAGCTTTGCTACGGACATTAATCATTTTTATATTTCTGGTGGATAAATTCGTACTTAAATCTACTGCCTCGACCACTCCTCCCCGTATGAACATCATGGTCTCTTTTATCATAAATGTCGGCATTTCTTAAGACCTGCCAGTGACCAATGGGTTCTCCTACCTACGCCGATTGAAGAACTAGGGAGGAGACGTGGACTACAACAAACTCCAAAACTGTAAGCCTTCATCACTTATAATGTTAGTTTGTGATTTGAGACTCTCTTTGACAGATCTGACGTATTTCACTAGACTATCATGACGAATCCCTAAAATGAAAAACTGGTGAAATTCCCCAACGATGAGGGCAAACACGTTGAGAGGGGCTTTTTCCATTTTGAATTGTGGGTAATGGCAACGACTTGTCTCCCCAGACGACATAGCAGACATATTCCGGACTCATTGACGAAAAGGGCGCCTGGGTCGACTTCAATGTGACTTTAGAAATTGTACATATCATGACATTGCTTATGATAACATGAAAGTCTGATCTACTTTTCTACTAGATTTGAACGATTGGAAGCTCATTCATTTTCAATATCGCCTATATGTGCTATCCATGGGCTCTTATGTAATTTAGAATCATTTCAACGTATAGCTTCTAGGTCACATACGCGATGTTTACTCACACTAGTACAGTGTTATGGAGAGCTGCCGCTTCTGAAACAACCACGCCGATATGGGTAGGCTCGTAAAAATAGGTCTCGCACTATCATATTCCCAACATATTACTATGACAAGTTGACCTACTTAATATCCTGGTCATGCTTAGATTCTCTACGCACAGCAAATATTGGAGTTCTTTCTATCTTTAGGATCAGCGTGGGAGATGATATGGGAGAATGATGGCAGGAACTGTATCTTATATACCTTAGAGGTCAACGTTTGAACTAAACCCCTGATTCCTGTGAAACCACTCATTATGATGGAGGAACTTCCGGCACCGATCTATTGGGCTCCATGCGCGGTTAATGATAGGTAGGTAGTATTTACAATCTTGAATCAAGTACGCTGCCCAAACCCACGCGTGCTCTATATCTCTCGTTGGATATTGGTTAAAATTATCATATACTACGATCATCATATAGGTTATAGGCATGGATATTGTTGTGACTCATATTCAATATCCAACCATTAGTTTTCCGAAATTTTGATTTGCGGGACTTGTTATAATGTCTCAAAATAGCAGGAAGCGATCTCAAACATGAGATCCCATAGTTTAACAGACTGACGTATCAAAGTGACCCTCACGTATCAATAGACTGATTATTAGAAGTAAATAGGGCAATATGCCGAGGAATAGTATGAAAGCGCAACCCCAGGCCGATACTAGGAGAGAAATTATGTCAAAATTACCGGTATTAATTCGGTATGGGCAGGGCTGATGTGTATAATAGTGAGGCATATATAGAAAAGCCACACGTGAGATATATGGAGGGTCAACCGTTCGTACGGGAGGCAACAATTGGATCTATGGAGTAAATGTACTATCTAGGATTCATCTTACGCTCGGTTCCAATCGTTCAATGTGGGCGATAAAATTACATACTCGACTGGACTCCAAAATGGACTCGAGTCCCGGTTCGTGGGGTTTTACCCCTGGCCCCCTGCAGCCAAGTTAGGAAGCAAGGCAGCTATATCTGTCTATCTCACTTGTGGGTGGAGGTCCGAGTAATGTATGGCTTTGCGTACCTCTGAACCGGACCATTTGACATGGTTGAGTCTTTAGTCTCATTCGAACAACGAGGCACAGGTGATGCACATTCGGGCATCAAAAATTACTAGCCATGCCTTACCCTACGGTCTGGACACCAAACACGACTAGCCGCATTTCTAGTCGTGTTTGGTGTCCAGACTGTAGGGTAATAGTAAGGCACGGCTACTAGTTACTAAGCAAAGATCCTCAGTACCTATATTAATAGTATTGATTTAATACTATATCTTTACAAGTGTGATATATCTCCCGACAATATTGATCAAAAGCAGTCGTCAGCTTCTATTCTCCCCGTTTTAGTATTATTTTGTACTTGGGATATAAGCTGGGGGCAGTAATGAATCTCTAGTATGGCGAATATCCACCTGGTAGGCTCCAGCCTCGCGACAGGTTTACCCGATGGGCACAGTCCCCACAGGACCGCCACGGCGAGAATACACGCTAGTGGGGCTGACCGGAGCTACGGAACCATGCTATCACTAGGTAGTGGTAGTAATGCGATTTGTGCGAAGCGCTGTTGCTTTGATAGCACAGAGGGTTGAAATGAGTCATATTCTGAAGTATTTGCGTTCAGGAGAAAGACTCGAGTCCTCAGTCCTCAGCCCATTGGGTCTCAAGATGAGTATGTAGGCAGGTGCGGTCCAATCGCATGACAACCGAACATAGCACAATTAATCTGCCGGTTCCTTGGGCACTGTCACTGGTCTTTATTTTTCTTTCTGAAAGAAATTGCTACCCTCCATGGAAGGTTGCCAAAGGTTTAATTTTCCTGTAGAGCCGGCTTATGTACCTCCTAGGCGAAGGCGACAAATTCGATGCGCATTTACCACCCCATCGCATGACAAGTATATGTCAGATATCCCCAGATTCATGAAGATAGTGTTTTTCCAGGTCGATCACCTCCAAGGAAACAGGAACGACCGATTCTTGAGCCTTTCGCAAGATCCAGTGTACCAGCGCTTCTCCAGGCACTTTTTTCTATGACAGTACAAAATTGGGCATTGTAACGCCGTGAACGACTGTTAATTGCTCCGCAGAAACCAAATCCTAGGCACATCATGGCTGAGCATCAGCTATGAAGCCTCAAACATATCAGGGACGGGGATCCTACTTGACATCTTCATATGGGGTTTGTTTCCCGACCACTAATAGGTCAAATGGAGTTTATAATTGATTGATCCAATCAAGTTAACATCCTCCCCGTGTCTTGAATCCTGAATCTTCACTGAATTCTGCAGCGATCGTCGATCCAACAACGATCTGCCCCACCAAGACTGTTGCACGGGTTCGTGTTCTCCCTCCTCCGACCCGTCTGTGGAGCCAACACAACACCGACATTCGTTCTGGAGCTGAATTTCTTCCACTAACGATGGAGCATTCGAGAATTGGAAAAACTATGACGAGGGTCCTGCTGCCTGAGGCTCTCCATCAAATATGGAGGGGCTGATACCAAAGCGCCCACGTAGGAGGCTCCATCTTTTCAGGATTTAGCACGCCATTCCACACTCTATTGTCGAATCAAAATATAAGCTTATTTATTCCAGAGGCCGAAACTATGGCAGACGAACGTCCCCAGTATTATCAAAACACACTTTCACCATTGGTGATCAATGCGGATTCTCTCGCTGAGACTTTAGAGGAACTTCGCCTCGCGGTTCGCTATGGAGCGGAGGCTATTCAAGCGAATGAGGGCCCCCTGGACAAATGGCCGATCGGTGGCATGTTCAAATTCATGCCAGGTATGTGAATGCTGTTATAAATTTTGCCTTGCTATTTATATACAACTTAGCAACTCTCTTATACAACGTATAGCTGGGTCTAACAGGTCGCTGCAGGTATTGCCCTTGCTTTCTTGCGCCTAGATTACCAGTCATCAGTACTAGACGACGGCGATGTTAAGTCTCTGGATTATCGCCAGCTTGCTCTCGAAAGAATACCATCAGATTTTCCAGATATCCCATTGCTCCCGTCAAGACTAGCGCCTGCGGGGTCATTGTCACCGATCCCAGGTGTCAGCTTGCGCGTTTTTTCGGCGGTTGCTAAGGCGAATTGGAAGAACGGTTCTAAACCCAGTCTTTTCCAGGAAGATATTACCTGTCTCTATGAGGCTGCCCAGCTTGCCCTCAAGAATGGTCCACTTGTGCCCCATGACGGTCGCAACATGGGCGGCGATGAAATGCTGTATGGCCGCGCAGGGCTTCTATGGGTTCTTTTGAATATCCGGGCTCACCAGTTCGATGAGAGCACGCAGAAAGCCCTCGAGCCTGTATATGAGGCTATTCCGAAACTTGTCGATGTGATTGTAGATTCTGGGCGACAGGGCTCCAAGGCTTTTATTGAGAAGAATGGAGCGCAAGAGGCACACCCGCTCATGTATGCTTGGATGGAGGGACACTATTGTTTTGGAGCGTAAGTCAAACTACTCATTTTGTGAAAAACTAAATACTGACCCCTCTGTAGTGTTCACGGAATCAGTAGGTTTTTTCCCTTCTTGTTGTTTTCTTCAATTCCATAGGTATCGGCAAGTAGTATTACCAATCAGATTGCTAATCTTCTGCTATAGCCGGTATCCTTTCAATCATCCTCGCAGCCAAGTCCGAAGAACTTGAGAGACATCTCCCTGAGATTGGAGAGACTATCACCGCGTTGTGTAAGATGTCCCTTGCGAGTAATGGACATCTCCCAATGACACTCCCGCCCTTCAGCTTCGGGCAGACCTCAGAGTTAGTCCAGCTCTGCCACGGAAGCCCTGGTATCCTCATTTTGCTTGCAGAGGCTTTGAAGAACAAAGCCTTAACTGAAGCATTCTGGTGTCCTGAATGGAACCAAACCATCTATGAGGCTTCTCAAAGGATCTGGGAAGAAGGCCTTCTTTCTAAAGGAGGCAGTCTGTGCCACGGTATCACCGGAAACGCCTGGCCCTGGCTTTTGCTGCACAATGCCTTTGAATACCACGCTGAAGATCTAGAAGCTGCCAAAAACTCATATTTGCACCGCACACAAGCCTCTCTCCAGAGTGACGATGTTAGCGAAAAGCTCACGCCAGATTTCTTTTTGTCAAAAGCTTTGACTTTCATTCTACACTCTCGTGAAACTCGGCCATACAACAGCCAGGAATGTACCACCGCCGACAAAGATTATCGCATGCCCGACGACCCATACTCGTTGTCGGAGGGACTGGCTGGCAATGTTTGTGCTTGGGCTGAAGCTTGTGCTGTCATTCAGGCTAGATTGCGCAAGATGGAACTCAGCAAAACTGGATTTAGCTTGGAGGAAGACCTGGCTTTCAAGCAGGCCATTTGCTGCGAGCTTGGATTTCCGTTTGTTGGAGGAAATGGTGCTACTGGACTTATCTAGATACTAGATGGTTCCCACGACCATTTAGTACCTGCCACTGCGATCCAGTAAATCTCTCCCCGTAAAATAGCTCAATCTTCATAAAATCCCTTTTACATATGATCACTGTCACAATGAACTTAAACTGTGTCGCTCAACTACATGTTGATGTTAAACGTTCAATAATTGTAGTCGAACCTCTATGACATCATATCTGTATACACACCCGTCTTCTTAAAACCAAAAATGTCAAGATCCAGGAATTATAATTCCTTCGCGAATCTCCTCAAAAATAAATGAATTCAAGGCATCAAAAAGCCAGGGGGGGTAAAGATATACAAGATCCATCCATCAGCCAAACATCGATGGATCCGCAAAACGGGGCGTCAGCAGTTCATCGCTCTTAATGGCCCACGGGTGCAACGTGGCTGTGCCGGGCAACTCACAAGACTCAACACCACGGAGCACGGAGTAATTAATTATCGTTCGCAGAAGAGACACGAGCTCAGCGTGCAGAATTTAAATAAAATGCACCCGTTGAACTGACCAAACCTCATCACTTATTCCCCATGTAGATGAAGATGGATTTGATTCCACCATCTTACGAATCGGCAACGGACCGTGATGCCTGGACCATTATCGCCCACTACATCCCTTCCAGCGACTTATGCGCCGCTTCACTAGTTTGTCATAAATGGCATGAAGTATTTATGCCATTTCTATGGGGTGATCCTGCATCACATTTTGGCACTCAGAACGATGCTGTCTACGGTAGGCCCCCGCATTCACACCTCAGGTGTCGAGGCACCAGTCACTGACTTGTGTATATCAGTTGCTCTCACGCGATTTCGAAGAACCTTGAAATATGCTAGAAGAGAAGTGCGAGACCTAACGCACACCCTTCATCTACCTCCCGCTCTATCAGAAATCTATGATGGACCGCGACCGGGATGGTTGAGAGATATCCTCGAGTATCTGCCCTGTCTACAGTCACTTATGGTATCACGTCTTCCATTCTTCGACCATAACTGCATGGTTGCGTTGAAGAGTCCGCAAAAGTCAAGTTACTACAATGTTCGTCTTCTTGCAGCGGATCATGAGCCAAATACGACCTCTGTGGGCTTAGCGGAAACTCTTCTGCGGTTTCCGCTGTTGACATATTTGGATCTTTCGTACACAACTTCGGCACGAAACCAAAGCGTACTATCATCCTTATCTCTGCTAGAAAATCTCCAAGTACTGAAGCTCCGTGCGACTGGACTGAAGGATGCCGACGCGGAATTTCTAGCAAATGCAATTGGAAAGAGAGTTAGGTTTCTGGATCTACGAAATAACATGCTCACAGACATGGCTGTTCGTTCGTTACTGCAAGCGTCTTTTGTTACTTCAACAAATGCCCAACAACAGGAGTTTCCGCAATATATTCGACGTGCTGGACATTGGCCTGACCCCGTTGCCCAGTCTGCTCTTCGGGGGTTGGGGTCGGAATTCTTGAAATCGCCACATCTAGACGAACAATATGTGAAGTTCTTGACCAGTCCGGTGACAAGTCACCCTTGGGTTGATTACTTACCGTATTCTGGTATCACTCATCTCTATATAGCAGATAATATGATCAGCGTTGAGGGTGTGGCAGCTCTACTAGCCTCCTCTAATCTCCACGCCCTTGACGCAGGGACAGTGAAGACAGCAGATGGCATCCACAAGCACACATCCCCTCCAAGAGATGGAAAGTATCCTGGTGCCGAAAAGCTTGTACCCATCCTGGGACAATGTGCAGGAGACAAATTGACCTACCTTCGAGCCAATCATGCGATTCTCACCGCTGAGCCTCCATCGAAAGATGTCGGAAACACCTCCCAGTTTCTGCCAGAGCTAGAAACTAAGGAAACACCCCGAGAGGCGGAGCTTGATGCATCAGCAGAGGCCCAGATTTACGAACTACCTGCGACAGAAGCGCCACTCTATGAGTTGGCGGATACATCCACTGCCGAGTCAACAAGTTCAATGGCTAGCAACGCTACGGTTAAAGAACAACCTGGACATTATCACGATGAGCCCTTTTCATCGGTCAGAAGGGGATCAGCTTTCGCTCCGGAAGTTGTTCAAACTATCAGACGGGGATCAGCTTTTGCTCCAGAAGTTGTTCCAACCACATCAAATGCCAGCGGTTCTGTGGATTCCATCTTTTCCACACCTATGAATACTAGCAGTCCACAAACGTTACAAAATCATACAAGCTTGCAACTCTTCTCAACTGGCTTTATCTGTGAGAGTCCGGGCGGTTTTAATTCTGCTTCACCATCCAGCGCATCCTTTTTGTCGCCGTTTGGATCAGACGATCCTCGCGGGCAACGAATCCAAGAACTACTGGCAAAACGACCACGCAATCAATCGCTACCTCTGCGTAGCGGCAAAGAAAGCCGATATCCCTACTTGCATCCATCGCACATCCCACACTGTGAGACACTAGTCTTAACAAATATCCCATCCCACGTACCACCCAACTCGCCAATTTTATACACTCTTACCCGGTTCATCAGGGCCTGCTCCAACGAGGCTCTCCTTGCGACCCTCCAAGCAGGCTCAGATTATTCCCTTCCACCAGGTCAAGCCCGATACCAAGCAGAGCAACAGCGATCGCGATCACTCTTCGGGCTTCGTCGCATTATCATCGAAATTAACGACACCTCAAGAACTAAGCTGACATCATGGAAACCCGCGAATCAACGCAATGGAAACAACACCTCTAGCACAGGAGATCGCGATTCTGAGGCTATGTGGGCTTCTGCTACAGATGATTTTAGTTTCTTCGGAGAAGAAGAGTGTGGCATTCCCGAGACTGATCCGGGAAAGTACTTCCCAATGGCAGCTCTGAATGAGAAAATCTGCCTCACGCCATCAGATGACGACTCAGCCCATTCCGGTACCGACTTAAGTGAGGATCTTTCGCAACAGAAAACAACATATACTGTATCTGAAGCAACCCGCAATAGTCAACCAGGGCAGTTACTACAGCAAGTGGATCTCGTGGCGCAACTAGCTGCTTTCCGACGAGAAAAGAAGGGAGAGTATGAGGCTCTTGTGACGCGCGAGAGAAAGCGACGAAGTACGTGTGGAACCGGGGTATCCAGCATTTTCTCGGCTTGTTCAGCCCAGGTCTCCATGGCCCACTTTGTAGAGGGGTATTGGAAAGGAGAAGTTAAAATTGTTAGGAATCCAACGCCTAAGGTCCGTAGTGGCGTTGTAGATATGTATGGGAATTATTTCGAGAAGGGTTATCTATACCCATAAAATGAACGCCTCGGGAGACACCGACAGTATGACGTTGCTCCTCGACTATTTTAAGTTTAGACCGGTTTAATCCATCGATAGATCGTAGATGGAATTACAATAGGACTTTCCAAGAGATTTTTGAGGAATTTTTTGGTATTTTCTAAGCCCGTTATTACGGGACACAACCTTGTTTCTCATATACATGAGCCGGTGAACTCATACGCTGAGAAACGCAACCCGAGACAGGACAGTAGAATTAGAGTAAGAGGGAAGACAAAGAAATAGATATTCCTAGAAACTTGCCCCTTAACCCCCAATCCAACGGCCCAATGTCAAAAAATCCAACAATTCAATGCCGAATACCTCCATTTTTATCAATTCGTCACAGCATTGCCTGGTCGATCCGTACACGCCGGTAAACAACGTCTAGGACCGAGCCAAAATCGCGTGGTGCAAGGAAATCAAGCGGGAAAAGAAGAGACAAAATAATAGAATTCATTTCAGACTAGTTCATTTTATTTTGTTTCGCTGAACACCGTCTCCGATCCTTTAGTTGGCCTTACCGGCCTGAGGGGGGGTAAGCTTCTTTCCGTCCTTGTTGTAGCGAATACGGGGAGGAGGAGCACGGTTGCGGCGGCCTTCGCGGGAACGAACACTTTAAAATAGTTAGTATTGATTGTGCTTAATAGAACAGTTGAACTGGTCTTTTTCGGGGTTGGGTGGTCGTACCGAACGATCTTGCCGTGGATAGCGCAGGAGACGCAGTACTGGAGCTTCAGGTACATCTTGGGGACGGAGTACTCGGCGAAGACGGAGGCATCGGAGATATCACGGATGGCAGCGGACTCAACCATGTTGCGGATGGTGAAACGCTTGATAGCCTTGTCCTTGGGAACGCAGCGAGCGCAGTTGGAGCAGCGCACGGGCTTGACGTGGCCGCGGCCATTCTTGTTGCGACCGCTAAAGAAATCAATCAGTTATTGTTCGCATGAAATTGAGCAGCCGTATCATGTAGATTTTTTGCATAAACCAATGCAAATTATTTTCATGATATATTAAATTCGCTTCCCCAGACTCTCCATTTTTCTTGAATATTCCTGCAATGCGCGTTGGCTGGTGGGTTGGTGACTGTCGTTATTTTGATGGTGTTCTTCTTCGATTTTTCGTTTGGTGATTTGTTTCTCTTTCGGTGGATTTCATGGCGTAGCTTCGGCAACATTGCGGTAATTCAAGTTGAATGGGAGTCTGGAGGCGGATTTTCGTGACGACGAGGAGAGTGAGGTCTTACTTGTTCGCCCGCTTCTTGACCATTTTGACGGATTGATCTGAATGTGTGTTAGACGTTGAAGACGGATCGTATAGGGGGGTAGGGGTAGCGTACGGTTGACTTGTCGAGGGTGGGTTGTCGAAGCTCGCTCACTCACAGACTCATCGGGAATGGATAGTGGTTGTGTTGTGGGAAGCCCTAAGCCCTTAAGCGAGACCCACGGCCCTTCCTGCCTTGGTGCCTCACTCTCTTTTTGCCTGATTCTTCAGGCGCAAACAGTGACCTCACATGATGCGCGTCACGTGGATCGTCATAAGACGCACTAGCCCCGAATCGCACTAGCGTCCGGAGCGAACCGTCAAACTATTGAATTCCTTACTAAGGCCCGTGTTAGGCCCGTGTTTACCTGCGGGACAAACAGGATCAACATAATAATCGAGGAGAAACACACCCCTGTTCAGATCGTCACTCGACACTTCTTCTCGGGGCTCGAAGAGAAAAAAATTCACCCTTACTGGATTCTTCTCTTTTGTTAAGACTAGCATTCATTCCCCTTGTCCCACCTCCCCTCTTTTCTCCCTTTTCTCCAGTTCCCCTTTTCTTGGTGTTCTTGAAGGATGTCGCATACAGGTACATTTAGAGGCACCACCACGCCCAATAAGACCATCGGGAGAGGAAGGCTGCCCGACTTCGACGGCTCCAATTCCAACGCTTCTCACATCCCCCGACCCCGATCCGACCGCCCTGAAATCCCTACCTCCCACCAAACCCCATCTAGTGACGTTGGTAGCGGAACCGGCACCATGAGCGCGGCTAGTAGCAGACAACGACAGACGCAGTCAAAGCGTGATGAGGTGCGTGATCACACCAGCTGCTTTATTCCCAATGCATGCTTTGCATCGTCTTTTTCTCTTGCTTTGTCTTTTACAATAGACCTTCGAGCTTGCTTGAGTTACCTCGACTTGACTTTTTCGGTGGACTGACCGCTTTTTTTTATTTGGTTATAGGCAATCCGTATCAAGATGGAGGCCAACCTGAACAAAAAGAGACAAGGTCAGGCCAAGGCTACTCGGTCTCGCAAGGCCCCGCCGGGCACTGTTCTAGCTTTGAAGCCCAGTCAGGCTCTCCAAATTAAGCCCTCTCTCAGCATCGCCGAGGCCGCACAGTTGATGGCCGCTAAACGAGAGGACTGCGTGTTGGTTACCGACGATAACGAGCGAATCGCTGGTATTTTCACTGCAAAGGATTTGGCCTTCCGTGTTATTGGAATGGGCCTGAAGGCGCGTGAGGTCTCGGTCGCGGAAATTATGACCAAGAATCCCCTATGTGCACGAACCGACACTAGCGCAACCGATGCGCTTGACCTGATGGTCCGAAAGGGATTCCGACATTTGCCCGTTATGGATGAGAACCAGGACATCTCGGGTGTACTGGATATCACCAAGTGCTTCTACGATGCGATGGAAAAATTGGAGCGTGCCTATAGCTCATCCCGAAAGCTCTACGATGCGTTAGAGGGTGTGCAAACCGAGCTTGGTTCCAGTCAACCTCAGCAGGTTATCCAGTACGTGGAGGCTTTGCGATCGAAAATGTCTGGTCCTACCCTTGAAACTGTGCTCGACGGTATGCCGCCAGTGACCGTCTCTGTCCGAACTACCGTGAAGGATGCGGCAGCTTTGATGAAAGAGCACCACACCACTGCCCTGCTCGTCCAGGACCAGGGTTCAATCACTGGAATCTTCACTAGCAAAGACATTGTTCTTCGTGTCATTGCCCCAGGTCTCGACCCAGCCACTTGCAGTGTGGTTCGCGTAATGACCCCCCACCCTGATTTTGCTCCCTCCGACATGAGCATCCAGGCTGCGCTTCGTAAGATGCATGGTGAGTCTTTACAATCGGCATTATCAATGTGTTTTTTATGTACTAATTATCTATTTAATATTGTGTTTTAGATGGTCATTATCTCAATCTGCCCGTTATGAATGAAGGTGGAGAAATTGTTGGCATGGTAGATGTCTTGAAGCTCACATATGCCACTCTGGAACAAATCAACACAATGTCGACTCAGGATGATGAAGGTCCCGCATGGAACAAGTTCTGGCTTTCGATGGACCATGAGTCGGACTCTATGGTTTCCGGCAGCGCAAGCCACCAGCCCCATACCCCACACCGCTCTGTTATGAGCCCCGACCTGGCTCGGTCGGGCTATGATAACAGTGTCCTTCCTAATGAATCAGCATCACACAATGGCGAGGAGCACTCGGAAGTAGCGTCACAACAACACCATCATCACCAGCCTGCTGAAGATGCTCCATTCCCGTTCAAATTTAAGGCCCCCAGTGGTCGTGTGCACCGTGTCAATGTGCTGACAAGTGCTGGTGTGGAAGACCTTGTTAAGCAGGTTACTGCTAAGCTTGGTGGCGAGCTGGAAGCTGTTGGTGGTGAAGCAGTAGTGGAAGAGGGCCGCCTTAGCAACACTGGCTATGCTCTCAGCTACATGGACAACGAGGGGATACCGTTTCGATTACCACTGATCAAGACATGCTGGATGCCATCAGTCTCTCCCGTCAGATACGTCGTGACAAGGTTGATCTCTTTGTTCATGATCCGGCTCAACCACCCATCCCGGCCACCGTTGAGCCCCAGCCAGTAACAGCTCCCACACCGATCATTGAAGAGCATAGCAGTGTTGCGGATGAGACTGCTACAGAGGAACCCGTGGCCAAGCCTCGGGCCCAGCAATTCTCTTCACACGGCCATGGTCCTGAAGACCAACTTATTGCCGGTGTTCCTAACGATCTGCTCTTACCCGGTGCAATTGTCACCTTGGCTGCAGTCATTGCGGGTGTGTTTATTCTGAGCCGACCCAGCGGCCGCTAAAAGCTTTCTTCCGGGGGGACGAAGGTATCTGGCTACTCACGTCACTAAACATGCCTTTGTTCTCCTGGTTCTCTCTTGTCGTTTTTCTTTTTAGATGTCTCATTTCTCTCGTTTTCCTTCAGCCTTGTTTCAATCATCCTCCAACACTGCTGGCCCAATCTTCCCAACACATCTTGGCTCTTGTGAATTTTTTTTGAGAGTGCATACCCACTTTTCTAATATCAATATTTTCCCCCTTGTCGCATGTTTAGATACCGCTATTCCAACAATTATCCGTTGCGACTATTATTTTAGCTTCAATGCAAATACTTCTTTGTGTCAAGTGTATCAAAGAACCTTAGAAAGTCATATATAGAATCGAACCCAATTTCCTGGAACAAGTAGAACGTTTGCCCCTACGTACCTCCCTAGAACACCTTAAACTGCCCTGAGATTTTCTCTTTCTTACTCTTTACATATTACTCCCTACCATTTTCTTATTTTTCATCTTTTGACTCTGATCTTCCTCTGTCAAGACTCAGTTGATTCCACGTATCCATTGAGCATTGAAGGTGCCGATCCCCGGGAACGCTATCGCATATCAGTTCCCCTAATCATCAATCTTTTTTTCCCTTTCTCCCCGCCCCACCAAAAACAAAACTCCTCCTCTTCTCTTCTACAACCCCTCCTTTCTATACCTCCCCACCTTTTAACTTCCCGTTACCAGGGCTCCGACGAACTGGGTTGTTTCTGTCTGCTGGATCTTGGGGACCGACAACACTATGTCCCTGCTTCCTCCCGAGGTCCACAGTGCGCTGTCCCAGCTGCTGCGCGCCTTGAGCACTCCCGACAACGCCGTCCGCTCGCAGGCTGAAGAGCAACTGAACAATGATTGGGTCCAGAACAGACCTGATGTCCTGTTGATGGGACTTGCTGAGCAGATTGGTGGTGCTGAAGAGACAATAGTGAGTGCCCACCCACCTTCCCGTTTTCCTCCCTTGAAAGAATGTGATTCCTCCAGTAAGGGAATGGACGTAATCCGTGACGCAAGAGAACACCAAAGATTCCTTTACAGAAACAGGACTATCGATTTACAAAAAAAAACAACCAAGAAAAAAAAACTCGACATTTATTCTGTACCAGACGCTAATCATGGGATGATACCAAACAGACTCGTGCTTTCTCCGCTGTGCTCTTCCGCAGAATTGCAACCAAAACTCGCAAGGACCCCGTTTCTGGCGACGTCAAGGAGGTCTTCCTCAGCCTGCCAAACGAACAACGTGTGGCCATCCGGGAAAAGCTAGTTACCTGCCTCACAACCGAATCTGTCACCGATGTGCGCAAAAAGGTTGGCGATGCCGTGGCTGAGGTGGCGCGTCAATACACTGATAATGGTATGGGTTGTCATTTCCGATTCTCAATCTCGATATTTAGCAATCATTCTGACCGTTGCTTTTTTATGTGGCGTTATAGGCGACAATTGGCCCGAACTACTCGGTGTTCTCTTCCAAGCCAGCCAGTCTCCCGACTCCGGTCTGCGAGAGACTGCTTTCCGAATCTTCACAACCACCCCCGGTATCATTGAGAAGCAGCACCAGGATGCTGTGCTGGGCGTCTTCACTAAGGGATTCGAAGATGACATCATCTCTGTAAGTTATTGATGGGGCAACAGATCTAGATATCTGGGTATTCAGATATTGCAGCTCAAGGCCTGCCTTACTAACGAGTCCTTCTTTCTAGGTGAGAATCGCCACTATGGAAGCTTTCGCCGCCATGTTCCGCTCTATTCCCAAGAAATCCCAGTCTAGATTCTTCTCGCTCGTGCCATATTTGCTTAACATCCTACCTCCTCTCAAAGAGTCCAGCGAGAGTGAGGAGCTATCTTCTGCATTCCTTGCTCTGATTGAGTTGGCCGAACTTAGCCCGAAGATGTTCAAGACTTCATTCGGTGACCTGGTTAAGTTCAGTATCAGTGTTGTTGCTGACAAGGAGCTCAGTGATCAAGTGCGCCAAAACGCTCTGGAGTTGATGGCCACATTTGCCGACTATGCGCCCAACATGTGCAAGAAGGAAACCAATTTCTCACAGGACATGGTTACTCAATGTCTGAGTCTCATGACTGATGTTGGTGCTGATGACGATGATGCTGAGGAGTGGAATGCTTCTGAAGATGTACGTTTCTATCTCCGTTCCTTTCTCTGTTGTTTTTTGCCTGCGGTTTTTTGAAACGCCGGCAGTTTCCCTGCCCGTTTGCTAAATTTCTTTTAGCTTGAACCCGAGGAGAGTGATCTCAACCACATTGCCGGTGAGCAATGTATGGATCGTCTGGCCAACAAGCTAGGTGGCCAGGCCATCCTCCAACCTGCCTTCTCATGGATTCCTCGCATGATGTCGTCCACCGCCTGGCGTGATCGCCACGCTGCCCTCATGGCCATCTCTGCCATCTCTGAGGGATGTCGGGATCTTATGGTTGGTGAGCTGGATCAGGTCCTTGCTCTGGTTGTGCCAGCCCTGAGCGACCCCCACCCTCGTGTTCGCTATGCAGGCTGCAATGCCCTCGGTCAGATGAGTACCGATTTTGCCGGAACCATGCAGGAGAAATACCACGCCATTGTACTGAACAACATCATTCCCGTACTAAGCTCTCCCGAGCCTCGTGTTCAGTCTCACGCTGCTGCTGCTCTGGTTAACTTCTGTGAGGAGGCCGAACGCAGTATTTTGGAGCCTTATCTCGGAGATCTTCTCAGCCGCCTTCTGGATCTTTTGCGTAGCGAGAAGCGCTACTTGCAGGAGCAGGCTCTTTCTACTATCGCCACCATTGCTGACTCCGCCGAGACCGCTTTTGGTCAGTACTACGAGAACCTCATGCCGCTTCTTCTCAGCGTCCTCAAGCAGGAGCAAGGCAAGGAATACCGCCTGCTTCGCGCCAAGGCCATGGAGTGTGCCACTCTTATTGCTCTAGCCGTTGGCAAGGAGAAGATGGGTCAAGATGCTCTGAATCTCGTTCAAATCTTGGGCAACATTCAACAGAATATTGTCGATGCTGACGACCCTCAGTCACAGTACCTGCTTCACTGCTGGGGACGTATGTGCCGTGTGCTCAACCGTGATTTTGTGCCATATCTCCCAGGTGTTATGCCACCTCTGCTGGCCGTTGCTGCCGCTAAGGCTGATATTCAGCTTCTGGATGATGAAGAGCAAATCGAGCAGGTTGAACAAGACGAGAGCTGGGAGCTGGTACCCCTCAAGGGTAAGGTCATCGGTATCAAGACTAGTGCTCTCGAGGACAAGAACACTGCCATCGAATTGATTACTATTTATGCCCAGATCCTAGAAGAGGCCTTTGAGCCATATGTCTTGGAAACTATGGAGAAGATTGCCGTTCCCGGTCTTGCATTCTTCTTCCATGACCCCGTTCGTGTATCGGCTGCTAAGCTGATCCCTCAGCTGCTAAACTCCTACAAAAAGGCACATGGCCAACAGTCTGCTGGCTTTGGCGAGATGTGGAACAAGGTTGCTGAGAAAATCATTGAGGTTCTGAGCGCCGAGCCCACTGTTGATACCCTCGCTGAGATGTACCAATGCTTCTACGAGTCTGTTGAGGTCGTTGGCCGCAACAGCCTGACCCCTCAACACATGCAAGCATTCATTGACTCTGCCAAGTCTACTCTGGAGGACTACCAGATGCGTGTTAAGCAGCGACTAGAGGAGCAGGCTGAGCTGGAAGAGGGAGATGAGGAGAACTTGGATTACGAGTACGCCGTCGAGGATGACCAGAACCTACTCAGTGACATGAACAAGGCTTTCCACACCATCTTCAAGAACCAAGGCACTACCTTCCTGCCTGCTTGGCAACAATTGATCCAGTTTTACGACAACTTCATCACCAGCCAAGACCCCACACAACGCCAATGGGCTCTTTGCATCATGGATGATGTGCTAGAGTTCTGCGGCGAAGAGTCTGCGGCTTATAAAGATCACATCATGCAGCCTCTCGTTGCTGGCCTGCAAGATGACAATGCCGCTAACCGTCAGGCTGCCGCTTACGGTGTTGGCGTGGCCGCTCAGAAGGGTGGTGTCGCCTGGAGCGATTTCGTTGCTCTCAGCATTCCCAGCCTTTTCCAGGTGACTCAACACCCTCATAACCGCACGGAAGAGCATGTATTTGCTACCGAGAACGCCTCGGCCAGTATTGCCAAGGTCCTGCACTACAACTCTTCCAAGGTGCAGAATGCCCAGGATGTTGTAGCCAACTGGATCGAGACCCTTCCCATCACTTTTGATGAAGAGGCAGCTCCTTATGCCTACTCCTTTATCGCACAGTTGATTGACCAGTATGTTCTTCCCTTTACCATCAATCCCAGTCTCCCACTTTACTATTTTCCCCTCCCGCGAGATTATCCGAAGCTAACTTTCCACTTTCCCCAGACAAAACCCTGCCGTCTTTGGCAAGGCAGATCGTGTATTCGGATTCATTGTACAGGCCCTCGAGGCTGCGACACTTCAAGGCCAAACTGCCTCCCGTGTCGCCCAGTCTGCTAAGACATTGGTGGCAGCCACAGGACTGAACGCCGAGTCTATTCTCGCGGGTGTCAGCCCAGAGAACCAGGAGCGTGTACGCAAGCTTTTCGCGTAAATATCGTGTCTATGACGCTCGTGTGCTTCGTTTACCCGGCTTCCTTTTGTTATCATTCCCCTGGTCATGTGAATCCGATGCTAGTGAACTGAAATGTTTCGTTTAATGCAATTTCCTTCTCATTTTCCCCCATTCCCTCTCCTCGCTTCCCGTATTCTGGTTGAATGAACAGAATCTAAACAGATACCATAAATTCAATAAATCATGGCTATGTATCCATTTATAGGCTGCAACGATATCAGACAAAAAGTATCAATTCCAATTATTAGCAGACTAGATCAATATCCTAAGTACGAAAAAGACACGATTCTATGCGTGTCAACAGTTCCGATTCACAAAGTATTTAGATATCCATGAGCTAACAGCTGTACACTCCCAGCATGCTAGCACATACACCCGTAGTCAAACCCCAAAATCTACACATGGATCTTATAAAACCCCAAGAGAAACGATCATATACTCCTTTGATAGTATCATTCTCATAAATACCTCCTTCAACAACAAAAACTCCCACCCAAATCCCATGGACAAGCAACCATCATAGTCCCCCCTACTTACAAAGAAGAAACTCTCTTAAGTTCATTCGCAACAACCTCCTCCAACCCCATAACGACCGGCTCCCCAATAACCCCATTCCCCCGCTCCTCATAAAGTGTACCCCCCTCAGTCCAAATCCTCCGCAACGTAACCCCAGTCGCAGCCGGAAGACCCTTCTCCCAAGCCTCATTCTCCAAAGAACGCAATCGCTCCAACGGTGTATAAGAAACTGATTTCCAAGTCGTACCTGTCTGGCGCTCGAACTCAGCTTGAATCTTAGCTGGTGTGGTGGTGAATGAGTTCACGCAGAGAGGACGGTTAAGTGTTGCCGGTGATGTAGATTGGATTGCGGCGAGGACGAGGGTTCCGACACTTTGCAATTGTGTATGTTAGTCATTACTGTTCAATGCTAGTGTCTTTATTAAAGATCTGATAGATCCACATGTATGATGTACTTACTCTTTCATAGTTGTTAGAGAAACTTTATCTTCGCCCTTCTCACCGAGTAAAGTTGCTTTCTGAGCCTTTACATTCCAGCCTCCCGCTTCTTCTAATCCGGGGACGAAATTGAGATACATCTCTGCGAATGGACCCGTAACAATGTATGAGTAGTTTAGTTGTTCACGGGGGATTGATTCAATGAGAGCGCGAACTTTAAGTTTAAGTTGGTGCGGCTTTTCATTTGCTGATTTGGGGCTGTAGGCAATGTCTGTGCCGTATTCTGAGGGGAGGAAAAGGTTGACATCTTTGCTTGCTGCTGCGAGATTGATGAGGGGGATTTGTTGGGCTAGAGCTGTGCGGCCAAGAGCTGAGATTACGGTGTCGATTCCTGTATTTGGTTTAAATAAATTAGCTTGTTTGAATATCTTCCAGTGGTATTGGATTGTAGATGTTGCTCATTTCCATTCCAATTCTAAGTCTTTTTCTGTCTGGATTCATGATGATATCATATTCCATATGGAGAGATTGAATAATTGAACGAAGTATGAACATGTATACATACCGACATATGCAGCCTTAATAGCCTCCTCATCCTCAATATCACCTACTATAATCTCCACATTCTGCGCCTTTAGCTTCTCAAGAGCTGAAGCCTTGGTCTCGGCAGTATGCGGTGATGTAAAGATAGCAACACGGTCGAACTGCGAGCGCGCGGAGATAATAGCGTCGAGAATGTACGAGCCAATGGTGCCCATTGCGCCGAAGAGAAGTAGGTTTCTGGGAGACATGGTGTAGATTTGTTTCTTTTTTTCCAATTGACTTCGGTCTTTGGAATGGGGTAGTTTAAGATTATGGGCGAATGCAAGGATAGCCCCAAGTTCTTTATTATTATATGGTGCGGGGTGCGGGGCCTGCTTATCAATCCCGAGGTCTTGTTATGAGTTTATCCGGATGGATTCATGACGAATTCAATGCGGAGTTCAGGTTCTCATTAGCAATTGATATTGCTGATCATTTTGTAGGCGGTATAAATAGTTGAAGCATGTAGAATGGGTATGCTTATATAGCGTGCTGTAGAAGTGTGTCAATCTATCTGAGAAGATGTGCTATATAAGACATCATTGAGAAGGATTTTGAAGTCCGCTGCCAGTAGCCTGAAGAGGGCGTGTACGTTTAAATTAAATGGTGAATACGGCTCAATGTGTCTATGATCTCTCATCTACATCCGTAACTGTACAATACGATATGCAGTAAATCAAGATGAAAAAAAGCCACCCATCTGGGCAGTTTGGTATTGGTATCGGCCAGTCAGATGAAATCCGAGTATTAACAATGAGCAAAGCGGCTCTCCATGCAACCTTGGAAAAGATATATACTCCAACCCATCTGCAATATATCCCTTCGGAATCAATGGCCATAAATCATCTCTCAAATCCTTCGAGTCGAGTCGATCTAGGACGAGGCACCGACAGCCTTGAGCAACTGGGGGAGCTGGCTCTTCTTAGCCTGCAGGTCGGAGTTTCCACCAATGTGCTGCTGTCCAATGAAGATGTTGGGGACAGTGCGCTGGCCAGAGATTTCTTGGAGGGCAGCCTGGATGGCGTCGCCGTCATCTATTGAGATCATGTTAGTTATGTTCCAGCGCATGGAGTAGTCATAGTCATAGCAGAGATGATATGGAGCTTGTATTCGGCATAATGCAAAGCGCATACAAGTGTAAAGGGTAAGCGTAAAGGTGAGATGACGACAAAGTGGGGCAGAATGAGTGATTGATAAAGAATAGAACAGAAAGGTAACTTGGGATTCTCGAGGGAAATCGAGTCGAGTCATGTCCATCGAACTGAACTTGAATAACGAGAGCAGAAAAGAGTAAAGTAAAACATACCAATCTGGTCAAGTTCAATAGCCTTGTACTGAGCGCCGACCTGCTTCAACAGCTCTTTGCTAGAGTTGCAGTAAGGGCAGTAGGACTTGGAGAAAACCATGACAGCATTCTGGTCGATGAGGTTCTGAGCTTGGGCCTTAGCGGAAGACATGGCGGCGGGTGTGGGACCGGCGAAGGAGCCGAAGAGGCGCTTGAAGATGAACGAAATGGTGGGCGGGGGATGAGGAAAGCAAATGAAACCGGTGGTCTCTTTTGCCTTTTGTAGGTGAGTGAAGTGAGGAATGGTCGCGGGTTGTGATTGGGGCGCGGGGATAAGAACATGCATTTCCCGTGGAATTAGTCAGTCGGTGACTGAACGATGATGTCAGGTGATAACCTTGTCCTCGGTATCGGGGCCTCAGGTGTCTACGTATACAGTATACTTTTTTGTACAATCCATCAGGAATTCGGACTTCTACTTTAAGATTGATGAGTGAACGCATGTCATGATATTTCTATTGTTAGAGTTAAAAAATTATACGCTACGGGCAAAAGGTCGGTGATTTCTTGATGTCTTCGAATCTTTACCTAGGCTAGGCTATAAGATAAGATACCATGTACTAAATGTCCACGGGCAGAATAAGAGGAAAAGAGAAAGGAGAAAAAAATGTCAGAAACGCTTGGAACGGCTTGGGAATATTGCAAAAGGTCACAGCAATGGGATATAACAGAAAGAAACCAGATGGAGTGAGCCCAGTGAAAAGGATGACAATAATTGGCGAAAAACAACATCCAACAGAGAAGAAAAAATCATATGAATCAGGCAAATATACATAGGCTGCACTAAAATAATCGATAGGCGTATCCTCTGGTAAAACGACCCAGATGGAATCCGCATTTTTGGGAGTGAAGTCTCGCTGCATGTGGGCAGGGGTAAAGAAGAAAGAAAAGAAAAGAAAAGAGAAGGAATGGATGCATAAGGGCAATGCCATGCTCCGATAATAAAAGTCCGAATTAAAAAGAAATTCCGGATAGATTGCGAGCAAGTCTGCGATTCGGCCAAAACAATAATAACCCCAGTAAACACCATCGGGCCATAGTAAGGAGAAATGATTCAGAGCACGAAAATGGAAATGAAAATGAAATAGCGAGGTCAAGGTGGTGTGCATATGTGTGCAAGTAATCAAAGGTATCTCAAATGTGAATGTGGATAGAGCGGGATCAAAGTCGGTAAGAAATAAGATGAAAGACAGGAAGGAGGGTGGTATTGGATTCAATACCATCACATCACATCACGACACAGCATCCACAGCCCTTCTCCTTCTTCGGTTTCTCTTGAGCAGAGACCACGGGAGGTGTCCAATTTGGGTTTGGTGTCAGGCCCAATGGGGGGGTGTCTTGCACTTTGGGCATTGTACTATACCCAGTGCTTGTGTTGGGCCGCGGGGGTTCCGGAGTCCTGGCCTTGGGCGGCTCTTCGATCTGTAATCCTTCAAAGCGCTCTTCGCGTTTCTCTGCCTCCTCTGCCTTGGGTGGTACCGGAGGGATATCATTGGGGTAAACAGCCAGTGGAGCAAAATCGCGATCATAAGTGTTAGGAGTTCGTCCTTCTTTCTCCCATTGTTGCTGTTGCATCTTCTTGGCGAGAGTAGGAAGCATTTGTTGATCGGGCGGAAGTCGGGGGTCGGGCTTATACATAGTTGCCAGCCATGGCGGATCTCCCTCTGGTCGATTGATTGCAGTTGGAGGCCGGCTCTCTCCCGACCGAGTGGTAGGTCGTTGTGTCGCGTTGCCTGACACTGCTCTTGATCTTGCGGTGGAAGTTTTTCGGTTTGCTGGGGGTGCAGAGGTTTTCCGATTGCTCGAGCCCGTAGCTTTGGTCGGGTTCTTTTTGGCCGGGGTGTTCTGGGTGGTATTGAAGCCACGACTGCCAGGTCGGCTGCCTGGAGAAGGAGTAGATGGTTCCATCTCAGTTGCGAGAGGCTCGCTAGCTCTGCGCCCGCGACTTTCTTCGTCTTCGTCAGTTGCCGCACGGCTGCGAGGTCCCTGAGAATCTCGACCATAGAAAGCAGGCACAGGACTGGCTGTAGAAATTGGGATTCGAGACGAGCTCTTGCGAAGACTCGGATTACCATAAAAGCTAGCAGCCGCTTCGTCCGCAGCAATCTCTTCAGGTCGACGAAGATCCCAATTCCTCCGTTCGTCATCTTCAGATCCCCGTCGTTCATTTTGAGTTCCCTCTTGCAATTGTGGCCACGGTTCGGAATGTTCTGCACTCGGTGATGTTACAGATGCCGAAGCACTTTGATGGGAGTCATGGCTCCTTTCACGGCCCGCGCTTGACTTGCTCTCCCCTCTCATCCGTCGCTGAAAGATTATGGCCGCCTGGTGTAGCTCCTCGCTCTCGATTTTTGCCAACTTGTCGCGATGAATCCAATTTTCGGCGTTCATTTCGAACGGGCCGGGGGGTCCAGGGGGTCCAGGGGGTCCAGGTGGTCCGGTTTGGTCATCCGTAGAGGCTTGAGCGGGTACTTCAGGGTCGGAGGCATCGCGTTGGATATTAATATCGTTTCCATGGCGATTCAAGCTTTGTTCTCGTCGACCTCGACTGGATGATAGGTAAGGGGATTCGTGTGCGTGGACATTGCGGGAGACGGAGGAACTTCGCGAGCCGTCCGAATTGCGTTTGCGGGTAGATCTTGCACGAGGGCCCGATTCGTGGGAGTTTCGTGGTCGCGAGGAATGTTGAGCGCCCTATCGGAGAGGAAGAGAAAAGCAAAAAATTAACGATCGGCACCAAAAAATGAAGTCGTCTACTTCAAATAGTTTAGATGCACCTACCCCCTCGTAGTCAATCTTGACGGGAAGGGGATATGAGACCAAAACATAAGAAGAAAAGAAAAAAACTACACCCAAGACCAAAACTCACATCATTACCAATTGGGACAGCGAAATCCCATTGCGATGAACTCTCTGGGGCTGCTCCAGATGTCAACGCATCTGAGGAATAAGCGGTAGCCACGCCCGCCATTCCAATCAGTTTTTTGCGGAAGCGAACGTATAGAAGATGAGAAAGAGAGAGGCCAGACCAGCTGGAACCTGTTTCTTAATCAAGAAAAAAAAGCAAACGAGGAGATAAAGTCCCTGTTCGCTTTTTTGAAGGTGGTCCTGTGTTTCAATCAAGCCATCCCAGTCGGTATCCGACACCCGTCACACAAGCTAAAGATTTTGAAGCGAAATGGAGAATTCTGGGAGGAGAAGAAAGCGGGTTGCGGGTTTCTCTTAGGTGCCCAGGTGGTAAGGGGGGAAAGGTCCCGCACGCCGCAGTGGGGAGCCAAAAGAAGTAAATTGTAAATACGCCAGGGGGTGGAGTTCCCAAGTTGGTCTCGCCGCTGAGAGTTCAAATGTGTGTGGCTTACAACCTGTTCGTGAGTGGATTCAGGTTCTTGCGCGAGCCACGGATCAAATCTGGGACGGCGCGAACTGGTTCCGTGGGAAGACAGCCGTAGGAAGTTCCTGAAGGATGGAGAAACCCGATTATATTATTAAGATTCAAGGTTGGAGAAATGTGACCCTGAGGAGTAAAAGAGCGAAGACCTGACAATCAAGCAGGAGTTTGTGTGCCGGTCAAGAAACCCACGAGGGGAAAGAGGAGGGGGTTGGGGGAAGCTGGAAGATCGTGCAGTTCCCGTTCCCAAAGTTCGTCTCCAGTTGGGAAGGTAAGTGAGATCGTGGGTTCAAGTTGTGAGTTGGAAAATAAAAAGTGGATAACGCGTAGAAAGAAAAAGAGAGACCGACACGAAGATCTCAGGGACCTGAAGAACTTGAAGAAACCAACAATCTCAAGGGGAAAAGAAGGAGAAAACGGTTTGAACCAACTCGGAACTAAAAAGTCACTCGATCCCTAACTGGGATTAGCACGGCCTAGAACTGGGTATAGAACGCTTCGATGTCATCAGGTTAAGTTAGTGAGTATGTGTATTCAGATTCATTGACGGCTATATGGACCGAGGTATGGAGTATTTGGAAACAAAACTCTAGACTCTATGGAATGTATTGAATCTATAGAATATAAAAATATCGATTTCTACTATTGAATCCCCAGGATCAAGCCATGCAAGCCTCATCGGATCCTCAATACAGTCGAATCATCCAGTTTTTGTCCCAATCTTTACCTGGACCGTGCAGGTCTTTAGCCCCTGAACCATACGCTGATCACTCTCCCGCTACTATGAACTATTAGTTCTTTGTTCGAAATTGCTTCATCCTATCTATTCTCAAGGTTTTTATTTTATTTTATTTTTATTATTTTGACCCTCTTCTATACTCGCACTCGCACTTGGTCCTCTTACCCCACCTTCAATTCTATTATACCAGATACATCTACTTCTTACCCGTCTGACATATTGCTTCCGCGAGGGCCTGAGCGGTTGACTGCTCTAAACGCCGATCTCCCCCATACTGTTGATGTATGCAAAGGCCAATTTGACAAGTTGACAGATCCATTTATCATATTTCCCCAGGGTGACAGTCCCAGTGCCATGGGTATATCAATAGTCTATGTAAGAGTAAAAAGAACCAAAGCAGGGGCAAAAAACAGGAAATGCGTCCCCAAAACGTAATAAAGTCTTTCTCTCCGGGTTTATTGGTGGTATATATGCATTCATGAATCTCGAAGAAAATTGCAAATCGAACCAAAAGACAGATCGAATCCCAACGTAATAAGATAGATGAGATCTCAAGGACTTTATTCCTTGTTTACCTGATCGAGCCGGTTCAGATTGGCCTGTGCTTCTCTAATCAACGCCTTGCGGGCATTGCGTACATCATCATTGCCGTCGGGCTCAATCCCGTCTGCCTTTAACATGATTTGAGCTAAAACAGTCTCGCTCAACTTCCGATATTCGAACTCTCGCTTCTTACCCTCTGCGGGTGGGTCGGACACGTATTCATCACACATTGGGATCAGCACTTGTTGGAGGTATCCCTGCAATGCTGCGATCTGCTCCATTTTACCGGGCAGAAGCTTAAGGTTGGGTGGCAGAGGAGGATGGGAGGAAGATCCACTTGGTGCTGGCTGGATTGGCTCCAGAGAGGCCTTCTTCTTGCCCTTGCTCTTCTTCTTGTTCTTCTTCTTTTTGCCTTTGTCGCTAGAAGAGCCAATACCTTCTCCATCATCTCCGTCCAATCGTGACGATGAAGATCCGGGACGGCGGGGGTCACTTGAATCAGAAACCTCGCTCGGAGTACTAGCACCAACCTCAGAGACTACACACAGAACCTCGGAGTGCTGCTTAAGTCCCTCCGCCTTGCATGATCGGTGATCATCCTTGAGAAGGTTTCCCTTATACAACAATCGGACTTGGTTGGGGTTGGTAGCTCCGGTCTGTCTTGCTGCCTCCTCGCGAAGAGCGCCCACGGTCAACAAGCCGTCATCGATCGCATACGCGCGGAAACGAAGGGGGTAGAAGGTGCCACGGTGGCGGAGGGAAATCGTATCTGGCTCGTTTTCATCCACGTTTTCTTCATACCGATACTGATTGTTCGGACGAGAACTGCTGTTCGCCGGAGGATCAACTATGTAATCAGGTGTTATGTAGCTGAAATCATTCCCCTCGGTGACCTGTGGGGTAGACCGACGCCATAGGTTAAGGGGGTTACCCCAACTCATAGTGGCTATTGTAAGCACACAGACAAGCAGAGCCGCACAAATAGCGGTAGTTTGCTCGTCGGCGTCGAATGGTAGCGCCTGCGCGACCGAGCGGAAGTGTGTGGCCGAATAAGTCAGCCACGGGTCCAATCGAGGTCGGAGGGTGTGGAGAAACTCGGGGATGTTGTCGGTGACGTGGTCTAGGTAGAGCGCGGCCTTCTCGCCCAATGTGGACTGAGCGAGTGGCGATGGCAGGAGAGTCATGGATCTCTTAAAAAAAACAAGTCTGACTGGAAGGTGGTGTTATGTGAAGTCATGCTCCTGAATTAAGACCGTAGGAGGCTGATAAAGGCGGAGAGCCAAGTTTTTTTTTTTGCCATTGCGTGGGGTCCCCCTACTTTACCATGGAAGCCTAGGAGAATGTTCGCCTCCAGGGCTCCCTCAAGGCATACTTTCGCGGTTATCTGTGATTGAGTCCATAGGTCTTTTCCTTGTTGGTGAGTACCCTGGTGTTGGGAAATATCGTTTTTATGTTATACCTTAAGCCCTTCAAGTAAGTGCACCGCCACATTTGGAAGTATATCGTATATATAGAAACCAAAGACTATGCCCAAATGCATGCTAACATATAGGTCTCTTCATGCTCACCACCATGTACATTGAGACTCTGGAGCGAAAGCTCAGTGTCCACAATAAATTATGGCCTAGTATTCTTGATAAGTACACAAAGCACCTATACAAAGAACACATTTTATAAAGAGGTTGAACATGGCTCAAACAAGACCATTTCCAATTTTTACCTCCATGATCTGTAGCATTAAGATTGCAATTTTTGGCAACTCCAACATACAAAGCTTTCATGGTCTAGTTGGTTATGACGTCGGTCTCATAGAGATCATCATATGAAGTTCCTGTTAACAGGATCTGCTATCCGAAGGTCGCCAGTTCGAACCTGGCTGAGAGCACTTTTTTGGCATTTTTATTTATATTTTTTTAGAATATCTGTTTTATAGGTAAATTCTGTTCGTCCTTCAATCCCAAGTGTCTTTTCCATTCATGCCGCACAGTTGTCTTTTGGGTGATATACGGTCGATTTCTCTAGCCCTCATCAAAACTTACCTACTCGTTCGGCCGACATGACAGCTATCCCGAAAGACTTCAAGGATTATGACGCTCACCCAGACAACGCAGCTACCCTTGCGCCTGCAGGACTACAGAGAGGATTGTTGACAATTACAGAGCACAACGACGACCTCAAAGGCTCTCTTACCAAGAGCGACTGGTTTACGGCCTCGACCTTCAAGGGCAAACCACAAGGGAACGAGACCGGTCAAGACAACTCCGGCGAATGATCCTCACCGAAGGGAAGGGAAGGGAAAGGAAAGAACATGTGCGTATTTGCATTTCAATGGACGAGTAAACAGTAAAAGATCCTCGATCAAATCAAATCTCTTATTGCTAAGGTGCAAACTACAGTAGAGACCCCGCTATCATATCATTTGGCTTGCGACACGTCAAACAAGGGTATGGGAGGAGTTCTGTTTCAGATCTTCAACCAGCTTGTAGGGACCGTGAGCTCCCGAGCGACTTTCACGGATGAGCACGTTGTGATGTACATGTCGTTCGCACTGAAGATTGCTGAAACGCGTTACCACACCTTAGAGAAGGAGGCCTTCCCTGCCCTGATATGCTTGAGCGAAGTACAATGGCTAGTCTTAGGCTCCCAACACCCGGTCAAGTTATACACCTTCCACATTGCTCTCAAAAGGTTGCTGGGAGAGAATTATACGGCGAACAGTCGCATCGCGGGATGGCATTACAGGTTGTAAGAATTCAACCTCGACATACAGCATCATTCCGGCCGCAATCTATACTTAGCTTGAACACACTACTGGCACTGTCAGATAACGAAGCCTGCCAAGTCTCATGGTAACTCGATGCTTTTTAAACTTCCTGCGTAGCAACAAGACTACTGCTGTCTCTTTACTTTCTTCAAAATATCCTCTGCCGAATTTATATCCATGGCACTGTGGATCTGACCATTCCAAGATTATGCAATTCAGAACTCGCACGTGCATGAGGTCCTCCACGATTTTTTTACCTCTTGAGATTGCTTTCTTTGTCTCTCCATCTTACCCTCGCTTCTATATTGTCCTTCGAGTGTCACTAAGTTCTTGATCTCACCTCGGTATCTTATTCTAAGGTTGCTTGCTACGGCTCATCACAGATGCCCGCATCCTTTCGCTATGTCACCTCAACTAGACGATTGAGTATTGACAGTTAATCTTACGGCCTTTTTTGCTTTGTTTTCTCCGCTGCCAGATATTTCAACACTGTGTCCCTACATAACAAGGTCCCTACATAACAAGCTAACTTTGAAACCTAGTTGGTTTTCCCTTTCACGAACCAGTCGCCATCAACCCGGACTTGTGTCTGTCATCACTGACTGATATTTGGAACCTCAATTTTTGGGTGCTTCATCTTCAATCGATCATTGTAAGAGCCTAACGATAATATGTTCAACATACAATATACAAAATTGTGGATTCTCGGTCAGATCCATGTAGTTCTGTGGCAGACAGTATAGATCCCGTCCGATGTAGATTAATCAATATAGTATCAAAGCTTCCAGCCGAGACCATAACGAGCAAAGCAAGTTATCCTTTCCAACAGGATAAAAATATAGATTATGCGGGTGTTGTCTATATGGTATGGTACCAAAAAATACAAAAAAGATGCTCTCAGCCAGGTTCGAACTGGCGACCTTCGGATAGCAGATCCTGTTAACAGGAACTTCATAATGATCTCTATGAGACCGACGTCATAACCAACTAGACCATGAAAGCTTTGATGAAGTCAGCCGATTTATTTTGCCATTATGAAGGAAAGAATAGGCCCGGCTTGCTCCTGCCAACCCAAGTGTATACTCCATAGTCATATTTCATTGACATTTCCCTAATTGCCAATTACAGTCCGTAATTCCTTCGTTCTAGCTTGCAATTAATTCAAAGGCTTTGGGCTCTGTGGAAAATAAGATTCGGTTGTCATAAACTTAACAGGTTCTTCTCTTTTCTGGCCTAGTGGCATTGGCAGAGATCTTCATCCTTAGAGCAGAGGAAGTCCCTCTTGGAACATGCAATTGGATAGGAACCCGGCAATGCTACCATCTGTTACAGGCAAAGTTGACTAGTTGGGGGGAAGCATAAGAATCTATTATCTGTCGCCTCGCGGCGAGGACTAGTCTGGCCTATCTAGCGATCAGGGTCGCGACGGTAACAGGTGCCTCCTTGTTACCGACCTTCTGGAAAGACTGCACTTTTCAAAGGGGAAAGCTAACTTGATTCCTTCCCGAAGGCGAGGCCTCCAGCACTGACTAAACTAACTGGCTATTCTGCCGCCGGCGGTACCAAATGCCCGGCGCAGGAGAAAGACGCTGTGCTCAGCGTAAATAGAAGGAAGTCGTATCGTTAACGCAGTCAAAGGCAAGGAAGTAAGGATGTCAAGCTGAAAAATGTTGCCGCAGTCGGTCCAGCTAAGCAGGGAAAGTCAGAAGTTCTCCTCTCCTTTGTCGCCTTCGTCGTCCTTCTTGGAAGCATTCTGAAGCAGAATATCGTCTAGAGTAAATTTCAACTCGCCTAACCATGCGATTAAGTCGTTGTCCTGAGAAACTGAAGAGTAGAAAAGAATCCGCGTGACCGCGTCAAAATCGGAAATAAGCAGAGAAACCGGAAGTAAAGACTAGCAAATAGGCGCGAGGAATCATAGAAACGCGTGAAAATCAGAAATAGAAACCGGGGGTGACTATCAAAAGGTGGGAGAACCCCGCGTCGTGGGATGCAATTGGAGGGCCATGCCGAGCTCCAAGGTGTCCAGGGTTCTCAGGCGGACCACGTTAAAGACGTGCTCTCGAGCAGACTTCCCAATATGAACTTGCTGCCATCCGAACGAAGCGTGGTCAAGTTCATTAAGGGAGTCGGCTCGGTCAAGCTTATACTTATTATTAAGGAACCGAAACCAGCCCATCCCTCAGAGTGTCTATCTGTAGCAAACACTTGTCGTCGGGCGACAGCCTATAGGTATACCAGGACAAGGCGTTGCTTTTCAGACACGAGTAGATATTTACTCGAACAACCCCCTCTCTGTCTTCTGGATGTCACCCGCACTAGTAGGTGGGGGGTCGTTCTCGCTTTGTTAACTTCCCATAGTGTCAGATAGTATGTCCTGGATATTAGAGAAAGATTAGGTAAGAGATGCAATGTTGGAAGGATAAAAGTAAGGCAAACCTTGCGAGAGGAAGATATCTTGAGATGTATATAGATTTTTCAAATGATAGAAGACAGCCCTGGAGGTGGTGTCAGGTGACGTGAAAGAAGAAAGAAGAAAAGAGACGGGGCGAATAGTATGAAGCCTGTCCAGGTGAAGGAAGATGGAGAGAATGCACCCAGGCAGCCATGCATAGGGCGATGGTAAGGTGGTTGGGCGAATTGAATTATAGATTGGTTGTACCATCTGGCCGATTCTCCGTTGTGTGCATGTTTTTTTTTTTTTTTTACGAGGGCCAGATCGTCGCGACTATGATTGTATAAAGCCGCCATAAAGCGTTTATAAAAGTACAGTCAAATAGAAGTCATGTATAGTATGATCAACCGAATGTGAATGGACAGCTTGAGGCACCAGACTCAAGGCCTGCGGTAAATTTTATAGCGGTTTTTCATTGAAAGAAGCATACTGGTAGAAGATATATCCATATTAAATTTTCAGAGTAGGCTGCCATCTGCTTCCGGGATTCTTGATGTGATTATATCTGCCGCAGGTAACTGGTTTGAAACAACATCCGACATACTTATCGCATTCAAGGCTCAAATAACAACAAAATCAAACCTTTCAACTACTGTCGACTGATAACGGGCTCTGCAGATTGTGTGGGGTGTCTATTTTCCTATGAAAAGGCCTTCATACTTCATTCCTATTAATTCAAGCCCTCAGACATCAACGATGAAGTTCTAGATGCAAAAAGTGCCCCTTGCGAAGGTTGGAAGCTCCACGATTAAGGTGACATCGGATTTCAGGCGACCGATCTTATCGATTGATCACTATATCTCAGCGTTTATTACAAAGCCCATGGGGAAACCAATGACATACTCGGGAACCGGGTGGCTCTAGCATCATAGTAGATACATTGAGTAGTGTGGCCAAATGGACAGAGATCAACTTAGAAGGAGCCGCGCCATTTATCCAGTCTAACGGTTCTTTGGCCCCGGTCTCCGGTCAACATCGTTGATCGCATTGTACAAAAGGCCAGCATACTTTGAAGGGCTGCTATCAGGAGATCGCTTATACGGAGTCTCCCAATGCGGCGTTTGCAGCGCTGGCCCTACATATTAGGGCCAAATCCCTGGGATGGGCCTCTTCCTACTCTTCTTCTTCTTCTTCCCGAGCAGTGGCAGCTTTATGAGTCTAACAAGTGCCATGAACAAGAGTACTGAGCAAGGAAGCAAGTGCATGGTCCGGGGTAGGTCGCCTTTGGCATGTCCAAGGCGTATGGTGAGCTTTCATCTCCTTTGAGTCTACCATCTTGAAAAAAAGTTGGCAGCTGAATTGCACGACACTTTCGAAAAGACGCTTTGAATTTCTGTACAGCCTACGAAGTTGAAAGCGAAATTATCAGAAGTTATACATTGAATATGGAATGGCGAAGGTTACGTCGGGGGCAAAAAAAGAGAGAGAAAAAAAAATTGCTCTCAGCCAGGTTCGAACTGGCGACCTTCGGATAGCAGATCCTGTTAACAGGAACTTCATATGATGATCTCTATGAGACCGACGTCATAACCAACTAGACCATGAAAGCTTGGTGAAAGAATTGAGGAAGTTTTGAGACTATGGAGGCGCCTCACCTTTAGCAAGAAATTAGAACCATTCGGTGGTGGGAAACTAGTTAGCAAGACGGCTGTCGGCAGTCTTCGTAAATAGCTCGATTTTATATACACTTAGGTTAGTGTGCTAATTCATGCTTACCATATCATATTGTCAGTTCTAAGGAATGAATATTTCATCGACCGATCGTATCTTCAGTTGTAGCCGACGATACAATAACGATAATTCAAGATTGTGCCGATAACGTACCCAGAACAGCGCTATCAAGTATACAACGTTCTACCACCCATCTATTCAAAGCATTCAGAACCTGCTAGATAGACAACAATGTTAAAAGCAGTGATGAATTTGGTGGCCAGTTCATATGCCAAACCTTGAGATACCTGATCATCGTTGTGGAACATAACTACGGAGAGTCGTTTGCCTTTTCTGGCGCAAGACCAGCAACCTCCGGGGGCTATATCCAGCGGAGAAAAAAACTGGAATTTAAGAATCTTTATTGTCAGCTGCGGTAATTCCTTGTTCACACACTAGCAGATCAGTCAACTGATATTCGGTACGGCTGCCCTGTGGCCTTGCATCTGCTGTCGTGAAAAGATTATTGACCTCGATAATGTTTGGGTTTCTGTGCGAGCGGATGAAGGAAAGCTTTACAATGGTGATTATTCCCTCTCTTTGGTTTTCACTTCTGTATCATCAGAATCAGCCTCAGCCTTCGCGGGAAGAGGGACGACATTTGTGGCTTCCATCAAAGCAATGATTTCGTGAGTCTTTTGGGCGTTGTCATCGGCACCGATTGTGGACGGAGCGCCTAGCTCATCATTTATAGATTGAGCTTGTGGTAGCATGTGCGAAGAAGTAGAATCTTTGCTTGGGCAAATAGCAAGCTGGGGGCTGTGGTTGTGGTTGCGTCGCAACTCATTGGACTCATCCATCGGCAGCTCAAATTTCGGTGGCGGAGTGATGTTAGTGATCAGTCTGTTCTGCTTGATATCGGCAGGATCTAGCAAGGCACGAATCCAGTCGTACATCTTGTATTCCTTCGCGAGCTCCAATGCTAAGTATACTGGTCAGATTATGATACGAAAACTGCCATGCACAGCAGGAAGAGTAAGACCTACCACACACAGGAGGTATCCATATATTGCAAGCGACTTCCTCCTGACTTGTGTATTCCTGGGATCTCATATAATCTCTCTCCTTCATCTCCTCCTCAGCCGTAGCATAGGGGAATGCGACCTTGAACATGCCCGTCGCGCTGACAAAACCATCATTACTTCTCCGCTACAAGCAGACAGGGTTAGCAATCGAGTATAACAGCTTCGGGCGGGTAGTTGAGATGGTGCTCACCATCAAATAGTAACTGTTGGTGCGCGATGGGAAGATCTCTGAACCCTCCAGATCCTGAGGAAGCGAAGCCCGGAGGTGAACATACTCGAACACGCCCAGGTTCTCGGGCTTAGTCGCACTGCAGGCGTTGAGTAGCCCCGGCTTGGCGGTGATTTTGGATCTTCCGAGGCGGCGACGTATGATGAGTTCATCATCTGCGATTGGGATTAGCAAATGGAGATGGGCCAGAGACGCACGGTGAGGCCTTGTTGGCACGATGTGGTGGAGTGAGAACCTTGGAACTCGCGTGATCGCGCGCCGCGAGGCAAAACTTACAGGCGGGAGTTGCGTCGGCGAGAATCAGTGGGTTGTTTTTCGCCGGTAGGGATCGCGACATGGTGGGTAAGCGCGATCAAGTCGGATTAGGAACGTGTGAGGTGCCACGAATGCAATTCTGGGAACTTGAATGACTACAAACATTGAATGTGGGGCAGCCCCCGGGGCGACCATAATAATTCATTGAATCATGGATATCTAAACCAATGGATAATATGGATTGGAGATGAAAGAGCCACTGTATAACATATTCCAAAATGATAAGTGTGGAATTGGGGCTAATCAGTGTACTTGACTCGGGTACTTAGTGAACGCTAATCGTCGATCACCAAGTACTGTAGGTAGGTGTGTAGCAGTTAACCCGACATCTCTGAATCAGATGTGCCGATGAATATATGGCAAAAATAGCTTCCAGAGTTGGATGGCGCACTATATAGTATGCTGGGTATTCTTATTGGCTGAAGCTTTTGACAGGTTCGCTTGAGAGCAGCCAGCACATGCACGTTTCTACATACTTTGGCATTCGATAAGCCGTGCTAAGAAGCACCAACACCGATTTTGAACTACAAGATTTGATCATGATGAAAGATCCTAAGAAAGTCTCAGAAATGCCGGCTATTTTGTCTCATTCAGCAAGTTCACTCGCCTCAGCATTCGAATTCGATGCCAATGCCGACACCCCACCCCAACCCCGCAGGTGTTTACAGCTAACACACCCTAGACAACGCCCCCTATGTCATGATAACGACGACTTTGATCCTCGAGCGCACTAGGGTATTCCCTACAATGAAAAGAACAAATCCAAAGTTTCTGCCAAGACGCCTTAAATGTACAGTAAGCATTTTCCCAAAGTTAGTTGATCGATTCAAGTTCTAAAGTTTTATTTTTGGTACGGAGAACAATCAACATGCCCGCATTGGTGGAACCAGTTGTTTCGAAAATAATTGGAAATATGGGAGCCTATTTTGATGTTTACATACAGGACTTGCTTTCTCTCCACCGCTGAACCTGAACCTGAACCTGAACCTGAACCCGAACCCGAACCCGTGCCACATATAGTTTCAGGACAGACATGTACATGTACATGTACGTAGGCGCCAAAATAGGCCACCTGCCGAGACATGGCTGTGTCGTCGTACGTGGCTCGCTTTCTATTGTACTGAGCGATCTGCAATATCTGATCGCGGGGCAGCGCTTCAGGGATTCTGAATTATACCGTAGGCAAACAGTTTTTATGTAATCATGCAAATTCTCATGATAACCTCGGCGCTACAGGAAAGTATTTTTGTACCACTTTGCCACCGGGATATGGAGGTCGGAGTTTCCGAAGATTAGCCTGGAATTAGCTTGGGTATGGCATAGAGTAGTTGATGGGTACAATTTTCAAGGTTAAATCGCATGAGAATTGGAAAGCTGGGCAAGTGACCAGATGCAGATTCCGAAACTCAATATTTTAAGAAAGGCGGCATAAAGAAAAGATGTACATGTACTCCGTACTGTACTCTGCACAAAGGGTTCCCCCTGCAGGGTGGTAGGGGTCCAGGTCAGCGGCAAAGGGACTTGGAGAAGAGGAGTCAAGTCGCTGGGGAAGGAGCCCTGTTTGGCTTTGGGGGTCTTCCTTGCATCACGACACAGTGCCTTGATTGTCGTGCTTGGTTGGCCGTTTTCGTGGCCCACAGTGTCTGCTTTCTTTTATTTCATTAATGACGATCGGAGGGGTTGGGTGGGTCAACCTATCGACCTAGTGCAGGATAGAACGTCGAAAGAAGTAGGATCGACTTTTGCAGTAGTATCCTTACGGGATACGGAGTAGACCAGAGTTTGTTCCTTCGGGAGGAGAAGAGCTATTGCATAGTGCAAATCATCTATCGAGGGTAGTATAGCGGGTAGGAAGCATACATATACAAGTCCTGGAGCTTTGACTTCCAAGTTTTGGGACTTGGATGGTTATACCGTAAACGCAGCGTGGTGGATGCGGGTCACCCTATTGGAGGCGGGTTATCCTTGCGCGATAAAGATAGAAAGGGCAGTGCGTTAGACCCAATCAGCGATGCATCATATTAATTAGACTCCACTGTCACTTGCCGTGTGCCAGAAGTCGCATGACTAAGCTGGAAGTCCCTTATCCCTGAACATTTTCAAGGTGTTTTTCCTTGGTCCAATCAATTGATGTCTCCACTGTGATCGGCTTCATTTCTTCGAGGTCCCTTTTCTTGCCTGTTTTTTTTTTTTTTTTTTTTGTCTCGTCTGGTGTTCGAGGTGAAAAGAGTGATACTTATCCCTGCTCGACTTTCTCATCAAGATTTATAAAATCCTCTTTTCCATTTCTCTCTTCTTTTTCTCCCATTTACAAACTACACAATAGGTGCCAGGTCCCTTTTATGGTGAGGCTCTATCCATTTTGCCAAGAACCTTAAAGCCTTTGGCCCCCCCTATTCCAACCCTTCCAGCGCCCCGATAAATTCCCACAGCCTCCACTCCAAACCGCTCCAATTTCTCATCAAATTGTGCCGCCGGGCCATTTTGCGACATTTTAACCCTGAAACCCTTATATACCCCGAGGAACCTCACCACCTGCATCCTCACCCGCTTCCAAAGAACTGTTGCCTTGCCAACTCAACTCGGAAAACCTGCGACCCGCCCACCTTGGCGTTGCTTGTTTTGCGCGTCCAGCCCCTCCAGGACCTTTTTCACTCCCCGCGCGCGTCACGATAAAAGCACAAAAAGAGGACTCGTTCCCTTCAATACCATAAAATGAGACCGGCCGTCCTTCTACTAGCCCTGGCGCCGGTCGTTATCGCCGGTCAACAACCACGCGCCCTCGATAGCTCTTCCGACCTAACACGCCGCGCTCAAGCCGCAACAATACCGAACATTGTCGCTCGAGAACAGCTTCTTCCCCTCGCAGACTCGGAACATTCAAATATTAGTCAACTGGGTACACGCAATGTACTTCAAGCGCGCAGTGAAGGCTCTCTGGGTCAGACACCGTGGATTGGAATGGCAATCGGGTTAACCTGTACAGCTCTAGCAGCCGCGATGCTAGGGTAATCGGAACTGAACCATGAACCAAAAGGCTACTTCTACCTTTTTGGAAACTTATTCTTCACCTTCTTCTACTTCGACTTCTTATACTTCGACCTTTCATCCCTTCTCTTCTCTTCGACCTATCCTCTTTCTCCGATTCTTTATGATACGTGAATACGCCAACCCGATTTTGACATCTACAATATTTGAATGTTTAATTCGTCATCCACCTTACCGACCTCTTTACTTTCTTGCGATTCAAGCGACATGAGTTTTTGTTTTATTTTCTGCATCCATTGCATGCTTGACATGGGGCATTTTATTTTATTTTTCATCCATTCATTTGAGCATCCATTGCATTCCCATCTTGCATGGTGAGATATAGAGCTGTTGTACATGATACCTCCGAGAGCCTGTGTTTATACTGGGACCGATTTTGTCTAATGTATGTGTGTATATAAGAAATCATATTACATTTTCATTTTCATTTTCTAAGACGACGTTCTTTTGTTCTTCTTTGTTTCCTTCGTAGTTGGCCCCTGAAAGTTTCGGGTTTCTTTGTTGGACTCGACCAACCTTCTAACATTTCTTTTCTATCCTCATGGACATTCATTCTATATCTCTCCTCCCTACTCTCCAATTTTGAATATTCAAAATACTTCTCATCTTAAGTAAACGCCTTCAGCTAGTCTGATCCGCCCCGGATTCATTCTGTCACCCTTGGCTCCACTGAAATCCACATCTCGAGTCCGAGCTCTGAAACCACATCAGAGACCCCAGATTCACTGTAGACCGATCATTTCATAACCACTGCTTGTTACTCAAGGTGTTCAAAATGGTCGAGTGGCCTCCATACACACCCGCAACTTCGCTCGGCATCGAGTTAGCTATCATCTTCGTGTTTATAGCTGCAATGATCGGGACAATAGCTATCTATACGTTTTTCTGGAAAAGTATGTATATGTACCCTCTTCAAGTCTCTTTGACACCCAAAGCCCAATACAGCAATCTTCATGCTACATAGTCAGGATTCCATCCCAAGAAATACTAATAGTCATCCTTAGTTCACCAACGCCGCAACCACGAAGAACATCTTGCTCGACGCAAAGCATTTCAAAGCCGTGCAGGCTGCCGTGCAAACGAATTTAACTTTGATCTCCAGCTAGGCCATATAGCAACTGTTACTTCTGGCGCAAGTATGGAGGGTATCTCGAATGAAGGCACTCTTGTTGGTTCTCCGTCTGGATGGTCGGGATGGGAGACTGGGGCTGGGGCCGTTCATGAGAAGATGTTGGATAGGGGTGTTCCGTCGGAGAATATGATTGAATTGCCGACTCATGGGATGGAGTTTGTTTCTGCCAATCCTAGGAGGGGTGTGGAGTGGAAGGATCGGTGGTAGTGTTACCTGCAGTGATGCATAGGATGGAATTTGAGTATAGGTATACCGACATTCCAGAGTAAACAATGAGACTGGGTTTGAGTGACGGAATGACCAGGTCATGATGTCGGATTATAGTGAATGATAGCGTGAGTCTGTTTTGTTGGTACAGGAAGGCATATATGTCTCATTATATTAAATCATTACATCTAGATAGTTCGTACTATATATACACTTTTATGCATTATCATCCACAAACCGGGGTATCAAATCCTCTCGTCCATAATAAAGATCCCATAATAACAACCAACAATCCAAGTGCCACAGTAATACTCGCAATGCCATAGGAATAAGCATGCCTCCTTTTCGACAACCCATTCAACTCCGCAACCCAAGTACTAACCGTCGTAGTTGCTCCACAAAATCCATCCATAGCACCCTGCAAAACTTGACATCCTGTCACTGAGCCCGCAAAACCCGCAATCGCACCGACATGCTGTAAATTAAAACATAACCCTTCAATCCCCGTCCCAAACATATTAACCACGAACGTCCCAACTGGAAAAGCAGGAATCCGAGTATTCAAATGAAGCGACACATAAAATCTCAATAGACACCCTACTGGCGCAAAGACAATGGCAAATACCGCACGTCCTCGCCAGTTCTCTACCGCAATATTCCGATCCGGTGGCCAAATAGCCATAAAGACAGCACCGAGCCAGCATCCCCACCCTAGGAAAACCATTGCAGGGTCTAAGAAGCGGCGCGTCAACCTAAATGATATGACAGGTGTATAAGGACCCAATGCAAGAGCGAGGTGTGCGCCGAAAATAAGCGCCGAAAGACTAAGCGATACCGTGAGAAGGATTACGGCGACGAGAGCCATGAAGCTATATCCGCCGCTTCGAGAGGGGATGGAGGAGTCTAGCGAGGGGTCTGGGAGGGAATTCGATAGGGCGAGAAAGACGTCGCGGATAAAAGAAGAGAAAGAAGTACAGCAGCCACAGAATCCGGTTGTGAGGCCGATGTATAGCGGGATAGTCTTTTTGATAGCTTTTTGTCCTGGTGCGCTGGAGTTGTGTGCGCCCCATTCTTCTTTAAATAGGATCTTGTCTTCGACGAGAAAGCCCATTACCAGGCTACCTGTGACGTTTGCCCAGAGGACGCCTGTGATAACTGGGGCGCCGGTGTAGAATGTTAGGGCTTGAAGGCCTAGACGTGCTAGGGTGCCGAGTATTGCGAAGAAGATGAGGTGGGAGACTGTATAGAGGTAGGTCGCATTTTTGGAGAGGGGTTTAGTGTTTGTAGGAGCTGGTGCGGCGTCTTGGAGAGCTCCAGCTGGAGCTGGAGCTTCTTCGGGCGAAGGGGCGCGCGGTGTACATGGTTGTCTTTGGGATGAGGTTGAATCGACTGGTGCGGTTGCGGTGCTTCTAGTTGATGGGCGTTCTTGTCTCCATTCAAAGCCATGTAATTGGGGCCCCTCCTCCGCAAAATCGGATTCAGGCGGCGGCATGGCATTGGAGAGCAAAGGCGCCGTGGTCGCACTGTTCAAAGATTGACGATCCATAGTTCGAGCTAAAGAGGATCCGAAGAATCTTAGTCAGCGCAGCCAATCAGCCTCAACTTTCAGACTTGGACCTGACATCTGGGATGATATCCTTTGACAAGGAACTGTATTATAACATAAACTATTGATTGTGAGTTTTGTGAATGCGACACTTCGCTGTAGAGAAATAACTTTGGTCTTATTTATTCCCTGACTGCACAGGTTACAGGCAGAGCCTCTCGCGGAGTCAAACAATGACTTGTGCAACATTGGAAGGCAATGTGGGGACGTATACTTCGCTGTTGAGCACTTGAAGGTTTGTTTCTACCTTAAAAAGATAGTCTGTGTACATGTGGAGAAAAAAAGGTTAGTATAATAGATTTTTCCTGTCATCGAGTCGATCCTTTCAAGTTTACAAACCACCCAGGCCCAGGAAAGAGGCAACTTTGTTTAGTATAACCATGTCCAACTTGACTTTAAAAGCAACTCGATAAGTATTCCACCACGACATCTCACTTGAGCAAACCTGGAGATACCGAAAAAGGCCCTATGAATAATGCTTTCCTCCAATTTAAAAACCCATGAATAGTAAACACGAACCGCAGGACCATGGAACCATCGATCGGTCCAAATAGCGGGGGAAACCTCGTGATAGGATGCGCAGCGCAGCACGTCGCACTGCAGATAAAGGAACCCCTCTTCCACCTTACAGTCATTTCCCTGTCCAGACCCTTATTGAACCTGATAAAATAAATCTTTCACCATCCTTTACCTTCTTTCCTCCGTACTTTACCGAATCTCCCTAATCTCAATTTCCAAGGTTTCTTTTCTTTCATTCTCCTCCATCTCAACAGTAAAGATGTCTACTCCACTCCCCGCAAATATCCACATCTCAACCCACCCTTGCCTCCAAGCAAAGCTTTCTCAACTCCGATCAGCAAGTACCAGTCCCCGCGAAACAAGAACGCTTGTTCATGAGATAGCATCAATCATCGCTGTCGAGGCATTCTCCACTGGTCTCACAGTTACCAAAACAGGCACAGTATGTATACTATGCCAATACAGTCCTCAAACATCTATACTACCATGAAACTGAACTGATAAAAAACAGGACATCACCCCATTAGGCGCCGAGTATGAGACGAAAGGCATCAATCCAGCAGATCTAGCTCTGGTCCCAATTCTAAGATCCGGCCTAGGCATGGTAGAAGGTTCGTCTGAATCCGAAACCAGCATCTACAAACATAATACAAATAACTTGAGATTGTGCTCATAACTAACAACTCGAAACAATCAGCCCTAAACGCCCTCCTTCCAACATCAGTCCCAATCTATCACCTGGGACTCTTTCGTGAAAAAATCACCCTCCAACCAGTAGAATACTACAACAATCTCCCCTTTCACCGCGAGGAGCTCTCACCCGCCAGTCCAGCCCTACTCTCACCAACAGATAGATCAAAAAACACCGCTGCAGCAACCCTAGCTGTTCTTCTGGATCCGATTATTGCGACGGGCGCAACTGCTGAGGCGGCTATACAGCTTCTTCGTGATTGGGGCGTTGAAAGGGTGATTATGCTTAATGTGATTGCTTCGGAGGAGGGGATTAGGCGGGTAGCTGGGGTTTGGGATAAGGTTGAGATTTGGGTTGGAGCGGTGGATGAGAAGGTTAATGAGAAGGGGATGATTGTGCCTGGGGTTGGGGATATTGGGGATAGATTGTTTGTTGCTATTGGGAAGTGAGTAGAGTGGGTAGATTGGGAGATTTCATCATACAAGTGTCTCGAGTCATAGATTTACTTCTACTGAGCGGCCTTTGTTACTTAAGATCTATCAAGGATTATTTTCTTTTAAGGTTACTGTTTTACTTGATCGATGATTCCCCGCCAAATAATGTATTCATCAATTACGTATAGTACATGGAGATAAGGCATAAAGTAAATAAAAAGGATGTGCAGAAGAAACCAAAATGCAGGCAATGCTGAGCAGACACGACTCGCAGAAAAGAAAGATCAAAAGTCCAAAGTCAAAATAAAAATCAGCTGTGGCGGGGAGAAAGGAGAACATGCAATTAAATCAATACAGCGACTGAGGTAAACCTCAGCCACAAGAAGCAGATGGAAGCGGACGCGTAGATGATAGAAAAGCAGATGAAAAATAAACAAAGCATGCAGCAAGTCACGAAGCGCAAACAAAAGTCAAAAGGTATCAAGAGATCAATAAGATGGACGAGAGGGGGGCACGATTAGGGGCTAAGGATCAAAACGATAAAAACTCCATCGAGTGCGAGAGAACACACAGGTCCAGCCAGGTGTCAAAGAGGAGGGAACCAAAGCAGATAAAACACCACACCGGACTCCCTGGTGCAAAGATAGATCAGGGGGAAAGATGCAACCCAGAATAATAGCAAGAAACGTCAGGAATCACACAAGGGGAGATTGACGGCGAAGTAGTCCCAAAGCCATAACACCCCGCCTGCCCACTGGCGTACCTATTCCTGATATTTCCCATATGTCCCAAAGAAAGCGTCCAACAAATGAGAGTAAGAAAGCCCGAAAGAACACAGGAGAAAAAAATTACTTGGAAAGAAAAAATGCAGAGAAAAAAGCAACTGTCAAGGAGAGTAGAGAGGGAGATGAAGACGATTAATAGGCAGTCCCGATGCTGGCAAGCGACTTAGTAGGGACTGCGTGAATCGGTTGGTCCTTTGAGACACGCAAAGAATCTTCATAACCGACAAGGGCTTGAGAATGAAGCTTGAATGACTCGCCCATAAGCTTGGTGATTCTATAGAGAAGACGTTAGTAATCGGTCAAAATTTCGAAAGGACGAACAAGGACAATTGACTTACCCCCAGACAACCACACCGTCCAGGATATTACCCCATACACGGGCCACGGTAGAGCTGAGTTTCCCAAAAGCGTCGATGGCATCGTCATCGAACAAGTTCCGGACCTTGTTGTAGATGGCTAATTCAGCCTCAGTCGCCGGCTCTTCGTCATGTTCCAGGCGGTAGAGCCAGAGACTCAGGATGACCATCAGATCCAGACCGCAAAGGGGGTGCTCAACGCTCCAGTTGGTGGCAGATGTCTTGGCAACCCAGTTGATGCCTTGGATGGCAGCAATCTCGATACACTCGAAGCATTGCTGAACAACCTTGTTCATCTCCTGAGAACGCTTAACCTTCTCACGGGCGACAGTCATGGCAGCAGCCACTTCATAAGATGAGTGGTATCGCATGGCCTCCTGGATGGACTTCAGGTCAACTTCCAGGCGGGCACGAGTGTTGCGGTAGACAGCCATCGAGTTGAAGATCAGGGGATGACCCTTCTGAGGGGTGCTGAGTGGGACAACGATAGTCTCAGACTCGCACACATCCAGAGAGCCCTCCCAGGTCTCAAGAGCAAGGCGAAGCTTGTATTCGGTAACAACATCTTGGAGAGCCTCAAAGCTGCGCTTATGGTTCCAGACTTGCAAGAACAGAGCGTTGATGAGGACGCGGGTAGCGAAGGCGCTGTAGCGGGTCTGCTCGCCCTGGAAAAGGAAGTCGTGTGCCTCACGAACAGTCAGAGTGCTGGTTGATGTAGTGCGACGCCAACTTTCCTCATCTGATGCGTCCAAGTTCCAAAGGGACTCCGAAGATGGCAACTCTAGGTTGTCAAACTCATCAAAACTCATCGCTGGAGTATGATTGAAGGTGAGAGTCAACATGCCAAAGAAAATGTACACAGCAAAATAAGTACGGCGACAAGACTCATCTTCAATCCATTCCTCACGCGAGACGCGCGATCCCTGGCGAGCCTCGGTGCGGACCTTGAGTTGATAACGGTTACCAGCGACCATGTTGGCCAGAAGACTCTTGATGGAGCAAGTCCATTCAAGGCCCTTCGGGTCACCGCTCCAGCTCTCAAAGACCATGTTAAGTAAAGTGCCCTGCATCAACCAAAGAGGACACTTGCGCGAGTCAAAGTTGTCCTTGTGTTGAAGGAACTGGTTGACCAAGACCTTGGAACCAACGTGAAGCATGAACGCATGCTCACGCTCAAATGTGTAAAGAGCTCCAATCGACAGGACCGCGAGGAGCAAAGGCGCAGATACGGCCGCAGGGTTAAATGATTGCTGATGCAGGAAGGGCAGATGAGGGTGGTACAAGTTGAAGTATGTAGAGAGATACCTGTTAAGAGTCGCAGTACCTGGAAGCTGGAAATTCTCAGGCAGTCCACCCATACTATCCGCTCCCTGAACACGCTCCACTACTAAGTTGCGCTCCATATCATCAGCAATTTGAGGGGCCTTGGGCAAGGTTAACGCTTGGCTGGGACCTGGCGAGCGGCGGTAAGTTACGGGGCTAACGGGGCCGGTCATGGAGGGGTAGGGGGACAACGCGTTCGGGGTCGAGTGCCCAGACATGGGGAGGGAGTTGGACATGAGCACATCTCCGAGGGGGCCTTGGCGGTCGAGGGTGGGCATCGAACCGGCGTCGGAGGCGAGAGTATCCCAGGGCATCTGTGGAAGGGTCGCGTTGCCAGAAAGGTAAGGCTCGAAAGAACCGTGTGCAGGGGATAACGATTCGGATCGCTCGGAAACCTGTCCAGTTGCCGCAGCTGCAGCCTTATGTTGGAAGTCTGTCATCAACATGGCTGCAGTTTCAAGGTCGACCATACCATCACTGCTTGCCTCGATATGTTCCAGGGTGGCTGGATCAATAGTGATCGAGGGCTTAGAAGGGGCAGAAGTTGTAGACTTTTGCACACCTCCACCGCGTCTGCGGCCCTCTGCGACGAGGGGAATACCACCATCCTTGGCGTGTACAGTTCGATCATGGCGCAACAGAAGATCGCGACGAACAAAAGTACTGCGACATTTTAAGCATTTGAAAGGGCGTTCTTTTGTGTCTATAGAGAAGTCAGTATTTTGTGGAAAATGCGACGAAACCGAGGGGTGTTTCCAGAGAAGAAGGAATATCCTAAATTCGAGGTATTGATGCAAACTTACGAGATCGTTCATGTCTGCTGCGGTGTTCACTTCGGCTAAACGCGCGATTGCAAAATTGGCACTTGTATTTCTTCTCGGGAGCTGAGGTTTTCTTCGCCGGCGAGTTGCTGGCTGTCCCGGGGGCTGATGGAGCCATCTGTGTGTGTGTGTGTGTGTGTGTGTGTGTGTGTGTGTGTGTATGTATTTACGGTAGAGTCGGTTCGTCTCAAGCGAGGAGAGTAGTCGACAGCGGCGGTATAGTTCCCTGGGTGAGCTCGCACCGGTTTTGGAAGCGTGAAGACGACAGGAAGTCGCTGGGATATCTGATCATTCCTTGTATGTGGGGGTCGCGAGATTTAACAAAGGCAAGAGTGTGTCCAGCCACAGGCCTAGAGATGGACAAAAACAAAAAGGAACGCTCGAAAAGAAAGGCGGATAGCGTTAAGCACCGCGGGATGGGACGGATATGAATGGTGTTGAAAGGTGGGAGGGCAGAGAGGGGAAATAAGAGGGGAGAAAAGAAGGGGGGTTGAGAAAGAGGCACAGGGAGAGGGGAAGAAAGAAACCTGGAAAGAAAAGAGTGTGGAAGTGCTCAGAGCAGCTTTACATATCTTCCCCCAGGGGCCGGTATGTAATTTACCTGGCGTTGCGTCGTTTTGTGACGGAAATCCTACGAACCACGACGCGCAGCCCGGGCCATTGCGGATGCCTGAATTTGACTAAGCTATTTCACTGGCAGAAAGAAATATTACAGTAAATTTGACGTTCATTTAGGTAGACGCAAGGTTTCTCCTGCGGGTGTGAGTGGGGCTTGATCAGGTATTATTACGTTTAATTTCAGAAGGCGGTGTCCATGAAGATCAGTGTTGAGGCATTAACCGGCATAATTTGGTGCACGATAAAGCTTCTAACGAGGACGACCGTACCGCGTCTCATTTGGTATTATTCGGTTCTAGTCATTACGCATGGCACTGACTTCCAGCCCCTCCCAATGTCCCGGCCACGCACTCCCACTTCCTATAACCACAGACTGTGGACTAACGGATCTTCCCCCCCTTTTTACCATACTAAATCGACACGTCGTAATATTCAAGCATAAATCTCATTCGACCCGCTTGAAATTAGGAAATCGAAATAATTCAAGAAAGTGGCCCTCAAATTGCGGTTTCTTTCTGAAACCCACCATGTCGGTTCAGCCGAACGTTTACTTTTTACTTTTCTAGAAGATGGGGGGCGATTTTGATTTTATTTTAGATTGCCGGGCCAGCTGTGTATACTTGAGAGATACTATATCGAGGGGGCTGAGTATACGGTTAAGATGGACAAGAAATAGATATATTATATCGGAGACAGATAGAAATCGACGAAGAAGGGGGGTAGAACCTGAACAGTATTGGTGAATTTTTTTTTAATTCTACAAAAAATAAAATAAAATCAAAAAAGCAATATTGATTGAGAGATCAGAAACACACATTGAAAAAAAAGGGAATTTGAAAGTGGGAATATCACCGCTGTCTGCTGCGAGGGCTTGTCAAGAGTGGGCCAGTGATGCAGTGATGCCCCTCGCTCTGAACCGAAGGGGGAAAGAAAATAAGAATAAAATAATCGTAAAATAGGAGAGACCCATAAAAGTATGATTTACCCTGACTATTATTCATTCAAGAGGGGCCTGAAAGGAAAATGTGTGGCTGGCATGTGAGGCGATTTAGCGTCTCGATCGTGGTACATCCACACCAATGCAATCATCTTACTGGTACGTGACTGGTACGCGATTGCTCCAGGACCACTATGGTAGGTAGCCCTGTCTGCAGTCGACATGCCTAGCTACCTTACTCCATCACTCTTATCCTTTGTGGCTATCATAGATGTGTAATTTACAGATACCTCCGAATATCAATCTACTATTCCAACTCGATATAGATATAGATCTTGATTTGATATCCGTGCAAATCAACCATGGTTCACGCCCGCCCACGTTACCCCTCCCTTTCCCTCTTTCCCCTCCGATCGGCACAAACATCATAGATTGGCTCGGTTGATCGTGCGGGTTCTGGGCACCGTTACACAGTTCCGACAAAGAGACAATCGGGTCAGTTAAGAATGAGACAGGGATATTTCACTTTTTTTCCTCTTTCCCACATTTCTCGCCCTGATCTGACCTCGCATATATAAATCTCGACAGATAAATTGTTTACTTCTGTAGGTCAGATTGCGATTTGATGGTTTACATTCATCTGCCGGTCCTATAACTGTGGCAGGCTTAGGTACAGTAGTGGGCCTCCAAACGGGGACTGCGGACTACCTCCTCCAACTCCGAATGACGCTAGAATAGCCTCGATCGGATCCTGTCTATCCGCGGGGCGTCGTCGCCAGTAGTTGCAGCCAGCTCAGTCGATCAATCCACCACAATCAGTCTAGTCTTATTTGACGGCTTGTACGGTGTACTCCGTACGGCATACATGATTTTTGGAATTTCTTATTCTCAGTATTCTAGCACTAGGGTCAAAACCAAGGCTACCATTTGGCTTGACAGGTGCGCCACACTACTGCTTACTCACGACATCTTCACCCCCTAAATGACATATCACCAATCGTTGCCGTACTTTTGCTCTGGGGCTGACTGGTCCAGAATCCCTCAATTTTGGCGTGCCCCGCTCTGTGGCGGTTCCCTTCTGCCACACTCTCGGAGGGGTTTTGGTATACGTATGTTCTAGCCACTGTACACATCTAATTAATCACAATCCCAAGACCATCATCAGCATATAATATGTACGACACCACCCGCCCATGTCTGTGCGACATTATGCCAGAACAGGGGCCCATCAAAGGCATCACCTGCTGAACTGCAGGGTGATCTGCATGCAAAATAGTTATATAAACGAATCGGCGCTTTGGGTTGGGATAACATCATCTGATTCAGACTACCTCTTGCTTTATTGGGGTAAGATCCATGCATCTGCCCCTCGACCCTGTTTATAGCCATGTATGTATCCAAGTTCCTAGATGCATACACAATAAACCACAATGTCCACTACTCCAGGCTCTTCGCTAAAGAATTATTTACACATTCAAGTTAGTTCGGCTTGCCCGGGCTTTTCGGGGTCCACTATGTAACATAGAGTAGTATCTCCATGCGTACAGAGAAATGAACGGTCAGGCCCGAATGAGCTGGCGAAGGACTCCATAGCGCGTACGGTATACCGCAGAAAGCCCGCCCTTCGTAAAATCCCGGATCCCCTCCGTGGGGCACTGCATCATACTTACAGCTAGTCCGAAGATCCGCGTCGCGGTTACTTGGGAAACGCGTCTGGCGACGGTGGAGAAACGCGATGCAGCCCAGCACGGCAGAGAAATGGGTGATCCGACCTGAATCCAGACAAAGAAAAGAAGAAAAAAAAAATAAGTACACCCCTCCCTTTACCCCTCGAGTGAGGGGCCTATCAAAATAAAATATTTTAAATTAATTAGCTACTGGCAATTTTTATCTTATTCCTCAAAGCTGCATTACACGTAAGAATTATATTTTCTACAGCAATTCTGCAGCCATCCCTTGTCTTGCCTACAACGCTTAGTACTCAGCAGAATAGTCGGCAAATCGGAAACAAGATATGCCCTAGGTAGCAACTGGGAATGAGCCTGTTCCGGCGGAGTTCCCACTTGATCATCGAAGCCTTAACGAACCTTCTCCGGCTCGCCGCGCTGCAATTCGTGTAGGTGGGGACATGTGGTTCCCAGCAGGACCGGCGCAAACCACGGAGTACTTACAACCTTGGAAGTCAGCTACTAAATCACCACGGGACAAACGAGGAAGGTTTTCGCCCTTGATTCGATCACAAAATTCCAGCAGGATTTCAGTAATGGCCCGATCCACTTTCCGATGCAGCGGTCCGACCCAGTTTCAACGTTCTCGACCCAAGCAGGAACCAAGAAGGGAACATGACGACGCGGTGCATTGAGCGGTGTATTAAGCGGTGACTTCACCGCCCAATGGGTATTTTGGTACTTTTGTACTTTTGTTCCCTCGAATCCTTGCCTACTGTACACCAGTTGGTGATGATCCACCATTCCCGATCCCTTGGGGGCCGTGTCCGACACAGAGATTCAAAAGGAAAAAGTTCGGAAATATTCGAAAAACCTGCATTCCATTCATGAGCGGACGGGTCCAATGGTGTACAGTTACCTTTGTTTTGCATTTTTTTGTGTTCTCATGAAGGCCAAATGTCTGGATATCTGTCTATCGGCCTACGTATATGCCGTCAGGAAATTGTCTACCATAGGTCGGTGCCACTCATCCCATATGTATGCAATTGTGAAAAAGCAGTCTCAGAAAGGTTCCGAAGAAGAAAAAACTCACCGAAGATAAGTGAATATTACAACGGAGTACCATATGCAGTACGCACCGAATAATGTAAAACAACTAACTGATCTGCAAAAGGGATTGGAATCGGCCCTGTGATCACGGAAACGTGAGACCTCGCAAACCGAACTGGGGTTAGCTAGTTCACGGATTCCATATGTAAGCCCTAACAAGAGCTCTTCATCAACCTGACTGTATGTATCTTTGCCGAGTCACCACCGACTAGTATCGACCCCACCACCCAATCCACTCCAGCCCAGTCCCGTTGCAGCAATTCTTAGGAACGTCTTCCCCGGCGCCGGCCCCTGAACTAATGCCCTCCGGCAGCCCGCGCCCCAGGTGCAATGGGTCCATCGTCCCGACAACTCCTGAAGGGGGAAAGGGGGACCCATTACGCCCCGCCCACGACGCCAGGACGGTCTGGAATTTCTGTTTCTCGTCACTAGCCCGTTGTCTGGCCTAGACATTGCGGCCTCGTGCCGAAGATGTCGGTGAAAAACTGCATTGGGCTCCGTAGCTAGTACAGCTGCTCTTATGCTCTGGACCTCAACTTTGAAGTTACCTTAAGGCTGTAGCGTGATTGTCTGGCCTCACCGCTTCGATAGAACACATGGCTGTCTAGGATCATGCAGTAGACGCAGGTCCCACTACCTGCGTCGATTTCGTAATTTCTGATTTCGCTTTGGATTTTTTTGTCTTAATTGTGGGCGCTAGCGGTCTCCGTTTACACTTTCGCTAAAGACTGGGGCGTTGAAACCCCCCAACTTCCCGATGCTCTGGGAAGCAACACCTCCGAGATG